ATACAACTAACCCTAGGTTGTACTAGTAGATTCTTTCGCATACACAATACTTAGAAGAAAAAGCATCTATAATTTATTATCACAGTCTATTATCACATACTTATGCTCTAAAGTATACAATAGTACAAAGTCTAGAGTAGTAACCTAGATTTTGCTAATAACTACCCATTCCTAGACCCTACCTAGCTACCCTACCTATACCTATACCTAGTCATGTGCTACCCTACCTATACCTATACCCAGTCACGTGCTACCCTACCCAAACCGTTTGGGTAGGGTACCTCATGTACCCTACCTAGTTCCTACCCATAAATCACGTGACTATACCTATACCCTACCCTACCCTACCCATCCGCCAGCCTAGGTGTGAATCTGCTACGAGGCATATGGGAGTGCTGGGATGATAAGAACACCAGGATATATTCTCTACACCTATAGGTCTTGTACGAAAGGATATAGAAAAACTACTCTACAATGCTACAGTTCCTTGCTCCTTATATATAAGGGTTTAGTGGTAGTTTGGTGTGAGCTTATGCCATGCGACAAGGGCCATGGTCATGAGTCGCTAGAACCGTATCCTAGTGTTATCGGGTCACTGTTCGTAGAGCGTTGTTACAGACAATGGAAAAACTTTTCCCGATGTAGGAGGCATGCTGAACGCCTTAGCAGCGCGCCAGAGGCTTTAAAATTCATAGTTATTATAGGCAGAAAGGGCAAACTTAATTCTGCCTTCTTGGTTAGATAATTGCGCGTTTTGTTGTTAAGACATATTGCGTTAATAAGGGAGTGAGTAGGCTTGGCAGAAACTGATCCACTCGATGAGTTGATCCACTCGATGATGGAATAAGTTAGAGCACAGGCTCTCACTATATATCTAAGAATCTACATATACTATTCCCTTACATAGAAAAACTTATAAATTAATCGAGCAGCCTCACTGCTCTCGTCCTATATAGTCTTAGACTCACACAGGACGTTAAACTAATCAATCAATCAATCAAGCTCCTTTATAAATAGACTACTGTAATAGACAAAGTACGCCACGCTGCTAATAACAGCAACAAGTACAAGGCCTTTTTCAGCCTCCTGCACAGCAAAATTAAAGAATATAACATTAGGGCAGCTAACACATACAACGTAGATAAGAAAGGCTTTGCTATTAGTCTTGTTGCTAGGAGCAAGAGGATCTTCAGCAAGCGCTTGTACGAGAAGTAGAAGAACAGGTAGTTGCTACGTCCTGAGGACAGCAATAGAGAGTGGGTGACGCTGTTGGCGAGCGTCTGCGCTGATGGCAGCGCTCTGCCTCTAGGTCTTATTTTCATAGGCAAGGACAACACCATACAAAGCTCCTAGGTGGAGGATATTAAGCTAGTAAAACACTTAGTATTTGTGACTGCAGCTCCTTTAGGTTAGACAAATAACAAGGTGGGGCTTGCCTAGCTAGAGTAGCTGTTTAGCTGCTACACCAAGAAGAAAGCGCGCAGAAGCTGGCAATTGCTTATTGTTGATGGCCATGGCTCTTATATAACAATAGCCTTTATCAATTTCTGCAATCAGCACAAGATTCTGCTAGCGATCTTTCCTCCACACAGTACTCAGTCGCTGCAGCCGCTCGACGTTGTGTGCTTCGCTCCATTGGCTCAAAACTACAGCAGTGCCGTCACCCAGCACCTTCACAATAGCTAAGGCATCTCAGGCGTGCCTAAGAGCGACTTCTTTATGCTCTTCTGGCGATCCTGGCAGCAAACGTTCACTAAAGAGCTCATACTCAGCGCTTTCAAGAACACAGGTATATTGCCGCTCAACCCTAACGTAGTACTTAGCTAATGGGACAATAATAGCGACAGTAAGTATAAGACCCCTCTGCCCATCAAGGCCTACAATTAGCGCTTAATTAATTAATTGTACAAAGCTATTGTGGGTAGAAACACCTTAGATAACGCAAGGCAGCTCTGCTGTACTCTCCACCACCTCTCTACTTCTTGTGAGATACTTACAGCTGAAAACAAAGGACTCTCTGCAGCAGTTGCTGCACAAAACCCCTTAAAGAAGAAGTGGGAGACTCTTAACTTACGCCAACAGAAGAAGGGACGCAGCGAAGCCCTCCTCTACTCCCTCAGCAAAGTACGCAACGCACGTCATCGCAACAGGCTCAATAAGACAAAGAGACTGGAAGAAGAAGTGGCAAAACACCATCAACGCGAGGAGCGAGCTGCTGCAACGCTACGCAACAAGTTGGAGAAAGAGAGACGCTCTGCTGCGTACGCTGCGCGCCTTGAGGCCTCGAGGCAGAGGAGAGCAGAAGAAGCCGCCGATCGCAAGCGCAAAAAGCAAGAGCGCGACGCTGCTAAATCTATACAATTATCCTAATCAGGCAAGCGCAAGGTATCACAGAAAGTACCTGCAGAAGTTTGTACAAAAAAGAGCCGTTCTGCGCGTGCGCGGCGTGGTGTTGTTGTAGAGGAGGCTCCTCCACCCTCCCGCACAGTCACCACCCGCAGCGGCCGCACTGCAACTCGCAATTATTAGTCCTTCACAGAGGACTTTTGTATACATCAACACATCATCCCGCCAACTTTTCTCGCGATCATCGCTTTTGTGCGTGGCTGTACAGCTTCATCTTGTGGTGTTGAGAAAGTGAGGAAATCGTGCATTGACCCGACGCGTGCATTGACCCGGTGGTCTCGGTAGCACGGGAAGAGACGTGAAGCCTGCGCGAGGAGTTGCGAAAGATGCGAGCAGAGCGAGATAGTGGACAAATCGTAATCACGACACGCCAGCAGAATGCTGCAGGATAATCAAGTGTCGCAGCAGATATCATGCCTATTTACCAGCCAATTCAGGGGGTGCTAATGTATGTACATTTTGCCTCCTTTTGGCTGCAACATCAAGCAACACGGCGTGGAGTCTGGTAAGCAATACAGTCCGTGCGCAGTCAACGAGCCAGTTCAGTCAACGAGCCACCCCACCAATATGGGACGATCAAAAAGATGAGGTTATTGAGCCACACACAATAGCTATTTTCGTGAGATTTTTCAAGGTATTGCTATAAAGAAGCTTCTAGATCATTTGCACTGCTTTAATCTTGCTGGCGTCTTGAGTTGGCAGCCGTTTCTGCCAAATTTGGGTGGGGGAGACGCCTCAGGCGGACCAGCGTTAACCCGACTTAATGCAGCCGCACCACGACAACGCTTTGCTGGATTTTCTGCTGCTTTGTGTGAGGCTTTTCGCTTACGCTTGTTTGCTGTATCGTGGCTTTTTTGAGTGGTTGCAGCTTGTTGTTGTTGCTTTTTAAGCGCCCGTTCTGCAGCGCGTTCCTCAGCGCGCTGTTTCTGCTCGCGATCACGCTTAATTCTGGCTTGTTGTTGAGCCACCTTCGCAGCTTCTTGAATCTGCTTTTTGTGAGCTGCTTCTGCTGCTCTTGCCTCTCTATCGCGAGTTTTTTTGAGTTGTAGCTCCGCGGCTTCGTCCAGTTCTGCGGCCTTGCGCGCGCGCGCGCTGGCAAGCTTCCTGGGACTGTAGAATACAGCACCGCCGTGCCAATCGTCGCCTTCTTGTGTAGTTATTGTTGTAGACTTGGTCGGGCGCTTCTTGATGAGGTTGATTTCAGCGCGTAGCTCCGCGTTTTAGAGTCGTAGAAGCTTGTTGTTGACCTGCAGCGAGTGCAGGCCTTGGGACAGCCGTTTGGCTTCAAATTTGGCCTTGTCAGCCACTGCAGCATCAAAAATTTTGCGCAATTGAGGCCAGGTATCGCCGTCGCCTTGCTCCCCAATTCCTGGCTCGTCATCTTGTTGTTGTGGGCCATTGTTGAAGCGTTGAAGTACTGGGTCTGCGTCCATCAGCCATACGCCTGTAGCTTGGAAACTCTTCAATATAAGATCGTGAGTCATTGTAGAGCTCCAAGCCGGCCAAAAGTTGCTATAGAAGTCGCGTTTGGTGATCCTCGAGAGGCCTTGGGTTCGCTGGAGGCGTTGGGTAAGCTCCTCAGTGTAGTTCTTTGAAAGCGGCGCAAAGAGCACAACATCTAACGGCTGCAAGCTGTGGGTTGAATGGGGAGGATACACTATAACCATGATGCGTTTGGCTTCACAATACTCCAAAAAATCTGGCGTGAGGTGGCTGGCGTGGCCGTCAAGTATCAGAAGGCGCCATTGCCAGCAAGCTTTGGCTGCAGTATAGCGTTCGAACACCTGTTGAAGCCAGGCAAGTCCCAAGGCATTATTTGACTATCCTGAAGCTGAGTAGGATACAAAAATTTGGTGTTGTTCAGCTAAAAGATTGTCAACCTAGCTTGATTGAACCCTAGAGGTGCCCTGGTAGATAAGAGCGGGTGGTAATGCATCTCCAGAAGCGCATACGCAAGCCAGCAGCGTTACCTATTCTCTGTTGCCATCTCTTATTACTAATGTACGCTCTTTTAACTTATAAACTGCCTTAGAGAAGATCCTTTTAGTGCGGTGGGCGATGCTGACGTAGAAGCCTTTCTTATCCATATTGTACGTGTTGCGCTCGTCAATGCCATGTTCTTGCATCTTAGAGTGCAGCAAGTTAAAGTACAACTCGTATTTATGCTTGTTGTCAGCCAGGTGACGCCTACGATCCATACCAGTGTTGTATTTGGTGATGAGCTTGTCAGGATGGCGGTGTTGAAACTGGGTAATCCAGCTTTCGGAGACCTCTTGCTGCGCAACTGCGCTGCCGAAATTTTTCAAAATACTTCGTGTAGGTGGTACACCATCCCGTGTACACCTTTCTATGTATCTAATCAACTCATCCTCTTGTTGTGGGTTAAGGTTTTGTTAGTCTTTGGCCGCCTGTGTGTCCTTAGAGCCCTGTGCACCCTTGTGCCTTCGCGACAGCGTTGTTCGATTAACTCCAAATGCTTTTGCAACTTGGCAGTACGAGAATTTATCTCTAGCCTCACGCGATTTAATATATTTAATTGCTTCTTGAATTGGGTCCATGGTTGTGGAGTTATGACGCGTTGAAGTTGGGTGGGTTCATGTGGCAGCGGGGTTTGGGGTGGCTCGTTGACTGAACTGGCTCGTTGACTGCGCACGGACTGTATATGGCGGCATATTTGTGAGGAAGCCGACGCCAATGATGAAGACCTCAGCCTTACAACACTTCAATATCCGGATACTCCGGCGGCTGTAAGACGAATCGAAGCGCATGATCAACACATGCAAGCTCTCTTTACCAATGGTTCCTGCGACCTCATCGTAACGACACAGAATATCATCCTGGAAATACAGTCCAACATGGGCGGCGATACCCTGGGCTGGAGATTGTAATCTTCGCTGAACTTGATGCTGCACATTTCGAAAGGTCTGCACAGTTTCATGACACAAAAGCCTCAAGGAGAAGGTATTATGACTATCTCAAGTCCACGTTAAAATCTGCAGACGTTCAACGCTGTTAACCCTGAACGAGGTCAGAGAACGAGGCATGAACAACTACTATCAGGCTTTCCGCGAAAGTTTTGCGCCCGAGTATGATCTCATTAACAACGACTACAGGCTAGAGTTCTACGAGAAAACCAAGGCCCTGATGGTTCACATGTACTTACAGCGCAGGACCATCGTCGTGCCTCAGGCGAGACTGGGCGAAGTGGTCATGAACAGCCAAAGAGACGAAAAGGAGACAGAGCCGCTTGGGATGACTTAGATTTGATGCAAGCATTTGAAGGGGAGATGCGGCACTGAGCTTGCATTGAAACGTTCCTATGAGGCTTTACTTGACTTACGCGGATCAAGATGCCGCGACGCCAACAACAATTACTAACAGTAATGACGAATCAACCATACTTCAATTCAACGTAGTCAGATCGGAGCTCAAGAACGCAATCTGATACAGTCATTACCCACGTTGTATTGATTGCTGGCGATTGGGGGAGGCCGCGACGAATTCTGCAACTAACTTTCTCTCCACTGCGCCACAATGTGCTTCTACAAGACCGTTGCCCAATTTCCCTCAAGCACACTTCGAAGACCAAGATAGATCCACCGGTCACGTAAGAAATGTGTGCAGTGCTCTTTTACGAGCCTCAGGCTGCCACAATTCACACACCATTCAGCAGTCAATCCCAATTTTCTGGAGGCTGACTGACAGGAAGCAAACACATACAAGAGGAGAACAATTCAACTTAGAATTTTTCTTTCCCTACTAGTTTACTCTCACAGGTGCAGATGATTCTCCGAATGTCCTAGACAAGGTCAAAGCCTTCACATTTAAATGCATTGCTACTAGCGCTATCCCTCAGCCTTCATAACGCGACTCTACATTCTCTGATGGCCATATACTGCAAGAATGTAGATGGCTCATCTCAAGCCCGTTTGAACCCTCTCGACGATATTATCGGCCTTACACGATCACTCTACCTCTTCCTCCGCTGCAGCGACTTTATCGTTGCTATTACGTTCGTTCCGTGCCAAGCGCCCCGAAATGAACAAGGAAATTATCTGCACTATCAAAATGACTTGATCAGTCTACTCAGGGAAGGACACCTCACGTTGAGTCTGATCTAAAGAGAGATGATCGAGAGCGCAGATGCACGATCCAAGGTCTAAAGGCGGAAGCAACGAGAAGAAAACGCCGCAACAGAAGACGCGGACGTGTACGATGGCTCGAACTAGCAATAAAGTGGAATTTTCAAAGACCTGTGGTACAAGGAAAACAGGTGCCGGTGCGTGATCGCAGGATGAAGAACAGAATCATCAACGAGGCTTTGGCTGCGCTGAGCAAGCTCGAAGACGACGGTGATCGGGTGCAGATCGTATGTGTTGACCGTCAATTGATGGGATCGTGTCTACCAACAGCATTTATCCGTAAACGCCGACCTTAATCTAGGACTCAATCTTCAGACAGCGTCCATCCAACCTGCGCACGTATGGTATCCTCTCACCGTCCCGTGACGCATCCCACATTCATATACTACCGTTACCCAAACGAGCGTCTGGATACCAGGTTTTGGGCCTGCTTATGCTGCGATTGTGAAGTAGCGCACGGAACACGCGATGCCTAGTTTTGGACTTGTGAACGTGCACGTTGGGGACGGCGGCGTGTATGTTTATGAAAAGACCGTGAAACACGAGCCGGGAGATCTGGTTTTTGGTAGAAAGCTATATGAAGACTGGGAATTTAGCAGTGTGTTCGAGAGATGGATGGTTGGGTACTGAGAGCCAGTATAATGGGCTGGAGAGCTACGACGCTGTTCGGTGAGAACTTAGGAACCGACGACGATTGACATGAGCGCATTGCACAGCTTAAAATTAGAGCTTAAGAAACCCTGTTGGCCACAAATATACCCTCTAAGCTCTATGAGAGCGAATAATAACTCTAAAGTAATGAAGTAAGGTGGCTGTAAAGGTGGAGAGGCGCGGGTCGCTCTTCCCTCCTTCAACGCAGGCGTGCGATAGTTGCGTTTGCGGCCGTACCACGAATGTTGTCGTACTTGCTCAAAGGGTAGTACAAGTTATTCTGGTTCAGTTGAAGGCCCTGAACACCGCCCAGCGCCTCACTGACAGTACTAACAAGACTCTTGTCATCCTTGCGATCAGAGCTCGAGTCCCACCACCAAGCGCCGCCGAGCCTCTCCTTCTTCAGATACTTCGCCTTGAGGGTCTGCACCTCGGGTGTGTCGAAGGTGACGAACTGACGAGTTTCATTGTCGTATGACCAGGATGCAATCGCCTTTTTGTCGGTGTAAACGGTACTGCCGTTCAGAGGAAGCACCTTGTAGTCGAGCACACCGGCCTCCCAGGTGCCGTCACCAGAGCCGTTGAACTTCTGGCCGAGGCCATTGGTGTTGGCAAATGAACGACCGTAGAGTGGCATACCGAGAATGAGCTTGCGGGATGAGGCAATCTGTGACGTGTAGTGGTCGACCGCCTGCACGGTGTTGAAGTCTGTCGCACGAGGGTTGGACCTTGAAGGGTAGACGTTGCTAAGATGGCCAGTGTAGTTCGAGAATCCGGGGCCCATGTAGTCGAATGCCATCAGATTCCATAGAGTGACGTAGGGGTCCATGCCAGCAATGTCGAGTTTGTTGTAGTTCTTAGGTCCTGCGGGCGCGGATACATCGACGTTGAAGTGGTATCCGTAAGCGTACTTCGCAGAGTACTCATCGTACAACTCACGACACAGCCTGAGGGTCTCAACGAGGTTCGCGGCATCGGTAGCATCTTCAGGATACTCCCAGTCCACTATAATTTGAATCAGCGATGCCGGGATCTGAGATGGGCGTTACCCACCATCTATACCATCGAGACCGAGGTCGATGATCAACTTGAGTGTCGATTCTGCGAAAAGGGAACGTCCAGCACTAGTTGCCAGCGCAGTCTTGAAGTTCGCCCTGTATGACCAGCCTCCAACAGATAGACTTGTCTTCAGGTTACGGTTTTGTTGCTTGAGTTTGTACAATTGGTTGAAGTTGCCGAGCAGCTGTGTGCCATTGCTGGCGACATCTCCAGGATAAGCGAATTGCACATCGGCCCACAGATCAGAGAGGAAGACCTCGCCGGTAGTGCTGTTCACGTTTGCGAAAGCATAAGTGACCTTGGTGAGCTTGTCCGCAGGTAGGTCCGTGATAAAATGCTGGCGTCCATAGATAGCCTTAATGGGTGAGCATGGGAATGTACTGATCATGGAAATACATCACTTACCCAGTTCACGTAGAAGATGCCCATTTGGTAGGCCTTCGTTGACCTAGCATCTTGGAGAGGCGCAGCACCGGCAAGGAATGGAAGCGCAAGCAGCGCAGCAGAGTTGAGGAAACGCATGTCAAAGAGAGGACGGCTGCGGTGAGCCAAAACAAGTTAGAAGAGAACGAGAGAGGTGAACGAGTGTGGGTAGTAAATAAAACTGACGCCCTTCAGTTGTAGGACACCGAACCCTTTAAATTCATCGTCGTAACCCAATTCACCCTTTGGGTATTCTAGGTTCAGGCCTCTGACCAAGTACCTAGACACTCGGCACTTTAGGCGGACGAACCCTTTGTGGCCTTGTTTCGGGCTATCATAGACATGGGCGAGCTAAATTTGGCCGTGGTGAAGCCTTGTAGAGCGAATGGGTGATCTGCAAGGCTTTTTAGCCTGTGCGAGATTGTACCATAAACCCTGCAGGCAATGCAGCTGTTCACCTAGCATTTTGATGGTGAAGTTCTGTCCCGCCTGTCCAAGCGGTCTAATTGTTTCGGAAGTGGTGGTATTCGGGCCTACGTCAGCGCGGCGTTTCGATAAAATTACGGTCTCAAACCGCTCAATGCGAATATTCGGCCCTGGTCCATGATGCGGAAGCGCGCGGACATCGTGGAATAATGGCGAACCTGGTAAGAAGGCGGCGCCATTTCACGTCTTCGAAGTTCGAACAAGGCTCAACTACACGCGCACGGACTGCGAGCTGGTTATCGACGTAGACGCCCCTTACGCCCCAATGTCTTTTGCTATGTTATTGCACATATATCAGGTACCAAAAACAGGAGTTTCTTTTATGCAAGCTACGATCTATGTAAGAGAGAGTCCGATTGATCTGACTACCAATTTCAGGGGGAATGACAGCCTCGTTCGGAGGGGTTAGTGTGAAGGCGAGTCCCAGAGCGAGGATGCGCAAGCAAACAGCTCCCTTTGAAGACCAGTCACCTACAAAACCTATTGAGTATTTGCGTCCAGGAGGACAAAAGCATAGGCCAGATCAGCGCAAAGCTCTCCAGCTGCATCTTGCTCAGGATGATTGGAGGCTGCCTGGAAGTGATCCGTGCCATTCGGAGCTGTGGCCGTAGTCTAGTGGGTATGTCTGCATATGGTTCGGTGTTTTGCACGCACGCTCTGCCAGAGAGCACAGTGACAACTTCGGGGCGACCCGAAGCGTCGGTCTGGCTTCCCTGCAGGTAGCAATGTTGCGGCAGATAGTATGCGTTTTCGTCACCTGTCATCTTCTCATCTCGGTGACTTCCAATCATCAATGCTTGAAGATCGGTGCACCAGTTGGCGATTGCATGTATAGATGCAGGATACGCAATTCGGAAAGTTGCAAAAGATATGCTAAATTGATCTCAGTACGAATGTGCGAGTGACGATGTCCACTATACTGACCATAATATTCTCAAAGTTTCGACAAAATACTTATCATAACTGTTCTCGCCTTTTAAAATTGTCTCATGTATCGCTAGGCTCAGAGCTCGTAAATTTGAATAAAAACCGTAATCCTTGGGGTCCGACCAATCGAGGCCATATACGTCCAATCCGAGTCGTTGTCGAAGAGGCTGAGAGACATCAGGGACGTGTCTTTGGCAAGCTTTCGCAGCTGAGGCACGGCTTCGAACTGCCAGTGACCTGACCGAGCCAAGTGTACGGACTGAAGCTATCCAGATCGCAACAATTGATGCGGTCCAATCTCGGCAGCGTCGTATTCGTGTTCTTCGAAATCTTCCGAAGAAGGACCAAGGATAGCGAGATGTTTGATGGAGAATTGCTGCAATTCCTTGGATTCATTTCATCAATCGCAGTGTAAAGATGCTGCACATTGACTCAGTGGAACAGTGTAGGCCTACACAGACTTTGGGGATTTGCGGCATCGATCAAGAGAGAAGTGGAGCCTAGGAGATCGAAATCGGGGAGACTGAGTTCTTTTAGTCTCGACAGTATTGCGTTGCACTGCCTGAGTGTGTAGATACCCCGGCAGGGAAGACCTCTGAGCGCCATGGTTTTTCCAAGAAACCCGACTGGGAGCCGTTCCAATGGACTGTCGTGATCGCGGTCCAGAAAATATGCCATCGCACGGGTGAGTGCAAGATCGTTGTTCGGCTCCAGATCGACCGCAGTGATTCGTCTGCTGTATTCTGGCAGGCCGCCACGATGTAATGTTATTCCGACGTCGTCAAGCAGGCCCTGAATGTGTCTGACTTTGTGTTGATTCTGCAAGATAGCCAAGAGCATAACCATGTGGAAGGATTCTTTCGACAATACCCTGTCACGGTTAGAGCCACATACATCTCCGCCGAAAGCGACGGCTTGTCAAAATGTGTGCTAACTGTGTCTTAAATGATCTGAGGTCACCTGCTGTGAAACAACGTACCTAGTTTAGCCACCCCAAAGTATGACTGTTACATACTCTGCCTTGACGAATGGCTTGTGGCCTTCAAAGGCCAACTCCCTTGTGTCTGAAATGCCCGACTGCGCCGCTGGCTACGCTGCGCTTGAAACTCTCAACATGCATGACGCTCCATAAACCAACTAGTACCGTTTTATACAGCTTCGGAGTGGCAGGAGTATGAAGCCGTTTGTTTGTCAAATCCAGCGTCTTGAGCCGTGAAACAAGTTTGATCTGTGTCGTGCGTTGGCAAAATTTTGGGCGCGACGCGCTCGCATTGACAGTCGAGCACCAACAGTCAAACATCGTGGTTAACCTCTGCAAACCCCCTTGAATCAAAGCTGGTACTCATTGCAAAGAATATAGATGACCACACTACCGATCAATGATGGCAACAATGGTGAATAGGACGAATGCGAGCGTCTGGTCGGAAACTTGGAATGCGGGGAAGAACCGACCAACTTTACGCGCTACCACCGGGCTAATTAGAAGGCTGGGAGCACCGTCATGCAAGGAGAAACACACTGTGTAATGTACTGCAATACTATAAAATAGTTCATAGAGTCTCTATTATACCAATGAAGCCTTAATAGTCGGGCAACTTGCACCTATACCTCACACAATCGCCTCGGGATTCTCGACCCTCCTCCTTGCCGTACCCACACCAGCAACTCCCTTTGATTGGTCTGCGCCCAACCACGGCTTCAGCGCCTCAGACAAGGTCGTCTGTCTGATGAAATACAACACCTGGCCCAATATGATCAGAACGAACGCGATTGGGTACATCCAGTGGATGCTCAGCCCTAAGACCTTCACACCAATCGCGACACCCCAGAAGCTACCCGTCAATAACGAAATGTTGAAGAAAGCAGCCGAAGACAGACGGAACAGCACTGGCGCCAACGAGTAGAACAACGTAAGGATGAAGGTGTATCCCGTAAGGTAGCCTCCAACCTTGCTGTTCCAGGTAGCGTTGCGGAAAGATGTGCGATCAAAGATACCAGCCTGAGTACCATTGATGAACATGCCCCAGAACGCCAGCTGGCCAACGACCTCGTACAGCGGTTTCTCACTGACGAGATATTCCTCAAAGACATTGCTAAGACCGTAAAACGTCGCACCCAGCAGCGCAAACAAATCCCCCTTAACCTCATCAGAAGCACCGAAGCTGTTGCTGCCCGTGATCTGATCAGAGCCAAAGATCACACCCAGACCACCGATGCACAGCAAGATACCAGCGATCTGGGTGTAGTGGTACCTGACCTTCAGGAAGAAGAACGAGATCACAACAACGATGACGATTGCCCAGAAGTTGATGAGCTGAGCGGAGAGAATGGTGGTGTAGCGGTAGGCGAGCACAACGAAGTAGTTTCCCTCGACGTCGAAGAAAGCCAGGATGAAGAAGCGCCAGCCGTCGAAGATGACCAGACGTCCCCACTTCTTGAAGCCGTACTTGTAAATGGTGTAGGTGGTGTAGATCAAGTTAAGGAGTACGTAGTTGAAGAAGGATTGGAAGGCGGGGATCGAGGTGCCCTCACTGGCAAGAAGGGAGGAGAGTGTGTTTGTGCTGGTGATGCAGATGGCAAGGACTGTGCTGGTGTCAGCATTGCTACGAGAACAAAATGCTCTTGCTTCTGCGAAATATACCTTGTCCGATGAGCAGAGTCAGCCAGAACTGCTTAGTTTTGAGGTACTGAAACCAGCGACCCTTGCTCTGAGTATCTCTCTCGAGGACTTCGTTGCCAGTTTTCACGGCGTGCAGAGGTGTGCCCGTGCGCTCGTTTTCAGAGCTGCCAGTGAACTCTTCGCCTTTGGGGCGAACTGTCTGGGTAACCAAATGTCCAGTGTGGATGTCTCCGCCCTTGCCGAAGAAGCCATCGGCGGAGTGAGGATGTGGCTGGGCCATTTCTACTCTTTCGTGATTGTTGCAGCAGATGGCGCGAGTCGCAATGCTGAGTGTGGGGAGTGGAGCTTTTCGGTTGCAGCGTGAGCGCAAACCCCCTGAAGTCGCTCACGGTCCTACGCTTCCTGAAGGTAGGTGAGAAGAAGGTGAAGACGTAACAAGCCATGCGCATCGCGGGGCTCGCCACTTTTATGTACCCGGCGCACCATCTGCAACTGGACTACAAGCAAAAAATGCTGGCTGGTTCACGCATGTTGATCCCCACATAAGCGCGGTTAGACCCCGAAGCTTGCCTACAGCCGGCAACGTGCGAGTGGTGGCGTCTTGCTGTGGATGCTGGCTAGGCTGGTCGAGTCCCGAGTTGCTTTTTGGCGTCTGGGTATGCGTGAGAGGGCTGCGCGGGATTTGCGTGATTAGGTGTGCTGACCTTGCTGAAGGTGAAGATAAGCGAGGAGGGGCGCTCAACAGCAATTCAATATTTGACCATGTGAGCAAAATGAAGAAAAGGGTTTTGAGCCCCAACGTCGAGCCACCGTCTTGGAGAACCACGGTCTCGACTTGCGAAATGTTTCTGGATATGCAGCTATGCGCGCAGGGAGGCCCAAGAGCCAGGTACGAGGGGCGAGCGACGGGCGGGGGCACACAGGCAAGCACAGGCACAGGTGTAGCAGTAGTGGAGCCGCGAAATGCTTTCGCAACACTTTTTTTACTGGTAGACTATGGTAGGGACTGTAACGCCTACAGCTAACCAATCATCTTAATATTGCAAAGCTACAGGAGTGAAGTTGCCCACGCGCCGTTCAAACAATGATAGGGAAAGAGATACAATGCTGTCATCGGAACGTGAAACGTTCAAATTACACGGAAAAGATCAGCGTCGAACCGTCAAGCCAACCAGGACACCTTTAAGCTGCAGGTTCAGCGCCCTACTCCGAGTCCTCCTCATCGCTATCTTCCTGACTGAGCCATTCGTAGAATTTCTCAGCAGACTTGCGGACCTGCTTGCTGATCTTGATGTCAACGTACTTCTTGGAGGCTTTCTGGCACCAGGGCTTGAAAACCTCCTCGCTGACAAGGTCGTTGTTATAGACCTGGATGCAGATGGCGGACACTTGGGGAATGAGCTCAGGCTTGTCGTTACCAACAAAACGCTCGATTCCACCGAGGAAAGCCTTCTCATGCTTCTCAGAGGTAATCAGCTTCTGGAGCATAGGAGCTCGAGCCTCGATCTGCTTAACAATCTTCTCGGTGAAGAGGGTCTGGGGAATGACAGTCAAGGTGCGGTGCTTGGTCTCGATGCCCAGCTCCTTGGCCTTGAGGTATATCTCGACGCTGTCAAGCTTGTCGACACCACCCTTCTCCTTAGCAGTGTCGATGATCCACTTGCCGAAGACGTCGTACTCGGAACCCTCAGCTTCATCTTCACCCTCGATAACAAGAGCGCGCTTGAGATCCTCAGGCAGGTCCTGAGCACGAGCCTTGATGGCAGCCTCAGAGGTGTCGATGTGCCACTCAACCTCCTTGGCCTCCTCGATGTCCTCAGCGCCCTCCTGAATCTGCTTGGTGAGCTCGTCGTCGCTGCCAGCCTCAATGTCCAGTTCGCCGTTGTCATCGTCCTCAGCACTATCTCCAGGACTGCCACCGTTCTGCGAAAACTCCTCGCCCCTGGCTTCGGCCTCCTTGCGAGCACGACGCTCAGCCTTCTTGGTAGACTTGTCCTTCTTGCCCTTCTTGGGCTCATTCTTCACGATGAAGGCAGAGAGCTTGAGGCGAGGGTCGACCTCGGAGATCTTGCCACAAGCTTTGCAGTCGAGGGTAATGTTGCCATCCTTGATGTTGACCTCGGTCTCGGGATTCTTGCACTTTTTGCAGAGAACGAACTTCGAGATAAAGCCATCGAGGTAGTCCTGAAGCTTCGCAGCGTCGTGGGCACCGTTGATGATCCAGCGGTCGTCGTTGGGGCTGGTGTTGGTCTGAGCACCAAGCTCGAAACCAAAGTACTTGATGACATGAGCTGGAGGACGAGCCAGAGAGTTGGCAACGCTGGTCAAGTTGACGATGACGGTCTTGATGCCGTTACCCTTGCCCTCAATCTTGGACTGGAGACGCTCCATCTTGTAGCGGTAGAAGGGGTCGGTGACATCGCGGCGAATGTTGACGGTAGCCATGGTTGCGATGGCGAGGTTGGCTGGGTTTGAGTGGTTACTGAAGGTAGGACGGGTGGGGTGGAGTCAGGTTTGGTATGCGTATGAAGGCTGTAAAAGACATGCAACAGCTGTCTCTGGTGTGTAGTTGTTTGGTTGTATGACGCGTGGTCAGGTAGGCACAATGTTAACCGTTGGTGGAGTGATGGAGACTGCGCGGTATCCGCATACAGCGAAAATTTTGCAGTTTGGGGGGAGTTTCGACTCGGAAGGCGTGGATTTGGCGCGAATACATATACCGCAGTTGACGTTGTCGACTCTGTGGTGAGAAGGGGTTGCTTCTGCGATGCCTACAGGCAAGTGTGGCGGTTCGGCGGAGTCGCGGGCGTGCGACTTATGGAAGAGGTTTGCGGATGCTTGTGCTGTTGCCAGTGACGGACACTGGGTAGGGCGGTTTGCCTGATGGATTGCGCTGGGCGAGAGTAGGAAGTGTGTGGGGGTTGGAGGAGTCGAAGGGCAAGGTTTTATTAGGGACGGTGTGGAGACGGAGCGCACGCCAGAACCGCGGGCCAATTGGAGCCCCAACTGTGGAACGCTCGAGGGAAGCAACGATGCACAACACGTGTATCACAAGCAGCCGTTCGTCAAGCTGCAACCGATGCCTGATCGCTACATAGCCTTTTCTGCTTGTGAAGCACCCCATCCGTGCTAAACAGTCGGTTTGAGACACAAACAGCCACTTTGCGTGTTCGCCGATCACAACGAAATTTTACAATCGGATCCGGACGCCTGCCTAGGACAATCGTGACTTAATTATCAGAATGTCCACACTCCACTGCCGATGATGCCAAATCTTACAGATTTCCGCTGCTTTGTGAGGCTCGTCCCGATTTTTCTGAACGCTGAAACCCTTGAGGCATCAACCGCAATTACGTCCGTGTGAAATATCAGATGTCGAACTAATCTTGCGTGTTGACTGCAGTCGAGCTGGTTCAAACTCGAAGCCCCCGGCCCCTCACCTAGAAATCAAAAATTAGAAATATTGACTGCCGGTGTGGGGTAGAATGTCCCGCTGCGAAAGTCAGCGTCACCTTTGGAACTTCATCTTCAATAACAAGCAAGATCAGACTGTCCAATAACAAACATGGCTAGCCAAACTGACTACTCGCTGTACCTGGTGACTGACTCGACAGATGCTATCCTGGGCTCGAGAGACCTCGTCGAAGTTGTTGAGCAGGCCCTGCAAGGAGGTCGGTTGCACTTTCCTTTTCCGCATGATCACGCCTCAATCTCGAGAGCATTTACTGACACTTGCCAGGTGTCACCATCGTCCAGTACAGAGACAAGACGAGCGATACCGGAGCCCTCATCTCAACGGCAAAGAAGCTGTACGAGAAATGCAAGCAGCACGACGTGCCACTTCTGATCAATGACCGAGTCGACGTTGCACTTGCCGTGGGCTGTGAAGGCGTCCATCTCGGTCAGGATGACATGAACGTTGTCGAAGCACGCCGTCTCCTTGGAGATGAGAAGATTATTGGCGCCACCGTCTCGTCTATTGAGGAAGCTAGGATAGCCATTGAGCGCGGTGCAGACTACCTAGGCATCGGAACCCTCTACGCCACCCAGACCAAGAAGAATACCAAAGAGATCATTGGCGTGAACGGAATCAGGAGGATCTTGAGTTACCTTGACGATCTCGGCGAGAAGAGTAAAGATGTCAAGACCGTATGCATCGGCGGCGTCAACGCATCCAATGTCCAGCGCGTCATCCACCAACTCTACGCTCCCCGCTCGCCTTCCTTGAAATCCAAGACCATCGATGGCGTAGCCATCGTATCTGCTATCGTCGGTGCCAAAGACCCCAAAGAAGCCTCCTCCAACCTGCAGCGGCTCATCAAATCCACACCGCCATTCTCCCAGTCCAGCGACCCCGTTTTCTGGCTCGAAAAGAATGAAGACGAGATTTTCGCCCTGATCAAGACAGCAGACAAAGCCACTGCAGCGGTCCACTCCAAATCGCCCCTCAGCCACAACATGACGAATCTAGTTGTGCAGAACTTCGCCGCCAACGTCGCTCTTGCCGTCGGCGCATCGCCCATCATGGCCAACTACGGCGAAGAAGCTGCAGACCTCTCGCGCCTTGGCGGTGCGCTGGTCGTCAACATGGGTACCGTAACACCTGAAGGGCTGCTAAACTACAAGAAAGCCATCACTGCGTACAACGCCGCCGGCGGTCCGATCGTTCTTGACCCGGTTGGTGCGGGCGCGACGAGCGTAAGACATGATGCGCTAAGTCAATTGCTCGGGGCTGGGTACTTTGATCTGATCAAGGGGAACGAGAGGGAGATCATGGCTGTAGCGCGCGCGAGTGGATTCACGCTTGATGATAGCAGTCAGCAGCGGGGTGTTGACAGCGGGGACTCGCTGTTTAGTCTTGAACAGAGAGCGTATTTTGTCTCGAGGATTGCGTTGAGGGAGCGTAATGTGGTACTTATGACAGGCGCGACGGATGTTGTCAGTGATGGTGTACGGACGTATGCCATCAGCAATGGACATGCATACTTAGGTAAGATCACGGGTAGTGGGTGCACGCTAGGGACTACGCTGAGCGCGTACCTTGCTGCGTGGCCGCAAGACAAGTTGCACGCGGCTGTTGCGGCTGTCTCGCATTATGAGATTGCGGCCGAGTACGCGGCGAAGAGGGAGGATGTTAAGGGGCCTGGCACTTTCGTATCGGCATTTATCGATGAACTATTCATTAGGGGTGGTCTCGTTAGTGAAGGTAAGGAGAGCTGGGGTAAAGATGCAAAGGTAGAGTGCCTGAAGGACATTCCTGATGCTGGATTGTTGAAGGACATCTAGAGCAGACATAGCGATAGGAGAGGATGTAACTGTTACGTCGACGAATATCCTCCTCTTTCCACGTTCGTCCTTTATGCGTCAATCTGGATCTTCATACCAAAATCGTTTAGTGTCTCCGCGTACTGCTCACCCAGAGTCGCAGGTGTAAGAATACCACCTCCCAATCGTCCCGCCTCAGTCTCCTCAAGCCTACCCCTCAGGATGACATTCGCAGCTGCGGACAGAGTAATAGCGGTAGCCACGTAACCACCGTGAGCAATGTCGATCTTCGCTGTAACCTTCTGTCCACTCTCCGCAACGCCCACGCCGCGGTAAGACATGAAGTCGTTCTTCATGCTTTCCCTACTGGGGCCCTCGCCAGGTGCAGGAATCAAGAACTTCTTGAACAGAAGTGCGAGGACCAAGCGAGTGGGTGGTAGTGCCAAGAAGAGCCCAACGAGGCCCAGAGCAACCTTGACAACAATACCTTGAACCAAGGACTTGGCGCGCATGTACTCGTTAAAGCGGAAATGGGGTCCGTATCCGTAAATTCCAGCAGAGCGGTGCACAATGCAGGTATCAACGCTTGCCATCAGACCTGTGGTTTGCATACCACCGAGCTCTGCGATGTTGGGCAGGAAACCGCTCGGGCTGTCAGCAGGCTTGTCAAGCTGCTTGTCGAACTTCTTCGGGCTGAGAGAGTAGGGGTGCATAGACTTGGACAGGTGTCCAAGGGAGTAGTTTCCAAACAACTCCAACATGGTCAGCGCTGTGCCGCCAGAGACACCAGTCTTGGCGTCGTACAGGGTCATAAGGACGTGCTCACAGTCGGTTTGGAACTTATTCTTGACTGCGCGAGCGAGGACATAGGCCATGATATCGGCTGGCACTGAGTCAAGACCGGCCTCTGGGATGATAATGCTCCTGTTGGACTTGGCGAGGGCATCGTATTTCTTGATCATGTCGTAGACCCAGGGAATTTCACCAGTAGAGTCCAGGTAATGAGTGCCGTTGGCGGCGCAGGCAGCGAGGACGGGCTCTCCGTAGTGCATAAAGGGGCCGACTGTGGTTATGAGGAGCTTGGTCTTCTTAACGAGGGTGTTGAGTTGATCTGGCTGCAATTCGCAGGTTTCAATGTCCGGCAGTTTGCGGTTGGCATTGAGCTTCTGCAATTCGTCGATTACACCCTGCAGCTTCTTCGCGTTTCGTCCAGCAATTGCCCATTTGAGATCTTCAGGCAGGTGTGTACTGATCCATTCTGCGACCAACTTTCCGGTATAGCCAGTGGCGCCGAGCAAAATGAGCTCATATTCGCGTTTGTTCTGTATTTGAGCCATGTCGTCTTCAATTGTTCTGGAGTCGAACGAGTATTGCGCAGCCAGGTGTGGTTTAACGAAAAGGTGAGACATCGGACATGCAAAATCGCTCCCTTTCTCGCAATCTTCAGAACGTCGGACGAAGCTCTGCATGTGGGAAGGCTAGTGAGGTCATTACTACCGAGGCAGCAGAAAGGCCGAGCACTTGATGCGTACTCTGCAGGCTTTCGTGACGCCACATGATGCACGCATTATCGCATATTGACATACAGTAAATGCAGAGAACGGCAACGAGATTCTGCGCTTGCAAGACGAGTACAGACAGAGTATCTAAGATGTGCTTGTGCACCTGGCACAGTAGGACGAGCTTCCCGTGCTAAGGCATGAGCGGCCTAGCTTGCCAAGGCTGTCGTTAGAAAGAGCGCACAAACGACAACAGAAACGCTGTCTCACCCTCCACAAACATGAAAATGTGATCAGCACGATGCGGTCCAGTCGCTCGAACCGATTCGTACGGAGAGTCATACGATATCAATTCCTCGTCCTGACAGGCGGACAGTCGTTCGAATTTCGAAAGCTCGGAAGAAGTTTGGACTGATCGAAATGCCCAGGTCGCGCTTACCAGCGTCACTGATGGACCGAGGATTTGCAGAACGAAGAGCGCGGCTGTCTCAGCGCTCAACGCTTTTATTTATGGGCGCAGTGCTTACCTGCACCCTCGAGATCGAATCGTATGCACCGAACAGCTGCCGTCCGGCGCTTACACAGCTGCGAGCCAACTAGATGTAGCAATACAAGAACCAAAATTCTTGCACATATACCTTCAAGGGCCTCCAGACCCGCGAGTTGCGCGACGAGCGCGTGTCGAGCCTACCAATGGTTCTACCATCGGCCTTGCTTCGAACCGCATCGACCGCCTCCAGCGTCTACCCACTTCGCTTGATCCGAGCACGCGTGAAGTCACGTCGAACATAACTAGAAGGGCTGCACAAGGTGCGCGTTTAGCTTCTGAGACGACGTTGGCGAGCCCCGCCCGTTGCAAAGAGATGAGGGCAAACACCGGCTTGCTGGGGCCACGCAGTCCTGCGTCGCATCTGGCACTGTCAAAAGCTCCGACTCGCTGCCTGAGCACTGAAGTCGGTCCGCGAGCACACCTCGAGATTGGCGCTTCGTAAGAGTAGAATGGCCTAGCGAAGTACTAGCCGAGCGCAACATCAGACAGTGGATACACCAATACGGTTCCAGCGTTGTCAGGGAGCTGCAAAATCGCGGAAGTAACGAGCCTGAAACAAGTCTGCATTTCAAGCATTCACCCGGTGATTTTGACAAGTCATATGGCTATCCGTATCCAGCGCTGTGACACGTGGGTAGGTAGGCCTCCAGTGTACGGCGGCTGATGCGCTGCGCAAGGCTGCATCACCGAAGGCACTGTTCCAGGCTAGGAGATGCCCACAGCGGCGAAGGTAATGGCACCTAGTTTTTTCTGACCGCCTCCAGACGTATGCATCACGGGTTTTGCAGGCTTGCGCTACTGCCTAGGTATGGTGTGGCTGACGCAGGGTGGGAAGGTCGACGAGGATCCATGTCCCGAGCTAGCGCGCTAACCGAGACCTACTTTAAGCTCGCCCCTCCCGCCTGTCGACCTTCCCCATCTCCAACTTATGAATCGCGTCGAACAACCCTGCCTCCCCTGCTGCCCTTCAAATTCTACCAGCAATGGCCGAGACTTGCATAGTCTGCCTCGGCGATCTCGTCCACCCAGACGAAGGTCCTCCCACCACTGAGCTGCCATCCGCAACTGACGAGCTTCCGGATGGGGTTGATGCCAATTCTGGTAACCCTGATACGTTCACCACAACAGCTTCAGAACGACCAAAAGATGATGAGATGGTTGCACACCTTCTGCCATGCGGTCACAACTTACACAACGAATGTCTCAAACCTTGGGTTGAGAGAGCTAATAGCTGTCCGATATGCCGAGCCAGCTTCAACATGGTCGAGCTCAGTGCGCGTGTAGGAGGTATGTCAATCCGCGATCTACGAAACGGCGAGCTGCGAAACCTGGTGGTTGCCTAGCAGCCACCTAGCTACTGGCTAAATGGTCAGTCGAACTCGACCCAACCGCTTTGCGACCAACTGCTGCTGCACCACCACGGCAGAGCAGCTACCAAAGAGGCCATGCTGACTGCCTAATAGGTCCTAAACTATCTGAATATGCTGTCAGGGACAAGCAGCAAGTCGCCGATATCGACCCTTCCATGATCGTCGACGAGGACTACGCACTTGAAGATGACGGTAGCTATGACGCATGCATGGTATGTGATGAGTTCGGCGATGCGTCGCACCTCATGTTCTGCCACAGCTGCGAGCAACTTTGCCACGTTTTCTGTGCTGGTCTTGACGAGATGCCAACACGGGGCGCCTGGTATTGTCAAGGCTGCATGGAGAACCCGGCGCTTCTACAGGCGGCGACTCGCCGTCGTACCAATCCCCGAGGTCCAGCAGCATGGATCAACGGGCGGAGCCGCGTGCCTCGACACAACCGCGCTCCTGATGAATGGGTTGGAGTGTGGCAGAGCGTCTGGAACCGACTCCAATGGGACATTGACTTCCCATTCGAAGATGAAGAGCAGTCAGAGAACCAGTCTGAGGTCCTCAGACGGGAGGCACACGAATGGGAGCGACGCTTCGAGCTTGCTCGCCAAATGGGTGCAGGAACTCGATTTCGTGCTGCCGCCGACAACATTCACTCGCGTCGTCGAGGCTCGAATCGATCCGCACGACCAACGAACCGCGCACTTCATCGCGAACCACCTAAGACACCGCGCGATCCTGAATCCCAGGAGGAAATAAGTGCATGGAACCAGTTCGAGAAAGCGCGGAACCAACTCACGCGGCAGATGGACGATGTGCCACCGCCGCCGGAAAGCACTGCAAGCAGCCGGCGAGGACGCAAGCGAAAGTCCACCGCTTCATCACCGGTTCACGAGGAGCACAACGAGCAGCAACCTGAGCGCAAGCTGAAGCGCCCCCGAACTCGTTTGCACATCGACAATGGAAGAGGAGAATCGTCTGCCGCGGCAGCCCGTCGCAACACAGTCACCCACGAAGGCGGCCACGAGCCAGCCACATCACCACCAGCGGGCGAGCCATCAACGGCTCCCGGCTTTCTTGCTTCGCTGCTGCAGGAGGTCGAGGTCGATCGGTTCGCGGAGCGCGACAAGGAGATCGCCGCCCCACAGCCCAAGCGCATCATTGTGGAGCGGGCTTGCTCGCCCCAGCACTCGTCTCCCGGCCTTTCCCCGGTTTACCAGCAACCTCATGCTGGCATGACCACACCACCGCCTCTAAACCTCACACGCCCCCAGTCGCCTGTGGAACAAGACCAAGGTTCACCAACATATTCTCCGTACTCGCCGGCCGATGACGAGCGCGTCGGTCGTCGCCGGCTGACGCATCACACTGCTGGTCTCAGCAGCCCACCCCGATCTAAGGACTCATCACCCTCTCGACCACCGACGCTATCCTACTCGACGAAAGCTGAACTTCAGCGTATGGTCACTGCTGTGCTGAAGCCACTGTATCTGAAGAAGGATGTGACAAAGGAGGAATACACCGACATCAACCGTGACGTCTCTCGTCTGCTTTACGAGAAGGTTGGTGATGCTGGTGCTGCCGCCTTAGCCGACCAGGAGACACGAGAGAAGTGGCAGCGCATGGCCGGTGATGAGGTCGATAACGCCATCAAAGGCTTGCGGACTGCTGTCGCATTATCACCGGCGGCTGAGGACTCTGCCTCGTCTTCATCGTGATGACACACTGTACTTTCCTTGCTCTTTTAGCTTTGGGTAATGGCGTAAAGGTGACATTGAGATACCATGGGATAAGGCGTTATTATACCGTAGATAATGTTTTACCAGGACTGAAGATGAAGTAAGGTGTCAAACAGCTCGAGAGCTCACGAGCTCATTCATAACCTTATCCCCTCGATACCTACCGGTGCCGCGAGAGTATGACTTCCACCCTGGCTGCAAGGCGTTGCCAAGGCCCCAGGCGGCACAACAGAGCCTGCTCACAGCGACCTTGAATGACAGGAAAGCGGGGATTCTGCTTTCTGATCTCCCGCCGCTTTTCGTAGACATTATCAGATGTGCACTTTTACTCAACATCTGGTTTATCTAGATTGACCGAGTATGTATCATACAGGATGACAGAGCAGATTAGAGTGCGCAGGCCCCAAAGATGGGCCAATACTGTGGCACTGTCACCCTTTGCACTAATGCAGCAGCGGCCAGCTCCGAGATGGATAAGCCCTTGATCGACTGGGACCTGCACTGGTCTCACTACGATTGCAGAGGCGCCACATAGCTGGTTAGTTGAAGGACAAATGGTATTACTCAAGCTCTGGTTCTGTGTACGGTCTTGCACTTGAGATCTTAAACCCGTTGGAGCAGTCTACGGCAACTTGTCCAAGAAAGCAGTCTGCTTGTCGCATGCACCATGTTCTTCACACCAGCAGCGCTGAAATTCGAATGCCGTCATGGCCCTAACTGGGAAGGGTGTCCTCATAGTGCGGGAACTGGGGAATTTTGTCTTGATCGATGGAGAACAGTCAGAATCAGTCGAAAGGCAAACTATTCATTGCTCATGCCCAGTCATGTCCCACCCCTTCCGAACATGACATCTAATCAATATCCTCCGGCTCAGCCTCCGCGTTTTGAGGCATGTTGGGTATCTGATTTTCCCTCTTCAAGTTATCATAGAGCGCTATCGCAGCCAGTGCCTTCGCATCTCGTCCTGCTTCTCTCCAAGCTCTGCTCAACGGCACGAGTTTCAGCGTGATGTTTTCGCCCTCGTCACGCAAACCCGTAGCCTTGCCCTTGAGCCAGTCCATGTGGCGTCTCGTGAGTCGCTTCTGGCACAGGAAGATGGGTATAAACTCGTCGCAAGCACCAACGCTCGGGTACATGGCGTTCTCAACTGTCTCGGGCGCGCGCATTGACGAGCTGTTGACGTTTGTCCAGGGGGTGACAGGCACGTCCTCCACTGCAAGCTGTGAGAGGTTGATGAGATCGCCTTCTCTGACTTTGAGCTTCGCTTCTTCCTCAATTTCGGTGGCTGCTGTGCCCTTCAATGAACCACCGTCTAGCATACCGGCGAGAATCTCGATGAATGCTAGTGAACATGCTGCTACGCGAGGCTGTACGGTCAAGATGACATGCTTCTCATCCTCGCCCTGCGCACCTTCTGGTTGCACGATGATCTGCCACATCTCGATTAGCTCAGTTGAAGCTCTTGAGTAAGGTACCTACCAGGACAGCAACACTGCCACCTCGCAGGAACACAGCTCCAGGGATCCAGTCAGCTGTTGCCCTCTCTTCGCCGTCGTGTACATAAGCATCTGTCTCAATTCTCGCCTGGATCTTCATGAAGCCAAGTTTATCTTCCTGGTCCGGGCGACCTTGCCAAAACCAATCCACAGCCTGAACATCTAGCATTCGCAGCTTGTAAGGGTGCTTGTGGAAGGGGTGAGCCTCATTCTGCTGGAGTTCAAAGTTCTGAAGCAGCTTCGCAAGCCAGTTGTCTAGAGCTGGGAAGGTGAATGCTGCCGCTGGATTCGATTCTGACGTTAGGAGCTTGTCAAATTTCTCTGCTGTGAACCCGTCAGGTAGAGAGACATTAATTGGGTCAAAAATGTGATTCTTGCATCGTTTGATGGTCGTCATCTTGCTCATTAGGTTTGTACTGTTACAAATGATGCAAGTGGAAAGTTGTGAGCTCAGGTAGAAGAGCGGGGTAACGAAAGAGACAACGCACGAGGCAGTCGCAGGTGGTGGAGGACAAAGTGGTCTTTGTGTTGACTTCACAAGGCGCAACCTGGAGCAGCTTAGTAATATGTCTAAGCAAGCGTACGGGGCGCCTTTTACGCCTCGTCGCAAGGCTCAGCAGGCTGCGACGCAAGGCTGTGGTGAAGGCTACAAGATGAGCGCTCATTGGTGTAGAGTGAAAGAGCCCTAATTAATTAGCGCGTCAAGTCCTCCAGAGTCGCGTCCAGCCCCACCTTCCCGCATCATCAAATCGTCCCTTAAGTCCGCCGCCACCGCAAATGCCGATCGTTAGCAACACTCCATCTCTCTGCTTTCGACAGCGTCGCGAATATGGGCACGCTTACCGCTGGTTGCCCGCGCCTGGACACACATTGTGATCACAAGCTTGCGACATCGTGTCGATTGACATCCACACCAAACTGCTGTGCTTGTGCCGATGTGCGGGCTCACAGCTTGTCCTACAGAGTGTATATCGACGGTATTGGGTTTGTCCAGCGAGGAACGAGGTGGCAAGGCTACTGCTGGTTCTGCAAAGGTAGCCCTTCCGTGGAACCGCATATAAAGTTATCATCTAACAGCGCAAAGAGTTCTGGACCAACCGTCTCGCTGCTACCGAGCCTCCGCTCGAGATATCGCAAACACGCATACCTGCGATCCCAGATCAGGGGGAATTCCTCGACCGCTGGTTTGAATTTCATCAGGGGTACCGGCTCGCAACGCGTCCCGATGGTACCGAACAACGCATTGCAGTGATTGGAGAACCTCTGCATGAAGTCAGCCCTGGCTTCCTGCCACGAACATTAGATCAGCTGCGAGCGGGCATCGAGAATGATGCCAGGAGACCAGAGAATAGGCTGAGACGGCGACGTTTGACGTCCGAGGACGAGAGGCCTGCTGAGCCGCAGCAGAGCCTGGAAGATGCTCTTGACAGCCTGCTTGAAGAAGAATCGGACAATGGAACACCTGAGGATACAAGCCTACCAACGCTCGAAATGCCCACGTCGAACGACCCTGGGGCGCCGCAGCAGCAACCGACCAATCCCACAGGATCCTTGAGCCAAGCTGCGTCGCGGCGGCAGCGAGCTCAGGAGAGGTTCACTCGTGTATTTGGGACCATCGAGGACGTCCAACACGATGACTACGAGTCCCCACTCTCCAACATGTACAACCGAGCTTGGAACCGCTACCGTCAAGCTGAGGACTTACGGGCCGCTGATAGCACCGAAGCGCCTCCTCTTGAAGGCCTGTCGGCGCAGGAACGTCGAGAGATCGAAGATCAGTTACTATGGGGTGTGATGCGGGAGTCGCAACTTGGCCAGGAACCAGAGAGCAATGTGTGGAGTTATGCCCCAGTCAGGTCTGTGTTAAACCAAGGTGATGATGCGAGGTCCGGCGATGTAACCATCACTCCACCTTGGGCGAACTTTCCAGCCACGAGCGCACCTCCAAGCGAGCCTATTGCGACGACATCGTCTTCCACCAGCGGTATGTCCGAGGTCCGCCTCTCCCTCGAGCAGATTACGAGCGAGTTGCAGCGTTTGCGCCTGGCATCAGAAGCCGTCTCCTCTGCTCGGCATGCTTTGCACGCTCATCGTGCGCCTGAACGACCTTTCCCGACCCTAGATAACCAGCCCGATCGACCGCCACCAAAGACGGATGTGGAAATGACGAGAACGTTGGCGTGCCAGGTCTGCTATCAACAATTAGCCGACATTGCTCTGTTGCCCTGCGGTCACATGGTCATGTGTCAGTGGTGTGCAGCTGTGGTTGTACCTGTCAAGCACTCGCATATTCCTATCAGACCATCGAAGTGCCCCATGTGTCGAAAGCAGGTCAAGCAGAGGTTCAAGATTCATACGGGTTGATCGACATTTTCTTGCGATACCAAGAGCATCTGTCACATTGATACGAGTAGTAAGACGCAGGCGGTTACTTCCGACGTCTACAACTCGCTACGATCGACTTCGCAAATCTAGAACCAGAAGCATGAGCTGATTTCATCAACCATTCGTCTGACCATCTGAGACTCACCCACAATCTCCAATTCTATCGTTGCTTGTTCTCACTGTACCTGAACGTCGGCTTTCGTAATAATATCTGATGGTAAGCTCTTGCTCTGCTCTCGAGTCAGCATATCCCCGCTTTGGAGCACCTTTATCAAATCCGCTGAGTCGATATCTGCGACACGAAAGCTGAATGGAAATGAAACGGCTAGAGGAATACAATGGTTCTTCGCAGCTCACAAACCCATCAAGGTACTACTCTGGTCTGTATCGTGCCAAGTGCGTATTGAGTGGGACAGTACTGTATTGCAGATACATATACGAAGGCATGCTCGATGAGCGCATACTCCGCTGTATCTAAGACATTACTAATCTCATTTCGGAGAGTTGGTGATCGCGCAAATTTATCACCGTCCAGTCCACCATTGGTTCAAGAATGCTGCTCCTTTGTCCATTCTCTTTCGTTCGAACGTTCTCTTATTCGTCAATTTAGCCACTTTTAATTAGACACATCTGCGACATTCGCCACCGCAAACACACTACGTTACACAGCTCTACGAAGCAGCCTCTGGCCGAGAAAGGCCGGCAATTGCCCGATTCATTGGCATGGAAGGAAGCTCAGAGACATCACTCCAAACAACAGAGACAGACTCAACTGCGGAACGGGCGGGATTGCTTTCGTCCAAAACACAATGAGAGCGATTAAAGATGACGAGCATAGCGAGCATTATATACAAGCCACGTCGCGAAGACGAAGCTCACCGATCACGAGCTCCAGAGTACATTAGCAAGCTGTACTTAACAAGACACAGCAGTGAATCATAGCCTTCCAGAAGTTCAACATGAGCCAGCTCGGACAGGTCCGTATTGGGCACAAGGCACCGGACTTCCACTGTGAAGCAGTTATTGGAGGTGCAATCAAAGGTGAGCGAATGTCACAGAACTTGCTGTGTGATTGTTGCTGATGTATGGGCAGAAGTGTCTTTGAACACATTCATCCGCCCGTCAAAATTGCCGAGCACACCCGATCCGAACGCCCCTTGGTTGCTGCTACTCTTTATACCTGCTGCCTTCTCTTTTGTTTGCCCCACTGAGGTCATTGCGTTCCAGAATTGCTATGACGAGTTCCGTGACCGGAACTGTAGCATTGCTTTCATCTCAGTTGATACGAAGCATTCACTGTGGCATTGGCAAAATGTTCCACGCCAGTACGGTGGTCTAGGCAACATCGACATACCTTTGCTGAGCGACGCAACCCACAAGATTGGTAGAGACTATGGTGTGCTGGTGGAGGAAGAGGGCGTCTGCTTGCGAGGCATGTTCATCATCGATGGTGAGGGGCGTGTACAACAGGTTCGTCCAGGCTCCAGCACTATACTTCGCTATTGCTTTCATTACTAACTCACCACCCAGATCACGTTGAACAACCTGACAGTCGGCCGCAGTGTATTGGAAGCTTTGCGTCTGCTCGAGGCTTTCCAGGCCGTTGCCAAACACGGTGTTCTCTGCCCTATCGACTGGAAGCCGAGCGCGCACGCCTCGGATACAATGAGCACCATATCGAACACGCTCGTCGAATCTTACGAGGATCGACTGGCCAATCTGCAAAAAGGTATTGTCGCCTCCGCTACCACTCACGAACTTGTGAAACAAAGCTGACAAAGATGTAGAGTTTGGTGATGTACCAGTCACCAATCTAGACGCTAAGCATAGAGCGCCTACCGGTACGGACGACATACCACACGCGGAATTCGTGCAGACTCCGAGACCGAAGGTTAACATAACTCCCACTGAGTCTTCGAACGACGTCACTCTAACAAGCTCTGATGCTCGGGACCCGCCAGCAAGCCCTGGTCACACCAATTGCGTCTCACGAGTAGACAGAGAAACTTTTCAGGAGCAACCTGTGCGTTCGATCTCAGACGAGAGGAAGCTCTCACGTCCTCCGAGCCCGGTCATCACGGTTGCTACTCCCGTATCAACGCCGAACACCCAGGAGCGGACTGCCCGTCACAATAGAGGTACGCCCTTTCACCGAGACATTTTCAATATCTTCTCCCAAACTGGCCCCTCGCTTTTTCGTGACTGTCCAACTTCCGAGCTTCCGACCCGTCCTCTCCGTGAGAGTAGACTGACAGGGCACCAGGCCGCTACGCCGCGCACCAAAACCAGACAGCGCACTCTGCAAGCTCAAAGCGACCAGCACACTCGGGTCCGCACCCGCTCACGTACGAGTCCAAGGGGGGTTCGCATGTCACGTTGGAGTTCGCGGATCCGACTGCTATCGCCATGGTCAACCCGAGCGTGGAGAAAAAAGCAATACGCCCGCCGGCGATGAGGCATAGAGCGACCAGCCCGCCGCCTCGCGTGTCCACCACAAACGGAAGGACTGCACCGGTCCTCGGTCGGGCGATGAGCTGGAGCGGTGGCTTCCTGAAGCGCGAAAACAGCAGCGCCGGTACGCCTCCGCTTACTCCCACGCAACGCAGCGGCAGCCCGGGCCCGGGCCAGACGAGACTGCAGGCTACGTTTCAGGCATTCAGGAACATGGGTGCTGGTCTGGGTAGTCCGAGGGTCGATGCCAGTCCCAGCAAGCAGGGAGAGAGGAATCGGGGGTACTTTGATGTTACGACCGAGGAGCCGGAGAATCAGGGCGAACAGAGTTGATGGGGGCTGGGAGATTGTGATGTGGAAGAATGGGATGTACGTTCGCTAGATTTCGGTTTTTCAGTGGTTTGTACGTGTCGCATAATCATCGTACGTTCACGAAGAGAGGAAACACTTCAGCGTTAGCCAGTGTCATGCTGTCCATCCGAGACGCTATCTAATGTTGCCTTGTCTGATCGTTGCTGTTCGTCCTTCCTGCGTTTTCCACACCACCCCTTCGTTCATACCCGTGTTACAGCCCGCCGTATATCGAAAAACTCGACAGAATCAACACCATAGCATTGATACACCCCCACACGAACGGAATCCAAGTGCTCATCTCAAAGTACCCACTCTGATACACACCGCCCAGCAGTCCACCCACAATGGCCCCAGCAATCAGGCCCTCAAGCGCGCCCACGGCCGCAAATAGCGGCGGCACAACCCAGATGATCTTCCAGTTGCGCCATTGTATTATGCACGCCCAAAGGGCAACAACCAGGTGTATGCCGCCGACGAGCAGGAGCGTCCAGTAGATGGTGAAACGCAGAATGTCGCTGGGTCTGTAGAGGTAGAAGGACTGCGCTGCGCCCGGGGGCAGGGGCCAGTAGAGCGAGGGAAAGACGGGGGTGGTGTAGCCCAACGGGGCGGCGCTGTCGAGGCGCTGGATAAAGCTGTGGAGGAGTCAGTTGGCGGTGGAGGAAAGGACGAGGGGGGGGGCGTACCTCATCGGTGCGACATGGCGAGGTTGCGCTCGAGAGCGTTATCGTGCTGTACGTGACCTCGGACTCTTTGCGTATTGTTTATTCAAGGGTGACGTCGGCGCAGTGAATGTCGAAAGACGCGGCTCCGGGGGCGGGAGTGACCCACATCTCGCCCTGCGTGGCCTACCGGTACCGGTACCTCGGCTCGCTCGCAGCTATCGCATTAACCGCAACACCCACGCGCTCACACGCCCATCTCATGAGACACCGCAGGCACGATGCCGGCCGACCGCCTCCTCTCCACGCTGCTGCGCGCGCTCCAAGTCTACACTGACCAAGAAGACACGCCTCGGTTCGCCTATTCACCACCACCTCGACAGCCTCTCCAGCTAACAATCGCCAGCATCCTCGGCACGGCGTCCTCGCTCCTCACCACCCTCGGAAACCCCCACAACCTGTCCCTCCTCACATCGCACCTCCTGACCGCGCCCGCGCTCTGGGACCGCCCCGATGGCGTCCGCACGAGTCTGCGCCTGCTCTCCGTCTTCCACACAGCCGTCACGACCGTGATCACGCACCACAACGATGCGCGATTTGGCAAAGCGGCGGAACTGCTTCCGGGACAGACACCTGTTGGCGGGGGGTTGAGTCTGGATGACTGGATCAAAGCGGTTGTTGCCGGCGCCGACGATAGGAGTAGGCGCTGGAAGCATCTTATCGTGCTTGGGGGGTTGCTGATTGGGATTGGGAATCTGGAAGAGCAGGGAATGGATCTGTATTGGGCAGGGGGTGTGAGGAGGAGGATCGAGGGCGCTTTGGTCAATGCGACGAATCTTGCGCTTGTCGAGGTCAGGGAGAGGAGCGAGGCGGATGGGCTGGGTGGCCAGACGATCACGCTCATCTTGAACCACGCATTTGGGTGTATCGATGATGTCGAAAGGGCGCTGCTGGACTATGATCTGTTGCTGCCGGTGTTGATTGGCACGGCGTTCTACTCGAGTGAAGGGTTCCAGAGCGCGTACTTCCTCGGCGGCCTGGATCTGGACGTCAGGGTCGCGCAGAATGGGAAGCTCGATTGGAGTGCGTCGTCCAGCTCGTACCGGCAGGTCGAGGCCATTCTTGCCAGACCTCTGGTAGCGTCCATGGGCCCGCTGTCGCGACTCATTGCTCATGCAGTGGAGAATGTGAAGAGCCCTTGGATCATTCAGACCATGATGGACGACCTGGCGAGCTTCTCGCGCGCTCTCACGACACAGTGGCGGCAAATTAAGCTCTCGGATATCGACTCCAGTGACGAAGCTGCACATCTCGAAGAGGAGGCCCTCCACAAAACGACGCCGCAGCTCTGGAAGCTCCTAAAGGCCGCTCTCTTCGCCACCACAATCATCTTGCGAGGCGTCTTCACCCGCGCATTGCGCGACCCAGTCCTCGCGTCTGATGCTAAAGCTCCAGCTCTGGCATCTCAAGTTCTCCTCACCTTACGACACTTGTATTTCATCACCTCCCGCCTCGGGCCGGCCTCCTTCTCGCAATACACCTTTGTTTATCTTACTGCCATCGATATCCTCTCCACACATTCTGTAGCCTCAACGAAATTCCTGTCCCTGATCGCACCTCCACACCTCGGCACGATACCCTCCCATCCACTGGATCGAACCCTGGACCTCTACTTCCTCAACACCAGCGAGCACTTCTCGCTCATCCTCCCAGCAACGGTCAACGAAGACCTCCTCGTCGCCGCCGCAGTCCCTTACCTCGCGTCGCTCTCCACCTCCACGGGGCTGATGCAAAACTTCGAAGCTGCGCACTCAGTCATGCTCTCCGTTCTCCTGGCGCCTCAAAGCGCAGAGGTGACCGCCAAGCACCTCCCTTTCTACATAGACGCCTTGTTCTCAGCGTTCCCTACCTCGCTGTCTGCGCGCCAGTTCAGACTCGCGTTCAAGACGCTGATGCGCGTCACCGCCCCACCCTCGCCGCTGAGCGCCTCACATCCTGATCTACCAGCCACATTGCTCGAGCTCGTACACTACAGAGCGCTACATGCGCCCACAACACCGCTCCCACCGGATGCCGTCGCTCTCGCGCTGCAAGGCAGCGATGCACCTCCCCCAGCACTCTCAGAGCAGGCAGTCCTCGCACTTACTCTAATTGATGCGCTGCCTTTCCTTACCATCAATCTGCTGGATGAGTGGTTACCGCTTTGCGCGCAGCTGCTCAATGGTATCGATGATCGCGAGATGAGGGAAGTGGTCAAGGCGAGGTTTTGGGAGGTGCTTGTGAGTGGCGAGATGGATGCGGAGAGGAGTGGGGTTGCGGTTGGGTGGTGGACGACGACGGGTGGGAGGGATATGGTTCTTTACGGCCGTGAAGGGTTTGGGAGGGAGGAGGCTGATGAGGTGATGATGAGTGGCGCGTTGCCGGTTGAGGGGGTGAGGAGTAAACTGTGAGTCGCTGCACTGTAGGTCACATACTGAGATGATGATACCCACGTGAACACGCAGACAATCAAAGCTTCTCTCACCCGAAATTACCGTCTGAGAAGGGAGAGCCGCGGCCGCAGGGTCAGTTTGATGTTGTCATGAAGGATTGCTTGTCTCATCTGATGGAATCAATATGGCAGAGCTGCCAGACGAATATACGACCGGTATTAGGGGAAGGCGCGCTTGAGAGATCCAGCTTCGATATACATTGGTCGATCGAAGATCACCTCACGGAAGCAGCACCATTGAAACTGGAGCTGGACGATAATTGTAAGCTGTCTAAGTTCTAGCCTTGAGAGGCTGACTTCGCAGGTACCCGCATTGGCGATGGTGCTAGGTAATGCAGGTGTCAGCTGTCCAAGGCCTGGCATTGATCCGCTTCTTGTCTCCCCCTCTCTATCAATTTCCACGACATTCGGATTTTGCAGCGGCCATCTCCTTTGTTCTCTCTCCATTTGAAAAATGTCCTCCCAATCCTCAAGGTCAAATATCATTCAAGGATTTCATGGCTGTGTTGTATTGAGTAACGTTCTGAAGCCATATTGGGAACACAATTCTCTTGATAGCGAGTGTGGGTAGAGCTTCGCTGACATGAAGCGCACCCTCTCCATCAAGATTTTCCGTCCCCTAGACAACAATGATACCCCTCAAGAGATCGAGAAGAAGAGCGTGGGCTTCAGCAGTGGTGGAATGTATGGGCTGTTGCGCAGCAGTGTGAACATGGCGCTTTGGGATCTGGGCCGGCTGCAAGTGGTTTAGAAGGGCAAGGCCTTGCTGAATCGAGGGACATAGACACCTGTCGGGCAAAGCTCACAGGTACATGTGCAAGACCTTCTAGAATCCTTGTGGTCAGAAAACGAACCAGTCGCGAATATTGAGCTGTGGGCACTTACAGGTATACGTCGCTTCGGTATCAAAATGCACTTTGACTGACTGGACTGCAAGATGTATGCCCTCGGCAGTGTCTAGCTGTGACTTCTGCTGTTTCCCATGACACAGGGTCTGACGAGGCGTTTGCGACACTTGAACGTTGGATAGAGCATTGCACCGAGTCACACGAGCCCTGCAAACGGCTTTCGCAGTCACAGAGATTGCCAAACCAAATTGTCGAGTACCTGAGGCCTCAGCAAGTAAGGCTACGGGAGACGCGGAATGAGAGTGGGCGATACGTCTGTTTGAGTCACTACTGGGGAAGAATACCCATCATGCGTGCATTGAAAGGGAACTAAGATACGCTTTACGAGTCCATACCTTGGGACCACTTGTCCCTCACATTTCAACACGCTATTGAGATTTCGCACCGCCTTGGAGTAGACTATATCTGGATTGACAGTCTTTGTATCATTCAGGTACGTCTCGCTGCTCCACAGAAGCGACTAATCTGACATAGAATGACAAGGACGATATCAGTGATTGGGCTCGCGGAGCGGCAACCATGTGTGACGTATATACAAATTCCTATCTCACTATAGCAGCCACGAACTCGGACAGTGGGGAGGGTGGCTGTTATTCTGTCACGGGTACCCGCTCCGGTCACGACCACTCATTTTCGACCACACCAGATCGTCTGTACACCGTGCATGCCCGCAAGCCATTGCCTCACTTCAATGATTTCCACAAGCTCGAAGATGAGACGGCATGATTGCCACTATTGGCCCGCGCCTGGATTTTCCAAGAAAGAAGTTTGTCAGTTCGTTTCGTGCATTTTGGTCCAAAGGGCTATTGTGGGAGTGCGTGACGACTAGAACATGCGAGTGCACGGCATGGTCCGAGTACACCGATGGCGTGGAAAAAATGGCCTTCGACAAACCGCACATGATGCTTGATCCAATTTCCGCTGTGTACACAGGAACAGCTCTTACTTCACCGAAAGAATGGAAATGGCGCAGAGTTGTGAAGCAATTACCAGCCCAGAAATTGACATACGACTGAGACCGCTTGATTGCCCTGGCCGGCGTTATCGAATTCCTCCAGCGAGACTGTGCATACCTTGCAGACCTTTGGGACGACGATGGCTTGTTCGCCGATCTCCTCTGGCACGTTCGAACCAAAGATCCCGACCAAGTTGTCCGGCCCACTGAGACAACGCCAAAGAATCTCTTGGCCAGCGATCAAGTTCCAAGGTCGCTCCAAGCTGGCCGTTGGCCTCTGTACCAAACCCAGTGGCGTTCACAGTACAAATCGATGCTCCACTGCGAGCTCTCGCGCACATTGGTGATGTACATATACAAGGGGATCAAACTCGTATGGCCGGACGGCTGGAATTGCGAGGGCAATGTGTTGAAGCCTTCTTCGTACCAGACACAGACAACCCAGTCTTCCCCGCACTCGATATAGGAGCACATGTTCGATTTGGAGCGCCTCGTTTGAACTGGAATGCGGGTATCGTAGATGGCTTCTACCCCGATTACGATATGACATAGCTTTACGTTCGCACTGTTCCGACCATGGACATCCTACGGTGGAGGGAAAGCCGCAGCCGCACGGGCTGTTCGTCTTGTCTAGTATTTCGCGCCAAGTCAGATGGAGGGGGATAACCCACGAGCGCATCGGATACGTGGATACGAGTGTGCAGGCGGACATGGCGTATTTTGCGCAACATGGTGTGGCGACCACTCTTTGAGTAACATAGACTGTCTTCGGCGGCAGAAGAGAACGAGAGACCACACTTACGTCAAGTCAGGAAAGGGGCATCCACGACTTCAGTCTTCAGAAGTGATGCTTCGCCCATCACCAGGGTGTCAGCAGCTTTAACGCTGTAGTGTGCACTGTCGCGGTATGAGCCCTTTCTCGTTGTTACCTAATTTCGAATTACTCAGTACGTTGTACGACTGTATAGCCATAAAGGTCATGTATCAGGCTAGGCAACGCGCAGCTTCTTCGATAGACGCCAGCCTCCTTTCTCACCAGACCACCACCCTCCACATACCCACCTCCTCAATCGCTGCAGCAGTTTCTCTCACAACGAGAAGTCTGTCAGGTTAATCTCTACGTCCCAACTCCAACGGTCCTGCAGTATACGCCAAGACCTGAAGCCGGCCTTGCCTCCCATCGACACCAGGGCACAACAGGAAGCTCTCTCATCGTCCCGAGTGGATTGCGAAATTTATACAATGTTCAGAAGTTCACAACGGAATGCACGGATTTTCGCTACATGCTGAACGATCAAACCTTGGCGCTGGATGTTCACTGTATCGGTGAAGGCCACAAGCCTGGAACCAACACGGCATTTCTGACAGGTTTTGAGACTCTTAATACCGCAAGGCTTTGCGGACTGTGATTAAATTGGTTGATAGTGCTATCTCCTGTAGGGACTACTTGCCCTTGAGAGCATTCACATTGGTCGCACGGCTAGTGCAGGCACTATTCCACAGCTTTTGTGAGACTACGGACGGTAGACACGGTCATAACAGCAACTAACGGACAAATGCTGCGGTCTACGAAAATGAGCACGTCTATGACACTGTTTCTATAACCAATTTCGTTCAGCACACCAGGTTGCACCGAGCCTCAAAGTCTGCCATCCATCTAACCATTACCCAGGTATATCCTCCTCCTTCCCTAGCTCTTTGCAACGAGCGCAAGAGCTAGCTTGTGAAGACCATGGTCTGGCCCAAGGGATCTGGAGTCTAGCTCAAAGAAGCTGAAGTCTGCATTGACGAAGCCGGAGCCCGTTTGGACGAAGCTGGCATCTGACCCGTCAGAGACGGAAGTTGGCTCGAAGAGACTGGAGGCTGAAATGCACTACAAGGTACCACGCCGCTGTGGATCTAGCATTGCCATCTGAAGCGTGTTTATTACGGTGGATATGTGTTTTCGGCGCATTCCTATCAGGTTGCCCATTCATCCCACGCCGCAATAGGACAAGCATTCGGATTGGTAAAGCACTCTACTCTGTCCATGAAATCGGTCGAAGTGTAGAGTTGAATAGAATCCAAGTCTAACCCCTCTGGTTCATCTTGTCCGGCGATCTTTACGAACTCTGCGCCAAGGAAGTTGTATTGATCCGCGAAGTCTTGGTCTTCGCAGAGCTCAGTGTGGGCTTCGAGACGGGTCCAGCCGGAGTTGTCGTGCATAGCTGCCGCAATAGCGTCGGTATATCTGTCGAAATTCTCACACTGGAAGTGGACGTAGTTGTCACCTTGGTGCTGTCAGTATGTGCAGCTTAAGGTTGGAATATTGATTTAACTCACGATCGCTGCGTGACACCTCGTGGATCATGCCAAACACTGTAACCTGGTCAGTCTGTATCGATTTACAATGCGCTTCACTAACTGTGACCGAAGTAGTTAGATGTGATCGGTATATTGCAATTTAGAAGCAGATTCACTTACTTCGTGCGTCAGTGAATCAGTTGTGGCATGGGGGCACGCACGCATTGTATGCCAACCGAATGGATTTGAATCGCTCTCATACCCAACAGTAGTACTAGCGTCGTGGCCCAAGTATGAGAGGACCTATATCCATAGAGTGTCCCCAGCCACATGGTCGAAGTTCCATTACACGAGTCCATCCGGACCATTGACAAACTTCCCTTCGTCGTTAACGGTAAAGCAGTGATGCGACTTGCAATTGGGGCCGTCATGTTCGCCATCATGAAGCTCTTCAAACTCGAGATTGGTGGTGCCTGCGAAGTCAATAGAGTCGACTTTCTGCCTCCATCTATCGCGGCAGACGTAGCCGCTGTATGTATCGATGGAAAACTGCGCTGAGTTGCTTGCTAGCTAGGAGACGACCATATGTACATGCCCTGAGACGTGCTAGTCCAAGGTAGTCAACAGAGGTGACGATCAAGGACTATAGGACTGACTTGCACCGCAATACCATCGCTCGAGAGCATCCCGAACGTTGTGGTCAATATGTTTCCTGGTGGCAGAATTGGTGTAGCAGTACCTGACTACCCGGTGAGAGTGACCATGCCGTATCTCTAGGGGCCAGGGTTGCTTGAGGTGGGCAGCAAGCTCGCTGGCGCCCCCAAACTGTGGCTGTGAAGCCTGCACATTTTCGACTATGGTGACGTTCAACCGCGTTCTGCAGTCGAGACGGTCCTGGCGGGCGGTGACGATCGGTAAGAGAGCGAGGAGCCAAAGACAGACCAGTATTAGTTGGCGCATGTTGAAGGTGATGCTGGGTATGGCAAGATGCAGAAAAGACAAGAAGAGCAGGAAGGGTCTGCAGTAGCGGGGATTCAATTGCAACAGTGTGTGGGGCGGTTTAAAGTGAAGGCAGGTCTTCAGGGCCGTCGCTCAGGGCTAACCCTGCGGTGAGGTCCTTATTTTGCAGATTCGATGAGTGAGATCAGCGCAGGGCCGAGTGCAGCCGATGTCGCTGCCCACCATGGTGCCACGTGGATTGGAGTAGAGCAGGCAAAAATTGACATCTATTGGGGTAGCATTGGTGAAAGACCGCGTCGCAGTGGTGTACTCATGGAGAAGGAGCGAACTGACAGAAGCAACAAGCACGTCACTTCATGAGAAGGTCCCGGTATCGAGAATTCGTTGCACATCACACATTCCGGTTCCAGCTGACGAGCTGAATCTTTGATTACGTGCGACTACGCCTACAATTCATCGTGAATGCCGCCTTTCATTTCCACCCCGCCGTCATTTACAGTCCATGTCCTTATCCGTCCAATCATCAATCGTCTAGTCTAATGCATGCCATGACAATGCGTCGAAAGTCGCCACCCATGCGCAGCCCCTCAACTCCCCGTCTTGATCGAATGCGCCAATACGCGGCCAATTAGCAATTGAAACTGTCCCTCCTCGCTGGAGGTCGTCTGCTGGGCGGTACTTAATCCGCCTCGATGCGAATCTCCTTGACCTCCTCATCGTCGACACCGGATGGTGGCTCGAAGTGCATGGGTGTTGACGTGCCAGGGAATGGAGTCGATTCGTCATCGCCGAAGTCCTCCATCATGCGCTGCTCAAGGTACTCGCCGTTGTCCGACCCTAGGGCAGGAGCGTTAGACAAGGCATCGTCTGAATCGTTACCACGGCCTGCGGCCAGAGTGTCAAAGCTCCATGTGGGCCCGTCATCCAGATAGCGGGGAGCGACCGGTCCGTACAGCATGCCACCACCGCCTTGGGTATCGATACCGCTGAAGCCTTCGTCATCACCCAAAGTCTCGTCGTCATAATCTGGCGGACTATTCCCGTCGAGACTCTCGAGACCTGCTCCGTTCCTTGCTAGGGTCCCTCGAGGGATTGCGGCTGCCGAAAGGGCTGAGCCATCCCCGTACAGGACTCCGGCTTCCGCTCCTGCTGCGCCAGCTCTCGACGATCCATTGCGGGACGAGCCGCCGAGGCGCGAGCCGTTTCCCGCCGGTGAACGCGAACGGTTCTCAATATCAGACTCGTCATCAGAGCCGGCTTCGATATCCTTTTGGACGATCTTCTGTAGCGACTCTGGGCCTAAAGGGCTACTGGAGCGGCGGCGATAAAACAGCAGGTAGGCGGCCTTCGTAACAGCTTCCTCACCACCAGAGCATCTGTGCACCGAGGAGTCTGCAATCGTGGTTAATACGTGTAAAATATACTTGACAGGATTGATGCGTACCATTGTAGTTGTACCACTGCTTGTCGAAAAAATTTTGAGCAGTGGCTGTGTAGTGACCTCCTCCTAGGCCGCCGAAATGGTTGTCTACCGCAAAAAGATCGTACACAAGACTCTTGTCCTCGGGGAATCCGACCTTGCCGCTGAGATCCAGACCTTGGACTGGGAAGTCAACTTTATCATCGATCTTGTCCCTAAAAGAACGGAACCCACTGAAGCGCTTCAAGTGAATGATCAGGATGTCCGGTACTGTCCAGATATCGAGTGTCTTCGTCGCGCGGCGCATCTCCTTGCAGTTGCTGCAGTACCACGGGTTGTCTTCAGACAGCGTCTCGCTCTTTGATGTCTCCGTAAGACACTCGTCCAACGTGATCCCGCTCTTCTTACGAGCAATTCGCTTGGCATTCTTCTCTGCGATCTCAGGATCATCGAATGTCTCGATGCTCTTCATGACGTCCGTGCCGCGAGAATCATCGGCGTTCAGGCCACCAAAGAGCGCATCATAAGCCTCAGGGTTCCACTCCAACACGATAGCTTCCCCAAGACGGATCAAACCCTCATTGTCGTTTTCAGCATCATCAGGGAAGATTGGCTGTTCTGGTGCTCTCTTCTTGGCCTTCCAGTTCTTGTTGTTCTTGTGCTTACGTTCTAGTTTTCGCTCGTGCTTCCTGGCCTTCTTGCTCTTCTTCTTCTGTCGGCCGCCACGGATAGGTTCGGAGGGCTCGAGGGGCTCGATGGAAGGTATCTCTTCGTCGCTACTGACGTTTGCTTCTTCAATAGCAGCCTTGAGGTCGATATCAATATCAGCAGTCGACTGAGGTGAGTCCCCGTCTTCTTCGCTCGACGACTCGCTGCCTGCACGAGAAGACTGTTCAGAGTCCGCTCGCTCCAAAGGGACTGGTATCCGCTTCGAGATGGGCTCAAGTGTCTTGGTGTGGTCAACCGAAGTCCAGCCGGTAGGCACAAACTCGTTGCCTTTGCGAGCGTACTTCATCTCGAAAAGCTGGTTAAATTGTGGTTCGATGAAGGCGCCAGCCTTGAGGATCTCCGGAAGTTCCGACTGATTTGACGTCTTGGCAACGGGCGTCTCTGCATCTGTCATTGTGACCTCGACCATGTCTTCGCTCTCGATGGAGCCATCTTTGACGCGGGGGTCGCCATTGGGCAGTGCGTCCTCTTCAGTTGTGACGACAACGTCTGAGCCTGGTCGAGACTGGTCAGAGGAGCTCCCGCTGAGCTCCGTGAGAATAGGGCGGGTGGTAGACTGTGCGACCTTTGCAAGCACTTTGCGCAGGATTTCATCGTAGTCCTTCGCTTCCTCGCGTGTCACGACAATATGGAACGGCCACAGTGTCATTGTGAACTGCGAACCCCTATATGAGGATGCACTTGGTCCTCTGTGGAACACGGGAATGATGACTCTATCGTGGAGCGAGGATGCCGAATTGGGAAGGTCGTCTTCAGAGGACTGAGACATGAAGGTCTTGACCTTTGGCTTTTTCTTAGGAGCCGGCCAGTTACTGGGTACATGTTCAAGCTCGTAGAAAAAGATATCGTCACGAGTAGCGATGTTGCATTCGGAGATCGAAGCATTGTCATCGAGATGGCGGTAGAACTTGTGGCCATAAACTTCAGAGACCATGAGGCGGTTGGGTTTCACGCCACCGAAACGCTTACCGACGTACTCCTTCAGTGTCTTGATGGTGGCGTTCTTGTCGATGTCAACATCAAGCTGTTGAGGCTTGCCGTATAAGGGTACATAGGTAATGGTATGTGACCAGGATTGCTCGATGGGTAATTGCAGAGTTAACTGGCTGTATGGATCGAATGTGATGCTGACTTTGTCGCACTCCGGGCACACCATGGTGTTCTTGTAGAAGCCATTGAACAGGTCTGTCGAAACGGAATCGTTGCGTGCACGGTAATTTCCCCGGTAGATCTCGCCCAACTGCTTCATCGCCTCTGGATCTCGGAAGGTATTATCGTCTGAATCCGGGTTCTCCTTGTAAGGTTTGGTGATGATGCGGTTCAGATCCTCGTGAAGCGCGTCGATAAGCCAACTTAAGAATTCCTGAGAGTCTTGCTGCCCATAGCCACTGAACAGACTGTTGGCTCTGCCGAGAGTCTGTTTGAACTGTTTAGGCGAAAAGGACGATGACCCATTGACACTGTAGATGCTGTTGACCAGGTTGGCGTATACGCTCGCAATTTGTCCCTTGTAACCGATAGGGTTGACCTTGTTGACCTCATTCTCCCACTGGTTATTAAGGAAGTACAAGCTGAGCTCCTCGACACTGCGCAGGCATTGAAGAGCGGAGTTCATGTAGCATGTGTTGCCTAAATTCGTGAGGCCGGTCTGGCCGCGGACCTTTCCGCTGCGTGTCCTGCCTCTTGTAAGTGGGCCACCAGTAGGCGTGCTTCTACCACTGGTGCTGCCGCTTTTCATGCCTGCCCTGAGCTCTGCCGCAGTCTTGAACTTGGTTTTGACTGGAACGGTATCCGACATGTACTCGCCGTTCTCGTCAGCTTCCTCAAGCACAATGACCTGATCTTGGGTAAGACTCGCGGCGTCGAGAGTCACCGACGGATTCGATTCTTCATTTGCCTTCTCGTCCTTGCTAGTCACTTGCTCGCGCTCGGTGCCGTTAGCAAGGCCGGTGAAGCTCGCAGTGTCCATGATCAGCGACATGCGGTGCGTCGCCTCGCCAGCAACGGGACTGCCACCGCGCGGCGACGCATCTGGTGTCAATATGCCAGTTGGCTGCGACTGTGCCTTCTCTTGAGGGCCGTCTGAGGGTGCGGTTGCGAGAATTCTCCAGACACGAACCTTGCTGTTCACGTCGATACCAGCTGCTATCTTCGCAGCGTCAAGGAACTTCTGGAAGTTGTCACTCCTGCTGGCCACAATGCGCTGTGCAAGCTTCGCTTCCTCAGTTGGCGTCGCTGCAGCCTTGCGGACCTTGCGGATTGTAATTATAGGCGGGTAGAGCTCCCACAGCAGGTTTGAGCTGCTCTTATCGGGCACAGTGTTCTGCACGTAGCGTCGAATAACAGGGCTGCCCTCCTTGAGGCTGTACCAGCGAACGACCAGCTCCCAGGCCTTCGCAGGCAACACTTCGAGGTTCTGGTGCAGCATCAGGCCTTGACGCAGAGGAATGAAGTCGGCGCCGCTCTGGTCAACCAAAGGAGTTCTCAGCGCTTCAGTGTCCACAAGCCCTGAGTTGTCTACTGGTCCAATCGGGCCCTGTGTGGCCTCTTTGCTGAACTCTTTCGGTCTGGTCTTGCCCTCTGTTGTGCGCGCCCAGACTCGCTCCAGCCAAGCCTCAGACACAACATAGCCCTCCTGGCCTTCCTCGAGCTCGGCGCCTGACATGGCCATGACCTCAGCGACCTGCTCGTCCAGACTAGGCAAGTCTGCCGGCGAAGCACCCTCAGAGCTGACACTGTCGTTGGGCGCGTCTGCCATCTCGACTGACGTTGCCCGAGCGCTGCGCTGCATGGCGGCAGCAGGGAGCGGCTTGGTGGGGCGTGGGCTCGATGTGCCGCTGCCCCGTCGAGAGTTGCTCGCGGTTGGCGCGTCGATGTCCATACTGCCGGCGTCGTCCATGTCTGAGTGCAGGCGTTTGGCGGGCGAGGAGGCTCGGTGCGCGGTGCGAGGATCAGAGCCCACGCGCGTGCGCTCTAAGGAGTCTGTCGCAGAGCTGTCGGCGCTCTCGAGCGAGAGATTTGCGTAAGCCTCACTCGGCGAGCTGGCACCGGTAGCGGTTTGCTCCCCACGCACGCTCGGTATGCTGCTGCTGTTCTCGTGCGATGCTTCTTTGACTGCTTCCTTCATGTGGGGCGGCAGAAAGCGCGGCGGCGGTGATGTCGATGGGTGCGGGGACGACCGAGGTGATGCTACGGGCGTGCCCTCATTCGAGGACGGCGATGCTTTGCGCAGTCCGCTTTGAAGGCTGTTTGTTTGCGCGGCGGTCACGGTCTTCCGTTTCTTGGTGGAGGCCGTTGTGAAGCTCTGAGGCCTGCCCGGAGCCTCTATAGCTCCAAGACAGACAAGGCGGGCAAAGAATGGTCGATGGTGGTGAAACGCGTATCGGCGCCAGTGCAGGGCCAGTTGTCCACGGGCAAGGTGAGGCAGGAGGCAATGAGTGCGTGGGGCAAGCGCAATCGGCGGTGCGGAAAGAGCGTGCAGGACGCAGTACTTTTCAAAATCGCCCTCCGTCACAGGCCTCTAGTTTGGCTGACCGCAAAGAGACGCGCGCTAGCAGCCTCGCTTATGCCGCAAGGCTGAGAAGCAGACCAGGTGCAGTCTGGCTGCCTGTCATGTCGCTGAACACACCTGTCAGACATGACAACCTTCTGCGCGCTTCAATCCTAGCGAGTTGCATCGAGCTTGCGACTACGAGATTCCTGGCCGCATAGAATGCTTTGCTTGCACGGGGGGTCCTAAATATACATCAATATGTGAGCGAACACAACAAGCATACTGTGACTACAAGCAACTACGGCCAATGTTTGACGTTGTATCATTATTGTTATCCGTATCGAGGCGCTGCTATGGAAAGCCGCTGTTGCGCCCGTCTGATAAGACATCTACACATTCATTTCGACCCGCTCTTGAGCCACGCAAAGGCAGATGCACCACCCACAGGGTTAGCGGATCGCAGGTTTGCAACTGGCGGCCGGTTCTCGTTCTTCTCGCCAGACACCGTGCGGCTCAAGGACGGTGTAGGGGCGCCTGTTGTCACCTCACCGTCATCCTTTCTCTTTCCATCATCGAAGAAGCGCGATTGTCCAGTTCCGGCTGCTGCAGTCGAGGAGGTAAGTGTACGTGAAGACGACCTCGAAGGCCTCAATACCTTGATCTCACGGCGCGGCTGACTTGAAGGGGAGGCGGTGGTTTTACCCACGTGTGCCCAGTCTAGTGTTCCGCCGCTGGCTTTCTCATTTGTATCGCGTCGCCATGTGCTCAGCATGGCTGGCGATGGTCCTGAGCGCGAGCTAACTGTTGTAGGACTTGAGAGCTGAGCATCCTTGGACTCAGACCGTGCAAAGGACGTCGACAGGGAATGTGGTCGCTGATCGAGGCTTCTTCGACCATTCGAACCACCATCCTCAGAGCTGGCCGCCATGATGCTCTCTCCAAGCTTTTGCGGATCTGTGCTCTCCGCCTGTGCCGTCTCGAGAAACTTGACCTTAGGCTCGACGGATGAGGGCAGGCCAACCACTGCACTCTTCGATATCAAGCCTGGCTTCAGAATGTGACTTGTCCTATGTGAGGTTGACAGAGACTTGAAAGCGCTCTCGTCTTCTGGTCGCACCAGTGGAACCTGGAGCTTGTTCCTGTCATCATCGTAAATCATCAGGTGGTTGGTAGAAAAGAGGATGTCGGCGTTGTGCGATCGAAGCAGGTCGCTACCAATCAAGATTTGGATAGCTTTGGGTTTGGATAGATCGTGCTCGTCGACTACGGTAAATTCAACCGTGATAGAAGGAAGCTGAGGAGCAGGGCTGTCGGACTGAGCAGACGCTGAGACGGGCACGGCTTCTGGCAGATAAACTGTCAACTGGATCTTCCTGCAGCCATCATCGTTCTGCGTGATCTGATCCTGAAAGCCGAGATAGTCAATGAGGTGCAAATCTAGATAAGATGTATGCGAGCCGGTACAGACAGCGGCATAGAGAAGGGTATCATGCTTGAAATTAGTGTTGAGCCAGCAACGTATGATGGAGGGAACAGAGCCAAGTATGAACAGACCAGGTGCCAGCCCTGGGAGTTCCACTGGCGTTGTGGGACCGTAGCTGGTAAAACTGTTGGCCCGCCCTGATGTGACTGAGTGAACAGATTGGCCTGCTGAGCTCTGTCTCCCGTCTGACTTGTGGGAATAGCTGCGTTCACTCAGTGCGTGCCCGCCAAGACTACTGCCAGAGCGGGGCAGGAGCTCCAGCGAAGTTCGTGAAGCATGTGTCCAATGTCCGTGATTCGCCGTTTCGTCAAAGCGAACACTGTTGGCGCGCGATGTCGTTCCAACTCGTCGAGGTTCGTCGTCGGCGTCAAGCTGGAGATTGCCAATCAGATTGCTAGACTCGTCATCATCGAAGTTCGAAAAGTGCTCGGCCGTGGGCTGTTGTAGAGGAACTGACTAGACATTAGTAGGCCATGAGAATCTGGCGTGCGTTGGCTAACCTTGCTGCGGGGTACCACCGAGTACGGAGGGAAACGGCGAAGATGTGCCCCAGACATTCTTCAGGCGGGAATCATCGTCCTGCTTGCGTTCCAAGCGAGCCATGCGATCTGACAGCTCAGCTTGAGATTGTTGCACTCGGAGCATCTCGCTCTGGAATCGCCAGTAGTCTTCGCGGGGCTGGAACGCTACGCTTTCCGGATCCATTCCCTCCAGGTTTTCATCCCTCGCTGGGGTTTCTCAGTCGAAGAGAGCCTCCTTCCAATGCTGGACCCCAACCAGCTAGTTCCTCTCCCTGTTTTCGACAGCACCACCTCTTCCACCTCCTCTACCTCATCCGACAAATTGACCTCCCACGGTACACCGTTGCACGCAGCCCAAGATGTTCAATCGTATTGGTTTGCGTGGAAATGCCTATCGAAACGAAGCGCAGAAATTGTGTGGCCTAAAAATGCCGAGAAGAGGCTCCAGATCGCGTAGAGATTGTGTGCTGTGCCGGTTTGTCGTGACTTTGGTATCAAACGAGACCAGGGCGGATGCGAGAGGTGGCAGGTCTTCTAGGAGCCAATTGCGGTCGCACGAAAACTTATCGTCCGCTTGGTGGAACTGAAGCTTCCGACAGTGAGGTGTTGTGGAAGGAAAGAAGAGTCTGGGCAGGTCGTAGTCGTTGCGGAATTGGAGGACGCGTCGATGTTGGCGTTCTCTACGTTTGTAGTAAGGTACGCCACGAGCTAAGGTGGCGGGGCTAGTTCAAGTTGTCACCGACATCATCGACTTCTCCAGGAACGTTGGATGCAGCTTCAAGTTATCGTGATATATTTTCTGCTCTAGAATCACGTATGGATAACAAACTGAAATTAATTTGATGCGTTCCATGCTTCCCAGGCCGCAGCATCATTCCACCCCGGCAGAACAGTGGGCAGTTTCTCCGCTACCTGATCGGGCCACAGCTCAGCGATGAGACTCGTCATTTCATCATACATGATCTTGTAGCCTGCACCGTGGAAATGCAGACCTATTATGGGGTCAGTGACGGTAGCAAAGGCCTGGAAAAGGTACACTCACCGTCATACATCAACTCGACTAATGCATCGTTCTGCGCTGTCTCCAGCGAGCCTGGAAGGGGGTCTCCAACTTTCCACGCATCTATTTGGAAGTCTGTCTTCGCCATAAATGCCTTCCATAGGTTCAAAACAGGCACATTGAGTCTGGCACCCAGCTCGACAACAGCATCGGCGTACAACTTGGTGGTAGCTGCCGTTCTTGAGACCGAGTCATAGCCACTCTCTTGATCGCGAGGCCACCAGAGATGCTCGTTGATAGGCGGTGGCGCGATCAAGATAATGCGAGGGCTGTGGGCTACGATCTGCGGGTGGGTGATGATCTTCTCCAAGTTGGCCTTGTACTCCTCCAGTGGGATGTGCTGCTTGTTGGGAGCGGTTGGAAGAGAGGCATCGTTTGCGCCAAAGAAAATGGTCTGTATCTGTTAATTACTGCTTGCCAGGGAGTAGACTGCACTTCGTACCAAGAAACGGATTTTGGCTTCATCTGGCGAGGGAACGATACTGGGCAGTACAGCAAGCGCCTGGCGGGTGTTGTAGCCGCTTGAAAGGGTCGGCAGCTACTCAGGTCCTCATGATTGCACAAGACATACCTGAAGCCACGGTTGACTACATCAAGTCGCCTTATGTAGTCTGATAATTGTTAGCATGCAGGGTCCTGCAATCGTTGGACAAATTTGGGAAGCGTGTGAAGTCTCTAAATCCGCCACCACATACCAGCCTGGAGTGCTGCGGAGAAACCAAATCCTCGCTGCTGATTGAAGGAGTCCTGGGTGATGGAATCACCAAACAAGAAGAACTGTTCATATATCGCAGGCTGTAGGAAAAGTCAGACGTGTCTTACTGTAACTACACACAAATCAGCCGCTTACCATGTTGACTGAGTATTCGATGCGATGCGGATCTCGGGGCGTCGCAAGGGTATCACAAGGGTGTGCCGGTTTAGGAAGTGTCAGATACACTATCTGTCCGTCTCTTCGATGTCGATATAAATGCGGAATGCAATGCGAGGACTTGACCTCTGATATAATATAGCCTTGGACAAGATGATGGAGACGGACAAACTTCAGACGAACACTACGACGATTTATTCCTTCCGGCTCATTTACCCCGAAGTCATGGACGGCAAACGAAAGTCTCGGAGTGGGGTGTACTTCGTGGGGTCTGCTGTCATTGGTCGTTGGCCTCAAACGCACCTTGCTGTTTCCAGTGCGAAAGCCTGACCGCTGGACCCTGAGACCAAATGACGAAACCCTCGGCGCGTGCCTCCCAAAGTCACACGAGCTTAATTCCCGCTGCTGGCTGAGACAACACGGCAATGCAATGCAGGCCTCGGCGCAGGGTAATAATAATGGATTTCTTCATGCAACTCACAATGTAGGCGGTGTCTGGCGACTTTGAAAACTGCGGGCTGTTTCAGGCATCGTGATAGGTAGCCCAGAGATAACGCGTCGTGATCGCCGTTTTGGAAGCAGCAAAGCTAACAAGGCAGCCGAGTTAGCTCCGCGTGCCCTGGTGGGGAGGCTTGGGGACCACGACACCGCCCTCTTCTTCAGATGACCTCGTATTTGCCCCGAGACAGCGACATGTCTTTGAGCGCTCCCGTAATATCAGCCCGCCTTGCCGTGATTGCTCCGTCCCTCGTACACTCTCGCCCGCCATGCCCAAGTCCATGAGGTCCTACCATAGTGTCGAGGACTATCATGCCAGACACGACGATGATGATGCCGCCGCCGAACAGCGCGAACGCGACGATACAATCAGCGACACCACACCCACGTCGCCCATATTCCACCGCTCTGTACGTCAGACACGAGGCTCTGAGACCGACCTCACCCGGAGCGGTTTGTCCGAGCGATCCGCGTTGCTGGGACATGCACACAGCTCGCGCTCATACCTGAGCGTGTCCGCGAGCATGCCAGGCACTCCCCGACCGGGCACAAAACGGCACAACAGCCAGCTCCCCACAGGCATGCGTATGAAGAGCAGGACCGGCTCGTTCAGTCATTCCTTCAGCCAGCGACTAGTGAACGCCTTGGGCGAGCGCAGGGCCGGACTAGACGAGAGTACGCAGTCGGCCAGGACGACGCTGTGGCAGGACAACCGAGTGTGGTACGATCAGTTCACATCGACTGACTGGGTACACGACAACATCGCCGACGCGTACCGAGTCAAGGCGCTGAGGAGTCGGAAAGACTTGAGAGGCCGTTTGGCAGCGTGGTTCGACGGTGCGCAAGGTTGGATTCTTGTTGCTATCATTGGCGTGCTCACTGCCATATGTGCCTATTTTGTCAACACCACTGAGAGCATCATCTTCGACTTGAAACAGGGCTACTGCTCGAAGAAGTGGAGCATGAGCCGGAAGGCTTGTTGCGAAGGAGCATCGGTATGCGACGACTGGGTGCACTGGTCAAAAGTCTTCCGAAGCGATAGGCTTGATGTCGTGCATACGCAGTACGGTTTCTACGTCCTCTCGGTCATCCTGCTGTCCATGGCATCTTGCCTCTTAACACTCACGACCAAGACCGTCATCCCTTCGGCCATCTCTCTTTCAACACTCGACGAGAACTTGGGAGCAGAGGTGCTTCGATACTCCGACAGCAACGAAGACGAAGACCACAAGCGCAGTACAAGCCCTCAAACAAAGATCGACCAGGCTACAGTCAGACCGCCCATGGTCTACTACTCGGCTGCTGGCAGTGGGGTTGCAGAAGTCAAAGTCATCTTGAGTGGTTTCGTGCTTCACGGATACCTTGGATTGCGTACGCTCATCATCAAAACCTTTGCTCTGATTCTCAGTGTTGCGTCCGGCCTGAGTCTTGGCAAGGAAGGACCATACGTAAGTTGCACACCTTCCGTCGGGCTTGATCGTGATTAACCTTGACCAGGTGCATATTGCGACATGTATTGGAAACATCGCTTGTCGTATCTTCTCCAAGTACAGCGATAATGACGGTAAGCGCAGGGAGATCTTGAGCGCCAGCGCTGCCAGTGGAGTAGCTGTTGCCTTCGGCGCCCCGATCGGTGGCGTCTTGTTCAGTCTGGAGGAAGTGAGCTACTACTTTCCCTCGAAGACCTTGTTCAGAACGTTCTTCTGCTGTATTGTGAGTACCAATTCCACCTACCATTTCCTGACTAACGACAAAGGCTGCTGCGCTGTCTTTGAAGTTCCTGGATCCGTACGGTACCAAAAAGATTGTGCTGTTCGAGGTCCGTTACCACCTTGACTGGAAGTTCTTCGAACTTGCCACTTTTGTCTTCACTGGTGCGGTTGGCGGTGTCTTAGGTGCATTGTTCATCAAGGCTTCACGCATCTGGGCCCGCACGTTTCGACGCATACCGATCATCAAGCAACATCCGCTCCTTGAGGTGTTCCTCGTGGCGCTCGTAACTGGGTTGATCAGTTTTTGGAACCGCTACACCAAGCTCCCGGTCACTGAGCTGCTCTTCGAGCTTGCCAGCCCCTGCGATACCTACACCGAATCGGGAGACGGTCTGTGTCCGACCAAGGAGCACATCCCATCCGTATTGTGGACGCTCTTCCTTGCATTCGTCATCAAATCAAGTCTTACCGTGGTCACATTTGGCATCAAAGTGCCTGCTGGTATTTACGTCCCATCCATGGTAGTCGGTGGTCTGGCAGGACGCTTCATTGGCCACACCGTTCAGCTTCTCGCCCTCCGCTTTTCGCACCTTGGTGTGTTCGGCGAGTGCGTGCCGGAAGGACCGCCCGGATCATGTGTGGTTCCAGGTGTATACGCACTGGTTGCAGCTGGTGCGACGATGACGGGCGTTACTCGATTGTCCATCACCCTTGCAGTCATCCTGTTTGAGTTGACAGGCAGCCTCGACCATGTCCTACCCTTTTCTCTTGGTATCCTCGTCGCCAAATGGACAGCCGATGCTATCGAGCCCCTCAGTATTTACGATCTCCTGACCGACATGAACTCCTACCCCTTCCTCGACAACAAAGTCCGTCCAATCTTCACGTCCGAGCTTGGTGACATCACTCCTCGCCTACGACCAGATCGCATCATCGATATCTCCGACGAGTCCCTCATTCCAGCAACTGAGCTTCGCGTTATGCAGCGGTTGCTCCAAATGGCTGGCGAGCTCGATGGTGGTGTCCCCATTGTTAAGTACGGCGTATTGGTAGGCTTGATTCCTGCGCCAGATCTGGAGTTTGCTCTCGACAAACTGGACAACGAAGAGAACACACTTTGTTTGATGTCAACTCAGGTGGACTGGGCAGCTGGCCGAGAGCCTCAAGCCTCTAGCGACGATGGCGAAAGCCCTCAGCACGACCCTAGTGACTTCACGCCTTACATCGACCCTGCGCCTATCTCGCTCGACGTGCACTCTCCCATGGATTTAGTATATGAGTGCTTCGTCAAGCTAGGACTGCGGTACATTTGCGTTCTCAGAGACGGCAAATATGCTGGCATGGTAAGTCATCTCCCATTCTATGTGCTTTGCCGTCATTAATGTTGCATGCAGATCCACAAGAAGACTTTTGTCAAGTACATGAAAGAGTTGGAGCTCGAGGAGAAGAAGCACCACAAGAACTGAGACTGAACCTAGACGGTCGACCCTTCAACTTTGGGTTTTCACTTTTCTTTAGCATGCTCGCATATCTCGGCAGTTTCCTCTCGTTCCACAGCATGCATTGATATGATATCCACTTCTCATTGGCATCAGGAGGCGTTTGTTACACATCCTAGGGCAAGAATGGAAGAGCTCAGCTGTATACCACAAACTGAATTAAGGCAGTATAAAGCCCGCTGTTCATTTGCCCAGACCAGTATCGCCTTTGAACTGCATGCCGAGACCCAGCTTGAAACTTCAACATTTCCTTCCCTCCCAGCACTCGATTGCTCGACGCTGCAGGCCAAGCTCCCGTCTCGACGCTCCTCAGGGTCCACTCACCGTAATGGACGCACTCCCGCTACTCTGATAGCCCTCGGTCGCAAGAATCTGATAATTATGTGTCCCCAGCGTCTGCCCGACTTTGGCCCACGCATCGAAATGGTTCCCCGTCGTAATACTGCCTCCCACACGCTTGACCTGGCGCACGCTCCAGAACTGCTCGAACGTCTGCGTGCCGTCGATGCTCGGCTGGTTGGTCCGTGTCGTCTGGTAGATGTCGTACGTGCCGCCGTCAGAGGTGACGGTGCCCTTCTTGGTCGCGCCCGTGCTGGGGTTGTACGAGCCGTAGGACTCGACGATGTAGTATTCGATCAGCGGCGCGCGCGTCCAGCCGTACAGCGACACGTACGAGTTCACGCTTGCGGCATTCCAGGTCCCTGTGTAGAAGCGTCAGTTAGGCGCGTGAGCGTGGTGCGCGGACATGGCGAGTACCCGAGTATGTCACCGTGCGGCGCGCGCCGGGGTTCCAGCCTTTCCCTGCCACGAAGTTGCCGACGTTGGACCAGGTGACGTCGTACTGGCCGGCTGCCTGCGGGGGCGGTCAGTTCGGATCGTTGACGAAGTGGTGGTCTCTGGAGCGGCGCGTCTGGCTAGTACAGAGCGAGCATCAGTGTGTGGTACGTACGCCGTTGTTGTAGGTCACGGAGCCCTGACCGTCGGTCCAGAAAGAGTAGAAGAAGCCGTTGCTGGTGCCTTGTCCGGCGGGCGTCGAGCGCGCGGTCAGGTTGCCCTCCTCTGCTGCTTGAGCCTCGAGGATGAGGCTGAGCGGGGAAGCAAGCGCTGTCACGGCGCTGCCGAGGGCAAGTAAGATGGTGGGAAAAGCGACCATTTCGATAAAGGTCGAGGTAGATGGTTAACTGTTGGCGACTGGTGCTGTGATTTGAGATGTCAGAAATCTTTATACTTCTCCCGGTTCACAGACGACATAGCTCATGATGGAATGGAGAAACGACATTGATTGAGTGTAGCCGCTCTGTATATTAAAAGATCAACATACGTTGTCTACGGATACACCCATGTTCGGAGACTTATCCAAGTGCCGGAAATTTTGTGGGGTGCAGATGGCAGGCATTGGTTGCATGCCAAAGTGATGTACTGGGGTCGGCTAAATATCTGTCTGGGCACGGATGCTTCGTCACTTCTTCGCTTTGCTTGGTCTTCTTCCTCGCGTGCGCACACAGATCGCTCCGAGTGCACCAAGCCCTCGGCATGAGGCTTGGTGGGCTTCACGTGCTTCGTCCAGACAGACAACGTCGGGCTGCAGACGCTTCGTGGTCGTGTCAGCGCTGCACTGTTGATCGAGATGGCAGCGGGATTTAGCCAGTGGATTATTGTGGCCAACGGCTGCATGTACCGGTGTTCGAGAGTTGAGATGAGCAAGCGTCGTCATCCGTTTTGAATATACAACCCAGTCATGTGACACCGTGAGCTCGCTCAAGACCAACTAGGGTATGGTAGTAGCCTCATCAATGGACGCGAGAGCTGCTGACGTTCAAGGATCCCGCTCGCCCGTGGAGCCGTATGTGTTCGAGATATGCAAACAGTCGATGCGTAATAGGGTAGAGCACTGGTAATAATTTCAACGTTCAGAACGACAACATGGCGTGCACCAGGAAACGGGTGTCATTTCGGTATCGTCCTCGATTACACGTACGCTCACCGACGTGCATTCCACATCTGGTCAATGACCTGGAACACAGCCGTGACGTCTCGAATCGTGTCTTCGTCAATCCTCGTTCCAAAGCGCCGCTGCATCTTATCCGGATGCCACCTGACCCTCTCAGCCTTGAGCAGCGCACTCGCGTCGTCCTTCCAGGCCGGACTCGCGCGGAGAAAGCGCTCAATCTCCTGCTTACCAACGTGCTTCGCCTGGCCAGACAACACCGGCCACGGAATCATCTCCTTAACATCTGCCCCCTCAGTCGCGCCATCGTCCTGGCCCAGCTTCTCCCACTTCGCAGCATACACCTCCCAACTCTTAGCCGCCTCCTTGGCCCTCTTCCTCTCCTCACCCCGTCGCAGACTCTCCTCCATCTGCCGTCTGATCCCCTCTCGCTCCATCTCGTCCCTCTCGCCCTCCTCATCCCAGTGTCTCTGTTCCTCCTTCCTCTTCCGGCGGGCGCGCTCACGCGCATCCCTCTCCTCGACGATGTGCTGATGGGTCTTCTCCCACATCTTGGTGCGCACAAAGTCGGCATACTCGTCCTCGGTCATGCGCTCTAGCTTGCCATCCGGCCCGCGCTTCTCGGTGGGGTACACGTGGATGGGCTGGCCGTAGACGCCCTCCCAGTACGCGGCGCCTTCGTCGTCGGCGAGCGCATCGAAGAGCGATTCGCGGAACACGTCGGCGTCGTTGGAGTCGGCTTGGTCGAACAGCGATTCGCGGTGGCGCGAGTCCGGGTCGTAGTACGAGCCGTCGGCGGTGGAGGTTGGGTGTCGGTCTGAGTGATCGTGTCTGTGTTTGCGCCGGGCGGAGCGGTGGGCGCGTCTGCTGGAAGACTCGTCGTCTGAGTGGCGGTGCTTCGAAGACCTGTGGCTTGCGTCTTGGTCTTCAGCGTCGTGGCGCCGTTTGCGACGCGATGAAGACGATTTGAAGTGAAATCTGGAGGGCTTGGCCGCGGTGAAGGCATCCTTGGCGGCGTCGTCAGCCGGGCCCTCCATGGTGAGGACTGTGGCGCAGCAGGATCCAGACGTGCATGGGGTATGGACCGCGCTGTGTTTATTCACTGTGTCGTGGGAGCAAGAGCGACGGGCGTGGTTGCCGCTGGGCTGGCGCGGGGGTCTTCGGAGAAAGCCGTCGTCTCACTGGTGCGCGAGACGGCCCTGGCGGGCGGGCGGGCGCGGAGTGCAACACCCGTCAATCCTCGACACGGCACACACAATGTCCTTCAAATTCGGGCTCAATGTGAAGAACAAACTCGCAAACGGGCCCGCAAAGCCGGCGCTCGGGACAAAGCGGAAGAACAAGACAAAAGCGCTCCTGGGCGGTGACGACGACGAGGACACAAAGGGCAAAGCAAAGGCCGTCGACTCGCAGGTCGAAGAAATCAGCGCCTTCAACTTCGACGACACGCTCGCCGCATCCTCGGGGCCATCCTCGCCCGCCCCTACAAAGCCCAAGAAAGGCGCGCCCCCCGCCCCGCCAACAGCGAAACCAAAGCCCAAACAGGACGATCCGACAGCCATCGGCTACTCGGCCAGCGCAAAGGAAGCGGAGCGACTCGCCCTCGAGGCCGCTGCCCAAGATGCCACAATCTACGACTACGACAGCGCCTACGACGCCCTGCACGCGCGTCAGGCCGCCATGAGCGCCGCGGCCAAGACGGAGGCCGCAGACCGGACGCCCAAGTACATGGACGCGCTGTTCGAAGCTGCGGAGCAGCGGAAGAAAGATCAGCTGCGCGCCCGCGACAAGCTGCTCGCGCGTGAGCGCGAGGCCGAGGGTGACGACTTCGCCGACAAGGACAAGTTTGTGACGGGCGCGTACAAGGCGCAGCAGGAAGAGGCGCGCAAAGCAGAGGAGGAGGAGAAGCTGCGTCTGGCCGAGGAGGAGCGGCAGAAGGCCAAATTCGGTATGCAGGGCTTCCACAAGCAGATGCTGGCCGAGCAGGAGAAGAGGCACGAGGAGGCCATGCGGTACGCGGCCGAGGCGAGCGCGAGGGGCGAGAAGCTGGTCGTTGAGGCGGAGAAGAGCGATCGCCAGATTGCCGAGGAGGCGAGGGCGCAGGGCAAGAACGTCATGCTGAACGATGCGGGTGAGATTGCAGATAAGAGACAGCTGCTCAGCGCCGGGTTGAACATCGTTGCGAAGCCCCGTGCCTCGCCGCTTGCAGCACAGAAGGAGAAGCAGAAGGTCAATCCGTTAACGTATCAGCCGAAAGCTCCCAAGAGCGCTCAGCGGGAAAGGCAGACGGCTATGATCGCCGAGCAGATCGAGGCTGCGAACAAGCGCAAGGCCGACGAGGAGGCCGAAGAGCAGGCCAAGCTGCAACATGCAGCCAAGAGCCAGAAGACGGCGACGGACATCACCAGTGCGAAGGAGAGGTATCTGCAAAGAAAGAAGGAGGCTGCAGAGGCCAAAGCGAAGGCAGCGGCTGGCAAGTAAATACATGTGTGACAGAAGCTGAAAAAACAAGATACCCAATACATTCGATTACGACGCATCGGTCTAAGATCCTAGATGTGTATTTGACGAAGCCAATGTGTTCGTCGTTCGTCACACATCTCGCCCCCATCCTCATTCTCACCCTCCCCTTCCTCCTCCTTTTCCTCCTCCTCCGCAGCCAGGTCCTTGGCCGCCTCCTCATTCGCGATCGCCTCCTCCAACATCTAGAGTGTCGCTTCAGTCCCCTCTCTCGTCTGCTTCAACACCCTGTAGTTCTCGCTGTCCTCCCCATAGCACATCTTGCCAACCGTCTCGCTCTCCTTAGCATGATGTAGGATGACTTGCCACGTGACCAGCATCTCTGCCTCGGGCACGACCAGTGCGCGAGCCGGCAGGATGCGGTCGACAAGAATGTTGCGCCAGCGGACCGTCTCGACGCTCTCGCAACCACTGGTCTTGAGGTCGCGAACGAGGTCGAGAAGGAGCTTCTGCGCCGTCTTCAGATCGTCCTGTAAAACTTTAGCTGTGAAGGGAGTGAGTGTGAGGTCGAGTCCTTACTTCTGTCATGTCTTCCTTCTCCAGACGCGTCAAGACATCATTGAGTAAAACAGCGCGGGTGTGAGCGCGCTGTCGTGCTGTCTCGTGCACATTGAACTTGGGGTGCTTCTCATCGCATGCTTCACAGTCACACGTCAAACCCCAGGAGAAGAGTTCTTGCTTGCGGTCTTTGGCATTGCTGTAGTACATAGTGTCTGCGAACGAGGAACAAGTCAGCTCCTCACCGGGCGCGACGTCGCGGGTAGTATGAACGTTCATGCGACCGAGATCGGCGTCGTAGCTGGCGAAGCAGTTTGGGACGCACGAGTGGCGGATATGCGCCCTCTCAATAAACAATCCTGCGACTGGCGTACCGTTGGGCAGATCGGCTCGCTGGTCTAGAGGCATGTCGAGCAAAGAGCACTTGTTGGCATGCCAGCGTGCGGCCACGCGATATACGTTCATGGCAAACTGAGACTTTGGTCGCATCTCAGAGAGGGTTGTCTTCTCCTCCGCCGTCCTCTCTGCTTCTGACTTGTACATGATGGTCTGCAGTTCCACAGCGAGCTTGTCGATGAGGAAACGCAGGCTCATGAGCGCGTCGGACGCCTCTGCAGCTGCTGGCCTGAGTTTCCAGATGCGCTCTTGGTCTGACTCGGAGAGATTTTCGTAAGCTGCCATGAGCTGAGGCACCTGATCGCCTGGTGCTGGGAGTGTGAACAGCGGTTGCTCGGAGATGATGCGCGTGCCTGGCTCGATCTTCTGCGTAGCGAAAAGGCCTTCATCGTTATCGTCTTCGTCATCACCAACGTTGGGCAGCTCGCGGAGCGCGTAGTGCGCTAGGACGGGAATCTCGACGTAAAAAGCTCTAGGATGCTGTGGTAGTGCGCGTCCAAGCTGGAACTGAGGGAATGGCTCCGTAGCAACGGTGTCCGTGTCCGATGTTGGCGATTCTGCGCCGTCAACGTTCGCGTTGTTGGGCTCAGTCTCGGCGATATCCTCTACAACCCCAACTGCAGCGCTCTTGCTGTTATTCGATCTCCGCGTCCGCTTCTTGTACCTCCTCTTTTTCGCCGCCTCCCCCGTCGAACTTGGCGGGAGCTGTTCGTCTGCCTTAAGCTCTCGCCCATCTCCCAGAGCCAGTCGATCGAAATTGATTCCATCTGTTGCTCTCGCCTGCGCAGCTGAAGCAGTGGAGGGCTTGCGCAGCATGTTGGGGGCTGGAGAAGAAAGAGACCAAAAGCAACCTGCGACCGCTGCCAGCGGGCGGAGTTGAAGAAGTTGATCTCAACGAAAGGTAAACTCCCAAGACAGGCGGGGAAGTGGGATTCGAAACTTGCCAACAACGGTAGATCTGGCGGTGGGTCTACGAAGTGAGGTGAAGGTGGCTCTTCAGGGCAGCCGAGCAAACACCAGCGACATAAGCTTGAATTTGCAAGCGGCAAACAGCACGCGATCGACCTTTGAAGAAGACCCCCCATGGATGACCAGGCTTTTGTTGGTACTGTTTCACAGGTTGAAGTTGAAGCGTAGTCAGTACAAGCTTTGGAAGGAAGGGGGAAATGAAGTTGACGTCACATGAACCGGTAAGGAAAGAGCAAGTGGTGAACAGGTAGCTGCAACTGACTACCTGTCGTATTGAGGTAGCGCGCGCTTGTGAGGAAGTGAGCTCGAACTCTCCGACTATCTCCATCTTACCATCCGTAACGGTTTCCCGCTTCCCGTTTGTTTCTGTGGCCCTGCGCAATGTGCTCTTCAAGCGCGTCCTTCTGTGTTGTCGCGACATTGACCAAGCTCCGCAGGCTGTTCTTGCCAGTACCTGAGATAGACTTGAGAGGGTTGTGTTGCACCTGTTCGCCCTGTTGTCGCAGGTGCTCGTTATGGGCGTACTCGGTGTCTGTATTGAACTCGACGATCCTTGCAGAAGAAAAATCAGGTCCGTTGCGTCCCTTTTTCCCAAACAGTTGCCGCCGCTCAGTCTCAGACAGGTTGAGTTCTGACGCTATGTTGGTGAGTTCGTTGGCTGCAGGTGGCGCGGGTACGTATTGTGCAGGATGATGTGTTTGCTGTGTCATGGGAGCCTCATCTGCAGCATCGTCGTCCCCTTCCTCCTCATCGAAACCATACATCATGGGCTGATATGCGCCGCTTGCTGGTCCATTGGCAGGCGCTTCCTGTTCTTGTGAGACACCGAACAAGGACACTTTAGGCTTGGGCGGTGCAGCTTCCGCTGTTGGCGCCGATGACACTTTGCTATCCGGGGCAGGCGATGCAACTGGCCGAGGCACAACAGGCTTCTTCTTCTTGCCTTTGCCGACCGACATTGGCACGAATCTGGGAGCTGCTGGCTTTGGCGCCGGCGCGCTCTCTGTTGGCCCTGGTGCTGGTGCTGGTGATTCAGGCTTCGGCGACGCGTTTTGCTCTGACTTTGGTGCTGGGAGGTTGAGTAAGGCTCTAAAGTCATCCTTCTTCATCGGCTCCTTCTTGATGACATTGCCGCTCTCGTCGTACTCCTCGAGCTCCAACTTCGCCTCTCTCTTGAATGCAGGCTCGGCACCAGTCCGGAGGTTCACACCAGCGCCCAGTCCTCTCCCAAGCCCTCTGCTCCCCGGTGTGGCGCTTGCTGCTGGCACCTTGACATTGGCCTTCTTCGGCGCAGGCAGCATCGAGTTGAAACCGCCCAGTCCACCGCCCCCTCCAATGCGCGCCTTCTTCGCCGGTGGAGCCTCAGATCCGGTGTCATCGTTGTCGGTGGTCGCTGGAGATGCGCCGGGCAGATTGAGCTTGATGCGGCCGGGATTCGAGCGGTCAATGACTTTTTGGAATGCCCTGGGCGCAGGCTTAGGTGCAGGCGCGGCTGTGGGTGCCTCGCCGTCGGATTCCGAGTCGGAGTATGCGATCAGGTTCATGGCGATGGGTGGGTGTGTGGTGACATGGATCATATGCTCCGCGGTCGATCGCCGTTGCATACCTACCGGTAGATCTGGGTACCTGGTACCGTACTGTTGTCCAGCAACCAGGGTCCATCACCCCCACACCCTCGACCTCGACCTTCCAAGATAGCCCTCCAGCTGGCCTGGAGACACACGGGCGCTTGTGCATGCAATCATTAATGACATGACACGTGACGACCTCTCGCCGCCATGTCTCTTCTCCAGAACGAAGAGTAAGCGCTGTGTTCGGTCGCGAGTCCCCCGCGCGCACCGCAGCTAATGACGGCAGCTTCGTCCTGTACCAGCTGCGCACCGCCTACCTCGCGTCAATCAAGGATGGCGTCGGCGAGCGGCTGATCAACGTCAACTCGAGCGTCCTCAACCAGGTCGGCTTCCGCGCCGCCGGATGGGCGCCCAATCCTGCAGACATCAAGCGCACCTACTCGCCACCCATCCCGACCGCCGTCACCTCCGAGTACTTCCAGGCGCCGCGCTCGGCCGGGCTGAAGGCGCCCGAAGGCCTCGGCGACGATGAGGACGAGGGCGGAATGGTCACGGGCGGCGGCAGCAACGACACCGTGGGCCCGACCCTGAATGCGAAGCGGCGGCGGCGCAAGGAGCTGCTCGAGGAGGACGACAGCAGCGATCTGAGTGACGAGAGCGACGAAGACGAGGCCAGCGACCGTCCCGCAAACCAGATCAAGTTCACCAAAATGCCCCTGCGCACGCGCTCCGGCTCGTCCCCCGTCCGCGGCTCTGCATTGCGCAACGAGCTGGCGGACAGCGGAGACCAGCCCTCGGTCACCATCACCTCGCCCTCGCGACCTCCAGACAACCTGCTGCCCAGGGGCTCACTTGGCAGCATTGACGCCGTCAAGGGTCGTGCACGGCGGGACACCATCACCAGCAGCGAAATGTCCTCGGAGAACGAGTTCGACAATTCAGCCTTCCACAAGAGACGAGTCAAGCACGTGCGGAAGGCGGCAAGCTCACACCAGCTGCTGTCCAAACGCATCGACAAAGACGACGAGGACGCAAACGGCCGTCTGGAGGCGCTGCACGAGGGCAATGAATCCGACAGCTCCCTTGATTCCGAGTTCTCAGGCTCCGCTGACAGTGGCTCGCTCATGGGCGACAGTGGTCATCCGCTTGACTCTTCGCCTTCGGCCACCTTGCCTGGCATGCCCGCCCTGACACCTTACAACAACCAGTCACCAAAGCGGAGGAGGGAAGCGCCGCAACCCACCCTCCAGGCGCTCCCGCCGCCCAGACCAATCAGCTTCATTCTGCCTGTGAGCGCTCTGACCCAGGCGCTCCAAGCCAAGTCATCCAAACCATCCAATCCCCTCGCGCGCTTCGCCGTGTGGAATGCTGCGAGTGAGGCTCAGTCAAATCCTCTGTACTTGAAGCTGTACTGTCCGTGGTCTACTAAGCCCCTCAAGCCAATCGAGCTGCTTCTTAGGAAGTTCAACGATAAAGGCGAAGGCATCACTGTAGCGGAGGCAATCGGTTATGCACTGCATCGCTACCAAGAAGAGAAGATAGAGCCACCGCTAGCGCCCGAGAAATGCAACGTCAACTGCTGGGTCATGCGCATGTGGGACGACGATGAGGTCGATGACGAGTTCCCACCGTTGACCAGGAACAAGCCTTTGAAGGACTTCGCGTCCAACAACTCACGTGGCATGCGCCCTCGTGCTAGAGATAAGCCTTGGGACGAATTTGCCTTGGTCGAAGCCTCGCCGCGAGAAATTGCTGAGAACGAGAAGGTGACGCCCATCTACAGTGAAGAAGCTGCTGCAGCAGTCAACTCACAGAAAGATGTACCAGAAGATCAGGAAGAGCAACCGGCCAAGCAGCTTGCAAAACCGATACCCAGCCGTGCGAAGAGCTTCCGCAACCCCATTACTGGACCCTCATTTGCACCAAAAGCAACCCGCAAAGACACAAGTACCCTCGCAGATGCGCCTACTACGTCCTCATCGCACGCTGCAAGCCGTATTGGTGCTCCGAAAACAGTCAATGTGCACTACACTGACGAGAACTTCAATACCAGGCACATCCCTGTGCCTTGCACAACGGACACCTACATTGACGAAATCTTCGACAAAGTGTGTCATGACCTGCATCTCGACAAGGCCTTGTACCTGGTCAAAGTCAGTCAGTCGACCACTGTTGCTCCACTCGACCGCACAGTCGAGGCTCTTGGAAAGTACGCGGATATTGATCTGCTGCGTCGACGTTTTATTGCCGATGGTATCATGGGCCTGTCAGGCAGCCCAGGCTCTTCTTCTCCCAATGCGCCACTCATTATTAGTACAGGCGGCGCGCCAAAGAAGACCAAGAAAGGCGACAGAGTGCATGCTGCAGCATCGGGGCAACAGCTGATCCATCCTCTTGCAAGGAATCTCGACGCCTCGGCTCTCGCACTGTCATCAACGGGCTACTACCGTCGCTATGCGGTGCTCCGCAAGCAGCCCATGTCTTTTGCATCGTCCACATCTCGCATCATCGCTCTCGACAACGAGTACATCCACATCATGCCGGGCGAGTCTGGCCGGCGTGCTGGTGCTGTGGGCGGTGTTGTCGAAGGACAAGGTAAGACTACTACAGTGCACTTCAGCAGTGTGGTAGGTACAAAAGTTAGTAAGAAGCACCCCAAGACGGTCAGGCTGCTAGTGTATAGGGAGAAAGAGACGAAGAGATACGACTTCGAAGCAGCGAGCGTGGAAGAAGCCGCAGACATTGTCAAGGAGGTCAAGAAGGGCGTCGAACGGTTCCAAGAGGGTATTGTGTAGCGCACTTGCCCCGAGGAGCAGTCTCATTTGAAGTCCTCGTGGCCCAACTTAACTTGATGCACGGGCGTCTGAGAACTGCTGCATTGGAGAAGTTTAGCATCAAAACCCTGACCGTACACCTCATGGACCAGCTGGGGTCTTGTTGAACGATGAATGCTGGCACGTAAGCCCGGATCCAGCTTCCGACACAAACAAGCTCTGGTGAATATTTCTGACACGACCCTACGATGTCTTTGTGTTGTCGTACGGTTGGGGAGCCACAACCGCGCGTTGCTCGGCTAGCTCCACAGGTCGTGCAATGCACCCCTCAACGCCACAACCGCAAGAACCTTGTGTCGTACGACCATCGTCACGATTCCTCGAACAGTGTACAATAAGGCCTCAACGTTACTTATGAGTATATCGTATTGCAAGAAGCGTCACTTGTTTGCAGCAGTCAGTATGACAAAAATGCTGATATAGACCAATTAAGCGATTGCAGTCCTGCTGAAGCTTACATATGTCCCGAATCGTGACTCGTAACATCAAGTCATCTTTGAGATTGACCCCTAACATAAGTATACAGTGCCGACGGTAGGTACCTAAGTCACAAGCTAATCTCATCGAGGTATGCCACTGATTCTGAAGTCATCCTTTCAACACACTTCACACCTGTTTCCTCTACCAACCGGAGCACATCACCATGGGAATCCCCAAACCCCTAAATGCAGCCGTCAAGCAAGGTACTGGCGACACCGCCACCGTCGTGATACAGGACGTCCCCATACGACTCCCGACCCCCGACCAGATCTTCGTCAAGATCATCTACTCAGGTCTCTGCGCCACCAACAAATCCCTCCTCCATAAGGAATGGGCCTAGGGCCACGAGGGCGCCGACATGCAGGATCGCTGGCAGATTGGCAACGGCACGGGCATCAAGTAGATCGCCAGCGTGTGTGGCAGGTGCGAGTTCTGCACCAACGGCGTCGATGAGTGACATTTCCCCAAGCAGCTCAATTCGGTGTTTGCAATGGCCGGGACGTTCCAGGAGTATGTTGTTACCGACGGACGGTATGCGACGAGGATCCGGGATGGGGTCGAGGACGAGGAAGCCAGGCCCATCATGTGTGGTGGGTTGACGGCGTATGTATCTTGCAAGATAAGCGGTGTGAGGTCAGCGGGTGAAATTTCATTCCTGAGGCTGGTGGAGGGTGAGTGCTCCTTTGACGTTGCACTCTCGACGCAACTGCCCGCCATGAAAGCAGTATGGTGAAGTCGATGCTGACTGGTAGTGCTCTCGGTCATTTCGATATCCAGTACGCGAAAGCGATGGGTATGCGTGTCATTGCTATCGACGGAGTTGACGCGAAACGCGAGCTTTGTATGAGGCTGGACGCAGAGGCGTTAATCGACTTCACAACTACGACTGACATCCCGGCCGAGGTCACGAATATCACGGCCTACGGCGCTCATGACGTGATTGTCCTCTCGGCTGCAAAAGCAGAGTATGAACAAGGACCTCATCTACTACGTCCCGGAGGCACAATGGTTTGTGTCGGGCTGTCAACAGACACCATGGTCATTGCTGGCGCGCATACCATCATGATGTCAATGAGGAAGCTGAATATTGTTGGCAATTTTGTCGAGACGCTGAGGAAGTGCAACGAAGCATTAGACATCACTGCGAGGGGCCTTGTGCGTCCGATACTCACGCATGGCGGACTAGAGGATATCAATAGGTTCTGCGGGGGAGATGAATGCGGGTGAACTCGTTGGGCGTGCGGTCATCAAGATTGCGACGTAGATACTATGGTCTCGGATCTCGTGTTTCTTATACCCACCAAAACAGACCCTGTGTTCAAAAGCCCAACATGGAAATTCTGTGTTTGGAAGAGTGAAGATAGGAACTGCGCGCAACTCGACAGCCTCCCGCACAGCCACTGTGGCTGAAGTGTGGCACGAGCTTCTCTACTTCAACTTTGACCCGCACTGCCATCAACAATCATCAAAACATGCAATGCGAAGGGTAGTAGTCACAGGCTTAGGGCTTGTCACACCCCTTGGGATAGGTGATTTGTAACAAAGTCTGCGCTTCGACCTCTGCTGACTCATGTTCATCAGGTGTTCGCCGGACATGGCAGCGTTTGATAGATGGCCATTGCGGCGTCACGTCCATCAAGGACAGGAGCCCTCAATTTGCAGCATTGCCAAGTCAAGTCGCAGCAGTTGTGCCCGAGGGGTTGAAAAAGCATGGCAAATGGAACGCTAAGGAGTACATGGCTCCGGGTGTGCGTCTTCGCACCATTGTTCGAACTTCGCGAGGTGCCGCTAATGAGCTCAGGACGAACGCCGTATGGCGAAGTTCGCACAGTATGCTATGGTCGCGTCGGAAGAAGCACTGAACGATGCTGGATGGGCGCCAACTCAGGAGGAAGATCTTGAGGCCACAGTAGGTCGCTCGTAAGCGCATTAACATGTCTGTGTTGACATGCACATAGGGTGTCTACATAGGCTCTGGCATTGGCAGCCTCGACGATGCATACGACACAGCAGTGGCTTTTAACAAAGGCGTGAGCAAAATTGAAGCCTGAAGAGATACGTGTACTGATCGACTGCAGGGTCACCGAAAGGTATCTCCGCTTTTCGTGCCACGCCTCCTCATCAACCTTGCAGCGGGTCACGTATCGATGCGCTTTGGCTTCAAGGTGAGTGGCATCCTTGACTCAGTGCACGCGCATTGTGTTGACTTTATGAGGGGCCAAACCATGCCGTGACTACAGCATGCACGACAGGTGCCCACAGCATCGGCGATGCATCACGCATGATTCAGCTAGGCGATGCCGATGTCATGGTCGCGGGCGGCGCAGAATCTTGCATACACCCTCTGGCTGTATCAGGTTTTGCAAGGGCAAGAAGTTTGGCAACAGAGTTCAACGATCGTCCCACCGAAGCAAGTCGCCCGTTTGACAGAGACAGAGATGGCTTCGTCATCGGTGAAGGCGCCGGAGTCGTTGTCCTTGAAGTATACATCGCGAGTTGCTATGATGAACTATGCTTACGGTAGTAGGAGCTCGAACATGCCAAAGTTCGTGGTGCACGCATCTACGCAGAAGTTGCTGGGTACGGCTTGTCCAGTGATGCGTACCATATGACTGCACCCCGCGAGGATGGTCAAGGTCCACGATTGGCGATGAAGAAGGCGCTCAAGCACGCTGGGCTGCAGCCGGGATCCGTTGATTACATCAACGCTCATGCTACAAGTACGCCGCTTGGCGATGCAGCAGAGAACAGAGCGATCAAGGACTTGCTGCTCGGTGAGGAAGGCAAAGCTCGCGCTTCGGAGATAAACGTGAGTAGCACAAAGGGTGCTGTAGGTCACCTTCTTGGGGCCGCAGGTAGCGTTGAAGCAATCTTTACTATCCTTGGCTTGCACAATGTAAGTCGTCCCACGGTAATGGAAAAACCTACGCTGATCATGACAGAACATCCTGCCACCGACATTGAATCTGCATCATCCAGGGGATCCAGCGGACGACTTCAACTGCAACTACATTGCACATTCGGCACAACAGCACAATATCGATGTTGCGATGTCGAACAGTTTCGGTTTCGGAGGGACCAATGCGTCGCTTTGTTTTCGCAAAATGCAATAGGACGAGACATGTGTAAGCACACCAAACGTCTCTCTCATCTAATTAACTTGGCTCAAGTTCATTGAACAATCTTTGCCGAAAACCTGCTCATTCGGCTATTTGAGTGTGATTCGTGACTCGATAAGATCTCGACATCAGAAGTCGTGCCTGCCCCGCGGCGCGATATGGTAGCTGCCAGCCCCACTACGCGCCATTCACCCCACGGTACATGCAATGCTCGGCATCGGTAGCGTCCGCACTTACATCTGGATATTAACTTTGAACGTGAGGGCTGAAACTAACCTCACACCTTTATTGTCCTTTATTTTGCCGCTGTGGACGATCTAAGTGCTTTGCGATCGAAAATGGCGACTTCTCCGACCCCGTCGGTCCGCAACCACGACGTCGCGGACGCCAAACCATCGTTTTTCAGCAATGCATCGAAGAAGGCGTCCGAGTACCACTCGCGTGTGCCATACCTTAGCAAGCTACCCTTCCGAGCAATCGCAATCATCATCACCCTCATTGTTGTGAATCTGATTGTCTGGGCGGTGGTTGGTGTAGTTCTGGTACATCAACTTTGCACGCGTATAGCTGCAGGGCGATACTGACATCCGCACTAGCACTTCAACACGCCGCTAGTCTCAACAGCAATCCTATCCTACACCCTAGGACTCCGCCATGCTTTAGATGCGGATCACATCTCCGCTATCGACCTGATGACACGGCGTCTGATCGCCGCAGGCCAGCGTCCCGTAACTGTAGGCATGTTCTTCTCGCTCGGCCACTCGACCATTGTCATTATCACTTCGCTTGTCGTAGCTGGGACGGCAGCAGCTGTCTCCTCAAAGTTCGACAGCTTTGAGCGTATTGGTGGCATCATTGGTACCTCCGTGTCAGCCGCCTTCTTGCTGCTTCTCGGCATCATGAACATCTACATCCTGTACAAGCTGATTGTACAGATGCGGAAGATTCTTGCCAGCCAGCCAGGGCAAGAACATGAAGAGTTCAAGATTCAGGGCGGCGGATGCTTGTTTCCGGTCCTGCAAAAGTTGTTCAAGTTGGTAGACCGACCGTGGAAGATGTACCCTCTCGGTGTTCTCTTTGGTCTGGGGTTCGACACGTCGTCAGAAATCGCCATCCTTGGTATCAGTTCGATACAAGCCACCAAGGGCATCTCAATCTGGCTGATTTTGATCTTCCCGTTATTGTTCACGGCGGGTATGTGTCTGCTTGACACAACTGATGGTGCGCTCATGATGAGTCTCTATACCAGCACGCAGCTTGCGAGAGATCCCATAGCGATTTGCTACTACAGTATCGTCCTCACGGTCATCACCGTTATTGTTGCGACTATCATCGGAACTGTGCAGTTTCTCAACCTAATCTTGAACGTCGCTGAACCAGAGGGCAAGTTCTGGGATGGAGTAGTGAAGCTGGGCGAAAGCTGGGACATCGTTGGTATGTGTTCTCAGATAACACTTAAAGACAAGTGCTGACTATCGAACAGGTGGTGCTATTTGCGGCGCGTTCGTTGTCTTTGGCGGTCTTAGCGTTTTGCTATATAAACCATGGCGCCGGAGGGTGGATAAGAAGAGGCTTGGAAGCGCGCGCTTCGAGCCACTTGCGCAGGACACTGACACAACCGTGCGCATTGATGCGGGGCAATCAAATGGCCTAATGAGTGCCGGCGAAGGGTCGAAGGACATTGATGTTGTGGTGCTGTCTGTCGAAGCGACTGGTCTTGCCGGACCTGCACATCGTTAGAATACGCCTGACCGTAGGCAGCAGGCGCAGCATGGCTACAAAGTAGTCTGTCGAACTCAGCCTGCCAATATGGCACAGCTGCATATATTCTTGCGTTGTAAGGTCTCGTAGCTTAAGAGCCAATGAAGTGCCGCGCCACACTGCGGCCATTGTTCGACCTTCACTTCCCCCCACTTGTCCGATCTCAGCCTTGTCTCCTACACAACTACAAATGCTTTGATTGCCACGCAGAGCTGTACTATTCTCACCTTCTTGTACTCCAGCTGGGGGCCAATCGTCCGAACATCGTACTGCTCGACCCATCATCAAACGTCTGGCCAAAATGAACGCCACTAAAGTCGTGCTTGACTGGATCGTCGCGCACCCTTACCAGACAGCTTTTCAAGTTGTGAACGGCGTCATTATCTGCACACCCGCTGCAGCAACCGTGCCAGTTCTTGCTGCTCTTGGATTCGGTGCCGGTGGCCCAATCGCAGGTAGGTCAAGTCACGATCACATCACTGCTCTACAGCGTGGTGCTAGGGCTGTATATATGCTTATCTGTGTCGCAGGCTCCGCAGCAGCTGCCGTCATGTCTTGGTTTGGTACCGTGCCTGCAGGCGGCTTGTACGCAATCTTTCAGAGCGCAGCCATGGGCGGCTACGGAGCGAGTGCTGCAGCCGGGCTTGCGCAGGCTGGAGCAGTCTTGTCTTCTGTTGGAGGATGGTTCTTCAGCAGAAATCAGACCGCCAACTGAATGACCGACTACAACGGCCGTACCGGACAGTTCCGACTCATGACCTGGCGAAGGGAACGTGAGAGGGTGTCATGATGAAAGTGGAGGCGCTCAATAAGTAGAAGGTTGCGAACCAGCCAATGAAAATCACGCCTCGGCTACCGGTATGCCGCCTCCTTGATGAACGCGTCGTCGCGTCCTCCACGTGCAAGCTTGCCGCGCACAACATCGCTTCGCTGTACGCCTTGACGGCCAATATATATGCAACGTTATTCAGTCAGTTACTGAACCGACTTGACTGCGACTAGGGCATCAACGAGTATGGCACCACCAATAACACCCACGGAGGTTGCCCAACCCCTTACCGAGTTCACGACTATCGGCCACAACACACATCTATGGATATCACCATCATATACTCACTCGTCACCCCTCATCTTAATGTTTGCTTGGAACGCCGCAGCATCAAAACACATAGCAAAATACACCCTCTCGTACCAACATCTCTTTCCCAGCTCCCAAATAGTACTCCAGCGATGCTACACCTCGGACATGTTCACACGCAGCGCCCACTACGCAGCTCTGCTCACCCCAGCCCTGGAAATCACGTACCAGCACATCACTTCCGGCGGTTCCGTGCTCGTGCACAGTTTCTCCAACGGCGGCGGCAACCAAGTCAACGAGTTTGCCAAGGCCTGGAAACGCAAGTACGGCAGCAGACTGCCCATGCAAGTGCAGATCATGGATTCTAGTCCCACCAAGGGTCCGTGGATGAAGAGTTACGCCGCAATTTCCGCTGGGCTGCCAAGAACATGGTTTTGGAAATGGTTTGGCGGGCATCTGGTCCATATGCTTTTGCTGGGGTCATTTTTGATCAATGTGGTGAGACGCAAAGAGAACAAGATGGTGGTGTTGTGTCGCGAGATGAATGATGAGAGTGTCTTTGACAACGCTGTCCCAAGAGTATATTTGTATAGTCGGGCTGACGAGATGGTGGGATGTGAGGAGGTCGAGGAACATGCTGCGATTGCGAAGAGGAAGGGGTGGAATCTCACCATGGTCCGGTTTGAGAAGAGTGCACATTGTGGGCACGTCAGAGAGGACGAACAGAAGTATTGGGGCGCAGTGCTCGAGGTGTGGAAGTCTAGTGAGGGTAGATGAACAGATCGTATTGGTCTTCATCACGGTCACCGTGAGGTCAAAGCCGCGCTGCAACTAGAGATAGATAAATATTCCATACCAGACCACAGAAGCTGAGGAAGATCATACGCCGCTCGACAGGGCAGTATGTAGTGCTGAAGAAGTTTGCGACTGGCCAGACTTTGTATGAGTCCCAGATGAGCTTGAGAAGCTCCTGTAGAACGGTCAATGAGGTGCTAACCATGGAGCTAGAGGCTCACTTACATCATGGAAGCTTTGCGCGATTTGAGCGCTGGTCTTGCCTTTCAGAAGACCTATCAAGATCAGGAACATGGTCTGATTCAAGAGCGCGCCCATAGTTATGCACTGTCAGCATGTAAGCATATCCCCACTCATATAACAGCAGCCGAACACACATCTGTGAACCACTTCTTGAAGATATTGAGCCAATTGCGCTTCAGAACTTCCTCCTCCACCATGCGCTTATCTTCACCGTCCTCGTTCAAGAACATAGCCTTCTCCGCAGCATCGCCGTCTTCGGTCGTGGCGTGTCTTGTGCGCTTCACGGTCGTCCAGCCAGGGAAGGTGCGCTCCAGCCAGTGCTGCCAGTGGTAGTTCACAGGTGCAGTAAGCACAACCATGAAAGCAAACTGGAAGAAGAGCACGCGATCGAAGACGAAAGGCCTCTCATCGCTCCACGCCTTGAGTCGCTGGGCGATGATGTTGGAGCAGCAGTCGATGATGAGCGCCGATCCACAGGCAACGAGCATGGGATGAAGTCTCGCCATTGTGAACGTGGAATTGTGAAAGTGGGAGCGGCTGTGAGGACGAGGGTGGTTGCCAGTGGGCGCAAGACGAGAGATCGATGGGCGACAGAGGCGGTCTGGTTGAGACAAACACGGTACCGCCGAACTCAGGGAGAATCAGTCACTGTGCGATACAACGCTGTCGAACAGATCGCAGTGTATCTGCGAAGCCACATGGCGACCGCGCAGCGCTGATGAGCCGCCTGGCTCCACAGTTGCTCGAGATGAGATGCGCGGTTTCGGGCAATGTGCGGCCGAACCAACAGCCTAGCGTGATGGCGGGTCAGCATCAAGCAGACACCCCCTTACTTCGAGTCCATTCGACTATTGGCACATCCAAGTGCTATGAAGAGTAGTGCAGAAATCTTGCTCTGACATTCAGTGGTTTGCAAACCTCCTCGCTGCCCTGATTCAATACTTCTGTAGCATATCTCTTTGTCCATCCGCCTGCTGGTCCACATTCAAACACCTCTCCGCTGCAATTGCTGTCTGGCATGGTCTCAGAATCGTCCATTAGCCCGTTCATCGGTGTCATCAGGTTCTCCTTGCCCAGCTTCTTGTGAACAACGGCGAACCAATACTAGTCTGGACCACATTTGGCGCAAGTGCGTTGACCATGATACATCCGTTCACCAAGAGCTTGCCATAGCTGCGCGTCAATCCAACCAGCGCATGCTTTGCCGCAGTGTATACTGGGGGGCTAGGTACCCAGTACAGACCTCATACGCTTGCGACGAGTCCGATTCGACCCAACAGCCAGTCCTCCTTGCGTGTCTGTCGCCGGAAATGCTGCACAGCAAGAGCCACTGTATACAGCACTCCTGTCACGTTCACATCAAGAACAGACAGATCTGGCTTCATGAATTCCTGAGGCGTCTCTGCTAGGCTTTCTTCTGGAAACGGAAGCCATTTGCGCGCGCCGATGCCCGCGATGGGTGCCACGAAGTTGACGCGGCCGCCGCCTGATGCCCGTCAGTCAATCGCTCGTCGGAAAGCCGCTACTTGCGAGTCCCAGGATGAAGTGTCACATTGTACAGCACGGAGCTTCTCGTATCTTGCAATTTGTCAATGTCGCGATTAGCGCCGAAGACGTACCAGCCTTCGTTCAGTAGCTTTGTGGTGAGCGCAAAGCCTATGCCACTTGCACCGCCTCCAATTCGGGTCAGCAAAGTGGCAGTTATCAGAACTCGTGGGCTGTATATCTGTGATGAAAGCCGTCTGGGAGGCGGTTTTGGCCATCGGAACAGAGTAGATGCTGTTACAAAATATGCAGTTTGCAAGTTAGACCTGCTACTTGGTATGCTTTCCTTCCCCGCAGCTCAGCGTCTGGTGGGCTGCTCTGACTGCGGGGTAGTCTTGAGCGTACGATATCCATAACTTACTTTGTAGACAACATCCTAGAGAGCGCCAGATCGAGATTTCACGAAGGTGGCCTGTGTGAGGTTTTAATACCTGCAATGATGCGCTCGTCAAGAGGGGCTCACGAATGGTTGAGACACATGACGTAATTTCGAAACTGTGAACTGCAAACATCGTCTGATGCAATTTTGAGCGACCCTAGTGTTTGTCGTGGCGGAAGATCTCCCGGGAGCTTACCGTAACATCAAGAAAAGCAGACTGTGCAGAAATGACGAAATCGTTATCCGTTGCATGGCCTTCGGCGGATCAAAACGTTGACGCGTCCCGCAACTTCCGATCATTCGACCTTGTGCGAACAACTTCGTCAGTTGAACTGAGCGTAACGGAAACATCGTTTGACAACAATACCAGCACATTGCTGCCAGAGCCCCTGTATGATACGGAAAAGTAGCGTTGGACGGATTGAAACGACTCCAAATTCTCGCTAGTGACGACTCGGACGTCACTGATCATGCCTGAGATCATACTATCGATAAATGCTGGTTCGTCAAGTGTCAAGGTCTCTGTCTACAAAACGCCAGAAGATGGCGCCGATGTGCCCAAGCAGCTAGTAGAAGCCTCGATCGACGGCCTTACAGCACCTCCAGCAAAACTCAAGTATTCACGCGGCGATAAGACAATCAAGGGCAAAGAGTTGGAAGGCATCACATCGCAGAAAGATGCATTCGAGTACATTTTGGATCACCTGACCAACGATGAGGGTCTCCCGGAACTGAACAACAAAGAAGACATCCATTTCACATGCCATCGCGTTGTTCACGGCGGCGACTACCCGCGCTCTCAAGTCATCGACCAGGAGACCTACCACCACATCGAAGAGCTTAGCGATCTAGCGCCTCTACACAACGCTCCAGCGCTCAGCATTGTTCGCGCAGTTGCTGACATCCTGCCTCACGCAAAGAATATCGCTTACTTCGACTCGTCCTTCCACAACACGCTGCCAGAGCACGTATGCACCTATCCCATCGATCAAGCTGTCGCAAAGAAAAATAAACTGCGCAAGTACGGGTTCCACGGCATTTCATACTCCTTCATTGTGCACGCTGTGTCAACATACCTCGAGAAGCCCGCAGACCAGCTTAATATCATTGCCCTGCATCTCGGCTCCGGCGCAAGCGCATGCTGCATCCACAACGGCAACAGTGTGGACACTTCCATGGGCTTGACGCCTCTGGCAGGTCTGCCTGGTGCAACAAGATCCGGCAGCATTGACCCGAGCTTGATGTTCCACTTTACGCACAGCGCGGGCAAGCCCAGCCATAGCTCTGGCACACAAATGCACATAACTCAGGCTGAACAGATTCTGAACAAGAAGAGCGGCTGGCAGGCGCTCACAGGCACGACGGACTTCGGCAAGATCAGCGCGAGCGACAGACCTGAGGATAAGCTGGCTTTCGACATCTTCGTGGACCGTATTGGGAACTATGTTGCGCCATACTTCACAAAGTTGGACGGGAAAGTTGATGCTCTAGTCTTTGCCGGTGGAATTGGTGAGAAGGGTGACAGGCTGAGAAGGGAGGTTGTCAGGGGCGTCAGGTGCCTTGGTTTTGAACTCGATGGTAGGAAGAACAGCCAACCAGTGAAGGATGTGGTAACGGATATCAGTGACGAGGATGCAAGGTACAAGACGCTGGTTGTCCAGACCGATGAACAACTGGAGATGGCAAGAGGAACCTTGGTCGACAAGGATCGATTTGTAGGAAAGAGGTAGTGCGTATCGAAGGATTTGTACTAGACAGGGATCTGTCGTCCCACTTATTCATCTATTACATGAACAAAGCTCATCTCACATGGTGTACTTGAGAACAATGAGTTGCTACATCTTGCACAGCGTCTGAAGTGATTCCCTGGTGCTTGCGGACGAATCTTTGACAACTTTGATGATCTGCTTGAACCTAGTTTTGTCAGTCTGACAAGCTCATAGGTCTAAATCCTGGGTATGACAGGCACTCACTCTGCTGTCCCTGCATCTCCCACAGCTTCATAAATGAAGCTCTCGCTTGTTGTGACCACGGCACCTTCGTGCCTCAGCCTGGCTAGCGCAATCGGCACCTCTTCCTTGTTACAGCTGCTCACGCCATCAGCAATGACATAGACCTTGTGGCCCGCTCGGAGAAGATCGATTGTAGTTTGTGTGACGCAGATGTGGCTTTCGATGCCAACGATTATAGCGGAGATTGGTCCATTTGCGCGGAGTGGATCGAGGGCTTTCTGGACGTCTGGAGTGCTACAGGGAGTCAGTGGTCGATCGAGAGAGGCGAGAGAGAGGGTGTTTGACGTACATCATGGAGAAGAGGGTCTTGTCGGCGTGGACAAGGGTCTGGACGCCCTCAGGCACGTCGAGCTGGAGCTCGGGACATGTCTCTCCTAGTCTGGCTTTGTTCTGTGTCGTTGCAAACACTGGTATGTTGAGGATCTTGGCTGGGTGAGGTAATTAGTATGTAGTTATGAGCGTATCCAACAGCAGCAAGCCCCGTATGGCCATCTGGTGAAAGTTCGGAGGACAACAACATACTGGCTTTCAAAAGCTTCTGTGTGGTTGCTACAACTTTTGGGAACTCATGAATGGCGGGCCGGAACTTTTCCTGCAGGTCGCAGACACTGGCAGCGTATCAGCAAGGTATCGGGCCTAGAAGGTGGAACGCGCACAAGAGGGCGGGGTTTGCTGCATCTCCGTCAGCCTTGGTGGGAGGTGATGGGTCTTCTAGGCGTACCGATGCGTTGCTGTACCATTGTGGAGGATATCGATCTGCAAGCTATATTGTTGACAGTATTGTATGACTGCAAGACGCATGGGTGTAGAGTGCGCAACATGGTGATGGTTTAGTCCCTTCTGTATCCGGTGTCGGCAAGTGCTGCATCATCGTTCCTGCAGGTAATTCCGGTGGCCCGTGTCGATTCTCAACTTCGCAAGCGACGACGGCTATTTGGAAGCAGATCCGCAGCGAGTGAGCCCCCAAATTGCCCCAATCTATTTATGTGTTTCGAGTGGGCGACGTCATGCTGACTGGCGATTGAAACAATCGATGCTGCTGCGGTGTGCATATTGCCGCTAGAGGGAGAGGGTCAACGGAACAGCGGTAGCAACCGATGCGGCTTCAGTGTCCCTGCAGCAGCTCGCCAATGTGTAAGGCGCCGGTCTGACTGCTCCTCGGTCATTGCGCTAAGCACTGTGGAGGCAGTCAAATTTACTCCGAAACGGCAATGGGGGGCCGTGTGGGCTCGTATAAGACAGACACGCTCGGCTCTCATCATGTTCTGGCTGTTCGGTGAGCACTTCTATTTCGGAGCGTCATCTAGGCCGTGGAGCGTGCAGAAGGTGCTCGATGGGGCTGCTGGAAGACGACGACTGTAACAGTGACTGAGTGATTGAGTGACTGCCGTCACAATAGTTGATGTCAGCAATTGACTGACGTCCACATCAAGGTACTTATGCAGTAAAGAGCCACCATGGCCGGCATGTCAGGTAAGCCAGATGCAATGTGAGTCAGCCCCTTGGTGGACGCAGCTGGGTGTTCATCGTGAACAGCGTCCAATGGGCATGTCAGAACAGTGAGGGCGGCGGCATTGGCTGTTCGTTGTTCACTCTTTGAGGATGTGGGGAAATTGGGCAGGTATTGTGCTCCATCGCAGCCGCGCTCAGAGCGTTCAGCAGACAGCGTGAATAGATTGCTTCGGTCGGAAAGGCGCCCCTGTCCCATCTCTTGGATGTGGAGGCAACGGTCACGCTCATCCTACACCGTCCTAGCTGAGGGGACGCGGGCCCTGGCGTTCGTCCCTCCTTGGCCGCGCTTTTGGCCGGGTCTTTGGCCAATTCCACAGATCTAGTCCCCAAGGCACGACCTGCCTTTTACACTCTGCACACGCTCACCCTCATTGCTGTTCGCGCCTTCGCTCCGCTCTCTCCTGTCTCGTGCATTGCTTTGTCCCCAGCAGTCACACTAGAAGGTCGCCGAGAGCAGGCCTCCCGCGGCGCCGAATCACAGCGAGCGAACCGTCTCGACTCCACCGCAGGGGTTCCGACCAGAAGTCATTCCCGCTCACGACAATTCCCACGCGTGCCTTCACAGCACTGCTGAGACAGACGCCCCGTGCTCCAGCCCGCGTCTCCGCTACAGGTGCACTGGCGAACGTCACAGCGTGCATAGCGTCCTTCGAGCACGAGCATAGGGAGCCCCTCCTCGCATTCTCGCCTTGCACCGACGCCCGCCCTGGGAACACACGCCGCTGAACTTTTATGAGCGACCGCCGCCACGCCAGCGCTGCCTATCTCTACGCCCCATATCCACCAGCCACTATTATCTATCTAGACCACCGCCAGGTCCAAGGGCGCATCCCCCGACTCGCCGTGCAGTCTCCCTCAACAGCCACTCCGGGCCAGAGCTGGTCTCAACTGCATTCGCGGAAGCAGCAACACCAGTCGCTTAGCCACCTCTCGCCTCAGTCGCTGCAGCCCTTTCTGCAGCTCGCGCGCATCGACGAAGTGCACTCTCACGTCTCAGCCGCTACGCCCTCGTCCACCACCGCCGTCATCGTGTCTCCGCACTACAGCCCGCCACCGGAGCGGGAAGAGCCCCGTTTGCTGAAGCAGAAGCCCTTTGTGAAGACGGCGCTTGCGCGTCAGCAGCTCGATGGGCCTAGAGAGCAGGCGTACAGCGTGCATACCAGCGCGCCTAAGATGACACCAAATGATTTGCGGAATAGCAACTCCACGCCGAGCAAACGAGACGATGCCAATACCACGCCCCAGCGGCTGCAACGCCCGTCCATTGTCTCGCAGCACTCGAATTCGGTGCCTTCAACGCCGCTGCAGCTTGCCCGCAAGTACGAGTCGCACTCCCGCTCGCCGTCTCCCAACGGTGGCTTGGGCAGCCATTCGCCGCGCTCCGTGTCGTCCGAGGCCAACAGTACTATGCCGACATTGCGTGTGGGGCGGCCCTTCAAGTGCAAGTACGAGACGAATTTCGGGCAGCTAGGGCGGCGACGAATGCCATATAAGGAGTCAGAGCTTCTCAATCCGGCAGATAAGGTGCCAAAGAAGGCGTTGGATCCCCACGAGGACGACAAACTTAGTGGCGACATGCGCGAACTGTATGACCGGTTACAGCCGAGCGTGGAGAACACTCGCAAGCGCGACCGATTTGTGCAAAAAGTGAAACAGATACTCGACATCGAGTTTCCGGGGAGTCTGTTCACCGTGCATGTGTTTGGCTCGTCAGGCAACATGCTGTACACAACAGACAGCGACGGTAAGACCACCATATGACGCTGTCTATGCGAGGTCTGGTACTGACACTTCGACTAGTTGATATTTGTATACAAACGCCCATGACCTCGCTAGAAGAGATGCATCCGCTCGCCGAGGCCCTCGACAAACGTAAGCCTCCCGTAACGATGCATATACAGTCCGCTGACAGTGATTTAGATGGCATGCAACGTGTAGTATGTATACCAGCGGCCAAGGTCCGCATCGTCAAAGTCTGGGATCCCGAGCTGGAGCTTGCATGTGACATGAACGTCAATAACGTTGCTGCTCTCGAGAACACAAAGATGATCAGGACATACATACAAATAGACGATCGCGTACGAGAGCTGGCTATGATTATCAAGCACTGGACGAAACAGCGACTCATCAACGATGCTGGCATCGGCGGAACGATAAGCTCGTACACCTGGATCTGTTTGATCATCAATTTTCTTCAGACCCGCAATCCGCCAATCCTGCCGGCCTTGCACAACTTTCAAGAAACGGATGGCAAAGGCCAGATGTCGCGCTCTGGCTTTGCTGACGATATCGAAAAGCTTCAAGGCTTTGGCGATGCAAACAAGGAAACTGTGGGGCAGCTGCTCTTCCAATTCTTCCGGCTTTATGGACATGAGATCGATTACGAGAAAGAGGTCATCTCAGTGCGTCAAGGGAAGCGACTTTCACGGGAGGACAAGGGATGGCACCCAGGGGGTGGGCAAAAAGAGGGCACCAATCGACTTTGTGTTGAGGAGCCCTTCAACATCGAACGCAATCTTGGTAATTCCGCGGATGACTATGCGTGGCGTGGACTACACCTAGAAATCCGAAGAGCTTTTGACCTGCTCGCCGACGGGCAACGACTCGACAAGGCGTGCGAGCAGTATGAATTCCCCGAGGCACAGCAGCCTAACCCTCTGATGTTCCAGAAACCGACTTCGAAACCGGCCATTCTCACGTCTAGCGTACCCATTCGAAGTAGTCGTGGAGGGTCCAACCATCGGGGCGGAAGAGGAGGATTCAACATGAAAGGACAGCACAACAATGGCAGCCGAAGATCTTCCGGCAGCCAGCCTTTCACGCAAGGGAGACCTGGATTCTTGCACAGTCCACCCATCCAGCACGGCCCCGGCCAGGAGTATTTTGCTGTTCCTCGAGGCATCCATGACCAGTTGCACGATCAGCTGTTTCAGCAATATCAGATGCTCGAGATGCAGTCAAACTCTTTACGCGCTCAACTAGCCGCGCAACAGCACGCTCAACAAGCGCATCGTGCAGCCCAGATGCATGCGCACGCTGTTGCACAAGCACAAGCACAACACTATGCTCCCAATGGATCGAATGGATCTCCGCAAAAATCATCTTATATCAACGGTCGACTGAGCCCTAGATTGGCTGAACTTGGAATCCCGCCAAATGCCCTTCCGCAGGGGTTCATGTATCCATACCCAGGATTCTTTAGTACTCAGCATCCTGGCACTGGTCCCCAAGACTCTGTGCGGACCAATCCATCCTCTCCATCATTGAGCACCAGCATGCCGGGTGCCCGTAGGGTTGTGCATCGGGCCTCGAACGCCAGCGACACAAGCGTCAACCGCTCACAGTCACAGCCTGCGCGTGGGATTCCACAGCAGCCAGTATTAGCCAGCTATCCCCCAATGCCTCAGTTTTATGACCCTGCAGCTTTTAGCGGATATCCGATCGCAAGATCGTCTCAAGATACGCCAGAGACGCAGTCAGCCTCGGACACGCAGTCAAGTCCTCCATCACACAACGTCGAGCCTGCGGGATCCCCATTCTATACTACGCCAAAGGAGTATTTGGGCTACTACAACGCCGAGCAACCGCCTGTGCGATCGCTCCAAGAGTACGCTGTTGGTGCTATACCATCATTCAGCGAATTGAAGCAGAGAAGAACACGAGTGTCACCAGAGATCACGCAACCGCTCCTAAACACTGCTCTTCGACGTGTATCTCGTTCGCCTTCTCCATTGCGTGGGCATGTCCGCAATGATTCGATAGGCCCAGCCTTGATTCTGCCAGGTAGTGACAAACGCAAAGCTCGCGTCGATTCTGTCCGTCCCTCTTCTGATCTTGGGCCGGTCATCGCCAACGGCTCGTTCCCTACACCATCTCGTGATCAGCTCAGGGGTGACATGGTAGAGACACCTACGACGACGGAGAATCTTGGGTCCTCCATAATCGGTGTATACGCCAGTCAGCCAACCTTGCAACAGAATACGCAGCAACAGATCAGGGAACTCCAAGCCCGGCAGCAGCTCGTGCTTGAAGAGATGCAGAGACAAAGTGCAGCGAACGTGACGAGCAGTCCTATCGTGAATGGCTCAGCAAAAGTCAGTTCTCCAGTCGATGTCAATGGGTTGATACGAATGCCTGGCGAAGACCGGCAGCCTTTCCCGGATGTGTCAGATGACATCATAAATTACGATGCTAAGAAGGAACGACCTACCCATATCGAAGACGCCTCTCCAAAGCGTGATCTTCCTCCCTGGCGTGCTACTGCTCTGCCGAACGGTCTGTCTTTGGACACAACCAATGCGCCTCGTGCTCCGCCCCAAGAGATTAAGACTGCCAACATTCCGTTACTCTCGCCGGTTTTCGAGAAGCGGACACCTTCGCCCACTGCGAATCGACCTGCAGACAGCAAGGCAACGAATGGTACCAAGAGTCAAAGCAAAGAATACCACCAGCAGGGCCGCCGAGCATCGCTACCGAAGCAGTCGACACAGAGCAAGGACAACAGTCGTGGCGTTCAGCAAAAGTCCAACGACAAGAACCAAAAGCCTGGCTCTTCCACTACCAATGCTGGGCCTTGGCAAAATTCCCAGGGCCGACGAAAGGGGAAGGGCCGCAAGAAGACGCCAGAGCAGAAATCAACAGGCGAACTTCTGCCTACTAATGTCTCGGAGCGAAAGGGCGGTTAAGCATTATACCCACAGTAACACTATGTGTCCGCGCGACGAGCTGTCCCGGCCCCTCCAGCTCGGGGGTTCCACGGGATAGAGTCGAACACAATGACTGGGTGTGCATTGCATAGAATAGCGACCGACTTGGCTGTCACGTTGAACCTCGGTGTCCTGCCGGACTACTCCACGAGTGTTGTCACTTTGCCTGGGGCAGAGAGGCATATCGCACGTCAAGCGTCTCGCGCGAAACAAAGAGGAGACCAGTGCGAGGAAACCATCCCTCACAGGGTGTGTGAGAAAGAAGACTGGTAGCAAGCCTTGGGAAGGCAAATAACTATTTGCTCAAATGCCCAGTTGTACCTGGATGATACCAGGATGCGTTTCATTTTTTCTTTCATCAACGGTCAACATACATCATCTGTTTACCTGCACGCATGCATGCTCGCGTGGTTTTCGGCATTACCTGGAGTTTTATCGCATGTTGCCATACCGTTCGGTGCTTGGGGTCTTTGGTCAATACACAAGCGTTCTCTTTCGCATTTGTCCTGGGTTGGCGGAACTGGAACGATCATGGGCTGGCACTCTCTGATATTATGACGGAAGGCAATGTAGAGATAAAAGAACAGCGATGAGACGGTGTCAAAACGACGCGAATTGTACGAGGGGTATGACCTCCCGCCATCGAGTAGCTCAAACATGAAATCATTCAGCGCAAATAACTGCTCAGATTGGGCTGGCGTCACTGTTTTGCTTAGCGCGCTTTCTTGCCTCAATGCAGTCCAAAGAAAGCGCGCTATATAGGATGATGCCGTAGTGTTGCCGGCCACCAAGCTTTCAGCACACCTAACGAAACTCTTCGACTCAACGTGGCATGCTGGTAGTTGCTCTTGTATGTCTTGAGTGGAACGCAGCGATTACTAGACGGCAGCTATTTGTGGGCAGATTTGCAACAGGACTACACGCCAATGGAGGGGATGACCAGAATGTCACGGCTTTATTGCGGCAAGACAAACACAATGCAGTGCTAATCGACGCGCTGTAAGCCCACAGGGACACGAGGTACCCGTATTCACGGGATGCTGCCAACGATGATCCCAGCCCTCTTACCTGCACTAACGAGGACACGCAAGCGCAGTTCAATTCTCGATCACCAGCCACGGACAAGCGGGTCGCTTACACAGCCACTGCACGACGGCATCATTTGAGTATCCACCTCGGCCACAATTGCGGCACGATGGCAGCCTGCACAGTTAACAATTATGGCCAAGCTACTGGAATGGAGCTTATCAAAGCTTATGTCTTTCTGTGAGGCATTTAATCTCGCTAAAAGGCTTGTTCCGCTCAGCCTGCTTACACACCCTTGCTCGCGTGGACGCCGAGGCGCACCATCCCAGCCACAAAGATCCAATGAATTGATCGAGTCAAGGACGTTGATCAGCTCAGCCACTCCAGCGTGCTTCGATTTGATTGCGCTCCGGGTCGTAAAGTTAGAGGACCGAGCTCGATCGAGAAATAGTGTGGAGCAAGAGGCGGTGCAATGGAGCTTTCCAGCCAGTCATGAGTTGGCACTCAGCATGCAAGTCTTATGATCAGGGTCGCACAGATATGACCGGTTTGCGCGGGCACCCGCAGCTGGCGACGGTTGTGACGCTTTGGTCAAGGCCATACCTGTCTCGAGGTGCTGGGGTCAATAGTTATTGGTCTGGGCAGTAGGTATAAAGCCTTTCTCGCTGTTGCTGCAGCACACGGTCTTCTATTTTACACCCGATCTCTCACACGCCCAACCCAATATACCCGTCAACCCGTGAAGCTTCGTACATCACCCTTCTTCGTCAGGTGAGCTCTCTTCATTACGAAGTTAGGCCAGAGTAGCTAATCTCGATCCCTCCAGATACCAGTACAACAATCTTCACCGCAATGCCTGCCAGCACCGCCTCCATCTCCACCATCATCAAGCCTAAGCCTATGGGCTGTGGGGAGTCCTGCGAGTGCTGCGGCTGTGCCGAGTCGTGTTACTGTACCGTCATGTAAAGGGAGATTAACGAGATACCACGTGCGGGATCGTCAGGAGTCATAAGGGATTAGCAGGAGTCTTCAGCAACAACGATATCAATTCAACGGGTTTTTGAACACAATCTCTCCGTCGACCTTACCCCAAGTCAATCACCGCCAATAGAAGGTGCCACATGTGAAGGCAGTGCTTAGTTGTGCCAGCAGAACGCCTTCGCCCGAAGGCTGTGAGCGCTAGCATGACTAACCATACCTTCTCACACCAGTCTCATTGTTGCAACCGGCCAAGGTGAACCCACAACAAACTGATTTATGGTGAATGGTCGGTTGATCTTGCTCAGCCCTGGCACCGCCATTGTTTCGATTAACTTTCAGCACTAGAACAATGATACACGCAGTTCAAGGGTGGAAGCAGTGGGTCCCTGACCTAATAGCATCGTAATTGCATCTCCAGACCAAGATCAGAACAACAATCTCCAATCTTACAAAGTGCATTGTCTGATCTGGATAAGCCACCACCGTTGCGACGAACCATCCCACGCCTGTCTGCTTTTTAGCGCGCATCTCATCCGGCGAGCTATACCGTGTCCGTGCGCGCAATGCACGCGGTCGCGCAATGCACGATATCCTCAAAATAGGCTACTTTTTCAACGCGTCACAACACAACAACATGACTCCAATTGAAGCTGCGCTTGCGCATATAAATGCACTTGAACCTGGAGAGAAACTTGTCTATCAAAAAATTGCAGATCAATACAGTTGCAGTCGGTCAACGTTGTCGCGGAGGCACCGGCAGCAGACAACGTCGCGTGCAGTCAAGGACTCTGAGCAGCACAAACTCAACCCACAACAAGAGGCAGAGCTTGTAAAGTATATACAAGAACTCACTACCCGTCGCTTACCACCTACAAGAGAGATGATACGAAATTTCGCCTCTGCTGTAGCGCAGGAGACGCTCTCTGATAGCTGGGTCACTCGCTTCCTCCACCGTCACAACAACTGCCTCCTGCCACGTTGGGCCACCGCTATGGACTCCAATCGCCACTACGCCGAGTCATATACCAAGTATAAACAGTACTTTGATATACTCTACTCTAAGATTGATGAGTACAACGTAGAGCCAGAAAACACATACAATATGGACGAGAAGGGCTTTATGATAGGGGTCATTGGCAGGTCAAAAAGAGTATTCAACAAGCTTCAATATGAGAGGAAGGAGGTGCGGCAGTCTATACAAGCTGGTAACCGGGAGTGGGTGACAGTGCTGGCTTGTGTATGTGCTGATGGGAGTGCTTTACCACCTGGTATCATATATGAGGCAGCTGGGCCAGCTATACGATCGAGCTGGGTGGACGATATCAAACCAGAACAGCACTCAGCACACTTCACTACATCCCCTACAGGCTGGACAAACAACAACGTTGGCCTTGCCTGGCTTGAACAGGTGTTTGATCGCTATACCAAGCAGAAATCACGTGTGCAGTACCGGCTCTTAGTTGTAGATGGCCATGGCTCCTATATAACGATGGAGTTTATCAAGTGCTGTGATGATCATCGAATTCTGCTGGCTATACTGTCCCCGCACTCAACCCAGACTCTCCAGCCGTTGGACGTAGTCTGCTTCGCCCCACTGGCTCATTTCTATACTATTGAGCTCACTGAGTACCTCCAGCAAAGCCTAGGGTGGCTCCCAGTCAAGAAAGGTGACTTCTTTCCACTGTTCTGGCGTGCTTGGGTGAAGAGCTTTACAGAGAGTACTGTATTGAGCTCCTTCAGAGTTACTGGGATATGCCCACCTGATAGTAGCCAAGTACTTGATCGCTTCACCCACGGAACCCCTGAGGCAGCTGAGAGCTCTGATTCGTCTACTTCTGTGTATAGCGGTGACGACTGGGTCAAAGTCCAGAGTCTTATCAAGGCTGCAGTGAAGGACAACGATAGTAGAGAGACCCGGAAGCTTCATCGGACTCTCCACCATCTATCAGTGCAGAATCAGCTTATACACCATGAGCTGCAGGGCCTTAAGGAGGCTGTAAAGACTAAGAACAAGCACAACAAGAAGCCTAAAGTACTGCCTCTGCAGCGGGAGCAGGAATATTGGAGTGAAGTGACTTTCTGGTCACCTACCAAGCGACGTGAGGCAGAGGAGCGTTATCAGCTACAACAACAACAGGAGGAAAGAGAAGAGCTTGCCAAAGTAGAGCAGCGGCAAGCACGCGATAAGAAGAAGCAGGCACAGGAGGGAGAGAAGGAGGAGAGGCGTGTGGCGCGAGAGGAGAGGAAGAAAGTGCAGGAGAAGGAGAGAGCTGAACAGGCAGCTGAAAAACAACGTCAGAAAGACGCCCACAACGCTGCCAAACCTATACAGTTATCCCAAACAGGCAAGAAGAGAGCCTCATTACTATCTATACAAAAGAGCAAGCGTCAAAAACGTGTGGTGGATGCCGTGGGTGGTGCTCAAGCCCAGGAGGCCTCCTCAAGCCAACCACCCGTCACGACGTCACGCGGCCGCAGCGTCAGACTGCCAAGTAAATTTAAATAGTACAAATTAATCGTCATACTTCAATTACTACTACACCACAATATTATATATATTTACCATTTGTGGGTGGCTGTAGAGCCTCATTTTTGTGAACCCGTTGGGCCCAAAAATCGTGCATTGCGCGACCGCGTGCATTGCGCGCACGGACACGGTACCGGTACCGTGCCCGTGCGCGAAACGAGCCAGTTCGCGGGTCGAGCCACCCCGCTATGATTGTGATGTAACTGTCTCAAATTCAACCTGCCATAACTCCACCACTATAGAACTGATTTAAGAAGCAATTAAATATCTAGAATTATGTAAAGCTAGAGATAATATCTTGTAACTTACTGCAAAGTTGCAAAGATATTTAGTATTGATTGAACAACGTTATTGCGGAGGCACAGAGGCGTGCAGCGTTCCTATCGCGCCTAGGCACAATAACAGCTTATACTTAACCCATAACAAGAGGAGGAGTTAGTGAGATACATAGAAAGATGCACAAGAAACAGCTTGCCACCTACTAGAAGCATGCTGCAAAATTTTGGCAGCGCGGTTGCGCAGTTAGAGGTCTCTGATAGCTAGATTACTCAGTTTCTACATCACCATGCTGACAAGCTCACCACTAAATAGAGCGCTGGGATTAATCGTGAGCGCTACTAGGCTAACAGCTAGCATAAGTACGAGTTATACTTTAGCTTACTTCACTCTAATATTGTAACGACGCAGGCAAGAAGAGAGATATCCGGAACAGGTGTGAATCCGCTACAAGGCATATGGGAGTGCTGGGATAATAAGAACACCAGGATATATTCTCTACACCTATAGGTCTTGTACAAAAGGATACAGAAAAACTACTAGGAAAAACAACAAATCTATAACGTACCTCACAGGCGAGCCGTACAATTACGCTCTATCTGTATGTCAAATTTCGGAATTTTGGGATATTTCATACTAGTGCTGGTACGCTCGCAACGACGTTGCAACATCCTTACGAGGTCGTTTAATATGGGCACTCAGCGTTTTGGCCGCCGGCAACGTTGGCGCGAAATCGGGGCTGTTAGGGCCGTTGAACAGTCGTTGCACAACCATGCCACGACTGCCAGCAACGGCCGGATTTCAAAAAAAATTCCCGATGAAGTAAGCAGCAGTGATAGATTCTGAGTAGAATTGTCTATTGCAATTTTCTATAATAGTCTTGAACAGTGCTGTACTGTTGTGCAGAGTTGGAGTTTTAGTGGAGACTTGGCAAAAGTGGTCTAAATACTTATAAAGTACGTTACACACAAAGCTTGTCTAGTTGAAGACACTCTTTCTCGACCATTTGCTTCTCTTCCTGATTTTCTTGCCGTAAATATAGAACACAAATGGTACTGGTATTAACAGGGCGGCAAACCCGCCAGTGATGCTGCTCGCCGGTCCCTATCGCATGTGTCAGTACTAGGAGCTGTTGAGGATCAAGAAACAACTTACAACTCCGATGTTATGATACAAAGGCGTGACTACCAACGGGAATGCACCAGCAAAGCAACTTCGCAGGAAGGTATTCGCTGCGACAGCAGATGCAGCATACTCCGTAAACGTGTCAACCAGATAATTCAGCGCTGCCTGAAAGATGGTGAAGAAACCTGTACCCAACATAACCAGGCCAATGACAGGTGCGATCCAAGGGAATTGTGGATCCGCTGTCCAACCCATGACAAACTGCCCTGAAGCAAACAGTACAGATCCAAGCATCATAGGCGGCAGACGTTTCTCTGGTACAGCACGGTCGCCCGCTGCATGATATGCTTTGTTATACAAGATCTGGTTGTAAGAATTTATTGCCGCGCCAAAACACGCACCAAGGAAGATACCCAAGAAGGGTAGTGTAGCAGACACCGAAGACCAGCCTCGCTGCTCGCCAAAGATGATGGGAACGCCACCAAGCTGCATGTACAATATACCATAACAGAAGCTGGCGTAGAGAGCTACAAGGAAGCATATAGGCGTCATCAGAAGCTGGATAGGACGGACCAAGAATTTGCGGCATAGCTGCGAAAAGCTGACGTCCCATTCTTCGAATTTTGCGTGCAGAGCCCAATCTGTACCGTTGTTAGCTTATGGATTAGGTCCAAGAATCATTTTGCCTCACTGCCAGTTTCGTGGCGCAGGCGGCGCGCCTTGTAGACCAGGAGCTTCGGCGGGTAGGTCTCATCGATCAGTATTACATCGAACACGACTATGGCGCCTTGAATGATGCCAGTGAAGTACTCCGTCCAGCGCCAGCCAAGCGATGGGTTGGACACGAACGCGGCAGATGCGATCGGTCCTACAGCTTGCATTAGTACCGTGGCTCACTTCGGGATGAACGGCAACGTGCCTAGACATGGACCGCCAACGACGGCCATTGCGTAGCCAGCCAGAGCCAGTGCTCTCCATGCAGGACTATAGAGATCGCCTAGCACACCACCCGTATTGGTGACTGGTGCACTTGCGAAGAAAGCGCCAAAGAAGCGTGTCAGCATCAGCGTTTGGAAGTCCTTCGCGGTTGCGCTTCCAAAGCTGAAACACATGGCCAAGAACATAGGCGCCAGTACAGCCAGCTTTCTGCCGAAGACCTCTGAAAGTGGCGCCCATAAAAGAGGACCTACACCGAAACCGAACAAGAACAGTGTAGTACCCAGCACAGCAACCTGGTCCCCGACATGGAACTCTGCAGCAACTTGCCGCGTGCCAGCGCTATAAGCAGATGATGCCCATGTCGCAGTCATCTAGTGCACATCAGTCTTGATTGTCTGCTTGCACATCGGGTTTAAGCCTTACCGTGGTCAGACCATACATCATAGTAGTGAGAACCTTCTTCTTAGTGGGCCAATTCATGGGTCGGTATAGATCGTCAAGACCATCAAAGTCCACAAGTACATCTGCAGCAGTCTGCTGGTGGGCCAGCGCGTGAGTAAAGGTCGCCGTATTTGTCCGAGTCCGTAACCTCGATAACGTTGTATCGCGTCTCGAAGGCGACTTTGAGATGGGCGCTCCCGTGCCTGTAGCTGTCGCGAGAGGTTGTTGGATTGTTCGAGCGAAGCTGGCTTGGCTGCGCGATCTGGAAACGCTTTTCTTCAATTCTCGGCTTGATGGACGGTGGCCGTCGAAATCTTTCTCATCCCTGTCAAGATCAGAATCTGGCGAGCTTAAGCTTGATCCTACCCTTCTTCTAGTCTTGGATTTACGTTTTGATTCAGTGGCCACATCCAGTGCTCTTGAGAACGCTCGAGGCTCTGACCTTTCTGGGGCTGCCGAATTGGCATCTGGCAATTCAGGCATGTCGTGTCGACTTTTGGTGGCGTTGGGAGTTGTGACAGGACGTGATTGATAAAAGTTTATCCGCACAGTGGTTCACAGAACTTCCAGCCCTTGCTCAGTGATCCGGAAAACACTGTAGCTATGTGGCAGCAATTCCGATCTTGCAACAGCAGTTGATTGAGTTTATCGGGTGAGTATCGTGGTGGTCTGCGGAATGCCGCCGGATGATCTTGATAATCGGTGCAGCTGTCAACGATCTTAAACTTTGAAAAGTGCCGGCGCCATCGCCACTTTGCAGGGCTGTTTGATAACCAAATATGACGTACCGAGTGAGAGTAGCCGCTATTACTGCTAGCGTAGGCGGAACAGACGCTTGGTTGGATCATGTGTCGGTCACACCCGTCGTGCATTGACATTTACGGCACGGAAAAGAGCAGCTTCTTCGCTTGTCTTCGATTCGACGTCTTCGGCACGTGACTTCTGCGTTCAATATGATCCCAACTCCTTGGCGAGTGCTGCTTGAAAGCCCGAACATCCATCAGCGCGTGGCTCTTACGATTGCGCACTCATATCTCCACGAAGAGGCCAGCGCGTTGAGCACATTCGCGACCTGATTACTTCACCACAGTTCGAAGCTTAGTAGATTCCTCGCTCAAGTAGCAATATAGTTCATCAAGGTGGTACTCGGATAGGATCAATGGTAACGTTCATACTCAAGCGCCTTCATGGCATTAATATTCGAACAACAGTCGGGGGTATCATTGTGTTGCACTCCCTGCCGAGCTTACACCCTCCTTCACACTCAAATGAAGCCGCTGACACCGTCCTTGAAATTCGCGAACATCTCCACCGGGAACTGATCAGCCAAATGCTGATAACCTACAGGGCCCGGGTGTAGGTAGTCACCAGAGTTATACTGAGGCGCAAGTTGACTCGGGATGCTCGAGTCAGCGAGGAACTTGTCGAAGTCCGCAACTGCATCAAAGGTGCCTGAATTGCGAATGAAGTCATTGATCTTCTGCCTGCAATCCTAGTCAATAGCCGTTGTAATCGCATCGAAAACAGACTTACCTCGTCGCTTCCCTCACAGGACTCGAGTACGGCTGCTCCGTGAAGTTACTCGGCGCGGAGAACGGAGTAATAGTGGCGCCAAACACCGGGATACCATTTGCATGAATCAGCGTGACCGTCTGCCGATATGCCTGCACAAGGTTCTCATATACAGCATTCTGCGCATCTACAGTCGCCGCCGCAGTCCCAATATCATTCACGCCCTCAAAGATCATCGCGTACTTCACGCCCGGGTGGGCGAGCACATCGCGGCTGATGCGGCCGAATGCATTCGGGCCCAGACCGTCGACTAAGATGCGGTTGCCGCCTGCTGCAAGGTTGCCAAAGGAGATGTGCTTTGTTGCAGCATTCTTTTGTAGGCGGGTGAGGAGCAGATCCGGCCAGCGGTTGTTTGCGTTTGGGGTGGAGCCGCGGCCGTCGGTGATGGAGTCACCTACGATCAAGAGGCTGCCAGTGTTCTTGGGGACCCATGCTTCGATGCTGGAGAGAAAGTACCAGTGTGCTGCGGATTGGGTGGTAGCGTCCGTGATAGTGAGTTGTGCGGCGTCGACGGCGTTGCCGAACTGCCACCAGCTGGTCGTTCTGCTACCGGGGTGACTGGTAATGGAGTTGGTCGTCTGGCCAGCTGCGAGGTACGCTGTAACTGTGATTACTTGCTGTGCCTTGATGGGGAAGTTGATAGGGTCTGAGACTGCAAGTGCACCATTTGGGATACTGATTGAGCTCATGCCGGAGAAAGTCACTTGCTGCAAAGTGTTGGCCTGGATCTGGTGGATGCCTGCTGTCTGGTTGATGGGTAGAGCGACTGTGACTGCTGTGATGGGCAAGTTCGAGCCACCGAAGACGTTTGATATCTTGATCCGTATCTGTGAAGCTTCTGTTGTCATATATAGGGTTTGTCGAATGGTCGAATTGACAAACACTGCACCGGTTTGGTTCTGCCATTTGATCAGTGGAAAACATAATAGCGGACTGAAATATCCTCACGAAGGGTGCTGGAGGTAGATTAGCTGGCTCTGTGAGCTGCGGCATGCTTGCCCATGCATCTACCCAATGTCCCTTGGGAGGGTTTGGGCGGATGCTGGTGCCATTGTTAGACTGTCCCTGGGCAAAGACGACAGCACCGGCTAACACGGAGACGACCTTGGTGAACAACATCTTGAAGACTTCAACAGCAAAGTCAGTGGTCACAAGTGCGACGGGGGCGCAGTTATTATAGCATCACTGTGGTAAATTGCGGAGATATTGCGGAGAGAAGGGCACTAGGGGGAAAATCAATGATGCAATTTGAATACGAGCTGGCATTCTGGCTGAAGTCGCAACTTGTGCCTGACTTATAACCAGGATGCGGGGTGGACGGGGAAGGTCGGTCAAATCAGACCGGTCTTTTACTGGTCGGTTTCTGAGAGCCGCACCCTAATGTCCTGCAACGTAATTTAGCCGCAATCATCGATGTGGGAACGAAACTGCTCAATGATTGGTGGGATCGTCAAATACAAAGTCCATGTCTTGCCTGTTCAGCCTCATGAAGACGTTCAGCATGGCAGACAGGAAAAGAAGCGTTCTCAATATGTATCATTTGTATCGTCGCCCTATGACTTAACTGACAACAACAGTTCAAAAGGTCAGGGCTTTCCTCGTCGCAGTATCGCAACCCTGCAGTATGCCAATACGCGAAGTGCTCTATGATTCCATCTTGCTATGCCCGTCATACATATCGTCTGATCATCGTTGCGCGCACTCCGATACGAAGACCAAGATCCGCACGACAATCAATTAGTTGTCTGGGCGGAGCGGAAGGCGTCGACGTGCCAGCGCAAGGGTACGGTCGATGGACGCTCAAGTCAATCCGGCACGAATTGTTCTGAGAACGTTTACAGTCTCAGCCCAGTCGCGTCGAGCACACCTCGCCGGAAATCCGCAGCGATCGTTGCCGGAAAAAATTATGTTCAGTGTTACTGCACTGCACTGCAGTCAGTCCATCTCAAATGTCGTCATCATCATCGGCCTTCTTCCTCCTGCCACGCTGCACCTTCTTCTTCTTGCCTTCGTCCATGGCGTCAGATTCACTCTTCTCCGGCGCGTCAGCAACCTTGGACACAATGTCGTTAAGGAAGTCGAATTGCTCGTTCTTGTTGATAGCTTGCTTGAGGTGGACGGCGCCGACGCGTTTCGAGTTGCGCTGCTTGGCTTCGGCGGCGGCTTTGGTGACGAGGGAGATCATAAAGAGTTCGAGTGCTTTCGCTATGGTGCGTCAGCAACTGCGCACGCACATGGCCTGCTTCGAAATAACTTACAGACGACTACAGGAGTGACCTGGGCGACTTTGCCGACGTCATCGTCAGCCTGCATGATGCGCTTTATGCGTGCGACGGGAAAATGGTTCTTGATGTTAATGCTGTCGACGTTCGGCGGCAGCATGGTGCCGCCGCTGGACCCATTGCCTGTCTCAGGCACAGACATCTGCATCTGAAGCGCGAGCGACGCGTCCGGCACATAGTCTGCATCTTGCATCTGGTCTTCTCTGGGCGCGATATAAGGCGCGTACGAGTATGGTGGCACGGACTTGTTCTGCGCAGAGGGACTCGACAGGGGTGGGGTGTCTTGGGGGATGGCGTGTGAGACTGATCCTCGGTAGCCCTGGTGCTGGGGATGGACGGGCTCTTCTGCGACGGCAGAGTGGTAGGAACTCAGATCTGGCGATTGTGGGGCCCAGGAGGAGTCCATTGGCCGGGTATTTAACAGCTGCTCAAAGCGCGCGGGTGGGTCTCTGTATGCAGAATGATGCACAAATGTTTCTTCAAGCGCGGTTCAGGTGGGCGGTGAACCTGGGCAGTAGGCAGGAACAGGACTAAGCGGAAGGCACGGTGCCTTCAAGCCGTGCAGCTGCAGGTTTTATGCGGAAGGGAGGTGGTGCCAAGCCTCCGAGAACCAAAAGACTCGCGCTCCGTCTTCCTTCCACCAGCTGCGCGTTTGCAGCAGTGGATGACGACACGAGCAACCCGGAGACTGCTGCGATGCACAACAAACACTCGCAGCACCTGTACCTCGGCGCACCGATGAAACCCGCCGCTTTGCGGTCGTGGTTGAGCTTTGCAGCCTGGCCAGGAGGTCGCTGACGGTTTTAACTTGATCTAATCTGACACGACAGAGTCTCTTGATAGACTCAGCCTCGATAGGCTCGAGCTTTGCGAAACATACAATCATATACTACACTACGCTTTATTCTTCCTTCGTAATGCTGCCATCATTGTGACGACCTTCTCTGCCTGGTCCCTCCCTGAACCATGTGCTAGCAAGGTTGTTTTTGGGGTCTTCATCTGAGTAGCCACGCTGCCGCCTGACGTCCAGCACGGCCTTCCTTATGCGATCTGTGCATTCGATACGTAACCTGACAGCCTCGTCTGAATACTTCAGCGTCTCAGGTACGTCGCCAATGGCGAGCACCCCACTCTTCTGTGCCTCCTTGGCGCACAACTGCTTCCACCTGGCACGCAAGTCTCCGAACACCTCGTCCGTATCCAACTTCTCGCCAAACGTCACTCTGACATTCTGGAAAGGTCGTGGAATGAAGCGCGGGAACGTGCGCTCCTCGTTCATGATGTTATCGAAACCCTCAATAAAGATTGGTACAACATCAGGCATAGGTTCGCTTTCTAACACCAGACGCGACACCCCCCATTTGAAGTAGCGCATTATCCTCTGCTCTGATTGGTGTATCATGCCTTCTGGGAAGATGTGTACCCAAGCATGTCGTCTGCTCATGTATTGCGAGGGCGCCGAAAACGTGTCTTCGCCATTCGTCGAGAAGGTGAGGTGACCGCTACTGAAAGGGTCGATGGGGTCTGGGCTTTTTAGAGAAGTGACGGGCTTCTCTGGAGGATCGTTGGCGGTGGAAAAGGGGCCGCGCGATAGAAGACGAATGGCTTGCGCTATGGTCGGTTGGAAGAGGCCGCCGAATTGCGAGTGTGCGCTTCGGTGGGTCGGTAGGGTCTGGCCGAAGGTGAAGAACGTGGATAGTCCTCTGGCATGTTGTTAGCAATGGAACATGTAAGCGCCTTTTCAGCATCGCATACTTGTTGGTAAAACAAAGGTCGTAGCTTGCCAGGCCCCAGCGCAGATTGTCTGGGTCAAACATATAGCTTAAGGGCAGAATGCCCCATAGTATAGGGTCGTCCATTCTACAGCGTGACTTTCGTTAGTGGCGTTCGAACATCGTCGTTGCGCCTCGGTACGTACACAGAAATATGATTCGATACTACAGCCCGTTAGCCCTCATCGTCCTCTTATGTCCCAGATGCATGGTCGCATACCAGTGATTAGTCCTCGTTCTCTCTCCTTTGGGTGTTGTCTATCATCCAACAGACGCAAGAAGCGCTCTATGCCATGTGTCTCTATCTTGTTCAGACTCAAGAAACCCTTGCACAGCAAGCCCACCGCGCCCATGGTGATGACGGACGCCGCCCGCCATGACGCGCTGGGAGCCTCAGGAGCCTCAGGCCGCTCCTCTGATTGCATTGCTCGTTGTTGCAGTAAAGACAGACATGCAGGAGAAATTCGGATCAGATGAGAGCTCAGGAATCGCTTGCCCTCTCCAAACAGGCAGGCGACTCTAGCTAGTGACGTGCGTGCCGCGGCGCAACAAAATCTGTGGATTTGACAGGGATCAGGGGTAGATGTGCGCCTGCACAGCCACGTGTGGCGCTCCTTCTCGCGACTGGCTGTTTTCGTGGCCTCGCTCGTGATTTCTAACACATCAATATCAACCAACATTATGCCGCCGCCAAGCTCGGTCTTCTCGTCCCACGAGCGCAACGCCCTGAAAGACCGATGGGGATCGCAAGCAACACGTCTGACACGCGACTCGTTCCTCCCGTTTGGGTCATGTCAACTATGTCTTCTGCCAGCCGTGGATCCAGTGTGCTGCTTAGCAGGCGATCTGTTCTGCAGGGAATGCGCTATGACCAATCTGCTGGCCCAACGGAAAGAGATCAAGCGTCTCGAGAAGCTTCATGAGCAACGGAAGCTGGAAGAGGTGGATGCACAGGAGCGAGAAGACGAGTTCGCGCGGCTGCGCGCTGTACAGCAGTTTGAAGCTGTGCAGATGGGCCTTGAAGCCAATGTTGGCCCTGGATCGATGGTCGTTGGTCGAGAAGGCGAAAAGATCATGGTCGAGCAAGAGGAGGCTGTCGGCATTAAGGGCACTAAACGCAAATTTGAGATCGACGAGGAGGAGCTAAAGCGCATTGCATCTGAGGAGCGGAGTAAAGCTAAGAAAGCGCTTGAAGATGAACGAAAGGCCGCAAAAAAAGAGCTACCAAGTTTCTGGGTACCGGGCGAGACACCAGAGGCTCACCACAAAGGCGTCGGTAAGGCCAAGCACACTCCCACATGTCCATCGAGCGCTCCAGAACACCCACACAACCTGTCACTGAAGACATTAACGAGCGTCAACTTTCATGAGGAGAAGTCGGCAGAGAGTGGCAAGACCGCTCACACATGTCCCAGCTGTCAAAAGGCACTGTCGAACAGCACGAAAGCCATGCTTGCAATACCGTGCGGACACGTCTTATGTAAGCCTTGCGTCGAGAAGTTCTTGAAGCCGGAGCACCGACATCACAAAGACGCACATGATGAAGGGCCCGATCCAGAGACTACACACTGCTATGTCTGCGACACAGATCTTACCACGGCACCGGAACCGAGAGAGAAGAGTGGAAAAAAGAGGAAGGAAAAGGAGAAGGGCGTAAAACCGGGGTTAGTGGAAATCAGGAGTGAGGGCACAGGGTACGCGAGTGGAGGAAAGAGCTTGATCAAGAGAGAGGGAGTTGCATTTCAGGTGTAAGAGGTATACAGTCGTGTAACTTCGTTGCTGTTTCCCGAAGGGGCGATTTGCGGGCCTAAGAATATCACAGCTCCAAGTCCGAATCTGGTGAAATGAACTCCTCACTTCCATTCGTGCTGTGGAGCGCATAGTTCTCTTATCTTGCAGCAGCGACGTGCAAGATAAAACGTGTCAACGAAATGAGCATCCTTGCCGCAGGTATCGCAGGCTGTTCGGCACAGTGTACCAGGGAGCTCGGTAATAGCAAAGTGATGTGCCAACTGGACGCTAGATGCCAATAGCCATGCGGAGTGCGTCGGCGGTCTGGTCACGTTTCATCACTTGAGGTTGTCAGCATACGGTGACGCTGGTGAAGTGTCCGGTCTTAACATCCGTGGATCGATATGCACAACAAAGGCAACAAACCGCGCCGGACGAGTAGGGCGCGTGAGCACGAAAGCAAAAAAATGTGTATCGGGTACGATCCCAAGCTAAAGGAGGTAATATTCAACTAGAACCTCTCTTTTGCCATCATTGTTGTTTCGTAGATGTTCATGACGTCAATGCCGTTAATGTGCAACACCGCATGTCTAGCATGGTGTACTAAAGTGTGTAGCAAATCGTTACACGAGGCTCAGGCTCGGGTACCGAAGCTTAGGCCGCGTGCTCCGTCATAGTCCCTCTCACTCTCCTTTGAGCCCACTGTGATGTTGCTCGTCAAGGTGCTTACAGAAACCGACCATGGTGTAAACCATACCGAGGTGGCGGACCAGGTGTGAATCTTAGTTGAAACCATGGAGGTCGACCTCACGTGGTCATTCTTGCCGGTGTCATGCTCGCACTGGAGGCAGACGATGAAGACTCCATGTCCTTCGAGCCAGACTTGAGGAGGAAACAGCGAGGATGCTGAAGGGATGCTGCTGGAGTGAAATTCCGCGAAGGGCAAGGATATTAAAGACTGAACTCAAGAGGAATAAATGATTCGGGCGGTCTTATGTCCCAGTGGTATCTCGCAGTCACACGATAAAACGACTGCTCTGGTCGAACACCACAGTATATAGGACCATGGCGGCATCTATGCTGGAGGCTGGCAACCAGATCTGTGCTATAAATTAGGACTATATGACAACGTTACTTGTATTTGGTGTATGGTAGAGGAAAGGACATGTCAATCGGAGCGTGGAGGCTATGTATGTAGCTACCAACAGTTACAATCTCGCCTTCCTCCGCGGACAGTTTCGCTAAGTCTGCGCTCAGACCCAGTAAAGTACGGCGCCAACACTCTCACTCAGACAATGAGGTGTTCTCAACCTGATGAGACCAAAATGCGGACCTAATGCGCACTCACCTTCCTCGGCATGAGCCACACGCGATTTCTTACGTCCGCCGTCGGAAAGAAGGATACCTATACTCCGAATCTTGCTCCTCATTTGCTCTCAGCCCACTCAATGCTTCATCCGTCTGGCTTTGTTTTTCAACCCTCTTGCGATTATCGCGCTTCATCCGTAGCCCCAACAACGTCAGGACGATCAAGATGATACTCAACGACGCCACATTGAGTCTACCTGCAATCTATACTGCGGCGCATCACCAGGGAGAGGACTCTAAGTCGCAATGAGGCCACCGAGATTTCTCATCATAGTGTTGAGCCCGACGACCTATCATCATCAGCGATGCACTCGATCGACTTAGTGACATGGGTACTTACGGAGGATCTGGACGTATCACTCAACACATTCGCACTGATCTGCGCATTCATGAGCGACCCAAAGAGGAAGCAGCCACTCGCGCCCACAGACATAGCGCCATATTTCAAGCTCGTCTGCGTGTAATCACTGCCCAGTACCAACGCGTATCCCAGCATCGAGATGAGCTCTCCGGTCATCATAATCAAGTTTCTGCGGTCGAGACGCCAGGAGAGTCCCGAGAATAAGAGTGTGAAGAACGCGCCGACAACGAAGTGAGGTACAGAGTAGAGCTGCTGCGCCACAACACTCCGGTTGGGGTAGATGGAGCGCACCACCGTGGGGTTGAAGAAGGATATGCCCTAGTAATGTCAGTCGAGCGGAGTCTTATGGGAGAGGAGAGGAAGCGGGATATACCTGAACGGTAATATTGACGAGACCAAGCGAGACGGACGTGAGCAGCACGACGGGATTCCAGAGACCACGGAGTGCCTTTCGCATGTCAAAGTCGTCTAGCAAGGCGCTCAGATTGGATGCTAGACATTGCAAGAGTCTTCCCCTCGGCAATGAGCCAGCGAGCCTATAATACCTAATCGGTCGTATTCAATGGTGCAGTGTGTGCATCTCAGTTTCGGACCTGTAAGTCATGAGCACCAACGCCAAAAGCGCCAACCCAATGGTGATGATACCTTCTATAGCGAAGATCATCTGCCACCCCTTAGTGCTACCGAAGTGGTCAAGCTTCAAAATCCCGCTCGCCAGAAGGCCACTTGCGGCTCCACTGAGCGGAGCCATCACCATGTACAAATTCAGCCTGAAAGAGAGCTAAGACCGTCTGTACCATCTTGACACACAGTAGCTGCACCCTCCAAAGATCCCTGCCTCGAAGACACCCCGCAAAACACGTACGGCCGCCGCTTGTTTGAATGTCTATCGAGCCTAGTCAGCTTGTTCATACTTCAAGTGTTTCCGTACCACTACGATGCAGCTCAATAACATCTTGACCACGGCCACACAGCCGATCACCACTCGAGCTCGATCTTCACCTTACCGCGCATGAATCGATCAGAGCCATGCATGTTCTCAGGTTTCGTACACCTCTAAAAGGGACATAGCTTAACAAATGCAAAAGACGTTGTCAGTATTCCAAAAATCAGTGTGGTTCCTGGCAGTACCCAGCCCGGCCCCAAAACCTTGATGACATAGCTCGCGGGAATGCTGAAAAGGATGGACAGTAGGGCGTTGTATTGATTTCCTTTTAACCCGAGCGTACGTTCGAGACCGGCGAGGCGCGCGTTGCCTGGAGACAGTCGGTTTGTGCAACATGTGCATGAATGACGGGAGGCGTGAGTATGTAACGAAGGAGTACAGCTAAATGGGACGAGATGGCGGATATGAAGGCGATGACTGTGAGGAGAATACGCAAATGCCATACCAATGTTGACACGGTCGATGGTGCATAGAGCGTACAGGATTGCGACGATAGGAATGATGTAGAGGTCGATTTTGCGACGTAGATGACGCTCTGCCTCGGCGGTGGGCGGGGTCGTTGGGGAGGTCGGAGTGGTAATTTCTACCTTGGGATCAGGCCTGGACCTGACCTTCCGCATGTTGGGCAATCTTCAAGTGCTGATAGGGAAGATTATAGTGCAGAGTAGATGACAACAGACTGTGCAGCTTTGGGGTGAGCTTTATATTTATCCATGGCTCAAGTCGCGCGTTCAGATCCGTCATTCGGAGTTGTTTGACTGGGCTCGATCGCCGTCCCAAAGATATGGAGTGTGAGGTGTAATCCTTCTCGGTGATCTTGAGGACGCCGCAAATCCTCCAATCCTTCAGATCGTATGGACTGCCAATGGTGATAGCATACTGAACATCCCGCTATCGCGCCAAGCTGTCCTAGGGCGGGTTCTGCCCACGGCGCGAAGTGGTCAGTGTAAAGCAAAGGGTAACCCTTAGCCTTGGTAGGTGCGCCCTAGTAAGTATACCTCAAGGTGTACCTGAGATGTCAGCGTCAGGGCTTGCTTGGAGTCGTGGAAACTTGAATAGAGACCGCGGTATCTATCTACCGCCTGTTCATTGTCTACATAGTCATCTACCTTCATCTTATATCGTGATCGAGGGGTTGAACCTCAGCTCTTCTCATCAGAGCGTATCGTATCGTACAGCTTTCTTTCAAGCGTATGCCGAAAACTGACGCCGGACCATGCATTTCTTTCTACCCAAAACGCCGCGCTAAAATGCAATATAGGATCACCAAGCAGTGATGTCGTCAACCTCGGCTTCGCCGAAGGTGCTGGTCTTTGTGGCCTCCATACCAGAGTCACTAGAGATGATGTCAGGGTTTGGAGTCCTGCCCATAATATCTGGAAGGTACTGGTTCAGGAAGCCAAGCAGATGGCGGTTGACCTGATCGAACTCCAGGAGGAAGGCGTCGTGGCCATCAGGCGAGTCGATGGTCTTTAGAGTTGCGTTCGGGATGTGTGCTGCGAGTTCCTGTTGCTCTGCGTATGTGAAGAGTCCATCGGACTGGATGCCAAGCACAAGTGTTGGCTGTTCGATCAAGGAGAGTGCGTGGTGCAAGGCCGAAACGGGGTCGAGGCTCTGCTCATCCTCGCCTTCTGGGTATCGGTGACGAGAGACATCGTGGGTGTCGAGCTTGCGGGTGATGGCGATGTAGCAGTTCGCGTCGAAGCGCTTGATGAACTTCTCGCCCTGGTAGCGTAGGTATGACTGAGCCGAGAAGTAGTGCTGGGCCAGTGGTTTGGCCTTGGCGCTCGCCGTCGAGTCGGTACGTCGAAGGGGGGGGGTCGAGGGGTTCGATGCATCGGAGAACTCAAGATCGGCGGTCTTTGCAGCAGCTGAGGCTGACATGCTCAGGGCAGCACTGCTGTTCGTCCTCGATGCGGAGGCCCGCGGTGAGCCGGCGTTCTTGTGGCCGTGGTTGTGGATCGCCCAGTGTTCGTTCGAAGGGGTGGTCGGTCGAGGTACGGTGTTGATGCTCTGCTTCTTGGACAAGTCAGGGGTGTTGCGGCCAAAGCGGGACTCGAACGAGTCGCGACTCCGGTAGGTCAGCAGCGCAGACATGCGTGCAGCTCCCAGCCCCGTCGAGGGCGGGTCTTCGAATGCATAGTAGCCGTCGTCGTACTTGGGGTCGCTGTAGATGCTCTGGCGCTGGGCCTCGCCCCAGCTGATGCCCCAGGCGCTGTAGCGGGCGGACGTGGCAATGGGGATGATGTTGCGGACGTAGTCTTTGCCGAAGTAAGCAAACTCGAGCACGAGCATGCCGCCCATAGAACCGCCGATGACGGCCGCGATCTGCTTGACGCCGAGGTCGTCGAGGACCAGCTTGAAGATGCTGGGCGGTGTCAGCAGTGCTGCTCCTCCAACCGGACAAAAGGTGCGCTGCTCACTTGACGTCGTCTCGCACTGTTGTCAGCGGGAACTCGGGTCCATAACGCCCGTTCGCAGCATTACCGTCCCGCGCCGTGACGGGGCTGGCGCTGCCGTACGGGCTGCCCAGGCTGTTCATGCACACGACAAAGAATCGCGACGTGTCGAAGGCCTTGCCTGGTCCACCCAGCAGAGGCCCCCACCAATCGCCCACGTCGGCGCTTCCCGTCAGCGCATGGCAGATGACCATGGCATTGTCGCCCCCCGGTGACAGCCTGCCATACGTCTTGTATGCCACCGACACATGCTGGAGGACGACGCCGGACTCGAGCTCGACTTCGGGGATGATGGCGAACGTTTGGTCGGGGATAAGGCTGGCGAACGGGTTCTCGGGCTGCGTTGTGGCCCTCTCTGGACGGCTGTTAGACTCAATCCTTGGAGGGTGGTCATTGCGACACGCCATGTTTGCTTCGGCAGCTGGGCGGTCGTACTGTACTGTGTTGCGCCAACGGCAGTCGCGCGGTTGTCGAGCGAGGCAGCCATTGAGGTTTACGGCTTTGTTTGTGGAAGGAAAGCAGTGCAACGCCAGCGCTCAAGCTTCTTTGGCGTATTGCGGGGAGTCATCTTTTCTTGGGCCCCACATGTGTGCAGGTCACCCAGATGCGCCGCTAGAGGCGTGGGGTTGACGCCGTTCCGGAGCACGTCATTGCTCGCCGCATCTCCGCGACGCTGATTGGTCGAACACGTCGTCTGTACGGCTGCGTAGCAAACAACCTCTCTGCCACGTGCTCGTAGCACAATTGTGAGCAGGGAAGAAGCACTCGTAGGATCCAAGGTTGAGTCTTGAATAAGTGTCCGTAAGTCGACAATAGACTACGAGAAGAGCTGCAATGCCGCCCTTGCGTATTCCATACACCCATCCTCCTCTTCCTGCTTAGTGAAGAGATGGACCGAAATAGCACAAATGCAACCCACCCACTGCCTCATACCACTCTCATACCAAGCCCAAGCCCACATGAGCCAGCACCGCTCTTTAACCCTGCAAGTGCATCAGTCGTGACACCAGCAACAGTGTGGCCCTCCATCACTCATGGCAGTCTGTCGCCGGTCACGAGCACCACACTCCACCAGGATCCATACCACAATTCGCAGCAATCGATGCACAACCTCGAATCTGCAAAACCCAACACTGCCGTCGACCACGGTCCATTCTATCCAGCCGCGTCCGAAAATCTCATCTTGGGCCGAATGTACGGGCCCAAGATAAAGCCATGCAGATGTCGTGGGCAAAGACACGGGACTTGCAGAACTCGACAGCTCATCGAGTCGAAACGATTTAACCCTGCTCCGATGACCACCCTGCTTGTGAAGGACGAGACGTTCAAGTTCCTGCTCGAAGACCGGCTGGGCACGTTACACACGAGTGAGCTGCTGCTTGAAGAGGGCTCATTCAGCGGAGGAAGCGCTAGTCCAGCCTTTGACAGATCAGACGAGGATAACGCGACAACGGAAGGCCTGAAATCAGCAGCATCGTTTTCATTGCCTACCAGCTAACCATCGTGACCTAGCTAGAATCCAAGTATGGTTTTCGGGGTATAATACAAGAAATTGAGAACCCACTCACCGCCATCGAAACGCCTCGTGCCTCGTTTTCATGTATATGTACAATCCAGTGCCGTGTCTCTCATGGTCCTCAATGAAAATTCATTCCTCTGACCACCTCCGCCCTCTTGTTTTGATCTTGGAGACAAAGGCGTCCTACCGCCTGTCCCTCTCGCGCTCGACCCGCTCCATCTCCCTCTCCATGTCGCCCTCTGTTCTGACGCCACCGCGGCGAGACTTGCCTGCATTCTTCCTAAGGCCGGCGGTGAACATTTTGGCAATGCTGTTGTCGCCTCCAGCGCCAGACTTCCTCCGTTTGTCGCGGTGCGAAGCCGGTCCTGTAGGGGTCTTGACTTCGCTCCTGGGGCCACGCGGTATGTCGTCGACCTCCGCCTCGTCGTCGCGGGACCGTTTGGAGGACGGTGACGGACGTGAAGAGGAATGCACACGTGAGTGCAGAGACTTGCCAACACTATCACGCTGGTCGCGGTCTACGCGCTCGCGACTGTTGCGCTCTCGCGCATTCCTTTCGCGCTCGGCAGCGTAGTGATCTTGTGTGGTGGAACCCAATGGCGTGGCAGGTGTGGATGAGATAGAGGAGACGCTGCTCTTCCTGTGGTGCTTGTCCTTGTCGCGGTCTGCAGCAGGACCCTTGGGCGGCTGGAAACCTCGAGGGCCGGTCGGCGGCTGTGGTGGTGGCATGACCTTAGCCTTCGATCGTCCTGCGCCCTTAATCGAAAACGAGTTCGCTGCTGGACCGGTGGGTGCGTTGAGTGGTGGGGAGACTGCACGCTTCTGCATCATCTTGCCAACCACGTCGTCTTCGGCAGGACGCTTGACCTTGGTGTCGCGATCGCTCTGGCTCCGCTCGTTCTGGCTGCGGTCGTCACGGCCGCGCTCTTCTCGGTCCCGGTCCTTGCGGCTCCGTCGAGAAGAACGATGCTTGTCATCATCATAGTCGCGCTCCTCCTCTTCTGCTTCGCGGTCCCGTCGGCGCCTGCGCTCCTTGTCCTTATCTCTCGACCGATCTTTTTCGCGGTCGTGATCGTAGTCCTTCTCTCGATCCTTGCGATCGCGCCTATCTCGCTCGCGATCCTTATCGCGCGACCTGTCGCGGTGCTTGTCTTTGTCGCTCCTGTGCTTGCGCCGCGAGCCAGATTCCGAGTCTCGATCGCCGTTAGCATGAGCATCATCCTCGTACTTGCTTTCTTCTGCAGGAGAGCGTGTCCGGTGACGACGGCGATGTTCCTTGCTGCGGTCGCGCTGTGAGCGAGAAGAGCGCGATTTCTCCTTTTCGCGGCGACTGCTGCGGTGCTTGGAGTCAACTGAGGCGCTGCGCGTTCTGTCGCCGCGGCTACCTCTATCATCGCGGTGTCGATCGTCATGGTCTTCCTCACGATCATCGACGTATCGTGAGGACCGATGGTGTCGGCGGTCTTTGCGGCGTTCGTGGTCCTCATCACCCTGTGGTGTTGCTGAACGTCCTCTGCCTTCCCGTTTCGACTCCCTGTCTGCAGAGCGCGACCTATCTCGGCGGTCGTCCGTCTCAACATCCCTTGCTCGTGATCTTGAGCGAGAGCGTGACACTGATCTCTCCTTGATTCGGAGGCTCTCGTCTCGCTGCGGTGAGCGTCTGCTTGAGGGTCAGCATTGTGTTTGTGGAGATGTCATGTGTTGTGCTTACGATCGGGCTGTCCGCTGCGGGCTGCGAGCACCAGCACTCTGCGTAGATGCGACGCTCTTCGGTGGCGGCTGGTAGCGCGCGTTATTCATTCGACTTGAGAAGCCTGTGTTCGGCCTGCCCTCGCGCATCGCTCGCGGGCCTGTGGGCGCACCTGCCACACCACGACCCTGCGGCTCGCCTGTCAAGACTGTAGCAGCGCCGTATGCTGCATTGAAGCCAGCACGGGGACCAAAGTTGTTGGTCTGGTGGAATCCCATGTTCATGGTAGGATCGAAAGGTGCATTCATTTGCATCTGGTTGGGGAACTGATTCATCATGCCATTGTGAAAGCCCATGCCGTTACCCATCATCGGCTGATTGTAACCCTGCATGTCTCCATCCTCGGTTTCGACGGTCTGTATCTGATTCAAGCCGTTTGATTGCACAGAGGCGTCGTTCTGCTCCCCCGATGCAGCTGAGTTGTTGGCATCTTCAACATCAGCAGTGGCGGAACCGGCGGCTAGCGCAGCGCCTTCCGCGCTCCCATCGTGTTCATTACCTTCTTCAATGGGCTTGACACCAGGGTCTTGCTCGTCCTCCGGCTTCGAACTGGCGGCTGCACCGCTTGATGCGTCAGGTGACTCGCCGGCACGCTGCTGTACGGAAATATCGTCAGTTGCTGGTTTCAAACGATATAACACCAAAGACGATCGTCTTGGCAAATGTTTATGAGATCGACGTACGTTTTGCGCTGGTCCACTGCGGCTTCCAGGACGACTGTTGACGCTCTGTCCACCAGGCCAAGAAATGGAGCCAGCCTGGCTGCCAGCCCTATTGTTTGTCTGAGGGTGGGCTCCTCCTTGACTGGCAGGAATACGATTCTGGTTCTGGTTTTGGAAATTGTTCTTGGGGAATTGGTTCATCATCTCGGGATATGCTCCAGATTGATTATATCCGCCCATCTGGTTGAATCCGTTGAAGTTCCCATAGCCACCGCCCATGCCATTCCATCCGTTGCCGTAGCCGCCACCGTAGTTCATCATGTTCATGGCGGACATGTCGTTCATGCCCATGCCCATGTTTCCACCGAAGTTGTTGTACATGTTGTAATCTTAGCAAGTGTTAATCTCCTAGTCTTCGAAAGTCATTTCAGGCAATTAGGACGTACCCATAGGATTCATGTTGTTCCAATTAGCATTGCTCATCATGTTGGACATGCCATTGAAACCCATGCCACCGAAGTTGCCTTGGCCTTGGAAACCGAACCCCATCTGGCCGTTCATCATGAAATTGTTTCCCATCATGTTCGCTGGCCCGTTCGGCTTGGTTTGGTCGTCAGGAGAGGCATTTGCAGCAGACGGCTCAACACTTTGCGTCGCGGTCTGTGACACTAAGCTTCCGCGTCGTTCCAGGTCGTCGTTGTCATGTGCGACAGAATCCTGCTTGGAATCAGCAAGTGCACACGGCGAGATATGCATGTTACAGCCACCGACACGTGCAAGATCGATAGTGTTCATTGACTTTAGCCATCCGAATCTCTTAAGTTTCGTCTCTGTGTACTTAAACCGTTTGCAGACACTAACTCGTGTAGCGATTAAAGGAAGATGAAGACCTACCTCGTTTGGCTGCGCGGAAGCGGACACTGTACGTGGTCGAGCGTCTCCGCCTTCAGCGGCAGTCACTGCGGACTCGGCTGGCACATCACCTGAAGCTGTTACCTCCTCGACGCTGTCGATTGGTTTGTCCGCACCCTCCACCTCAGACGGCGCCTCTATAGCAGCTGGCGTAGCCTCTGCTACTGGTGTAGCGGCTTGCGCGGCTGCTTTAGCCTCCTCTTTCTTCTTCTGTTTCTGCAGCCACACGCGCATTGTGTTGCGCAATGCCTTGTTTGGCGTGCACGAATCGGCCTCGAGAGGCGAGTGATCGCATGACGGGCAGGTCGTGGGAAAGGAAAGCTTCGTTTGACCTGTGTGAAATCATCAGCCAACACGACCTATATCGTAGTCGAAAGCTTGTAAATACATGGAGTGCAGATAACTTTGTTGCAACACAGCAGCTTGTATGAATCAATAGCAAGCTCGCTGCACAATGCGCAAAAGAACGCCTTGGGAAAGACACTCGTGGGTAAAGATCTGCACAAGTCAGCACACGATGATCTGATGGTCTCGTTGCGGACCTACAGAGCGAGCTCCTTCAAGTCGTCGGCGAGCGGCGCCGCCTTTGGATCGGTGGCCATGATGAAGTCGTATATTCGAGCTCCCAGGTCGGGGTAGGCTACAGCGGGTCAAAATTCTGCGGGTATGGCTATTCCATTTAGAAGTAGCAATGAGGCTGTAGGGACTGTGGACAAGTCGGCGAAAGCAGTGACGATGAAGGAAGTGGCGAGTCGATTGCGGTTGTCGCAACCGTGTTTGCGGGACCACAAGTGAGATGTCACGGAATTTCTTTGGGAGTCGCGACTGGGACCGTGCCTTCCGCCGAGCTTCTTGAGTGTCACGTGGGACCGCGTGCCTACCTTTTTCTCCTGTCTGACGCTCTTGACTGCTTCTGCCACTTGCAGCCTCGCTTTCTGACCAACAAATGAGATCAGAACGACTTCACAGCATTCGCGCGTGCATGGACATGTCAGTAACGCCCGTTTGCTCAGAGGGCGGCTAAGCGGTTGTGGCTTAGGCTAACCAGTGGAGTTTTCGTCATCGTCATCAACCGAGCTGCAAGCGCCGGGGGTCTGTCGACCAACAAGTGGCTCAGTCTCGAGAGGTATTGTTGCGTTCTTCGCAACCTCTCCCCGCAATGATACTCAGTCAGATATCCTACCTTGATTGCATCGCGTTCTTGGTATTCCTTGTACCTCAATTGCTGCTTCAGATTGGCCTATTTCCCGTCCTCAAATGGCTGATCGCAGCGCTGCCGTTCATCGGTGAGCTCGCGTACCGCATACTGTTTAGGTGCTGATGTTGACCGTGTATGAAGTTTTGGTCATCCCGTATCAATTTATTCGCGAACGATTCTTTACACCATATTCAAGACGTAGCCCATTTGTAAAGAAGGCAACACCTTTCCAGGACTTCGTTATTAGATGCGTCCGCTATGCGTTCGCGAACATGCCAGCCTTCATTGGTCGCGTCTTCTTTTCCAAGGGCGTCTCATTACCATTTTTGCGGTTCCGAATGCTCCGTCACGGCATTGTTACGAGCCCGATCAGGTGGACTGAGGTGAAGAGGGTGCGTTTACACCAATCCGAAGCGTCCATTGAGCGAAGCTGACCACCGTAGCCTGACTTCAGAGGTGTACTAATTAAACACGACCAACAGGAGCAGCCAGATATCGTCGTCTACTACGCTCATGGTGGTGGGTTCTCGATGGGCAGTTCCTACTTCTACATGGAGTTCCTACTCGCATGGGTCACACTACTCAAAGCTGCTGGCTACAGAAATCCCGCGTTGTTTGCGCTGGAATACACCTTGGTACCTGATACGACATACCCATCTCAGCTCCACGAAACCCTTGCTGGCTACAGCTACGTACTCTCACTTGCTCCATCATCGACTAAAGTGGTCGTTGGGGGTGATTCGGCTGGCGCAACCCTTATGCTCAGCTTCTTGCTCCATTTGACAGAACACGCAGAGCTAAGGCACCAACGACCTGGAATGGCGGTCATGATCAGCCCCTGGGTTACCATCGTCTCGAAGAACAACCGCAACACCGCCTCAGACTTCCTCAATGATGAATCTCTCGAGCAATATGGGCGCCAGTATATTGGTAAAAAGGCTTCTGTCGACGATCCAATGGTATCTCCCGGCCATTGCAAGGACATGAAGAGGTGGACAGACGCATCACCAGAGAAAGGTTGGTACGTCCTCTACGGCAGTGAAGAGGTACTCGGGCCTGAGACAAGAGAGCTTATAAGTCTCCTCAAGAGCACAGGCACACATGTTGATGAGTGGGAGGAGCAAGGCGGCATTCACGCATGGCCTGTTGCAAGCTTGTACCTGGGCGAAAGCAAGGATGAGCGACTTAGCGGACTGCAAAGCATCGTTGAAGCTATCAAAGATAAAATACTATGAAAGCAGCAGGTCCCTGCCAACGAAGTCAACGATAGTCACCTCCTTGAATACTGTGGTGGGAGATCGAATCCAAGCTCTCGAGCAGCTTGCTGAAGTTGTGCCACCCTCTTCACCTCCTCCAAAGCCCATTGTTGGGCCACTGCTGATGGGTCGGCATTATGCAGCGACAATGCTCGAGCAGAGAGAGGGGTGAACGCACCCGAGTACCTGATGTGGAGGAAGTCAGCAGCGCCACGCGCGAGGCATGGTCACGTACGCAGAAGGCGTTGCAGTCCCACTCAAGGGCGATGAGGATATCCGAGAAGAGGAATTGGTTGTTTGAGGTGACATGATGCAGTCTGGAGCGAGGATTTGATGTACGGTGGGCTGAGTGCTCTCAAAACTGAGTTGGGGTCTTGACAAACCCGCCAGCTCTGCAGAAAACAGCAATAGACTTATACCCCTTACAACATGCTGCTCGTCGACAGCTAGGCAACATCCCACTTCGCCGTATACGCTCCCCCACATATCTTCCAATCACAGCTTCTTCGAAATCTCCTCAAATACAGCAAGACGCAAGAAATGGTCATCCCGACGTGGCTAGCGTCAGCCGCAGTGGAGCTGAAGGGGGCTTAGCGCCTGCTGATGAACTGCGATTCGCAAATGGCCGCCTGTCGTCTTGGCTACCCCAGTCCTTCCGGGCTCCAAAGCGGGGCCATTGCCCTGCATGTCTTCGTCAGGTGCTGGCAGCTGACCGTTTCACCGGCCTGGGGCTCGAATTTGTTGAGAGACTAGAGTGGCGATGGGAAATTCATGACGTTCGTTGCTCACCTGGACAGACAGTGAGCGCCAACATGACGAAGTTACGATCCTGCGTCTCGTGAAGCGTGACCGAACGACTGTCAGCACTGGCTTCAGAAGCTGTTGTAGACATTCACCGTTGATTCGTGGGGCTTTGGAAGTTTGTTACCGTTGCTGATTACCTACTCCAGCAGAACTGCATAGTGGAACTGGAAGCAAGATTAAATGCATAGGAGCTGTGTACTCAGGTTGTAGCCCTATCCTCGTAGCCCATGGGGTACTCCCTGGCATATCCAACCCAGTATTGCAAGTTGCCTTCGCTCTCGCCTCTTCTTCCACGATGCTACTGCTTATTATCAGTCTTTGGCAGCACGTCGGGTGCATTGGTGCGGCTGCAATGGCAGATATAGCCAGTGATAACAACGTCGAGACTGAGGCTGGCGCAATTGCAATGACATTGACGCGAGCTGATCTCGGGCTTTCAAAAATCCGTGCGATAGGTCTAGCAGGTATGATCATGGCCATCGCCGTTTTGGACAGATGGACTGATCAATGAGCTGCAAGTTGGTAATCGAGTACAAAGATCTGGGTCTAAAAGAAGAGAAAGCCTTGTTAGACATCAAAAACTCGCCACAAGGGTATGGAGTGTTTATCGAAGTCGTGGATGATCAACAGTACAATTGAATGATCTCGAGAACTGGGTCTATCTCTGTTGAATGACCGCAAGGTATGACTCGCCGTATCTTTACTCGAGATTAACGCAACACTCTCCAATTATGATGCGCAGCGCGAACCTGTGTGACCCCCGTCCTTCCCAGTTCCATTGTGTTGGGTGTTTCATGTCTCAGCCTCGACTGGCTTTCTGGTCCGTATTCGTAACTTCTCGACTGATCTTGCGAGGAGTAGCCATATTTTCTCTTGTACTGCTGCGAGCCATACCGCTGCGACCCTGTCTTTTCGTCTCTCATCCACCTGATGAACCTTGGAACTGATGTGAAGCACCCACAAAGAATGACCATTGCGATCTCGACAGCTCCGCAGAGACCCACTAGTGCCAGCCAATAAGTACTGTCGTTGCTCCTATCTTCGCGCGAGGAATAGTACAATCGAAGCGCGGATACGCCACAGGTACTGTTCGTATCAGCTACGTCGTGCATGAACACTACGAAGGTTAATAACATACATCAAGCCCGTTGCAAAGACGGCAGAAACTGCAAACTTCTTGCGCGTTTTCATCTGCAGCTTTGCCACACCAATAGTTGGTAGCAAGAGGACTGCAATATCGCTGACAAGATTGATGGTACCAGAGATGTAGCCTGCCGACGAGTTATGGCATCTCCCAGGGAGGGGGGAATTCCAAGCCTACAGGGTGGACATTGTGGAGCATGGTAGCTGTCGTCAAATAAGGCGTTTGTCGAGATCCTTTGAACAAAGAACTTGGAGGTTTATGTCACTGATGGTTGTTCGTAGTATACTGTCAGTGCGCTCATTTGACATGTCGGCGGGTAATGAGGCTAGTCTCAGATGGGCTGCGCAACAAAAGGAGAACACTGCTGTCATAGCAACAGAGACCTCGACAGTCTAGGGTGACGTTAGTGTTGAAGCGTGCAAGAAGGCTGGGTAAGGAGAAGAACTCGATGTGAAACAAATGGAAGAAACCTACGACGGGGCAGGCTTGTTCTTACGTTCCTGACAATGGGAAGGCGCCATGAATAGCTCGGAGGAAGGAGCGATCTACAACGCGTGGGGCAGATCGCTCAATCCATCTGAGATCGGGCTCGGGGAGTTGTCGACATTGCCGTTGGTGTTAGCCTGTGAATGGACATCCCTTTCACAAACGCAACGCCAGGCGAGGCTTCTTCCACAACTCAGGAAGATGTCGAAGGTGTAGCCGGTACATATGAAGATCGTGTTAGCACACGAATGTGAGCACAAAAATCTCTCCGACTGCCCCAAGACGACAACGCCTGAGTCTTGGAGTCCTCATAATGTGATGTTGTTATAGCGATCTCCGTTCGAATAATGCAATGTCTGTAGAGCACCGTCCTGGGTATCAGCCCGTTGCGCCTGGAAAATGCGAGAGTCCCAAACGCCGTATGCTTTTCCGAATGCAAAGCCCACATGTAACAACATCGTATGCCAGCTCTGATGTTTCCACTCAACCAAACGCAATAGCTTGATCCCTCTCCTCCTTGTCTTCCTTGCCAATGATGTAATCGTCCTCCCCAATATTACTCGCCTCGTCCCACAGCCTGTGCATCTCCTCCTCGCCCTCGCCAGGTACCGCCCATATGCTCTCCCGCAGCCTCTTATGCCGTTCGCGGTCTTCTTCTATCCGATGTTCGATCTGGCGCTTGTCCAACTTGGCGTTTTTTGCAGAGACGTTATTCGCGGGCGAGCCGTCGAAGGGGTCGTCTGGTTCGCGGGTCCGGAGCACCGCTTCGAGCTCTGAGACGGTTTCTGGGAGGAGGATGTCGATCTTCTGGAGCGTGTTCAGGACCTGGTCCTGTTAGCTTTCCCTTCACCCAATCCATGTGCAGATTGCGAAACCCACCTTCCGCACAACCCTCACGTTGGCGCCCTCCTCGCCAATCACACATTCGACCACAGGCAATATGTCCCGCTGCAGCATCCTCACGAAGCCCATTGCACTGCCCTCGCCTGTACTCGGCCCGGCATCCTTGACAGCCAACTCACACAGGCTCTCGATGAAGAACATGATGTTCGCGCGCGTGTTCATGTTGGTGCGCTCCAGCTGCTCCAGAATGCAGCTGTGTAGGTCCTCGTCCATGTCGCGGTTTTTAAGCGCATAGCTCGCGGCTTTCTGGATGGATGTGTGCGACGCCGACAGGTGCGAGAGCAGCGTTGTGAAGCGCTGCCGCACTTCGAAGGGGTCTGCCATGGCGCAAGGCGGACTTGCGGTCCCGGTCGCGGTCGCGGATGCTGGAGTGGTCTGGATTCGAGTGTGCAGTGCAGGGCCGGGTGTATGCGGCGGTGCGGAGGATGTGCGCGGTGGTAGATTCGGCGCCGGAGCTGTGAGGCGCGTATCGTCGGCAGCTGCCCCGCCGACGTCGCTCTGGGCCTCTCTGGGGATTTCTTTGGGAGAGTCACTGGCGCGCTGTTTCCCCAACACCACTGTTTTCTGGAGGAATTGTAGGAGAAAAGTACACAATGGCGTCCCAGGAATCCAAGCCCCTCACATTGACCGTCCTCGGTTCTGGTCAGTATGCTCTGCACGCCCTGACGGGCCTTGTCTAACACGCACAGGCACCATGGGCATTGCCATCATGGGCGGCGTCATGGCCTCTCTCGCCAAAGCCAAAACCGCCGCCGCAATTGACCCCTCGTCCACCCCCAAAGCCACACCAAACGTCTCCCGCTTCGTCGCCTGCGACACGTGGGCGCCTGCCGAGGAGAACGTCAAGAAGGCGCTCGGCCACTACAACTTCGACCTGCAGACGCTCACCAATAGCAACCTCAAGGGCGTCCAGCAAGCAGACATCGTCCTGCTGTCCTGCAAGCCCTACGGCTTCAAGGCCATCCTGGGCGAGGAGGGCATGCGCGATGCGCTCAAGGGCAAGGTCATCGTCAGCATCCTGGCCGGCGTCACCCAGAAGCAGATCTCCGAGTTCCTGTACCCCGAGGGCGCTGACAAGGTCGAGAACGCATGCCGCGTCGTCCGCGTGATGCCCAACACGGCCTCTTTCGTCGGCGAGTCCATGAGCGTCATCGAGACCAGCGACCCTCCGCTGAGCGACGCACAGCAGAAACTCGTCGAGTTCGTCTTTGGTTCCATTGGCCGCGTCACCACGCTGCCCCCCGCCAACATGGACATCGCGACCGCCCTGTGCGGCTCCGGCCCCGCCTTCTTTGCCCTCATCCTCGAGGCCGCCGCCGACGGCGCTGTCGCCATGGGCATGCCCCGGGCGCAGGCGTACGAGATGGCCGCGCAGACGATGCGGGGCACGACGGGGTTGGTGCTGAATGGCGAGCATCCAGCTGTGCTCAAGGACAAGGTTTCGACGCCGGGAGGCTGCACAATCGGAGGTCTGATGTCGTTGGAGAAGGATGGTGTCAGGAACGCCGTGGCAACAGCTATCAGGGAGGCTTGCGTTGTTGCTTCACGATTGGGCGGTGAGCAGAGGGAGTTTGTGAACCACAGGCGGTAGATGGCGCCTTGCTGTGATGAGATGAGTGAGAATGATACCAAGTTATGAGTATTGTGCTTTTCAGTGGTGCTTTGATGTACCGAAGCAAGTAGACAGCTACGAAAAGACAAGGACATTGTCTTTGCAATATGTAGTCGTAGCAGGCATCTGTAATCAACAGGTCCGCAAACGCCCGACTGGTTTACACGCGGTCTATTGTACTGCACATCTACTCAATACACCCGAGAAGTGACCAATGTCATATGCCATACATATCTGTACACGCCGCAGCTCTTTATGATACAGTGTGTTCCCTTCCCTGCGCTGCCTGCCATACTCCTTATCATTCGATATCTACTCCATGACAGCCGTCGCACCGAGCGCCTTGAGCGTCTCAACAATCTTCTCGGCCTCTTCCTTGGGCACACCCTCCTTCATCATCTTTGGCGCACTCTCGACGAACTTCTTGCTGTCTACCAGCGACAAGCCCAGCATGCTCTTGATCTCCTTGATGACCTTGGGCTTCGACCCGGCGTCGAACTTCTCGAGCTTCAGATTGAAGAGCGTCTTCTCGGCGGCGGCGGGCGCGGCCTCTTCCTCTTCGACAGGTGCGGCGGCGGCAGGGCCTGCGCCACCTGCAGCTGCGAAGCCACCCATGGGCATGTCGGGGATGTTGAGACGGGTCTATGATGGCGTTAGCGGGACGTCCCAGTCGTAGAAATTGAGCTCCGAAGGCGAGAAGGCGGGCGGTCGGTGGCCCAATATGGTGCTCTGTTGGAGACTGCGATCCAACTCCATCGATTTGCCTTCTGAACAGCACATGACTGTCTTCGGCTTCAATTCCTCCCAAATAGCACTGTAGGACTCCACAGAGGCACAATAGCACAGAGGCTAGAATTGAATTGAGAGTCGGACGCGGCAGTCTCAGAGAACACTGGTATGAAGCCTCGGCCAACACCTCAGTATCCCTGCGCCACTCTTCTTCCTCGTCGGCCGTACCTTCAGTGTGGAGACCAAGTCTGCTGTCTCGAGCAGAGTCAATTGGCTGATCTGGTCCACGATGGTCGCAATCTTGGGGTTCGCAGGCGCCGCAGCGGCATCAGACTGCCATCTCCGCTGTATCCTCAGCTGTGCTCCTCCAACGGCCGGGCGGACTCCCATCGCGGGGCGGACGGCGCAGACGCAGCGCCTTAGGGCGCGAGATGCGGGGGCGGACATGTTGTGCGGTGATTGACGGCGGTCGATGGGATGGATGGATATCGTCGGCGTCGTTCGTAGATTTCGACTTTGCGGAAAGCGCGATGCACCTCCGCGGTCCGTGCCTACGGACCCACTTAAAAGATTAGTGCTTCGAGATTCTCGCGGGCAGAACCTGAGCAACGCCACGACATACCCACCACGGTTGCATGAAAGCGTCGAAATTATGGGGAGGCGCCCCGAAGTCAATATACAACACAAGTACCGCAGATTCCACCGGTCATAGCGCCATCATGGCCTCGAAAATGGCCAATATCAATGCGCTTGCCACGGAAGCTCTGAAGCCTGGGTTCACCGACGACCTTTTCGTGCAGTATGAGGGCTTATTTACAGAAGTCTGTGCAAGATGGATCCAGTCTTCGGTTCATACCGAGAACATAATCGCCGCTTTCGGACGAATTATGCCTTTTGCGCCCCATCTCTCAGAGCACGTGGAGCGCTTCGCTGTACATGTATCACAGTCACCATACTTCGGTCCGCTGGATACCCCAAGGAATACAGATTCTTTCAACTGTCACGTCGCAGAAGTCCTGCTTGGCGCCTTTCGACTGCTCAGCTTTGACTGCCGGACCTTTGCACAGTATGTGCGGCCAGTTGCTGTCCAGCACCTCTTCCAGCATCAAGATCGTGTCGTTCGGTACCTAGCCGTCCGCTTGTTTTGTTTGTACATTCACGCAGCGGACCATGCAACGCAGGATATGGTCAAGAGACACGTTGGAGATGCCGATGTGGAGGCATCATGGGAAGGGCAACAGATCGATTATCGATTTCTTTCGCTTTGGGAAGAGAAGAGATGGAAAAGTATGCAGTCGAGGCTGCAGCAAAGATCGGAATCGATAAGCTCCTCGATGTCACATCTGTACTCGGATCTTTCACCTTACACAGTCAACATCACCGGCATACTGCTCCCGCGATTGGACGGCGCAGCCTCTCAGGAACGGCCTACAGAGCTCATCTCGACGCCCACTACTGAGGCCAACCTGAACAGGATAGCCCATGGGCTGCTAGGATCGAGTCCACTACTTCTCACTGGACTGGCAGGATCTGGAAAGACGCTGCTGACTCGGCATTTCGCGTGGAAGCTCAACAAGCTGGACAAGATGGTCACACTGTATCTGAATGAGCAGAGTGATGCAAAGTTGCTTATTGGCATGTACGCTACAGGATCCAAGCCGGGAACTTTCGCCTGGAAGTCTGGTGTGCTCACAACAGCTGTTCGTGAAGGACGATGGATCTTCATCGAGGACTTGGACCGAGCCCCGAATGAGGTCATCAGTACCCTTCTACCACTCATCGAGCGCGGTGAGCTTTTGATTCCTAGCCGTGGAGAGACTGTACGCGCCGCAAGGGGCTTTCGCATCATCGCCACAATGCGGAGTACGCTCAATCCGAGAGGACAAGAGATCATCCCTCGTCAGAACATGATTGGACATCGGTTCTGGAATTCGATTGTAGTGCAGATGCCGCAGCTCGAAGAGTTCCAGCAGGTCATATCCGCGAAGTACCCAGCCCTGCAGAAGCACCTTGCGGGCATCACGCGAGTATATGCACGGCTGCTTGAGCTTTACTCCGATGCGAAGTTCTCGTCCGAGAACGGCACCTCCCTGCGAGCAATGACACCACGCGATCTGTTAAAGTGGTGTGACAGGATAGCTGTGCTTTTGTCTGAGACGTCCTCCTTCAGCACTGCTCAGAAGGATGACATATTCATAGAAGCCTTTGACTGTTTTGCTGGTAGCTTGCGCAGTGACTCGGCGCGGCTGAGAGTGATGGCTTGCGTAGCGGAGGAGCTTCACATCGACCCGCAGAGACGCGACCATCTCCTTCGGGATCGTTCAGTCAAGCTTTCCATACCGACCAAGAGCACAGCAGCAGGTATCATTCATGTCGGGCGAGCCAGACTTTCCAAGCACAGATCCTCGAAGCGCTTGATGTCTAGCCGACCCTTCTCAACAAACGACTATACGCTACGATTACTGGAAAAGGTCGCTGTGGCAGTCGATCGTCAAGAGCCCCTTCTTTTGGTTGGTGAGACAGGCACTGGTAAGACCACTACTATCCAGTATCTAGCTGAGCAGCTTGGTCGTAAGCTGATAGCTTTCAACTTGTCACAACAGAGTGAAAGCGGCGATCTTCTGGGAGGCTACAAGCCTGTCAATGTCCGCAGTCTGGTCATTCCGCTCAAGGACGAGTTTGATGATCTGTTTGACACTACGTTTTCAAGGAAGAAGAACTTGCGCTTCATTGAAATGCTAGGCAAGCGTGTCGCAAAGGGCGAGTGGAAACGGGTTTGCACGCTGTGGCGAGAAGCCTTAAAGATGGTCGATGCAGCACGGAAAGCACATGAGTCGCAGCCGTCTTATCCTGACGCAGACGATGACCAGCCCAGGAAGAAGCGCAAGATGGATTCGCTACCCCCGAGCCTCCCAGCAGCACGTTGGGAAAAGTTTGCGACAGATCTGCACGATCTGGAAGCCCAGCTGGCAAGTGGCTCCGAAGCCTTTGCGTTCTCCTTCTTAGAAGGCAACATCGTCAAAGCAGTCAGGAATGGCGACTGGGTGTTACTCGATGAGATCAATTTGGCTTCATCGGACACGCTGGAAGCGCTTACTGATCTGCTGGGTGGGGGCCCTGACGGCAACCCATCGATTTTGCTCACTGAGACCGGCAATGTGGAGCGAATAATTGCTCATCCCAACTTCAGGGTCTTCGCAGCCATGAATCCTGCGACTGATGTTGGAAAGAAGGACCTCCCTCCTGGCATTCGCTCGAGGTTTACTGAACTCTACGTTGAGAGCCCGGACAGCGATGAGAAGAGCTTGCGCAACATTGCAGAGAAGTATCTTGGTGGCGATGGTACCGATCCAGCTATCGTCAGGGTCGCGCGCGATGTCACCAGCCTCTATCTTGCGATCCAACAGCTTGCAAAGGCAAACATGTTGGTAGATGGTGCCGACCAAAAGCCTCACTTCAGCCTGCGTACTCTTACTAGAACTCTCACCTATGCGCGGGAGATAGCACCCCTGTGTAGCGTTCGACGAGCTCTCTACGAAGGTTTCCACATGAGTTTCTTGACCTTCCTGAACAAAGCGTCCGAAGACCTAGTCGCAGCGTTGATCACCAAGCACATGTTTCCACAGAAGGCGTCGCTGAAGGCTGAGCTGAACAAGCCACTGCAGCAGCCCAACGATGGCCGAGCATATGTCAGACACGGCCACTACCTCTTACGACAGGGCCCTCAGCCTGTGGAAGAGAAGAAAGAGTACATCATCACTCCTTTCGTTCAGCGAAATATGAACAATCTCATTCGAGCAGCGTCGACACGGCGTTACCCCGTCTTGATTCAAGGTCCCACTTCGTCTGGTAAGACAAGTATGATCGAGTATCTAGCGAAAAGGTCCGGAAACACATTCGTTCGAATCAACAACCACGAGCACACAGACTTGCAGGAGTATCTTGGCTCATACGTTTCCGGTGCTGATGGCAAGCTCACATTCCAGGAGGGTATACTGGTGCGAGCGTTACGAGAAGGCCACTGGATCGTTCTCGACGAGCTTAATTTGGCGCCCACCGATGTGCTTGAAGCACTCAATCGACTGCTCGACGACAATCGCGAACTTCTCATTCCCGAAACCCAAGAGGTCGTTCGACCCCACGATGACTTCATGCTCTTCGCCACCCAAAACCCCGCTGGCCTCTACGGAGGACGAAAGGTCCTGTCTCGAGCGTTTCGCAACCGTTTCCTTGAGCTTCACTTCGACGATATCCCGGTCGAAGAGCTGACGGAGATCTTGCATCGGCGCGTCCAAATTCCCGAGACATGGTGCAAGAAGATCGTTGCTGTGTATAGGGAACTCTCCACATTAAGGCAAGAGAACCGCATTTTCGAGCAGAAGAGCTTTGCGACACTGAGAGACCTTTTCCGATGGGCGCAGCGCAAGGCTGAGACCATACACGATCTCGCGGCGAACGGCTACATGCTTCTTGCCGAGCGTGTACGTAAAGAGGAAGAGCGCGTTGCTGTGAAGAAGATCATGGAAAAGGTTCTAAGTGCGAATGGCCCTAGAGTGATCATCGATGACAAGCAGATGTTCAGTCAGGGCAATGTCAAGCAAATCGTCGACAGTGCCCCTGCTGGTTCCAAGGAGATCGACACCGGTGTTGTCTGGACACGTGCGATGAGGAGACTCTTTGTACTTGTTCGGCATGCAATGATCAACAGCGAGCCAGTATTGCTCATCGGTGAAACAGGGTGTGGGAAGACGACAGTATGCCAAATGCTGGCAGATGCGTTCGGCAAAGAGCTTCACATCCTTAATGCGCATCAGAACACTGAGACTGGCGACTTGATCGGTGCACAGCGACCTATACGCAACAGGGCTGCAATCGAAGAGGCCCTGAGGCGGGACATACTCGATGCTTTCGAAGGCGTGCCTTCACAAGTCAACCCCCACACTCTGGAGATGGACCCACTCCTCCACTTGTACGACCAGCTCCAGAAAGAACCGACAACCACGATCAGGCAAGACCTTCGCCTCTCGATTGAGACAAATCGCTTCAAGGCTGGAGCACTTTTCGAATGGGCGGATGGCAGCCTCGTCAACGCCATGAAGACTGGGCAGTACTTCTTGCTTGACGAGATTTCTCTTGCTGACGACTCTGTTCTCGAGCGCTTAAACAGTGTCCTTGAGCCTTCACGCACCCTCCTGCTCGCGGAGAAGGGTCCTGATGACTCAGAGGTCGTAGCGGGTGCGGAATTCCAGTTCCTAGCTACGATGAACCCTGGTGGTGACTACGGCAAGAAGGAACTTTCGCCTGCGCTTCGCAACCGTTTCACAGAGATTTGGGTCCCAGCTTTGTCCGATCTTGAGGACATCCTACAGATCGTCAGATCGAAGCTCAACTCGAACGCCACACCATATGCAGACGCCATCGTCAAGTTCTCGCAGTGGTTCAACGACAAGTACAACACCTCCGCTGCATCGTCGGTCTCTATTCGAGATACGCTTGCCTGGGTCACTTTCATCAACAGTACGAGTCGTGATGACCCCGTCTTTGGTATTGTGCATGGAGCTGCTATGGTGTTCATTGATACACTTGGTGCCAATCCGGCAGGCTTGCTCGCCATTTCTGCTGCCTCGATCGACCATGAACGCAGAGCTTGCCTACAACAACTCGGTGAGCTCCTGGGAAAGGATGTTTCGCCACTGTACTACAGTGATGTCGATATCATCAGCACAGAGCAGTCATTCCAACTGGGCACATTCTCTATTCCCAAGTTCTCTTCTGCTGCAGCCGAGTCGAACAACTTCGCTCTTGAAGCGCCCACAACACGCGGCAATGCCATGCGAGTCATCCGTGCTTTGCAGCTGGCCAAGCCAATATTGCTAGAGGGCAATCCGGGTGTAGGCAAGACGACTCTTGTTACAGCCCTCGCCAGAGCTATAGGAAAGCCCTTGACCAGACTCAACCTTTCGGAGCAGACAGATCTCATGGATCTGTTCGGTTCTGATGTTCCTGTTGAAGGTGGCGCCGCTGGCACATTCGCTTGGCGCGATGCACCGTTTCTCAAGGCTATGAAGAACGGCGATTGGGTGTTGCTTGATGAGATGAACTTGGCCTCACAGTCCGTCCTTGAAGGACTCAACGCTGTTCTAGATCATCGCGGCGAAGTCTACATCTCTGAGCTCGACCAGACCTTCCATAAACACAAGGGCTTCCGTGTCTTTGCTGCGCAGAACCCTCATCATCAGGGCGGTGGACGAAAGGGTCTACCAGCGTCCTTTGTCAACCGCTTCACTATCGTGTATGCAGACGTTTTCCGCCCAGAGGACCTGACTTTGATTTGCCGGAAGGTGTTTCCTGCCATTCAAGAGGAAGAGATCAACAGGCTCATTGGTTTCGTGGCACATCTGGATGAGCAAGTAGTCACTCATCGTGCATTCGGCAACCTCGGCGCGCCATGGGAGTTCAACTTGCGCGACACGCTTCGCTGGCTTCAACTCTTGGCGTCCTCGGAGTATCCTGGCTCGGCTAGGGACTTCCTCGATACCATCTTTGTGCAGCGCTTCCGTGCAGAGAGCGATCGTGTGCGGTTGCTCAAGTTGTTTGAGAGCCTCTACGGGGCCCATGAACCGCGTATGAGTCTCTACCACAACATCAGCACCAAGTCTATTCAAGTAGGCCTTGGTCTGTTGGCTCGTGACACTGCTCTTGCGCATCAAAACACTACATCTGTCTTGAGGGTCCCACAGCTGGGGTCCATGGAAGCATTGCTCGTTAGTGTCAAGCAGAACTGGCCGATCATCTTGGTCGGCCCACCTGGTTCTGGCAAGACTGCGATGATCAACCAGCTCGCCTCATTTGTGGGCGCCGAGCTTGTCACATTCTCGATAAATGCTGACGTCGATGCAATGGATCTTGTCGGCGGCTACGAACAGATCGACCCTTCGCGTCAAGTGCACCAATGCCTGGAGCAGCTTGAGGCTTTTGTTCGCCGTACGATCGTGACCTCTGAGCGACCTTCAGATTCCCTCATCAAGTTACTCGAACGACTCCATATCGGGGGATTTCATTCCACTGACAGCTTTTTCAAGCTGCTCCAAGAAGTCTCGCTGCACGATGCTGAAGCCGCGGCTCTTGTCAAAGCCTTGCACACTGTCCTCCGGTCATCCAACCAGCACATCGATGGCGCGCGTTTCCAATGGGTAGACGGCATTCTCATCCGTGCCCTCGAACAAGGCAAATGGCTCGTACTCGACAACGCGAATCTTTGCTCCAGCGCTGTTCTTGATCGATTGAACTCATTGCTCGAACCCAACGGCTACCTGTCCATCAACGAGCACTCGACAGCTGATGGTGAAGCACGACTCGTACGGCCACACCCGGACTTCAGGATTTTTATGACCATGGACCCCAGGTTTGGAGAGCTATCGAGGGCTATGCGCAACAGAGCTGTTGAGATCTGTCTGTTGGAATCGGAACAGGAGTCAGAACGTGGAGTTTCGAGCCTACTCGAGTACCCGCTTGAGTCGGCTGTCTACCGCTTCCGCCAGCTCCAGACTGACGAGGATGGTGTTAAGCAGACACTGCAAGCACAATTTGAGAATCTTTCAGTCATCGACAATAACTTGATGGAGAGCTTTGCAAAGCAAGCGCGCCTTGGCTTGTGTATGTCCAGCAAGTCCGAGCAGACAAATGGCCACCCACCCTCGGCTACAGTGCAGCTGCCCACAATGCCCCAATCACATCGCACCTTTGAAGACAATTTATCTCGCTTCACTCATTTCATCAGCGAGACATGGGCAGTGCAGATGCAGGCTCAGCTCACTACTGATGGCATAATCGAGTTACTACCGTTTCATCCTCTTGGTAATGAGCTGAGTCTGAATCGCTCGACTGCCACCAAGGCGAATGCGTTCCAAAGCTCACAGATGTATGAGCTGATGCTCGATTTGTTCGACATGCAGCAGGCGATCCACAGTCTGCCATCCGCCAAGTTTGAGCGTCGCAAGGAGAGGCAGAAGCTGCCTGCGTTCCTGCATGCCTATTGGCAGGCTCTGATCAAGCTTGTTGAAGGTGTACGGACCATTAACAACACCGGCCAATACATGGATCTCGCTTTCCTCGAGCCCCTGCGGACAATGTTTTGGGCTTTCTTTGCGCTGGCGAAGGGCTCGGCGTTCGACCGCGCGACATTTCAGACATACCTCAAGATGCTCAGTTCTAGTACACCGGTGATCTCCAACGACACCCACGGAATGGTGCAGACGCTGGTTGTCGCGCTTTCGAAACAGGTCGCTGCATTTGGAACGGATGTTCAGCTCTCTTCCGGCTTTTGTATGGAGCCTCTGTGGCGCCATCTGAAGCCAGATACACCAAGATCCATTGAGGAGCTAGAAGCGATACTGAAGCTCGAGGCTCTGGCTGATAGGTTGGACGCGGTTATGTGGAAGTCGAACCTAAAAGCGAATGAGATGGTGCAGATCAGAGAGCGCTTTGCAAGCTCTTTGCAGCTTGTTCGTAGAGAAGATGTCAACCCTGACGAACTGATCACGATTCTAGACAACGCTGTGCGAGAACTCGAGGAAGGCATTGGCGAGGATGACGCTACTATCACACCCTACTTCGAGGAAGAGTTCGAAGGTCTCTGCCAGTTCCTTGACATCGCTGTCAGGCAAGACGGCGTTCAACACGTGCCTGACAACGCAACGCTGGCCCTACTTTCTGCCAGATCAAAGGCTGCTCTTTTTGCTCGCCGCCCAACAAAGTTGAGTGCTCTCAGTGTTGGAAAGGCTCACAGCCCTACCGACATCTTTGCGAAGGTGTACCGTCATATCGGTCTTGTCAAAGAGGCTGCAGATTCACTTGCTCTGCAGGGCCGTTTCCATATGTCGATGTTTGCCAAGCTGTACAGTGCGGATGAAGTCCAGCTTACGCAGCTCGCCCGCTTCGAAACTGAGCTACAAGTACTGTCTCAGCAGATTGCTCTGGATGCCGAGCAGATCACCAAGGATCAGGATGAGGCGCTTGACACACTATATCTCGATCTGTGGCAAGCCATCGATACCAGTATCCCGAGAGTTCTCCACACTAAGATCAGAGCGACTTCCAAGGCGACAGGCCGGGAGTGGATCGAGCTTGCCCTTTTGGGACTGCACGCCTATGTCCCGAATTACCCACACGACCCAGCGTTGCGACCCATGTTCGAACGCAGAATCTTCAATGAGAAGAAGACGGATCTTATGTCCGCTCTTGGCGCTCTCAGACAGTTTCAGACAGATTTCACTGGCCAAGATAGCAGTCTTCGCATCCGACAAGTCGAAGCTGCAATTCAGAGCATGGGTGAGGAGCCACCAGTGCCGGCCATTGCTCGCCCTGAAGTCTCACAGTTGGACGAGTTGCAGGGCGAGTTCACGAACCTGCTTAGCATCGTACAGCCATTACTCAGCAATTCTATGTCAGCTGAAGAAGCAGCTCTTGACGTCACGCTTCACCAGAACGTAGTCCGAGTCATCCGGAGGCTCACTGAGGGCTACCGAGCCTACGACGACATCACGGCTACAGTTGTTGGCCTGCTTGCATGCCTCTACATCGGCCTGCAGCTCGTTAAGAAAGAGTACGAAGCTCAGGAGAAGACCAGGGTCGGGAAGAGTTTGCAACACATTTCTCGCGAGACTCCTTTCCTAGGTCTTGGTGATGTCAAGTCTGCGATCACGACTGCAGATTTTCTGCACGGCGCAGAACAGGCGCTGTCAGCGAACAACACAACTATAGATCCACGCTGGCACACTCTTTACCTGCTGTCAATCGTCAAAAGCGTCGATACTGTTTCGTTGTCTCAGCCAGCTGCGCGTGGACTGTTGCATGGTATCTTTACATCCTTCTTCACAGAGTACAAGACCAAGCTCCTTCAAGACCAGGAAAAGGAGGCGCAGGACAGGAGCTTGTACTCGTACCGCGGTATGGAGGAGGAGGAGAACGATGAGGAAGATCGGACGCTATTCCCTGACTACGAGGCCGAAGCGGCGGCGCCTACCGCACAGTCTGCAGCTCAGGCTACGTCAAGAGACCATGCAATTCGTCTGGCTAACATACACACCGAGTTATTCCTCGAGGGGCGTGAAGCATCAGATTCCGTCAAGACTCTGCTGGAATGGTGCACATCAGAGATGAATCGCGTTGCGGAAGGCAGGAGTCACAGCACCAAACACGAGAACGCTCTGCCTGCCTTGTACCTCACACTTGAGAGAAAGATCGATGCGCTGAACGGCTCGGGGACCGGACCAAACTACAACTTCTACTTCGATGCGAACCTGCCTGAAGCTAAGCGTCTGATTACATTCGTACACCGCATCCAGGTGCGTTACCGCCAAATTCGCAGCGTCTGGCCTGAGCACATGACGCTCGCAGACGTGCTGCGGACGTGCGACGAAGCGCTTGCTTTCCGCCACGTTGACCCAGTAGCCAAATTCATCACCAAGGCTGAGAAGCTGCACGCCTACATGTACGAATGGCAGAGAGTTGCCAGCAAGCAATACAGCACTGCCGATCTGTTCGATGACCTGACAAAGCTGCTAATCAGCTGGAGACAGCTCGAGCTCACCACTTGGGCTAGATTATTCGATCTGGAAGTCGAGAAGTGCCGTGACAGCGCAAAGAGCTGGTTCTTCGTTGCATACGAGACCATCATCGCGGCGTCCGAGAGCGTCGAAGATGAGCAGGCTATGAGGAAACATGCGAAGGGGCTGCTGAAGAGTCTCGAAGGTTTCTTTGAAAGTACGACGCTGGGCCAGTTCGAACAGCGTATCAATCTCCTCCAGCAGCTTCGTCAACATGCAGCTATGCGCCTGCAGGATGTTGAGCGTTTCAATATTCTGCATTCCGCGCTTGAGAACTTCATCGCGTACTTCTCACGCTTAGAGAAGCCGGTGCATGAGGCGCTCGCCAAGGGACGGCAGACTCTGGAGAAGGAAGTCAACAACGTCATCAAGCTTGCGAGCTGGAAAGACACAAACATCGAGGCTCTCAAGCAGAGTGCAAAAACGAGCCATCGCAAGCTGAGCAAGCTTGTGAGGAAGTTCAGGGCAGTGCTTAACAAGCCCGTGTCTATCGTTATGAGCGCCGGCTTCGCCGACGACGGTTCCACTCAGAGAGAGGCTTCATTGGCACTTGTCAGCGCAGCAGTCAACCCGGAAGCGCTTGCGTGCTGCGACGAGCACGTACCAGGATGGAACGAGCGACCAACACGATTCAAGAACCTGTCCGTTACTGTCAACTTGATGCGCAATCTGTCCCTGCCCAGCAACGACATCATCGATGGAGCGATCTACATCGAGGAGCTTATCACCAGTGTTACCACGTCGATCATCGAACTGCAGAAAGCCACGCCCTCGACTCTGACTGAAGACAACAAATCAGAGGTTCAACAGCTCAAGACCCAGAAGCGCAAACTTTACGCTGATACGATGAAAGAGTTGCGCCAGATGGGCGTCAAGTCAAACCTTAGCGTCGATACTCTCATTAAGCAAGACGAGCTTTCGACGGTTCTGTCAAGTTTGCCAGTGGTGCATGGCGTTGGCGTTCGGTGCGGTCGCGTTGCTGAGGGTCACTTGCATCAAGCGCTGAATCTTATGCCGCAAGTGCGCGCAGTACCCAAAGAACACTCTGGCGACTTGACAAGTAACGATGTCGCCAAAAGTGTTGGCTATATCGAGGGCCTGCTGTACATCTCGATCAAGCAGAGGGGATTTTTGAGCCGCGCAAGTCAAGCTCTCGAGGCCAGCAAGACGCCGCTGACATTTGTTTCTCATCTTTGGCAGCCGGGCGAAGGTCATCTTGTTATTACCACACCGCAACAGATTGAGGCATCTCGGTCTTTGCAGCCAAAACTAAGGTGGCTCGTGGCTGCGCTGAAGACTGGCACGGATGTCGTTGCTGCGCAAGCGAAGCTTGGAAAGACGAATGAGGTTGACGCTCTGTTGCGGGCTATGCGAGAGTGGACAGTCCAGTTGCAAGACCTGGCTGATGCATACGATAAAATGCCCACTCTGTCGCACAACATGCAATCGAACGCGCAAGTGGCCCTCGACCAGTCTGTGAAGGAAGCGATTACGGACCTTCAAGTCGCATTTGCGTGCTGGAATGACAACAACGAGATTGCTCGAACGGTCCTCAAGCATGTTGTGCCATTCATCTTCCAGTGCCCTGAGGCCGCTGCTCAACTATCGTCGAATGATATCCAGCTTACGGTTGAACAACATTCTAAGGACATCTTAAGTGCTCTCGACTCGATCCTGGGGTCCATGCAAGATGTTGAGGCTGCGCTCAAGGAGCTTCCTACATCATCCGATGACGCTGCATGGCTGGTTAAAGAGGAACAAGTGCTTTCTTCTGCCCTCAATGGCCTTCACGCAGGCCAGATCCGAGATGCTCTAGACACCGTTCTGGAGAAGATGCAATACCTCCACACCGACGCGAGCCTCCGAGGCACCGCAGCCATGTTCGCAGCCATCCAGCCCATCCTCATCCAATATACAGCCTCTCACCAGTACCTCGTTGACCGCTTTGACGCCCTCCACGCATCGACAACCAAGCTGATGTACCGCCTTATTAAGTCATTCATCCAAGTCGGCACCCAAGGCTTCTGCCAACCGCCTGAGAAGTCGCCCGACCAGCAAAAGGGCAAAGACGAGAAGTTGGAAGAAGGCACCGGTCTTGGCGAAGGCGAAGGCGCAGAAGATATCTCCAAGGATATCGAAGACGACGAGGATCTCGAAGACTTGGCGCAAGAGAAGGGTGAGCGCGAGGGCAGCATCGAAGAGCAAGATGATGCTGTCGACATGGGCGAGGACGATATGGAAGGTCAGACTGAGGAGATGGGCGAAAAGGAAGACAAGGGCGATGACGAGGGTGAAGAGGGCAACGATGACGTGCAGAGCGAGGTTGGAAGTGTCGACGATCTGGGCCCGAGCGCGGTCGATGAAAAGATGTGGGACGATGGTGGTAAAGACGACGATGCGAAGGACAAAGAAGGGAAGCAGGATGTAGGCACTGAGGATCAGGAGGAGCAGGCCGCTGCAGAACAGAAGGAGAAGGAGAAAGAGCAAGCTGGTGAAGATGGTAAAGAAGGAGACAAGAAAGATGGCGAAGAAGGTGAGGAAGATGAAGAGATGGAGGGTGAAGATCAGGAGGAAAATGTTGGCGCGGGCGAGACCGAGCAAATGGATCCGCATGCGAAGGAAGAAGAGACTCTTGATCTTCCAGAGGACCTCAACATGGACGGGCAAGAAGACGATGGTAAACAAGATGATAATCTCGGCGATATGGACATGGGCGACGATCTTCCCGAAAACGAGATCGATCCAGACATGGGACCTGACGCAGAGCCAGATACCGTCGACGAGGAGATTGGACCTGAGCAGGAAGGCGAAGAGGAGAAAGACACGACTGGACACGTCTCGGATGAAGAGCAAGCTGCTGGAGATGAAGAGCAGGAAGGCGACGAGCCGATGGACGACGACGCTGTTCCTCTGCCAGACGAGAACATGGCTGATGATGAGCCGCGCGAGCAGAAAGATACCGACCAGACTGACCCGAACGCTGAAGCTGGAGCTGGCACAGAAGCCAACGAGGAAGCACATCAGAACAAGAACGAGCAAGCTTCCGCGAGCGCCGCGAATCGTGACGAAGGTGAACAAGGTGACGGCTCCGACCAAAAACAGGACACAGCTGCGGAGGATGGTACGCTAGGCCAAACTGCCGCGCCCGATGCCGGTGGTCGTGGTGAAGAGCCAGAAGAATCAAAGGAGATACAGTCTTTCAAGAAGCTCGGCGATGTGCTGGAGAAGTGGTACAACCAGCAAAAGCAGATCACCGAGGCGCGGGAGAAGGATGAGACTCAAGTCCAGCAGATCGACAAAGAGATCAACATGGCCGATGCGGACTTCGAGCATCTTCAGGACGAAGAGCAGCAGGCTGACACACAAGCAATGGGTACTGCAACGGAGGAGCAAGCCAAGGCGCTCGATCACGACATGGCTCTGCCTATGAATGAAAAAGATGAGGAGAAGATGCCAACTCGACCAGAGGATCACGATCAAGACATGACAGACCCGCAGGATGCCAATATGGATGATGCAGACAGGAAGGCCGAGCCCGAGCAAGAAGAGCAACAACCTCAGCCCGGCGCCACAGACGGGCAACCGCAAGCCTTCATCGGCGACCAGAAGCCGTTTTGCGCTCCAGACGACGAGGACATGGCCGATGCAATGCCTCTCGATGAAGACGTTTCCGATGCTTTGTCTGTCGCCGAAGTTGACCATCAACTCGAGATCACCCATCTCTCCTCCGCCGCTATGGATCCCACAACCGCGCGCTCCCTCTGGCTAGCCCACGAATCCGCCACCCACAGCCTTTCGCAACAACTCACCGAGTCTCTCCGCCTGATCCTCGCGCCAACCCTCGCGACCAAACTCCGCGGCGACTTCCGCACAGGAAAGCGCCTCAACCTCAAGCGCATCATCCCGTATATCGCGTCCGGCTACAAGCGCGACAAAATCTGGCTGCGCCGCTCCCAGCCCAGCAAGCGCAGCTACCAAGTCATGATCGCGCTGGATGACAGCAGGAGTATGGCGGACAGCGGGGCGAGCAATCTCGCGCTCAAGACACTCACGCTCGTCACGAGATCGCTGGCTATGCTGGAAGTGGGGGAGGTGAGCGTCGTCGGGTTCGGCGACCAAGTCAACGTCGCGCATGAGTTCGATAAGCCGTTTACCTCGGAAGCCGGAGTGCGGGTTTTCGAGCAGTTCGGATTCGACGCCGCGAAAACCAATGTCCGCGGTCTCGTCTACAGGTCACTCGATCTGTTCGCCGAGGCTAGGCGCAAGGGGAGTTCGAGCGCGGGCGAGGATCTGTGGCAACTTATGCTCGTTGTGTCCGATGGTATCTGCGATTCGCATGCAGAGATCCAGCGGCTTGTGAGAAAGGCGCAGGAGGAGCGTGTAATGATTGTGTTCATTATCATCGATGCGACGGCTTCCGCGCCTTTCGCTGCGCACGTGCCGAAGGCGAGCGAGGAACCGGGCGCGCAGCCCGGAGCACCGAGGAAAGAGGTCGACAAGACGAGTATTCTGGATCTGCAGTCGGTAGAGATTACGCCCGAGGGCAAGGTGGTCAGGTGGAAGTACATGGAGCGCTTTCCGTTCAGGTTTTACTTGGTGGTGCGCGATGTCAGGGAATTGCCGGGTGTGTTGGCTGGTGCGCTGAGGCAATGGTTTGGGGAGGTCGCTGGGAGTGCATCGTAGGTGTTTGCATCTGGGGAGTTCTTGGGCATTGTAGGGCGTTGAGGTAAAAAGTCATTGGTATGTTTGCGCAATCAGTATTGGGTTTACACAGGCCTAGCTAGCAGGGTGCGTGACCGCGGATACCCAAAGCGGCTGCACGCTGCACGGTGCCTGGTCAGTTGAGCAAATGGCGTGCACGCTAACACTCGCGGCCGCCCGCACGAGTAAGCACGACCCGCACCCATGGTATTGGAACGCCCTGTGCTCGTGTGACACGTTCTGCAGATTAAATATGCAATTGGCTTAAACATGTAATTGACTTTGGGGAAAAGTAGTAATTGTTCATAAAGTCGATCAAAAGGACTCGAGCGCCCCGTAGCAATAGTCTATGTGGTTGCATGGCGAAAACTCTTCGCTGCCAGCCCCAGACATCAGGTATTCTCGTATATTTCCTCACACATCCCAGGCCTTACAAGGTACCATCACCAATGCACCTGTGGAGAGGAAAGGTATCGCCGAGGCAGACCCCGATAATACCATCAACCCATGACAGATCTCCATAGCTCTTTTTATCGAACGAGTCAGCCTGGTAGTATGACAAACTACCATCATAACCGACCTGGCCCGTCCAGACTTGTCCACTCACGCGGTTCGTCCAGGCGTTGATGACGATAGCGCCGATCTTGCCGTCCGGCACAGTGCCGGCGAACTGTTGTGTCTGTGTGGTCATCCATGAAGCAGTGTACGTAACTGTCGTAGTGGAATCGAGGAAGTCCTCGACCAGAGTAATTTTGACAGCCTCGGCGACGGCGATGGAGTTTGTCATGGAGTAGCCGGTGGCGATGGTGACTGTTGCGGGACCTTCAGTGTTGTCAGTATATGTTGATGAAGCGGTGAGCAGTAGACGTACCCTTAGCGACCTGGCTCATCGGAACATCCCAACCCAAGAAGCGAGAGTTAGGGTAGGGAACAATAAGGCTGATATCGTCGCGCTTCTTCAGGCTGTCCTCCGGTCTGGCGTGTACGGTCTCGTTGCCAGAGAAAGTGATAAGAGAATCGTCGAGGTGGCTGGGCTTGGGAGGCGCAATGCCACTCTCGCGAAGCTTCCTGATTTCCTCAAAATCATCGCGCTTCATCTTTGTGAATCGGCCACCCTTCCCGTAAAGGACGATGTCGTCGACACCAAGGATAACCGGCGCTGGGGCTGCAGCGACCAGAGCAGCGCTGGAGGCGAGAGCAAGTATTTGGGAGAAATGCATTTTGTTTGAAAGAGGAACTAAGTCTCAAAGATTGGATGTGAGGGTGAATGATGTACTGAGTCTGGTGCTGGAGCGTTGTATACACCGGATGAGCTGCTGTACTTATGCAAAACTGTTCTTCGTGATGGACATTCGCTCCGTACCTGTTCAGGATGTTCGGCTGCAACTTCACGAGTCGCGGTAGGCTCAGAACTTGGCAGGACCTTGAATGGAGTGCAGGAATGCTATCGGTCCGAGCCTTGATACAGATAAACAAACTCGGGAGGATCCTGGGGGCCTGGGGCATGTACCCAGCTGATCACGCGAACGATCTGTCATTCGTTCGCACGACCCACGTTCAATGACCGTTTTCCTGTTCCTTAATACGTGAGCTGTGCGCAGTGCATGATTGGTCGCGGTAGGGGAAGGATCGATAATATCGGAACAACCCTTAGGGCCAGAGCATGTACCCAATTGACCACGCTACTGATCCGTCCTCCATTCATCGATCCACCCTGGAGGTCTACCTTCCTGCTGTTCAATGCGTGATCTGGGCGCAGCGCATCATTGGTCACAGGGAGAATAGAATAGTCGGACCGAAGCGCAAGAGGTTTCAAGATGGAGACGTGAGCCGGGGTCCCCTTTCCCAGATGAGAGTGACATCTCCACGCCGATAGTGTGCAAGGCTGACAGCTGCGTGTCCTCGCTCGAACAACCGAACTTACACTAGTTCAGCCTGCGCATCGTTTCCCTATGCGGTGTCGCTGATGTTTCCAGCCCCATCATGGTCGCCATACTTTCATCATTGACTTACGGTCTAATCTCCCAATAATTCGCAGTGCCAGCTTAGTGATAGCGGATGGAGACATCATGTTGATGCTGATAGTCGCGAGCTTGAGGATAACTTATAAGTATCCAATGTAACCTCCAAGAAAATCCCATCGCTACACCTCAGGCACTCAGTCTTTACATTCAGTCTTACAAACACATTCGTCTGCACCTCAAAACTCATCCTCTTTCGAGATACCATTCAATATGCGTTCCTCATCCGTCATCATTTTCCTCACAGCTCTGGTCACACCCTTCGTGGCTGCCAAGTTGCACTCTAATGCCATCTGCATCGACATCTTATCCGGTGTGTCTGTCTACAACGAGGCTGCAACCATTGCATCATGCGGGAACTACAGAGTGCGAAACACTGGAAACAAGCAATGGGATCAGTGCCCGGACTGCGAGATGGTAAGTAAATGTCAATTCGTGTAAGAGACCTGGAGACTGACTTGTATCAGAAAGTGATCGGCAACCTGAATGTATGCCACTCTGACGGTTGGCACATTGGAGGTGACGAGATCAACTACTACTGCGAGAAGATCAACAATGCTGGAGGGTCATTGGCGAACTCTTAGGTGCACCCCAGTGCGCTCGATTCGGGTATATGAATGCAGTCAAGACGCGTGTGGACTTGATGGGAAATTAGACATGGACTTAGTGGGGGCTGGTCCGAATACCAGGGAATGTGATACCAAACAGGGCAAGCCAGTGCGCGATATCGGGAGTCAATGTACATTTCGCAATTTGCATAAATATTTACAAAACTGGATGTTGCTTAAGACGACCGATGATACCAACTGTATACGAGGCTGAACAAGGGTGGCTGCGGAAGCACGACACAGGGAAACCATAACCCATTTACTTTCTACTGCTTATCACCACAACACTGGTAAATATATACGCCTACGTGGGACGATAGAGCAAGCAGCTCTTTGCTATTATGTGAACAACCTGTATTCATTGTGCCTGTTATGCTGCTGTAGTGGCGCGCGCAGTAAAGTGAGCGTGACTTGTTTTCTTGTCAGCGATCGGCGGCATCGGCCTTCAAAGCACGAGGCTCTTTGTACATCAAAGGCGGGCTTTTAATGTGGATGTGTTTGTGGGGCGGTAACACATTAGTCGAGTAGGATGAAAAGATTGTTGAGCGTGCTCTGTCTAGCAGATGCTAACAAAAACGCCAAGGCACCTGTCTCTGGGTAGGGCCGAAAACAACAGCGATTAGTAGGGATATCCCTTTATGCAAGCTTACCCCAAAGCGGAGGTAACCGTTTGAGCGGGAGCGGGAGCCAGGGCGGCTTGGCACCTGCGCAAGACCTGCTCCGGATCGCTAGATGCTGGGATGCTAGATGCGCAGTTCACCGAAACACAATCACATATGGTGTACGATGGACAAGTCGAAGATGTCCAGCACGGAATCTTCCCTCGAGAAGTTGTCAGACTTAGTTACGCCGCGTAGGCCCTAGCTCAGCCAAATGGTGATGCCGCTCGTGCTCGCAGCTGACTCTCGTACTCATTCTCTGGTTGCTGGAGGCTTTCGAGTGGCATGCATATCAATCCTCATCGCTCGTGCGGCCTTCTGTATGGCGAGGACACTTAGAACATTGTCGTCGATACAATCTTGACGTTGATGTCGCATCGCATGGATGATAAGCACGACAGCTGCGAGTCTTGACGCACTACGCTGACCACCAGCAATGCGCCGCCATGCTGCCACTGATGACCTTTGGCTGCTTTGTTACCGCACAGGCGTGAGCAAGTGCCAGCAGCTGCACTGAAACCTGGACGGAGCATGGTTAATCTGATTCCTGTCATGAGTTTCGGAAAGCCCGGCCCGAGCCGCACTAAGCAGGTGCTCTGGGGCCGAGATTTAACACTCATATTTTTAGCTGGTGGCTGTACCCGAAGGTCACACAGAGGATCCAATTGGCTCTACTTCGTAGACGACTTCGTAGACAACTTCTACCGTTGATATGCCGCCGACGTTATGCCTCCTGGCATGACTGGCAAATGGGTTCAGGGTATCCAGCATGCAGGGTCGCACGGGCCAGGGGCTTACTCAAAACATGGCTCAAGCGATCCCGACTCGAAACATGACCCAGGCGTGGCATTGACGCAACCCTTGACCGTTAACCCACTTGCCAGCGTAAGTTGACAGCCTGAGGCTGCAAGGGTGAGCCTTACTATATGTAATCGCCCATGCAAGCCTAAGGAGAGCTCGAACGCCTCCAGCTTGTCGGCCGAGAAGGGAGATTGGGAAGAAAGCGCTCTGGAACGAAGATATCGGGCTTGCTGCAGTTTATCGTTTAGTGCGATGCCCGATGCCCTTCCCTATTGCAGGAGATGTATACCCATCCATGCGTGCGTAGACCAAGTATCAAACGAAGATTGGCCAGCCTTTTGAAGGGCTGACTGGAACGATGGTATCAAGAAATGTCCTTTCTCGGGTTTTTGGCGCGCTGCAGCTTGTATACCTATGTTGGTGACGAAGAAGAGGAGTAACGCTCTTAACGGGATGAGGCTCGCTAACGCCGGGCCAGTTCACGGACGCCAACATTTCGGAGATCTAATGCCGAATCTGCCCAGATCACGCACGCTACCTGAAGGCTGCATAGCATTACATACTATCACCTTGAATATATTATTGGACGTCCAATTTGAATGCCATGGATCGACGCGCGTTCGCACCTGTGGACACAGTGGCTCACATTTGGACGTCGCTGGGGCTACCTGAGCATGCACTGAAGTCTATACATCTCCCGGTCGACGCTGAATGCCTACCATCGTCATTCAAAGTCAGCCATCTGGCTCAGGCTTCAATCGGGTTGTCAGCACTCTCGGCTGCACTTGTCTGGTCGCTTCGTCATCACCAGCAAGTGCCTGAAGTCACTGTACCGGCTCGCCATGCTTGCGCTGAGTTCAAGTCTGAACGCTTGTACATACTCAATGGCAAAGCTGCGCCATCAAATATTGGCACGATTGGCGGTTTGCACAAGACCAGAGACGGATACATCAGAATGCACGATGGCTTTCCGAACCATCGTGAGAATGCACTCAAAATCTTAAGCCTGGGGCATGATGCGACAAGAGAGGATGTCTCTCGAAAGATGCTAGAGTGGAACTCGCTTGATCTCGAAATCAAAGCCATCGAAGAGGGCGCTGTGGTGGCGAGACTTCGATCTTTCGAGGAATGGGATGCACTTCCACATTCAAATGCGGTTGCTGACTTTCCGATTCTGTTGACGAAGATCTCGGAAGGGACAGTGTATCCGGCGAAGAGTATTGAGCCAGTGCAGGATACTAAATGCCTGCGAGGTCTTCGTGTGGTCGAAATGTCACGCGTCATAGCGGCACCGGTCGCGGGGAAGACCCTAGCAGTTCACGGAGCCGTAAGCCGACGTCCTTTATTTTAAGTTGTGCAAATAGGCTAAGAAAATCCAGGATGTCTTGTGGATAACATCTCCCACGTTGCCTGACCTTCCAGACGTCGATGTTGATGTCTCGAGAGGTAAGCGTACCGTACGGCTCGACATCAAGACAGCAGTCGACAAAGCAAAGCTCCTGGAGCTTCTCTCTACAGCCGATGTGTTCATCCAAAGCTATCGGCCAGGTAGTCTAGCCGCGCATGGATTTTCGAATCAAGAACTGCTCGCGCTAAATCCGAAACTTGTCATCGCAAGTCTTAACGCCTACGGTCCAGATGGGCCCTGGTCGCACCGGCGCGGCTTTGATTCTCTTGTACAAACATGTTCTGGCATTAATGTCGCTGATGCTGAGCGGTACGCTGCTGGTGAAGCAGCCAGAGTACTACCATGCCAAGCCCTTGATCATGGCTCCGGCTACTTGTTAGCTACAGGCATCATGGCAGCTTTATACAAACGGGCAACGGAGGGTGGCTCGTACGAGGTCAAGGTATCTCTCGCAGGTGTCATGCGGTATTTGCGATCGTTGGGCCAATACGAAGGCCAGAGTGGATTTGACCGCAAGGACTTCAAACAGCCTAAAGATATTATCGAGTACCTGGATTCAAGGCAAACGGGCCTCGGTGTGCTGAAAGCTGTGAAACATGCTGCCTTTATAGACGGATTGAAAGTTGGGTGGGAACATATGCCGAAGCCACTGGGTAGCGATGAGGCAGTGTGGCTGTAGCCAATAAGTCCGGTCACTAGAAAAGAGTCGCAAACCGCTACTTGCGAAGAACGGCTTTGGAGTCGCCGCGCTATTACCTCTCACCGCGGGATTCTGTAAGCGCTTGTTTGCTGCCTTTACCCACATACATGTGGGTAGATAAGTCGCACCACCCATCAACACTCTCGTAGCTCTTCCACTTAATTTCCACTTTTATCCTCGCTCAACCCCATCACCTACACAACACTCTCCTCTCATCGCCATCATGGGCGGTACTCCTAAGACTACTGGCACATTCAGGTACTACTGATGCAGAATCGGTTCTATTCCGCTGTGCTGGACCTGCGGAAACGTCTACTACAACAACGAAGACTGCTTCTGTGAGAGGATGCCCAAAGAGTGCACGCGTCATATCTTCTCGCATGATCCGTTGCTGCGCCCAGACTACTGCCCGCCTTGGGACAAATGTCGAGGTTTCCACATCGGAGCCAGCGAGGCCTTGTCAGAGGGCCCGACGTACGTACGAAGTGAAAGATGGTTGGACAGCTGCTGATGGTTGCAGTGACGAGCTTCTCACGTTCGACAGCGCATCCCAGTACGAAGACTTCAAGAAGTGCTGCACTCGCAATGGTACTTGGTCTGGCGATAGCTGCAGCATCAACACCAGCGGCTTTCCTGCAGTCGATGATGCCATGTTCGACATCAGCAGATTTGACAACGCGGACGTCACTAACTTGCAAACTTCCAGCCAGGCTTCCTCCGGTAACCTCACGCGCCGCTCTGCTGCGGCGGAGGGCAAAGTGCCAACATCGTTGGCTGTCGTCCACGGCGTAGTGATCGTCGGCCTGCTTGCTATGCTTATTTGGCTCATGCAGTGTCGAATTCATTAGTACCGTCGCGTGAAGGAAGCGACTACGAGCTCCACCACATACCCCCTTGATGAGAAGGACAAGTTCGCCCACGGGCCTGTTGGCCTCAAGAGTGTCGACTGAGGCGTTCGGGGCGCCTGCTGGATATACGGCATGTCTGACAGTCACAGAAGAAGTCTCGTACTGCTACCACGATTGAGCAACTGTCTCGAATGCTTGGTGGATGGTTTCGAGACAAACCTTTGGCGAGATATGGAGACATTGACGGCTTTTATCGGGCACTTGCACTGAGATTCCCATAGGTATTTTGGTATCGTCGGCACTGGAGCTGGCTTGCCGACTTTTGCTAGTGGGACTGATTTGAATATCAATACAACTGTGTACGAGACTGTCTGACTTGCGATGTCGTTTGCGATCGACCTAAGAAAGGGAGCCGTGAGACGCTGACGTCATGGTGCGTTCGTCAGTAAACACATCGCTCAACCTACCCTTCCTTCCGCATGCGCAGCTTCAACACTATTTATTGAATCCCAACGATAACTTCACAAGATAGCAAAAATGGCCGCCGAAGTTGCAGCCGGAGCGTACATTACCGCAGAGGCGATCGAGCACACTGCCGAAGCTGGATACGCAGCTTACATTGTTTCGAAGCCCACATTGCCTTTGAGAGCAACGTTCAACCGGATAGCAACAACTTCCGGTGATCACACGGGGTCGGTGCCTCTTTTCCGTCTACATTACACACTAGCTAAACTTATCAGGCGATCGCTGGAGAGGTCACATCACACGTTGACCGTGGTCAACAACAAGGCTTACATATTTGGCGGCATCACATCAGAGAACAAGATGGCAAGCAGTGAGGTTCACGGAATTACCCTCGAGCACTCTGGTGAGCCTGAGATGGACTATTACTTGATCCCAGCAGTACCATCAGTAGAAGGCGAACGAGTACCAGACGCAAGAGCAAGTCACGCGGCTTGCGCGTTTCGTGGAAATGTGGTCGTTTACGGAGGCTGCAACGAGAAGGACGAACTTTTCGATGAGAAATCCTCGGTATGGATGTTCAGCCCGGAGCGCAAGACATGGGAGCACTTAGCACCATCGACTCTCGACCTTGCTCCCGGTCCGCGACGACATGCAAGGCTATTCGCGCAAGATAAGTGTGTCGTCTTATTTGGCGGCTACGACGGCACCGGCGACCTGGCTAGTGACATCTGGCAGTTCGACGTTGCCTCTAGAGTGTGGTGGCAGCTCCCTACTGCGCCAGTTGCGACTACAAATGTTGCTCTAGCGAACAATCAGCTCTGGCTGATCTCAGGCTCGGATCCGATGAGCAGCCAACTCCATCACCTGGATATCTCTTCGCCGAAAAACGAGATGTCTTGGGACACTTTTACCTTTCCAACAAACCCAATGGCTCCAGGTCCAAGAGCTCGTCAGGACGGAGCCTTCTTACCGATCCATACCGGCTACGGTCGAAACTACCTCATATACTTACTTGGTGCCCGTGCGGATACATCGTTGGCGACGACTACTGCTTCAGAGGACCCCAAACATGCAAGAGACACCACGCAGTGGAGCGACACATGGGCCTTGCAGATACCTTCTAGTGATCTTCAAATGAAAGCGTCGACAAGTTTCAGGGAGGCCATCAAGCCAGCAAAGATCAAAGATGCAATCAGGTCTGCGCTTGGTGCTGAGACACACGAGCTGTCTTGGGGCGAGGCAGTTGTACAGGTACCTTCCGAAAAGGAGCTCGAAGAGATGGACGGCAAGCTGCACCCAGGACCAAGAGCGTTTTTCGGAGCAGATGTTATGCAAGATGAAAAAAGCATAGCTTTCTGGGGTGGTATGGATGCAAAGGGTGAAAGAGTCGGAGATGGATGGGTCATAAGGCTGGAGTGAACAAGTGAGGTACTCGGAATTACCCCTTCCGGATTTACTACGTGAATAGCGGAATAACAGCACACGTTGACCAGAAATCCGCCCTTCGTTGTCCGTTCACTACAATTACCGGAATCGAGGAACAGGATCTACAGCTTGCCTTCGAACTGTGCTCCCACATATCCGATATCGATGGCTTGTCTGAGACGGTTCTGGTGAAATGGCTTGGTCTTGGATGCACTTGCATTCTTACTTGAAGCTGTGTGGTGCTCATTAGTGTCAGCAGGCGCATTCGGCTTTGGTCTTTCGGGACTTGTAAGCTGAGATCAGTCAACACTAACAGGGCAGGCAGCCGTACGATGACGTTTGAGGGATTTGGATATTTGGCTCCTCTAGACCTGCACTATACATTATGACCGGCATATTCTGGGCGATCAAGCTGGAGATATCAAGCGATATCTTTCAATTTCGACGACATCGAGTATGAGGTCAGAGAAACTAAAGTGCGCTACCGAAGGTATCTTATGCCCTCAACAAAGGATATACCGGTGAACCCTGACAACATACTTTCTCATCTACGTGAACTGCTCTGGGAGCAGCGATGCCCACGTGTGCAGCATATTCGGTGCGCCAAAGCTAAGCGACGCACCACTATGGACTGGCTCCGCACAGGGGTAGTTGTAGAGAACTTGCTGCATACGGCTTAGACTACCATTGAGTGGGATTGAATCAGCTTGTAGGCTTTTGATAACTGGTAGTCCGGGATCGTTGTGCTAAAACGAAGGCTGTGGAGGTTTTTATGAGCTGCTAGGACAGCCAATAAGGAAGTACCACCACGGACTCTCGGTCGCACTAAATCCAGCTCTCAACAGTGCGTACCCATATACGGCTATATAGTTGGATAAATGGTGTAGACCACAGCGGAGTCCACTGGTGATCATGGAGAGGGACCCCAATGCTCCCTACAGTGGCTACAGCAGCCCAAGTTACATTCAGACTCTAGAGGAAGGTCTCCTGCCTTACTATCAGCCGTCTTAATTGTTCATGAATGATAATGAGGGCATACACAGGTCACGCGCAGTATTTAGATTTCTGGCAGACAGCAACATTACAGCGATCAACTGGCTAGCTTACTCACCCAACCTCAACCCTATTAAGCACCTCTGGTGGAACCTTAAACCGATGATGCACAAAGACTATCCCCAGTTCAACAAACATAGTATCACTGCTGAGCATTAGGAGGCGTTTTGTATAGCACTGAAAGACTGTTGGCGTCGCATACTGAATGTGTGACTGCGTGAGCAGTGTCGGTCGGAGACTGTGATCAACAATTGTATTGCTACCTGTTGTCTTGTTGTCTTGTCGTGTGATGTCGTGATGTTGTGTTACACAAGGTCTCAGCTCTCAGGTAAGTGCACTTGCCCACCAGGCAGTGCCTGCTACAATACGATATCATGTGGTCTGAGCCACGCGGTTACACAATGCGTTGATTGCTGGCGTTATTAACAGCATGCCTCGCTGACTTAACGCCTGTAGACGTGCGCTCGGGTGGCAAACGAAGTATCAAGTATTTACAACTACAACACTAAGAATTTGAACAATTCTACTGCAATGGGCGGGTTCTACAACCTCACTTGGTGGGTGGGTTGGCGGGTTGATAATGCCGAGGTTCGCTTAGTGGAAGGAACTTTTGACGTAGTACCTACTGTATCTGGAAGTATCGTCAAGACTCTTAATGGTATCGGATGGTTTCTGCTCAATTTCACCGCGGGTTGTGACGTTTGGGCAAGGGCAGTCCGCTTTTGTCCTTGGCATTGTACCAGAACAATCTCATGTTCATTCTAATTGACTGCACATACAAAACGGTGTCGATAGTGTCAAGCCAAGGAATTGGCGTCAGTAAGGATAGGAAGGCATGGCTACGACCTCACTGTCGCGCATTGGCCGGCATAGGTGCAGGCTTGTCAATCGACATGGAATGACCCAATGCAGTGACTGTGCAGAGAAAAGCGAAATAGAAGACCTTCACCGTAACAGACGGTCAGTATATATCGAATGAAGGGGAACTAGGGTTTAGGTGCCAACTTGAGTCTGGCAGACTTGTCAATATAGTTGTAATTGTCGCCTGCTCTATTCATCTAATCTCTCTGCCATATGCCAACAAGCCAGCAAACCCTCAACAGCGCCAGACCCCAAGCCATACCAATGCTATCCCAGATAACATTCAGCTTACTTCCCATGACCTCCTTCCACCCTATCGCAACCTCAATCATAGCAATGTCAGCGCTCTCGGCCAGCATGAGCATTTCGACGTCGAAGATCCAGCCTTCAGAGTGCATGTACGGTACGATGTAGGGCAGCGCCGGCCTAGAGAAAAGCTTGAAGCCGCACTGGGTGTCCCTGATGCGCGCAGTCGCGGCTGGGGTCATGACGCGGAGGAGAAGGTGAAAAGAGTACATGAGGAAGTTGCGTAGCTTGGATCGCTGGGTGACGTTAGCAAGTATGAAGCTACTCGAGTATGCGTGGTCTTACCTTGACAACGGCTTCGCTGCCAACCAGATGGGCTCGGCTGCCAATTGCAACACCTCGCCCGTCGGTATCTTCGATCTTCTTGCAGCCCTCCACCAGCTTGCCGAGATCGCTGAACCGGCTTGCGCCGTCTGCATCAGCGAAGACAATGTACTGCCCTCTAGCATGTCTCATGCCATGTGTAACCGCACCGCCCTTGCCTCGATTCTCTTCCAAGGTAATGACGCGGATGCTGCCGTGGGGGATGTGCGTTGAGGGAAGTGTCATCTCGGTGCCGTTCTTCGTCCATGGGCCAGCGACTGGCACTGGATGCGCGCTCAATTGGTGTTCCTTTGCGAATTGCAGTGCCTTGTCGACGGTCCCGTCCGTACTGCCGTCGCTGACGATCAAAATCTCCCAGCCCTTCTCTTTGTCGCTGCCTTTTTCGCCCTCATGCGCTGAGCCATACTGGCTCTGAAGGTATTCCACTGCTTCTTCGAGCATGCCGCCCATGCGCTCCTCTTCGTTATATGCGGGGACCACGACAGTCATGAAGAGCTCTGCTGCTTCAATTGGCATTTGCGGTGGGATTACGACCCTGGTTCCTGGTGCTTTCGCGGCCTCCTTCTTCGCGAGCTCCTTCTCGGCTGCCCACTTGTCGAGCCAGCATGGCAACTGCTTTGGCGCGCTCTTCGTGCCGTCAGGTAATATCGTTATATACTGCTTCTCGGAAGGTAGAGGGTTTCGAGGCGAGGGTGCGAACAGTGTGAGGGCCATGTACGTCTGCGCATTCATTAGCGTTGCTGCGTTAGATCTGTCGCGTTCAATGCTCACCCAGAACAATAACGCGCCCACCAGAAAAGTCAGGCCGAAGAGGATCGCCCAAGTCGGCGGCATTTCTATCCTTTTCTGAGGAAAGCTCTCAAAACCATACCCAGCACCCAATTTGGACGTATCGAAAGCGCGGTTTGACATGGCGGAGTAACAATGCCGCGGGCGGGCAGGGAAAAGCGTGAACTACCGGTGAACACGTGTATACATTGACAAAACGCTCAGAATGCAGATCTCGACGTGAGGATGGCGATTGGAGGATTCAATGCGAACTTGTAGGAGTGCAGCCAATTGTCATGCGAAGTTGCAACGTGTTTGCTGACGTAGACCGAGGCGGGACGCGTGCTTCACCAAGCCACGCGCTAGCGCCCGTCGACGCCAGGAACTTCCGACGGCCGAGGACTTGTACCAAACTTCACCGTGTCGTTGAAGCTACGAGCCTCAGGAGTTGACATCGCTGGACTTAAGTGCATGCGAGGCATAGTTCGGGTTCTACAAAAAATATCGACAGGCCTCAGGTCAGGTGCCACTTGCTATGTGCTTTCCCATTCCGTGTGTAGCAGTGACATACCCAAAAATGAGGCTGCAATGTCAATTTGGGAACCGAGATGAGGCCGTCGTGAAGGAGAGGCCGTCGTGAAGGAGAGGCAGCAATGGCAAGAAACGCGAATAGACACGGAAGAGACGACACACCATAGATTCATTCGATCCTCAGCAAGTCAGTCGTCGAAGCCTTGATTCTTCCTACTTGGCGGATGTCTCACCTCCACCAGCATACAATGCTCCCACCCGGACGCGTGTTGATTTAGAATACGATTCATGCGTGGAGAGTACGGATGGCTACAGGTGCGTTGACAACGCCGAGTAGCCATCGAGCCTGCCAAAAGGTTCAACGCTTCGACAGTGAGGCCGTACTGCATGGAGGAAAGTCGCAATGCAGTTGAATCTGCCCAGCCGCGACTCGAACACAAGTTGCAAACACCATAGCGGGGTATCAAAGTCTTCCATTCTGCTATGTCCAGTACCACCTATCCCTTCAAGGCTTCACGCACGTTACCCTCGATGCCTTTCAGCGCCTCCTGCACACTCGGACTGTAATGTTTCCTCAGCAGTTCACCCTCCCACACCGTCGCCGCAAACGCATTGCTGCCTTCGAACTCGGGCTTCAGCGCATCGAAGACGCCGTCACCTCTTCGCTCCTCGGTATTCCACAATGGCGCAACCTTCTTGCCGTGAGCTTTCGATACTCTGTTCAACAGGCCGAGCATCGCTATGCAGCTCTTCTCCGGCAACTGGAGCGAAATCGACATGAGCTGCTTTGTGAAGGCCGCAACGCGGACTGGTGGGACGCCGCGCAGCGCTGTGGCAGGGAGGAGGACCGAAGACAGGGAGCGGATGAGCAGAACGACAGTAGTCTGCACATTGATCTTGTTTGTGCTGGGTACTTGGTGCGTTTCCGGCGCGTTCGGGTCGGGTAGATGTAGAGACTTGGACGAGAGCTCGATGTCGGCGTTCAGAGCCACGGGGTGCAGTGTGCGGTACAAGTGTGTGATGAAGAAAGTGAGGTCGAGTTTGAGAGTTGAGGCTTGCTTGAGGACGTCTTGGCCTTCGAGGAGCGCGAATGCTGTTATCACGCAAAGCAGGGACTCGCGCGACAGGTTCCGGTCGGGGACTTCGTTGTCGTCCTCCTCGTCCGACTCAGCATCTTCGTCTTCCGAGACGTCGGCTGCAGCAGAGAGCTCGGCGGTGGCGATAATGTCGCGCAGGGCTTCGAGAATGTCGCCAAAGAAATCTTGGTTAATGAGATGGGCGTAGCGTGCGAGACCTTCGAGGACGGCGCCCATGAGCTTTGGCGAACGCGCTTTGAGGATGCGGAAGTAGCATACGAAGACTAGCTTGAGGGTCTCGGCTTGCATCCTATCACGCTCCTCGTGAGAGACGGCGGCGTCGGCCTCCTTCATCTCTTTTTCGATCGACTTCTTCTCCTTCAGCTCTTTCCGTAAACGCTTGGTCCTGAACTCGCGCTTCTGCTTGATCTTCTTGGCATTCATTTCGTCTTCGTCCTTCTCAACGGAATGGTACGAGGCTTTTCTGTGGAATTCAGAGAGGAGGCGGAGATGGAGGAACGTGTTGAGCACACTCTCGTCGAAGTTGTAGTGCTTTGCCTTCATCATCTTGGTCAACAGGGTGACTGTCTCCAGTGAGACGTTGCCATCCTCGTCTTCCTCGAACAGCTTCTCCAACGCCTTCCTGCACCGTACGAAATCGGCATCGACGCGTCTCGTGCTCAGCTTGCCGACCATGATCTTAACCAGATCACCGCGGAAGTTGAAGTGGGGCACAGCAGTCAGCAAGTTGCAGGCGCAGCTGATGGCGACGGTTGCCAGACCTGCTTTCTGCTCATCGCTGGAGCCGCTCGTCTTGCACAGCGACGCCAGCTGCTTGACATATGTCTCGTACCCGGAGACGAGCTTCTGCTCGAAATGGCGCAGCTTCTTGACCTCCTTCGACACTTTCTCGCCCATGGCCTCCTCGGCGATGGGCCGGATCCGGTAACCGGGGATCAGGTCTTTGAAAACGGTGACTGACGTGGCCAGCGCCAGCTTCTTGACGGTGTTGTTGTCCGACTCGGCGATGGCAGCCAGCGTCTTCAGCGCGCCGATGTGCTCCTCTGGGTCCTCGTTGACCAGGCTCGCAATCCGCGCCAGTTCCTCCTTCGCTTCAAGGACTTGCTGTCGCGCGGGGATCTTGGGCGTCTTCTCCTCCTGCTCGACTTGCATGTCCTCTGCCTCTCCGTCGCTGCCAGAGCCGAGGAAGCTGTCCGACTCGTCCTCGCTCTTGACTTCCGCGTGGGCCGTTGGCGGGGCGACCCATCCCTCTGTTGTGCGGACAGGTAGCCTGTCGTCTCCCTTCTTCTTCTTCTTGTCGAGGCGGCGCGGGCGGTTCTCGTAGTCCTGCTCGAGGTCCCATTGCGCGGCGCTCTTCAGGAAGCTCTGCTTGTGGTTCCTGGCCGGCGCATCGTCGCCGGGCGGTGACAGCCTTCTCCTCTTCTCGGGGCGCGACATGGTGCTAAGGGGCTCTCGAAGGCGAATTGGAGGGCTGGACGACGCTGGTCGCTGCGCACATGGGGCCTGTCTAACTTTTTGAGGCGGCCCGGGGTGGCAGAATTGTGCCCCACAAATAAGTCCTAGAGGCTCGAGGGCGGGCGCAAAGCATCGCGCACCCGGTCAAGTCCTCACTCGACACACACACACGCCTGCACGATGCGGCCCCTTACCGAACCCGAGACAAAGGTGCTCTTTGAGAAGCTCGCAACCTACTGCGGCAAAGGCATCTCGAATCTGATCGCCGACCCGGCTGGCGGCAACGACCGCAATGTCTTCCGCGTGCAGGTACACACATGCCCGCAGGCTTTCTGACCAGAACTCTGTGCTGATGCAGTCGCAGGGCTCAAGATGCTACTACGTCCGCGAATCGCTCGCTAATCTCGCCACTTCGGTAGCCCGCGACAACCTCCTCTCTCTGGGCATCTGCCTCGGAAAATTCACAAAGACGGGCAAATTCCGCCTGCACATCACCGCTCTCTCTGTCATCGCGCCGCACGCACGCTACAAGGTCTGGGTCAAGGCGAACGGCGAGATGCCGTACTTGTACGGCGGAAACGTGCTGAAGGCGCACGTTGGAAGGTGGAGCGAGGACTGCCCAGAGCACCAGGGTGTTGTGGTGCTGAGCATGAACGATACGCCGCTCGGCTTCGGCGTCAGCGCGAGGAGTACGGCAGAGGCGAGGAAGCTGGATCCTACGGGTATTGTGACGTTCAGGCAAGCCGACATTGGAGAGTACCTGCGCGAAGAAGATACGCTGTTCACGACTTGAGCAAGGAGCTGAACTTCTCGGCAGCTTTTCAATCACACCGGCGTTTGGGTGCGAGGGGAAAAGTCAAGGCGCGAGCGGGTCGCATGAGCGCGAGCAAAAGCAAGCATGGCTTCTGTGGGAGCATTGCCCTGGTACAGGAGGCCAGTGCTCTCGAGATGTGTGCAGGCTAGAAGAAAAGATACCCAGCAATAGACTCGATTGTTCATCATTGCATCTGTACCGTAGTCCTGGGCCGCAATGTTAACTACCAACCTGAGACGTCCTGCATATCAGAGAATGAGCCCCGCGAGCCCAAGTAATGGAGCTGTGTGAACGGGCTTTGCAAGCACGGAATCACAGGAATCACCCTTTTTAGTGGAAAGACAGACCCAGCTGCATCCAGAGATGGAGTGTGAAGTGTAAAGTTCGTGCGGTGAAAGGACTCGACCATCGGGGAAGTCGCAACGTGATTGGTTTGAAACCAGCATGAGCCACGTCTAGGTACGCGTCCGCGTCGACCGCCTCTCGTCCCTTGCACCCCACTTCGCACGCACCGCTCTAATGCGGGGTTATTAGAAGATCAGATGGACTTCGTTCGTGCAATGCTCCCTCCAAGCTACTTCTGCTGACCTTACCATGTAGTGGGTAAGACTACTTGGCGGTTCTTCCCAGAAGAAGCAAGCCGCCCCAAACAATCCCCAGCAGCGTCTGGCACGCTTCCGGCAGCGATACAACCAGATCTTGGTACGACAGCTCCGTTCACTGCACTCATGCAGCTGACAGCTGACACGCCCATTAGTCGCAATGGCAGAAAACGCAGAACCTCGCCAGCGACCGCGACGTGCTGAGCAATATCCGCCGTGGAATCCAGTCCCTGACCGCCATACTCAGCGATGAGTCTCGATCGCCCGCACCGCACCTTTGCCTCCAGTTTGCTGCAGCACATCAGATCTACACCGGCATCTCCAAGATTGCGGCGACTTCTTTCGACGAAGGCGTGGTGCGCGATGCTGTGAACTTCTACAGTACGCTCATCGACAGCGAGGAGGAGGACTTTCTCGAGAATGATGTCTTCGCAGTGTCGCTCATGAACTTCATAAATAGGACTGTGGGTTCTGGAACCATGGCTGTCGGGGAGGACATCGAAGCAGACATCGTCGAGTTGCTCTTTGGGATCGCAGCCAAGATCAGGCTGCAGCCAGAAATCTTGCCGGTGTGGTTCACCACGACTGGCGACTCTGTCAGCCGAAACCAAGCCCAGGGCAACGACTTTGTTGGTGTGACTCAAAAGGAGGACTTCCCCCTGTGCTACCAGCTCATCGACCACGTCCACCATGAGGGTCGAATTGGAGACTTTGCTCGCACTGGCCTACTCTACGTGTTTGAATCTGCTTCGAAGTCCATGACTCTTGAGCAGTGGATAGTGAACAGTGATCTGCCTACGCTTATGGCGTCCGGTCTTGGTGCATTGTACAGCCAACTCAGCAGGTGCGTTTTTTGGTGCCATCAGGCAGAGGACAATTGGACTAACTGGGAGTAGAAAGCTTTCGATTCTTCACCCTCAGGACAACCTTCCGCTTATATTGTCATTCTCCGACTATGTGGAGACACAAGCCAATGCGGATACCGAGAATCTGCACACCGATGAGTTCCAGAGTCACATCGGTACTTTCTTGTCATACCTTGCGTTTTGGCAAGATGTGCTAGAGCATTGCCGCTCTGCGGACGTCAGACACACACTGATCGATCACTTTCATGTTCTTTTTCTACAACAGCTCCTGTAAGCCCAGAAAGCGCTCCAACACTTGGGAGCTAGTGCTGACAGTGTGCAGATACCCTTCTCTATTGGAGTCCTCAGATGCCGATGGTGGATCTTCTGTGGCCGTGCTCACATACCTTCGACGAATACTTGACGCTCTCGACCACCCAGAGCTCGTTCATATGATCCTGCAATACCTGCTTGCGCTCCCGGATCACACATTGTCAGGCAAGATGCCTCGCTCACCAGCTGCAGTGAAGAGACGTCAATCTCTTATGCTTATGAATCACAGTGACCAAGAAGACGATCGACTCAATCCATCCTTGTTCAATCTCGTCGACTTGATTCTGGGTAGCACGGATTCAAGGAATTCACAGACCGTCACATCGGCGCTGAAGCTCGCCACTGTCATACTTGGCAAGAATCACAGTTACGGACTGGGATCGTTGATCAAAGTCATGAATGCCCATTACAAGGAACCACATCGAACAGCGGGCGCCTTGAACATCGAGCTTGAGACCTACCTCAATCTGGCCATCGACCTTGCGGGTGAGGATGGAGTCGACGATGCGTATGAGACTCATCTTAAAGATATCCAAAGTCTGCTCGAGAGCCATCCCTGCTCCCTGAAGACTATCTCGTTACCCCCGACCTCCTCACAGAGCCCTGCCTACTTCGATCCCATGGATGCCAGTGGTAGGGAGGTACATCAACACTACCTTATCCCGGAGGATCCGCTGTTCAAATCATTGACTGATCTCCTGCTCCGATTTTTGACGAACGATGTGGAAACAAACCTGGCGTTGACGGAAGCAATATTAAATCTCGGCACGTGCTCCCAACTTCGTCTCGAAGGCTGGCTCTCCGTCGATCCCGCAGACTATCTTTTCGACGGTAACATTCCAGAGACTATCAGTTTCTCGAACGACAGTCTTCGAGATGTCTACATGGCGAACCGCCTGCCGACGTGGAATGCCTCAGCGACACCGCAACTGCTCGCGTGCGTACAAAACCTTCATGCGCAGGTAGCAGCGCTTCGAGGTGATATCCCTGACTGGGATGAGCATGTCATCAATCGCAAGAATGCATTCCGATTCCATGAAGAAATGCATGACGCCATGAAACAAGCAGCAATGCAACCCAAGGCGGTCCAGCAGCTTCCAGAAGCACCCGGATCGTGGACACCTCAGATACCTAAACACGTGCTGGAAAACTCGGCAGCTCCATCCAGAACGCAGTCACCTAGAGGCCGAAAAGAGACCCTCTCCGAACAAGTAAGCTCCCAAGGTTCCTCGCCAGCTCCTTCGAAGTTTGGTGGTCAGACGCTCGTAGGCTCACCTCCGAGAGGCGCATCGCCGTTGCCTGCACCGCAGGTTGGTAATCGCCAAACCACTTTGTTCTCCGACATCGATGCCAGCCTCGCCGGATTCAGACACTCAGATTTACTAAGGAGGCGGATACGCTTCCACAGACCTGCTGGCTCACAAAACATCGAAGTCATGCTATCAAAGTACCAGCCTCCTCCCAAAGAACCCTCCGACGATGCCACCGCCGGCGCAGAAATAGAGCAGGACGACATACGTGAGGCCAGCCTTCTGCATATCATTACCAACGTGGTCATCCTCCAAGAATTTGTACTGGAGCTGGTTGCCTTGATGCAAATCAGAGCGAGCTTGTTCAACGAGGTCAAGTTTGCATGAGCTGGTGTTGGTAGCGACGTTGACTTTTCCGGATGTGAATTAGACGGCATAGCGAATATACCCCTTTTGTATTTACAGCTTCATGTCCGTCTTCAAGCAAGCAATGTCCGGGTTCTCACACATCTTCGAGCCGTGGGAATGTTTGACACAGCTGTTCAAAAGTCGCTCAGTGCCAGTCGGAGAACGGCACTTTCGCTGCCGGCGGATGTTCCACCAATGATGTCGAGTCAGAATAACATCTCGATGGGACTTTCAGGAGATGATATCCTGCAGGCTGCGGAAAAATGGGCGAAAAACAACCGACCTTCCTCTCTTCAGCCGGTACATCTTCGTGCACGTGCGAGGGCGGGTCTACTCGGGACCTGCGGAGGCTTTCCGTCTGTCAACTCAAACGTCATCTTTCACATGGAAGCTGCTCCTCAGCTCACAATCAGATGCACTCACGTGGGACGTCCGACATCGCGCTTGACAAACCCACGTCCAGGCTCTTTGACTCCAAATTGCGAGTTTATGAAAATGCAAAAGGTCTTTAGCTCTTGATTAAGTCGTATTGTTGCTCGGTAAAGCCAATCCTTTGCCAGCCGATCCCGGCCGAAAGACATCTCCGCTCTCCAAGCTCCGCTCGCGCTAATTACAGATCTGGGGTAAAGCGATGTCTAGCGCCAAGCTCACTGATGCTGCAGGCGCGACGCGTGCCCTCGCTTTTGCAACAAGGGGCCTGGGCCGCTGCACAGGCCGAGGCCTCGGCGGATGTTTTATGTCCTCACACCCGCGGTTACTAGACAGCTGAAATATGACTGTGGTGGTCTTTCTTACTTTTCACATGTCGGGTCTTCTCTTCGCTTTTCAAGTCTGAAACCTGCGTCGCTGTCTCCATTGATTCCGCATTTGGCAAGACCCTTTGATCCAGGAAAGAGCCGAGGCCTTTGAGAGCTAGCTAGAGCTCCAAGAACCGGGGAACGAAGATCACGCAGCGTCATAAACACACCTCCGCACGTCCTGAGCTGTTGAGGACCTTTAAACCTCTACTGACGCGCATCCGCACAATCGCTGAGCTAAGAAGCTCCACGCTCGCACAGAATGTCTGCGAAATCAACACAAGGGCCTGGCGGCAAGAAGCCCGCCTCCGCAGCGACCAACTTGATCGGTAGGTACAGGACAAGCAATCGGAAAGAGTGCGTAGTTCAATGGCAGTAGACTGACCTTTCGCACAGCTGGCGGAGGAGCTGGAATGATGGAGGCGCTCGTGTGCCATCCTTTAGGTATGTCTTGCGCCCGAACAACCTCTCTTAGATGGCAAGGCAGCTAACTGGAGTCGCAGACACGATCAAAGTCCGCATGCAACTTTCCAAGCGAGCGCGCATGCCTGGTGTACGTCTCTCGGTCCATTTGCAAATGTTCCGCTTTGCAACCATGCGGCACGAGTGCTAACGTTGGTGTGCAGGCCCCGAAGCGTGGATTCATCAAGACAGGTAGCGAGATTGTAAAACGTGAGACGGCATTGGGACTGTACAAAGGTCTCGGTGCTGTCCTTACCGGCATTGTACCCAAGATGGCCATTCGCTTCACTTCGTACGAGTGGTACAAGCAGCTGCTCGCAGACCAGGAGGGAAAGGTATCCGCGAAATCAACGTTCATGGGTAAGTCGGATCCTGAGACGCAAAGATTTGAGGAAGGACCCGCTCAGCGAACGGGCTTCCAGTTGGTATACAAGAGTATGGACTGACGTTACTTAGCTGGTCTCGCCGCTGGTGTCACGGAAGCTGTTCTCGTTGTCACACCCATGGAAGTAGTCAAGATTCGCTTGCAGGCACAACACCACTCCATGGCCGATCCGCTCGATGTTCCCAAGTACCGGAACGCTGCACACGCGCTCTACACGGTTGTGAAGGAGGAGGGAGCCGGCGCGCTGTGGCGTGGTGTGTCGCTCACAGCGCTGCGACAGGGAACGAACCAAGCTGCCAACTTTACAGCATACTCGGAGCTGAGATCGCAACTGCAGAAGTACCAAGGCACGACAGATCTGCCCGGATGGCAGACGTCTTGTATCGGACTCATCTCTGGTGCCATGGGACCCTTCTCTAACGCTCCCATTGACACGATCAAGACCAGACTGCAGAAGACACCTGCAGAGGCAGGGCAGAGTGCAATGGCCAGGATCACTGCCATCGCAGGGTAGGTTGTGAAGAAGACGAGTGTGCGAGACGCTGCTAACGACTTGTGTAGTGACATGTGGAAGCAGGAGGGTGTGAAGAGTTTCTACAAGGGCATCACTCCCCGCGTGATGCGTGTTGCTCCTGGACAGGCGGTTACATTCACCGTGTACGAGTACCTGAAGGGCATCCTCGAGAAGGGACGGGAGATGATTCCTGGCGGCCAGTACGAGGAGTAGTGCGGGGGAGCATGGGCAGCTGTTGATACCCACGATGCATTGGTTGCCGCGCATAGCACGGTCCATGTGCTGTCTCCAATTCCAAAATGAATGTTGAGATGTTGAAGCGAGCAATCTCGACGTGACCAGAACGCGCAGGGCTGGTGAGCCAGTGCAGTGAGCCAATGCAGTGAGCCAATGCAGTGAGCCAATGCAGGGAGCCAATGCAGTGAGCCAATGCAAGGGACCCCATGCATCAGAATGGCTGCTGCCGAGTTCAGCCACGCTGCCCCACCACCGGCGTGGGACGTCATGTAAACAGTGCCTGAGTGCGCACCTCGTGTCCGCCACACGACCTCGCACGTCAAAACCTCGGCACAGGCTCTAGAATCTGCCATTGTCTCTCAGTACCTTGCGACATTATGCAGTCTGGAATCTCAGGTGCGTAGCAGGACACGAAGCTCGCGGGGCACGAAGCCCGCGGGACACGAAGCCCGGGGGCCATGGACGCTGACCACCTTCCCAGCCTCGCAGGAGCTCAAGTCGGCACTGGGCGAGCTCATAGTGTCGTCGACCCAGCGCGGCCTCATCGCGCGCATCGACAAGGAAAGCATCGTGCCCGGCGCGAGCATCGCGTCCAGTGCGCCGACGTTCCTCGACGACCTGGCCAACCTCGGCGCCCACGTGCAGCCCAACGAGGCGCTCTACGTGCTCTTGCGGCGCGCCGACTCGCTCGCGTCGCCGGACAAGTCGCTCGTGGCAATCACATACGTGCCCAACGCGGCGCCCGTGCGGCAGAAGATGCTCTTCGCGTCGACGAGACTGACGCTGGTGCGCGAGCTGGGCGGCGAGCACTTTGCCGAGAGCGTCTTCACGACGGAGCCCTCGGAGCTGACGGCCGAGGGGTGGCAGAAGCACGTGCAGCACACGGAATCCAGCAACCCGCTGACGGCCGAGGAGCAGTCGCTGCAGGACATCAAGGAGGCCGAGGCGCTCGAGAGCCGCGGGACGCGCGGGCAGAGCCTGGCGCAGGGCGGCCGGCTGGCGCTCAAGGCCGACGGCGACGTGGCGGGCGCGCTGCAGAAGCTGGCGCAGGGCGGCGGCGACAACCTGGTGCAGCTGCGCATGGACGCGCAGACGGAGACGCTGAAGCTGGTGTCGTCGTCGTCTGCGACGCCGTCGACAATGGCATCGTGCATCGACGCGCGGGAGCCGACGTACAGCTTCTACCGGCACGACGACGCGGCGGCGAGCATCGTCTTCATCTCGACGTGTCCGAGCGGGGCGAAGATCAAGGAGAGGATGCTGTACGCGGCGAGTCGGGGCAACGTGGTCAGTCTTGCGCAGAGCGACGGCGGGCTCAAGGTTGCGAAGAAGCTGGAGGCGACCAATCCGGACGAGGTGACGGCGCAGGTGATTCTCGACGAGTTCACGGTGGACAAGGTCGAGGTCAAGCAGGGGTTCAGCAAGCCCAAGAGGCCGGGCAGGCGGTAGGCGGTGGTGGGGGAGATGACGGTGGTGGGAGGAGACGGCGGTGGTGGGAGGAGACGGCGGTGGTGGGAGGAGACGGTGGTGGTAGTGATGGCGGGTGGTGGTAGGAGACAGTCAAGTGGCAGTAGGAGACAGTCAAGTGGCAGTAGAAACAGGACACGAGTAGCGGTAGCGACAAGGAGTCAGCGTCGGAGAAATCTGTGCTTTGATGTATATTCACGTTCCGCCGTCTAACCGACTACTCTACTCGTCGCTGGAAAACGGACGACGGCCAAAGGTGGCGCGGTGCATCCCCGCGCGCGGCCTCCCCTTGGCCAGCGACCCCTGGCGGCCCTTTAGCCAGGCCTCGCGCACGCCCTTTGTGCTCCTGCTCACTTTGGGCGGCAGGGCGCTGCTCTGGGCGGCCAGCACGGCGACGTGGTGCTTGCCCGCGCGCCTGTCCTTGGGCGCTCTGCTGGTCTGCTCCAGGAACTTGATGTGGTGGCTGAGCTTCGCGCGGCGCAGGTCCTCGGCGGTGCGGCCGGCGGACTCGCGCGGCGGCGGGGTGGGCGGTCGCACGTCGCCGAGGGTGGCGAGCAGGGCGTCTGGGAGCAGCGAGGGCAGAGCGGTCGCGCGGCCCATGTCCGCGTCCGCGTCCGTGTCCACGGGCGGTCGTGTGCTGTCGCCGCCGTCGTCGGGCTCTGCGACGGCGGACAGACGTGCGGCTTTCTTTGCGCGGGCGGCGGCTCTTTGCGCCTTGAGCGCGTCCCGCTTGCGCTTGGCGGCTTGTTCGTCGACGAGGCGCTGCAGGCGGGCCTCGCGCTTCTTGCGCGCCTTCTCCGACTGTGCGGCGAGCGCGCGCGACGTGTCGGCGTGTGCGGCGGCGGCCTGCGAGGCGGCCTGCGAGGTGCTGAGCATGTCCGGCGCTTCGTCCGAGTCGTCGCCCGAGTCGTCGCCCGAGTCGTCGTCCGAGTCATCTTTGTCTTTGTCGGCAGCATCTTCGTCTTTGTCGGCGGCGTCTTCGTCTTTGTCGGCGACATCTTTGCCTTTGTCAGCGGCATCTTCGTCTTCGTCGGCGGCATCTTTGTTCGCGACGGGCTCTGCGCTGCCGAAGCGGACGTGGGCTTGGGGAGGCGCGTCGTCCTTGTGCGCCTTCTTCGGGCGGCCGCGCGCCTTGTTTGCGGCGGCGGGCGTCGCGCTGTCGGCTGCCTTGGGCGTCGGCGAGCCCTCGGGGCCCTTCTTGCTTGTGAAGGGCGTGACAAAGGCGGCCTCGGACGACGCGGGCTCGGGCGTGTGGAAGGCATCGTGGGCGGGCTCGACGACGACGTGCGGGCTCGACCGCCGTCGGATCGCGAGCGGACTCGGCTTGTCTGGCCGCGGCGTCGCGTCGTCTGCAGTGTCGTCTGCAGTGTCGTCCACGGCCTCCTCGGCTGGTTCCTGCGTCGAGCCTTTCCTCGGCGTCGACCGCAGCGTCCGCGTGAGCTCGACTGTCGTCTTCCGCTGCCGCTTCACCCGCGTGGGCGTGTCCAGCGCGTCCAGCTCCCGCTTGCCCGCCGCCTTCTTCGCCGAGCTCGCGGGCGTCGCAGCCATGCCGGGCGTCTCGGTGCCGCGGCGCGTCGTGACCATGATGGCCGTGTCGGGAGTGTCTGTCGGGGTGTCTGTCGGGGTGTCTGGAGTGTCTGTCGGGATGTCTGGAGTGTCTGTCGGGATGTGTGTCGTGTCTGTCGTGTCTGTCGGGGTGTGTGTCGTGTGTGTCGTGTGTGTCGGGATGTCTGCCGTGTCTGTCGCGATGACCACCGTGTCTGCCGGGATGACCACTTCCTCTGTCGGAATGTCCACTTCCTCTGGCGCCTCGCTTGCTCGTCCTGGGTGCAAAGGCGTCCGGCTGATGGCTCTCTTTGCTGCACCGAGAAGCTGCGCAAACATGATATGTGAAGCGGGCGGGCCCAGAAAAAAGTTCAAAGCAACTAGCGCCGCTGCGCGAAAGCGGGCCTCCTCGGAGGAGTCGAGCGTTCGGCGCAGCGCAGCGCAGCGGGCCTGACTAAGCGGATCGCTTCACCGCGCTCGATCCATCGTGAACCCGCACCGCGTCGGGCAGGCTGATGTCGTCCTCTCGCGCACTGGCTCGCACCCCGCGCTTGGCCGTCCGACTGGATGGGTGCGCCCTCTGTCGTGCGCGGCTGCTGGCTCCAGGCGGCCGCTTCAGCCACTTCCAACCGCCCACAGCCTCTCCGCCCGGCGCCTTCAGACGAACCTATGCCCAGAAGCTGCAGGTGAACCGGCTCCGCGCCCATGTCGACCAGAGAGCGCGCCTGGGCTGGTACAAGATGACCCGCGGGCAGAAAATCTTGCTCGTCGAACCGCACGTCGCAGAAGCCATCTACAACGACTTTGTAGCCCACCAAGAGCGGAAGGAATATGGAAAGCTCGTCACGCAGCTCATGACAAGTCCGTCCGTCTGTCCAAAGCGTCGGTGAGCGCGGCTGACGCTGCCAGAATACAACGTCTCATCCGAGCACCTGTCCGGCCTGGCACTGATGACCTACTCGATCCCGGATCTCTCAGACGCCGCCAAACGCGCCATGCTGCCCCCCAGCCCGCACAAGGCAAACGCAGCGCTGCTCCTCCAAGGCTGCGCAGACATCGGGGACCCCCTCGCCGTCAAGCACATCCTGGCCGCCGTCTACCTCAGCACCCACACCGCCGCCGCCGCCCCGGGCGCGCGCGACCTGGCCCTCCGGTTCCCCAGGCCCGCCCTGGCCGCGTACCGCACCGTCCTCGCGACGCTGCAGCTCGGCGGCACCCCCGACCCGGAAGCCCTGACGCTGCACGGCCAGTTTCTGGAGAGAGAAAACCGGCTCGCCTCTGCCCGCGCCGCCTACGAGAAAGCCCTGCAGGTGCCCTGGGTCTACGCCTACAGCGCGCAGGCCCGCCATCCAGCCCAGCTCCCCGTCATGGCGCCGTGGAACGCGCTGGGCTACCTGCTGCGCGGCGTCGCGCGCGACGCCGCCGCCCGCGAGCAAGCGAGGCGCGCCTTTGAGCTCGGCGCCGCAAAGGGCGACGATCCGCTGTCCTACTACGAGCTCTCGCTGTTCTGCGAGCCCGGCACCGTCGACTGGCTCAGGTGCGTGACCAAGGCTGCCGCGTCCGGGCACAGGGACGCCATGCTGCAGGTTGCCCTGTTCCACCGCCGGCTGTCCGAGTCGGCTGCGCCTCGCCCGGGCGCGCCCGCAGCCGCGCTCCGATCCGCTCTGGGCTGGTTGCTGGGCTGGCGCGAGGGGAGCGCCGCGAGACTCGCCGTCGAGTGGTTCGAAGCCGCGGGCAACGCGGGACACAAGGCTGCGCTGCTGCACCTGGCCGAGTGGCACGAGGCGACTGGGAGGACCGAGGAGGCCCGCCAAGTCTTGGACAGAATCGTGGAACCGAGTGAGAGCGGCACGGAAGAGGAGTTTCCTGCCGTTGTGCACAAGGCCAAGGGCAAGCTTGTCGGCCTCGGAACGGCGTAGACGTGAGAACAGCGCAGACATCAGAACAGCACAGACGTTGGAATAGCGCAGACATTAGAACAGCACAAACATCAGAACAGCATAGACATTAGAATAGCGCAGACATCAGAATAGCATGCACATTAGAACAGCACAGACATTAGAATAGCATAGACATCAGAACAGCATGCACATCAGAACAGCACATCAGAACAGCAGAGACATCAGAACAGCACAGACATCAGAATAGCATGCACATTAGAATAGCATGCACATCAGAACAGCATAGACATCCGAACAGCACATCAGAACAGCACAGACATCAAAAAGCACAGGCAGCATGGGAGCGTGTATCCGTGTGCACCGTCTTTGCAATGTATCCGTGTGCACTGTCTTTGCAGTGTATCCGTGTGCACCGTCTTTGCAATGTATCCGTGTGCACCGTCTTTGCAATTCTCCGTGTGCACCGTCTTGAATAGCACCTACACAACACTCTCTTCCACGCCATCTCAGCTCGAGCTGGAAACAAAGTCATTCATTCCATCATGTCGTCGCCCCAAACGCCCAAACACAAACCCAACACCTTACTTTCTCGAACTCGCCATCTCTCCATACCGTCCACGCTGCTGTGTAGTATCGTATGCTTGCAGCACTCGCGCCTGGCTCTCGTCCGTCTGCGAGAAAGCGTAGCCGCGCTGCTTGCGCATGCGCTGCACTTGGCGGACCTTGCGGATGGCCTTTTGAAACTGCTCCATCCTGTACTCGTGTCAGCTTTGTTGCTTTTACTTCTTCACTTCACTACGAAGGTGACAAACCTCGGCCGGTAGTCCTGGATGTTGTACTTCTGAATCTCCTGCACGTGGTGGTAGCTCTGCGGGAAGTACATGCGCTTGGCGTACTTCCACGCCACGTCTCGGATCAGGCACAGCGGCGGCAGCACCACCACCATAGCCCAGAACCGAGGGTCTGGGAACAGCCGCTGGATCACGCCAATGTACTCGTTCGAGATGTTGACCATGGGCGCCACCGTCGCGTAGATGGGCATGAGAATGAACCACAGCACGAACGAGCCCGGGATCGCGAGGAACGTGTACTTTGTCCAGATGTTCGTGATCAGACTGGCCTTCAGGAGAACCGTCGCCAGGTTGGCCGTGTATGCACCCGCGCCCCAGGTCCAGTGGCCCGCGTTGCGACCATCCCATTGCGGCCAGTCGTTCAGGATAAAAGCCTGAGCCCCAAAGTAGAGGATCAGCGAGTGATAAAACCCGTTTGCGACCCACGACCAGAAAGAGTGCATCTTGAAGAAGACACCTGATTGACTGAGCCGGTACAGCTGTGGGTACCGGTCAAGCAGCCGAGCGCTGACAAACTGATCGAAGATGCCAAGTACAAAGGGTGGTGCGGCCGTGAAGAAGACATTGTAGAAGGTCAGAGTCCAAGACTCGTAGATGATCTGGCCCGAAAAGGCGTTCTGGAACGAGTACCAGAATTGTGTCATGAACATGGCAATGTTCTTGTAAAAAGAGTAGAGAATGACCTTGCTGACACGCTGGTAGCTCCATGCACCGTGGACGAGAAGAAGTTTGCGCAGGTAGCGGAATTGGCCAATCGAGATATCAGCGCTCCTTGCTGCCTGCAGACCTTCCATACCACTGATGCCGACACCGACATGGGCAGCTTGAATCATCGAGACATCGTTCGCACCATCACCGATGGCGAGTAGAATCGCCTTGAGGTGACGCTTTACAAGCTTGACAACGAGAGCTTTCTGGAGAGGAGACACACGGCAGCAGAGCACAGCCTTGCACCTGACAGCTAGGTCGAGGAACTCCTTCTCCATATCACGCTCGAGCGCATACGTGAGGGACTTGCCGTCAATCACCAGAGCCAATACGTCCATTTCGGCACCTCCTTGGCCCTGGCTCATGATAGCGTTGTACTTCTTGGCAATGTTGTCCCTCGTCGCTTCCTTCGATTCTTCGTTGATGATGAGCAGACTCATGTCTTCACTGATCAGCTTGCAACTCATGCCAATGTTGATGGCCGTCTCCTGTCGGTCGCCCGTCAAGACCCAAATCTTGATACCGGCAGATTGCAGGGTTGCTATCGTGTCTGGCACACCGTCCTGCAACTTGTCCTCGATAGCAGTTGCTCCAAGTAGAGTGAAGTCATGCTCGATGAGCTCAGCAGCCTTGTCGAGTTCTTCAGCACGGTTGCCGCTGACCGTTGTTTGCGCTGTGTTGAAGACCTGCCACCACTCCTGATACTCGGCCTCAGAGATCTCGCGCATGGCAAGGCAAAGCGTCCGGAGACCTTCAGCAGCGTACTCCTCGAGATGAGCCAATGTTGTTTCAACGTGCGGATTAGAGTCCTTGGCCAGGCGCTCTAGGATGACAGTGTCTGCACCCTTGCAGTAGCATACGATCTTGCCCTCAGGTGTGCGGAAAATTGTGGACATGCGCTTCCTCGTCGAATTGAACTCGCACACGGCTAATAATTCGTACTCTTTCGACTGGCCGTCAACCTCCATAATAACAGCGCGCGGCTTCCTTGCTGTGAACTTGTAGCCAAGCGTCACAGCACCTTCGACCAAAGCACCCTCGTCGGGGGATGCAGCTTGGTACTTGATCTTATCCTTCTCGCCGCCTCGCTCAGGTATGACGGTATGACATGTCGAAAGGAGTGTGAGGAATTGATCAATGATGTACCTGTTCTGATGCGTCTGACGGTTGTGCTCGAGTTGCTTGAAGTCGTGAATACCGACCTCGACTCCGTCCTCTACAGTGGCTCTCCTATCTTCAGGAATCTCGTCTGCATATTGAATTCCAGCAATCGATGCTTGCTTGAACTCCATCACATTGCACGTCAGAGTTCCTGTCTTGTCAGAGAAGATGTACTCGATCTGACCAAGCTCTTCGACTAGGGACGATGTACGGCAGTTGGCGGGTGTGTCCGTGGGCTCATAGTAGATATCGAGGTCTGAATCGATCAGAGAACCCAGGTAGTACTTGACCAACTCAATGGTGACGAAGAGCGAGATGGGCACCAAGTTCGAGTACAGGACCCAGTATGTGAGCAAATCCGAGAAGAACTGCTTAGCTCCATTGAAATCTTCCAGTCGCAGGTATTCAAGGTTCTTGGCTCGAGTCGCACGTATGACCACATCGCCAATCGAACTGACAATGCTAAGACCAACAAGGATAACAACGAGCATGAGAATCTGTTTGTTGACCATTCTCTCGACCGCGGTGGTTTTGATAGGCGTTGCTGTGGCGTTCCTCATAAGTTTGGTTTCGTGACCAGTGAACACAACCACACCATGGATCCATTGTGTATTGCGAAGTGTGGCACCACGCAATAAAAGCTGATCTGGCTGCAAGGGCAGCTCTCTCTCCCCACCTCCAGCCGCCATGGTCAAAGTCGCTTCGTAGGTGTACAAGCTGCTGTTGGGCTGCTCAGATCGGATTTTGCCGCCGAGTCTACCGAGATCTGAAGGACTGACATAGTCAGCTGTCTCTGGGATGGCTTGCTTAATCTTCAAGTTGGTCTCTCCATCGAGATTGGCCGTTTCAATGTAGCAGAGACCTTCTGGCTCGGACGAGGCAAGCAGAACGAGGTCGGCGGGAAAAGGTGATTCCGATTGGACTCGAACAATGTCGCCAACTGCGACATTGATCCATTTTGTGTCTTCGAACGAAGACCCCTTGAGGACCTGCGCTTTCGAGTTGTTGAGCTGTGAATCGGACTGCTTCCGCCTGTAATCTTCGATGTACTCCTTGACTGCAGAGACCAGCAATACGATGAACAGTGGAACGATGGTGGTGTATCTCGACGTTGGCGAGATTCCGGGTATTTGTTGCAGAACGGCAGTGAACAAGAAAAACAAGTTGGCGTATTTCGAGAACTGTTCGTACAAGAACTTGGGCAAGAAAGTAACAATGTTGTACTTTGTCGTCGAGATATGATTGTCGACGTATTTGTTGGCGGCGTTGGCAGGTGGGTTGTTGAGTTGGATCATCCTGGGCCCCAGAGTCGATGGGTCTGGCGCTCCTCTCCCAAATCCAAACTTGAATTTGCCTGAGCTGCGCTTCTTTGTTTTCGCTGATGTCCCGTCGTCGTACGTGCTCGCGCCTGACTGTCCCTGCTGCGCCGCATGCTCTGTCAATGGCAAGTCCATTTCCGAGTACTCATTGCCTCGACCCAACATGTTCTTGACGCGACCAGTGAGGCCTCCACCGAGACTCAGGATACTATTCCTATTGTGGTTCTTCTTGGAAGCGCCTCGTTGTAGCCCCGGCGAGGTTGGGTCGAACGCGCTGCCGGCGGCGTAGTAGCCCTGCGTGGAGCGGCCATCGTCATCGATGGGTATGTCGGCGTCGGAATAGCGCTGATAGTTGTTCAAGTCGGAACCCTGCGAGTAGGCTCGATTCCCGGCCTGCGTGTATGGCGCCTGCCCTACAGGTGCGCCAGGCCCTCCCGGCAGGTTCGACGCATCTGGTCTGCCTCCGCCAACGAAGTCATCATAGGACACAGATGGCCTTCCCTGCGGCGCAGTGTCCGAGTGGTCAATGTCGAAGCGGTTGAGGAGGTCGTCGTCGTTTACGGGCGGCCGAGCACCAGAGTAATATTGCGGTTGCGGTTCGTCGAAGTCGATCAGATTCTGGCTGTTAGACGGCTGCCCATCTCCAGGCCGGCCGGCCATTGCGGCCGAAAACTGTGTGAAGCACTATGTGCGCAGCCCTGCTGCAGTCCAAGCTCTTGCGGGTCTTCCAACTCTTCCGCGGACAGTTCTCAGGTATGCCCGTTGCGTCGAGTTGCGGGCGTCAGCGGAGGTGGTTGCGGAGCTGCGTCAGCTATCCTGGAATAGTAACGCGCTTGGCCAACGTTGCGCTTTGCGAGGAATGCGCGTTTGTTGTCGGCTCCAAGGTACTAGCGAGTGGTATGAGGGTCGCGGGAAGAACCTCGAATGGCTCCACGTCTCAAGAGCGGATCCAATGTTTCGGGGACTTTTGGCGGGCTGGGGATTCTGCGAAGGCAGGCGCGCTCGGGCGCTCTCATTCGTGAGGCAGTGCCTACCCTGCCTGCCCTACGAAGTACCGTGCAGCAAGCGCGACCCTCGCGACCCTGGCGACCTGAAGAGTGGCCCTGTGTTCTTTGACAATACCCGAGAGCCTTTCACAGCAGCTGTTATTGCACAATCATGGTCAAGCACTTGCATGCTGAGTCCTGGAGCACAACACCGTATGCCTGCTTTGCTGCGCCGCATGTTTGCAATTCCTGATGCCTCTGGCACATTTTGCGTTACGTTGCGCCCAGCGCCAAGTCGGTCTCCACCCTCGAAGCTGAGATCGCATCTTGCAAGATGCTCTGCGCCCCAACCTTCTCAGGTGAAGATAGTCATTAGCAGTCTCAACATTACACACCCTACAGTATGCCAGATGGGCCAGAGCATAGACTGAAGGTGAATTATGAATGATCGTGGTCCGCAGGGAGACACGTGTGAAGTCCGTCTCTACACTGGTTGACGGTCTGTAGTGATGGTCGAGAGACCCATGCATGTCAGCCGCTGCTGTCATATAGGTAGCGTGGCACAGAGGGCTGAGCTGTGCTCGAAATAGCAGTACTCCGTATGGACCAGCATACAAGGGATCATCACTTCACCGGACCTGATGCTGTGGTCTTTCGGTAAAGCTCAGGTTCCGTAGACTACAACGTCAACAGTCCATGATTCACTATACGGAATGCTCGGCCAGTAGAACACACGTCCCTGCATTAAGACATATCTAGAACGGCATGAAGACTCAGATAGCGAGAACATCCTCCGTCAGACCTTTCCATAAGCGTCTTTTCCGTCGATGCCAGTTTCGACTTGTAAGTGATGCTGACGGTTGATATTTGGCCCGTAATGCCATCATTGGGGGCTTTTCGTCTGGTACAGCTGGAGCGGCCGGCGCTGGCGAACTGCTGTCTCTAGTCCCAAGCTTCAATGAGAGCAAGATGAAAACGCCTGCAATCAAGATCGCCAGCAACAACATAACCTTCCTCTTCATGCTCCTTTGCTGGTAGCCAGAAGCTACCTTCAGCTCCTTGTCTGCCTCCTTTACATCTCGGTTCATGTTCTCCACGTTGTAATCGATACGGTCTAGCATACTGCCTTGGTCGATGACCATTGTCTGCAGCTCCTGGAAAATATTTGCCAGCTCAATGATACCTTGCGCAATGTCCTCAATCTCGCGCTCACGCTGGGCGATCATCGTCTCGTTGGGGTCACGACGTATGCGTTGCTGCTTCGTTTGAAGAGAGGTTGATTGGGCAAGAGATCGATCGGCGTCTGCATCCTGCATTGCAGGGTCGTTGTAGGGATTCTGGACTGGTGTTGCTGAACGGAAAGGTGAGGCAAAGCCTCCGAGGTCTTTGAGTTCTGCTCTGTCAGCTTACACCAAAGAGCGTAGCTTGATGTGTTAGACTTACTCTTCAGGTACGCAGACTGCTTCTTGCGGAACATTGCGCTCACTTCGCCGACTCTTGTAGCAAGGGAGATTTTCAGATTCTGAGCCATAACCTCCTCGCCTTGATTGATGTTGCCTTGCTGCTTTGCTTCGCGCACCATCATTTCTATTCTCTTGATGGCATGCTGGCATCTTTGGAAGCCTCTTGTGATATCCTGCGTGAGCTGCTCGATCTCGCGCTCCTCCTTCTTCTTCACATCCTCATCGTCGAAGCCTGGGAGCACGTGCTTTTGGTGCAGCTGGTCGAGCTTGCGCGTTTGCTTTGCTATTTCAGCGAGGTGATCTGTGATTTCGTCTTGTACGTCGAGCCAGCGTGGAGGGAGGAGGTCCATCTCAATCACCGCATCGCCGTCATCTTCATAAGCACCAGTGGACATGAGCCCCTGCCGCTCCTCGGACATACGTCTGCCATCGCCGAATCCATTCGAGCTGGAACCACCATAGCGCGGCTTCTTCTGGGGGTGGTGCGAGTAGGACTGGCGGTAGGATATGAAGCTGTACAGGCTACGTCAGCGCAAACACACTGAATGCGCAGCTGCGCAACGTACAGGTTGGTGCGGTCCCGCCACATGATGGGATGGCGAGTTTCAATGCGACTCTATCATGGCAGTCGTAAGCTCAAAAGAACCTATGGAGCGCACGAGCGAGCTGGATCGCGGAACTGATGATGGTCGCCTTGACGGTTGCTGCCGCACCATGAGCTTCCGGGATTGCTGGCCTGGCCTGCTCCTTCCGCCCTTACCGCTCCGGGCGGTCTTGCGCCTTAAATTACCCTCCCAACAGCAGGGTGCCGCTAAGTGCCAATCTGACAGCCCAGTTCCACCAACTCTCCAGCCGCAAACACAGCCAACCCTCCTTCACACACAACACCCGGGCCTACCTATATCCCCACAGTAACCTGCACCCATCTGCCGGTTATTACCCGCTCTACTTCTCTCTTCCTTCGCCAAATCACCGCACATGGTGTGTGAGCCCCGCGCTGCCGTCCCACTCCCATACCCCGCCTTGGAAATCAACACAGGGCCAGCCCGCCGGCAGGACTCGAGATAGTATGCTAACAAGATATCGCAGGCTGACTCTCTTACTGAGGAGCAAGTCTCCGAGTTCAAGGAGGCATTCTCCCTCTTCGTAAGTATTCTCCTGCCCCTGTGCGCCGTATCGTTGCCTCGCGGCCTAAGAGCATACGCCCCTGTCAACAACACTGCTAACAGCTTTACGAATAGGACAAGGATGGTGATGGTTAGTAGCTTCTCCACAGTACGATCGCACGACGAAGACCGAGTTCTCGAGGCGTCCCTCGATCACATGCACGACGAACGCCGCGAGGCTGTGGTGAGGCTGCATCGAGGGCCGCGGTGCCGCTGGGCGGCATCACCACCAACAACACCTTCGATAGCGCACAGCTGACAATGTGGACTTACAGGTCAGATCACCACCAAGGAGCTTGGCACCGTCATGCGCTCGCTCGGCCAGAACCCCAGCGAGTCTGAGCTGCAGGACATGATCAATGAGGTTGACGCCGACAACAACGGCACCATCGACTTCCCTGGTATGGACACAGTACTTTGGCCACGGACGCCCGACTGACAGTTCCACAGAATTCCTTACTATGATGGCCCGCAAGATGAAGGACACCGACTCTGAGGAGGAGATTCGGGAAGCATTCAAGGTCTTCGACCGCGACAACAACGGTTTCATCTCCGCTGCTGAGCTGCGTCACGTCATGACCTCCATTGGCGAGAAGCTCACCGATGATGAAGTCGATGAGATGATCAGGGAAGCTGACCAGGACGGTGATGGTCGCATTGACTGTAGGACACTCTCCCACAAGATTAAAATCCAGGCTGACACTCTACAGACAACGAGTTCGTCCAGCTCATGATGCAGAAATAAGCGGTGGGAACGCATGTCTGAACGATTACGTATACCACGATGGTGTCACGGCCGAGATCTGATTGCAACAAGTAATTGAGCGGGTTGCACATTTTGGGGCCAAATCGGTTGCTCGCAAGACCCAGTTTGCTTACTCCTTGCCAACGTCTCCGGGAGACGACTCTATATCCTCAATCCATTTCTCCTGTGCCCCGACTCTCTGCCACCCTCAGAACAAAAAGTAAAATTTGGACTGAATCATGTGCGACGCGTATGCATGTTGAAGATCGACCTGACGTCCGTGTAATTGGCACAGAGACCCACCAAGCTAATCTGTTTCTATGCCGCAGGGATACAAGGAGTATGGCGGTGCAAAGGCTTGTGGGCCCAGTGGCAGTGCTGGACGTCTGGAAGCCAGCCACTCATCATAGTGTAAGTACTGGAACGCATCGTCAACATTCTCTTCGTGTCATTATTAGCACCTACCCTACCGCCCACTAATACAGGTATGGGGAATGCTGCCGCTGTGGCCATGCTATTGCGCAATCAGGTTGCTCCGTTGTAAACGCCTTGCAGTACCATCCGTAGCGCCCACGTGTAGCAGCCGGTGACCCTCCAGGCTTGAAGACGCCCCAGGTCCAAGCATATATTTTTAGGATCTGCCGCACATCTCATACAAGAGATTGATGCCTTGTAATTCGTGCCACGCCTGCTATGTTGATGATCCACTACCATCTATGAATGCCTCCGGAGGTAGCCCTTGACCTATGGGCACCCTATACAGCATCAATCCCCGATATGGGGCTCCCAGCGGCGCCCTCCATTCCTACTGGTTAGGAGCCACGGCCACATACCCGACGTCTCGCATCTCCATGTCCCCATTCTGCGGGGCCTCGCCATGCTGCGGCGGCTGGGCGCCAGAGTAGGCGCGAGCTCTCCCTCCCTCACTCTCCGCAGGTACAGGCGTGCGGCGCTCCGCATCGTACGCTGGATCAAAGTATGCGCGCGGCGTGGGCGTTTGCTGGATCTGCGGCTGCATGCCCGGCAGTGAGTGCAGCGGCGGCAGGGCATTCTGATTCCCGTTCACGGCGTGGGAAGAGTGGGGTGATGCGGAAGCGCCGACGGAGCTGAAGAAGGGGTTTGTGTGTCGGGAGGGATCGGGCGTGCTTTGAGCGCTCGACATGGGGTTGATGGCGTGTGTGTGGGAGATGGCGAGGTGGATGCCGTGTTCGCCAGGTGAGGCTGCATGTGAAGGGCCGTTGCGCGCTGCTGCTGGAGTGACATCGGCGCCGGCGGCTGCTGGTGAGCCTTTCCTGTGACTGCGCTTGCTGCGGAGAGGCTTGTCTGTGGGTGTTGGTGGTGGGCTGGAGCTGCGGTCCGAGTCGTCCATGCTGTATTCTTGATGCTTTTGTAGCTGATCAAGGAGGAAGGCGCGCTCAAGACGCATCTTCTGAACGCCGCGGTTCAGGCGCTGAATGCGTTGTCTTGTGCCATCGTTATTCTCTTCGATGTCATTGATGCGCCGACGCAGTTCGATGCATTTACGATAGTAGGCCGCCTCGACGGAAGGTGGAAGATCTTTCTGCGAGAAAGCTCTCGCTGCTGTAGGTTGATCAGTCATCTGAAGGCGCATATCGAAAGATCACGACGCGCCGAGCTGAGGATGCGCCGTACCTTGTTGAGGCATATTTGTGGCCGGTCAAGCTGCTATTAAAGGTGCAGTGATCGTCTGAGCTTATGCGATGCAGTGCGGAGGATAGTAAGCGTGGGGACGTGAGTGTGCGAGTGGTGGGTGGTGTTGTTGAGGAATGCGCCCTGAACAGGTGGATGCAACGCGGTGATGTCTGATCTGGAGCTTAGCAGCTTTTGAGCCCGTGCCGAGCTGCCTCAACTTTGGAACTATCGACCATTCCTTCCACACGAACGCCTGTTCCTTTTTTTTTTGAAATAATTGTTAGCATTTCGTTTCCGGGTCTCACTATCGAGAAGAAGACACGACTTTGTCAACGTGGATATCTGCTCCATTATTCGCATGACGTATTTCAGCCGCGACGACCAGGTGCTTCTAGCAGAAAGAAATCAGGTCGACAGAGATCTACGGAATGTTTGCACGATGCGCAAAAGCAGCGTATGTGGATGCAAAAACGAATGCGGCCTATGACCTGTTTGCTCATGGGCAGCAGCCACAAGCTGTTGAGAATATGAGTAGCTACTACCTCCGATTAAGTGGAATGGTCATTATCATCTTACACACGTCTCGACCATAGCAACAACCAGCATGAATACCCCAACCAAGAAAGCTATCGACGCGCTCAGAGAGTCTATGGTACAGATGAGACATGAGGCTGTTGAGGAGATCAAGGATGGCATGAGACAATATATCCAAGACCTCACCCATGACCTCTTCGAGGAATTCATCATCGTCCATAAGCGTACAGGACAGCAGATGGGATGGGGAGGACTCAATCTCATGAAGTTGCTGAACGACAGTGAGTGGTACCAACACGAAATTCTGGAGCTTCTCAAACGCGACGAGGATGACGCTCTCGAGCAGATGACTTGGATTGTTGAGCCTGAGAGTGCTCCAGAAGGCTGCGCTCCGGAGGATAGGTTCGGCACTCTCTAATGTTTATCCATTCTCTCGGCTCATGGACCTGTGGGTCGCGATCAGCACATGAGGGTCATTGAAGAACTCGGCAAGACGGTGCTTGGGCAAGAACTCATCCTCCGCAAAGTATTTGAGTGCCTCCAGACGGCGCCAGATATTTGCAGTGTGGGAAAGGCATTGTAAGGAGCAATGACTGTTGCTAAGGTGGAAAAACTCCTGCACGGCAGATGGGTGCGAGAGACGCTAAGGTTCGGGATCTTTACGAAATGTTCATGGGCGGTCGCGGCGCCTGTGTGGACGAAGAGGAAATGGGAACGCTCTGAAGAAGAGCAGCAGATACGGACAATAGCTAGTGTACTTTGTTGCTCCGTCGCACTGAATTAAAAATGTCAATTTCCATGGCGACTCGCACTGCCACTTGACTTCATGAACAAAGTGAGCGCCATACAGTAGGAACAACAGGCCCTGATCGACTTCTCCTCAGTGCGGTAGATGTCAGAAGCTGCTAAAGAAACATGCGCAACCGTTAAGAGATACAGTTTGTTGCTCGGCTGATCGGTCTGCTCAAGGTGTCAATCGTCCGCGGCGGCCAAGTATAAGGATAAGATTGACAGAATGAAACGTGCTGGGTGCAAACATGCACCGATAAGAGCTGACTGATATGCGCGATGGTGCTTGATGCTGATCAAGGGGAGCAATAGCACATGGATTGATGGTAGTGTGGGAGAGCTGGAAGGGCGAATGATGGACCTGACGATGGGTGACCAAATTTAGACTCAGGTAACTGCTGTGGGGAACGAAGGCAATGAGTGTGTTTTCTTGACTATCTGTTAAAGGTGCCTCCCTGGCGCTGAGATTCCAGAATGGACTGTTCTAGGTCTGGAGTCATCCTTGGTCTTCTTTCGTACGCAGGATGTTGTACTGCAGATCTCGAAGAGTTCCAGAGGACAGCCCCGACCTTTGAGCCGGGATGTTAGAGTCTTCTTAGTGTCGATCCTTGTTCAGCCCGAAGCTTGGCTTTGAGGCTCTGAGCTCACGCGTGCCACAGAGCCTGAGCCGTTACCTCAACCATATCAATCCGAAAACGATCTTGAGCTGAACGAGCAACTTCGGCGTCGCTACATATGACGCCATGAAGAAGATGGCGGCAAATGGCCTCATGCTCTTGGAGTTACCTGGGCAGCTGGAAGAGGCAGGAGATATGACACACAGATTGGATATTGATTCCAGTTCGCACCCCCCCTGATGTCCCTGAAGGGAACATCCTGAACTGCTCAGCCTCAGAAGTTAAAGACCCAGCCTCATAACACCTTCTCCCAGAACTCCATTTCATTTTATAGACTTCTCACTTGGTCAACGTAGGGCAGAGGAGTTTCCAGCAGTAGGCTCAAAAGCCATGGGTACTTATTCGGGCATATAGCCACATCGCACAATCTATTACAAGTCTTAAAAGATACCTCCTGAATCAGTTATCATCATCCACAAACGTTCTATTATCCAGCTCAATCTGCTCTTCTTCAGCGCCATCAACTGAGACCTTCCATCACTGCCCCTTCCATCCCTCAATAAGCACAACAGGCCCCTTATAGTACTTGCGAGCACGTACAACGTAGTCGATCATGCTAAGCACAGCGACGCCGACGAACATGACGGAGGCCCAGTTAAAGCCTTCAATAGTCGTGGGTGTGCTGTCGGGCCAGAAACACCAGAAGAAGGCGTGCATCGCGTACAGGACGCCGGCGAGGTTGACAGGAACGCCCCACTTGCCGAGAGACCAGGCACAGTGGGGGAGTGTCTCAGGTGCGGTGAGGCGGCGCCAGAGAACGGAGCCGATGGAGAAGACGTAGGTAATCATGAGCGATACAACGTTAAGAGAAATAACTGACATCGTTAGCTTGTGCGCGTCATAAGAGAGGATGTATATGACTTACTGGCATTGAAAGCGGTGTCGGATCCAATGTTGATCAAAGAAAGGAGAATCGTGATGATGCAAGTGAAAGTAACAGAGTTGGCAGGGTTGTCGAGCTTCTTGTCAACCTTACCAATCCAGTTACTGAAAGGCAAACCGTGGTCGCGAGCGAAAGCCCAAGTCTGACGGGAGGTGGACAAGTTGAAAGTAAGGGTACCGGCGAAGATGAGAACAATGGGGATGGCGTTGAGGGCAACGACACCACCGGAACTGACGGCCTGCTGGAAGACCCAGATGTGAGGGTAGTCAACTTCGAGAGCAGCGTCGAGGTCGGTGATCATGAACATGTAGCTGATCAAGAAGGTAAGACCAATAACACCGTTCATGAGGTAGGCGTTGATCATAGCCCTGGGAACAGTCTTTCCAGCATCCTTGACTTCTTCAGCCAAGTGAGCAACACCATCAGAGCCTAGATAGGTGTTAGCATATTATATACTTGATGTGCAGGTAGACGTACAGATGCAGGCGTAGATGGCGGATATCTGACCGACCATCAGCGAAAGACCGGTCGAGCTCCAGTTGCCACCGTTAGTGAACTGCGTGAAGGTGACTTCGACTGTGTTCCTGGGGTTCAAGGTCCAGAAGACAATGACAATAGCCAGGAAACCGAAAACGTGAACCATCAACATAACATTCTGGAACAGAGGCATAGCCTTTGCACCGTAGACGTTCAATGCCCATACCAAAATGGTAACAGCAATAACCATGAGGGTACCCTGCCAGTTGGTAGCGGCATAGTCGGGGTACATGGCAGTGGCTGAGGCTTGAATCAAGGTTCCAACCAGGAAGGGACCGGATGCCGTGCCAGCCTGCCATGAGAGGGTCGACATCCATCCAGTGAAGTAACTCAGGGATCTCTGAATCGACGGGGGAGCAAACTCTGACACCCAGTGGTACTGACCGCCGGCAGTCGGTGCCATAGAGGCCATCTCAGCGAGCGAAAGCATGACCGTGCTGAAGCCGAACCATGTCCAGACGAAACTCCAAATCAGACCTGCTGGCCCTCCATCAAGAAGACCTTGGTAAGTCGCACTGTTCCAGATCGTTAGCATTGTCTCACAAAGTCGCAATGCGCAACAGGTACTTACGTCAAAAGAACCTCCCATACGCCCTGGAGGATGACAGTGAAAGCAAGTGCGGACAGTGGGCGATAGTTCCTCCTCAGCTCTTGAATTTTCCCCATGCGCTGCATGTCGCGGTTGTCGGCCCGAGTGTGGCCCTGGATAGAGCTGTGGTACTCATCGCCATTCTCCGCGTACTCCAAGCTGTCCTGGTGACGATGTGATGTTGGGCTGGCCTCCTTGGGCACAACCACTGAACTGTCGTACGAAGAACCCATGGTTGAAACACTTGCAGGCGCGCGAATGCAGGTGCGCCACGAATAGAAAGAAGATGGAAAAGAAACGTTCGGGCGAATTCTATGTGAGAAGTCCTGCGGTCCTGTGGGGGTAGCTCCTCTGCTCTTGGGACAAATTGATGTTGAATCCCGTGCAACCCATGCCGCCACTGGTATCATCGCTCCGGCGATTCTGAATGCGCGAACGGATAAGATGCCAGCAACGTGCGCTTGAGCCGACGAGCCATCGACCAACAAGATGTCGCGGACGGTGTGGCAGAACAAGGATATTGGATGTCGACCAATCGGTCCTTGCGGCCCGCTTCCACTGGGCTGGCGCCCTACTGGCGCTGGGGCGGCTGGACCCTTGGGCTATTGCACGAGCCGCTTTTCAGCGTATGATTAAAAGTGGAGGGGTCTACGTTCATCCTGCGCTGTCATCAATGTCCTCGCGTACGTGCCGTGTCCGTTACTGCGCTTGACAAATGGTAGGATTCATGCAGGGGTAAGAAATTTCTATCAGCGACTCCTCCGCGTGTGCATTCTGTGCGACATGTTGCGCTGCTGATTCGGTTCCTGTTGCCGGATCCTCCTTGGTATTTCTTGGGTACCTCGAACTCTGGTCGACAATAAAAAGATCGACACTTGAATGATCGGTACAAGCATGGTGTATCATTCCAACAAATGCCGAGAGAGTTGCAGCGTCGCTTGGAGATGTCGCTACCTAGATCTTGTGCAACCCGTACGGAGAGGCTCCGTTAGGCTCCGCCGAAGAGGAAGGCGCCATGGTGGCATGTTCAGCTTGGTACGGGTAAATTGCATCGTAACTGTAGTGGGCTCGTTTAGTCTCCCGTAAGGCACGTTAGACGAATGAATGGCAGTCGCTCGTGCACTCCGCTTGAGGTCGGGTATCAGCGTGCCCCTGCGCTGGGAATAGCTGTTAATCCGGCTGGGTATGCTGCAGGGCAAAGAAGAAGACGTGGAGCTGCTGCTTGCGGACCTGCGTCTTACTCGTCTTACCCAGTATCACGCTCACCAGTTTTATTCAAGCACAAGTACTTCCTCGCCGGCTGATGGGAGTTCTCTGGCCTCGCCGATACCCTCGAGTCTCCTCCACCGTCAGTCATGGCTGGAGACGTCATACCCGCACCCTTCCAGATCACCGAACATGATAAACGGGGATTAATTGTCGTTACTGCTGGATGTACTCTAGCTTTCGTGTGGGTGTGCTTTATCATTCGAGTGTGGCTGCGCTTGCAAGTCCGAGAATGGAGGTCTGACGACTACTTCCTCGCAGCAGCGACGGTAAGTTTAAGGTTCGAGGCACGGCTGCGACGTGGTGCTGATCTCCCGGGCAGTTCCTAGACACAGTTCAGACTGGACTTATATTCTATCTTGTTTATCTAGGCTTAGGTGGTCCTCAGGAAGACATTCCCCCGAAGCGACTTGAGGACATCGGAAAGGTGCGTTGTAAGGTCTCGGCTTGCCCCCTCTCCAGCGCCTGCTCGCGGGGCGGTCACGCGAGCCACAAATTCAACCTCAAGACATGTCTGATAACCATGGCAGCAAGGATTTGCTTCCCAAATATTTTACGTTCTTACTTTATGGACTACCAAGTCATCTATCTTGCTGTTGTATATGCGACTTTCGCCGAGCGGCGGCCACAGAATTGCATCATGGACGATGCTCGTAGCATCTGCTGTGTGGGCGCTCATCGCGATCGTTTTGATCAGCATTCCGTGCAACCCAGCGCAATTCTACACAAGCAGGGCTGGTGAGTGCGGCAGTGTGGTACGTATCGATGTACACTTAGTTTCTGGCAGTATCGTAGCTGACATACATACTTGCAGTGGCCCAAATGGCAGGCTATCACCGCCCTCGATATCTCCACCGAAGGACTCATCTTCTGCATCGCGATTCAGCTTGTATGGACGCTCCATATGCGGTGGAAGGCCAAGGTCCTCGTCATCTTCGCTTTCTCCGCACGACTGCCTATCATCATGATAGCAGCCATTCGGCTTCACTACTTCCACCAAGCGATCATCGCCACGAATGTCACGTATGTGAGCAGCTTCTACCTGGTTGCCAATCAGTGGCAAATGAGCTATGCCATCATTTCCCTCACAATAACTGGCATGGGTCCTTTTCTACGCCCTTTCAACAAGGACCTGATGACGAGCTACGTAGCGAAACGGTACGCAAGGAATGGCAATATTATCGCATCTCAGTCCGAAGGGTCTCAGCCATCGAGCTATCAAATGAGCAGGCTCGACCACGAAGAGAACAGAGCTCCACGAGTAATACTGCGCCAACACAGCCGCTCACGGAACGAGCTCAAGGACCCTTCTCCAGAGCCTGGGCAGGTCTCTCCCACGTCGCAGACATCCATCATTAGATCAGCAGAGCCGCTAACCTTTCGCCCACCACACGAAGGCCTCAGACACGATGCCGAGGTCTGGGTGGGAAACCGTACATCGAGTGTACGCGACGCAGATGACGTGTTTAGACACTTGAGCGATGAAACCCGTTTGGTCATCACAAAAAAGACCGAGATGAAGGTAGAGTGCGACAGCGCAAGCCAAGCGTAACGATAGTTGCGCAAGCTTTTCTGCGGGAGTACAGCTCTGGATCGATACCCCCTCACCGTTGTATTTTTATCAAGACTTTAGACACGCACACAGATGACAATGAGAGACGTTGACGTTCACCGACAATTCCGAGGGCAAAGGACCGATTCACACGTGTGATTTCCCGCCATGTAATGCTAATTTTTCTGATTGGCAGAGCGTCACATTCGACTGTGCTTCCAGCCTTGCATCAGCCTTGCCGCGGGTGCCATGACTCGTCAACGGTCGAGTTTGGTTCGGTTCGGCTTGCCTCACCTTGTCCTGGCACGAGCTGTCTTCTTCGACAGGGGGCGGCGATATCTTGTTTTGGACTGACATGACACGGGAGCAGATCTATATCTTGCCGCCACAGCGGAAATTGCTGGAGACGTGCGTGCTGAAGCGGGTTCAGTGATGAGTGATCACTGACCAAGAACGCTGGATGACCCCGAAGACCCGGTTTGATCACGGGGTGGTGGAAACGCTGATGGTCTAGAGCAGGAAGAATTATGTGTTTTACATCTGCGCAATGGGCATGGGGTGACTGGAGATGCACGATCTGATGGCCAATCGTAATGTGTCGTGTGTCGGGAGCGACGATTGCGAGAGCAAGGGGGAAGCGAAGCTTTCGTCCACAACAAGGATTCTCCGATCACATCTTGGCAATGGGCATCAAGACGGCACGAGGGGAACGGCTTTAGAGTCTAAAACATACAAACCCTGGCATTGCTCCGTTGCCACCGGTACCCATTTTAGTCAGCCACAGCCCATCGGAAAGCACATGTGGAAACGAGGGAAGAATAACGGCAGGTCGGAAATTTGTGGACTTCGTTGATTGTGCTATGGTGTCTTCAGTGGGTACACGGGTCTGACTGAATCCTCTCACATTATCTCTACAGGACTTGCTTGCGACAGGGCCACATCGAAGCACCCAGTGTTGTCAGGCCGTTCGAAAATCTCTACAATATGTGATTTCTTATCCGGCACGGGCCCGGCAATACTCTTCGGTCCGTATGTCAAACGTTCCGCCGACGTCTTCCGCTTATGCGAAGACATAGCAGGGGATGCCGTACTGGCGGACTATTAGCGAAAGGATCGAGAGAAAGATGCCTTCGTAGGATTACTCACGTTTGTCGGGACGTTGAACTTCAGGTTCTTGTCCAAATCAGAGATCGACTGGATCTCATCTGCCTTCAGATCAAAGCTTGTGACGTCCAAGTTCTGCTGCAGGCGGTGCTGCGAGTTGCTTTTGGGGATGACGGACAGGCCGCGCTGTGTTGACCAACGCAGAAGAACCTGGTCCCTATGTTAGCTACTCTGCTCGCAACAACTCATTTGCTCAAGTTACCTGTGCGGGTGTCTTGCCGTGTGCCTCCGCGATCTTCGTGATTACTTGGTGATCGAACAGCAGAGGTGTGTCTGCGGCAACCTTCATATCGCATTCAATGAAAGATTGAGGTCCAAAGGATGAGTACGCGGTGACGGCGATGTTGTGCTGCTCAGCAAGCTTGAGTAGGTTGGGCTGGACGTAGTATGGGTGGTGCTCGATCTGAAGTGTTGCGGGCTTGACCTTTGCGTATGTGAACATGTCGAGCAGCAGAGCACCGTTGTAGTTTGAGACACCGATACTCTTTGCCAGGCCCTTCTTCTGGACGTCCTCCATCGCCCTCCATGTATCTTCCAGTCTTGCGTTGCTGTGCACAATCTTGGTGCTGGCATCGTCGTTGTACCAACCGGGAGGGTAGCGAGTTTCAGGATCGACGTACTTGAGGGCTACAGGGAAGTGAATCACCCACAGATCAAAGTAGTCAATGCCCCAGTCAGCAAGCTGCTTCCTTGTGATGGGCTCAACCTGATCGTAGTCGTGGAAAGACTGCCAGAGCTTGGAAACAATGAATAGATCCTCGCGCTTCACAAGACCTTCCTTGATGGCGCGTGCAACACCCTCTCCCGCTTCCTTCTCGTTGCCGTAGTCTAACCACGAAGGCGTTAGTACTTGTCTGAATTTCGGACCATCCAGTCGCGCAAGTGAGGAAGTTCTTGACATACCGCATGCTCCATCGAACAACCTGTATCCAGTCTTGATGGCATTGTATACGGTATCCGCGCAGGTAGCGTTGTCAACCTTCCACAATCCAAAGCCGACCTGGGGCATCTTGTTGCCATCGTTAAGGGTGACGTAGGGCACGTTAGTGGCCATTGTTGCGAAACAGCTGCGGTTCGAAAGCTGAGGAATTCGCTTTGTTGCAGGCCTGAGCGCTAACGTAAGAGCTGGTGCTGAAGGTCGGGAAGATGAAGAGAATCTGGCAAGTGAAGCAGAAGGGCAGACCTGGGGTATATTAGTAGTCGCGCGGCAGAAACGTCGAGCAAGCATGACCAGAAAAAGTGCTTGGTTGCTGCAAAAATTTGAGCGCACACCGGTATAAACAGCATACTAAACACGAATCAGACGCGATGATGCGTACTTCTACCGCGTTAGCTAGAGAGCTCTTTACCCATGATGGATAAGCTTCCGCATGCATTTACCCTCCCTTGCGCAGAACTGTAAGCTTGGGTTGTACCTACATCTACCCCGCACCTTCGTAAACCAACCTGCAGTTGCTCGTGTAGATTCTCCTTAGTGTTGCGGAAGAACACAAGATCACTTCAGCTGGTGGACTAACTCTGCACCAAGAGCTCTGGTTTTCAAACCAGCAATCGCGTCCAAGTTGACGATGTAATACCTTCAATCCGCGGTTGTTGATCATGGTGGGGCACTTTCTTTATCAGAGCTGCCCCACGACTGACGTCGGCTAAACTGCGTTGAAGCACCGGCTAATACTTGCTCACCTTTGATCCATCGGCAGACTTGTATCGGAGCAGTGACGACCAGACCGTGCGGCTATGCAGACGCCGTCAAGACATTGTTTCAGGGTCTGCATGAAATTTCGAACAGTGTTTGGTGCGGATCGCGGCTTCTCGGGCCGCAGACTAGGGGTGACAATTACAATATCAGCGACATGTGTGGGCTCTGTGGAGCATCACAAAACGTATGCTGTGTGGAGCCTCGAAACAAAATACGAAGAGTGCATTATTGCGTGTCGGTGGTTTGTGCTTCAAGGCGCTTCAACAATGCAGTTGTGATCCATCCCTATGGGGGTGGTATACGTGGGCTTTGACAACCCAACAAAGTCAACAGTGGCAACGAAGTGTTGATTGTCTCACAACGACATTGATTCGGTCACTCCCGATGTTAAGCTTTTAATGCACACCTAACTGAGTGAGCGCCTTGTCTGGGCCATGACATGCATAATCGCTAATCTACAGCAGTGCAGTAGTCAGGTACGTATTGCAGCAGGATGTTGATACATGAATCGAGAAACAACATCTACAGCTCAGGTGCGTCCATAATATAGCACATACCGGTAGTTGAGAGCCATCAGTGACTTGGCACAATTATACACGAACGTGGTAGCCAATTCCGACCACTAGCAGTATATTCTTCCAATTCGAGAACTGCCAGCCTCTCTGCTACGACACCTGAGCACGACTTGCGCCGCACGTAGTACCGGTAAGGGACCATGAAAGCACGACTGAAGACGATCAACCACGTACTGGTACAAGAGGGGCTTTACTCCGCATTGTACAGATTCTCTGGTGATTGACTGCACTTGCTATTGAGAGCTGAACGCAATAGTACCTTGTGTACGATGAACGGCCGTCAACTGGCGTGATACTTCAAAGCAACACGACCTAGCATAGCAATGACGAGAGCAGAGCCGACCTGGCCTCCACAATGATATTCTCAACACCTATAACGCACATAGTTCTCTTCTAATACCGACCCGACATAACACGGACCGACTTTCAGACACACTTCGACGGCTTCGCGCTCTCCAGTCGCTCTGCATCCGTCCCTCCACGGGCAAACCGTACATGTTCTCGATGCGCATGGGTCAGAACAACTCCTGGGAGCCGTACAGCAAAGACATGACTTACGGCTTCGTGCTCGAGTTCGCCTCTCAAGAGCACCTCGACTACTACCTCCCACATGACCCCATGCATCTCGAGCTCAGTCGGAACGCAGCGCCGCTTGTTGAAGACTCGGTGGCCGTGGAGATCAGGGATAGTGTGCTTTTTGGTCCAACGCCGCAGAAGCCGGTCGGCCTCGAGGGGACGTGGAAGGGCGCGTGTCATCTAGAGGATGTGAGGTGGGAGGTTCAGGTTGAGCAGGATAAGGAGCTGAGGCATATCATGTCACTGCGATACGTGTAAGAAGCCGGGTGGCGGGCTGTATAGCTGCAACTACATAGTGCCGCGTGAGGCGACCACGATCGTTCGGGGGTTGGGAGAGTATGCGTACAAGGGCGCGAGTGGGAAGGATGTGCATTGCTATTTCTATCGGAGATGCACGGGCCATATTTATCATCATCGGGATGCGATGACGGAGAAGGTTATCGTAAGGACGCTGTAGTTGGAGGGTGAGAATGAGCTCCAGGCTGGCCGGGATATCTTTGCGGAGGGCGCGCTGGGTTGGGGCCCTGGCTCAGCCGGCACCCGCGAAGAAAGTTGCGAAAAGTAACGGTATCAATGGAGCTAATGGTGCGTGGACTATAGGCATGCCAAAAAGCTACAATGTTGTCAAAGGCAAAGTGCCGTCATTGTTTATTTTCGTTTCGTCATACAGAAGACCTTGGTTTATACCTTAATCTCAGTGACCAGCTTGCCCTGGTTGCCTCCCGAAAACAGCGTTGTCCATGTCTTGGGCACATCCTCGAACTTGGTAGGTACAACGGTCTCGCTCTCCGGGTCGATCCTGATCTTTCCATCCTTGATGGCCTGAGTGATAGCTCCGAGCATGTTTCCAGCCTTGCCTGAGGTCATTGCATCGATTACGATGAAGCCCTTGACCTCGATCCTGTTGGCGATGATCTCAAACCAGTTCTTGATACCAACGCTGGGGTCGTTGTATGCCGAGATGGCGCCGCAGGCAGCAACACGTCCGAAACGCTTGATGCGCGAGAGCATAAGGTCAAGGATCTTGCCGCCGACGTTGTCGAAGTAGACATCTACGAAGCCCTCGGTGGCCTTCTTGAGGTCCTCCTTGAACGAAGCAGCCTTGTAATCCACACACACATCGGCGCCGAGCGATTCAACCCACTTGCACTTCTTGTCCCCACCGGCAATACCAATGACCTTCTTGCAGCCGATTAGGTGCTTCGCGATCTGAACAACCATACTACCGGTAGCGCCAGCAGCGCCAGAAACGACGACTACATCGTCCTTGGTTGCGCGTGCGATATCGGTGATGCCGTAGTAGGCTGTGAGACCGGGTCCTCCGAGCGACCCAATGTAATTCGTGACGCGAATGCCAGCCTTCTCATCAGCAGCAACGGCACGGACCTCGTTCGCCTTAATGACAGCGTAGTCTGTCCAGCCTAGCGAACCGCTGACCAATGTACCCTTCTTCAGGCTGTCGACGTTCGATTCGACAACCTCGCCAATGGCGTACGAGCGCATGACCTCGCCCTTCTTGACCGGCGGAACGTAGAGACGCTCCGGGTCCATGCCCTTCTGAATCCATCCACGCTGGGCGGGGTCGTTCGAGAGGTAGAGGGTCTTGACGAGGACCTGGTCGGCGCCGATCTCGGGGAGTGTGACGTTCTCGAGCTTGAAGGTGGCGTCGTCGCCCTCAAGGACAGGGTCTGCATGGGGAGGATTGGACAGAACCCATTGCTTTGCTTGTTGTCCAGGCATTGTTGTTGTGTTCATGTGCTTGGAGGGTGGAGTCGAGTGTCTTGGTACGTCAGTCAAAGCTATGAGGGCAAGGACGGATTAATGTATGTCTACATCAAAGTGCAATTACTTACAAAGCGGACGAAACGCTAAACAGAAGCCTGTATGCGATCACCAGGTAAGGGTCAAGCGTTTTAAATGCGGTGAACCTCGGCTTCTAGACACGCACACGGGTGGGTACTTTTCTTGACGCTTCTGTGGTGCAAACTCGGTGATCGTATATTGTATCGATTAATCTTCAGTCACTCCAGAATCGATTGGCAGTCTGTGAATTATCTTTGGAGCAAGTTGTGTAAGACGCCGAAGCCATTGTGAAGCACTGCTTCAACAACTGTGTAGAGACGTGAGCCGACAACGATGACGCAAACATCCCAGCATCGATACTGGTAGATAGTTCTGGAATTGACGTCTCGGTGCTTTTACTCGCCTCATGACTGACAAAACCCCATTGCATCGAGCTAGCCATCGAGGTAGCGGCAACGACAAAGAGTGGTGAAGTAGCTGTCTTGAGTTAGATATCCGTGGTGGGGTAAAAGACACGACTCGCGTAATGCACACTAGCGCCGTTTTGCGACATAGTACAAAGCTCATGAGGTGTAACTAGAATATTTGCGACGTCAAGAGGTTCCTGTCATGATGAGTTGGTGTGACGAGAGCCTACTCATTCTGCACGTCGTTGAAGTCTTCAGTTTTCTTGGAGGACATCAAGAGGAACGCAGGCCGTGTCGCAGATACGTCAAGAATCACATCTGGATGATGGCAGAGACAGTCCGAGTCAGAAGTCACGTCTAGCACAATCCATTCGCCTGGCTATGCGCCAGTACCTCTTGGGTGGTATACATCCTCCGCATGATGTGGCCAACCCTGAAATGAACTTTAGAGGGCTGGGAAGAGTGCAAACCGAGGATGCCCCGTGCCTGAACAATCATATTTATGCGACTGTCGGTCGTTCGTTCAAAGTCTCGTTCATTGTAGACCTATAATACAGCGTGCAGATCCCCAAGATGAGCGCAGCCCAAATCCCCCTATGCGCGCATCAGGTATCAGGTAATCAAATCATATGCTTTTCCAGTCTTCCCAAGCATGAGCCGTTCGACGGAAGAAAAAAGACGAGGTGAATCGGTGTCAAGCGCGGTCAATGCCTAGCGCTCACCGAGCAAGGTTGGTAGGTGGTTGTGGTGGTATAGAAGACGTTGTGGTCGTGAGACAATTATGCGGTGAAACGGCGGGCGACCTTGGCCATGACTGGTAGTTTCGTGAGTTAGAGCCGATACTGAAAGGTGGTATCGAACATACCGTGCAGAGCGACGACGCTGAAGATGAAGACGACGGATAGAGTCATGACAACAACGGGGTCAACCTTGAGGCCGGGAGACTCATCGGTATACAGCCCTGGGAAGTATTGTTAGCACTTGTTCGACGCCAAAACTCGTAGCGAGAGCTCTCTGGGCTCTATATTCCCCTCCACTATGTGTACTGTTTCCGCTTTGTTGAGTAGGCGACTCGTTTCTCCCCCTCTGCGCCATTTCTCGTCTGGGTGAGGACTTACTCAGCATAGTGCTTGAGCTACCACCAGCACCGGCGGCCCTTGTGCTGCTAGGTCGCTGGTTGGAGACCTTCTCAGCGCGGTCGGCGGCGGCCTTCCTGCGCATGACAGTGGCGGGGCCACCCGGAGGCTTGGGAGACGCAGGACGCGCGGTCGTTGTGCCAGACGCAGCATTGTTAACAGGAGAGGTAGGGCGCGGTGCAGACTGTTGACAGTATGTTAGTTACTGGATGTCTTAGACGTAGCTCGCTTGGTCGTAGGCTGTAGGACTGGCACCACATCTGAAATGTCAAGATAACCTCTCCACGCAGCAGCGAGGGATGCAGATTGCACTTGTTGGCTTCATTGCACGGCCTGGCCATGAAAACGAAGGACGCAAGTGCGTCGGCCAATGACTATCTGTCCTTTGCGCCCGCGGCGTGCCCGCCAATTGACCCAGAGGAGATCGTCCACTCACCATTTTGTTAAATTATTACAGAGACCGAGGGAGAAGACCGAAGGAGCGTAAATGGAGGTGGTGTTCGTGTGATGGGTCTTGGTGATGGTCGTCGGGGGTCTCAGCTACTGAAAGGCCACGCTTCGAGAAACCGCTGCCGGGGTTGTTCAGGGTGAGCTTAGCGTGCCGCGGCTAGGACAGCCGCACAGGCGCATTGTCACCACTCCCTTTCACACTCGGCCTCGCGTTACCCCGGACTAAGACGGTTCTTAGAGCCTTGATTGGCCAGGGCTCACAGCTGTAGACTCCATAACTGTTCAAGTGGAAGACATTCCCCAAAACCACTTTTACCGCATTATTGCCCAGTTGTGCCAACCTATAGATAACGTCCCAGAGATTACTTGAGCCGGAACAAGTCCACCACTCCATGTCGCAAATGCTCCCAACCAAATCCTGCCAGATCGCAAGGCCAGTGACCGAAGCGTGTAGAACAACAAAACCGCAAAAACTCCCCACCGATCCGTAAAGCGAAAGAACCGAGGACAACCTTTGACCCCACATGTAAACACCCCATGTAACCCACACGTGAATGGTATATCATCTTCGGTTAGACTCAGATGCAGGCAAACGCGCCGTAAAAGCATGACTGGAACCCAGGGTAATTGTTCGCCGACCACCCATAACCTGTTCCGCCTGTGGATATTCGTTGGAAAGCCGACACGAATGCCTAGGACACCTTGAAATGCAGAAACTCCGGATGTGCATCAAGACTCCTAATCAAAACTCCATTTTAGCCCCAGACAGAGGCCTGAACACCCTGGTTGGGCGTGTTACCCCAAGGACCGTTGTTCCAGATAGCAGCACCCTTGTCGGTGATTGTTGACGAGGGATTCAAAGAAGAGGAAGTAGTAGTGACGTGGTTCTGTTCGCTAGCGTTGTAAGCGTTGTAGCTGAGCGGCGAGGGCAGAGGTGTAGTGGCCCGCTTGCCGAGGGGAGCACCAGCCTGCTGGTGCTGGTTGGGAGCAGGACGAGTACCAATTGGGGCAACGCCAGAGCCGTTGGCCTTGGGACCGGGGACTGGAGAGCCGCCAGGAGAGGAGTTCGAGGTGCGGCTAGCCTGCTGCGCGTCGAACAGACCGAAAGACGGGTTCTGGTGCGACGAAGGAGACGAGTTGCCGTTGGCGCGGACCTCCTGGGCGCCACTTGCAGCATCCTTGTCGCCTCGTGGGGGCATCTGAACAGAAGTCTCGCCGGACATGTTCTGTGCTTGAGTGCCGAAAGGATCGAAGGCCAGAGGAGAAGCGCCACGGTTTGCTCCAGCTGACTGGACTCGGACGTCCTGGCTGGAGGTTGGGTTGTTATTGTAGAGGGTGGAGGTCTCGCCGTACAGGGCACGATGCTGGCGGGCGATGAGTTCGCGGCGGTCGTCTTCATTCAAGGCATTGGGGCTCATGGAGCGGTCCGACTTGGATCCAGATCCCGAAACGTCTATTATCCTAGTCAACCAATGTCCTTCCTCTATTGTTGCCCTGACTCTGAGTCCTTACTTCTGTGATATTGCTGCTCCTGGTGGTAGTTGCGCAGCTCACGCTCGCGCTGAGCAGCCATCCGTCGCTTTGCCTGCGCCATCTGGTCCGCATCGTTGGGTCGGGGCGCAAAGCGCTGGTTCTGGTAGAAACCCTGGGCGTTCGAGGCTGAGTGTGAGCGCATGCCGTCGTACTCGCTGACAGAGTGGTGGCGCTGCTGCTGGCCGCCGTAGCGAGCGTCTGTGTCCGTCAGCCGGTGTTCTTTGTGTCAACGTCGCTAGGTTGGCGTACCTTGCTGCTCAGGGTACGGGCGGGGGCCAGCCATCATGGGCATCGACTCGCGACGGCTGCCGCCAGCCTGAGGGGTGGCTGGAGGGTATCCGCCGAAGGGCTTCCCGCCCTTGGCGAGGTTCTCGGTGGCGCGCTCGACCTCTGCGGGAAACGTGTTAGCCGAGTCCATGTCCAGCGTCCAAAGCCTGCCACTGCCATGTGCGTTTGCTGCGTGCAGCCCAACATGGTACTGACGGCTTCGACCTCCAATTGCTCTCCCGACATACCATCGAATTGTGCGACAAAGGCATTGGCCTCATCCCGGTTTACAGTCGAGCTGGCGCCTGGATCCATGTTACTCGGTGTCCTGCCGCGGCTGTACACACTGTGTCCGGTACCTGAACGTGAGGGCGGCTGGGGCTGCTCCCATGACGATTGGCGGCCAGGCGCAGGCGCAGGCCAAGAGGGGTCGTTGTAGTAAGACATGGCCGGCGGAAACTGAATTCGTGTGGCGTTCGGCGGTCAAACTACGGTCGGTTTCCGTGAACGGATGGAGATGTTCCGAGAGAGCAGCGAAGCTCTACTGCACACCGTGTCAGAGGGAGGCGGTCAATTGCAGGGTGAAGGAGCGGAGGCGACCCGTCGACGTAAGTATGCACGGAATGGGGACGGGAAATGAGGTCGACTCGTGGGGAAAGATTTTGCTAAGTCGCGGAGCGCTTTAGATAGGGTCTTGCCGCTTACCGAGAAATGCAACTCCAGGGACTCGACACAGCAATAAGGAACGACGACGGTTCACGTCTTCACTCTACAGATATGCAGGCGAAGCGACCGAGGGGCAGCACAGCTGAGCGGTAGGCAAGGACGGGTTGGTACGGAAAGACTCGCGGCGCGCTTTCGAAGGGGGATATTCCACACATACATATTAGTCGTACGCTAACCCTGGCCAAGCGGCGAGCGCTCAGGCCCGTGGGTCGTGGGAAGCGGAGGGAGATGGGAAAAAGCAGTTAGGCCGGCAGTTCGCGCACGCAATCAACTGATGGTCCTGCGTCCGTTGCTGTGCAGCTGCTCATGTCGTATTGTGAGGACCCGCAATAGCCTCGCGGTCGTGGGCACCTTCATCGGGATCATGGTGCTGCCCGCGACGTTCGCCCGTCGACGGCCAAGGGCACTGAGCAGAATTTGCGAACATGACGGTTGTGGCAGCTGCAGGCTGTCCTTGGTGCTGTGAGAGACGCAGCTGCGTCGTGCGCTAGGCTAGCAGAGGTGAGCGTCTTCAACCAACAACCCTTCTTCGGCTGCGGAGACCTCTGGAGCCACATAAATTCCCGCCTCTCCTTTTCCCGCACGTGGACCCTTGCTCAGACCCTCTGTGTCTGTTGACAGACGCAGCACCCCAGACGGTCATGCGCAGCGAGCAGTTGTCCTCTGCATCCAACAGCTGCGAACCGCTGCACCTGTGTGTTCGCAGCCCAACGATGAACTCTGCCCTACCGACCGCATGGCTGCAGAGAGGCCTGGAAAGGGATGCATGCCATGCCATCCTGCACACCCCACCTTGGGCCCGACCACTACCCGCACAGGGCAACGCCGTCCTCCCTTGGCAGGAGAATGCACGCATTACCGGGCAGCGTGGTCAGCTCTACCCTCCTTCACTGCAGACTACTTGACAGCAAGCCCACTACAATGCGGGGCTGCCACCATGTTGTTGACACCGCCCAATTAGCGTCAGATGTCAATGGTGATGGCGATCCGTGGCTGCGGATGGTGTAAGTCTGCGAAAGATCGAGGCACGATCTCGTCTGCCAGCTGCGTGGCTCGTGGACATGTTGATCTCGTTCGCAGTCACTGAAGGGTCTCTGCCAGGCTCAACGGGACATCTCGGTTCTTTTAATCGAACTGTAGCGGCGGAACGGGCTTGTTGCCAAATAAGGTTGAGCGGGTATGGGGCATGCACGCCATCTACTCTGCGGTTGCAGCGCTTCTGCAGACTCAAGCAATTCACATGCACAGCTTGCAGCGCCTTACACACGCTGGAAAGCCGAGCTCACTGTGCACTGTTGTCGTTGGAAATCTGTAGCCGGATTTTCTGATGCCAGCGAGACTACAAGCACCATGTTACCATTCGCGCAACCTGACAGTGCTGTGTCCGGTTATCACTTTGTGACAAGTAGCGGGCTGGTGAACCTCATCTGACCCTAGCAATGACCAACGCATGTCGAAGCAGCATGCTCGTGCCAGGAAAAGCACAAGGCTGCCATCGGTTCTCGGCACGACCTGCCGTATAACTCCTGCCCATTATCGCACAATGGCTGCACAGCCCTTTCCATCTCACAACACCAAACTCATCTTCAAGAAGAGCTCCTAGAACGGACGCACCTCTCTCTTTTCGTCCCCGTCGATCCTTGTCTCACCTCTCACCCATCGTCACATCAAATTCCATTGTAGCTGTCTGTGCGACTGGCATGTCGGCCCTTCCAACACGGGGGTACCCTCTGCTTGTCACGCGGTTCCAAGGATGACATCGCCGCCTGTCTGCGCAGCCATGTTCATTATTGACGTACCAAGCATTTCAAACAAGATATCAAACGGACGGTCATGTTTGCAATCATGTATTCAACGGCTATCTCGGCCACAAAATCTATTGGTATCCAACTGATGTCAAAAGCCATCATTGAAGGCGACCCTGATATCAGACGCCATCCGGTGATATTCTATGTTTGGCCCTAGTTTTCATAAAGGAAGGGCCATGGACTGTGCTAGGTGCTGCTGCTACCACGGAATATTCTTCTCACCACCGTCTTGGACCTGCGCAGGATCGAAACTCTATTTATCCCTAACACTACCTCACATGATACTGCCCGGTGAGATCATAGCAACAAACCTCAAGCTGACCATCAGGATCTCCCAAAGTTCATCCAACACTGACGGTCAAGAATGGCCTTGTCGACATTATCACTACTCAGTCTCCCTCCAGAACTAGTCCTCAAGATCGCGGACCACCTACCTCCAGACGGTATCTTGGCTCTGAAGTTCTCGCACCGCATCTTAAACTACTCTCTACCTCTAGCACCACGACTCCGAAAGGGGACCCTTACACGGTGCGCTCGCCTTGCAGTACGCAGCTACCTCGTCAAACCCACGCCGAGTCCAACCCATCTGCGGTGCATTCTTTGCAAATCAGTTTACCCCCTCAAGTCTTTCCAATCATCGAGCAGTCCAGCTTGCGCGCCGCTTTCGTTCGCAGTCGACGTCGAAGAAACTGAAGTTGTGGAACTACCGCAAAGACTATGTGCATGGCACGTCGGCCGTTTGGCAAGAGTCATTCATACAAATCCAAGTGGTAGGAATCAATGGGTCGACAGCTCGGAAAATATGTGTATGCATTGTGGTGCTATCCAATCTTGGGCGAAATGTGATTGCAAATGCGACAGCTGCTCGTTCAGAGCAGTGACAGCATACACTCGATATCTGAACAACGAGAGGGAATGCAGGAGATTTGTCTTTTACAGAAAGACGACAGCCAACAATAGCACCATCACGCTTCAGGAGACTACAAAGACTCAATTGTTTGTACAGGAAACATGTTCCCGTGCAGGTACGTATCTTGACAAGGCTAAGACCCAGAAGTTGTACTAGGGACTTACGTGGCTATAGATGCTGCAGATCAAACTCCTGTCATCCACATGCCGGTCCATCACGCGGATGAGGACATGCCGCTTGTTGATCAAGACCCCAAATCGTGTACGGTAGCAAGCCGACCGGCAAGTATCATGTCAGAGATATTTCTGCCTCCAACTCGGACACATGCATAGATCACAATTCATCTCATCGACAAGACCGCTATGCGTGGGAAACGATAATCGTTAGTCATTTGGTCATTACGCTACATACTGTCTTTTCTCTCAGTATCCACGCTTCTCCCCAAGTACATAGCTGTCATTCTCGGCCAGAAAGCTTGCTTTCTCGATGTCGCTCCTACTCGGCCCTCGGTTCTGCAACTCGGTGCTCCAGCCCTTTACGGTGAACAACGCCCACCACTGCGCGATCACAAGCACAGAATTGCCACACGCAGCACCCATTTGCACCATGTCGAAGTTCTTCGAGCATTGCATGAGCCAGTCCTCGTCCCAACCGAAGCCGGCATCAATGTCGCGGCATATCGCTGTCTCATCTATCCGCCAACTCGGAATCACTGGATTCATGTAACGGAGGTCGAATGGTAGGAGAGTGTTTAGGAGCGCGAGAGTGACGAAGGATAATGTCGTGGCGTGGACGAGGGTGTAAGCTGACACGAGCTTTGGCCATAGCTATAATTGTGTCAGTGGTCGTGTTGAAGCGCGAGAATGTACCACTGGTTCGAGCTGGATTCGACCGAAACTGCTTGTCCGTGATCTTCAAGTGACTACTTACCCTCAATGCCCCTATCAGCCCAAGAACGCTGGCCCAAGCCGCCAACCCATTATATGTGAGTGACCAGAAAGCCCATGTCTTGTCGTTGCCTGGTAATGCGAAGGAGAGTGATAGTAGCAGATGTGTCGATAACGTGAGCGCGGGCAGAATAATAGCCAAGAATCTTCAAGCTGTCAGCCTTCATGCTGAGACCTCAGTCCGCATGTTTGCGCTTCAAGACAGGGGTGCGCACGTCTCGGAAGTCTCGGAAACTTACCTGGTCTGCGTCTGCTCTCGCGAAAGCTTCATTTTCAACTTCGAAACGTGCGCGTGCTGAGCGGCAATGCAATTTTTATCGTGAGGATATTCGGCGAGGACAGGAAGTCAGGTCAACAGGTATGCGAGTTTGCGCGTTGCTGCTAAGCAAGGGCGCCAGCGCTGAATATGGATCCCAAGGTAAGACCTGACGTGACCTTGAGTGACTGCCGTGCTTCGCCGAGCAGCGTCTTTCATTCGTCTAGCCTCAAGAATATATCGAGGAAATAGGGCTCCGAATCGAATCAATGGGACAAGAATGCTGAAAACAGTACTGCTTTTCGAGCACCGCGTAAGCTGATTCGCAGGAGCCCTTTAGCTCCGGACTTCTGCGGATGAGGACGTCATTGATCGAAGCCTTGCGGCCCCGATGTTTTAACTCCAAAGCTCGTTCGAGCCCGGTTGTGTCGGATGCTCGAAGAGCTCGATCCACTGCACCGTCAACAAGGAAGCTGCAGCGAAAAAGGCAGTTGGCAGTTAGTGCGCGATAGTCAAGGGCCATGTTTTCGGCGTAGCGTAACGGGAGCGCGGATCACGGCGACGCCAAATCATCGTACCCGCGTGCAAGCATGGAGATAGCGTCATACTGATTGGTATGGGTTTTATTGATTGCCTTGGTGAAGGTGAGAGGTTTCATAGAGATTGCCATCCCGAGTGTGCGCCAGCTTGTAACGTAGGACTCAGTTCTTGGTGAAGGCGCAAGTGTACCCATTGTGTCGTGTGTGCATACAATTGCGCCAAGAGGGGTATGTCAGCGGTGCTTAACTGGAGGTTAGCAAATGCGTCCAAAAAGCTTTGCCGCGTTGAGGGTGATGATGCGTGGATCGCGGATCGTTCGTGTGTTGTTTTCGGGGTTCAGAATTTGCCAGTTGCCGACGTGTTGAGTTGAGTGGGACAGAAAAATTAAAATATCGGTACGGTGCTCAAATAGTGGTGACGACTCGTTAGGTATTGCGCCGCCTTTGTCAGATTAATACATGTTGACTCAATGCATTCAGAGCAGCTCCCTTTTCTGATCTCTGCGAGTCTGCGAGGCAGGAAATACTCGCTTTGGGGAGTTTGCGGCTTCCGTAGTAGCTGCACGGCTGATGGCTGATGTTCTCCCCGCCAAAATGGTTGTTGCATGCGGCTGAAAACGAAGGGACAATGCGCGTCACCTTCCCACCAAGTAAATTTATTCAGTAAAACTTGTTGATGTACGAATACAGACCTCTCGACCATTTGAAGAACGAGATCAAAATTCTAAGGTTTCCAGCATCTGATAGCGCCACTGAAAGCCTGGTCCAGTGTACTTTACACGTGTCTCTCGACGATTCAATACCTCTCAGTATCAAACACATCCCCAAGAGTGTTCACAACTCACACTAATCGGTGCGATGGAATTAATGTACCTTCGGTCGATAAATGGCGATTTTCTGCAGAGCATGTAGCCCACGTTCTAACACATACGTCCGAGGACACCGTGCCCATTCCACCTCGCTTCAAATGGGGCGGTTTCGAAGCAGTATCATATTGCTGGAAGTCGAATGAGAGAGACAGCCACGTGTTATTCGATGGTCTGGTTGTTTCAGTCACTTCGAATCTCGCAGCAATGCTACAAGAACTGCATTAACCGCCCGAAGCAATGACAGGCATGGGATTCTGGATAGATGGTTTATGCATTAACCAGGACGATGTGCTTGAAAAGAAACATCAAGTAAACCTTAGGATGAGGGTATATTCACAAGCCATGAGCACCGTCGCCTGGCTTGGTGCACCGACTGGCAGTAGCGCTACATCTATCAACATACTCCGCAATGTATTTGGGCAGTGCAGTGTGTCGTACATCGATGGCAGCAAGGATCATTGAACATTTCAGGAATGGGCCCCAATCATTGACCTCTGGTTGCGACAATACTTCAGGAGAATGTGGATCATTCAAGAGCTAGCCCCTGAACATGAACATGACATTGTTCATTGAAGCGGACTGTCAGACAATTGCTTGACGTCGAGGAAAGCGTTGCCATGAAAGGCTGGACGACATTCGGTGTTATTTCATAGCAGATCAATGGATATGCATGGGTCCAGAAATCCAATGAATGATGGGACTTGTGAGACTTGAAGTCCGTATTCGCTGACCCTTCTCCAAACGTGCTCGCTCACAGGCCGCTACTTCGCAGAACCTTGCTGGAACGGGCAGCATCACGCGCCGGGGGACCCGCAATGAGGGTTTGCGGGGATAGCTGTGCGGATATATAAGTTCTGATGTCGCGCTTTCTCTGGCGTCTTAGAATTTTGCTAAGCATGAGATTGATCGAAATATAGATGTTAGCTGCACATAGCTCCTGCCTTTCAGTTTCGAGGCCGATGTCACACCTTATCAATCGTCCCATGTCCATCTCTCGTTACTTCAGATCGGCTCTGTTTGACATCTGCTTTCTGCTCCAACAAATCGCGGTGCCACACAGCTCATGCGTTTCTGAAATTCAAGCAGCATTGTCAACCGCAACAGTCTTCGATACCCGACTGGTCAGCATGCCTTCTCCAGACCTGCGCGAAGTATTACCAACAAGTCCATGCTGTGCTGCTGTGGCGCTGATTTGGACGAGAAGGCGAGAGCAACATCCTCGACTGGTCAGACCCCAAACTTTGCAGCGGGAGAGCCGAGGGTCACCAACTGCCCGTAGACAGCGACACTGCCGACCCCTCTCGGGATCGCAACTTTCCACCACAGATCGAGCAGTGCAAGGCTGCATGATCTTGAACGATGCACGTCTCCAGGGTTGCCATCGTCGATTATTGGTCGCCGTTGGGAAGGATACGAGAAGCTTAGCCCCTGTCACCCCTCCCTAACCCCCGCGATCATCCACTCGCCGTGTCCCCGTCTCAACCTTCCACGCAAAGTCAGAATGACAGCTTGCGACCCCACACACTTTCGTCGAACCAACTCACAATCGCTGACTGCTTCGACGTCTCCGAGCACACGATCCAAGGCTCACATGCGAAAGACGCCGAGCGCACTGTGCCGCAATGCCCAAGAGATCCGCGGGATGCTTTGAGTGCAGGAAGGTACGCTAAAATAGGGTCGCCTTTCACATGACTGGAGACTGAGAATGTCCTTAGCGAAAAGTTCGATGCGACGAGACAAAGCCCGAGTGCAATACGTGTCTACGAAGAGGCACAAAATGTCCAGGTTACAGGCCTGCGCAATCATTCATCCTTCATCAATTTGACAACGAGACCGAAAGACCGCAATTGATCAAGGAGGACGAAGATCGCTACCGATATGCATATCAGACACAACCTACATCGAATTCGAACTCGACTATTTCATCGAGAAACAATTCCTACGGAACTTTGGTCGTCCAGCAAGAGCAGATACTCGCTGAGCTGCCTGTACCAAAACAGGTCAGTGCTATAGCTGTCGACCGGATACAGCATTTGGGCACGTTCATTCGGCTGTACCTACCGAGAGCTGATGGCCCAGCTTTACCGCCGCCGTCAGCCCTAATGCTTGCGCTGCCAACCATGCCTGCAAATAGTCAAGTACTTCTCGCTGCGATTGACGCATTATCTGCGGCACAGCTTGCTGTCAACGACCGTGATCGTTCTTTGGTCAATCGCTCTCGGTCGATGTACGGGAAAGCTCTTAGCCAGATGCTGAAAGCTATCCAGGATCCAGAGCTGGCAGTGAAAGACGAGACATTGCTGTCGACCTACATGCTCACCTTATATGAGGTCTTTGTCGGTGTCACTCAGGGACATGGCTTCTTTTACCACGTACAAGGCTTACTGCACTTGGTCCGGCAGCGTGGTCCAGCATCCTTTACCACCAGATTGAGCTTGCAGATCTTTCATGCGATTCGATATAACTCGGTATGAAATCTAGCGACATTTCAATAATTATTACTGACGGAACTAAGCTGAGTATCGGCTACCATATGCGCAAAGCGTCGCTGCTTGATAGTCATGAATGGCTCGCAGTGACGGCACGAGCTGCAAAGACAGATCCTTATGTTGCCCTGAACGACATTTGCATCTGCATCCCACGACTTCTGGAACGAACCGACAAGATCGGCATGCTTGACTGTCCCCCGACCGAACTCGACTCGGTGATCGAAGACTCGCAAAAACTAGCAAACCGGGCCTTCGAATGGCTCTCGGACTTCGAAAAATATGGGCCCCGCTATGACAAAGTCGATATTGCATCGATGGAGACCTTCCTGGAGACAATTTGCGCAGACCGGGTGTTCGATCCTGTATACAATTTTCACTATTTTAGTGCCGGCATCTGCTACATGATATACTGGATGAGCATGCTGATCATGCAGTCGAACACTTTCAAACTTCTCCGAACGCATCGTCAGCTTGAGCCGAAACAGCTGATGATATGGGGGCGACAGTTGAGCGGATATGCTGACAGTATCTGCAAGAGCATTCCGTTTCACTGCAGACCGCAGACAGGATATACGGCGAAGTTCGGTTGCTTGACGCCGTTGGTGGTCGCACGGAAGTTTTATGAGAATGCAGGGCCTATGATGGCAGTCAAAGAGCAATGGTGCGCAAAAGTGTATATTTTGGCCAGGGTGCCTGGATTATATCAGGAGACGCCAGTTGCACTTGAGCCCTTTAAGGCAGTGCAGACTACTGTGCAGCAGGGGGCTAAAAAGTTCATCTAGGCATCTGCGCAACTGAAAGGATCCAAATTGACAACGACACAGGCAAATTCCACTCCTATACTCTGCGTGACAAAGTTCCCAAGCCTGACCCAGCATCTGATACATACAAACTATTGGCTCAACATCACGATGGTGTCTGATGGAACATGTGACTCACTCCTACATTGCCCTGGGCCTGCACTATAATTGGGGGTCACTGTCATTGATATTGACCGCCAGTAGCATACGAGAGAAAGCATACACAACAACATGCAGGGCTTCTGCCCATAAACTTTTACGGTAGCAAACCTTCAACGACGACACTAACCTGAACCCGAGGTAAGTAGCGGCAGCTCCTGGGCCAGACGAGATCATGGTAGCTTTGCATCAGGCACGATTGGATTCAGACACAAATCGTACGGTGATACGTCATTTCGTGTGAACGAAGCCAGCGGCTAACAACACGAGCTCATAGACATACCTGTGGAATATCTCAGCAAGATCGCCTTCCCTTTGATGACAGGCCTTACAATACTGGAGCCAACAAAGGATGTGCCTGCATCACAAGACAGCTCCAACACCAAGAGCAGCAGATGTCTGGTCGCATCTTCCACACCTGCATCTTGTGATTGAATAAGGACTCCCTGCAGCACAGCGACAGCACTATATTTGCTTTCCTACAGCCGGGCGTGCTCCAATACACGAAAGACATCCAAACCGATACAGAGTCTCGGAGCATGTTCTTCGACCCAGATGCTGAATGGAGATCCTTAATATGTTCTTTTTCCGCTGAGATTACGCGTGAAGAGCGTGACGATCATGTTCAGATCCTATCTAACACCCAATCGGGGGATATGTAGAGCGTAATCCGCTCCCATATGGCTTCTGTGGCTATCTTCCTGCAGGATTGAGCTGTACCTATCTAGCGTGCTGGAGCTCAAATCGTGGCTGACCCCGAAGAGCTTGGTGCTGGAATCGAGTGAGTCCTCCCCGACCCGTCATCACATCGCCTTCGAGCTCAAGCTCGTACCTTGCGTGCGACTCGAGAATGGCCGTATCTCTTGGCTGTGCGCACCAACCTGAAATTTAGATATGGGGAATGCCTTGGGTTTTGTTGTAGATGCTGTCTCTAGTTCAGCACAAGAATGCAACGGACTGGCTCGCGCTGTCCGGACCTGGTGACACAGAGGTCATTGCGATATTGTGACCTGTTAATATTGCCCTGCTGAAATCGCTGTCTCTCGATGTCGGTATGTCCGTAACCTCGTGCACCACAGAGAGCGAATGGGAGCTGCAGCCTAGCGCAACCCTCGCCACCAGGCATCACCTCTACAACTCTTTCTATCCTCTATCTAACTATATGCCGCATTCTCACGGACTTCGTCTTCACGAACTGCAAAGGCTTTTGCTAAGTAAGACTTGCGCGTATGGTCTCGTGCATGCGGACTTGCTGTCGCACATTGAGCTCGGCCTGTCCGCGGACAGCCGAAGCCCTCGATTAGGCTTGGAAGAAGTAAATCTTCGCCTCATGATCACGGCACGAGGCGATACTATTGCATTCCAGCTTGGAGATTTTGCAACCGATTGCACAAGAGATAGATGCTTCAACCCCACGGAAGGTGGGGGGCATTGTGCTGGCTAGCTTGACCGAGATTTAGACTGGGCCGGAACACCGACGATGGGAGTGTTGCGAGAATCGCAACGTCATGAACTAAATGTTATCGATATCGCCACGCCAGAACCATCAAATCGTCGGCTGCTAGCGTTGTCAACCTCCAGTGGACATGATGCGGACGAAAACTTGGGGCTCCTCATTCTTTGTCCCCTTCCGTGCCTCAGCACAAGCGTCGTGGCTGCGTTAGAGCGTGTTGTCTTGGTAAGCAGGATTGGGCACCGAGCGCGAGTTTAGATGTCAATTAGCGCTCAGACGCATCTCAGAGCCGGCTGAGTTGCTCCGACGTATCGCCTCAAAGAATCACCTAACACGTGTATAGTAATAGAGTGATGCGCACGTAAACGTCCACGGACACGCCCTTCGAATTTCCAAGTGCCATCCCTGCGCACACAGTAACAACGTAACAATGGCGGAGAGCACCGATGCCGCGTTTGTCGAAGATGACGACCTCGATCGCACCTTCTCTCAGCGTCCGAACTCCTCTCGATCGAATGAAAGGGTGCCACTTCTTGTCCACAGTGAGCTTAGCAAGTCTGGCGCCAGCTCACCTGAGCTCGACCGCGTCGACGAGAACACCCGACTCCTAAACCCAACGCCGATCGACTACCGGAGCTCAAACAACAATGCGGACGAGAACGGGGAACCAGAGTGGTTCCGTGAGTTTGAGGGACTTCCCTGGTGGAAGAGGCCCTCAATTCACTGGCTGCTGCCTCCGTTCCTTCTGTTCACACTTGCCTTTGGCGGCGTCGTCGTACCCAAGATCAACCTAATCATGGATCTAGTCTGCGAGGAATACTACGCCCAGCTTGACGGCAATGGCGACCCCATCTCAGGGCCTATGGATCCAGGAACAGATAGGTGTCAGAACGATGCTGTGTCTTCTCGATCCTCGCTCTTCCTCTTGTACGGCAGCTTGTGCTCTGGAATACTTGCCGCTATCACAAGCCCCAAACTTGGTGCTCTATCAGACCGCTTTGGAAGGAAGACATTCATGGTCGTGAACACATTTGGTGCACTATTCGGAGAGATCCTTACTATTCTGGCTGCGAAATTCCCGGAGACTGTTCATGTAAACTGGATTTTGGTTGGTCACGCATTGGAAGGTCTTTCTGGCTCTTTCATTGTGAGTATGGCGCTAGCACACTCATATGCCAGTGACTGCGTGGCGCCACAAAAGCGGAACGTAGCCTTTGCCTACTTCCATGCAGCCTTGTTCAGTGGCATTGCAGTGGGACCTGTCGTGGCTGGCTACATAATCAAGGCGCGCATGAAGTACGAGAGCAAGCTCGATGCTGTAGTCTTCATCTTCTACTTGGCACTAGCGGCTCACGGTCTCTTCATCGCATTCCTTCTGTTCTGCATACCCGAGTCGCTGAGCAAGTCACGTCAGGAAGCTGCGCGCGAGAAGCACAGGGAAGAACTGGAACGTCTTGGCCCCGCGGCAGACTGGATCAATCAACTACGACACATTAACCTCTTCCGTCCGTTGAAGATCCTCTGGCCCACTGGCCCAGGCTCGTCTTCTGCCGTTCGCTGGAACTTGCTTCTGCTCGCTGCCACAGACACCATCATGTTCGGCGTTGCCATGGGCGCAACGGGTGTCGTGCTTGTTTACACTCGCCGTCAGTTTAACTGGCAATCAGTTGAGTCCGGCAAATTTGTCAGTATCGTCAATGCCTGTCGAGTCGTGGCGCTTCTTGTGGTCCTCCCACTTATGACCCGCCTGGTGCGAGGCAAAGGCAACGCTATGAAGCAACGCAAGTCTGGGACCGACCTGTTCGACCTGACCATCATTCGAGCGGCGATCTTCTTCGATACTCTGGGCTACATTGGATACGCACTTGCGCCGAGCGGAGCATTTTTCACGCTGTCCGGTGTTGTTACTGCCGTTGGCGGCATTGGATCACCGGCACTTGGAGCAGCTTTGACAAATCACGTTCCGAACGACAAGGTTGGTCAACTTCTCGGTGCGACTGGTCTGCTACACGCCATTGCCAGGGTCATCGGTCCTACGATCTTCAACGGCATCTATAGTGCCACTGTCGCAGGCTACCGACAGACTGTTTTTGTGGTTCTTGCTTCGATGTTCGGGCTAGCGTTCCTGTGCAGCTGGTTTGTACGTCCTCACGGTAAGTCTTCCCTGACCGCAGAGCCGCTAGGAGCAGATTGCTAATGAGACCCAGTCTACCTTGAAGACGACGAGTCCGTTACGATTGGTACCCAGTCCACGGATGCATAGTACGTACCTGCTGCCTTTCCCAGGTTGCGTGTGGTTTATATATGGCATGGCATAGTACATAAGTAGAAATGCATCCTTGAGAGAACTTGACAAAATTCATGGCAACAACCCGCTCGCGATTTTGGGAAAGCAGAACACCTACTGCTTGGGCTTGTGACAAGATTTCTTTTCACCTTTTTTTTTTATCGTGGTTGCAACCCCACCACCGCCTATCACCAAAGCCATCAGAAGCAAAAGAGTTGTGTAATGGCTCTTTGACTGTGCCGTAGTTATCCGTAGACATCCGCATCTAATCATATTCCTGACTGTCTGCCTGCCTTAGTCCGAGCTAGACAAGAGGGCAAAAAGGTCGACACCTGTGTGATTCGAACACACGCTCCCGAAGGAAATGCCTGACTAAGGATAGCAGGGCATCGCGTTAACCACTCCGCCAAAGTGCCAGTAGCTTCCGCTGGAAGGAACTTATAGAAGCAGGGGAATATATGTTTTATATAATACTATAATTAACAATCTGTTTGGAAGTCCCTTCGTGGACCCTTCCCTGACTTAAAAACTGATAGATGCAGGATGCTGGGATTTCCATTTGTCTAGCAACGTGTCGCCTAAAGCGGGGTCGTGCGCCATCATCACTCAAACCCCAACACCCCATTGTAATGTACAAGAATCCATCGACTTCTACACATTATAGTAACCTGTGTGTAATCACGGAGCGAACTTCTAGAAGTACAGAATTGATTTCAACACTTTCTGATTTATAGGATTAATCTAAAAACATCTGCATAATCTTACTCTTGCTAACTTTAACTAACCGTTATAACGTGTCTTAATCGCGTTGCTTCAGCACGGTAGAGTTCAAGTGGAGTCAAGAGATTATCCCAAGTTAAGAAATTCTGATCTGTCTGTAGTGCATTATCCCGGTCCGAGGACTATAGCCGGGAAGCCACTGAACATCATCTAGACAATACCTGCCCTGAATCCTAGACCATCGCGGCAGCATTACAGATGCAGGAATACTTCTAGCGTCTTAAAACCTCTCTAGGGAGCATGTCATAGTCATAAATCAAGCTTGTAGTCAAGGAAATGTCGCAATAGCATTGGCCTACAATGACTAGGTGTTGTAGTAAGGCTCTGCTCTTCTGCTTTATCTACCACCTATTCCAGAGATACAGAAGCGACACCTTTTGCCCCTTTGTCATGACACTATGTCTAAAATGACTAGATCAATTTGGTCTAGCGAATCCTGTCGAGCAAAAGCTGCAGCTGGTCTTGTCCTAGCTGCCTTTGCCTTCAGTACTTCGACAAATAATTTACACTTTGGGTTTCTCGGAATCCATAGAGTACACCAAAGTATGAACGTAAGAGCCCCTGAGCATTATTTCTGTTCAGATAAGCTTGACACTGACTGTTTGACAGCGTTCGAAGATCGCCGCGCTTACCCAGCGAGCAAGTCCTATCCTCCGATATGATTCTCCAGACTCCCGAATTTTGGCCCGGACCACTACGATACCCATGACCATGTCCATTCCTTCTACCTCTTGCTCGCTCTTGAAGTCGTGGCGGGCAAGTGAGAAAAAGGGTTCGCCCCGGATACGCAGACAGAACGTGTCTTTCTCGGAAAACTTATCATCATCTGCGCAATCGCGAAAGAACACACCAATAGGTGTTCCATTTGCCATCAGCAGCTCACCGTCAGCCTTCATGTCGTCCTGTTCCGGTGGCATAAACTGGATGTTCTTCATGATCCGGCCAATGGGCGAGTCTTGTTTGGTCTGTCTGCCCTGGCTCATCTCGAAGGACTCAGACAGTGGGTCCTTCGGTACCGTACAGTGAGCGACAAGGGCGTAGGTGAGGGTCAAGTGTGCCCCTTGCTTCACAGCACCATACTTGTCTCCATTTACTGGCTCTGCTGCCATGCCCTCCCATTGCATGTCACCAAAATCACAATCGGATAGCTCTTCTCGGACTCCCATGCGGTCGAAACTGTTTCCGTGGGGTTCGATACGCTGGCTAACATAAGAGATACGACCCTTGACCGATGCCCAGGACCATGTGGGCGCTATGTACTCGGGATACCTGCGGGCCTCCTTGTCCACGGACTGCCAAAGAAGCGTGGCTGCGCAGTGAGCCCCAATGGCGATAACACCAGCATGCAGCTGGTATCTTCTATCCTTGCGCATATTCGGGAGGTCTTCCAGTCTGAAGAGAGGAACACGAGGAACGTGGGCTCCCCACATTCCGGCGAGGTAATCCGCACCAGGAAATACGGACTTGTAGTCTTTTGCCAGACCAGCTAATGCGGTGAGCTTGTCGCTGTCATACGACAAGTTCCGGAGCGAGTAATCTTCCACTAGCTCATACCACCTCATTCGTGTGTCGGCAAAGATGCCCTCGGTTTGGTCATCCTGAAGTCCGTCACAAAGAGGCCAGGGCTTCTGCTTGTGGCTTTCATACGACAGCTGTTCCGTCCAGGGCAATTCGGCTGTTCCCTTCGCCTCGCGGCACCGCCAGAGAAGTTGTCGGTCAGCGAAAAAGATGGTCCTCCGCGAAAGCTCGGCCTCTTGCAATGTCCAAGCCCGATACCTTAGTGGATTCTGTACAGGGCTCTTCCCTGTTACGGATGGCTCTTCTCCATATTCAACACGCCATGAAGTCGGTGGTCGACGGTACATACGTATGGATCCATGGGTTGCGCGATCGATTTGAACGTCAACAAACGAGTTGCCGGTACTCCTTCCTAGATCGTCACTCATGCGACATCCCTGAGTTCCATCCTCTGAGCTGAGGGCTGAAAGGGTGCAGAGTGCACTACCGTAGACGTCCGCCATACTTGCTGCCTCCTGTGCCCAATCGTTGTCATCATGTTGGATGATGCATAGGGAGTCAATCCACAGATAGCGCTGACCAAGTTTACGCGTAACAATGACAGCATCAAGGAACGTCCTTGAGAGATCCTTAGCGAGTATCCGCGTCTGTCTTGCCTCCAGACTGTTACGCTCTGTTATGATCGGTCGCTTGTGTTCCGGACCCCAACAATGGCTAAGCGCCAGGTAGTTAGGGTACGAGACATCTTTCCTCTCGCAAGTGATTCTGAGGGGTGCCGAGTCTACCAGTTGCACGTCCGGACTACCTCGAAATGCCTCAACGTCTATGAGACGAGTTGGCAAGAAAGCGTTCGGGCTGCCGGAACACGTCTTGTGATTTGTCAGACACCGGTGCAACCACGTCTTCATCAAAAGTATATTATCGGTTGCGCTGTCTAAGGACGCAGGGCTGTTGTATGATGCCGGATCATGCACATGACAATTCGCCGATGCTTGCGGCTCTACATTGTTATCAGCAGGCGCATTGAACGGTCATTTTAGCAATGACTTACTCCACCACCAACGTGGTATTCTCTGGAAGAAAGTCTGTGTGATGTAATTCAGGCCCTTCAGTCCGGTACCTAGTCGGACAGCTCGATCGGGGTAGGCTGGACACCTGCGTAGAATGAGGGTAGCCTCCTTATCGCCTATCTCGATCGGCTGAACATGGCTGAGTAGAACGGAGCAGAGTTGACATCCCTTTTCGGCCTTCTTGCGCATGCGACGATAAGATTGGAGTTTGAGGGAGGTATCTTGGCAGTACTCCGGGCGGTCGAATTCGAGAGACCAGAAGTCAGAAGATTTTGCGCAAACGGAAGAGCAGACGGCGCAAAGTCGAGGAGGCATTGTGTACGACGACGCACGAGTGGCTAAAATTCATTTAGAAGATATCGGGCTTCTGGTACTGAACAACAAGAAGACCAACTGCGTCGTGGCAGTGTAAGCGCCACCGAAGCGCCTCATCCGTGCATTGTGCCGCACATGTACCCAGACTCCGCGACATGTTATTTACAACCCGCAGCTTCGGTATGACCTTCGGTATGGCCCCAGCGCCTACCGGAGCCCATAGTTGAAGCTATTCGGTATGGGTTCAACAGTTGGCGTCTGGCTTAGTGCTGTTCGATCGATGAGAAGCGCGCGCTTGACGTCTTACGAGCCGCCTGGGAACGTGCAGGTGCACATGCAGTCACTTCAATGAATTCAGTTTATAGCGATAGGTAACGTGGGACGATTGTTTATATATGTTGCGGCAAACGTAGCCGCTGTATATCGATGGAAAACTGCGCTGAGCTGCTTGCTGACTAGGAGGCGACCATATATACATACCCTGAGACGTGCTAGTCCAAGGTAGTCAACAGAGATGATGATGAATGTGGTGGGCGATCTTGTGTATTTTGGTACTACGGAAGAGCGCTTATCTGCATGTGTGTGTGGGAGCGGGAACTAACGAGCTGGCCAATCAGAGGGCGTCAGCTTCGAACAGGTGACGATCAAGGCCTGTCGGACCGACTTGCACCGCAACCCCCCCCCCCCCCCCCCCAGCTGCTGTGAACAACAAAGCTGAACGTTGTACTATCAGTACCATCCTGTGAGACCCGCTAGGTCTGGCATATCAGCGTCCTGCGAGCGTTCTACAACGTAGCGCTCTACGCTTTCCAGGCCTAGCTGTTAACAAACGTGTAGTGCCTCTGTCGTACCAGAGTCTTCGTAAGTCTGTCTGCTAGCGTGTCTGCAGTTGGACACTAGGCTACATGTAGATGCTGTTGCTGTACTTCTTGCCTTAGCCACATCTGATGTGTGTTAACGTGGCGCAGCTTTGTATGTAGCTTGTCCTCCTGCTTTGTTACCATACCTACTCTCTGCTAATTATCACAGTAGATAACAGGCTTTACATCTAGCTTGAACTTGATGTGATTGAACACTCTGTTCCACCACTCCATCTTTCCTCCAGCTACTGAAAGAGCTATAAGCTCTGCCTCTGTAGTTAACTTTGTGACTGAGCGTTGACGTGTAGCCTTCTAATTAACACACATGCCGTACATCTTAAATAGATATCTATATAAGCTCTGCCTTGACTCTTCATCGTCAGCAAACGCTGCATCAGATGCTCCGTAGAACGGTGATAGATCGTCAATTTAGCTGATGTACGTGGTGTTGTTCTTTGCTCTATTGCACGCTCTAATAGCTAGGTACTTAGTACTAATCAGGTATCTCCAGACGTGCTTAGCTGCTGCTAAGTGCTTCTGTCCAGGGTTCTGCAGAAGCCTTGCTAGGACTGAGTGTGCTTGCGACACGTCAGGCCTTGTAAAGGTAGAGATGTAGGCCAGTGAACCCACTAGCTGCTGGTACAGCTGCGTACGTTCAATGCTTGCCTCCTTAACGCTAGGCAGCAGATAGCTGTCAGTCAACGGTACAGCTAGGTATCTCCCTGATGTCTGAGCCAAGTCAAACCTGGCTGACACCTTGTTAATAAATAAGTCCTGGACTAGCCAAATAGTTCCTGCTGTCTAGTCTCTTACTATGCGTACGCCCAGGAACACTTAAGTTCTCCTAGGCACCTCACGCTATAGGCTTGCTGAAGCTGCCTCTCAAACTGGCTGTGATAGCTGAGGTATTGCGGGTGCACAAGGACGACGATATCATCCACGTAGAAGAATAAAATCAGCTGATCACTGGTGAACAGACAGGGCACGTCTTAAACTGGCCTGAGGCCCAGCCTCGTCAGCGTGTCTCTAAGATGCCTGTACCAGAGTAGTGGCGCATCCTTAAGGCCATACAAGGCTTGTTTGAGCTCAAGTAGCTCTCCCATCTAACCCACGAATAGCTCTAGTGTACGTACATAGACTAGCTGTTCAAGAGGTACGTTCAGGAAGGCATTCAGCACATCATACTGATATGCGTGTAAGCCAAACGCAGCAGTTATTGCTATTAGCAGGCGGAACACCCTTGCTGCTAGCGTCGCTGCATACGTGTCTCCCCAGTTATCCTGGAGGTCTCCTCTAACGACTAGCCTTGCCTTGTACTTGTACAGGTAGCCGTCTTCGTCAAACTTGTATGAGAACACCCACTTCAGAGGAAGTATCTGTGCGTCGGCTGCTGTAGCTGCAAAGCAGCCTTTATCTGTACAGCTAGCGAACTCTGCACGTGCTGCATCCCTGAACTCGTGTCCAAATGGATGCTTGTCTAGGCATCTCCAATGTCGTGGAGGTGGTGGGAGCTTGTCCCTGTGTAATCGTGTGCTTGGCTCTTCGCCGAGCAGCTTCTTAGGCCTGATGAGTTGACAGCTACAGCGAATGCTGTGTAGTATGGACCTAGCGTACGTCGCTGTCTTCGTGACATCAGAACATTTGATGCGTCAATCTGGCTACTGGTTTCTTCCCGCCTTGGTGCGCTGTTCGATCGGCGATCAGGAGCATCTGCGTCAGGTGCTATAGCTTGCCAGCCTCGTGGCAGCTCGTTCTCCTGACTGCTCACTGACTGTTCGTTCGGCTCAGGCGTGCTCTCCGGCGTCGGTAGCCACCTTGCTGTGCTTTCCTTGTCCAGCTGCTGGTGTCCCACAGCCTCACCGAGGAGCTGTTCCTCAGCTTGTTCTGCTTCTGACTGTCTGTGCTCTACGTCATCAGCGTTGCGCAGAGCCTCATTAGTCTCTTGCTCATTGTCCTTGGCCAATAGATGAGGCAATTAGACGTGTGCGCCGATAGCAGGACCGAAATTCAGCCACAAGATCAGTAGTTGACGTGTACTGCTCTCCTTGGTGGTCCTTCTTGACAAGCTCCTGCAGCTGCGTAGCTGCCCAGCTGTCGTAAAGTCCCCTGATTGACAGTATGAAGTCCTTCTGCGATCGATTGCTGTCAACTTCTGGCATCTTAGCTTCTCTCAGGAGTCTGGTGATCGTCACCCAATCATCAAGCCACGTGTCTAGATTCGCTTTCCCTGGCCTCGCACAGACAGCTCTGTAGCGGCTGCGTAGCTGGTGATTTCGCTCACCTACTGATAGACAGAGGTGCTTCTTTAGCGTTGTCAATTGACTGTACGGGCTTGAGCAGTCAACAATAAGATCTAGATGCTTGACGTCGATCGTCCTAGCAATCTCAGAGTTGAAGCTCCTCAAGGCCTTCTCTTTCTGCAGTCATCTTGCCTCATCACGCTTGTACTTCCTTGTCCACACGTTGTATATAGATATCTCTTCAGCGGATAGATCCTTAATATTAATATCTTCCTGCTCTTCCTCAGATACCTGTGTCTTCTTGAACTTCCATAAAGGCTTCTCCTGTGGCTTCTGATCTTGTAGCTTCCTCAGCTCCTCTGCTGATAGCCCTGGGTCAACGTACGGCCACAGGCCGTCTCTGTCTGCTGTGTCCTTTCTGACAAACAGCCATCTCTCCCAGTCATCAGGCTTGCTGAGTATAACTGACGTCTTCGTCACTAGCTGGTCCTGCTCATACGTACTCATGATGCTCTGTAGTGTCTGCTCTGTGTGACGCTTAGATTGGGTTTCGTGTCAAATAACAGTCGGCTATCTTGACAATACGATCTACTTCCAGTCGTACAGGTTGTAGATAAACGGGTGAACGCAGCGATTAACTGAAGGCCTCCGGGCTCATAACTGTTGCGGCAAACGTAGCCGCTGTATATCGATGGAAAACTGCGCTGAGTTGCTTGCTAGCCAGGAGGCGACCATATATACATACCCTGCGACGTGCTAGTCCAAGGTAGTCAACAGAGGTGACGATCAAGGCCTGTCGGACCGACTTGCACCGCAACAATATACTTAGTATCTTTAAGCATGAACGTATATGTTTTCGATCGGATGGAATGGTGGGTCTGCCGACGCTCCATCGGCGGCAGCACATTATTCGGGCCTGTCTAGCTCGGTAAGTCAAGATGAATGTCGTATTTGAGTGGCGCTGTTCCGACCGGATGTAGTCGCGAATTAATAATAGCGCGCCGCCGGAGCCACTTGTCGTCGACAGTGAGCGAAGTGGGTGGTTTTGGTCGGATATGTACAAGTCATAACGACTTAGCAGTCCGGGGTTGAAGAGTAGAAAAAGTATGTGCGATTTCGTTGTAGGAAATCCAGCGATTGAACTAGACATCTGATTAAATCGAATATGGAGTGAGACCGGTCCGCTTACAGATGACAGTTGAGCACCAAGTCTTAAAACGCGCTCGGTTCGACATTTGGCCGTGCTTGCGAGCTCGAGATACCTCTCTTCCTCGTCGTGTTCTTTCTCGAAGTATTTTGAAGGGAAGTACTCCTCGCCCCAGACTAGACCACGAATCAGGTAATCCTCGGGCAACGGTAGCTCAGCATGGTCATCCTTGCCCTCCTTGCCAACAGCAAATGTTGGCTGGGCGAATAGCGCATCGAAATCTTGGGCCTGGGATTGCTGGGTCTCCATCTTGACAAGGGTATTAAGAAAAGGGACTAGATCAGCCCAGGGCGCTTGCTCAATGAGGTCGGCAACGTATTCGATCGAGGCGAGAACAGAAAGGAAAGCAAGCATAACATGAACATGAGGAAGGACGTTTTTATCGCCAATACGACGAAGAGCCACAGAGAGCGTCCTGTTTGCCAAGTTGACGGCTTCGCAGAAAGCCATATCTGTAGACAAGGCCTCTACAGTAGACGGGATCTCAGATTCTGTGATCTTCGGTTTGTCTTTCTGTAAGGCGAGCTCGGCCATGATTTGATCTTCGGTGAGATGTGACTGTCTTCGCTCCCTTGCACGAAGCTCGAGAATTAGTCGGATAGTGTTGGTCTCCGCGCCATAGTCGAGCCAAGCGGCGCTATTTATGATGGCTGTGTACACGCCCTGTTCCTTCCACTTCGCTGTTACACGACCGATGTGGTTGTCGAGTTGGCTGAGATACTCAGCCTGGGCAGCTCCGTACTTATCCACAACGTTTCTAGTAAAGATGTGTGCATGAGCAGTGACGAAGCTAGCATCTACCGGGGAAGGTATCGAGTATCCCGGCGGGTCAGGCCTCAGTACGGGACCCAGAAGAGTCATGATTGACTCACGAGCGCTTGGGAAGGTCTCAACAGAGGCCAAAGACCTGCTGTAGTAGTACATCTGCTGGAGAGCATTCGGACGCGCCAGGATCGCAAGGTGGTGATAAAGACGCCCAACAGTCGGATTCTTATCAGCAGCTCTCGAATACCACGACCGTGCAACTCCCGCCCAGATCTCACGATCCCGGATGTCCTCATCTTCAATAGCCATGCGATAACGGCCCAAATCGCCAAGGCATTCAATCCATGTATCTTCAAAAGCTGGCACAGTCTCGTACAAGAGCGCCATCATCTGATATGCCAGGTAGATAAAGGCCAACATATAATCCAGACTGTGGGGTAGCTTTTGACGAAGTAACTCCAAAAACGAATGTATCCCGTGTTTCCACATGCGAGCCGGCATCGTGTATTTGCCCGCTAAGCGGCGAAGTGCTGGTGATGCAGACGGATGCTGTGAAGCCAGGAAGAAGTCATGATGCTCGTGAAGTAGCGTGCGATGGAGGGCAATAAGCGCTTGCCAATGATCGGGCGCCAGCTTCTGGTTCGGGCCTTGCGGCGCAGCTGCCTGTTCTCGATCTACGTGTATACATTTTGTTTCGACCATAGTCAGACCGGCATAAATTGACTTGACTTCCGACGCAAGCTGTTCCTGTGAAATCGGACGACTATCTGGCTGCAGGAGGAATCCAGGATAACGGGGATCGTCTTTCTGCCGCGCGTGGGCATGGCGGACGTCAGCTGAGCGGTCGCTCGAGCGTCCTGTCGTGGAACGGCAAGAAGAAGCAATGCACTTGGTGCCTTGTGTTGGGTTGTACAAGCGGGCGTCAAGGGGCTTCGAGCGAGGCTTACTAGGCTGCATCGTGTAAGAAATGTCTCTAGAATAGTCTGGATCTGCAATGATGACATTGTCGACGTTGGATGGGCCCTTTTCCCGACGAGCCCCGATCTCAGACTCAGCTCGCCGTTTCTTTCCGGAGGAGGGCGACGTTTGACGTTTCTTCCCTGCTTCTAGAGATAGGGCAGCAATATCGGGCGCGGTATTGCCACCAGAAATGGCCTCAAATGGCGACCCCGACTGTCTAATTGTTCGGTTAAATAATGTACAGCAATTGCAGATTCCTCCATACCTTAACTTCAAAGCCGCGTTGCGCACTTCAATCTTCGCTTGAATTTCCTCGAGACCCTCGATTTCAGGAGCATGTTCGGCTTTTGCGTGATTGTAAAGCTGCTCGACGCTCTGGAAGGTCCGGCCAGGATGGCCATAAGGACACGGTAGTGAGCCCACCGTTCGACTCTCTGTTTTATTGCTAGCCTGTGTCCGCAGTGAATTCACAAACCGAGACTGTATGTCAACCATAGGGGATGTCATTCTTAACAGGACAGCTCAGGTTCCGCAGTACTATTGCTCGTCTAGATGCCTGAACTGGCAAATTTCAAGGGTCGAGGAGCTTGAGGTTGTAAACGACAAACGACACAACATTGACGAGAATCTAAATCTGATGGAAGGTGAGCTTAAGAACCGTGGTTTAGATTGACGAGGCAGATTTTTTTGATGCTGCTCGATGCAGTGCGCACTTTAGTGAGGTGATTGTAAGGTTGTGACTTACGAAGAGGAATGGTTAACGCGGTTCATGGGGCTTGTATGATGACGAATGAACTTCGGACACGTCCTAGGTCAAATCGCGGCAGCGCAGTGTTATTATAGGTATATACTCGGCGTTGTTCCGGCGGGGGACACTTCAGCCGATCGACGTGTGCAGGGGATAGGTAATGGAAGGATGTGGACATGACGCATCCTTGCGCGTTTGGGCCATTTGCCTTGTTGCCTGCACAGCTCGGCTAGTGCGGCTCTGTCGGAAGGCAGACGGTTCGCCCACCAACGCGCGCTTTTCAGCCGCGGTTTGGTAAAGTCCACACCATCATGAAGCCTAATCCTATACTGCTGGCCTTCTTCCAGCCATACAGCGTTCTTTTCTGTGTCCTGCATGCTCACCTCATAACGGCCCAGGCTACGCTGTGCGCGCTGCCTATACTGCGAAACAAGGGCAAATTGCGTTGCATAGTTCAGGACTACCATGTGCACCAGCTCTTGAGCTCCAGTGATGCCATTGCTTAATGTTGCACCTGCTCGCCAGCCAGCATAGGCTATTGGGCCCACACGCGAGGTTACTTGCCTCGAAGGCTGTACGCAGTTGCACAAGCGCATTGGTCCGACACAACTTGAGACCAGTTGCTCAAATTCCGGGGTGTATGATGCACAAATACAGAATCGGTAGGCCTCAGTCATGTCAAACACTCGTAGCACAAGAGCTGTCCAAGAATCTATCGAACCACAAACCGGCCCTGCGATCGAAGCGCCCAACGCCCTCGAAGATAACGTAGTCTGTTTCTATGCGTCATATAAAGACGACACAACACAAATACCACGCGGTTCCGCATTCAACATTATCGTAGAATCACCATACTGGTTGGAGGCCCAAAATTGGGGCTTCATGCGTACGTTGCTGGCAAGATATCATTACGTTTGCGTCTTTGCTGAATCAGCCGCAAGCAGAGCCCAAATGTTGTCTGCGCTGATATCTTTCAGGATCTTGTGAGCAACGATAGGCTGAACACACCGGAAACTGAAGAGGCGTTGGGGTTAACATACACGTTGACGATGGCTTATAGACGTTGCCGGAAGGTAGACAGTTTCAACAATGGAGGATTACGAACTCTTTTGGTGCGGATGGCTTTGCTTAGCCTCACCAATGACCGAGCACCATGGCACTTCATAATTTTAACTTGAGCAGAAGCTCGACCTGGATGTGAAGTATATGCGTGTGTCATCTCAGACCTGACCATATTAGCGTATCACGAGCAGGGAGAAGGGCCATGGTGCCGATCAGCTGCGGCAAGCTTACGCATCGCATCACCTTTGATCGGTCCAACGTTCAAGGTCAGTCAACCAAACATCGGATGCTTTCACCATCATCCCACCAGGTTGCCATCTACCAACACAGTCAGATGCGGCGCACTACAATATTGAGGTGATCTGAATTGGTATCCCAGACGGCATGAGCATTGGTCTCTGCTATTTCAAGACACTCACACCTTGCACTCGCGAAGCACTATCACCAACGATAAAGTACCTTTGAGTAGGCAACAAGCAGGCATCAGATCTCGGTCTTGCAAAGAGTATATCTGTCTTGTGGCGATTTCTGGGTGAATTGATTGGTTGTGGCTTCTAGGTATCGAAGGTTGTACCTGCACTGTGTGCCAGCGTGGTTGGTTTCTGGACAACTGGAAGTCAAGGCAGAGAATGGAACCGATGCTTTTGTTCCAGGAGCCCGTGGCAGGCACCGCCTTCAGAAATCATGAATGAGTGGTAGAGGCGCGCCCTACGCGTCAGCTTCGTAGTCTTCCTGGTACATCTACGCTTACGGAGTTTCGAGCCGAGAAGCAACTGTTCCTGAATGGTGGCTGGCGCCTTAAGTTCGGCTGTGTTTTTTAGCTCTCGGGGAATACAGACCTTGCTTCCGCTCTTTGAAGCATTTTGGTTGCAGCTTTCCGACACAAGGTGGGTCAACAATCCTTATGATTGGACGTGGTGATTGCGGAAACATGCACGGCAGGACTGCCCAGTCCAACAGAAACTTACTAACCCTCTACGAATGCAAGCTATTGCATGGCATGCGGAGTAATCCACCAGTAAGTTGTGATACCTCTATAATAAAAGGGCAAAGGGCGTCCCTAACATGGGATGATGAGACAAATTGCACTTTGGTCTGAACGTCCTGGAAGCCAGAGATGACCGCAAACACGGAGAGCCAACCGAGCCGTCATCAACAGGAATCGGCTACGAGGCTGAGCACACAGGGTACACTGATGATACACTCGACGCGCAGCCTGGGCATTCACTGACTCGACTTGCTGGACTGGAAATGTTCGCAAGCCTGATTGTGAATCATTCCTGGCTGTCTGAATCCATCGTCATCGATCAAGAGCAGACTTGGAGGGTGTACTGAACTACCTCATAGTTCGATATTGTTCCATCGGCCGTGTGGGTCTGTCCTTTTGACCTCTTCGTACGCAGCAGCTGATTAGTTCACAGCAGCCTTCGTCCTTAAGGCAACAGTCCGAAACTTTACCAGATCAATAATCCAGCCTCCAACAGGAAGTCGAGGAGAAGAATCCTAGATCGAATTCAAAATGGGTGAAGGATTCCTTTGCCTCTTCGGCTTGTAAGTCCGCGTTGCGACTTCCAGTACCGGCTCGTGGACGGATATCCGTCATCGATCCGCCATCATCGACCCAACCGCAGAGCATCCTGCATTTCACATAGGATTTGCTGGAAGTCATATAAGCAACGGTCATCTGGGTTCATGCAGTCTAGCCGATGAAGTATTGACTTCACGTCATGCTGTTCCCGGAGCCAGTAGCTGCCAGCCAAAGTTGGGTCAGATGCGAATTGCTTCTACTTCCAGCTGTGAATGCTGACTCTTGGGAGGCCTGGCAAGCCAGGCCTTTGGCTACTCGGTATATTGATACGAACATGTGTTGAGAGTTAATGACAGGTTCTGCACGTAACTAGCAAGACGTGGTCTCGAAGGCCCGTTCGAAACGCCAAGGCAGTGCCACGACCTACGAAGTATGAGTAAACATGCCTAGGGTCGTAATTGCCTGCTGTTAAATTGCTCATTGTTGAATCAGAATGTATTAGCGGATCGGTGTAGAATCTATTCGCGTCCTTTATGCCGGCGTTATCTTGTTTTGTGTAATCAAAGGGTCGACACACTACGGTAGGCAAACTGCGTCGAAGGGTTCGTGCGGTGCGTTAATCGGTAACCGATGAGTATCACAGGTACGAGAATCTGCACTGCTTTCTTTAGCAGAAACGAGAGGTGATAGTAAGGAACGTCGACGCATTCATCCGACTGGATGTACAGCTCGCCGATTCAGTAAGGCTGAAATTTTCATGCAGAGGTGGAGGACCTCGCAATCGTCGGGGCCGAAATGGTGACAGGCTGCAAGGCTAGGTACCGGTAATTTCTGGGCTATGCATGTAGTGCATCAACAAAGTATGTTAGATTATTCAAACTTCCGTGGCCTTGCACTTGCATGTGCGAAATCACCTCCTTGAGTTGGGGTGGTCTTGATCCCGCACCATAATCTTTATTTTTGAGCTTCTTTTCGTGTTGCAGCCAGGGTAAAAATTGCTTTTCAATCAGACACACCACGTATCAAGTAGTCTTAATACCCCACCCTATACTTGGAAAATTCTCGGCTCTGCTGATAGAGTTACGAAACAAGTAATTGTTTCGATGCTCAGTATCGTGACTTCCTAATGAATAGTAAATTCAGCAAGGGTCTCTCCCAAGTCTGGTACTGTCAAAAGTAGATTCAGCCCTTGTTTCGTGAAGTATCATCGCCTCAGAGCAGTAAGCTTAAGCGTTACCTTATCGGGGGTGTAATTTGACAAAAAAGAACAGACGTCGAGGAAATAATTAAAGCCATTGCTAGAGAAGGCAAACACAAATTCAAGCGAGTATTAGACAATTTGGTTGGGTATTCAACAGCACACATCTGACTATTTCCTGTTTGATGAGTATACAGTCAGATATCAACATTCAGAATGACTGTTTGAAGTGACCAGTGAGCATGACTCGCTTGTGTGACAACACTCATGACTGTCGTGTACTTCACGCACATGCGAGATAATATTTGAAGTAGCAGCCCATTCCATGTGAGAAAGCTTGTACATGATGACCACCAAGATCTTTTCCCTCAACTTCTCCGGCAAGCTAACATCACTCGCCGGAGCCACGCAGTTGCTTGATTTAAGTAACGATTGTGAACCAACGATCTGCCTGTTTGCTGCTCCACCAGCGCTCAAATTGTTGAGCATAAGTACGTGCGTGAATTCAGTCATCCCGAATCCATTATGATATCTTGGTCATAAATCAGATGAAAGGGGTACAACGAGGAAGTTAGCCCCGGAGACGGTGTAAGCAGATGTTGATGATCCCTTACAGGCAACTAAACTATCACTCTGTGTCAGATTTGAAGAAAGTTTTCGGAGGGCTCAGATGAAGGGGCTTCCTGAAAGGCTCACCAGTCACCAAAAAGCTGTATTGACTTGTCCTTAGAATAACTCTGACTGAACCCGGGCATTCGGTCTATTCTTGCCTGTCTTGACATACCTGATGTTGTTACAACTGAAAACCGGCAGAATATAGGCTATACTTGCATCCCTAATTAGACTGTTAATAAGGCTGATTCTCTACGACAGATGTTTATGTGCATATCCACTGAGTCTCCTTGCGCGTTCCACGTCCTAAGGCACAAGGCAAACAGAGCCTTACGATCGGATCAGCATTGTGTGGTGCTTACACTCTATCGATCTGTACACATGTGTTTCGCAAACTTCATGCATAATCCAATTGATGTCGAAATCGACTTCGGTCACGACAAGAGACGGACTCCTAGAACCAATCTCAGAGGACAGACTCCTCAACCGACGTCTTAGCCTCGCAATAGTGCAGGTTGCCTTGATGGTCCTAGTGGTCAGGCGTCCACTCATCTTGATAACGTTGCCAATTTCAAGTTCCATGCTTGTCCGATGCCCTGCAATGACAGGCACCAGCATGTATCCCCAGCTTGGCCATCTCCCTGCGACATACCACTCGAGAGTCCTCCGCTGATCTGTCTCAGCCATTGACTACCGGTGCGATATATCCGCACTGCAGGGAAGTGATGCCAGCAACAATACCCCAAGAACTAAAAAGAAGGCAAACATACTAAACGATGCAGCCCCAAGCGCCGACTCGCAAGCAGAGGTGACCTGAGATATCCAGCAAGTGGATACGGTGCTATGCCTCGTGCAACGTGTTCGCCAGTAATGCGGTACAGTGTACTCACCGACTTCGTACACGCGTGACCATCACGGCAGCGTATCAAATACTCTTACTATAGTGGAGTCGCTATGAGTCTAGCCCGCTACAAGACACCGCCAACGTCGACTTCACCGGATCTGCGAGTCGGGAATTGTGCCTTGGTTTGCCTTCGGCGTGGGCCGTCTTGCAGGATTCAATGCCAATATATGCACGATCTAATGGCTAGTATGATTCTCAGTCCGTGGGCCATTGCGAATGAGGCCCAATGTATTTGTGGATTCTCTTACGAAGATTGTGGCTTTGCTCGTGCCGCCGAGAAGGAGCCGTTCGCAGCGGATCGTCCGCGAATTGCAGGCGAAAAACACCGCCATGTCATTGATAGTAACAGATATCAACAGAGCATCGAATGCATCACTGACTTTGTAGTTGAGGAACGCTGATCTGCGTGATGGTGTGACCGAAGACACTAGGCACTGATCAGTTGTAGACATTCCTGACCAGCGGCGATAATTAGTGCATCTTCAGACGTGATCTATCGCCTCGTTGATGCAACAACACCGAATTTTTGTACCGAAGTGTGATTGCATGCAACTGGAGCTTCATTTTGGTTGTTCAGGGATGTCTCATGCCTCCAAGAGCTATCCGATATCTGAACACTCAGCCCAGCACGGGCGCAGCTCACTGTGAGTGATGCCGACTAGAATTCGCAACAGATGAATTGAAAACGTGTCTTTGAAGAGACAACACTACTCGTCTGCAGATGTCTCAAGCATGACTCTAACCCTAATCCTTCGACAGTAAAGACCATGACGACATCTTTTCGTGCAAATTGCCTCTTTTTGCTTCTTTATCCATATCCTATCGAATAAACAAAGTGTTCTTACCACCAGGTCGCACAGCTATGGTCGATATAGGCCTCCAAGCTAAATCAGCAAATAGCAAAGCACCCGACCGGGCTAAAAACCTTCCAGATCGATCAGCAACTTCAAGTTGCCCTCTATCGACCGATGCCACACCTCTTTGACGCAGGAGACTCCACAGTGATGCTGACACGACCGTCTGCCTGACGGTCAGCATGTTCTTTGAGCTGACAGATGCTCATCGCTCAGCCGTAGCTGCTGTATTCCCGTACGGAACTCGTCGCGTGCAGGTGGTGAGGCATCCTATACGCATTGATGTTGCCGTGATGATAGCGTGCTTGCCTGCATCGACCCAGCTCTCTGTCTGAACTAGCAACGTGCACCCATGCATCACCGGTGCTTCCACACGATACCTGCTGCGCCTTGAGTCCTGCATGTTTGCCTTGTGAGATGCCGCGGATCGATGGCTGAAGATAGGCGGAAACACCCACACAACAGGCTGAAACGGCTCCGCGGGGTTGTGTATGCCCAAGTGTATGCCCAAGTTTATGCCCAAGTGTAGCCCTCTCAGTCACTGGACTAATGAAGGCCAGACATGTGCAGCGTTGTGCTCTGCTAGCTTGCATCAGGGACGATACGGATGTCCGATTCTGAGACGTTTCCCATTTGCCTACTCATGCTGCGGGTGTTCGTTTCAAGTACCACGATAATTGACCAGCGAGCAGCGAAACGGATTGGATAAAAAGCGCCACGTCAAGTGAGTTGTCGACGAGGCTGAGGAGTGATGGGTCTGGACCAGGGAAAGAAGCAACCACGGATCGTCGTTTGTCATGGCTGCTTTAGCGACCAAGAAGGCTGCAGATTGGGTCAAAGCGAAGTACCCGATTAGCGACGGAAATACTACTTGATTTTGGTGAGGCCTGAAGGACGAAGGAATCGGCGACTACGAGCAAGTCCTAAACTCTTCGGGGTCAAGCATCTGTGCGCATCTATCGGCCTTGCAGCAGCTGGCTCTCTCACCCTCACTTGTCTGATACTACATCTCAGACTGTATTGCGAGAAGATATACCGGACGTACTTGGAATTTCGCCTAGCACCGACTGGCAGTCTCGAATGCCTGCCACGTACGAGGACCCTGACCCGTACCAACAAGCGATCGAACGCAGCTCTTCCACACGGTCCACACCACCAGACACTCAAGCCGAGAACTCCTCCCGATACAAATGAAGCAGCCACGTGTCTCGTGGTAGAACGGGGCGAAGCGAACGACCAATGCACCTAGCTGCAGACCATGCAGTGACCAAGGCAAGAGAGTGGAGTCCGTGAAAGCGAAGCGGCACAGAGCTGGGTATCACCATTGAGCTGGCCGCTGTGGTCGTGGGATCTCTGCCCACATGACCGGTTCTCACGTTTTGTGTAACGTGACTAACGATATCAGATCGCTGGCGGGTATCGCGCACATGTCGTGCATCTATGCAGGGCATTGAGACACGAGCACCCCGAGGGCCTAACTCTCGGGAATTGACGTGTTCGTCAGGTGTGCAGGAGCATGCAGAAGCACTGGCTTCGCAAGGTCACGATGCTGTTGGCGCACGCCTTGAGTTAATTTCTGATGGTGTGCTCTTCCTTTTAGGGTCTTCGGTGACATGCGTGCGTGAATCGGCCGGCTCCGTTTCGATCTCGAGGAGGAATTTCAGAGGATCGCTCAGTCGTGGCTGCGCGAGATTGAGGGAGGATGGCTGCTGACCCGCCCGCGTATGCAGCTCGGCCCTTCTCCGGCCATGACTTGCATATGTACGGGTCGTAACGGAATGCCATATGTACGGGTCGTAACGGAATGCCATGTGTACGGGTCGTAACGAAATGCCATGTACGCGTCGCAACGAAATGCCATAGCCCTCCCGTGAGTCGTGACTTAGCGTAAAAATGGCGTTAGATCTAGTTTGTTAGCAAATCATAGTGGAACGTGGCGCTGTGCTGAGACGCAGACTTCCGCATTTTCCAGGCATCCCGCAGTCGGTGAACAGAGACAGGACGCCTCGCAAAACGTAGCAGGAATGAGAGGGGGAGTTTGGAGGCTGCTTATATTGTGCGTTGAGTTTTTCATTTTGTCGTACTGTACGTGCCTTGAGGCGTGTTCAGTTCTGTGACATAGTGAAGGCATTTGGATTGTCCGTGCAGAATCTCGTCGCGTCACTACTCCGCTGCAGGAGCAGTGTAGATACGCTGCAGAAAGCAGGTGGTCTGAAGGAGTCGCACGGCATAATATCTCTGCTCATGTAACGCTTCGGGCTCTTACAAGCCCTTGCTCTCGAGATACTGCTGCACCATCTCGACAAGCTCTGCTTTCTTCCCAGTCGCATTCTGCCCTCTTGCACCGAGATATGCCTTCAGCACTGCAACAGTCGTCTTGGTGATCTGCCCCTGATCGTTGAGCAGCGCCATCTGCTGATCCGTCAAGCCATCACCACTGATCTCAGTCTTGACTTTCGGCTCAGCCTTGACTTTTTTCGCCGGCTTGTCTCCGTCTTCTGGCTCAGCAGTCCTTCTCTTGGCCGCAGACTTTCCACGGACAGCTAGCGAATTCCGCGACAGTTCCGTGAAGGTCTCTTCAAATGTCCTGCCGTAGTCTTCGATGTATTCGCCGCAGCGCTTGTCGATCTGTTTGTAGCGCGGGACCGTCCTATCGACGGGTTGTGTGGGGATGTCTTCGTCGAGCGCCATGGCTTGAAGGATGCGGTAGAACCACTGCAGGTCGGGGTTGGGGTACTTGCTCGGATCGTACACGCCACCCGGTAGCTGCAACTGCTCCATAATGATACGCATCTTGTCTGTGAGAGCATCAGTAGTCCTGAGCGGCGATTCTGGCTGCTCGGGGAACTGGCGTATGTCGTCCGCGTAGGGCAGTGGGACGAGCCATAGGCCAGGAGGCATCATCTGTTCGCCATCCTCATCAGTCCTCTCCTCTGAGGGTAGCAGTGCGCAAAGAGTTGGTGCCGCATTCCGGCGTGCTATGAACCAGACGAGACCCATCATCTTTGACTTGACGAGCTTCTGCTGCAGTGCTGAGAAGACACGCGTTGACCCGATGAAGTCTGCTTCGGACGGATATATGAATGTGGCTTTGTTGGTGTTCGCCCAGATTGGGACGCAAGAGATGGGCTTGAAGCCAATGATGCGAATGACTGGATCGCCAAAGCACTGCCGTATCTGTGTGATCTCATCTGGTGTGAATGTGATGGCGTCTCCGCCGAATTTGTATGCCTTCCGTAGCTCAGTCTTCTCTACCACTCGCGCTGTATCGTCAGCCATGTGTGATGTTGATTGCTGGACGATCTGTGTTTTCTCTCCTCCGACCCAAACGTAGCAGGACTTGGCATGCTCTTGTCGTTTGAGTAAGAGGTACCCTTTCACACTGATCTTAAGGCCAGGACCAAGTTCTAGCGGCAACGAGAAGAGCGCTCGACGTGCGGCAGCCTTCGAGTTGATCGACGACAGCAGTTGTCTCAGCAATGAGATACCTTCGCCGCTCTTGGCGACTTTAGTGGTTGATGAGATAGCGACTGGTGCATCGGGGTCTGATGGTGAGGTGGGGTAGACAAGGTCGTCGTAGAATCGCGTCCGGTCGAAGCTGTGGTCGTGGCGGGAGATTGGGAACAAGTCTATCGTACAGCCTAAGTCGTACAGGTCGCGGGCGCGCGTCACAGCAGCATCTTTACCCTGTTTAACTTTGACTGGGTAGTCGTTATCTGTGACCAGGAAGAGACGTCTCGAGGAGAAGTTCGGTGCCTTTGTTGTGAATATTTGATTCGCGCAGAACAGGACGGTGGCTATGCTTGCCCCATCCTCGTTTGGCTTCAAGAGCTTCTGTGCCTCTTCCTCGTCTTCGACTAAATCTCTTAACCTCTTGACATCCTGTGCTGATGGAACGTCGAGGTCTGATAACAGATAGCAATTCTGGAATGTGCTGTCGCCGTCTTTGAGGTCAGTCCTCTCCGTGCCGAACAGTAGTATGCCCATCATATCCGTTGGGTTTGAGATGATGCGCTGCTGCATCAGCTGATACGCGCACTTTAGTGCAGCTGCTGTTGGTGAATCGCGGTCTGCTTTTCTGTCGTCTGATGCTGGTGGGCTCTCCAGCATAGTGGGACTGACATCAATGGCAAATAGCACAGCGTCTTTGATCGACTTGTAGCTCTGTGGAGGGTCAGCATTTATCCTCTCATCGGCAAGAGCGTTTTCATACCGTCTCATCAAGCTCCTCTTCCTCTTCCTCCTCTTCGCCTAGCTTGCGATCCTGCGCGTCGGCCATGATCGGCTATGCTCGTATTGTTCAGCGTAGTGTATAGAGTGTGCTGTTTGTTTGCTTGACCACAGGTAAGACCTCGCTGGCTTTCAATTGCGACGACTTTCGTATCGTTATGACAACATGTCAAAGACCGTCAAGTAATATCAAGCTGCCTTGCACTAGTCGAGGCAGCAGTGCGGGCGACGCGTCGAGCACGCGCGCTGTCACGAGGATAGAGCTAGCGTAGGTCGGCTGCAACCACTGGCAGCTAAACCCCGTTAGGTTCGATCCGCGAGCTCGATCGTCATCATTGATACAAACGGGCCTTCATTGGCCAGAGCTTTCAGTCTTGCGTGCATTTGAACAATATCGGCTGTCGGGCCACGCTGCTCTCTTCATAAACTGGCTCGACCAAGGTCTCTTCTCTCTCCTTCACACAAGATCCAATGGCTCTGCGCACACCTTTGACGCGCGCCGTGAGGCGTGCTACCTCGACAGCGACCGCCACGCCCGCGCTTTCGGCATCCAGCGCGCAATGGAGGAGAGGAAATGCGACAGTTGCCCCCGTCACGCAGAGCACCGGCCCGAAGAAGGGCACCGCCATGGTCTTCATGAACATGGGTGGGCCGTCGACAACAGACGAGGTTGGCAGCTTCTTGAGCATGCTCTTCGTAAGCTGGACCAGACGTCACCACTAGACTAAAGAACTGACGCTTGCAGGCTGATGCTGATCTCATTCCTCTCGGCCGCCTCCAGAACTACATTGGACCGCTCATTGCGCGACGACGAACACCGAAGATTCAGAAGCAGTATGCTGAGATTGGCGGAGGGTCGCCCATCCGGAAGTGGTCGGAACACCAAGCAGCAGAGATGTGCAAGCTTCTCGACCAGACCTCGCCCGAGACGGCCCCTCACAAGCCCTATGTCGCCTTCCGCTACGCAAACCCCTTGACAGAGGACACGTACAAGCAGCTGCTGGCCGATGGCTTTGGAGGCGGTAACGGAGGCCGAGCTGTTGCATTCACACAGTACCCTCAGTACTCGTGCTCCACCACGGGTTCATCGTTGAACGAGCTCTGGAAATGGAGGACCAGACTGGAAGGCAAGAGGGGCTCGGGAGAGGTCGAGCCCAAGGGAGCCATCAACTGGAGTGTCATTGACCGCTGGCCGGCGCACTCGGGTCTGGTTGAGGCCTTTGCAGAGCTGATTGAGCAGAAGCTGGCCACATATCCAGCGGAGCGAAGGGACAATGTCATCTTGCTCTTCTCGGCGCACAGTCTGCCCATGTCGGTGGTCAACCGCGGCGACACGTACCCTGCTGAAGTTGCAGCTACCGTGTACGCGGTCATGCAGCGCCTGGGCATGAAGTACAAGTACCGTCTGGTATGGCAGTCGCAGGTCGGCCCGCAGCCATGGCTCGGTGCGCAGACGTCGGACACGGTCAAGAACCTGATGAAGAAGGGTCAGACGGACATGCTGTTGATCCCCATCGCATTCACCAGCGACCACATCGAGACGCTGTACGAATTGGACAAGGAAGTGATTGGCGAGGACGCCGAGGGACACGAGGGCGTCAAGCGCGTTGACAGCTTGAACGGCAGCCCCACCTTCATCAAGGCCCTGGCGGACCTTGCCGCAGCACACTTGAAGAGCGGCGAAGCGTGCAGTCCCCAGATGATACTGAGATGTCCGGGCTGCACGAGCGAGAGGTGTCTGGCGCAGAAGGAGTTCTTTGCCCGGCAGTCTGGGCAGGACAAGGAAGAGGCCGCCGCGGCGTAGGCCGGGAAAACACGGAATGCGGAAATGTATGATAGTGCAGGGTCCTCGCAAAACAATACGTGGATAATTTCTGGCTCTGCTGCGCACGAATTGGCTTCACACAACGACGTGTGCTTGCAATGGCCTGCTAGTTGTATCTGGTGCTCGGAGTCGGAGGGCTCTCGCCACGAACGGAGGAGCTAGCTGAGCTCTTCACGTCTCGGCGATGCAGCTTGCAGCGTGGCAGGCAACGGCTCTGCAGACTCTCTCGTGGTTGAAACTGTACTGATAAGAGACATGTCGAGCACCACAATGACGATTATTTATTCCACGTCGAGGCTCTGCAGGCCGACGACGTTGGAGCTGACTGGTACGATTAAGATAAATGGTTATTACTTCGTAGGGCGACACTCTGGGCAGCTTGTTGGGTGGGTCTGCTGCAGACAGTCCTAGCGCGACCTCAACCTTTTTGCGTAGGACAGCGAGCCAGCACCTCCGACTCCCACCTCCGCCGTCACCCCGTCGCCCCGTCACACCCGCCCGTCCCTCCCCTCGCCGGCGCCAACATGCTTTCCAGGTCCATCAGGCGGACCATTGCCTCGCCGCTGCGCCAGCGCTTCGTCGCTCCCGCCGCGCGCCCGGCCTTCAGCCGATTCGTGACGACGGATGCCGCCTCGTCGCACGCCGACCGCGACCAGGTGCCCGAGGTGAGCGAGACCCGGCGGGCTCTATGGGCGCTGCAGCCGTGGACGATGCAGAGCAATGGCTGACGCGCGCAGGCCGATGACCAGCCCTTCGAGGTCCGCCTCTCGGACGAGGCCTTTGAGACATACGAGCTCGACCCGCCGCCGTACACGCTCGAGACGACCAAGAAGGAGCTGAAGCAGATGTACTACGACATGGTCGCGGTCCGGTACGATTTCTCCGCCTGCGCACGGCGCCCCCCCAAGCCGCGCATAGACCCGCTGACTCTGCCCGCAGCCGCATGGAGATGGCCGCCGACAGGCTGTACAAGGAGAAGAAGATCCGCGGCTTCTGCCACCTCTCGACCGGCCAGGAGGCCGTCGCGGTCGGCATCGAGCACGCCATCGAGCGCGCCGACCACCTCATCACCGCCTACCGCTGCCACGGCTTCGCCATGATGCGCGGCGGCACCGTCAAGTCCATCATCGGCGAGCTGCTCGGCCGCCGCGAGGGCATCGCCTACGGAAAGGGCGGCTCCATGCACATGTTCTCGCCCGGCTTCTACGGCGGTAACGGCATCGTCGGCGCCCAGGTGCCCGTCGGCGCCGGCATCGCCTTTGCCCAGCAGTACGAGGGCAAGAAGCAGGTCACCCTCGCCCTCTACGGCGACGGCGCGTCCAACCAGGGCCAGGTGTTCGAGGCCTACAACATGGCCAGCCTGTGGAAGCTGCCCATCATCTTCGGCTGCGAGAACAACAAGTACGGCATGGGCACCGCCGCCAACCGCTCGTCGGCCATTACCGACTACTACAAGCGCGGCCAGTACATCCCCGGCCTGAAGATCAACGGCATGGACGTCCTCGCCGTCAAGGCCGCCGTCAAGTACGGCAAGGAGTACTGCGCCGCCGGCAAGGGCCCCCTCGTCTACGAATACGTCACCTACCGCTACGGAGGACACTCCATGTCCGACCCGGGCACAACCTACCGCGTGAGTCTTGGAATTGCGCGAATAACAAGCTCCAGCTAACAGCGCCCCCAGACACGTGAGGAGATCCAGCGCATGCGCTCGACCCAGGACCCCATCGCCGGCCTCAAGCAGAAGCTGCTCGACTGGGGCGTCACCACCGAGGAGGAGCTCAAGTCGCTCGACAAGCAGGCGCGCTCCGACGTTGACGCCGAGGTCGCCGAGGCCGAGGCCATGCCCGTCCCCGAGCCCACTGGCAAGGTGCTGTTCGAGGACATCTACGTCCGCGGCTCCGAGCCCGAGTTCCTGCGCGGCCGCGTCCCCGAGGAGAACTTCTACTACACCGAGCACGACATGGGCGCCGAGAAGGAGCCCATTGCCCGGACATCGTAGTGTTGGAATGGAAGCCATGAGCGTTGATATAGGCGCCATGAGCGTTGATATAGGCGCCATGAGTGTTGATATAGGCGCCATGAGCGTTGATATAGACGCCATGAGCGTTGATATAGACGCCATGAGCGTTGATATTGACGCCATGAGTGTTGATATAGACGCCATGAATGTTGATATTGACGCCATGAATGTTGATATTGACGCCATGAGTGTTGATATAGACGCCATGAGTGGAGGAGGAGCGTTTGCATAGTGTAATTCTAGGATTCGGCGTGCTCGATGCCCTGTGAGGATAGGCTTTCAATTGCATATCATATCATCTGGGCTTTCAACTACATATCTTCAACGCCGTCCTGTGCTGCAATGTCCTGTGCTGCAATGTCCTGTGCTGCAATGTCCTGTGAGGATGGGCTTTCAATGATACACACACATAGTAACACAGAAGGAATGCAGTCAATGACCTCAATCAGATACCTATGCACTATCCGCATTTTCCCTACGTCGCCAAGTGGCATGTGCGATATGCACTGCATCGTACGTCTAAGCACTGCATCGTACGTCTAAGCACTGCATCGTACGTCTAAGCACTGCGTCGTACGTCTAAGCACTGCGTCGTACGTCAAAGCACTGCGTCGTACGTCAAAGTGGTTCTAGTTGTTCTAGTTGTCGCTCGCGTAGCCCTCGCCGTCCGAGTCGTCCTCGAACCGGGGCTGCTGTGCCTTCCTCGTCGGTCCGGCCTTGGTCGCTGCGATGCCGCCGGACGTCAGGTACAGGAACGTCGTGTCCTTGTAGTTGTCGAGGTGGGTGAAGAAGGTGTTGAATCTAGGCACTGTCAGCGACACTCCAAAGTCTTTTCGCACTCCCGGGAAAGATAGCAACGACGTACTGGTTGCCCTGCGCCTCCTCGCGGAAGATGCGCTGGTAGATCTCGCGCTCCTTGAAGTCGCGGATCGCAGCGTCGTAGCGCGAGAAGTCAATCTTCTCGCGCCCGTGCGCCTGCGCCATCTTCTCGTTGTAGCTGTCGAACACGGGGCGCTCCAGCAGCAGGCCCAGCCCCGGCGCCTTTGGGATGCGGAACACGTGGTTCTCGAAGCTCTGCAGCATCGTGGCCGGATCGCTACCGCATCGCACCGTCAGCGTAGCCATGCTGACCATCTTGCGGATCTGGTGCATCATGAACGACTGCCCGTGCACCTTGAGCGAGAGCCACTCGGTGTCGTTGATGATGATGGGCTTGGCGTCCATTTTGAAGCTCTTGATGTACCGCTTCGCGCTGCTGTCGGTGAACTTCTTCTGGATCGTGTAGTTGTGGTAGCGACGCGTGCCGACGTAGTTGTCCAGCGCATTTTGCACGCGCGCCTGTCGCTCGGGACTGATGCGGTACGCGCGTTTGGCGTCCATGATGGCTTTCTTGAGCGCTTTGACGGCTTCTTCGAGCGCGGGCTTGTTCACGACGCCGGAAGGAAGTGGGATTGAGCCGTCCGTCTGGTCGTCGAAGGTCGTTGTGGGGTGCTGGGCTTCGAGCTGTTCGACTGCCGCTCTGGTCTCGTCGACTGCCGCTCTGGTCCCGTCGACTGCCGCTCTGGTCCCGTCGACCTGCACGGCTTCGCCTGCGTCTGGCTGGACGGTCTCTGCGGTGGCGTTTCTGGCGGCTTTGGCGTCCGTCTCGTCCTTCAAGGCTTCGTCGATGGAGGCTTCAATGACGGGGTCCTGGTCCTCGGGCGCATCGGTCGAATCGGCCATGTACAGAGCCTCCTCGACGAGCGGGCGTATCGAGTCGTCAAGTGTCTCAAGGATGGGCTTGATCGACTTCTCCTCCGTCTCGGACCAAAACTCTGCCACCTCGGCCTGCCGCTTGTTGTACCCGTCGAGATCGCCCGCCTTCTCCGCCTCCTCGACCAGCTTCTTGCCCATGTAGCTCGAGGGGTGCGGCGGCAGGAACGAGTGCGTGGGGATGAGGTACTCGTACCAGCGCGAGTCGCACGCCTGGTAGCAGCTGAAGGATCCAGTCGTCCGCTGGATGCCCCAGACGCGAATCTGCTCGGACAGGTGGGCGTTGATCTTGTCCACAATGTCGTCGTCCTCGATGATCAGCTTCAGGGAGATGACATTGCCGGCCGCGTGCACGCCCTTGTCGGTGCGGGCGCAGCGCACGAGCGCCGACTTCTTGGGGTCGTCGGCGTTCGCTTTCGATATGGCGCCGGCGGCGACAAAGGCCTTGAAGAGGTCGCCCTCGATCGTCTTCTGCTTGTTGTCGATCTGCATGCCCTTGTAGCCGGTGCCCGAGTAGCCGACCATGACGGCGACCTTGCGCTTCGGCCGGCGCTCCTCGGCAGCGACCTCTTCGGCGGAAAACGCGGCGGGGAGCGCGGGCTTCTCGTTCTCGCCCTTCTCCTGGGCCTCCTTGTTGCGCGCCTGCTGTTCTGCGTTGCGCCCGCGCCTATCTAGTTGATCGGTGCTTGCTTAGTTAGAGTGGCGTGCGAGGCGTACGCGGTCCAGCTTACGCGTGCTCGTTACGGCCCATATTTCTCTTCTTATTCGCACGGCTGCCGTGCTGCATGCTGCCGCCACGGCCCCGTCTGCGGTCGCCGCCGTTGTCCCACTTGCGCTTGCCGTCGCGGTTCGACGAGCCATTTTCAGCCATTGTGGGGGTGGGGGGCCGCGTGCGAGTCGCCTGCTGGTGGAGAGGAAGAGCATAAGAGAAGCGAAGCTGGCTGCAGGATACTTCGTACTGTGGGGGAGCTCTGCCGCGACCGCGGAATTTCACAGCTTTCGCGAGCTAATTAGCGCGAGGCAGGTACGCGCCTCACGGCCCGCGCGACGCCACACAGAGGACAGCGGCGGCCGCTCTCTCCTGCACCACCGCACTGTCACGTCAACCCGCTCGCGGACAGCCGTGATTCAGCGGACAGCCGTGATCCAGCGGACAAGGGCCCAGCAGCGCTCTGGATCGTAGTCAAAGGCCCGCCTGCGCCACACCAAGCAGCGATCGAGCCTGGCGCATGCAGGCAAAAGACGTCGCCGACTTCTCGTGCTGAGAAGACCGTATCGCTGTCCGCAACCGCGCAATCGCACGCCCTCGTTCTGCCCGCTGCCGTCATGGCCAAGGATCCTCTGGACACGGCGAGGCAGCTCGTCAAGATAGTTGTGCGCATGTTCTACGAGACGGAGCACATTGTCCTCATGGACGCCCTCTGCTACCACGGCGCCCTGCACGTGTCCGACATGGTCCAGATCCTCGACGCCGGCAAGAACTCGAAATATGTCGGTAAGCTGATCGGCAGGCTGAAGGAAGCTGGCTTGTGCACAACGTATGTCGAGTCTGGAGAGGTAAAGTCGAGCGCGCAGTGCTGACAGACGCAGCTACACCGAGCAGGTCAAGCGTGACGGTGCGACGAAGCTCTCCAATCGCGAGTGGTACTACATCGACTACCGGCGTGCCATCGACTCGACCAAGTACCGCATCCACAAGATGCACGAGCGCATCAACAAGGACGCCAAGCCTACAACAGAGAAGGCCGAGCTGTCATGCAAGCGCTGCAAGTCGCAGTACACCATGATGGACGTGCTGGACAACCCCGACCCGCAGGCTCGTGCATCGGGCTTCTTGTGCATGAAATGCAACTTTCCTCTGGACGAGATTGACGAGGGAAACCAGCATGACGCCGACGACACTCCGGCCAGGTTCAACAAGCAGTTCAAGCCGCTGCTGGACATGATGAAGGTCATTGACGAGCTGAAGATACCGCTGATTGAAGGCAAGGACGCCGTTGACACCAAGATCGATCTGCCCCGCAACAAGCTCATCGATCCGGGCACAAAACTGGAGGTTGTCGATACAAATTACACCAGACCCACCGCCGTCAAGGGTCTTGCCGCAGAACGCGAGAAGATCAACGTCCAGATCGCATCGACTGCTGAGGAGAACGAGAAGCAGGCAGCTGCAGACCGAGCCCGCCAGGAGAAGATTGCAGCACAGAACCAGCTGCCGTCATGGCATACTGAGTCCACCGTCATCAAGGATGCTGGCGGAGCGGCTGCGGGTATGAAGCGAGAGAGCAACGGCACAGGCGGTCCAACTATCAAAACCGAACACGCCGATGGCATCACCACCACGCAGAACCTAGACGACGTCTTTGCTCAGATCGAGGCCGAGCGCCGCAAGAAGGAGGAGGAGGAGGAAGAAGAAGAGGACGACGAAGACGAAGACGACGACGAGTTCGAAGACGTGGCTGTTGGCACTCCGGGTGAGCTCCCTGATGCCAAGCGGGCCAAGGTTGAGTCGTCCGCCGCACCGACGCCGTCCAATGTTGCGACTCCTGCCTCGGGCAACGGTGCCGAGGAGAGCGAGGAAGATGAGTTTGAGGATGTATGATTATCTATGCATAGCGTTGGCGTCATGGTTTGAGGTGATGTAGAGGATCGTTGCATCGTGTGTTTCGGCGTTGGATATGGAAAATACTGGGCAGAGAATATTTAAAAATTGGGAGCTCGGTCAGTCTCGTCGACTGTGAATCGAATCTGATACATCTCTGTAATAATGAATCTGTGGGAAGAGGAAGTGAACTCCACGGTCTACGCACAAGCCACACCATCCATACCTAACTTCGTAGTGACAGCTAGCGAACATCCCACCTCCCCCCGCGTGCTGCACCTCGACCTCCGCATCCGCCCCGCCAGCGCCACTGTACACTCGCAGAACACCCAATCGCGTCGCCGATGGATGCCAGATAATCGAAAATAATACCATGGCAAAATCACTATCAGCGCTGCTGGCGCAAGCCTCCATCGAGGATCACGACGAGACGCTCCGGGCCGCCAACGCCGAGATCAAGAAGAACAAAAACGACGTAGACGCTCAGCATGCCAAGGCGATCGCACTGCTGCATCTGGACGACTTCGAGGGCGCACTCAAGGTGTTCGAGGACGTGAAGGAGCTGCAGCAGAAGGCGCAATTCGAATATGCGTACACACTGTACAAGACTGGCGACGCGGCGAAGGCGGTGCAGGTCGCGCAGGGATCAGGCGCAAAGTCTGACCGCAAGACACAGCACATTCTCGCCCAGGCTGTACGTGTTTGAGGCAACTGCAGGAGCCGCAGAGCTAATGCGCGCAGGCATACCGGTCAGAGAACTTCGCACAGGCAGCGAAGACGTACAAGGAACTCGCGAACCCCCCCGTCGAGCACGAGGCCTTTGACATCAACATCAACTCGGGCGCTGTAGACGCCCAGTTGGAGTGGACAGGGCAGGGCGAGCTGGCGCAGAAGAAGAAGCCGACCAGGGAAGACCTCGAGGCGTTCGAGACAGCGTTCAACGCCGCCTGTGGGAGCATATCGCGCGGCGAGCTGGTGCAGGGACAAGTGTGCCTCAGGCGCGCCAAGGACCTCTGCAATGCCGTCGAGGACTTCACCGAGGAGGAGAGGAAGGCGGAGATTCTGCCCATCACCGTGCAGCAGGTCTACGTGCTGACGCAGATGGGCAAGATCGACGAGGCCGAGCAGCTGGCGACAACGATCCCCTTCGCCGAGTGAGCAAAGACCACTCAAGCCTTCAGCTCAAGCTAAAAACCTGCAGCATCAAGGACCTTTCCGTCCGCTACATCGCCCAAGTCAACAGCATCGCTGCATCAAAGGAACACTCGAACCCGTACCTGTCACACCGTCTCTTCCACTCGTCGCCAAAGCCACCCGTCACAAACAAGCACTTTTCGTTCCAGGAAAACCTCTTGCAACAAGATGAGTACGTTGTGTCGCTCCTCTCGCAGAAGACCGCCGGCGTTGCATCGACAACCGAGAAGGTCATCCGGGCATCGCCGTCTCCTTCCTTGTCGCCGGCCGTTAACATGGCTGGCGTCATCAATGCAGCGGCCCACACACGAAATGCCGAGACCGACAAGGCAGCGCTGAAGGAGATTGTGCCTCTGCTGGAAAAAAGGCCTAACGATGTCGGCCTCGTTCTTACAATCGCACACCTCTACATCATCACCAACAACTACGCCGCAGCCACGCACCTTCTGGAGTCGTTCTTCAAGCGCCTTGAGCAGAGCGGCTCTGCATCCGACCTCGACGTGCGGTTCGCCCCAGGCCTGATCGCCTCGCTCGTCTCGCTCTACACACAGCAAGGGCGCCCGGGCGCAGCGAAATCCGAGCTCGCAAAAGCCGCAGAATACTGGAGAACACCGCACAAATCCAAAACAGAAGCGCCCTCCAAGTCCCTCATGGTTGCCGCCGGCACAGCGCTCCTCGACACGCACAACCCCTCCAACGCCAAAGCAGCCGGTGCCATCTTCCAGAGCCTCTACGAGCAAGACGATGAAGACCGCGCCGCCATCGCCGGCCTCGTCGCCGCACAGAGCATCTACGACCCGTCTGGCATCCCCGCCGACCTCCTCGCCTACCTCCCCGAAGCCAACCGCCTCGTCGCCGACATCGACGCCGCAGCGCTCGAAGCCGGCGGCGTACCTACCACGACTACCCTCGTCTCCGAGGCGCGCAAGCGCAGCATTGCACCGACGAAAGCTGTCGCGCCGAGGAGCAAGCGGTTACGCAAGGTCCGCGTCCCGAAGGACTTCGACCCGAACAAGAAGATCGATGCGGAGAGGTGGCTGCCGATGCGCGATCGCACGTACTACAGGCCCAAGGGCAGGAAGGGGAAGAAGCGGGCCGAGGGCCTGACGCAGGGTGGGGCGGTCGCCGAGGAGAAGAAGGAGGTCAAGAAGGAGGCGCCCAAGAAGCAGCTGAAGAAGGGTAAGGGGAAGAAATAGAGAAGAGGAGGAGAGGAGCGGATGTGCGCTTTGTTATCGTAAAGAAAGGAATGTGGATGCACTACAGCAGCCAATAAAGAGGTCAGAAGTTATGATACATGGTGTCGACGTCCCCAACATGGAGAAATGGGGACCGAGCAAATATCAGGTCACCGATTGGACTCACACCCAACACTCGGGAGTGAGCACATCTTTTGGCCGATTCTACCCAGTGACAATACGCTTTGCAGCCTAGTACGCATCGACCAGTTCCGCAAGTCCATTACTCCCCACGATTCGCTCAATCACCTGGGCGCTGACCGCACGTAAAAGGCAGCGGCATCCATCTGTGCATATTCGACAAGGGACGTAAAGTCAGACCGGGCAGAAAGGAAGGCCTGGACGCTGGGCATGTCGTCCTGTGCGGATCGCGCACGAGTCCAGACAGAAGGCTCGAATGATTGAGGAACTGTCGTTTCATGCACTTACAGGTCACTATCGTTCCATGCACTTACAGGTCTGGATAGGCGCTCGTCTCTCACCTTGCGATCGTCGCGCCTCGAAGCAAAAGCGCCGATGACGTAGTAGCCGAATGTAGGGCTGCTGATGGAGGGCGGAGGCTGGCAGTCTTGGACTTCGACATGACTGTCGACAGGAACGCTCCGCGGACCATCATCCTCTGCTTCTCCAAATTGATCTGCGGAACTGACAGACTCTTGTCGAGACGTGCTAGCACGGGGCCACGGACGCTGTTGGACCGGCGGCTCCGGAGATAGTATACGTGCTGGAAGCCGTGGATGCGTTGTTGGCGGGTAGCATCAGGCCCTTATCCTCCACTTCATGATCGGAGAACGTCTCGTCGGCGTCTATCTATTTGGATGCTTCGGCGAGGCTATTTGCCTTCGGAAGGAGAAGGTGATCCTGCCCGCAGAGGGTTCTTCATGGGTGATCATTACAGGCTCTGCGATCGGATGTGCACAACGACTGGTCGTGGCCAGTGGTGGTGCACAACGAAGCATATGAATGTTTCTCTCTGCGGCGGAGCTTTGACGCGTATGCGTAGCACGTGGTGAGGAGTTCGTGAAGCGTGTGGTGAAGGGTCCGTGAATCGCGTGGTGAGTGCCCTAGCTAGGGCAACACAAACAAGGCAATCTATGGATACTCTTTGAGTTACTAGACGAGTCGTTGGTCCAGCGTTGTCCGCGGACATAGTAATAAGGAGTCTGACTATAGGGTTCCGACTCTGCGAAGGTTGTCCACAGGCAAGAAGATCTCCAATCGCTATGGGAACCTTAACAGACAGGGATTTCGACAGATAGGCCTTTAGAAGATAGAGAGCATTTATACTATTCGGAGACGAAATATGTTCAGGTTGTGCAAGAAGGACACATTTCCCCGGCCTGTGGAGCTGACCGGCCTGTTAGCATGTACGCATAATTGCACAAGTTGGAGACGTACTTTAAACATATTTGCTCGCAGCCTACTGCTTCTGGTATCTCTTACCAAATTGGCTCAATACATCGTACGAGCTCTAAATTACCCTTCTTTACATCTAGAGCAGATTGCATGGCAAGACAATGTCACACCTTGGGATATCAAAGACTTGTACAAACCTAAAGCAAGAACCTCTATATGCAGATATTGATTACAAGCTTTGAAGGATAGACGTGGTAGGTATGTGTAAGTTTGCTCCCCTGAGAGTTCTAGCATAAGGCAATTGGGGCCTGATGTGGTATCCAGCTGCAGCAGAATCCGAGCCTAGCCCGCCCAACAACATCTACCTATGTGTTGCAGCAGAGCCGAGGAGCTAGAGGCTCATATCCAGTGGGGCGCGCGACACGTAATTCATATGTCCTTTCAATTGAGAATTTGCTATTGTTTGCCCAGCTCCTACAAGAAAGCCTCTCGAGTCTCCAACCTTCAGCAAACCTCGGAGACCCCGCAGGCACCCTACATTCTTCGCGCGCGCCGCATATGTAAACACAGGCGAAGCCTGTACACCGATAAGCCCTTCGGCCGACCCGTACAGGCGTATGACGATCTGTGTCGCGTCTCTGTTGAGTGCCTCGGCTGTGACCCGTGCTGCGTACTGTAACTACATACCCCACACTCCACACTCCATCTTCCACCAAATCCCGACTTCGGGTCGTTACAGCAGCATGGTGGGGCCAGTTTGCGTATCTCCGGGCGGGCGTTCGCTTCGAATAGAGGGGCTAGCAGGGTCGGTGGGCTATTCACCGGATCGCGGCTAACGTCCGAGTCGCTACTGTACTTCGTACATAAGGAGCGATTCACCAGCTCGCATCGAGCCGCGAATCCTCCAGCAGTTCCCTACAATCCTGTCACAATGCCTTCCAAATCGCGTGGATTGAGAACCTCGACAGGCTGGTATGTCGCTTTCGAAGCTGGGTTGCAGCAGTCTCCAGATGATGAGTGAGATCACCTGAGCATCTGGTCGTCTCGCACGTGAATTTTCACGAGAGTATACTATGCTAAACGTATGCAGCTTGGTGTGTCGTAAACGAAGAGTCAAGTGCGATGAGACTCGTCCTCGATGTAAGAATTGTACAAGAGTAGAGCGAGAATGCGAGTACCCACAGAAGCCAGTAACTCCTCAAAGACCTCGAGCCTTGAGCACTCGTACGTTCGACAAAGCCCCAAGCATCGCCAATAACACAAATCTGTCCGAATTCGAGGTGGTATCTCTTAGAATCCCCACACCATCTGGCGGACTGAGCGCTTCTGGTCAAGACACCGCGCAATCCTGGATCCCGTTCAACATCGATCCACAGCAAGTGGCAGGTACCGTGCTGCCGGACGACAGCTTCTTCCTAGACGACAGTCTATTCTCGTTCGGTGACACGCTTACGCCTTCCTTCGGCCCGTAAGCAGTTGACGTTGGCACGTGGATTCAGACACTGAACTCTTCTAGGACTGAGTGGTACGATCTCTTGGCTCAAGATGCTATAGATACCATGCAAGATCGAAACCCCAACAATCACTGGAACTTCGATTACTCGAGCTTGTCACGTAGGCAGTCGCCTCGGCAGTCTGCCGCTCCTGATGTAGGCCCTGGTGAAGGGGATGGCCCAACGACAACAACGCAGGATTTGCCGTCCGAGCCTTGGAATGCGGATTCCAGGATCGAGCTGAAGGGCAACGAGTTGGTATTTTTCGAGCATTACATCAATATCGTCGCGCCTATCTTGGACTTGTTTGATCCATTGAACCACTTCGCGAGCATGGTGCCGCATCTCGCATTGCGTAACGTTGGTTTACTGAAGTCGATCTTGGCTGTTGGTGCCAGACACCTCACCCTCGGCCAGGCCACTAAGCCCATAAAAGCCATGCTACACATCCCGCCAGGTACACCGGCGTCCGTGCACAGTCTCTCGCCAAACGCTGCAAAGTTTGCAGAGCAATACTACTTTGAGACCTTGCAGTATTTGTCACAGAACCTCCTCTATCAGACATACACGGGCTCGCGTGAGATTTTGGTCACTGCCATCATGATCTCAACGTACGAGATGTTTGGGACCGCAGAGAACCCTGACCACTCTGCATGGGACCGTCACCTGAGGTGAGCTCTCCGCTTGCATCATCACAAGGTCTCAGCTGACAACAGTAAGGGGAGCGTTTTGGATACAACGCAACTCGAATACTAGCGGTGAATCTAACGACAGCCTCAGACGCGCTGTCTGGTTCTCATGGTTGCGTCAAGACATCTGGGCTGCGTTTCGGACAGGCCGCCCAGCTTTGACCATACATCAGCCGACGAAAGCGATGTCTGACCTGGCGACGGAGGAGCTCACTACACGCATCATCTACATCACAGCCAAATGCGTATGTGTAATCTGATCAACATGAGAAGGCACAGCTGACGCATACTAGGTACAATTTGCGGCGACTCCCAAAGAACAGAACATCACAGAGTACATCGAAGCTGGTGCAACACTGATGCGAATGTTAGACGCTTGGAAACGACGTCTTCCTCAGTCCTTCGAACCGATCCGTATCGCCGGCTCATTCTCGACTCCACAATCGGATTCCGATGCAACGATGCTTGCGCCAATCTGGATCTACCCTCCGGCACATGCAGCCGCAATACAAATGTACCACTTCTCGCGGATCGTCATGGTCCTTAATCAACCCTCGACAGGTGGCTTGAACGTCTATCAGACACGCTTTAAGATGCTGCGCGAAAGCACCACCATGATATGCGGAATCGCTGCTGCGCCACAGTCGCAGAACCTTCCCAGTGCGTTCGTTGGCTTCCAGGCTGTCTATGCTGGTAAGTGGTGGATTTTGGGTTTTGCTTTAGCTCTCGATCTTACTGACATTATAAAGCTGCCCTGTGTGCGGACAGTCAGGATAAGCAAGTTGAGATTCTAGAAGTATTAGACAAATTGTTGCACATCAGCAAGTTTCCCTCAAGATCAATACTAGACGATCTCGTAAAGGTTTGGAGTGGTGGCAGCTGATCGCTCTTTCCTAGCTCGAAGCGAAAAGCCAGCTACAGCTACAGGAACATCACTCAACTTATAGTACGCTGCTCATCGCACCATCTGCTACCATTACGCCATGAGAGACTCGGGAGCAATTCATGCAATTCGTAAGCTCTAACGTAAGTGCGGGAGAGTTGGAAGTCGCTTCCGGCCGTGGGGTGACTGCTCGCCTCGAGCGCCAATCGCTGGATACATGTCTGCCTTTCTTCGCACCGTGCTCTGATGCCTCGGGCAAGCCGAAGGATACATTGGAGAGCGTGCGCTTCATGGCAGATGTATTTTTATAAGATGTATCGATGACTGTCGCCCAACACAGCGCACTTGTACGGCTCGGGGGTTCTATCATATTTTATTGTCTCTCTACCGCTGTCGCAGCGTACGAGTGTAGTTCGATAGGAACTGGCCATTATACATAACCACTAACGTTAAATGAGTTTCTATTAAGTTAGTTACCTCTTTACTTTTTAATGTGGTGCATGTCTTGACAGCACTATACTCGAGCTTTGAATATCTCTAGACGCAGGATACGATTTTGTGTCGTTCTTCGAGGTACACATCACCCCTTCCGCTAGACACTCACTCCATCCTGCATATTCAGCCCGCGGTCCTCACTAAAGAAAACCCGTCCTGGGAGCATCTCGGGGACCTCAACCGATCTCCTAGGCTTGCCTTCCTTTAGCAAATTAAACTTGTTGGTCTCTTTCTCGCATTTCGTATGACTTGGATGATAACGATAGATTGGACGCAGACGTTGCCCAAGATGAGAGGTTCGGAAGTAGGGCAGTGACACTATGAACCAAACAAGACCAGTGCGGGGTATCATGCCTGGCCTCGAAGGCAACAACTCTGAGTTTTGAAGAACACTGCGCCTAGTGACACTCCCGAAATATGACTGGCTCCAGTACCTCATGTTCAGGCGGTTCGTCTTCCCGTCGAGCTTGACAGCCTGTCCCTGACTCATATCTTCTTGTCTCTTACAAGTATCAATGGCCGCATCTCCGTCTCCGAGTCCCTTACGTGCTAGGTGCATCCTGAAGCTTAGCTTCGCTATTGCTTTCCTAATTCGACCATCTTCCTCGTCCTTGGTCTCGTTGCTGCTTTGTGTCGGTAATACTCCCCTGAAGCACATGCCCCACTTTGCCTTAGCTCTGGCTTTTTGAAGCCTTGCTTCGTCGTTCGAGTTGATTGGGACGACGAGTCGTGGCATCTGCACCCAGAGCCATCGCAGTGTTGATGAGACACTGGAACGATTCGCAATTACGTTGATACTCATCAGCCAGAGACAACTAACCAGGTCTCTTTCGTTCCCTCATCCCGAGTCACGCTCCATGCACTCGATGTGGCAATTCCAAACGAGCTTGATGCACCGTACTGCCATACAAAATCTACAAGATCATATGGATGAAGCGATCCTTGAGTCCGACGCTTCTCTACTCGTATGAAGCAGACTCACCGACCTGTATATTCAAATTGCAACCGGGGAATAGGATCGGCACCATCTAGACTTTACGGCACTCCATCGAGGCTTCACTGTCGACCTACCCGAGCTCTGGCTAAACTCTGTTGCATCGCCCTTTCAATATACCACCACATCAAATTTTAGAGACTGTACTCTTTCATCAAATTCCGCCAGATGATGAATATTCCCTCGTTTGGAATCCCTTAGCCTCGGCAGCTGGACCATGGCACACGAATGGCAGAACGACTAGATACCATCACATGGACCCAACCCCCAATCAGTAGTTGCTTAACGATCTTCCTATGATTGCAGCATTGAAGATGGCGAAGGATGACGAGATAGCCAAGCTCAACTTGCCAGACTTACAAGCATGTGCTGATGGCTGCAGTTCCTGCTTCACACTATGTCATCTTCGCAGGTATCAGCCTGTAACAGTCCGATTTGCAACGTCTCCAGCAATTTGCTATGCACGTCTCTGAACGTTTCGATCACCACTAAGAGCTCACCACAAGATTGGGGCCTAGCAGATATCAGTCCTTCTATCAAGGTCTAGTCCTACCTTGGCCGGAGCCGAGTGACCTAGGATCCAAAGAACACCATCACGAATACTATCGTTGTGAGAGTCACCCGAACGCCAAATACAGGTGGGTCCAATTCACCAACTGCCACGATGAGGATAATGAGGTACTAAGCCAGCTATTGGAAGTGGGCAATGAGAGGGCTGGAAACGTAGCTTGACTATGTATCGCCGAAAGACTGGAATACGACCAATAGAGCTTATTGTGGTCTTCAAATGTCTCTTAATGTTACTGAACATGCGCATAGATTGGCTGGCACTCTTCAGGATCACCCTCGAAGAAGTGTATTCAAAAAAGATATGTTGATTCGTAGATCTCTTCGTAAGGAATGACTCGCTGTCGTAAATGCTCTGCCCATACTATGCAATCTACTATTAAAGCAATAAACATTAATAACCCGATCATCAGGCTTTTTCCTGCGACTTTTACCACCGGGTGTAGCGCTCGTCTAACCTGCGCCTAAAAGCCACAGTTGCTGGTGGGGACCTGGGCGTACTGAGCATCAATGCGTCCGAGCTGCGCAGCCTGGCCGTTGGTGAGCTCGTCCATGGCAGCTTGAGCGAGGTTGAACCCAGTGGCAGTGTGGTCAACAGCCAGAACGTATATGGTCTTGCCGTTGTATGTGACGCCGTAGCAAGTACCGCACTGGGCAGAGTTCCAGCCTTCGACACCTTGGTAGCCACCGATGCGAGGGAAAGAAGGGACGCTGGCCTGAGTGCTCCATCCATATCTGGTGATGAGACCGTTTTTGCCATCTGAGCAAGACAGAGCGGTCAAGGAGCGACTTCCATCATCGTAGCCGGTGTCGTAAGAGACTGCACTTATTAGCATCGTGCTTGAAGCAAGATTTAATCCAGATATACCAGAAATGGCGGATGTGAGGCTGGCAAAGCCAAGAGCAATCGCGGAGATGGAGAGCTTCATTGTGCTTGGGATGAAGATTTGAAGAACTGTAGATTCGGGTGATGAAGGATTGGTAGTGGAGTCGAGGGAGCTGATGCTGCAGTGTTGTTGAAGCCGATGATAGTTTCTACAGTCTGCGATCACGGCCGTCTTTATACTCACTTGCTCCGCTTACCGTACACAGCTTCATTCCATACTTCAGTCATGGCAACAGTCGTACACGGCAACGATGGGCAGGAAACGAGGGAGATCCATGGCTTGGCAGACAATGCTGTGAGGCTAGCCACAAGAATCAGCGCAGGTGACTGTGTGCAGGCGGTGCTCGACAGGCAAAACGAGTAGATGAGCTCATAGCGTCGGTAAATACGAGAAAGGTTGTGGAGGCGGGTGTATTTTGGGAGGGTGACACTGGGTCCGCTTCGCTGGGAGTGCACAAGCGAGAGAAATATCCGAGGCTAAATGGCTAGCTGTTGGCGGGTTACATCCGAATCGTCCGCATCAAGTAATGTTGAACAACGGCCAATAAGTATCGCAGTGTGTCTCTCGCAGATACGGGTCAGGTTATCCTAGGGTTGAGTCGTGAATTCCATTGTTGGGAGGGGAAAAGCGCATGGTGGACCCTGCCGGCTGTGGCGGAAGTAGCGTCCACGTCAGGATCGATGGAGTTTGAACGCACGGTGCTTGCAACGTTGTACCGTCAAGGGCAGTGCGTGAGCTAAAAGCAAAGATTAGCACCCTCGTAAAAGAGACCAAGGGCCCGATGGATGCGCTTTACGTGCGGTGTAGCAATCAGCTACACCGCTCGAATCAGTCCCACCGCGAATTCCTCTCAATCGTATGTTGATCTAAGCGTTCGGTTGATGCCGACTAGCGAACCCCTGCGTGTCCATAGATAGTAGGTACTGAGATGGTATCGCTGACAGTGGGTCGCCAAAATCATTGCGAATCGCGAGGCCGGTGATGAGCTGAAGAGGCCAGTATGACTGTACCGGTAGCGCTGCTGAGTACTCTTTAGATACGGACACTAGAAACACCGCCAAAGATAGGCCGGCGCCTTGTCAACGAATCGACCCTTCAAATGTAATGGCGGCAAGTGGCCGTTGTTACCAGTGGTTGAGCTGTCAACAGGAAGGTGACAAAGAACGACTTGGTTGGGCGACGAGGCTTGGGTTTCATGCGCTAAACTCGAAAGGACCGCGCTAGTAAAGACATCACACACTTCGCGTCTCCAGCGACAGCTGTCGTTCAGTTTCATCCCTCTCGCAGAAACACAACAAACCTCAGACTTACACTGTACGCGCCGAGATGTCCTCAGCCACACTACAGGCTCGTATTCAGGCTGAAGCTGCCCAGAGACATGTGGCTACATCCGGGCGCTTGCCGCGGCGATGACCAATAGCATCGCTTCGTTGCAAACCAAGTCGTTTTTGAAAACGGATTTCCAGGTATCAAGGCATCGCTTGTTCATGCCTTCGCGACGCGTGAAGTCTCGAAGCTGTTCCGCCATGGTCTGCTCAGGCCGACATTGCCATCTTGGTGCCACCCAGCCCGGCGGCAACGCGCCTCTTATACGATATAAAACTACCTCAAATGCTCTCAAATGCAGAATCAACTCATCAGGCAGGCCCAATCTTTTCCGTTTCAACCACACTCTCTACCATTACCCAAACTAGCTAGACTCTTTTCTTCACAACCCAATCATAATGCACTTCTCAACACTCTTCGCCGCTACCGCCCTCGCTGGCTCCGCTCTTGCAGCAGACCACAAGGTCGTTGTTGGAACAAAGACTGGCGACCTGGTCTTCAAGCCAGACAACATCACCGCCGCCGAGGGAGATACCGTCACTTTCAGTTTCTGGCCTAAGAACCATTCCATCGCTCAGGCCGCCTTCAACTCGCCTTGCCAGCCTATGAACAAGGGATTCTGGTCCGGCTTTGTCCCTACCTCAGACACAAGCAAAGTTGCCAACTGGACATTTACATATGAGGTCACTAATGCCTCTACTCCCATCTGGTTTTACTGCACACAAGGCAAGCACTGCCAGAGTGGCATGGTCGGTGTGATCAACCCACCGTAAGTTTCTACCTCTATCCAACCCTTTCTCATTCTAATCACTTGCAGTGCTACTGGTGTGAAGACTCTGGCTGCCTTCAAGAATGCCTCTGCGGAGGTCGACAACAATGTATCGCCCACCGTCAAGGCCGGCACTGGTGGCAACCTCACTGAGAGCTCTGCATCTTCGACATCATCTTCCAGCACACCTACATCCTCCTCTGGCGCCGCTTCGCACATGTCCGGCTCCGTCGCTTTTGCTGGACTTGCTGGTGCTTTCGCCTACCTCCTTATGTAAATGCTAGTACCGAGTCGAGATTGACGATGATACCCTAAAGAGAAGAGCGGTGCTCGCTGAGATGATCTAGAGCGGAGATGAAGAGTTTGAAAACAGGACGAACAAGATAAAGGACATCCAGCGTTTGGCATGAGAGATTGTAACCAATGCTTCTGTAGTATCGGGTGGTTGCAGTACATACTTATGAATATATAATGACTGAATCGCATATTTCCACTACATCTGACTAATCACAAAGTAAAGTGAGGACGACCTTTGGAATCTCCAACATTCTGCTAAGTGCATCAATTGGGCAGTCCATCTGCCCCGCTCTTTTGAATCTAGTAAGTCAAGATCATATTCGTGTTCTGTTCACCGCTCACAAGTAGGAAGACGTTATGTATCTTGCACCCCCCTGCCAAACCAGATTGTGCAACCTTACCTGCGCTACTACGAGCAGTCCCAAGTCCATCAACTCTCTTCAACACGTTGAATAAATGAGTGTTCAGGAGTTGCGCCGTTTCGTCAGCAGCATGGCACCACTGCTTAACTTGGTAGTCGGGCCTTATCGCATCATCAGCAGTGAAGCCGAAAGTTATACTATCCTTGACTGCAGTCCATGACCAGTGCTTCATCTGTTCGCTGGTGGTGAGCCGATAATGGAAGGGAAGCAGCGTGTGAGACCGCAGTTGGCAGTAGCATTCTGGTCGGTCCTGTGCCATAAATAAGCGATGTCAACCGTCTTTAATGTGATAGACGGGTCAGCTATGGATGATGCGTGCGCGTCTGAACAGCGTGTCGCACTGAACTGCCACACGCGGCGACATGGAACATCTTCATGATCGTTTATTGTTTGTTGTTTGTCCTGAAGATGCTATGGTCGCAGAAGCCTCGAACTGAGATGGGAAAACGATTGGCAAGGTGCACATCCTACCGCCTACAGACAAGTGTCGAATAACGCAATGTTCGACAAAAGTCGACGCCCAGCAGTTAATTGCGCTCCGGAGAAATGCAGAGCACGCTCATATTGCAATCTCTTGCGGGAACTCAGTGTACCGACAACAATTCTACTCACTCAACCATTCTGCGAATTTTCCGGTCCAAATTCACCCTGAAGTACAATGACGGAGGTTTTCGGCATGTGGAGGCTCAAATGCCAGGGCACAGGCATGTGGCTCTGTTGGTGCTGTGTCGCGCGGCCGCCGGGCGAGTTCGGGTGTTGTCGGCTTGTGCAACGGACATTGGCTGAGAGGACAGACCACCTCTGCCAGGGAAGCAACTTACCTACTCTGTATAAGGTCAGGGGCGAAGCGGAAAATCCAAGATAATGCGGATAACCATTCGTAGTAGAGAGATGAGAGGAGCGCAGAAAACCACACAAAGAAGTGAAAACGATTTCTGTCGTGTTTGTTATTGAACAAACGATATGTTTCGCTATGCTAAACTGATGTATTTCGTGACTCTGTAGCTTTCTCCTAGACAGACTGTCCTTCACACTGCGCCCTACCCCTGTTCTGATGCGAATCGCATATCTCTTTCCTCCTTCACTTCTCGAGGGATTGGTATCGAGCGTCTTGAAGATTATTGCGACGGTCTTCTCACGCCCTTGCGGTGTGACCTGCAGCATCTTGCGCGCACTGTGGTTTCCCTCTCCCTTCGGTGCGCCGTACTCTTCCATCAGAAGCGGCGCGGTGGTTTCTTCAGCTTTATTCATACACCTTTCTTAATGTAATCATTGGACTTCGTAGATCTGCATGGCCCTCTCAAGATCCTTGATGCTGCTCCTGTCGCCATATGCTGCCTCAAGAGCTGCGTTCCTGTCTTTCTGGCTAGTGGCACGAGCCTCCAGGCCAGCGATAGCACGCTCCATATCTTCGAGGCTGGAACGCTCGCCAAAGAGATTCATGAGCTGCTGGTTCTTTTCCTCCTGAGTGAGCTCGATAGGCACGTGGACGGCGCGATTAGATTCGTTGAGGTCAGAGCCAATGGTGTAACCGATGTGTCGCCTGGCAGCATCCAGAGTGACGGAACGAGGCTTTGGTTCGACGCGAGGCAAGTATACGCTGCTTGGAATGTACATCATGCCCACAGCAGCAACGGCCATCGAGGGAAGATACCATCTGGCAATCTTTCCAAGCTTAGGAACAGCCTTGGAGGCTGCCGCTAGCTCCTCGGCTGCAACATCACCAATAGCGATAGCGTTGCGGGACCTTGTAGATGTGGTGAAGAGCCTCTGGCGGAGAAGTGGTGTGAATCGAGAGAAAGGCATTGTGGTTCAAATGGTCCGATGGATTGCCGATTGAAGTTGTGATCGTTGTGGATGATATCGTTTATATGTTGGATTCAGTTGGACTTTTCTCTTGTCGATGCTTTAGGCTTAAGCCAAGAGCGGTATCTGTGTCGAATGTCTTGAGTGTGGGGTTCGATGGTTGCTTGAAACAGGTTGTACCTCGAAAACGTCCAAGCAGCGGAAGTGTTTGGAAGTATATACTGCAGCAGCCTTGTGCGGGGAAGCCTATGTCACGAGAAGGCTGTGCGATGGTCTCTCCACCCATCATCTCCGCGTGCCAGAGAGTGTCAGGCCACGAATCACAGCACCCGACGTCGCGCGAGAATGTATCGGATTGGCCGGAGCACCGTTTTTGGAACGCGGAGAGGCGTCACGGCCTCCGCGCTCAGGCACCACACGCTTTCGCGAATACCTTTCGAGACGCCTGACGTAGAACTTCATTGAATGCATTGCTTCTCGGCCGCGCAGATGTTGCGGCTACTGCAGCGGCACTGCCTGGCGGCAGCCCTCAAAAAGGGTCTGGCTGACTCAGCAGTCACCGCAGCTAAACGTGTTTGAGTATAGCAGGATTGGGGTAAATCCAATGAGGCAAAGCGGAGGTTCGAAAAGGTTAGCTGATCGTGGAGTGAGCGTGCGGCGGAAGGGGAAGGGATCGTGTATGTCAGCCAACATCTGCAGGAAGTGACCGGAAGCCTGTTTCGTGAACTTGCAACACAACGTCGACATCGTCACCCAGTTTTTCCGTCTCTACCATCGTCATGACACTCCACCATGAATTTTCCAGTCTAAGGGTTTTCATACTGCGGAACTTCTTCATTTCCTGATGTTCACGAGAAGCGACGTCATAGGCGCGCTCACCATCGGCCTATATTCGGCAAGCTTGAGTTTCATGTTGCCGACACGCCTTCGCTCTTCCCCAGGTTTTTTTCACCGGCCCTCGCTAGTTCCTGCCCCGAGCAGCCGGCTCGTTCACTCGGCAGCGCTCCTTCCACATGCGTGGCCAGACATGCTCCTTGAAGTGAACGTTACGACCAATCAAACGGTATAGGCGCCTAGGCCTCGCGCTTGCACGGGAAGGTGAAGCGGCTTGTTCGGTCGCAAACCATCCTCCAGGCCAGATCGTCTAAATCACCGGATTTGCATTGCTGTACAATCCCATCCGCGGCCTCAGCTCACACGGAGAGAAGGAAGTACTCCCTCCATCGTCACGGTTTTCTGCTGTTCTCAAATGGAGGCTAGAATCTTGTCGTACTTAGGCGTAATTTAGTCTCCTTCGACCTCTCGAATCGGTGAGAAGCAGTGCAATCAGACTGCGAAAGGTGTCTCTCGATGGCCCGCCGGGCGAACACGTACAACAGTGCAAGCGACAGCATTCCTCGAAGGATGTGATGTGCGGTCAGCGAGATAACGGTGTTTGATTCGATATCCTCGGGCCTGGCTTTGGCACGCCGCGACCTCAACTATCTCGTCGTCCGTTCATCCTGTGTCGAGCAGATCTCTGAGCTTCGAATTACTCAAGGTTAGAGGCACATTTGCAGTATGCAATGAATCCGCTCAAGTGCCGTCGGCTTCAATTCGTGGAAATTTATCCAACATGAACAGCTACCCTTGTAACCACGTGGCTCAGATCACATGATATTCTATTGTAGCAGGCACTGCCCGGTGGGCAAGTGCACTTACCTGAGAGCTGAGAGCTTCAACAACACAACATCACAACACGACAACAGATAGCAATACACTTGTTGATCACAGTCTCCGACCGACACTGCTCACGAAGTTACAACCCTTCATTACCATGCTGTACCGAATGCGGAACGCCCCAGCATACCTACCCACTTTGTTCGATCATGCAGCAATACATTGCGAATACGAGCGGTACCGCAGAGCTCTACGAAGTGTCAGTGAGGCGACCAGGCAGAGACGAATTGCCTACAACTATGGCGAGACTGTCGTTTCCGCGCCATGGTACTGATAGCGATGGCGAGGTGACGGACAGACCTTGTTTCTCTGGCGCTGGGTAATTTCTATCGTGACAAGAGTCCCAGATCAGTCACCGCCTTCTGTTGCTGAGGGGTGATTGACTAGCACTGAAGCCGTACACACGTCCTTCAACCTCCGGTGCTCTTTCATCGCCACAAGACAACCTCCAGGCTGCTCCAGAACAGTGCGAGCGGTACTGCCTGTCATCACCTCATGAATATCTAAGGTCTGACGTTCACCATCCAAGTGGCGCTCGATATGTGACTCTTCAGATATTCGTAGGCAACTTTCAGTGCCTATGGTCCCGAAAGTCCTCCCAATAGGCTCGACGAGAGCTTGCAGAGGTTGGGAGGCGCCAAAAAGCTTCATGCAATGTTCTCAGTATCCCCGTCCACAAACGATTAATTCTCAAGTGCTCAGATTACGTTCCCCTTCATGTCCCCTGCCAGCATTCCGCTCTATCTGTAGGTCGATCTACGAATTGTTATAATTTGCTGGTAAGACGTGGCAACCAGGCACACCAGTGGACGATATCCACAGGCGCAGCTGCGCCAAGCGTGACACCGCCAGTGTTTAGAAGACGTATGACATCAAAGACTGCAAGGTTACGCTGGAGAGTTCGACGAGGCTACCATCGCAGTATTCAAGGCCATCGCTGGCGTCAGTGTCAACGAACAAAGATCACTGAAGCTCCAACTATCATTCTTGCCGCTCCAACGCTCTTCTCACAAAGTCAAGATTATGAACACGGAACTGGTCAAGAAGTTATGGGGCAGTACAGGCAGTCGCAGGCCTCCAATAATGTAGTGAAAGCAAAATCAACAAACCCACAACGACGAAATATAGCGCGTCAAGCCCGACACAACCGCCTACTTTGTTACGACATCGAAGAGATCCACGAGGCCAAGTCCAAGAAGAAGGCTTTGACCACTCAAAATGGTGCTCTCGGGGTCCCGGTCGATCAGCCACGGCCCCGGGGCCATCCAGCCCTTCCATCTACGATATCACTGCTAGGAGAACATCTACGCCTGCGTTGTTGACGCTAGTGGTGGCGCTGGTCTGCCTTTGTCCACAGGCTTTTGAGGCCCTTGGCACGCCTGCGGCTGTTACTCCCCGTCTTAAGAAGATGGGTACCGCGGGCTATGTCACTGGCACTCTCGACGGAGGACTAAACTGTTCGCGTACAATGGCAATGGCGCGTAGATGCTGCATGCGAGCAATGAGATACAGAAGGACTCATGAATACATGGTTTGAGCTTGGAGAGCAGGGTAAGTGGCATCTCTAGTCCATCTGCCGCTGTAAATCACAGGTTTAGCCTCGAGCTGTGCTTTTGTGATGCATTTAGACCATTCCTGGGTTGTCTGGGACCGCAGTGCCCTTGGAGTGGCCCGGACATGTCTCGTAGTCCTCGAGACACCACGATCTCCATCTAACCACGCCAAGGAGTTGAAGTATTGCAATTCAAATTTCATTACTCGTCAATGCCACCCCATGCAATGATGTTACACCTCCACATCACCCATCTCTCCGTTCCCTCTCCATCTCCGCCCCGATAAAACTATCCTCTTCCTCCATCGGCGTCCCCAGCAGACTCCTATGCTCGCTTCCCTCGCCGGCATCTTCTCGCTGCTCCCTCAGCCCTCCGCGCCGCGCTCCACCGCCCAATCCAGCGTCAACGTGCTCCGCCCCCTCGGCATCGTCCCACACCTCGTCCTCCATCCCGTTCAGCACATACCAAACGTCTTTCTTCGTCAACAGCCCGCGCAGCATCCCCTTTTCAGTGAAGAGCACGTATCGGAGCCCGAGTTTCTGGAACATGGAGACAGTGAGCTGGAACGAAGCGCGCGCGTTCAGCGTGATGGGCGTCTGATCCATCCACGGCCGTAGATCGAGGGACGTAGTTGGATCCGAGAGAGGAGCGTGCTGGAACAGGCACTCCGTGTGGCTCGGGAGGGATTTACTCGTCGTGAGAGACAAAGCGTAGAGCAGCTCGGTGCGCGATATGTAGCCCAGCAGCAGCGCGTCGCCGGCGTCTGTGGGCGACGAAGACGGGGAGGAGATGACGGGGAAGCCGCGGTAGCGATGCGCTTGCAGCATTTCGCGCAGACTTTGGATTGTGTGGCCGGTTGCTGGGATGGCGGTTAGGTCCTCGATGCGCGTCATTACGTGCGCGGCGGGCACGTCAGGGATGCTGGATCCGTTTTCGTCGCGGTTGTCGAGGAAGGGGTAGCCTTTGAAGTGGATCCAGGACTCGTATATACCGCGCGGACTGATTGCGTCGCCGATCCATTTCGAGATCATGACGGCGATCATGATGGGCAGGACGTAGGTGAGTGCACCTGTGAGCTCGAACATGATAACGACGATGGAGACGGTCATGCGTGTTGTGCCTGCGAGCGCGGATGCGGCGCCCACGATCGCGTAGGTGCCGGCTGTCACGCAGGGCACGTCGGGCTCGCAGGAGCTAAAGATGAAGAGGTGCGGGAAGGCGGATTGGAAGACTTGGACGCTGAGGCCAACAGCACGGCCGAACAGTCCGCCGATGGCCATCGAGGGCAAGATGATACCAGCGGGGATGTGCAGACCAAATGTGAAGCTGGCGAGGAGGATGCCCAGCAGGGCGGAGATCAGGAGCAGTGCAACGACGCCGGTGTTTGCTTTTCCAGATTTGCAAAGACCGAGCGTGTCTTCTGTGAGATCGGCGCACTCGGCGAAGAGGATGTAGACGAGCTCAGAAGCTTGGGCGCGCATGAACTTGATGGGGTAGTTGATGAGTGCTGTGATGGAGGAGACGATGATGACTTCGGTGACGGGACCTTTGAGGTATGTGCGATCTTTGCGCCACGAGGCAATACTCATGTTGAGCTTAATGAAAAGGCCTCCGTAAAGACCACCAATGATACCGAGAAGTGCGAATGGCACGATCTCGAAGTCATGCCAGCCGCTGTGGTAGGTGACCTGGTAGAGGACAAGTTTGCCGGTCCGGAAGGGATTGAAGGCTTGAAGTGTAACGGCTGCAACCATGGCGCAGACGAAGCTGCTCCACATAGTCTTATCAGGAAAGTAGTAAGATAACTGCTCGAGACTGAACAGCACACCACCCACGGGCGCGCCGAACGCGACCGAGATGCCTGCCGCCGCAGCAGCAGAGAGGACTTCACGCTTTCGCGCTACGTAATATTAGCACAAGTCGATGTACTGAAGAGCATTATCCACGGACCTTCGTTGCCATTTACACTGCTGAACAGTTTCATAAACAGATTCGCCGAGCAACATGCTACATGGACTAGAGGACCTTCTTTGCCTAGCCACAGCCCCGAGGCCACTGCAAGACACTACAGCTGTCAGCATAGATTGAGAGCATGAGTCCTGCAGACTTACGAGACCAAGTGTTTTTGTCGCCAACGTCCAGCCACCCAAAAAGTGCCTTATGACGAACCCACCCAACACAGTCTTGATCTCGGGAATACCACTATGCTTGGCATACGGCGAGAACTCTCTGACAAGCAGACTCGCACACGCCGCAAAGAGCACCTGTCCGTCATCAGCACGTGCTCACCATAACCATTCTTGTCACCACTCACCGAGAAAAGTACAAAGAAAATGTACTCCACAATCCACTTCCCGCTCACATTTCCAATCCCCATGGCACTCCCCCACTCCTGCCAATCCGCACACTGATCACCCGTCTCAATGCCCCAACAGCAAAACCCTTTGTTCAGATAAAACCTCCCATCGTCTTCGACACTACTACAGTACCCCGTCTTCAGATCCGCCAGCCAATCACTTGCGACATCGATAAAGGCCGCAATGCCACCGGAAAGAATGCCCGCAGCGACGAGGATAATCCACACCTGACTCGCATCTGCGAGCTGCTTCAGGGTCCCGAGGACGCCCGTGGCGCCCGAGTAGAGATACGTCAGCCGCTGGCGCTCCTTGGCGTACTCGAAGATCCAGTCGATGGCCGTCAGATCATCGTAGCCCACGCGGCGGCCGGGGCCCTCGACGTACCAGTCCAGGCCCGAGGCGTCTTTGATGTCGGTCTGGTGCAGGTCGGCGTCGGCGGGCGTGTCGGAGTAGTTCGGGATCAGGTTCGTGTCACTGCCACCGCCGATGCTGCTGTTGCGGAGGTGCTTCAGGCGCGACTGGAAGAGCGGGCTGGCGCTGGCGCGCGGGGAGGAGGGCCCAGAGAGGAAGCGTGGGAGGATGGAAGACGAGGGCGCGGGCTTGGGTTTGCGCTTGAATGAGATTCTGGAAGTCTTAGCATACACCAGCGTGGTCCGGGTAGGTGCTATCTACTGCTCGGAAAGACCGCCGTTCAGCGGATCATCTGCCAGCAGCGCGTCCTCGTCACTGTCGGCGCCGTCTTCAACGGCGGGCTGCTTGCCGTTCGAGGAGCGCCCCGGCGCGCGGCTCGACGATGCTTCGGCATGGCCGTGAGGGGACGGGCTTGCTGACGAGCTTGACATCCCATCGGCGAGTGTGCAGTGAGAACTGGCGTGGCATTCTTCACCGGCGCATCGTGGTGCTGGGGTGGAGCTCCCTGTCCTATTGCCGCGTAGGGCTGATCTTGTTGGCCTGTGCACGGGTCTCGAACATGTGAAACCTCCGAAGCAGCGGAGCCAACACGGTAAATTTCAACGGCACATTTTGAAGCCGAGGTGGCTCGTTGCTACATGCTATTGCTACGATCATGAATTGGCGCTAAATGCCCTTCGTAACTCATACGCCGTGTCGGTACATCGTCTCCTGTACAATCCACCATCTAGTTCCCGCGTCTATTCCTGGTTAAAGTCGATCACAGCTCTGCCAGCAATCTCACCCCTTCTCAGCTTCTGCACAGCCTCATTGAACTGGCTCAAGGGGTATACCGTGTAGATAGGCTTCAACAGTCCCCTCTTAGCAAAGTCCAGCGTCTTGTCGACATCCGCCATGCTGCTAACGAGCGTGCCCTGAATGCTCTGCTTCTTGAAACACATCTGGTTCGGATCGACATCGATGTGTTGCGTGCCCGCAGGCGGCAGACCAATACACATGACCTTTCCGCCGACGCGACCGCCCAGGTAGCTGACCGACGATGGGTATGTCTGCACTGCGGTGACGAAGACGCCGTGTGCACCGATGCCGTCGCAGATGCGAATGATCTCCTCGGCGACGTTCTCAACTTTCTTGAAGTCAATGAACTCCTCGGCACCAACCTTCTTGCAGAGCTGTTCCTTGTCATCGCCGGTGTCAATGGCAACAGCGCGTAGACCCATGGCTTTGGCGAGCTGAACGCCCTGCATACCGACACCACCGCCTGCACCCGGGAAGACGGCCCAGTCTCCGGGCTTGAGATTGGACTCCTTGATCGATGTGTAGATTGTGGAGGCCGAGCACATGATGGGCCCGGCGATGTAGTCATTCACGCCGTCGGGGATGATCGTGGTGTAGCGTTCGGGCGAGACGACGTACTGCTTGTAAGATCCATCGCACATCAAGCCAGTGAAGACTGCACCCGGGCAATAGCACTCTTGGTCGCCGCGGCAGAGCTCGCATGCACCGCAGGTGTCTTGAATGGGCTGTAGGAGGTCAGATTGACTCTGATTTCGTCAAAGCTGTGGTAGTGGAGCTTACCTTGAACCCGGCCCTCATGCCAGGCTTCAGTTTCTTGACCTGGTCTCCGACTTTAACAATGACGCCAGCACCCTCGTGTCCAGCGCACTGTGTGCCCAGTGCGGACATCTTTGGCAGCGCCCAGTCGTTTAACATGAAGTGGATATCACTATGGCAAATGCCAGTCGCGTTCAGCTTGATCAAAACATCGTTTGGTCCTACCTCTGTCAACCAACTTCACTTCGAAGCAACTCAACACACATACCTGGCTCTGGGGTGGGGACGTCTTGAACCTCGACATAGAAATCTGGACCTTCGTTTACGACTACCCCACCCTTGCACGTCTTGGGGATGTCAAATGTCTGGACCTTGTCGTCTGGCATAGTGAGGATTGCTTTGTGGTTGAATTGAAAGAATTGAGAGTAGGACACGGAGGAGAATAAAACGCGAAATGGACGAGACAAATCGACTTGAAATAGCAATGAAGAAGTGGTGACCAGGCCTCGGTCCTGCCGTTACCCCTCATATGGCAGAGAGCCTACTCCTATGCGGCGTTGCTCAACTTACTTGTGAGGTAGACGCCCCATCACAAGCCGTCTCACTGTTGGCTTGTACACTGGAGCCAAGGCACATCACGTCCACGTTTGCGCAGAGATACACACGTGCGAGCCTAGTCACGCGAAACGGCAACATCAAAGAAGCTTGACTCGATACATCGGAATCGAACATGTATTCGGGCGATGGTGTTCCGCGCAGCAGATGCTATTACACGAAATATGGTGATGCTGTCAGTGGGGAGCTGGGTTCAGTGCGGGGTGGTACGTGGGGCGGCTTGGCGGGTGGCGTCAGTCCGTAAGAGAGATTCTGGCAGCCTTGATAACCAGGCACAAGAACGAACTCGAGATTGTCACGTCAGATGCGCCAACACATGTGACGTCCACCACAAGGCTTTTGCATGCGAGTTCGGCACTTCTCGAAGCTTCCAGGGTGGCAATTCTTTTCGAACCGTAAATTCCCGCCACAGGGTGCTCGGTTTGCTTCTGTCATTCGCCTCGATCTGGCCTCGGTACTTCGGTACTTGCGCCAATTGAAATTCGAGAGCCGCTGATTCGTCGAGACCGTTGTCGATCAGCGTGGTGCGGTTCCGATGTCATGAAAGACGCAATAGACTTGACGCGGGGTGCAATCGGGCCCACCTGGTGTTGAAGAGCGCTGGAGCTCGATCGCCTCGACGATAAGAGAATCGCAGAGCACCAGGCCGCGGAGCACGAGAAGCTGAGTGCATGCGCTTTCCAGATGTTAGTAATGCTCGGTTGCCCAGGGCGCGCTGCGTGGACAAACAACGCAGAGTGGGGCTCAAGTCGCTGTGATCCTAGTCAAAATCGAGCTAACGGACGCGGCCCCGTGCATCAGAGATGAGGGGCAATAGCGAGTGGATGGCCAGACGTTGAAGATTACGAATGGGCCGCTCGCAGAAGTTCAAGTTCACATATATACTCAAACCACCCTCCTCCCCAGTGTTTCTTCTCAATTTCTCCCTACCATATCATATCTCGACCCACACACAATCATGTCTGCAGGCGAGTGTCCCATGAAGGCAGCCAACGTGTCTGGTGGCGGTACTCAGACACGCGACTGGTGGCCGAACGAGCTCAGGCTCAACGTCCTCCGCCAGCACGACCCCCGCCAGGTTCCCTTTGGCCAGGACTTTGACTATGCTGAGGAGTTCAAGAAGCTCGACTACGATGCCCTGAAGAAGGACATCGCCGCCCTGATGACCGACTCGCAGGACTGGTGGCCTGCCGACTTCGGCCACTATGGTGGTCTTTTGTGAGTACCCTCGTCTCAATGGACTCGGAATGGTTTGCTAACGCCGTAACAGCATCCGCATGGCATGGCACAGTGCCGGTACCTACCGTGTCTCTGACGGCCGCGGTGGCGGTGGTGAGGGCCAGCAGCGCTTTGCCCCCCTCAACGCCTGGCCTGACAACGTCTCGCTCGACAAGGCCCGTCGCCTGCTGTGGCCCATCAAGCAGAAGTACGGCAACAAGATCTCGTGGGCCGACCTGATGCTCCTGACCGGCAACGTTGCTCTTGAGACCATGGACTGCCCAACCTTCGGCTTCGCTGGTGGCCGCGCCGACACATACCAGTCCGCTGAGGATGTCTACTGGGGCGGCGAGACCGAGTGGCTGGGCAATGACGTCCGCTACCACGACGGCAACAAGGGCGTTGAGGGTGAGGGCATTATGGACGGCGACCAGCATAAGAATGATGTTACCTCCAAGGAGCAAGTGCACACACAGCGCGACCTCGAGAAGCCTCTCGCCGCTGCCCACATGGGTCTCATTTACGTCAACCCCGAGGGCCCTGACGGTGTCCCCGACCCAGTTGCTGCGGCCCACGACATCCGCACCACTTTCGGCCGCATGGCCATGAACGACGAGGAGACGGCTGCCCTGATCGTCGGTGGACACTCCTTCGGAAAAACACACGGTGCCGCGCCCTCCGATAACACCGGCACAGACCCCAACGGCGCCGACCTTGCTGCGCAGGGTTTCGGTTGGGAGAACAAGCACGGCCGCGGCAACGGGCCCGACACCATCACATCCGGTCTCGAGGTCACCTGGACCGGCACACCCACCAAGTGGAGCAACAAGTACCTCGAGTACCTGTACAAGTTCGAGTGGGAGCTTGAGAAGTCTCCTGCCGGTGCCAGCCAGTACGTTGCCAAGGGAGCTGATGCCATCATCCCCGATGCGTACGACTCCAACAAGAAGCATAAGCCTCGCATGTTGACCACCGACTTGTCCATGCGCTTCGACCCTGCATACGAGAAGATCACCCGCCGCTGGTTGGAGCACCCCGAGGAGCTTCACGACGCTTTCACACGCGCGTGGTTCAAGCTTCTCCACCGTGACATGGGTCCCCGCTCCAGGTGGCTCGGTCCCGAGCTCCCCAAGGAGGTCCTCATCTGGGAGGATCCCGTACCTGAGCAGCAGGGTGAGGTCATCGGCGAGAGTGACATCTCGGCGCTGAAGAAGGAGATCCTTGACGCTGGTGTCGAGCCCTCAAAGCTCATCCGCGTTGCCTGGGCCTCCGCTGCCTCATTCCGTGGCTCTGACAAGCGCGGTGGTGCCAATGGTGCTCGCATCCGCCTTGAGCCCCAGAAGAACTGGGAGGTCAACAACCCTGCTGAGCTCCAGGAGGTTCTCAAGGCTCTTGAGGGTGTCAAGTCCAAGTCCAGCAAGAACGTTTCTCTTGCTGACTTGATCGTCCTCGCTGGTGTTGCCGCTCTCGAGAAGGCTTCTGGTGTATCCGTTCCGTTCACACCCGGCCGCACCGATGCGACCCAGGAGCAGACTGACGTCCAGTCATTCGAGCACCTAGAACCCGTCACTGACGGTTTCCGCAACTACGGAAAGGGCACCGAGCGTGTCCGCACCGAGCAGTTGGATGTTGACAAGGCCAACCTCCTCAGGTTGACCGCACCCGAGATGACCGTTCTTGTTGGTGGTCTTCGTTCCTTGAACGCCAACTGGGACGGCTCTTCTCACGGTGTCTTCACTAAGCGCCCTGGTCAGCTCACCAACGACTTCTTCGTCAACCTGCTCGACAACAATGTCGAATGGAAAGGTGCCGACTCCTCCAGCCCTCACGAGCTGTACGAGGGCAAGGACCGCAAGTCTGGACAGAAGAAGTGGACAGGAACCCGTCACGATCTGATTTTCGGTTCGCACCCCGAGTTGCGATCCATCGCCGAGATCTACGCACAGCCGGATAACGCCGACAAGTTTGTCAAGGACTTCGTCGCCGCGTGGGACAAGGTTATGAATTTGGATCGTTACGATGTCAAGGCGAAAGCGGTGAGTGGCACATCAAGTGTTTCGAGCAGGCCTCGTCTTTGAGCGAGTGATTCTTTGTTGTGTGCGCTTTAGCTTCAGCAATAAAAGCGCGATTCACTGACGAGTAATGATAGTAATGATACCGTAAATAGAGCTGTAGAGCCATAGCTACCCAAAACAACGATACCTAGGTAGCTGTTAGTGTAGGATCAGATGACAGACAGCGAAGCCAACCAATTGGAGCACTTAGCTATGAGTTATGAAAGTAAACTAGATCAAACACAATTTGCGGTACCTTTGGTTCTCGAGTGATGTTTTGTGAGGTTGGCTTTGACTTGCGGCGTTGCACCTGTGCGACTTCTAAAGTATGGCTCAGAACGTTGGGACCCGCTGCTTGTCAGGCTGTCACAAGGCACCTTCCGCCTGGGTCACACAACATCGTCCTGCATGATCGTGCACACTCTTCTGGTCCTTTGTACTCTTATCACAGCCTTCAAATATGCTTTTGCAAGCCATGCATCGCAGTCATCCGCAGCAGCTCTACACCGCCAAGCTGCCCGCCACCCAATCGCGACGTAAAGGTGCAGATTCGCCGCTTCCGCAAGCACGAGTCAGGAACGCGCGTAGCTACGAAGGGCTCCTGCAGGTCTCAACCTGCAGGTCTCAACCTGCAGGTCGAGAGGCGGGCACATGCTTAGCTCGGCCTTTTCGCTCCTTCGCGATCTTCAATCTTTCGTTCTTCAATCGCTTTTCTCCCATGTTGTTGTTGCAGCGTTCCCTTGTGCAGTCCCTCGTCGTGTTTCACATAGATTGAAAGAGCTGCAACCTCATGTTCATGCTTGCGCTCAGCCACGTTACGCGACTGCTGCGATGAACTGTACGATAAACGTGACGGGCAACAGAAGACAACGACTGCTGTATTCACGATAGCCCCAGTCTGAAAGAGAAGGATCAGCAAATCAAGGGAGGACGAGAAGAAAAATTCATCGGGAATCCATCAGACTCAACAGCACGGCCGGACATCAAGCGTGCAACATGGCACATGGACACAGCGACACCGAGCGTAGGAGACGGAAACGCACGCACTCTTCATCTCAGTCATCCACCTCCAAATCAATACTCAAGCAGCCGCTTGTTTCGCAGTCTGTCCTTCAGATCAATACGCACGCGCATCCACACGCGGTCCAAGCAATACCAACACAGTATTCGAACTCCCATATCCATGATGCACGCCCGCATGATCCGCCTCCACTGTATCCGAGTGGCCCACCACGATATCCTATGTACGGTGCAGTTCCACAACACCTCCTACAACATGCGCAAATATACGCTTCGCAGCCCTCACAACCTATTCCACCTCAGCATAACCCTTCGATTGCACCTTTCGGGACTCCCTCGCCCCCGGAGGTTCGGCAACCGAGGAAGTCGTCCCGTGAAGAAGGGCCATTTCAGCAGCAATGGGATAGATTGGACCGGGTGGCGGCGAAGTCAAATGCAGATTTGCGGCAAGGGACTTCGAAGCTGATCACCAATTACATTGAGCGGCCGACGCATGCAATTGCAATGAGAAGCATGCAGACACTGTGTCAAGGTGCTGCTCTGTGCGACGTCATCAGCTCCAAGTTCGACGCAGTCATCACTAGCATTGATGATGACAAGTTCAGTGGGAAGGAGGATGATTTGAAAGTGTACGACGATACCCAGCAGAGACCGAGCGGATCAAGTCCGTCATCCGCACGTCGAAAAGGTACAGCAGAAGACCAAGTCTACGAGGCACTCGGGGGCAACAAGGGCTCGAATCATTTTGCCAAAGTGTGGCTCTACTCGAACTCACGCCTTCCGCCGCACTTGCCACCCTTCAAGGTCTACCTGCCAACGTATCCTCTTCTCTGCCTCGCTGCAACATACTCGGAGCGTGTCTACGATCCTCCAGTGCCGAAATCAAAGGAAGTTGAGAATCACATTCCTGCAAACTGGCGCAGTGGTACTAAGGCTATGGTGCTCAAGTCAATTCCAGTCGACGACATGAACACCGTTGTCTTTGCGATTCGGGGCAGCCAGACCTTCATGGACTGGGCTGTAAATTACAACTCGGCGCCAGCCAGCCCGGAAGGCTTTCTCGACGACCCCTCCAACTTTTGCCACGCAGGCTTTCTCTACGTAGCACGCAAGATGGTCAAACCCGTCGCCGACCGCCTCAGAGTCCTGATCCAAGAGAATCCTTCCCGCAAACACTGCAGTCTCCTGATCACCGGCCACTCCGCAGGCGGCGCCGTCGCCGCTCTCCTCTACGCTCACATGATGAGCAAATCCGTTGACAGCGAGCTAAGCTACCTAACTGATTTCTTCAAACGTGTGCACTGTGTAACATTCGGCGCGCCGCCCATCTCGCGCTGGCCGCTGCGTAAATCGGAAAACCCGCGCCATAAGAAGAGCCTCTTCTACAGCTTCATCAACGAAGGCGACCCCGTCCCCCGCGCGGACAAGAGCTTCTTCAGGAGCCTGATCAAGCTCTACACTACCCCCGCGCCATCCATCTCCGCCCTTGGCAGCACAGTAGCAAGCATGAGCGCGCTCAACCTCACTCAGCCCCTATCTTTAAGCCCTCCCAAATCACGCCTCCGCCTCCGCAGACCGAGCAAATCCACTTTACCGCCGGCGAAACCACCCGTGGCGCCTCCGGCCGTCGAGTGGCCCGTTCCAACATGCGAGCTCAGTCCGGCTGGCAGACTCATTGTGCTGAGGCCGCGTCCCGGCGGTCGCGAGACCGATGTCGAGGCCGTTACTGTCGAAGAGGGTATGCTGAGGAAGGTCATGTACGGCGATCCGCTGAAACATCAGATGCGTGTTTACAAGGAGCGGGTTGATTGCGTGGCGACGAAGGCTGTTACTATGGGCGGGGCGGGGTGAATTTTACCGTCAAGCTAACCCGAGGGGGTGTTGATGCGTAGGTGCAAAGTCTGGAGGATGAGGGTGTGTTGCACTGACTTTGGGTGGCTGGCCACCTTGGGAAGGCTTTGCGAGCAGTGCCAGGAGTACTATTGCGTTGTAGCGAGTATGTGACCTTCATGAGCTCCTTTAGTCTGGACCACAAGAATCGAATCTGGCTATCCTGAGACAAGATTGCCAAACAAGAACGGGCACATGCTTGTCTGGGGTATCACTCCGCCATGCTGATACCCAAATTCACCCAATACTTCTCCGTACTCTTCTTCTGGTCGTCCTCCTGGCCTGTCATCTACTGCCGTGCTTCGTGCCTAGGCAATTCCAAAGGCGGGACGTCGCCCGGTACCTCTTTCACTGTCCCGACAACAGACATCTCGTACTTAGCCGCAAGAAGTCCTGCAGTGAGCAACGTGAAGGCGAGAAGCAAAGCAGGGGGCATTTTTTGCTGTGTCCTACTGACTTGGCGCATCTCGATACACATCAAACCGGAGACTGCCTCTTACAGTGGAATTTCTCATCCTTCTAGCATCCGTTTTAGATGAGCCTGCCACATGTTGGTATTGAAAGCGGTCATGATGTGCGCGATGCGTGGGTACGTGATCGTACCGCTCCGTAGAGCTCTAGGAAATGAAGAGCGCAGCAGCAAGCCCAGAAGAGCGGATGGGATGAGTGGGTCTCCGACTCATGCTAGCGTCCCCGTGACCGCGCGACGCCTTCCCAAACTCTCGCGTCAGCCTGCGACACCAATCCAACACCACAACCCGAGCTGCGAGTAAGTTGCCCACCACGCCTCCAATCACGGTCTCAATCAAAGCATGGTTCATCGCTGATCAGACACAGTTCCCAGTGAACGACAAACTCCTGTCACAAGGGGATGCCGGGCGTCTAATCAACCCCGGCATCTCGCTGCATGACACAAGAACGGAAAGCGGAGGGAGTGCACCTTCTCACATGTCGGTCGCATGCTATTCCTCCATCATTGCACAGCGATGGGGAGTAGTCTCGCACGCTCTGGGTAGCACATGTTCTTCGCCGTTTCTGCGGCTCAGCCGTTCCCACGCGCATTGAGGAGATCGTAAAAGAGTCGAAGCGCCGGCGCGGCTTATGCTTTCGAGCTCGGTTGCGCCGCGCAGCTAATGACACGAAAAGTAGTTTTCAATCCGAGCGCCTTCGCCAACAGGCGTCGAACGTGGGGATGCGTGGTCGTTGTCGCTGGGCCGCGGGCGGGGATGGCGTGGAGGTGGGTTAGCTACCGATCTCAGCGCTCTGACCATCGGCAGAGAAGAGAGAAAAGGGTCCAGTGATGATGTTCCACCGCGCGATGGGGCATTAAAGCCAAAGTCGATCAGGAACCCGTGGTGCTGGACTTCTTTCGAGAAAGAAGGCGCTGCGTGGGGCCTCGTGAGAACAGCGAGAGAGCTAATCTGAGGACTGCAATATCAATCTCTTTTTTACTTGTATCTGTGCTCCTGCTATTTCTTGAAAACAGCAGCGCGAATGATGGATCAACAAAGCTCTCCATGTCTGATGAGAATTGCGTACTGGGTATCACTACTCCGCCATGCTAACGCTCTGACGCCTAAAAATTCAATTCCATCGCCCCTCACCGGTGCTTTCCACAGCACCCAGTAATCACCGCCGTTGAGCATTTCCCATCAACTCCGCCGGCCTCTCCGGACCTCTTCCATCCACCTCCGCCACAGTCTGACCCGGCATCTCGTACTTCGCCATCCCGCTATCATCATACATTTCATGCTTAAAATGCTCCTCGCGCCGGTCCGGTAATACTGGCGCCTGCGACTGTCCGTGGTAGGGCTCGTACGCCAGCTCCTGCGGCTGTGAAGCCCGCTTCTGGTTGCGCTTGCGGCGGTAGAACAGTCCGAGGACGACGAGCGCAATAAGTGCTGCGACGCCCAGCGCGACGCCGAGCCCGATCTTGCCGCCTGTGGAGAGACCCGAGGATGGACTCGGTGTCGTTGTGGGAAACGACGAGGCCGTCGAGGACGCCTGCGAAGTCGACGTAGACGCAGACGCAGACGCAGAACTCGTAGGGCTGGTGTTCGCACTCGCACCCGGACTCGTGACCGTGACTTGTGTAAGCTATTCTTAGTCAGCTCGCTTTCTCAACCCCTCTGTACGACCGGAGAACGTACTGCAACACTCGAGTACGCCTTATCGTCGATCTCCGCTATGCTGCCGAAGCTCCACCTCTGCCCATTCTGCGGCGCCGAGATATTGTTGCTCATAGTCAACAGCCCATTCGCCTTCAGATTCAAATGCCAGTCCGACCCATTCTTCGCATTGGTGAGCCACCACGTATCGTCTCCCCAAGCGCTGAACTGCCAGAAAATGCTGTCATCAGCGACATCGCCGCGAATCATGCGCGGTCTAGTCTTCCCCTCAGTTTCCTCAGCGGGCACGTAGTGGGTGCCAACAAATGCGTTTGCGCCGCCTTCCTTGGATCGTATCACGTATGTGGTACTGTTGATGGGGTAGATTTGCCAGCGCATGGTGTTCAGGCTAGTTTGCGTTGAGTTGAGGAAGATGGCGCCGCTTGTGCCTTGACTGTCGTAGAGATTTGTGCCCCATAGGGCATTGGTGTCGCTATTGCCGACGTAGATGTAGTACCATTGGTTCGTGTCGAGGTCCGGGGACGACATTGTTAATAGCTGTGTTAGCTTATATCACGATGTCGAGGAAAGCGGGACGGCAGTATGTACAGTGGAGAAGAGACGGAATGTCAAAGCTGAGGAAGACGAGGCTGGAAAGTCTGTGGCGGGGAATTGTGGGATTTGATCTCTTTTGAGTCCAGTCCCCGGCGTGGCGCGCGTCTCGGTGCGAATCGTAGCAAGAGCAGGGCTAGTGCTCAATTGAGGCTGCAGGGGATTGGGGGCCAAAATGCGCAGCTGCCGCAGCAACACAATGTCGCACACCGTCTTATGCATTGTACTTATCAAATACAATACCTCGGAACTGTCGTTGCGTTCTAACAATACGAACATAGTGATCGTTGTTGCCTCGCCGTTGGAATTGGCAGATCATGGAGTTGTGGGTGCAAGACGTCCCGTCCCGCAAGCTCTGGAAATAGAGTGAGCCAAGCCCCACTTCGAGGCGGAGGCACTGTTACTGGCCGCAGCAATCATGGCGACAGAGCAGGACTGATAAGAAATGCGATGGAAATGAAGAGTCGACAGGCAATAACAGGTGGCGCTGGGAACAGTCCGTCAAAGTAGAAATGGAGGATGGATTGGAGGTTCAACCGTGAACACTATGCGCCGAAGCGCCAAAATGCCTACCATGTGTTCGTGTCTCATTAGTCATACCGAACGCCTGTCCCGTGCGCCCTTCTGTATCATACAGTCTGTCAATTTCCCAACAGGTCCAACTATCGCACGAAAGCAATGTAGTAATACACTGCTCCGACAGTGACCAAAGTCGAAATGCCAATGCTGCATCGTGTCAGTATAATGATTCAAATATGTGGTTATGTTGCCAACAGAGCTTGGAAGACTCACCTAGCCCCTTTCCACATCTGAGGCGAGCTCTTGTTAAGCATCAACTTCTCAGCAGTCGAGGTTACTAAGGGAGGTTCGGCAACAGGAAGATCCTTCTCTTTGTCTTCGGGAGGAGATGTAGATGCAAAGCTATCGATAGCTCCCTTCGCAGCTTCTCGACGTTGACGAAGTTCAGACTCGGGCACAGGCGTCGCGCTCTCCTTACCGAGTGGTTCGGACACCTTTGGGGTGAGCGGAGGGGTCAGCGTGTTCTTAACCGTTGCCCTTGAAGCTACGATGTCAGACAGGCCCTTCAATGTCTTTGATACATTTTTGGCACCGTCAGTCTTGCTGACACTGCTGGCTTGGCTAGACTCGGCAGTATGAGTGTTTTGCGTCTCAGACTTGTCTTCTGGGATGAAGCCAAGCTGCTTACTGTCATCTGGGTGGGGTGTTTCAAGAGGATCTCGAGCGAATCTGGTAGAGCGACTCATAATCACAGGGGAACCAAGAGACTCGACATCGGCATAATCCTCGTCCTCTTCTTCTTCTTCTTCATCTTCTCGTACAGACGCCAAGGACAAGTAAGACTTCACGGGTACGAGATCGACCGAAGAACAAGCTTGTGAAAGGACGGACGGTTGTGGCGATGCTGGTTCGTCATGCGTCTCGTCTTCGGCCAACTTGTGGCCGATAGTTGCCACGCGTTCGAGGATCTGCTCGCGACCTACAGGGAACGCTTCGAGCCCGGGGTCATTCAGGTTGAGGTCCTCGGCGTCCGAGCGAGGTAGCTTGTTTGGAAGCGTACTGCTGCTGGTGCGTGTCCTGAAGAATGAGGAACGCATTGACGCCCCGAAAAGGTCCTTCGCGTTGTCTGTTTCTTGTCCAAATACAGGGTAGGCACTCTCATATGTTGACGGGCTCATGCTAAAGGACCGCTCGGAACTAGAGTGGTTCTCGACAGCCGAGCGTTGTTCATGTGGAAGCAAGGGTTCATCGTAGTCTTCTTCATGAGAAACTTGCTCATGGGAGAAGGTAGGAGCAAGATTCAGCTCTACAGAGCCTTCCTCGTCATCCGAGTGGTCGCCGTACCGAGTGTAGTGCTCTGGCTCGTAGTCGTACTCATCCTTACTGAGGCGGCTATCCTTACTGGCGGTCTCGCTGCTCTTATACGACGAGAAGCCAGTCTCATGTGGTAGCAGCGGCGCGGCGTCATATTCGTCTTCCTCATACTCTTCGTCCTGGTGCTTCGTTCGGCCGGTGAAGCCAGTCTCGTGAGGCAGGAGTGGGCCTTGAGCGAACTCGTCCTCGTCACTGTCCTGTTCTGCCCCAAGTCCCGTCTCATGGGAGAAGAGCGGTGCTTTCTTAAATTCGCTGCTCTGATCTGCGAAGCCAGTCTCGTGCGAAAGGAGAGGCCCATTGCCTAGCTCGTCGTCATCTTGCAGCTCATCCTGAGACTGGGCAGACGGTGTGTTCAGGATGTCTCCTGAGCTGGTGTGATCTGTCGAGGACCGTGCAGACTCCTCTTCGATTGTGTCCATCGATGCCTCAGGCAAGGACGACTCAGAGTCCTGGAAGGACTCGTGTCGGAACAATGGAGCTTGCATATCCGGGGGATCAAGTTCGACTGGTCCCTCAGATGCAATAGTGAGCTTGTCTGGCGATGCATCTGCCGATCGCAGTTCGTGTGCGAGCTTTTGGCCCTTAGTCGCGTCTTCGCCAAAGTCATCCCCGTGTGCTGGTCTGTCGTCAACATTCTCGACAATAACAAGTGGGACGTCTGGTGACTTGAGCGGCCCGACATCGAGAGGAGAGTCGGCCTTGGTCTGCTCGAAGTCTGGTTCTGGGTCGGCGGCGCGCTTGGACTCGTCCACAGAAAGACTCTTAGACTTAGCGTCACCGTACTCTGGCCGATCCGTATCCTCGACCTTCTCGACCACCACAAACGGGACGGGCCCTGGGCTCACATGGCCAATGTCCATTGTGCTGTCCTTGCGATCAAGTATGTCTTTGGCAGTCGGGCGGTCGAGGGTAGCGTTGGAAGTCGCAGACTTGACGTGGACGACGTTGTTCCGGTTGCCGTGTTCATCCGTGGCTGCTGCGAGTCAGTCTACACACAAAGCAAAGACATGATACTACACACCAGACTCTTTCGACTCGTCGACAACCCAATGTCCTTCGCCAATGCGGATCTTGTACTGGTAGCTGCCCTCGGCGACATTGCCGAACTTCTGCTCAAAGACCAGGTCGCCAGACGGCGTCTTCTCCTTGCTCGCCTTCAGTTCAAGAGTCGCCCATGGTGGCGTGCTGAGAGAGGTCACCACATACACCGGGGCTTGAATGCCCGGCTGCGTGAAGGTGATAGTCGCCTCGCTCTGCATGTTGTCACTGGCGAGCACGATCGGAGACGTCGAGAGGCCAGGACGGGGAGAGACGTCCTGTAGTGTTGAGTCGCTTACGTGCCGGGTCAATTGGGGGACGGATTCGAGGCGCTTAGTGATAGGGTCTGCTTTGGGAGGGATATCGTCAGTGGTTGAAGATAGGCGTCTGCTACTCGTCCACAACGAGCGCAGATGCCGGCGTTTGGGGCGTGAAAGGAAGCTCATGGAATGGGGAGGGGTATATAGGTGGTCGCACAGGGCGAGTGCATGTGCAGTGCGCAGACGTACCGGCGCGCTCTTCACGGCACAATCGTTCGACGTAACAGCAGTCTCCACCGAGGCTGCCTCTCACGCGACTGTCGTTTGGAGCTCTCCAAGGAAGCGCGTGGAAACTGTTGAGGGTGTGGATGACGGATGGCAGGTGCTCAACGGCAGCTTCCCGTCCTGTTGCTAGGCACACGCGGCTCGCTCAAGGTGAAGGGAAACAGCTCGACTTCGGCTTTTGGGCAAGTGAATGTCCTGTTCCGGCTCACGGGGGCTGTGCTTCTTCCAAGGATGCACAAGGATGCACTCCCCGCAATACGACATCCATGCTGGCGAAGCTGTTCGCAAATATGACGTGAGAGGAGCGCACGCCGTCGTGGAACCTTGTCAACGAGCGCCTGCTGGTCCGGTAATCGAGGGCTAGCGCGCCACGCTAGGCCGCTGCGCGGGGATTCTTTCACATGCTTCTCAACACCAATATGCCTTCGCTGGAACGTGCATGTTGGTCGTCCCACGGTTCTAACGCTGTGACAGCTGCATGCTGTAGTGACATCTTCTTCCCGTCTCGGTCCCAATCAATTCCTAACTCTTGTCGTCTGGGGAAACCTAGTCCTCAGCAGTCATACAACACTGCTGAAGCGCCCCTCGGCCATTATATGTTGCATCGCCTCGGAGAGTTGCTCAACATCGTCTTGTTGTGCATGCGACGGCGAAGTTGACAAAGCTTTAGGCTTGGACACGTCGCCGACACGAAAGCGAAACATCAGAATATACCAAAACTGTACTGATTGTCCGTACCTACATCTCGATGACTGTAGAGACAAGCTCGGGCGGTGAAGAGGTGAACTGCCATATGAGACGCAGGAAAACATGACAACCATCTCAATGTTCCGCCGTTCCGAGCGGTACCGGTAACGCCTTCTCCAACAGTCTTGCTCTGACCAGAGCCCAACGTGCACACAACGCTGGGAGCGCAAGATACCGAACCTCATGATCCGGTTCCGATCGTTATTCTAAACTGCGGCGCCTTGTTTCCTCGCGTAGCGCGCGTAGCGGAAATGGGCTTCATGCATCTGCGAACCGGAGTTCTGGGATGATCGCTCACTACATGCGCCGCTCGCCGCGGACAGAGCAGACACAGCCATGCCGAACATGAACATACAGCGACTCCGAACTACCCAAATCACGACGCCTTGGGCACACGTTCGGATGATCGCCTAGAAACCAGCGTGGTGGGTCGAGACAAAGTTTGGAGACATGTCCTGTTGCAGGACATGCCGCACCACACCCCTGGCAGGAACCACTCAGTGGAAGCACGTACAGCCGCAAGTGCACCGCCGTTGTCTGATCATCGCCCAGAAGCACGGGCTTCAGCGCGGCGGCATTACGTTGCTGAACGATGCCGAGTGTGTTTGGGAGCAGCCTGCACACCTGCTGCAAAGCATCGCGGGTCGAGTCTCTCCGTTCGCAATATATTCACCTGTCCTGTGCCCGCCCATGCCCCTTCAACCTTTTTTTGCCTTTGCGTCGCTTCACTGTCACTCGTTTCGATATCTGTCTGTCGCTTCCTGGTAGCTTTCGTTACCACATCCACGGAGTCTCGTGTCAGCTGCTGATAACCCATGTTTTGTGCTGGATCCGCGAATCATAGGAAACTTTGGCATACGGATTGACATGGGGCACATCATCATGTCGACAGCCACCAACCAAGGCCCGTTACTGAACCGTGTGAGCATGGCACAGTACACCATTGCAGTAATCTTCGTGTTACTTCGGTCAGTGCCACCGCTTCTGGGCCTGAAGGGAATGCTAACGAGACTTCAGGTTCTTTGTGCGAGGCTTCGTCGTGAAGAAATTTGGGTTGGATGATCTCTTCATCCTCATCGCTATTGTATGTCACACATGGATTTACGCAAGTGCTCGCTGACAGACCCTAAGACTCTCGGTCTGGGCCAGACAGCCACCATCATTCTCCAAGTCGAGCACGGCAGGGGCCGACATACATCCGAGCTGCGCGAAGAGGACTTCGACCTCATGCTAATGGTACGCTTCCACTGCCTTGTAGAGTTCAATCGATCTAACTTTGAGCAGTACAAATGGATCAACATGTTGATCTACTTTGTAGCGAACTGGTAGGTCCAACACTCTCATCACTAGTCCAGATCTGACATCCGTACAGGGCAGTGAAGATGTCCATCCTCGCGCTCTACCACCGCATCGGCTCCGGCAAGCGCGGGCTACCGCTGATCGTGCAATCGCGCGCCATCTGGGTCACAGCAGGAGCCATCTCGGCCTTCACGCTCGCCGTGATCCTCGTAAGCACTGCAGCTCAGCGCACCCGGACGAACGCTCACATGCCCCAGGTCCAGATCTTCTCCTGCCTGCCCGTGACGGCCGCGTGGGACGTTGAGCAGATCCCCATCATGTGCATCGACGGCGCGATGTTCATGCAAGCGCAGGGCGGCATCAACGTCTTCACCGACGTGGTGCTGCTGGTGTATCCGCTGCCGCTGCTGCGGGTGCTGAAGTTCAACCGGCGGCAGAGAAGTACGTTTGTCCATTCGCTGCGACGCGTGGGGGACTAGCAGACTGACTTTTTGCAGCGGCGCTGGGGGTCATATTCTCCATCGGGCTAATCCCCGTGGTCGCGAGCACCATGCGGCTGTGCGAGATCGTCATGAGCGGCAACGTGGTGCAGACGGGCAGGGGCTGGCAGCAAGCAGATTCGAGCTGGTGCGCTCCTCCGTTTTTACTCGGCACCACGCAGCCCTGCTAACAGCTCGCAGGACATGGGCCTGGATCCCCGTCTGGTCGCAGATCGAAGTCGACGTCGGCGTCCTCACCGCGTGCCTGCCCTGTCTATCTCCCTTGCTGCGGCTCTTCTTCCCTGCGACGCGGGCGCAGCGCAACATGACGCCGAGCATGGTGACACTGCCCAAGTACAGCGCGAGCTGGGGGAGCGTGGACGCGGGGCCAGAGGGGGCGGAGAAGGAGGAGGAGAAGGAAAAGATGGAGAAGATGGACGATGTCAAGGAGGGCGCGGGTGCCAAGGAGGACGAGATGGGTGGGGTGCGGTGGTGCGAGAAGGAGTTACCCGCGATTCCCGGGCACGAGGGCGCGAGCTACTACGAGGATGCGAGCGACGAGGAGGAAGCGCGAGAGGCAGGTGCCGCGAGCAGTCGACGAACAGAGAGTAGTAGAAAACGATAATAAGCATATTATCCTCAAGAGAAAGGATTGTGCAAAAGGTGCAGAAGGTGTGGAGAATCGATGGTATTGTGAAGAATCGATGATATTGAATTTTGAGGTCCGAGGGATGGAATAGAGAGCATGCAAACAATGCTAAGCGTCAACACGCACAACTCGCAGCCGCGAGCTCAGCCCACTGGCGCGCCCGCCTACACGTACACAACCACACACTGACGCCGTAACCCGTCGAGCCGCGCACCCAGCTGAGATGATAGGTCGGGGCCAAGCGACCAGGCGAGCGCACGCCAGCGAGGCCCCAGACCCTGCGGCGGCGCTCGACAACCTCGTCGAACCAGTCCTGCTGCCTCAGATCGGTGCAGATCCACACGCTGCCGCCGCCGCCAAAGACGCCCGGCGCAGCAAAATCGAAGTGCCACTGGCAGAACGTCTGGGCTCGGGGGCGCGGCGGCCCAGGAGTCGTCTAGAACCTGTCGCGCTGCTTTGTGCGGTAGATGGTGTAGCCGACGTAGGCGCCGGTGATGGACAGACCAAAGAGGACAAACTTGACCAGGAACCAGGTCCAGCTGCCGCCTTCCGTGTCGCGCGACATGCTGCTGGCCGTCTTGCCGGGCTTGGTGGCGCCCGAGGCGGCGTTCTGGCCGGGGTTGCGCTTGTACAGGTTGTGGGACTTGACCGAGATGATGTCGAAGTTGTCGCTCAGCTCGCCCGTCTCGGCGCTGAAGCCCAGGTAGGCGACGGGCGGGACCTTGAAGTTGGGGATGTCGAAGCAGAGGGTGTACTCGTCTTCGGCCTTGTACTGCAGCTCGAGCTTCAGGAACGAGTCCTGGAAGTACGTCAGGCGCGCCTTGGTGGGGACCTGGGAGTTGCGGATTCCGCGGGCCTGCACCGACTGTTAGCCACTGAGCGCTTCTTGCAGGCGAGGGCGAGGGCGAGGGCGAGGGCGAGGGACGCGTACCGAGCAGCCGGCGACCTCGTTCGCCTTGCCGTCGTTGTCCTTGTCGTAGGCGGTCTGGCCGTCGCCGTTCATGGCAGCGATGTAGGGGAACACGGTGCCTGGACGGTTGTTCTTGTACGTGTCGAAGAAGATGCCCAGGCCCTCGAACTTGTCGGCGTGGCCGAAGACGGGCCCAGGCTGCGCGCGCTGCTTGGTGAGCCACATGGCGAAGCCGTCGCCGTACAGGTTGCCCTGGCCATGGACCTTGAATTCAACGACAATCTACGCGCGTGAGCTGCTGGGCAAGAGAGGACACGTCAAGACGGGTCAGGATGGGGTCGGCACACCTCCCAGTTTGTCGCCGTCAGCGGGACGCGCGAGAACAGCCAGCCGTCGCGCGAGGGCTTGTCCGAGGCCAGGCGGATGTACTGGTCGGTGCGGATGATGGTGTCGCCGCCATACTCCCACCAGCGGCTGTGCATGTCCGAGTCGAGGTATGGAGGCTCGAGGCTGTGTGTGCGGAGCGAGATGGCCTTGATGTCCGGGTCCTCGCTCAGCCCCAGACTAAGCACGCCCGTCAAGCTCCCCGCCAGCAAGCACAGGCTCGCCCATGGCTTTGTGAACAACATGCTCGCACGACGTCCCGGTCTGAGACGCTCTGGTGTCGCGCTCCCTCGGGGCAGCGGTTGGCGGTGGACTGGGCGCAGAGAACAGAGGCAGCCGCGGCTCCGGCGATTGGCTCGGAAAGCAGGCAGCGGGCACGAAGAGAAGAAGGCCGGGGCGACGGGCAGGTGGGTGGTGGACAGGCGGAGGCGCAAGTTGGCGTGCACATAGATGTGGATGCTTGTGATGAGTGGCCTTTCCACGCGGGAGAGCAGGGGTCCGGCCGCGGCACGCTACCTACCGACCGACGATTGGCCGATTGATCGATTGATCGATTGACCGATTGACGTCGACAAGTTGCATCGTACTTTTTTTATACAACCCGCCTCGACGATACAACGCCTCACAACGCCTCACAACGAGCCCACGCACTTCGATCGATCCAAGAATCCCGTCTCCGGATCCACGCCGCCATGGACGACAGCAAGATGCAGATCATGCGCCAGGTGCAGCAAGAAGCCGCCATGCAGAACGCGCGCATGCTGGTCGAGGCACGCACGCCCCCGTCCCTCCACTCGTGAATTACAGGCTGACTGTCCCGCAGAAGCTCAACGAACACTGCTTCGAGCGCTGCGTGCCCAAGCCCGGCACGAGTCTGTCGAGCGGCGAGGAGGGCTGCTTCAAGAGCTGCATGGAGAAGTACATGAGCGCCTGGAACACCGTCAGCAAGCAGTACGTCGCCCGCATACAGCGCGAGAGCGCCGCGGGGGGGCTGAGCATGTAAGCGTAAGGACGATCTGCGTAAACACAAGGACGACCTGCGTAAACACATGGACGACCTGCGTAAACACAAGGACGACCTGCGAGGAGAGAAATGAACAAGATCAAGAGACCGTGGTGCACCTTGAGAACGACATGGTGAGGGCCTGCGAGGAGAGAATCGAACGAGATCAAGAGACCAGCCCAGGCTGTATCATACCGTATCATACTGTACACTAGAAGACCCTGACGCCCATGTGTGCTGTACAAAATCTACATGTAATGCCGCTATGCATATGCTTCAACCGCTTCTCGCGCTCTCACGCTCTCACGCTCTCACGCTCTCACGCTCTCATGCTCTCATGCTCTCATACTCTCACGCTGCCTTGGAAACCCTTCTCAACATCCACTTCTCACCATCACGCCGCCGTGGCAACCCCTCCTCTTCAACAACCACTTCACGCAGCCTTGAACCCCTTCTGCTTCTGCGCAAACTCCCTAACTATAACCGAACAGCTCACCTCCTGACACAGCCTCTTCCTCCGCGCAGGGTCCAGCTTGGTCGCAAACTCCAGCCCGCTGGCGCGCTCGACCGCTTCGATAGGCACCTCAAAGTCCGTCAACGGCTTCTTGTTGTCGATGCGCGCATTCGGCAGCACAAAGGCGCCGAGCGCAACTTTGCCCCCCACGCTCCCGTCCTCGGCGAAGATGACCTTGTAGAAATGCGTCGGCACCGCCACGTTCGGCGGCGTGCCAATCATCTCGTAGCTGACGCGCCACTTCCCGTCCGCGTCGCGCTTGGGCAGGTACAACGGCCCCGTGACGATCCGGACGCTGGGGTACGAGCGCGTGAGGCGTCTGCAAAAGTCCTCAAAGTGCGCCCAGTAGTCGCGGTTGAACCCGTCACCGACCTGCGGGCACATGTTGCTCAACGCGAACGTGTCGTCCATGGCTTCCTGGCTCCACTTTGCGTCCGCCGCCGGCACCTGGTGCCCGCGGTCGTACCCGCTGCGGAAGTAGTCCTTCAGCTTCGCCCGAAACTTCTCCGGGATGCTGACGTCCTCGACGAACACGCTGTGCTTGCGGTCTGCATTGCTGGCGGCTAGTGACGCCGGCGTTATGTGCTCGGCCACCCACGCCGGGTTGCGCCGCTCGCGGTCGTACGCCGACGTGAGCGACGCCGCGGGGCGGAGGTCGTTGACGGGGCCGGGGAAGCCATACTGGAAGAGCCCGTTGGGGTCGACAATGGGCGTGCGGTACGCCGCGGCAGGAGCGGGCACCGACGGGATGGAGGGAATGGGCGCTGGTCGTGGAGGGCCGCTGACTGTTGTCGTGGTGGTCGTGGTGACGGGCGTGGGCGGCAGGCCGTCCTTCTTGGTCGAATAGAAGGCGGCTGTGGCTGCTGCGCCAGCCGCGGCACCGCCAGCTGCGATGATCGCGAACGTGACTTTCGACATGGTCGCGAGTCGAAGTGGCAGAGTGAAGGAGGTGTGAGAGTGTGGGCAGGCTGACAGTCACTCTTATCGGCAAAACCGCATCCAGAAGCAATCAGGTGCCTAGACGACGCGTGCGAAATGTCTCAGGCGCGTCGAGTCGTGCCCCAGTCGCTCGCTGGCCGTTGCTGGAGAGAGGTCATCTGTAGAATTTCCCGGCCGCGCCTTCCCTTCTTCGCTCTAGTCCCACACCGCCATCTGAACTTTGAGCCGCATCCTTCTTTCGTCATCAACCAGCACCATCAGCACGCAGTAAGAGGGGGGGTACATCAGGCATTGGGGAGAGATGGAACTGTGATGGAAAGAGCTGGAAAAGACTCTCGAAGATAATTCTTCTTACACACCGCCGACATGTCCTCGTGGATATCTCGCGCGACGGAGAGCCGCAATGCTCAGCTTGTGACCACTGCAGTGGTGTCCGGCGTAGTCGTTGCGAGCGCCATCCTTGGTCTCCAGAAGGCGAAGCGCATGTACAGAGTGGCCGATCTGAAAGCCTCCATACCAGACATCACCGATGATCATCACTCGACACGAGTAAGTCCAGATCCAACGTTACGACGGGACGAGTTCATTTCCATCTGCAATTTCTTGAACCTCAACCTCTGGTTTCTACGTCCCGAGTGTTCTCCCGCCCACACCCAATGTGTCCAACCAACCATCAAGCTCTTTCGAATACCCGACTGACACCCCCAGCTCACCGAATATGGCGCCGCCTCGTCAGTCTTCAAGCCCAGCAAAGAAGACGAACGCTCCATGGCCCTAGCAGCCCGTGCCCGCAAAGGTGACTACGACGACGACCTGATCCTGGAGCAGCTGGCACGCAACCGCGTCTTCCTCGGCGACGAGGGGCTTGAGAAGCTGCGCAACGCATTCATCATCATCGTCGGCTGCGGCGGTGTCGGTTCACACGCAGCCGCCGCGCTCGCGCGCTCAGGATGCTCGAAACTGCGCCTAATCGACTTCGACCAGGTGACTCTGTCGTCGCTAAACCGGCACGCGCTGGCCACGCTCGCCGACGTGGGGACGCCAAAGGTCCACTGCATCCGGCGGCAGCTCGAGAAGATCACGCCCTGGACGCACTTTGAATGCCTCAATGCCCTGTTCTCCGCACAGAGCGCACCGGCCCAATTAGCTCCCCTCGACTCGACGGGCCAAAAGCCAGACTTCGTCATCGACGCAATCGACAACATAGACTCAAAGGTCGCACTCCTGCACTACTGCCACGCAAACTCCATCCCCGTCATCTCCTCCATGGGCGCAGGCTGCAAGTCGGACCCGACGCGCCTCTTCATCGGCGACATCAGCACCTCGACCGACGACCCTCTATCGAAATCCACGCGGCGAAAACTGCGCCTTCTGGGCGTCCACAGCGGCATCCCCGTCGTGTACTCGACCGAGCGGCCCGGCCCGGGCAAGGCCGAGCTACAGCCGCTCAAGCAGGAGGAACTCGCCAAAGGCGACGTGGGCGAGCTCGGCGTGCTGGCCGACTTCCGCGTCCGCATCCTGCCCGTGCTGGGCACCATGCCGGCCATCTTCGGCCTCGCCGTCGCAAACCACGTCATAACCCTCATCTCAGGCTACCCCACCGCCTATCTGCCCTCCAAGTCGCGCGACAAGATGTACGACGGCATTCTGGGCGCGCTGCAGGGCGCCGAGGAACGACTGGCGCGCCACGTCACCGGCGCGCCGGCCCAGGGCCTCAAGATCCCCATCACCGTCGACGACGTCGCATTCCTCGTCGAGGAAGTGTACAGCGCGCGCTCCATCGTGTCCGGCCTCTCGACGCGGCTGTTTCTGACGCGCTGGGAGGCGCCCGCCGCTGCGATGCTGGATGGAAGTGTACCCGGGCAGAGAGCAAGCACGCTCAGGATGAACGAGCTGGTCGTCATGACCAAGGAGGAGATTGCGAAGCACGAGAAGGAGGTCCTGAAGGGGGGGCGGAGCGCGGAGGATGTCTGGGGCGAGGGGGTGGTGCGGCGGGTTGAGGCGCGATTGGCCGAGGAGCAAAGGTATGAGAGATTCAGGTGAGAGATAGGAAGGGGGGTTTCGGACATGGTGGGTTTTGTACGTGTACTTGTATTAGTATGAGGAAGGCCTGGAAGGCTCTACCATTTTGCTGCAGATACCACAGTTTGTGCTTTTTTCCCCCGGTTCATCTTTGGTTGTACTAACAGGTAGCCAACTGGAGTAGTACAAAGCCTCCAGGCTCTTCTGCATTCTTGCATACATACGAAACATAATCGCGACAAGCTTCAACAAGCTTCAACAAGCTTCAGCCCTGACGATGAATAGCAGTCTCGTGGACGTGATCAACCGCCATCTCACGCACCACGCTCGATACTTTTGCGCAGCGAAGGGATCTCTATCGACTCCATCATATGTCAAACATCGCCCCCAGAGCTCACTGCGACCGGGTGAGTCGCTGTCCCAGTACAAAGCCAAGACGTATTAGAGAGGATCAGCGTCGCGGGAACGGCGTGATAAGAAAAAAGCACCGGTGAAGGGCCATGGCCTCGGACTGCGTAGGGCGAGCGTGCAGAGAGGAAGGTCGACGACGATACCCTGGCTAATCTACTGAGGACTCAGCACGCAACACGAGTGAAGTGACAAGCTGATAGTGTCGGCGCGATGCTGGCAGGTTCGCCGAAGTGAGGCATAACGCAACCTCCGTCTATCCCTCAAACGAAGCGGGACCGCCAAGGACGACGTAGAGGGTCTAGTCGGACGTGCTGCAGTTCCTTGGAGCATCATCCATAACCGACCTGAACTGCCGCAATTCCAAAAGTAGCCTGGATCCTCTGCGTTGTCGGTATCCGACGCGTTGCCGTCCATTATGTCTTTTGCGATTCCGAACCACAGCCATTTAGTTAGGTGGTACTTAGTATTGCACTTGCTGGGAGGCGACCCACTACTTACCCCACCTATGGATTCGGCAGCGACGCTCTTGATCTTCGCCCACGCTGTCAAATGCCGAGTGCATATGCATGCGAGGTGTATTTGCATCCAAGGCCGCCCCGCCGAGAAGCCGTACATGCACACTGGTATACCTCGTGCAGATGTGCAACCTCCAAAGCTCCAGGTGATCTTCATCTCATGTTTAAGCCTGGCCCCAGTTTACATCTAGCGGAAATGCTGATAGGCGGCCTATAGTGCCATGTCTGCAAGTTGCCTAGAATGGACAACGAAACAGTTCGGCTTAGTCGAGCTTCCCGAATGAGACGAGCACGTGGGAGCATTCCAGAGTCGATCAGCAGAATGTGGCCCCCGACCAAACGGTGAACGAAACGCGGGCAGTCGTTTGTGAGGGTGGCTTCTGCCGAAGGAGCGGACAGAGCTGGCAAGAACAGGCGACCTTCCGTCTGGTGGGATCTTGATTGCATCCCGCGCGGTCAACTGCATCGCAAGCAGGCCCCCATGGCCAAAATGGTTGGTGACCAAATTCGATCAGTACACATAGTTCTTTTGTAAGAGTCGCCCTTTCCTAGGCGACGTTGTCTGCTGGTATTGCGGTTTGACGAGTCCTTGCGGCAAGGTGCAGGTGCAAAGCAAGAAACACTTTACCTGAGCCTCCGGATCGCAACGCCGCAGCAGAAGCGCGAAGGATCTGTAGGAAGCGTTGCAGCGGCCCACAGAGCCATGTCAGGGATGAAAGCCAACTCTATGCAGTGCCAAGCTATAGACGTGCTTGTGTTAAGAAAAAGCTAGTTCCAGGATAAACCGCCGTGCCGCGACCAGGGGAACGGGTTTGACGGTCCTCAATGGCCAACAGGGGTGAAGGCTCGCCGCTCGTGGATTCACGGGTGGAGAATCGCATGAGGTGATCGGTTTGCTGGAGGACAGGAGGCCCGATGCAGATTCGAGAGCGGAGCACATTCGGCAGTTTTGATGCTTCGTGATGTTGTGGACGCACCGCGTATGATGCTGCAAGTTGCTCCTCTGAGATGTTGAGAATAAGCAACTTTGAGCATCATCAAGATTATGTCTTGCATCACCGCGACGTAGGTGTGCGTAGACGTAATTTTGGCCCTGCAGGATGCCCAAAGCCGCTTGTCTCCATATTTTCTCGAACCTCGACAGATGCGGAAATCAAGGTGGTTGGTGTATAGATGGTACAGCGGTTTAGTATTTCGAACACCGTGTTCGTGCACCGTTACGTTGCCCCTGTCTCTCGTGCCTATTGCGTACTTAGCTGTGGCTTGTGAATCGATGGGCCGCCTCGCCTCGGAATCCTTCAATATCCCTGTTCCACGAGTCAAACGCCTCTTGTGTGACTTAATCGAGCGTTTGGGACTGAATGGCCAAATCTATGCATCGATCCAGGGTGGAGCGTTAGGTGTCAAACGGCAATTCTGGTATTTTATGGCGATTCTCCGACATCACAATCTGCTGTTGAGGTCTTGACTCGTGCTGTACGAAGTACTATCCAGCACGACTGGGTCAGGGGGTTTGCGGTTGCTTTTCCACCGCCCCGCGCCGAGGTCCCAATGTGCAAGGAAAGCACTGGCGAGACACCGATCGCGACTCGCGCATACACTGCGGTCGAAGAAACTGCAGCTGCAACCTCAGCTGTGGTGATACCGCGGATGCGCTCCGTGCCGCGGGTGGACAGCTGTGCTGCCTGCCGTTCTTGCAGGCGACAGGTACAAAAGCGTCTCGGACAGGTGAAGTAAGCAACCATGGCACTGAAAGTTTTGGGAAGCTCAGACTAGATACGTTCATTAGATCCATCAATCTGGGTAGAACATATCTTCCGTCAGCCCGCACCAGATGTCTGGATCAGATGTGGCATGGGCATGGTGAGGGGTTGCAGTTTCAAGGCCTTGTCGGTTCTGCCGAAACGAGAGATCGAGATGCGCGTGAGCGGATTTGTGATGGAGTGGGACGTGGGTGAGAAAGATTGCTTTTGTCATCGGTTGGACGTTTGAAAAAGGCTGATATTGTGGTAACACTACGTCACAAAGAGAGGGACGGTACCTGTCAGGTACGGGCAGGAGCGTTTCAGCCCTCCACCTCCAGACCCTTGCCTGCCAGGCACGCTCGGTGACGGATACGCCCGCCTCTGTGCTACCTCGCTCTGTTTGCACTGCTCGATCACAAGCCAAGTTTGGAAGATCAACCGCCGTTGAAAAATAGCAGACGCGCCTTGACCAATGAGATGCGCTTGAGTGGATGCGGGGATGAGCGCGCTCGCGCAGACCGAAGAGCGGTCTGAAGCTCTGCATTTTGGAGTGTTGTCGCCATCGAAAGGGAGTGAGGAGCTGTTGTGTAACCAGCCCTTTCCAGCGCGGCTTTGTGCGGAGATGGTGGAATCCGAACGGCGCGATTGCGATTTGTCGGCGATCAGATCCATGTTGCATCTGCACTCGTGTCACATATGCATATGCAGCTGGGGTGTCACGCGTCTCAAAAGCTCGTGACAGCGGTTTTCTTGCGGACTTTTGCTGGCTGGAAGGAGCAGGCGCTTGAGATTGAAAGACTGAGATCTCGAGGTTTGATCTGCGCCCTGTGGTCGATCTGGTCTCGCATCGAGACTGCACTTGGGCGTATCAGGTAGGTAATCATGGATACTCAACATATGATAAGGTAAAAGTGGTTGATTTGAAACGTTCATGTATCGACGCGCTAAAAGTCGCGATGCTCGTGTTCTCTAGGTATGATGAGTGAAGTAACCATGCTAAAGTGCAACCTTTGGCTGGCCAAGGAACACAGACGACCGAGTGGTATCCTTCGAGGAGACAATGAAATCAATCCAAGCCGAGCCGAAGACCGAGTAACGCAATGATTCGCCGATCCGGTCATAATTGTAAACAAAGCCTAGATAGGCAATCGCCGGGGGTATAGTGTCCGATAAAAAAAGCAATATGGGGTAGTAGAACTGTGATGTAGTAAGATGTAGCATGTACAAGAAATTTGTAGAGCTCAAGGGAGGGAGAGGAAAAGCATTAGTTCTCCTCCATAAGAGCTTCTTGGTCGCCAGACTCACGCCAGTTGCGTGAGCGTTCGGAGAGGCGCTTAACGCCTGAGATACGCTCGGCCCAGAGTGTTTCGGAGGGTGACCTATATGTGTATGCTCGTTGTGAAGAGATGACACCGATCGCCTGCAATACGGCCTTCCTTGAATCGCGACCGAAAACGGCAGGGTGATTGATCCATTCCAAGCTTGACTCCAGTTCGGCATCGAGGGCATGCATAGTCCTTGCGTCAATACCTGCCGCTGGAGTGAATGGAGCGTGTGGCGAAGGAGTGCGTGGTCGAGGGTCTCCAGCAGTGCTTTGTGTGGGCGAAGATGTTCCGGTGCTGCCAGTCGTGCTGGGTGCATCGTGGCGTCGCTGACCTGGTGGCGGTAGAGGAGGCAGTCCTCCCTTACCCAGTCCCTTTAGGATGCTTCGAGTCTCTTTGAGAAGATGGTGTGCTCGTTCATGTTGACCGCGCGAGACTAGCGTTAGAGCTCGTGTCAACATGTCCGACGTTAGAAGCTCCATGCGACGCTGGACTACATGTGGGTGAGGGGGAATGGGTGGTGTTGGTGGGAATGCCGTCGAAGCCTTCTTAGGACCAGAAGGTAGCAGGGTGATGGCAAGCAAGGATGGCCTTGCCAGGTGCGAAAGGGTACCTTCCCTAAGAATGTCGCCAAACGTAAGGTCGGCTTGAATCAAAGGCACCTCTTCGACGCTGAGTGTCCGCGAATCGTCCTGGTCCAGCGGGCCGCCCAGGGCCTCCAGGCCGGAGACGATGGTCTCCCAAGGGTCTTGCGGAAGCTGCTCTGGAGAACCCGAGTCTGGAGCAATGACAAGCTGCACTAAAACATCTAGTCTCCGTTAGCAAGGTCTTTGTGAGGCCAAATGTCTTACATACCTCGCTTGTCGCCGAAGCGCAGATCCCCCAAGGCGGCTTCAGCATCCCTACCAGTAGCTCGTTTCGTGATTTGCAATGCTCCACTGATCTTAACGAACTTGGCAGGCGAGCCCTCAGGAAGGCGCAGTTTGAGCTTCACGTTCTGGTGCGATGTAGTTTGGAGTGATCCGAGGCATCCAGCTACACACTCGCGCAACATCATCCAGTCCTTTACGTAAGTGTAGGATGCCTTAGTCCGAGTAGACAGCTCGATCATGGTGTCAGGCTTGTGAGTAAGACCGAGGCCAAATGAGTGAATTGAAACCCTAGAACAGGGTAAGTATGAAGTGGGAGCAGTGTGGGTTGGAGTACTTACTTTGCAGCCTCGGCACGCGAAATGACGAAGTCGACACTTTCAACATCAGAGGTGGACGAGTCGCTGATGAGTAGAATGCTTGCTAGCGGGTTGCTCGACTTGCGTTGCATCAGCAAATCCATGGCTACGTTGGCGCCGTCCACCACATCAGCACGGAGACTCTTCTGGCCTACAGGTCGTATAGAGTCGAGGACCTTGGGCCAGTCTCTCCATGCTTTGCTCGTCATACCGACAATGGGAACACCGCCTCCACTTGAGCCAAATGTCACGAGCCCCATACGATCGCGTTCACCGAGGTTGTGAACGAGGAATCTCAGAGTATCCCGCAGCAAGTTGATCTTCAAGCCCTGCATTGATGACGAGACAGGAATCACTACGACAACATCAATGGGCACGTGGATTGAGCCAGTCGGGCGTGGTTCTGGTGGACTAGCACGGGAGCTAGTGTACTCGGTGGGAGCGGTCATGGTCGATCGGGCAGCGCCATAGGAGGAGTTGACAGATGAAACGCGCTTCGGCCTCCGGTAGTCATCTTCCTCGGTTCCTGAATGGTCCTGATCGTAGTCTGGCATACCTCTGCCCACGGGGAAGTCTAGACGAATGTCCATCAAGGCTCGTCGCCACATCTCCAGCTGGCTTCTGTCTGGGAACTGTAGATGAAAAGAGGGAAGCTCTGCCACCGACAGGCTCAAGGTAAGGACGAAGTCATCGGGTGAATGTTCGACTTGGTTGAGATGCTTCTTGATCAGAATAGAGCCCTTCAGTGTGCACTTCGTCTTCTTCGACCTGGATGCCTTCGAGTCGTCCCCCCATTGGGGTTGAGCAGTCGTCTTCTTCTCTTTAACGCAGATGAGCATCTCTGAGAAGAGGTAGCACTCGAGCTCCTGCCATGACTGACGGTCCTTGCCAACACGGATCTGCCCATGCAGGCGCAGCTTACCAAAGCGGGAGAAGTCGAGACCGTGCCAGTTGTCGACACGAGAGTGCAAGTCCTCGGTGACCTCGTCCAGAACCTCTGCGGATTCGTATGGTGTGTCAAAATCGTAGGCGGCATGTCTGCTGCGTGCTGGTGACTTGGAGCGGCCAAACGAGCTCTCGGTTGCGCTTGCTATTGAGGGCAGGGTCGGTGCGCCTCGCACGTCTTCAGGGTCTGCCCGCCATTTCCCCTCCACCACCTCGACCGTCACCAGGCACGTCAAACTTTGTTGCTGCCGCGACCTGCTGAGTGTTGGAAACTCGCTACGGACTGTCACTGTCGGCGCCGGAATTGGGTTCTTCAAGAGCCCACGCGGGCTGCTGAGGCTTGTTTCCATCGACTGCACATCGTAGTCATGTCGCCGACCGTCCTGCGCCGCCGCATAGTCGTGTGAGGAAGCGGCACCAGTTGCACCGCTGTCACTACGCAAGTGCTGACGGGACACGGAGCCGCCACGGTCTGAGCCGCGCTCGCGACTATGGCTGCTGTCTCGCTGACGTGTGTGGTGCGAGGGCGCAAAACGGGCTGACGCGTCGCTGCCGTTGCGAGAGCGACCTTGTGTTTGACCACTGGCAGAGTGCATCGTCGACTGATTGTCCCACGGTGTTGGTGTGGGCGCGTTGCTCCGTTGGCTGCCGTTCTGCGTCGACGCGTCGGCCTGGACGGAACGGACTATTCTCTCTGCATTCTGCTGTCAGCAAACCCCAGCAAGAATCGCCCAGGTTGATACATACCGAGGTCAATGTTGCCTCCTCGACTCGTGTCGAGCCCCAGGGTTGCGTTGCATGTTGGGCACTCCTTGGCTTCGAATTCGCGGATGTATTCGTAGAAGCAGGCTTCGTGGGACACATGGCCACACGACAGCTGCAGGATGCGTTCGCCTCGCAGCGTGTGCTCCAGTGCCTCTTCACATACAGCACAATCGCTGCCTATGAAGGTCCGCTCTCGCCTAGTACGCGACCTCTCGATATCGAGCACAGCCGCCATGCCTCTGGCACTGTGCAATGGCGCCTGGCTGTTGGCGCTGACGTTATTTCGCTGCGCGTAGGAGGAGAAGGGCTTTGCAGTGGCGGTGGACGAGGTATTGTTGGAGCTGCGCGAGCCAGGACGCAATCCTCCTAGGAAAGTCATGAGCGGCCTGAGCTCCTAGACAAAGTCTCAATGGTTCAGGGCGCAGGTACCGTTGCTGTGATCTGCAGGGGATCTGAACTCGACGGCCTTCTTCCTGTTCTTCTTTTGATGCTTTTGGCCCACCACACCAAGTTCCAGCAGATTTGCTTCAATGCGGTTGTGTTCCTGGCGGTGGTGGGGGGCACTTGGACGTCTGGAGCCAGACAAAGAAGCATGAAAACCGTTCGACATGGAAGGGTCCCTGTCTGGAGCAAATGGCTTGTCTTTTGGTCGCTTCAAAGTCGTTTCAGCATGGACAGACACACGGAGGATCGCTGCGCAGTGCCCGCGAACCAGGTGGGACTTTTAGCTTCAAGACAGATACCGGCTCGTTCTGCAGCGTGCCGGGGTGGTGCGGACCGACACGATTCGGGTGAGGGAACCAGGGTCTGCAAAGGAACTTGGCTGCGCAATTGCAGCAGCAACGTCCTTCAACGACGTCAAAATGCAGAGGAAAAGATGCGAGTGGGGACCGGCGGGATTGGCTTTCCATGGTTATATCGTCCGTCTGCGACCGCGACCGAGGTGGGCTGCACCTACGGCGTTTGCTGGGAAGCCTAGCAGAGAACGGCGTGGCTGCAGGCATCAGGCTGCACTGTTTTCGGCGCCCCTGTTATGGCACGACGCCGCCGGCGCCCATGCAGCAGGGTTGTTGGCCGGAGCACAGGGCAGCAGTGATTAGGGAGTAATGGCGAGCAGGTCCAGGCTTTCAGCTGCGCCACAAGCGATACGATTGGCTCCAAAAATACACCGAGCGCCCAGCGTGGCGGGACGTCCCTTGGAAATCGTACACTGTCCTAGTTTGCTCTGTTCGACAAAAACGTCTGCGGCTAGGGATGGTCAGGAGAAGTCTGAACATGGCAAACAGTGACGAAAAGAGGATGGGCCCTGCTCGTAAGTTTTCAGCCCAATGCTCGACACAGCTGTCAATGGCCATGACTAGACATCACTAGCCGGATGACGCTCGCAGCATGCACATACGGCCGCTAGAAGTTGCTGACACCCTTCCATTCACGAAACGATTCAATGACGGACCTGTAGCCCTCATCTGTACTGTTCTCACGCCGCGGCCCAATGCTGCCCTTCGCAGTAGTGAACCGAGTCAGTCTCCTAGACAAAGTTTGGGACTTACGGGGGTACTGCAGAGATTGTACAGGACCAGCCCTCCATACCTACGGCTACACCTGCCGTAGCAGCAGCCTGCCATCATGAATCAATTGGAGCAGGTTGCGCTGTAACTCCAGGGTAATGTGTGGCGTGTTTACGCGCGCGCGCTCTGCAGCAAGACGAACATCAGCTGAGGACTAGTATTCTCAAACCTTATTTCTTCCAAGGCCGAAATCACGAGGAAGCACGTCCTTGTACCGACAACATAATGGAGCCTATACCGGTAGGTGACCAGTTGCCCGCTTGGAGTTGTTGGACTCGGTACAGCCATCCAAGCTGTCATCTGGTACATACACACAGCCATGCAGTTGCATGAAGCATGGCAAAATTGCTGACGACTTGTTAATGGGGCTGAGACAAACCGGATCGTCGGCGTTCAACGATCATCCTGAACGCGGTCGGTGTTGCAGAGATCTGCAACCAGTGGACGACTCCGGCCGTTGCGTTAGGTTCTCCTCCTCTTCTATACCAGGTATCCCGACCTTATCGTCTTCGTTTTTTATGCAATGTGGGTTTTCTTCTAAAACTATTCGTTCTTGATTGGATGCAACCTATTCTTCAGCTCTGATCGATGGCCACGAATCCTTACCATTCGGTCTGACTGGCCGCAGCCACTCGTCTATGAAGCTGGATCCAGCAGTCCTTACTCGTGGTCACTTATGACTTGAATCTTGGTTAGGAGACGTATGGTACTCGTCAGCTTTCGATGTCATCTCGACTGATGTTTGGATCAAGGTCACGCCTTGTACAACCGTGCAGCCACGTGTGTTACAGATGTCGCGATGGGCTTCAACCTCGACAGGGAACAGTCTCTGACCATCATTTGAATGGATTTTCCCACACATGTTTCGAAGTTTGGGATCATCCACGAAGAAACGCTGGATCCTAGATGCTCACTGGTAAATTATGAATTCTGATTCGCGGGTGGATGCGAGCATCATGTCCTTTATTCTCCACTTACCGAACCTCCCTCGTGGGTCTATCTCATGGACTTGCTCTGACGCGTCTTGAGTCATGCATTCGACTGTTCTCCAAGTCTTCGATGCCGCAGGTATTAGCGGACAGGCTCCGATGCCTTGTCTAGATTGCACTACTGCGTATTCTGCTTATTGAGTCCTCGATTACAGGGTGTGGCCACGTCGGCTCGTACACCTGTAGGTCCCAACATCTTTGTAGCAAGTAGGAGTTGCTCCTGACGCTGAGTGGTTGGCTCACACTTCTGGTAGCTATAAGGAGATCGGGCTGGACGAGCCGCCGCGGCCACACCAACTCGCAGGTGCTTCTATGTTTGTATGTCCCCGTTCGTACGACTCACGGATATCAGCCGGTAGCGTATCGGACACAGTACCTAGACTTGCCCTGATCATATCTCGCTTAGGTCGCTTGGCACCAGTCTCATTTCAGTAAACGGAATCGGCATCTGTGGTGGTTCATCGTTATTGCAGCGCCAAATCTCGACAAATGCGGACGCCCAAGGTCTACTTCGTAAGCCATCAAAGCCAAGTCCCTTCCATCGGGCTTCGCAGCTGGCGTTTCATGATCATCATTCACCTGTGGCGCAAATACAGCGTTACCGCATCTTAATTCCGTCACTGCTGGTTGTTGTTCCACCTCGGTTCGCTCTCATCTAGCGCAGCCACGCGAAACCACCAGTTTGACACCGTCAAAGCACGAGACACCCACACGGCAAGCTTGCTCTTCCCCGCCCACTAGATGACACGGAGTTCCTGTGCCAGCCGCACGATGATGCAACCTCTCAGGGCGATTCCCGTTTGATGGCTCTCCGGGTTCTCCACTCCTTCTCGAAAGATGCTATCGAAAACCTTCTTCGGCTCGCTGCTGTCGTTGCCCAATTTCGCGCAGAAGCAACGTCAGTTCTGAAAGCAATTCTTCGGGCTCCAAGAAAGGGGGAAGATTTATACGTCGAGAGAGATGCAACAATAGTCGTGAGCAACAACACCAAGCTTCGTTCGCGACCATAGATTACCAGCCGCACTTCTGCCGAGTGCCAAATGGTGTATGACGATCGCTTCTATTTCTGCAATCTTGCTTTGGGAGCCCAACTCGTACTTTTTGCAATGAGGCCGGAGGCTGCTCCGCAGCTATCATCACACTCTTAAACTCGTGGCTTCAGGGGACTCACGTGCTTGCACATCGCCGTTTTCATAATACCAGCACATACGGGTCACGAGGGTCGCAGCTACTGTGCTCTTGATGCAGGTCACACTACTGCAGATCCGTGACGGGCCTTTGGGCAGCTTCGCGATTTCGTCATAGCTTGTAGTCTGCCTCGCCATGACGACTCTGCATAAGTTCGAAACGACACTTACGCACAACTGCCAGCGTCCGTTGGGCAAAGGTGTCGGGACGGGACGGAGAGGGCTCCGCTTTCTCTCGCCCACTACTGAACTTTACACAGTGAAGCTCGGGTCAACGTCTTCATCCACTTTTTTATGGTACCTTAGGTGAAGATCCCAGATCTTGACTAGCACCTTGACACCCCAACACTTAGGCTATAGGATGTCAAGACGAACCGCCTCAGCGACAGCTTGAACCAGCGGGAGCGATTCTAAACACCAAATTTAGTCCCAGCGCATTGAGCTGGTGAAAGCGATCGACCGCGAAGCACACCCTCAGGTCGTCATCCTCCATCTGCCGAAAAAGCCGTCAAAGCCACACAGTTATGACTTTCCCCAACGGACTAATTCTCAAGCACACTTTTTTCGCGCTCACGTGCACCGACTTGCGGCGTAGCCTTGTTTTAACAAGCGATAATCATTCATAAGCCGGCATCTGGACATGCACAAACTGCTGAATCTCAAATGCCGAAAACACTTCCCTGGAGAACGACTTCTGCCGTTATGTGTTACAACACGGACATGTCAACCTACGTCGCGAATTGCACATAGTGTTTCGTTTCAACAACGATCTGCGAACGATGCGGTTATTTATGCCCAGGATTCCAAGGCCACTAAAAAGAAATGTGTTACCCGCGGTCTACCTAGTCGTTCAGGTCAGCACCGATCTCCCACTGGCACCCGGCGACAGTGACATGCCGTGAACGCCTGACCTCCTGCACGCCAAAACAAGACTCTACTGAATAAGTCTGGGAAACGTGGCGAACTACAGTCGTGGTACTCCAATCCAATCAAAAGTGATCCGTCCCGCCTGCAAGCCTCTCGCGTGGCTCTATGCAGGTGCGCCCATAGTTCTCGTGTACTCATGCACGTCTCGAATTAGGCTCACTTGACATAGCAATTGCCACAGTGGCCTTATCAGAAGCAGAAAATGCTCTCGATCGGTAATAAGGACAGGGCGTTGGGTTCCAGTGAATAGCCAAGGGTACAATACGGAGATGCACACAAACCCACCAACCGCAACAGTTCACAGCCGCGCTATCAAGCTTGGACTCCAATGCATAACTCTGTAGCTCACAGCTTCCTTATTTACAGGGTAGGCTACTGCCTGTGCCCTGAACCTACCAACTGATGTCTGCAGACGCATATCAAAGGCCCTTGGCACATCTACGCGTGATTCCACTCTGTCGGGTTACCAATACCATGGTCGCCCATAATCCGTGGCTATGAATACGCACGATTTGACATCTGGATACAGTTTCTGGATCACCCATGCACCAAGTGAAGCTGGACACGAAGCCATGTGCTTGCCCGATTGCAATGACCGGCGGGCTCTGAAAGATGACATACAACATACTTTATGGATATATCAGTCATGAACGATTTATTCAAGGTTTTGTACTAATCGCTGCCTTTGATCAAAATACTTTTGGACTCACGCCTCAGTACACTGCCTTGTCTAATGCTGGGCACTCGTTGAATTAGGCACCTACTCTAGGGCTTGTTGCCTCCTGCGCGTTACAATGTCGAGAATCTCCAGGCCTCTGCATCACCTTGCGTTCTGACTGACATCAAAGGGTAAGATCTCAATCAACAGTCTTGCTGGTGTATGTCGAAGACGCTTTGTGGAATTTAAATTTTTCATGGGCTTGCGTGCAAGTGTCAAGATGCACAGCAATGGGTTCTAGAGCATTGCTGATATTGAAGTAACACTGTTGTGCAACCACAGTCGAACAAAAGCACTTTAATCAATCGTGGTTGACACTGCTCTCAGGAGTGCTCCGCGCGCCCCCGATGGCAACCGCCTCTCCAGATCTACGCTAGTGAACTTCAAAGAACATCATTGAACCTCTACTGCTGCTAGAAATGCATCAAGGAACAACATTCGCATTGAGTATGGCTTCGATCATCTCAGTTTGAATCGCACCATGATCTCGATCCATCACAGTGGAAGTGTGTCGGTAGGAGACTTTCTCGAATCACCGGCTGTATGCAGGGTCATCTTAAGCTCACTGGGTTATCCCAACGCTCATTGTAAGCGCACTGCAATGGTCTTTGAGTTGTTCGATCAACATGTCAAGGGAAAGTCTCTGATCCCTTTTACGATGATCGATGACGGTCGTGAGGGGGTACTTTCCGTTTCACAGCGGCACGAACCATATCCGGGCAGATCCTCGGAAGGGTGAAAAGAATGGTGCCAGACTCGCGCCTCTGCTTCTGTGTTGAATTTGCCAGTGTTCGATTATAGTAGACTTGGGCCCGCAGTCCGAGACGCCATTGTTTATGATGCGAGGACTGCGTATGGAACCTTCTCCATCTTTGTTTCAGCCAAACGGACTCTCTCAATATTTATAACTCATATGTGTAGGTCAAAATTGAGCGAGTTCCCTTTATCTGCACAAAGTTGCCATGTAACGAGTGGTAAAATGAGCCTGGAATGACAGGCACTTAGGTTAGCCATAAGATCAGGCGGTGTTCCTTCAAGCTCGTATTGAGGCTAGTTACACGGCATTTGCTTATATCTTTAACAAGGTGGCCACGCGGCGTGAGCCCCATAAGTATGATGACAGGTCACAAGCTCACCGCACTTCGAGTACTAGCGCCCTGAGCTATATGAAAGTTCGACTCCTGTTACAGCGTGGAACAATAAAAGTGCGACAGGCCAGAATACTGAGATCCAATGTTCGGAGCAGCTGAAATGATAGGCGGATGGAGGCAACATTGCAAAGACAGTGAGATCTTTTGAGACGGAGAGCAATCAGGAATTGTCCCCACATATGTACTCCATCGGAAGTTGACAAGAGCTGCTGCTAGAGCCCGAAATTCTTCTTGACTCCTTCCGCTTCGAGATAGCAACAGTCTCTAATTTGCAAACGCAAACGCCAGTTTTCACAGAATGGGGTCAGATTGGGACGAGTCGCGAAGAAATCACAGTCACCTACAACATAGCATCAAGCCTGAAGCATCAGATTCCCGAATAGGGTTGTGATATCAACACGAAATTCTAGCAGGGAGCCGCGTACCAGTTACTTATTCGTGCAATCCCTAGCATGCTGGAGTATGCTTTCTTCACACTCCTCGAACTACTTGTGATCAGTTTTGGTAGTTATAGGATCCCACTCGTCCAGCAGATTGACCGTCTCCTCGATTTTCTGACGAACCCCAGTTGAACAGTCCGAACCCAGAACGATACGCATCGGAATATCCTTTCCCTTGGAAGCGCCACTCTTCGTCAGAATATCCACTATAACCTTTGAGCCCTTGACAACATCACCCGGCTGATTATTGTCCACCTGACTGAGCCTTACCCTGACCTGACCAACGGCAGTCTCGTCATACTCCGTTATTTGCTTCTCACTCTGGATCCGCGTACTTGCATTGAGGAAGCCAGTGCGGAAGTATCCCGGCTCAACAACGGTCACAGAGATCCCCAGCGGTGCAAGCTCACTGCGCATTGACTCGGAGATGCCACTGCATGCCCACTTGGTGCCAACATAGAGCCCGAAACCGGCACCGCCACGCCATGAGCCGATACTGCCGAAGTTCGAGATGGTGCGGTGACCAGAAGTAGCACGGATGTAAGGCAAGAAGGCTTTCGAGACATTTAGCATGCCGAAGACGTTGGTGTTGAACTGGTCGAAGTCCTCTTTGGGCCTGTATCTCGTTAAATCCGTACCTTCGAGACCCACTGAGCGGCACAAACGCGACCTACGAAGTTTCCTCAATTGCACCGACGAGGATGTAGCCAGCTGCGTTCACCAGATGATTGATGTAGCCATACTGCTCGTTGGCCTCTTTCGCAACCCTCTCAATGCCTGCTTGGGGTGCTGTCACGTCGAGAGTCACCGTCACTGCACCGTTCTCTTTTAGGTCGGCGATATGAGACGTGATGCGTGCGCTGGCGATGACCTTGTGACCGCGCGAGAGAGCCTCAAGGGCTATGTACTTGCCGAAGCCGCTCGAGGCTGCTGTGATGAACCAGACGGGCGGTTGAGAAGACATACTTCGTGTGTGGGTGATTTGATTGCGACTTCTTTACGGGAAGAGAGGTTAGCAATGTCGAGGGGAAGTTAGATGTCTGTGATATGAAAAGTGGTTCTGGTGCAAGCAAAGTGTATCGCCGCGCGTACCAGCCTGCCTTTATAGCATGCTTTCGCACGAACACTCCTGCCGTCGGTCTTATGTCCGACACCACGACATGATTTCGGCGCATAATGCCTGCCTTAGATTGTCCGAAGCGGTGTTCTCAGAGAAGTAAACGGTGATCGGCTAGAGGCTTCGACCACAGACAGACTCCTTTTAATCGGTCACAAGCATCTTATTTCGAGAAGCAGATGAGTCAGCTGGTCTGATTCGCAGCTCTTCGGAGCACCTTCTTGGCTTTACGGGGGTTGTGGTGGATGTTTGGTTGAGCTGGGTGAGGGAGAAGGCGGGGTTGGGGCAGGCGAGGGAGCGCCGACGGCTTTCGGTGACCCATAGAATCCTCGCTGACATACACACGTCGTAATTACGAACGCATATGCGCGTGACATATATGTGTGCTACCTGCAGCATTTTTGCAACGGCATGTTTGTATGCACGCCTTGGAACACTCTCCATCAAAACTAGGCTGTCCGTTGTCTCACCATGATCCGTGACGTATTAGTCCCAAACACAAGCACATCGCGCTTACAAGTGTCGCCCTCCTCCTCAGCAAAGTATTAAACGCTTGCTTGTATTCCTATCAAAATATAATAATCCTCCAATGGCCGAGCACGGAACCCCATTTGTCTCTGTTTTGCAAGCCATTGCACTCGTGGCACCGAGTCTTTACACGGGTACGTGTTTGACTAACGGTTCTACAGAGCTGTGCTGACGCGCTTCGAGGTCTCACATTCACTTATAGCCATGTCGCGATACCACCAATGACCACCCATGCACCGCCGAAGCTGTTAGCGAAGCAGTGGCTACAAGCCTACCAATTTGGTCCTGCCTTTGTCGCGCCTCTTATCCTTCTTGGCACCTCAAGCAACGCGCTGTTAGCTTATATGACCAACGATTCGAAGTCGCATACGTCCCATCTCTATGCAGTAGCGTCTACCTTGACTGCTAGCATTATCCCATATACGGCGCTGTACATGGAGCCTGGTGTCAATGGCGCCGGGAAGTGGAAAGTTCAGGAACTGCTGCGAGGGGAATTCGAGCTTAAGGGCGTAGGCCAGGGCACGGATAAAGACACTGCGAGAGCCAGCTGGAAGAGCTGGGCAGAAAAAGTGGACATGAAGACGATCGTAGAACTGTGGGCAAGGACAAATGCATGGCGGTATGTGATCACAGGTACAGCTACCTTGGTCAGTGCGACCGCCACGGTCACGAGCACTTGACATGCTCACACCCTCATCACGGTACAGTCATATTCTGGTCCTCTAGGTTTGTCTTCCACCCAGCAACATCCTTAACCAGGATCACACCGACGCCCCCCTCGACGCATGCTACGGCCTTACTCCAGACCTCGCAGTCATCGGACAGTACTGTAATCACACTACATACATTGCTAGCCTCTAAGCTCTTACGAATGCCATATTCGCCATCGTCAACTTGCTCGAACTTCTCTACGTGTAGAGCAACCGTGGCATCCTCGATGTGGGACCCAGGTTCGGTCAGAGCGTATATGCGAGCCACACGTTTCCATGTCGCAGCGATCTGAGCAAGACGTATACAATATTGTGAGCAAGACTTACTCTTGCCGCACCTGAAGTGGCGTGGAAATTTAGAATGCGGTTGAATGCGCATGGTGCGAAAAAAGGCACTGTGCAGTTTAGAGGTGGGAAGGCAGGGAAACATCAAGGTAAGTTGGCTAGTGTGTCGCCGAACTTGAACCCAGGAGGTGTGGTAAGCGAGTGAAACGTGGACTTGACAGACGTCATTAGGGTTCGCGGAGGGAATCTAGATGGCCAAGGCAAGCGGTTAACGGAAGTGAGTTATAACGCCGAGTTGACGCTCGATACTGAGAGTCCGAACATGTACGTGCCGACCGTACTATACCAAAGCAGTGTGGAAGGTCTCAATGCGACGTCGCAAAACTGAAGGCCTAAGCTGCGACTCGGCGTGCCACAATCGGAGAATCCTTAGTTACAGATTTCCTGTATCGATGTTGATCCTTTGTGCTTTCTTCAGAAAAAACCTCAGAATCATGCTATGGTACACTTCAAGAGGGCCTTACAGTGTTCGATTGTCGTACCTACATTGCTTCGCTTCACGACCAACTATGCAGCGACATTCCTATTTCATTCCAGACCATCAGCCATTCTTCGGCGCGGCACCAAGGCCCGATCCACCACCAAAAACATCATTCGCCCCCCAAGAACTGCCCATATGCTGCACAGATTGATCGTCGCATTCTCATGCCCCCAGTCAAGGCGGATCGACAGCCGCTGAATACAGACATTTTACGCGACGAATGCGGAAGTGGTAGAGCAACCATTTTCTGGCGCTCGTATGTCCACAAGCACCTCCTCTACCTCCAATGTGCTGGCATTATCCATGAGGACTTACTTCTGCCTCTCGAAGAGACAGGCTCCTGATCATGGGAGCATGGTAACAATATCCCGATGACATTGACGCGTTTGAAGATGCACCTGAGGACGTCAAAATCCATGGAAACAGCCACATGGCGCGATATAGATATTAAGATTCAATCTTCATCGTCATAAAGCACTGGACCTGGTTTTGCAGCGTCCTAAACACTTAATTGGGAAGGCCAAGGTACTTGCCAACGGGCTTGCAGGTGTTAGATATCGATGAGCATTCTGAAGCAGAATGCGTGAGCTGCGACCATACATTTGGCGTTGATGGAGATTGTCATGACAGGATGCAAATATGTCTTTGTTCACGATTACACAGTCAAATGGATGTGTAAACACGACTCGTGTCCTATGTGCCGGCGGAAACTGAATTGACCACGAGACGTCACTGGAATAGGGGAGCACAGGCTCTCACTATATGTCTAAGAATCTACATGTACTATTCCCTTACACAGAAAAACTCGTAAATTACTAGAGCAGCCTAACTGCTCTCGTCCTATATAGTCTTAGACTTACACAGGACGTTAAACTAATCAATCAATCAATCAATCAGTCACTGGAATAGGGTCATTGGAATGTATGTGAGTTGAGACTAGGCACTGGCGGTGCCCTTTGATAAGGTATTGTAAGTATCTAATTCTGTCCCATGCCGTCGTCCGCACTGGCGCGATGCGCATAGTATATTCAATGAACTTTTTCCTGAAAAGCAACGCTGTCATGCTAAGCTACGCCTGCATAGCAGTCCCTCAGGACAATGTATTAAGAAATCGTAAGTGTAAAGTTTGATGTCCTGAACGGAAGTGGTGATCTACTGGCGGGGCGTCGAACCAAGTAGGCGGCCAAGACTCCCGTTGGCGGGCGACAACGAAGGCACGGGTGATTTCGCATACATGATTTCGCCTCCGATGTTGCTCATTGATGTTCTCGAGACGGGTGGTGCCTTGAAGTTGTACGACTGTTTGGGACTCGACGCACCGGTCATGGGTGTGACGAGGTCAATAGACTTAGATGCGTACGATAAGCCATGTGTCCTGGGTGGTAGTGGTCGGTTGTGGAAAGGCTGAGTGTAGGGGGTGTACGGGAGCGAGAAGCTATAGGACGACGCAGGAGTATGTGACAAGGAAGGTGCAGCACTGAAGTTGGCCGAGGACGTCGATGCGCGCTCATAGCGAGGTCGGATGGGCCACACGGTGTCAGCTCCACTGGAAATGTTCTGGAATTGACGGAGGTAGTTGGACGCATCGGAGTCAGAGCGGTGGTAGTCATCATCTACTGAACCTTCCGAGGAGGCATACGAATTGCGCTTAGAGTGGGACTGAGTAGGCGAGCGTTGTGGGATGATGTCGGGGAAGTGAAGGTCGTCAAATGTGAAGTTGGTGAAGGGTGTTGTTGGAGGTGAGTAGTCGTAGAACGTGAGGCTCTTCTCAGCGTCCTTCTTCTTGCAGCTGGACCAATGTTAACATGGATTGGTCAAGTGTTACATCGTAAGTATTGCTTACCTCTCCGAGCAGTACAACACAGAGTTGCTTGGTACAATGATTTGCTTTTCGCAGACAGTGCTACAGCCGACATCAGCGACAGCCCATAGCATCAATTCCGTCAACGTACCAGTAGTTCAGAAAGCTCACGGCCATCGGATCCTCGTCTTCGTCGTCGACAACTTCCCGGTGCTGAACGGCGTGCGAGTTGACTTTCCTTCCGTGGGAACCTGAGCGTTTCGATAAAGGGGTAGGCCTTGAAGTCCTTGCGTGGGTCGGATGCGCCTTTTTGGAGTGATGCGATGGGTGGCGGACGTGATGGGTAGCCATGTTGAGGTGCGATGTATATTTATTAAAAGCCTCACTGGACTCAAATCGTGCACGGTTCGTCGTGATGCGCAATTGCTACGAGCTGAGAATCACGAAGAAGCGGTAAGTGCACAGCCCTTGGAAGTGCAGATGACGGAAGGACGTGCGTCTTTGTTTAGAATCGTTATCTTCGATCTTCCTGCAGCCTATGGATTAACCCAGGGCCAATTTTCGGTAATGGAATTTCGTAGATAAGACGAGGCATGCACGGTTCCTTCCCGCTTTAAAGGAACCGTTGTGATACGAAGAATGTATGAAGAAAGCAGCAAACTTACAGTGCCGTTTGATAAGGGGTGCAACAGCGACCTCGGGAGCGCGAAAGGGAGGCTGTCGAAAGAAGGAACAGCGCAGTAGCGCTGCCGGTGCGATCGTCGTGAGCGATAAGAACTTCGAGGGACAGGGACAATGCCGAGGGTTGCCAGTTGATGTACGGATTTCGACGGCTGTAGCTATTTGAAGAGATAACTACCTATCGTCAATCGAGAGCGGCAGGCACTGGTATTAAGTAGCTGAGGGATTCTGTGGGTACCGAATTCTAGAACACTGTTGACGACAACGGCCGACTAAATTTATGGAGTTATCGTACGCGTGGAGGTGATGATACGCGGTTCGCACGCCATCTCCAAGCGTTCGGCTGACTCTTCGCTGCCTGCACCCCACATCGCGTCCACCACGGTGCCTTGTTGCAACAGGTCAATTCAGAGTTTTTCCCTCTGCAAGACAGCAAGGGAGGCAGGTACTCTGCATAGGAAGAGAAGCCGGTGGTGCGACACACCAATCGCAACCTTGAGTCCATCCACGATACGGCCCTGATCTCACAAGCCCCACGTCCTGCAACACTGGTGCAAATCCGGTTGCATAGTACAACACACTGCGGGTACCAAGGTACTCTGTGCAGCTGTCCATTCAGGTGCCTGTGACTGCTCGAGAACGATCACGTCTTGTATCACGATCTCTGTTGCGACAATGAGCACTGATGGCGAATGCGTGCGTGTCACCACCCCTCTTTGGGGTTACCGTATCCGAGCTTCCGCTGAGGTAATAGAAACTCGGCTGGACATCCGAGAGTCAAAAGAATATGCTCACCGCGCAGGAGAGATCACCAGTCGGAAACATATGCCTCATCCGCGTGCTTGATACAGGGTACGTCGTCGTTGCAGATGCATCTGCGTGGGCAAATCGCTGGACAACCCGAGTGTGCCTAGCCGTAACACGCCGTGCATTCTGACCAATGAACGATCGCAGTCAGGCCACATCAACATCTGAAGATCTTGCACAAGAAACTTGAACACCCTTGACTTGAGACATTACTGCGTGCAGGATTGCAGGTACGCTACAGGTTGTGAAGTGTGGTCTAGACCAACTCGATGATGAGAAAGGTACGCGCCGTGTCGATCAGACAAAAAATGGGTCCTTATGAGCTGTCTGCGGTTTGGTGACGCGCCAGATTTGGATCGGGGTGGACGTTGGGTAGAAGGGTCCTGCCTGTTCAGGCTCTGGTATTGGCGGAAAGCCGAGCTGCTCAAACTTGAAACCATTCCGCCCTAGTCACCCCACAAGGTCAGCGACAACACAAATGACGATGAGGAATACCCACTACACGCGTTCAGAAAAGTCTCGAACGTAGCCTCATTGCGAATCGTTGCCGATATGAGAACCTCGAGAGCTGGATTCAAGTCGACAAATTCATTCATCGTAGACACTAGGCGTGGAATGACGGTCTTGTCATAGGTCTGCTCATGTGTTAAGGTCAGGCTTCCCTGTCGAGCGGCCATGACGGTGCACTTACGACGTCTGCACCGAGGAGGACATTCGGCACTTCCATTCCATAGTCCTCAGAGAATGCCGTTGCATTGACGGGCCAACCCCATTTGAGCGCAGCTGTTCGAACTTGACATCCGTGGGAGTTGTCTACATCGAGGCCGTTGAGAAACAAGTTGGTTTTAATGGTATCAACGACAGCTTCATCGCCATCAGTGGCAACAACGCCAGCTGCTCCGAGGTGCTTTGCACACAGGATGGAGATAATGCCGGTACCTGCGCCGAGTTCAAACACCCTCTTCCCTTTGATCATCCCTCGGCCATGTTCGCTGCTCAGGTACGAGCCCAATAGTAATGCCGCTTCCCAAGTCCGGAGTCCAGTGGTGCCGGACCCTGAGATGACAGATCGAGCTTCGAGGAGCGTGACTGCCCGCTCTTCCGAGGCGCTGTCGTCAGCTGAGTGGAGTGGATACGAGTATGTCACGAAAGCTTTTTGTTGAGCGGAGTCGGCCTCGGAGGGTACGTTGGAGGTGAGTAACGTTGACATTGCAGACATGAGGTCATCTGAAATCTCCTGCATGGTGAGAAAGCAGACTGTCAGCAGCTGAAGGTGGTGAAATCTCGAGCATTGCCGAGGAATGAAGTATCGTATTCGAGCAGTATGAACAGTGTAGACAAAGCCCGGTCGCAGGCACATTGGACAGACGACTCGAAGAAATAGGAAACCGTACATCCTCCTCGGGATCGACAATCGACCGTTCTAGCTTGGCGATGAGAAGCTTCAACACTCTGAGCTGGTAACGTTCTGGCGGCGGCGACTTAATGCTGCTCGCGTCAAACATGCGCAGGAAAATCCATGCCTGCACTTCGGGCCTCGTCAGGACCCGCGCGTCGAGCCATCTCAGATGGTATGGCTCTACCAGCTGGAGATACTGGCGCTGTAAGATCCGCAGCTGCACCAGCTCGTCTGGCACGATGCTCATATTTGCACTGGCTGCAATGTGTGATGTGAGGAGAACACAGAAGAAGTCACGGGATGCAGAAGGTGTTGTTCGGTGTGTTGATGTTGCTGACGCGGGGCCCTCTGCCAAATTCAATGTTCGTGGTTGCGGCTGCCGACTTTAGCGCGCCAAGGCCCAAGCGAGGCAGGCGCACTCGCGCTGGTCGCAAATTCACACGACACGATCTTGACCGTTTCGACAGCCTCCTGCGTTACTAACACAGCCCATCGACAACAGAAGGTTCGATTCGTCAAGTACGTCAGTAGCGAACCTCTGCACCGCCATCGGTCCTACCCTTCGGACACTGACAATCCCGCTCAGGTCGAAAGTCCAACCTCCAACATGGCCGATTCTCAGGTTACTCTGCGCACGCGCAAGTTCATCCGCAACCCCCTCCTCGGACGCCGCCAGATGGTCGTGTAAGTGCAGCGTGCACCGGGCAAGCAATTGCGAAGGACAGGCTCTGACATTGCTGTGTAGCGATGTCCTCCACCCCAACCGCGCCAACGTCTCCAAGGACGAGCTCCGTGGCAAGCTCGGTGAGCTCTACAAGGCCAAGAAGGACGATGTCTCTGTCTTCGGCTTCAAGACACACTTCGGTGGTGGCAAGAGCACCGGCTTCGCCCTCATCTACGACTCCGCCGAGGCCATGAAGAAGTTCGAGCCCCGCTACAGGCTCGTCAGATACGGCATGGCCACCAAGGTCGAGAAGGCCTCTAGGCAGCAGCGTACGTTCCGATCCACCACGCACACACTGTCGAGGATCTGGCACTGGTTCCGGATAGTGTGGTGAAGGATCCATGCTGACAATCGCACAGGCAAGCAGCGCAAGAACAGGATGAAGGAGCTCCGGGGCACAGCCAAGACCAAGGGTGGCGCGAAGAAGGACAAGAAATAAGCGGTTTCGCTACGACAATGATCACGACGAAGGTCATGTTCGGGGTGGAGCGGCGATTCTTCTGGGACTGGTTCGCCTGGTTCTTTATCATGGTGGACATGGAGTTGCAGCGGGCATCGGCATCGTGTACAGCAACTGCGAACGCCTGAAAATTACTTGCGGACAGGAACGACACTACGGATGGCGTTTGAGATTCCTTGTCTGCTAACCATCAATGCATATCATGGATCTTTCGATTTTCCAAACAACGCCATCAATTCGCACTTCCACCCTCCGCGCCCAGTCCCATCCTTTTTACCAACTTGTTTGTAACAATCGGCAGTGGTTCGCTATTGCCTGTCGATTTTGAACTCCGGCCTGCTTTTCAGATGTCATTCGCGAAAAAACGCCGATGCCTGTAGATCTCATGCCGCAGCTACCTGAGTTATGCCAATTCGTGAGCCGGGGTCGATAGATCCCATGCACGCAGAAACGATAGTTCCTGATTCTCACATGCTGTTGCATCGGCACGCTTCACTCGCTATGCACCTGCTTGATCACTCCCGCTGCAATATTGTAGCAGTATCGCAATTTGTATAACTACTCAGGTTTGTCTGAACGCAAAGTCCACGTGCACGAGTCGGACATATAATCTCGTTCTATCGTTCGCTCTTTCTCCGGAGACATTGCAGTGGTCAGGAAATGTTCGCGACTGCCTTCCCCGGACGCGACTCTGATTAGTCAGGTCCTTAGCGCGGTGAGCTCGTCGGTTGGAAGCTTCGAAGCTCATCCACAAAGAAAGCGCGTTCCAAGGCAGCAAGCGCCCTTTGAGGTGCTCTCACCACCTCGACACCCGCATACACACCTCACACCGTCCATACATTATTACGCGATTCACAATGCCGTCCTCCGTGCCGGTGCACGCGCCGCCGCCGCAGATGCCCGGCAACCTCGTGCCTAACGAAGATGCTCGAGGTCTCAAGGAAGATGTCGCAGCGCTTCTGGAGCGTGACAGGATGGGCTTTCCTGGCGCGCAACCCGTCTCCTTTGGTCGCGATCACTTGGCCGAGCTTCAAAAACGCGAATACTTCATGTGCGAAAAGACCGACGGACTCAGAGTCCTCTTGTTCATGCATTGGTTTGACAATGGTTCAGGCCCTCGGCCGCTCACTTTTCTTATCGACCGGAAGAATAACTTCTACAACATCGACCCCCCCATAAGAGTACCATACTGGCAAGATCCAAATGACAGGGAGAAGTTTCTCTTCGGCACGATATTAGATGGAGAGTTAGTGAACGACCAGTACCCGGGGGAACCAGCACCTCGCCTGATCTACTACGTCTTCGATGCACTCGTCGTAGACGCCCAGAATGTCACACAAAAGGGCATGGACAAGCGTCTTGGCCGTATGAAGGAGCATGTTCTGAAGCCTTACAACAAGTGGCTTGAGCAGAACCCCTCCCTCAACGTCTCGCACATGCACCCTTTTCGCATCAAGGAGAAGATGATGCATCAATCATACCACTTGCAACACGTTTTCAGCAGCATTCTTCCCACGCTAAAGCACGGCAACGACGGTCTCATCTTCACGTGCAAGGACACACGATATCAGTTCGGAACCGATCAGCACATCCTCAAGTGGAAGCCTCCTCATGAGAACACTATAGACTTCAAGCTTCGCCTGGGCGAGTTTCCCCTTATCGACCCTGAAGATGGCGAAGAAAGTCCTGTTCCAGATTACGACGCACTCCCCTCACCCGTTGAGCTCCACGTACAACACAACAATAATGACTACCGAACCTTCGCTAGACTCGACCTCACCCCGGAAGAGTGGAAGATCCTCAAATCCCTCAACCAACGCCTCGATGGTCGCATCATCGAATGCTACCGCGCTACTAACGGACAATGGAAGTACAAAGCGGAAGCGGATGGTACGCCACGATGGCGCGACGACAAAAAGGATGCAAACCACATCAGCACTGTCAAAAGCGTGATTGCAAGCATCGAGAACCCCGTAACGGAGCTAGACCTACTAGGCTACGAGCAGAAGATCAAGGAGGCTGTCTACCGTATCCAGGGCAGGCCATTACCTGCACAAAGTGGTGAGGAAGAGCGAGAGGCGAAGAAGAGGAAGTACAGTGAGGCAAATGGGCAGCAGTAGGAAGGCACCCCTTTACGCGTGACGGATCTAATTTCCTAGCAAGTCAGACTAGAACGGCCACGGGCAAAGATGCTGTCAAGGTCATCATTCGTGCCTTCCGGCTGCAGTGAGGGCGCTATGAGTCCAATGAACAGAGGGACGATTTCGACCGAAGGAGTCCGGGAAAACCTACGATACAGGCCTGGCTACAAAGACCTCGTCCGGAAAGTATGCACAAATACATGGGCGGCTTATGATCAACATCACGTTGATAGCTCTGAGGAGGGCTATTCACGAATGATCACTCAACCCATCGCCGGCACCGTACCTGAAATCAAGCAGCGTCGAGGCACAAAATGCGAACCGACCCAAAGCACAATCGACTCGTGTGAGCGCGATTGGCCTGGAAGCCTCGAGCTCACACATTTAAAAGAAAAAGTTGGACTAGGCATGGAACGATGGAATAAAATGATCAGCGAAATCACCAAAGAGCAAAGTGCCCGACGAATTCAGCCTGTCACCAAGCACGAGCAATCCGAACCATTTGAGCAGTCCGAGGTCAATGCAGCTCTTACTGTAGATGACGAGTGCTCACAAGTGGACCTTGACACGATCTACATCACTGCATATGAAACTCCGGGCAGCGAAACAATGGACGAATCGTCTTACAGCCCACGGTCGTCTTACCGCGCAGAATCGTCTCACAGCGACCTTTCAGCTCTTAGCAAGCGATCTTCTGTCGAAACCGAGGACATGGACCGGTGCAACCGTCGCGACCGGCGCCAGCTCAGTGAACCAATGGCTGCGCATGATGAGCTCAAGCAGCTGACGATTGGTCAGTGTGTTTTCGAAGTCGCTGAAGCCTCTGAGCCAGTCGGCGGCGGTGAAAGTGCTACTATAGATGGCACTCGCGCCGGCAAAATAACCGACGACACTTCTTGCACGGAGCCGTCTTCTGAGGAAGATGAAGTCATGGACTGGTGCAACCGGCGCTACTGGCGCGAGCTCAACAAACGCAAATATATGGCCGAGTCCGAGCAGCTGATGGTCATTCAGAAGGATGTCGAAGACACTGAAGCCTCTCAAAAAAAACCCGGCGGCGATGAAGCTATTGCAGACGATCCGCAAACCGGACAAACTACGGACAAATCTTGCAATGAGCAGTCTTCTGGAGAGGCCGAGAGAAGGCAATGGTACGAGAAAAGCTACATGCACGAGATCGGACACCTGCCCGAGAAACGCCGGCGCAAACAGGCAAGGATCCCTGCCGGGACTGTTTCTTGGGACGAAGTCGTGCGCCACCTCGGATGACTTGTCTCGAGACCAGAGAGGACATGCATTCCATCATCACTTGTCGAAATCTGAGCTCAGATGAAGGTAGAGGGCTGCCACACACATCTGCCTAGGAGGCTGGCACATCGCTCGTAGCATTTCTGCATTGGCGTTTATTTCTTTCGGGTACGGGGCAGGATATGATACCCCAATCCATATGTAGAGCAATCAAATTGCCAAGATTAGGTTACAGATGGCTTGAGGAAAGAAGTGCTCAGGTCCATGAGCGTGCATAATGATGCTATCGTCGGGGCTGTAGAGGACGAAGGATTTGCCATAGCAGTACTGGTCGACGAAACAGGTCTTTCCCACGTTGGGCTCGCCGAAGACTACGATGTTGTAGCAGGTTGGGGATGTCATTATCTTGGAGTATAACTCTTCACTTGAGTGTTCAGAGAGTCTGATTTGAGTATCATGTACACTCAGATGCTCGTCAAAGGTTTTCACGAGAGAAGCTGCTTGATGATCAAGGTGTGACGGGCTTCGTTGGTCGTGCGCACCTGCCTGCTTCACCTTCACACCTGAAGGCGTGTTGTACAAGATTATCAGCCTATAGCCCCACGAAGCATTATCTGACCGTCCCATCGCACCCACCGCCTTTGCGACTTCAAAGTCCAGCGCAGCCTCGTAACAGCCTAAAGTCAAGGCAGCCGCCAAGTGTGGCACTGCCGAGAACTCCGAAAGGATCTGCGCCACCAACCGAGGAAGGCTAGATGGCGTGTGAAGACCCCAGATCGCAGGGGCCACGCACTCAAGATGGGCCTGCGCGTCAGCAGGGAGATGAAGAGCGGCCGTCCCAGGCCTTCAGCGCGAGTCGCAGCAGTCACCTTCGTCGACAAAATCATCAACCGCGACGGGCGCATGCACGGGCAGGCGTGAATGACCATTTCATCACGGTAGCCACCACATGGCAGCGACCAGCTCGAACAACTTCCATATCGAACACAGCCTTTCCGCTGCATACAAACTCGTCGCGGTATACCCAGAGACTACCAGTAACATCTTACGACGGAACATTATACCCTTCAGACCCCTCAGGGTCGTCTGCAGCTGCGATGCCGCACCGCAACTACCCACACGCACAGCATCGCCCACTGATCGACCTCATTCCCGCGTACCACGATGACGTCGATGCCTCTGATGAAGAAGACGACTTCTACAGCAAAGAAGACGACCAACTCATACATCCAAAGTGGCAGGCCCTGATCACGCAAACATCGAATCGGGTTCCGCGCAGATTACAACGCTGTGTCGTCATAGTTCTCGCCGTCGCATTCTTGTTCCTGATAAGCTGGAAGGTATACCTCGGACCGCGCCACTACGCTCAGCTACAGGACTTAAAGGATATGGATGAGACACCAGCAATGAGCTATGGGAGCAACGTGCGTCCAGAGTTAAAGGGCATGATCCAGGTCAGGGACATGGACAGCCAACACCTGCCTAAGAAGGGGCACAGGCTAGTCTTTGTCGGCGATGTTCACGGATGCAGGGATGAGCTGGAGTATCTTCTGAAGAAGGCCAACTTCAACGAGAAGCACGACCACCTCGTCTTGACCGGCGACATGATCGCAAAGGGCCCGGACTCGCCTGGCGTAATCTCGCTGGCTGAGAAGCTCGGCGCGTCATGTGTCCGCGGCAACTGGGAAGATAAGCTCCTCCTGAGTATCGCCGAATCTGAAGCACGACATCTCGACACTCTCCCCGGCCCTGACGAGTCTCCCGACCGTAAGGAGGACTTTCTCGACGAAGCCTCACACAGCCACGGCGACTACAAGCTCCGCAAACTCGCCAAATCTTTCTCCAAACACAACATTGCATACCTCCAGCAATGTCCCATCATCCTACGTATAGGAAATGTGCCCAACCTCGGTGAATTCGCAGTCGTCCACGCCGGCCTCGTCCCAAACATTCCTCTTGAACAACAGGACCCCTTCCACGTTATGAACATGCGCACCATCGACCTCAAGACACGTATACCCAGCTCCAAGCACGCCGGCACACCGTGGGAGAAGTTCTGGAACCACCAGCAGAAGAAGAAGGATCCGCACCAGCGCATGAGCGTCGTTTACGGGCACAACAGGAAGCGCGGCCTGAATCTGCAGGAGTTCACGTTTGGTTTGGATAGTGGGTGTGTCAGCGGAGGCAAGCTGACGGCGCTTGTTGTTGATCACAAGGGCAAGACGGAGATCATTCAGGTCAAGTGCCACCAGGAGAATGGCTGGGATGTGGATTAGAGTGATGAGGACATTCTGAGGCGTTTGGGTGGCGCTAGCATGGCATTGTAGGCGTCGGAGCATTGTATACGGAATGCCTTTGTGAGATCGCTATAGCTTGGGCGCTTTAAGATAACTGCGAAAGACGACTTACATTTTGGGTATTCTTTAACCACGAAACCCGTTAACTGTTAAGCTTTCAACCATTCTTGCAGTGAATCGATCAATCCTCTCTACGCACATCGACATTGTTACATCTCACCTCAGCGACATGGAATCGCCAAAAACAAGTGTCTGGTACGCGTACAGTACACTTCCCCGCCTCTCGCATCGCAACACCCGTAAGGTTGCACATCTCCTCTCCATCCACGAACAAAACCAGTCATCACTTGTTGTCGATCTGCATACCTACAGTGCTCAGATCACATCTGTGCATAAAAAAATGCCCTCTGCCAGAATCGAACTAGCGATCTTATCATTGCACACCGTAGTAATACTAGTGATACGCTTTACCACTAAGCCAAGAGGGCCCTATACCGCTGATGCGGTAGGGAGTTCCAACGCTGTTGAATTGACTTGTAGGAATTCTGACAAGATTCAATATTTATAATGTTAGTTAATAATCTTGCACGAGCACATATCGAGTGAGGGAAAGGCCGTGATCGGGTAACGTTGATGAGGCTTAGAATGAAACACTGAGAGGAGGGGCGGGGGTCGCCGACATTGGGCGGTCGGTGACGAGCAGCGTGTCCACGTCAACCATCACCGGCAACTATATCAGCCTGACTCCTAGATGTGACAAATTCGCATGACATGGGTCTATTCAATGGAGACAGACGTTATACGGGCATGCTCGAGCTGGACCTTGACACCTTTGATACCAAGTGTCGGCCCTGACCTCCACGGACCCGTGCTTGCCCGCTTGCATCAATTACAAGGCCGGAACTGCAAAGTCCAAACGCTCAGCAACGCGTCCTCTCATATCGTATCTAGCATTCTGGAAACTATATGGTTTGTGACTCCAATTTGGGGGCAGTTGATAGAGCAGGAAGTCTTGACTGAAAGTTGGCGTTAAATAGCGAAATTATAGCATCTTCACCTGCTGCGACTGCTGGGCGGCTGCACGCGCAACGAAGGTATCGTCAGCAGTCAGCGGCATCTCCAAACGCAGAACGTGTAGCAAAGTACAGATTAAAAGAAGAGGGGAGGGGAGAATGCGAGTGCAACGAAGACTAGTTGTTGCAGCCTTTTCGTGAAAAACAAGTGCGGCATGTGGTTTCTTCCTGTCCCATTCCGACGGAGCACGCACTAGAACACCCCAATGAACCAAACGCCTGACGTGGGATATCGTATCATACGCATCTCTCCAAATGTTGTATGCAAGCAAATCAAAAGACAATGTTATATCCATTCTGAAGGCTTCTTACCGTCGCCCTGTGGCCTCTGAGCAGGTCTTGTTGCACCAGCAAACATGTCCCACTCTGTGCTCGGCCTGACGGTATTCTCCTCCTGGTAGTATCTTGGTCTTCCGTAGTAGCTATTCGCCGCTGCACCACCATGGTAAGTGGTATCCTGCTCCTCAAAGTTCTGGAATCGTCCGTCTCCGTGCCCATGGTGTGCTACGCCGTATTCCTGTCCTGGGGTCGGCGCCTGCGGAAGGCGGTCTGGGTTGGGAGGACTTCCGTAGACATCTGCACCGGGTCCGTACGCGCTGTCGTACGAATTCGAATCCTGATGCACATACGGATTAGCTTGCGCGTCATCCAAAAGACCTATAGTATCTGAGTCGCCAGACCCTTCATTCTTCTTTGTGGGTGCTGGCGCGTTGATAGGTGCGTTGACAGGCTCGCCATTGCCTGCGAATGTTGGGCCGTTGTAGCTAGTATTCGTAGCAACTGGCTCGAGCTTTGTTTGATACGAAGAATCCTTTGTGCGGTGTCGTGCGCCGTAGAACAGCCAGCGGAAGCCTCGACCACAGGCTTTGATGATGTCCCAGGGGTTCAGTGCGTCCAGAAGAGCACGTGCTGGTCCACTCGCATACTTCGTCGGTTGCGCTGAGTATCCGTCGATGGTGGTGTCCAGCGGACTTTGGTACTTGAGGTCGTAGGGCTTCCATGGGAAGGCGAACACGTGGAGCAGCGCAAAGATTGCCATTTCGACACATGTCAGCATCGAAGGAATACCAATGCGCAGATCTGGCCCAGCAATCTGGGCTGTTGCTTTCAAGGGGCCACCCTCTGCTGTCAACAGCGAGATGATCCAGCTTTGCCAGAAGCAAAAGAAAATGACAAGCTTGATGCACAGCACCTTCAAAAATGGTCGATGTGGTGCCAGGTCCTCCTTCAACTGGATGTAGAATTGTATGACGCAGTACATGGCGATTGTGACAGAAACAGCCTCGAAGCCTGCCACCCAAATGTATGCATAACGAGGGTCCTTGGAGCTCGAGCAGTAACGACCCTGAGTCTGAGCTACAACAGCGACGATGGTGAAGAACGGGCGAATAAAGCAGTATTGGAAAATGCTGATCCAGACAACCTGTGATGTTGTCAGCCGACTCTCGAGTCAGGACCATGTATGTATACGTACATTGAACCACGTCAGCCCGCTTCTTGGCTTCCTCAACCAGCCCTTGTCTTCGCCGCCTGAGCATTTCTGCATCCACGTAATTGGCCAGACCCAGTTCTTTGGCTGGACGTTCCTGAAATACTCCTTCTGTTCGTGTAGGTTCGGCGCAATGTAGTGGCACATGAGTGTGAAGAAGCTGGCAATGGCGAAAGCTTCATAACAGTCTCGCACGACTTCGAAGTATATGGCGTTCTTGTAATAGAGGTAGCTGAGGAAGGAGACAACGGCGTAGATGGGGATCATGACAAGGATCCGAATGATGCTATTGCTGTCAGCTGCCGAGCCGCGATTTTCTTTTGCAAACATACTGCTTCTGCTCATACGGCTTCAAGTAGTGGGTGGCATGCCGTACTATGAGGAAAAAGGCAACGACCACTGCGATTGTGCCAAACGTCGCCGAGATAATGAGACCAAAGTGGTGGAAAGTGAGCGACTTCCACAACGGCGTCTCGCTAACTGCACATTGTCAGTGCCTGTACTACCAATGCCACATTTGTTTGCCTACTTGTCTCGTGCTCGTATACATCGCTCGCGCATTCTGCCCTCCTACTGAGGTGTGGCAACGGATCGAACTGCGTAGCGCGAGTCCACATGTGTGCATTCATGGCGCGTCGAGGGAGTGCTGAACATCGGTCGAGGGCGGAGATTGACGGTGCCGATATGCGGGATGCGCGTGTTGCGGGCAGTCGGTTGCGGCGTGGGCAAGAGCGCTCCTTCTACTTTGTATGTTCGTTCAGATTTCGAAGGGGTCAAGGACGCCATACGGGCAGCATCAAGAGAAAGTGAACGCCGCGCCCCGGTCGTTGCAGTCCTTTTGAACGCTGCGCGCTGGTCAGGAATGACAACGTTTCAGCGACCCGCAGGGTGACGACGATTCGCGGTAGCGCGCCCTGTGACCCTGCATGACGGATCAGCCGCCCTGCAGTGGCGTCTCGCTCAGGCGAGCTGCAATTGGCATTTCACGCCAACAACGGCCATTTGGCGTTGTGACTGGATGTCGTTCGCAGCGCTTGTGGACCTGTTGAAGGACGGTGCTGCACGATCGACGTTGCATCGTATTGCGCCACGCCATCTGCAGTCACGACCAGTTTGGCGCAGGCTTGAGGGTCTTAGGAAGCTTAGCGGCCGTTGCCAGCCTTTGTCTTCGAGCTGGCGTCACACTTCGTTGACACTCCTTTATGGCATTGGCTCCTGGCGGCCTTCTCTGTGCATGAAACCTGACAAGGAGCTGCTCTGCTGATCTCAATGCCGGTTTCAGAGCAGTTCTGGAGCTGCTGCACCATACACAGCCACAAGGTGACAAGGTGCCCCGCCTCCATCCCAAGTCAGTGATCAACACTACTTCACGCTTGTCGACTCGCTACGATGAAGCAGTGGGAAATCGGATGTCGACCATCACAGAGGTCAGGCTTTCGAAGCATCTTCGGTCACACCGTGTATTCGTTCCCGAGCAGCCACCACTGTAACCCATCCGTGTGACAGCAAGTGCAATGGCACTCGGCTCTTCTACACCTGCGACTGTCGTTTGCATGTACAGTGATTTCATCTCTGACCGTGGTACCCAAACCTCTACGTCAACAGCAGATAATCTGAGATGCTGTCGACCTCGGATGGTAATAGACCCTTTCAGTCACCTACAGACCACAGTCCCGATGCGCTCAAACTGCCGCTCAGGTCATCAGTAACAAGGCCCAAGATTATGGAGCTAATTCCTAAACAAACCATGTGAACTAGTCTGCTGCATCAACCGTGCGCAGGAACGACTTCATAACCGTCAATCGAGTCGAAACTCTGACAGCACAAGCACACGATAAATGCCCGAGAGTGCCGTCTGCTCGTGCTCCTTGGAGATAAGTCTTCGACGAAATGTCTGGTTACAAGCATAATGACGAAATTCATCAAGAGTTCCGAAATCTCATCTACGATTACCTGCTGGTGAAGGTTGCTGTCCATCCACGTCGCTTGGACTGCAAGCTCTACCGTCCTCAAGTTTCTAGAAGGAGGCTAATGCGCATATGAGCTTTGCAAATTGGTCAGCTCACGCAAATCCAAGCCAGCCGCCATCAGATCATAATGAGAACTAGCGCCACAAAAGCCATTCCACTGCTTCCATAGACTGTCCCAAGGGTCTGTATTCGAATTTCGAACTGGGGTAAGCACCATCGTTGAATCAAGGATCAAGCCGTGCTAAGATCACACAGGCACGCTCATAATCACTGGGCAGTATAACGATACGGAAATACTACGAACTTTACGTGCAATTGCGCAACAAGGATTGCATGGCGATGGGTATCGGTGAATGTACCCAATTGGACGTAAAAGACGACAAGGTCATTCTCGTTGACGGTACTATGCCGTCCAACGGAGCGGAGTATGCTTGTAGAACGACTGATATAGCTCGCATCGAATGGCTGTAAGCTCGCATGATGTACATCACTGCACTGACCTTAAATTACCCTGGAACAGCCCGGCAAAGAATTGGGAAGACCCATTTCGCTTTGGAGGATGTCCATGCATGTACATCACCTTCAACAAATTGACGGACGTAATCCGAACCAGTCCTTGGAGAATATGATCAGCGGAAGTCAACCCTTTGAACACAGTCTTCAGGAGACCCGAGTCCGCATTGCGCCATCCTTTTGAAACTTGGAATTGTGCGGGTCATTCATTCTTTTCGACAAAAGTCCCATCTCACCCCTAGTCTATTCTGTAGTAGCAGCAAAAGATATTACCCTGTCGTGCAAAGTCAACTTTTGGTTCTTGCAAGAAGCAGGGAATTTATGTGGCGAGGGTCTCGATTGCAATAAGTGGAGATCTCACGTGAACATGTACTCAGTCTTGTTCTAAATGACAGGCTATGCTCATCTGCTATAGCTTGCTCTAACTCAGTGTTCTTCTTGTATGTATGATCAAGGACATTAGCTTCCAGTAGTCTGAGCGTTAGTCTTGCTTCCTCAGGAAGCCCTTTCTCTAGGTCCGCGAGAACTCTTACTAAAATAACGTTTACAATTATAATTCTGAGCCTGTTATCGAGATATATGTCATCATGCATGGCCTTGCCCGAAATTGGCTAGCATGGCTTGCCTGAGCCTTTTATTTAATAACCTCGAGCGCGTCCGTTCCTCTGTGTTGACAATTCACACTCCTTGTGGCCGGATATTCTTGAGCTAGGAAGCTCTATATGTATCATGAGTGGCTCACCAACGTCCAAGGTCGATAGACAACGATCGACAGCTCCTACAACGCTACTGACGCTTCACGGAGGTAGGGGAGTGGACTTGATCTGTTACGCTTTCTAATTTACTCTGCAGAGCTTCGAAATCGAATCTATGAGACCGTGCTTGCTGACGAGCGGTATTTGGAAGGCAAGGATCTGCCACGCCTGATGTACCGACCGACACCCACTGGAACACCCGAATCTATCCAGGCAAACGACTGAGACGCTTTTCTACGGCAGGACTATGGTCTCACACAGGTTCATAACCTCGTCCGGAAAGAATTTCTGCCGCTGTATAGGGAATGGGTCGCAGTGCGTATCGAAATTGGCGACCTTCCTAATTACATCGGCGACGTGATCCAATGTGCTCATACCGATCTGGTACTTGTGTATGGAAATATTAGCATAGATATCAAGCGAGATTGCGGTGTTGATCTCAAGAGCGTATTGCTGCTTCATGATCACTCACTCCATCTGCATCTGAGGTTTACACACCCTTGGGGGACGACCGACGACATGATGTCAATAATCTTCGACGCCAATCGTTGGCCGGAATTCCACGCATACATATCAGAGCAGACGCACCGTGTAGTACTTGAGTTTTGGATCAGCGATGCTCTCGTTTACTATTCTGGCCTTGTGACGGATGGGGAACTTGAGAACGATTGGAGTCCTCCACTTTTGGCCTGGCCCTACGCGTATGAAGCAGGTTGTTTTACATACGTGAAGGGACTGCTGTACGTAAAAGAGGAGTTCGTAGAGCCGTGGATGTCCAGGTCGACCCTGTCAGCGGAGTATTAGCGTGACGGACTGGACGCATGGGAAGAGATACTGGGATTGGGCGGTCCGACGTAGGCACGATGCTCGTTCAGGCCGCCGCAAGTGCTATCACGGAGTATAGCTTCCATGCGATTGTAATTGAGCAACATGAGCGTTTTCGGCTTCGTGGAGCTCTTTTCGCTACAAAACTCGTGAGACAGAGCTCAAGGAATACGCCGTTTGGAGGTGCAATTTTCTGTTTGAAGGAGCTCTATATCACTGAGGAAGAGTAAGTGTAACTCGACGGCTTCAAATTGTGAATTTTCTTCACTGCCACCCAAGTGAGGATCTGCAACTTAGTAGGACCTCTCGACTACAGGTGTGCACAGAATATTACAGCCCTAGATCGGACCAGAGATGATGACTATTTGCTTTACAGGCAAATTGCTCCCCAAATGGTGCTGCCAGCTCTCAATGTGACCAGAAAGTGAAGGTGGCAGCGACTGTTCATGCAGGATCCACTCCCCGCCCAATCGGATCTTAAACCTTTTACTGATTGCTTCTTCGCCAGTGATTCTGCAATACTTCAATTTGTCAGTGGAATGGCGCCGTCGATTACTCAAGCGCCGCCGCTGCAAGTCGCCCATCTCTTCACCACTGGGCATACCCGTAGGTACGAAGCCCCCACTGAGCTCAAGACACGCGAGGCTAACAAGAACTCAGAAATAGAACCTATGACTGTGCTATTGGCGATATACTCAACTTCGAGCTGACCCATGATCATGCCATCCAAGGTATCACGGAGTCTCGAAGCCACAACGCTTGACTCGTGCATCTAAAGGCGCGCGATGCACTCCTCCCCAGTGGGTATCTTGCGAAGATCCTTTCTCGGTCTGATGCAGACTTGAAACCAGCTGCGCGCGGAATTCCTGCCAATTTACCAAGCTCGTATACCATCTACTGTCCGCTTTCACAAGCTACTGGACTACATTAAAACCCTCACCGTCGATGTGGAAGTCGCCAGCGTCGATGTGGAGATGTCAACACACTGCAACACGAACATCCACGACCTCGCCCTGCTTTGTTCAAATAAAGTGTGGTAAGAGTTATCGTTCAGCTATGGCAAAGGGAGCTAGGTAAAGGTAAACGCACTAGTACCGTTGAGGTAATGGATACCCACGGGAACCACCTTCCAGCATGCTTTATGGTGAAGCATCAGACGTCAAAATCGATTTCGGGCACCATACAGATTAGACCTGCAAGGTATCCTGAGCACCACGCACGAATATCAAGAGTTCCGCAACAACGTCAGCGAGCGAGCTTTGAGTGTTGTAGCAGTTGCCGAGAGCATGATGATCGAACGCATCGACTACTTGGATCCCGGCTCGGCCTTTACAGAGACTATTGACTATGTAAACCATGTGAATGTATACATCAGGCACCAGTCTGGAGAGCCGTGGATGGACGAACCGCATTGGATCGGACAGAAGGCGAAACTAGAACTATGGCTCGTGAGCTTGAGTTGGACGAATTGCCTGTATTCCTTCGCATAGGTCGTGCGGAGGAGGTCTCAGGTTGGTTGGTTGAAGGAAGTTTCCGTTCCTGGTCTATGCAAAGACGCTTTGAATAGAAGGAAGGCCTGAGCACGATTTGCAAAAGTGTACAGCGCCAGAGAAAGGCAGAGTTGAGAATCATAGCCACGAGATATTGGGATTTACGTTGTCTTTGCTCACATATTTCAGTCCCCTCATCCCACTCTCAGAGACCAAGAAAGGTCGGCCATAAGCCTTGAAATTCGGGAGGCAGCCACCTATCATCTTCTGTGAGTTGCAATCCAGCGATCAAATTCTAAAAGCTCCAGTCATTTTGCTGTTGCAGCTGACTTCTGCTGCTGTTTAAGGAACAGGGTCATGGGTTTATCGGGCGACTTGAGACTGGGTGAATCGGTATGAGGTCACCATCGCAACCAAAAGAGTGTAGTGGCCCCTAGCTCACATTATTGAGTAGCATAATTGAGGTGCTTATCTCAATCTTGAATTTGATCTTCTGAGAAGTTGCAAATGATTATCAGATCGCGATCCAGCGCCACGGGGATCCCAAAAACTCAAGGATAGAGGGTTTATCTCCTTCTAGCATATATGAAAGAGTCAGCCTGTATCCCATGTCTCTGTATTGATTACTATAAGGCTGCCCATAGTAGCTTCGCCTCGTCTTGCGCACCGCAACCTCTCGCAATCACGATGACCATAGCTTTCTTCGGCGGCATTGGCTTTAGATCCCAGCCCAAGCACTCTTTCCGCATCGGCATGTGCTCCAGCTGTACGCTCCAGGATTCGGTGGCAACCTTGTCTCTCCACGCCTCCTTTCCGTCCACAAAAATCTGGATCTCCGAGTCCCTGTCTGTGCCATCAATCGAGATCATGCCACCAACGTCGATCCTGGTTTTGCCATCTCCCAAATTTTCCGTCCTCAGATTCACGGACAAGTCCAACTTCGCAATTCCCTGCTCATGCTTACTGGTGTCTGCTCGCGTAAAGTCCGTTTCCAGCGGCGCCAGCGGCGGACTAATTCTCCTCTTCGTAGTCTGCTCAAACGCGTACGCATATTCCAGCAGCTTCGGATCCTCGTACGCTCTCCCTGCGAACGTGATGTTCACAGGCATACCCTTGCCCTCTAGCACACCCATAGGCACACTGACCGTGGGCACTCCGAGATGCCTGATCGCTCGATTCCCATTACTGTACTTGACGCCGTTTTGCAAGCTGTGCTTTGTGCTTTCGAGATTGAACTCAAGATCGGCGAGACCAACGTCGCCTTGCGCTGGGAAGGCGACTACGTCGAGGTTATGCTGCGTCATCCAGTCCTCTAGATCACGCTTGCGTTGTGCTTCGAGGGCTTTGACGGCATCCTCGAGACCGGGGACGTCGAAGACAGATTCGCCTTCGATTTGGTCTAGCAAAGAAGGTAGGCCGGCGTAGTCAATCCAGTTCCGCACTTCGAGGAAGGTGTCTGGAACGTAAGGCTTTGGCTTTGGAAAGAGCATGGCCGAGTCTTCTATGTCCTTCAGACTTTTGATATCTGGATCGTTGTTTTGCTGAAGAAACGAATTCCACGCTTTCGCGATGAGAATGCCGCGCTCGACATGGTTCCAGTTCGAGGGTGCGCCTACCACGTTGTTGGCTTCTTTCGAGACGGAGTCATTCTCGTAATTTGTGACGAGTGGGAAGTCGGTGTAGACTACTTCTGCACCGAGGGCTTCGAGATCTTGGGCTGTTTGTTTCCAGACTGAAATGACTTCGGGTGAGACATAGGTGGGCTTTGCATGTGGGTCTGAGTCTTTCTGACCGACGTACATCTTCGGCACTCCTATCCTCTTTCCATTCAATGCATCTGTGTTGTTCAACGACGAGTAGTCAAGCTTTGGTGACTCTGGGATGGGTACGAACTTCTGCTCTCTGTAGAAGTCGCCCTTCGTCTCTTCGTCTGGTACCGCGATAACGTCGAGGAGGGCCAGCATATCGCCAACCGATCGCGCATACGGCGTAGGTACGTCGCACGTCACATACAACGGGTGAAGACCTCGACAGCTCAGCACGCCTTTCGACGGGGTGTAGCACACTAGCGCGTTGTTAGATGCCGGACTCCTCCCGCTGCTCACGGTCTCGCTGCCCAGACCGAAGACCGCCATACTGCTTGCTAGCGATGTTGCGGCTCCATTCGAGGATCCCGATGAGAATGCCGCCGTCAAATACTTCGGACTATATGGCGACTCAGCACGGCCATACAAACCCCTCTGCATACCGCCAGCAGCCATAGGAGGCATGTTCGTTTTCCCCAAGAGCACCGCACCAGCATCTCTTAATCTCTTCGCTAGTGTTGAGTCCTCGCTCGACGTGACTCCATTGAGTCCAGGTGAACCATTGGTGACGGTAAGACCGAAATACTTGTAGCTGTCCTTGATAGTATAGGGAATGCCTTCCAGTGGTCGAGGCGGTAGTCCTTGAGCTCTCCGGGCATCTGAGGCAGCTGCTTCTTCGTAGACCTTATCGTTGAAGATTGTGAACGCATTCAGGCTCCCGGAAATGTCGTAAACTGCGGTTCGGTTTAGGTAGCTGGTAACAAGAGATGTTGATGTAGCCATTCCGCAAGCAAGTGCATCCAAGTGTGACTGAATGTCTGCTTCGACGATGTTGAAGGCGTCCTTCGACGAATATGTTGAACTCTGCACAGATTTAGCAATAATGATCTAATGACAACCATGCATGACGCTGACCATGAATGATGCTTTGAAGTGACTTCTTCTGGTAGGCCTTGCAAATCCGGTTGATGTCCAGCTGGTGCTAGCTTAACCCCTTCAACAACGTCGGACGTCCTTTCTCACCCTTTGTCGTTTATGGCACCTGTGTAACAAACACTCGGCCCCGATTGGAACTTCGTGAGGGATCGCGACTTTGTGTAGTCGGCATAGTTGAAGTGATGCTTTCCCCGCTTATCAGTAGTCGGCTGAACTTGCCTTGTACGGTTAGCCTTCTAGTAACTACCGGTAGTAGAAGAGTCCAGTCTGAACTTGGTCACTTGTTTTTCTTTGACTTTAAAATTTTGTACATTTTCCTCAGGGGCGCTCGGAGTGTTCAACATGGCGTTGCTCATATTTACAAATATGCCTACTAACCATGACAGCAAATATATAAACAGTGAGCCAACCAACTCACCGATCAGTCTAGATTTCTCGATTTCGTCCCAAACTTGATCCACAGAAAGACAGACTAGTACTGAAGGTCCTCAATCACGCTGTACTTGCCCACAGCTGTGACAACCTTGTGCTTCCAGCAACCACGCCACACAATCCCGTAAAGCCTAAGTTCCAGCCTGGCAGACCACCAGTCGAGCTGCTGAAGTGCAGTGCCATTGGAAGCCATGCACTCACAATCATAGCATCAGTCCACCACTTCCTATTGAACTTGGCATCCTCTTCGTCCTGATACTCTGCCACAGCCCTACCCTCAGCCTGCATCCTCGCCCTTGTCGTTCTCCTGCGACTCTCAAGCTGCCATTCCCTTGCCAAGCGGACGACGTCGCAGGAGAGTCCACTGAGCCATGCGCGGAACGACCAGAGGTAGAGACGTGCGGTCTTCGAATCGCCGCGGTTGATCGCAGAGATGAACGCAGGTCCCACGACACCCGAGTCGGCAAGGAAAGAGATGTTCTCGAGGACTTGGAAGGTGAGGTAGCTGCTTGCCTGCAGGATGGCAACGCGGTGCAGGACCACATCAGAGCCGGGCTTACAGCCGTCGAGAAGTGTGCGTAACCATGCGTACATAGGGAAGCAGCCGAACAAGCGCAGAGTTGTACGCGCCTTCGAGATCAGGACTGCAAGTGCGGCAATGGGTGGGACGGCGCCTGCATTGACTAAGGTTGCGGTGCTAGGCTTTGAAATCGCGCTTGAGCTTTTGACGAGCGAGAGGAACTTCTGGACAAGTGAGGTAAAGGAAGGCGATTTCGTCTGCGCGTACGCAAGGATGTAAAGGGTGAAGTTGAAACTCGAGAGGAAGGACGCGAGACCGCCGGGTGCTGCAAGAAGCCTATGCCCTATTTGTTAGCTTCACGCACCCTGCCTGAGACACTCCGCACTTTCGCGCATTGATCCGTACTTATTAATCCTCAACGCTGTTCTGTCGACGTCGCTCAGCAACTTCAGTGCGCGACCCGGCGCTTCCGTGATAGGTACTTCCAACTTCTTCTCGATGGCCTCGAGCTTCTTCTCGACCGCAGATCCAACATCTTCAATATATTCGGCCTTCTCGGCTAGTTCTTCCGCTGCAGGGGCACCAGGCTTCGTATTATCTTCAGACATGCTGCAGGTCGTTTTGGGTAATATGGAAGAGGACAGGAAGGTTTCGCAGAATCAGGGTAAAGGACGCGCGCGGGGATAGAGTTAGCTTAATTAGCTCTTCTTTGACTCTCCGCAGATCCCGCTGAGCCGAGGTTCGGCTCCAGTCAGTTGGTGTGGAGAAATACACGCTTGTTGCCCAGCCTTCTTGGCCTAGCATGGTGCATATCCTCGAGCCTCAAACGCCATTGGTGGTTCTGCGGAATTGTCGGCTTCTGTATAGTTTGAAGAGTGCAGATGCATTGTGGCGGGCGGGTCTAATGGCTTTCCCAACCGCACCCAACCTATCTGGCCCACTACCGCTAATGTTGAACAATGTGCTGGCTTCAAAAGCACCGTTCGTTGAGTTTTGGATATGTCATGTCTGCATTTAGCCACTGTCAAGGATCTTCCAGACCCCGCTGCGAGAACAAACATGAACTTCCTCCGTACTTCAATAAGTCAGCATTGAACTCACGATGTCCCGTGACAGCAACCTTCTAGAAGCCCTGGAAGCTCTCCGCTCGATGCCCTTATCAGCGTATGAATTAGGTCCGGGCATTGCACAGCTCCTTTTGCACATCCCTGAGCTCATATGGAGGCACCTAGATCACCCTGTTAACTTCCGCAACCTCGTTTCCGGGAACCTACGCTTCCCAGCTTTCGTCGGTGCCGTTGACGAGCTCATCAAGAGATTGAGGAATTTGACCGGCACGCACAATGCATTGCCTAACTGGCAAATCAGCGACCGTGAGGAACGGCGTAGACAGCTCCGGTATGTGAGAGGTGCAAGTGCAACGATCGAGGCGGCATACAAGTATTGCATGATTGAAGTGTTTGAGGATAGATTCCTGGGCTGGAGTGAGAAAGAGACGCAGTGAATCAACAAAAGAATGGTAGAACTTTTCTCAAAGGTTGATTGGCACATGATGCCAGAAAGAAATGTGCTCATCGAGGCCAAAGACGGTGACTGGGAAAGGTGGTTGCGTGAAGAATGCCGTGAGCTTGAGATGATATGTGGAAGGAATTTGTATAGAGAGGGGCCTGTTGAAGATGATCTTGATCAACAACGGGTAGACGCGCCCCGCGGAAAGATCAATGTGATTAGGAAAATGCTTTGTCTTGATTGAGATCATGCACAAGTCTCATGATGGTCGATTGAGGAGGTCCACTTGTTCCTTTCTCGATAATCAGTGAACAGCGCATTGAATACCACCCTGATTGCACGCTCGTTGAGCACGTGACGGTAGCCTTGGTCGTCTGGAAGACAGCGAATCTATGCAGACCCATGTCATGATGATGAGCTAGAGAGCGGACAATCTGGTGTTCGCAGTAACACTGGGGTTGTGGAGAGCAGAAAGATGGCCGAACCAGGCACCGTTGTCCATGCTCTCGCTAGCGGCCCGCGAAATGACGGGCTTCCAAGGTTGGTGGGTCGTGGGTCGCGCCAAGCTCTCCGCGGCGATGCAGCAGGCGCGAAACGTCGCAAGGAAGCAGCGAACGACCCTCTCATTCCCCCCCGACGCCTATTGATTGTTACCTCAGGGGCTGCACACTTTCCCTTACTTCCACACCGAACAGCCTAGGCACATAGCGCAACCATGGCTGGCCGTTTTGTGAGAGCTTCTAAGTACCGTACGTATCCCCGGCTTCAGCTATGCGTATGGCGCATGGAACTGACGATTACACCCAGGCCACGTCTTTGGCAAGGGCACAAAGAAGGTATGGGATTTCCAAGTATGAGCGCACCAAGCTAAGCTAACAAACCCCCCAGGAACAAAGCTATGACAATCTCCGCATCTCGAAGAATGCGTGGGATACGAACCTGATCAAGGTCAGCACAGCCTCGCACGCGACCACCGAACATGAAAGCTCATACCCTCACAGGCCAACCCCGAGTACATTGCCGTCAACTGGGAAGCAAGCGGCGGTGGTGCTTTCGCCGTCATCCCCGTCAATGAGAATGGCCGCGCCCCCGAGCTGATGCCCCTCTTCCGCGGACACACAGCCGCCGTTCTCGACACCGACTGGTACGCACACAAAATCTTCAAAGAAGCAAGGAGCAGGCGCTCATAAGTCCTCAGGAGTCCGTTCAACGACCGATTGATCTCGTCCGCCTCAGACGACGGCAAGGTGCGACAGTACCGGGTACAATACTAAAGGGGAGGCTCACCAAGCACAGGTCTTCATCTGGCAAGTCCCAGAGAATTTCACTCTGCAGACCGATGGCGAGGAACCTGCCGACGTTTCGCCTGTAGCCAGGCTGAGTGGGCACATGAGGTACAGAGTCTCTCAGCTCAGCAGATCCGACCGCTAATGCCAGTACAGGAAAGTTGGCCATGTTCTTTTTAACCCCGCTGCGGAGAGCGTCCTTGCCAGTTCCTCTGGTGACTACACCGTGAAGCTTTGGGATGTCGAAGCTGGTCAGGCCAAGCTCACGCTCAAGCACAACGACATCGTCCAGTCCCTTTCCTGGAGCGCCGATGGCTCCCAGCTGGTCACCACATGCCGAGACAAGAAGCTGCGCGTGTGGGACGTTCGCCAGGAGAAGCCTGCTCAGGAGGTTACCGGTCATCCTGGCGCGAAGAACAGTCGTGCTGTATGGATGGGCGAGACCGGCCGCATTGCAACTACTGGTTTTTCCCGCATGAGCGATCGTCAGCTGGGTCTGTGGGATCCCCGCAACCCTTCGGAACCGATCGGTGGCTTCCAGATCCTCGATTCCATCTCTGGTGTGTGCATGCCCTTCTGGGATGACGGCACACAGTGCTTGTACCTTGCAGGCAAGGGGTAAGCGCCGACGACGCATTCTCCCTTGAGAGTAAATGCTGACTGCTACAGCGATGGCAACATCCGTTACTACGAATACGAGAACGACAAGTTTGAGTACCTGTCCGAATACACCTCGCCCAACCCGCAGCGTGGTGTCGCCTTCATGCCTAAGCGCGGTATCAACCTTCACGAGAATGAAGTCTTGCGCTGCTTCAAGACTGTTAATGACAGCTTCATCGAGCCCGTCTCCTTCATCGTACCTCGTCGCGCCGAGATGTTCCAGAGCGACATCTTCCCACCTACGAACGGTCTTAAAGCTGGTGTTACCGCCGATGAATGGTTTGGCGGTAAGACTGCACTGCCTCCTAAGATCTCGCTAGAGAGCATCTACAACGGTGAAGCGCCTGTTGAGGTGGCTTCTGACTACAAGCCGCCCCAGCCTGCGCCAGCTCAGCCCTCGCCTGGCAAGGCCGAGGCGCCCAAGCCTGTACCGGAGCCAACACCTGCCCCTGTTTCCCGTGGCCCACCACTGCAGCTTAAGGATAACGCATCTCTGTCTTCGCAAGCTGACAGATTCGCCGAGAAGGATGTAGACTCAGACAAGGAGAGTGATTCTAGCTTCGAGGAGGTATCCAAGCCAGTGCAGCGCCCATCCGTCATTGCCGCAAAGCAGGAAGAGAAGACAAGAGGCCCAGTCATCGCCAAGGAGCCCGAGCAGCCCAAGTTCACGCCTGCACCAACATCTGTCCCTGCACAGTCCAAGCCCGCCGCTCCACCGATCGAGTCTGCGCCTGCACCTCCCGCTTCATCTATACCGAGCGCTGGAGGACCAGCTTCAGCTCTCCGCGATGCCCTCGGCGATATCAAGGCCCAGCTCGAGCACCAGAACAAGGTCATGGCTGATCAGTCTGACCAAATCGCGCTACTCATCCGCGAAGTCACACAACTGAAGACCAAGGCCGGTGCTCAGGCACAAGATCCATCATCCCGCGAGAAGGATGAGCGCATCAGGCAGCTGGAGCTTGAGCTCGAGGAGGCCAGGTCGTGATTTGAGTGCTGACGACCCGTCCACCTGCTCTTGCTGACAGTACCAAGGGTCGATTTGTTGCATGTCAGGGATGAGATCGCCGGACTCAACCAGCATTTGCACATCAAGGGCGTCGTTAACCGGGCGGCGACGGCTGCGTTGATGGATCCAAACGTAGAATCGGAGCGGACAGTTGACATATGACGACAGCGTGGGTGGTTTGTGTAAGTGTATTGTGCGCTTTGTCTTGCCAAAAGCAAGGTGTTTGGGTTAGCGGCATCTTGCGAATATTATTGCTGTACGTTATACATTGAACGTCTTCTTCATCGATGTCCGGAGACAAGCCGACAGGGCTGAAGCCCCACAACCGTTGGTGATCTCCACACATGGCGCGCACTAATGCATGCCAAGTCCATAGCGTCATTTCATCGCGCGGGTTCTTTGAGAGCTGCGGTCGTCAATTCTGCCTGTCCATCCTGACATTGATTTGAGCATTGATCTCTCCATATTTATATTCAATCTTCTTCGTTCATATCCGACCTTCGGAAACCGCAGAATTACATCCACCCTCGTACTGGCCGAACTGAAACCACAATGCTCGACTACAACAAGCACACTGTCGCGCAACTGCGGCAGCTACTGAAGGACCGAGGCATACCGAGCACAGGTCTCACGAGGAAGGCTCAGATCATTGAGAAGCTTGAAGAAGCAGATGGTGCTGGCATCGACGCTCCTGAAGCAAGCAAAGCGACCGAGGATGTTGCCGAGCAGGAGTCTGAGCAGGCTGTAGAACAAGGCGCACAGCCAGGAGCTTTACATGGGCCACCACTCCAGGAGAATGGGAGCATGTTTCGCGAATCCATCGAAGCTCACAGGGGTGCTGAGCCACGCTCAGAACCCAAGCAAATTGCAACCGAAACACAGGCAGAAGCAGAGCACACACCCGTTCCTGCGCCAACGGCCGATCGCTCACCTGAGACCGTTTCACACATCGGCAGTGATGTACCTCTGCCGAACGACACGAAAATATTTGAACAACCTGCCGAAGACACTACAGCGGAGGAAGAAATAGGAGGCCCACAACCCACAGAAGTCTTCAGTGCTGCACCCACGACACTCGAAGACGACCAAGTCGGACCGCACATCACCGAGCCTACAGACGAAGAGGTTGAAGTGAAAGCAAAGGGCAAGAAGGCAGATATCGCACAAGACGAGCTCCATGAAGCCCCAGGGCCAGCTGCTGAAGCTTTGAGGCTAGCACGGCCGGAGCAAGAGAGGTTGAGAGATACACAAGATACAGCCATGGACATCGAGACACCCTCACCAGCACCGAACGAGCGGGATACTGTCGAAAAACCAGAGTTGCTGCCGATACCTGAGAGATCGACGGCAGAGACATCAAGGCTCAACACTGAGGAGCTCGAGGCAGATACCAGGAAAAGGAAACGGAGAAGTAACTCCCCAGACCTCACAACGAAGGAGATGCTTGTGAAGAAGCCAAGACCAAGTCAAGAGCCGGTCTCAGACGTTCATCTGAAGGAGGGCGACGATGTTGTCATGGAACAGCGGAGACCAGATGATTCACCCTCAGACTCCAAGCGGGAAAGGAAGGAGAACCTGAGCCGATACAAAGATCTTGTGCAACCCAGCTCAAACCAGCCGGCAGATGCCTTGGATGACGATCGACCTACTGTCCCAGCTATTCATACTGTAACGTCTGCGCTCTACATCCGCAACTTCATGCGCCCGCTCCGTCCCGAACCGCTACGTACACATCTCGTATCACTCGCTTCGCCACCATCGTCCTCACCAGGTACCTCGATCGTATCCGCACTGTTCCTGGACAACATGAAAACCCACGCGCTCGCCCTCTTCACATCTACAACCGCTGCAAGTCGGGTACGCGCCAGTCTACACGGATCAATCTGGCCGCCTGAGGGGAACAGGAAGGAGCTCTGGGTAGACTTCGTCCCCGACGACCGGGTAGAAGAATGGATACATATCGAGGAGGATGCGCTGGCCGCTGAAAAGGAAGCGCGTGCATCCGGCCGCCCCATCGCCACGAAACGGTTCGAAGTCGTTTACAACGAAGGCAAAGACGGTATTGAGGCTGTACACCAAGAAGTCGGCTCCAGCGCGCCCATCAACGCGCCACGAGGTCCTCGAGGAAGCTTGGATGACCGCCGACCGTCGGACATACCTGCGCCACTGCCAATAGCCCCGACAGAGGAACTGAAGAAAGAAACGTCTGCATCCTTCAAGACACTGGACGAGCTTTTTGACTCCACGAAAGCGAAACCGCAACTTTACTACCTCCCTGTCAGCGACTCGATATCAGAAATTAGACTGAAGAAGTTCCAGCTGGAGACAAGTAGAGATTGGAATCCGGAAGCGGTCAGGAAGGGAAGAGGCATGCAGAAAGAACCGAAGTATAGGTATACATTTGATGATGACGATAGGATTGTCGAGGCTGGTGAGGATCGAGGACCTTGGGCGGAAGATCTGAGGGGTGGAAGAGGAGTGTTCAGAGGGAGAGGCGGGTTCAGAGGAGGACGAGGCGGTGGGAACTGGAGAGGTTGAACGAGGCACGAGACCAAAAACAATGGAGATGGGTTCAAGAGCTTGGGTCGCTTTGGTTCACTTGGGTTACTGGCTTGCTGACGCACTGATCACGACACATTGCAACGGCCCGTCCGCCGCCGTTCTCACGGCCCTTCAATACTATACGAACGAACTGTCTGTACCGACGACAGGTATGGTGCTGAACTCCAGTTCCAGCCCCAAACATCTCCGCCACTCCGAACGAGAGCGAATGCTGAAACAAATACGTGGCGGCGAAGACACCACACTTGCATCGTAAGTGTCGAGCTCCATCTCTTCTACAGCACGAGGATCATCACACGTAGTGTATTCCTCACCTATCACCGAGTGCTCTACCGGCGCGCGCGCGTTCTGGCGCTGTATCGCATGGGGACAATGATCACAGGGCTTTCCTGTCTTTGCGTCTGACCAGGTCCTCCTAGGCGCCCCCTGCCTTCTCGGCTTCACAACTACATTTCGCAGTTTATTGGATCACACATAGTGGAACGTAGACGGACAGTTCTGCTCCGTGAAGTAGGGTCTAAGCCTTAATATGGCACATCTTTCACCGGTCAAATCCGCTTCTGCGGACGATCGTCTCTTTCATCTACCTTGTGTCCTCCCATATGTGAGAGTTAGCCTTCATTTCCTGGTCTTTGTCTAGTATCCAACGCCTTTCGGTGCGTTAGGCGGGTATTTGACACTCACCACTATTACGGTCAACACCAAGTCCCCGTTAAAAGGCATCCTAGCCAACACTATGGGTGTTCTCTGGTAATCCGGTACTAGTGTCTATTTAGGTTGTTGTATAAGACCAGACGCAACTTTTTTACTTTGGAGCTTGACGTCACTTCCGTGACTCTTCACTTCACCGCAACCTGACAACGTTACGGCGCTACGAGTCTTGGCTTCCCACGGGCACGTCCCCATTCTACGACAAAATTCCCAACGTCAGCAAGTAGTTTTCTGCTGAGGATCCGCCTTGCAAACAAGCGCCTCAACTTGACAAGCCTTGTACGCTAGCGACGGTAAGACTGAACTTAAGTAAGCCAACGGGCCCAGCGCGTGTGTATGTTCGTTGATTTTGTTGCCAGCGCCATGGGTGATGAACTCCTCAACGCTGTGCAGCAGTTCGGAGATGCCGCAATCTCACATGAAGATGCTTCGGTTGGCGATCTGGCAGAGGCTAAGCCAAAGTTCCAGTGTCCGAATTGCAACAAGTCCTACATTACGAAGAAGAGCCTTCAAGTATGATGTATTTCCATCCGGATTCAGGCGTTTGTTGACTTCATATAGCGCCACCTCAGCAGCATCAATAGCGTGTGCGGGAAAGAGCGCCTCACCCACGAGCAGATCGCAGCACTCCCGTCCAAGCCCCGATGGGCCTGCTCCCGCTGTGGAAAAGACTGTGCCACGGGTGCATCTGTTGAGGTTACTATTACAACTACGCTGCATAGATCTCTACTGACGCTACATCTAGCGCCACATAGCCAAGTCGTGCTGGAGGACCTGCGACGAATGCGCCGCCGATGGAGTCACGCGTTGCGATAGCACCTTCAAGGCCGGGCCTTGCAGGACGTGCGAAGGCAGGGACCGACCTTGTAGGAAGTACACGTCCGCCATTCCAGGCACTCAAGCCGTACGTTTGACAGGACCAGCCGCTCCGCCACAGTTGAAGCCCACTACAGAAGATGAGGATGGTTTTACGTCGAATCATCAGCCAGCGAAACGCAAGACCATGACGAGTCCGAAGACGAGCCCAGAGCGAGCGCACAAGGACAAGCGCTTAGCACCAGCTGATCAGCAAGTCATTGATTATGGCGAGGATCGCGTAGTGGACCCTTTGGGAGGTCAGGCACACGTTCCACCCAGAGTCAAGAAGGCGGCTGTATCTGACTGGCTGGATGGTCAGTCAAAGAAATGTAGGTTGACGTACTGGATTTTGTTTGATGTTGCGAGCGCGTCGTTTGTTCGAATGGTTTAAAATGTACTAACCCACCCGGAAAGCTGCTTCGGTGGTCTCAAGTCATGCACACGTGCAAGATGATCCGTCACGCCTGAACCAGACCGGCTCGATGCAGTCTCTTCACTTCGATCATCATCAGCCTGACCGGTCATCCAATCAGACGCACACCCACGAAAGCACTCCGCCTCCGGTAGCGTTCCTCCCATCACAACATGCCGACGGCAATTCGACACAGAATTATCAGCAAAACCTGTCTTTTCCGCCAACAGACCACAATCACCACACCAACAACTATGGCACGACAGCATCTCTGGGACTGATCAACCTTCCACATCTGCCTTCATCTGGTTGTCTAACATCCACGTCAGCGGGTCGATCAATGCAATATGACCAGTTGTACTTCCAGATACAGACTCTCCGCCAGCAGAGTCACGCCCATGAGATTGAAATGGCAAGGCGGGACGTCTCGCAAAACCGTATGGGATTGGCTCCAGCGCCCCCATCATTTGGCGTGAGCGGCCCACTGAATCGTGGTGGACAAGGGTCCATCCAGACCCAAGGTCACTCCAGTATGGTAAGAAGCATGTAGTCCTTCTGGGTGTCCTAACATTGCTGACGTGTCCCTAGCCGTCTTTTCAAGCACCTTACAGTCGCTTCAACCCTAATGGCTCTGTCCTCGTACTGAGGGTCCACAGCAACACCTACGACCAGAACGGCCAGCCGATCTTCTCTATACTTCGCATGCACACCGACGAGATATTCGGACCGCGCCTTCATGCTTACTGTGCCAACCGAGGCAAGGAGTTCGGTGTAGACTGGATATTCGTGTACCGCTACCGGATCGGCACCTACCAGAGCCCTGGGCATGACATGCAGATTACTTTGACATGGGACATGACTCCGGCTGATATGAAGGGCGACGACATACCTGGAATCGCCATGCGTAACATGGAGACAATCTACGTCATGAAGGTAAAGACACCGGCGATAGCAGACATCAAGCGGGAGATAAGCGAGGACGGCGCTGTGCAGTCTCCCGGTCCACAAGTCAGCCACCAGATCGCCCACATCACCAATGGCGAGACAAAGTACTTCCAGAATCCCGACGTCACTCGCCAGTGGTACCAAGCCATCCAGAAGGATAACGCTCATCTCCGCGCCTCGCACCACCAGATGCAGACAGTCATCACGCAGCTCAGACAGGAGCTCCTCGCAAAGAAGCAAGAGAACACAGAGTTGACCACCAACATCGCCGAGCTCACCAAGATGAGCAAAGAGTACCGCGAAATGGTCGAGCGCCGTGCTTCAGATCCAACAGTACCGGATCCTGGCCCACAAGTTGCACAGTTCTCCCTCTCCCGCCCTCCAGCTGGTCGCGTCGCTCGCCAGCGCCCCGGACCTCCCAACCAGCCCGTGCAGCAGCGTCCTGCGCGACAGCGTATCAACCCCACCGCTGAGTACTACAGGCAGCGCGCCGAGCAACAAGACGCGCAACTGCGCGCCCAAACCGAACCGAACGCCTTCCTCAAGAAGTGCGAGGCCGTTCGCGATCCAAACGAGCAAGTCCCACACCAGCTCCAACCGCTGCAGTTCCCCAGCTTCGAGAGCGGATCTACGGTCCCGGACTCTACGCAGCAGTTGAGCATGGACTTTGCGTTCGATGGTCAGGCAAGCACCCAGGGTCGCTCCTACGATGCTGCTGATACAGTAGTGAAGAGCGGTGTGGAGGCGACGGAGGAGTAAGCAAGGCGAGTGATCTGAACGCATATACGAAGACAAGCGCGAGGTACGGGTAGTAGGACTCACGGTCTACACTCCGTTCGCTCGTGTACGCAGCTTGTGATATCGCACACCATCATCTGTTGTTTCTGACACAAATTGTGTGCTCGATTCGTCGAGTTGGACTACCCGATGTATGGGTGTATTAAAAGTGTACTGTTGCAGTTATGACAAGCTTGGAAACACCAGTCTTCCGACTATACGAAGACTACTGGATACCAAATAAACACAATGGGGAAAACCGAAATTGCAAGCAAATATACACAAACATGAGACCTCAACCCACCGCTGGGAGTCGCTGGCTATCGACTCACAAGTTCAGCGCTGCCAACTCTTCCTTGTCAGAAGATCTCCAGCCCCTCGAAATCCACACACAGATTTCTCATGCCAATATTTGAGCCGCCATTCCTACTATCAAACATGGTAACTCCGAAATTCGCGGGCCGACTAGCATATACCCCAACTCGTATAGCCTTATCCTCCACACCCCAGAAGAACCATGTCACTTCCCTCAACTTCTTCCAACCTAGCATTTCATCTTCATACCAAACCCACAAAGCATAGCCAATCCTTTCAATCTTGACTCTCAAATCCAGGCGTCGAGCGTGATGTGCAGGTAGAGACGTCAGAGCCCAGTCGGCGCCCTCTGAGTTGGCGACTACAGATGTTGCGTTGCATGCACCATTGCAGAATTCGAGACCGACTTTGACCCACTTCGACGCCGGAGCGGGCGCAACATACGCTGGCGGAGGGCTACGGGATCGAGGGCGCTGGTGGTCTGACTCTGGAACCGGTATCCGCGAGTTGGAGCTCCTTCGTCTGTGATGCGTAGTTGAAACTGAAGGTGAGGCAGATGTACTATCATTGAGAGTTATGGAGACCACACTGGGAGCTTCTCGCGGTGATACGATCGGTATTGTTTGCCCTGGCGGTGTTCCTGCGAAGATGACAAGGCCTCCTTGATCCCACTCTAGCTCCCAGTCGGCAGAGACAGTGACCTCAGCTGCAATGAATGGATTGCGCAATGCTGTGTAGAGTACGGGTGCCGTCGATGTGTCTCGGGAAGGCGGCTTTCTCCACAGATCCGAATTTGGAGGTGCGGCAAGCGTAAACGATCCCATGTACTCCGGTACAACATCGCTAGGTACGTTGAGGGCCGTGAAAGAGGAGCTCGCCGGTGGCATCTCCAAATTGCGATCGACTGAGGTATTCTGAGGATCCAGACAACGGCACAATTGCACACACCGTGTATGAACAGTCTGTCCTGCAGCACGATTCGTACCGCGTATGCAAGAGCTGTTCGAGGATTTCGGCAGTCTGTCTCCGCACACGGATCGCGTCGATCAGGAATGGTCGTTTAGCTCGGGTTGTGTCACCTGGACTTGTTGGTCATTCGCTTTGTTGTGGACGGTTGCAGCGAGGCCACATGTAAGCTGACTTCGAAATTACCTGCGCAACAGATCTGCAGGAAGGATAGTGAGAAGCCCGCGCAGATCTCGTTAGGCCTATTTTGTGGTCAGCCCTGAGGCACTTAGGCACCTTATGTTGAAGCTCATAGTACGCCACATCCCGCCGCGCAGCATGGCGTTCAACGGCACATTTGCAATGCTTGACGCCACATAAGGCGCGCGTTCACATATGTATAATGTAGCTGATGCTTACAGCAAGACCGGTACGGTTATGCATCAACGTTTCAATAGCAGGCTGACCAATGGCGCTGGCGGCGCAGGAGCAGTGATTTCGGGGTCCGACTTTCAGCACGAAGAGAGCGAGCTGCAAAGATACACGGCTGCGATATCGTCATCCTAATGGAACTCTTATTGCTGCTCATATACGTATTTGTTGTTGCGAGATTCGACGATGCAATCCCTGGCTGCAGGCATGGCCGCTACTGGTGTCCATCTCCAGCTGAGCGCACCCGCCACTCGCGTAGCAGCGACAGCTGTGGATTGCCGTCGCGAAAATGCGACGAGCCGGTTTCCAGCATAGTCCAGCTGCAGTTCTGGTGAGCCTGTAAGATGGCGAGGGAAGCCCCGCCCCTGGGTCGCGACTGCGCCGCGAGGCAACAGCGGCGTTGGGATCAATATTTTGTCGCCGCACGCCACCGCCGCAGTCCAATGTCGAGAGAGCACCGTCTTCACAATTGTCAGCCTAAAAAGAGTTTCGGTATTACGGTTCGGGCAGGGTGCGAGCATATTCGGTGGTTGGGTCACGTCACTCAAGAAGGAATAGTTGCTGCTGAGTTGTCGTCGTGTAATAACGAAGATGTTCTGCAGGCGCAGGGAAGGTTCTTAGCAGTGCAGCAATAGCTTTTGCCTAATCGGGGGCCGGGCCTGCACGCTATTCGACTCGTCTTCTCACAGCGCTTAATGAGGCAAGGACGACCTTGACGCGTGGGAAACGACATGGAGAACACAGGAGTGGCTGGCGGCAGTAAGCCCTTTCACAAATCCATTGGCCTTGATAAAAGCAGCACTGGAGTATTCTGCATCATGCCTCTTGGTCCAGTCGACTGAGCCGTACGGCAAAGGAGAAGAGCGCAGCGTGCAGAATGAATGCACTCCATGAATCAGGTACGTACATGTTGCACGCAGATCGGCAATATAGGACAGCATTGTGGTGAATTTGTCTCAGATGCGATTATACTGCTGTGCCCTGTGCGTGGTTCCCAAGTAGCTACCCGCCACGCTTCGGTTTTGGAAATCCCTTCGTAATCAAGTAAGCACGGAATGCACGCTTAACGGCGACCCTGTCTGCATATCTCAGTCCCTCTCAGATGGTGTTGCAAGAGTGGCCAGTTGTGGATGACATTGATGAAGACCACGTTGTGATGCTCATGAGACAGCAAGAGCAGATACTCAGTCTCTTCAACTAGTATGGCCGTACTCAGGATGGACAGATTGGAATCTGTTGCATTGTTCGCATGTAGTGGTAACAAGAGACCTGTACAATGTTTCTCGGCTAGCTCTGCGTCGTACAACGATAACAAGCGAACTGTATGGATGCCGACGGGTTGTTCAATATCCGTGGATCTTGCAGCAGCTGCAGCAACGGCACACAAGGTGCGTGTCATGAGACACTTGTTTGACAAGCGAGTGTACGAGCGTCCACCACATTATTTCGGCGATGTTTACTGGACGGTTGAGCGATTTTTCGGAGACTGCACGTTCGTGATGTGTCTAGCACCACGCTGGGTGCGCTGGCGCGCGAGACCTGGTTGATTGAAGGACGCTGCTGCACCACGAAAACGCTTGACGATACTGCTCGTTCATGATACGAGATTCAGATAGTGTAAACGTGCGTAACTGCGAACGTGAGCTACAATCATAGTTATCAGGCACGTAATTGTCCGCCGGTTGAGCAGCTCAACGGATTCAAGGCATCTGACGATCAGCACTGCAAAGCCAGGACTAAATCCGTTCCTCAATCTAACCACAGTCCACATGGTAATAGACGTGTATACATCTTGCCGCCGGCAGTGACGTCCCTGCACTTACATGACACATTGTGAGCTGACGAATCGTCCGGTGGGAGCAAAGTATGCTTCGCTCTGTAGCGCCACACCGCATGTCTACTGTCGTGCCTCCAGTACCTGCTGCTGAGATTTATTGGCGCTAGCGAGTTTTGGTAACCTCGAGTAGTAGTAACAGATTGGCAGAAGACAAGAAACTGGTGTGGGTCATTCCTCGTCCAGTCAGGGCGATTCAAAAGTGGCTATCAGGGAACCAGATGTACTGAGTACTGTCAGACTGTTCGCGGGGGCCTCGCTGCACGCTCTATGATATCGAAAAACAGCGAGCATAGAGTGGAGTCTCACCTCGACACGTAGGAAGAGCGACGCCGCTTGCTACAGTGACATACCAGATCTTGCGGGCCTGGTGGGGCTGTACCTGTGAGCCGCCAATGAGTCGGGTCTCTGTATACTTTTGCTGCGACAAGCGCTGTTACATTGGCTTGAGTCAAGTCAGTGCTTTAAGTTCATTAAGGCAATGCTCATGAAGGAGCGCCTTCGCATCAAGGTACCGTTTCAGGTACTGCTTAACTGTTTGAATTTTGTGCAAGCCCTGCATGCCATCTTGCGCCTCAACGTGCCGCCCACGCAGCTGACAGCTGCTGCTTGGTAAAGGGTGTATCCAACTAATCCTGTTTCGAAGTCGACATCACACTTAAAGCAAAGCAGGTCGGTGCACAGGTACAAACGAGCCTGCCTGTTGGCACAAGTCATTCGAAGCGCCTTGAGGCCTACTTTGAGAGCCGGTTTGACGTATCGATGTCTGACACATGCTTAGCTACATCGAAAGCTTGGTGGTCGCTTGCACGGCTACACTAGGACTATAGAGACGCACTGGACCAAAAGATTGATGGGACGCGAGGAACAATCTGCAGAGCAGATTCTACCCAACGCCCAAAAGGATCTTCTAAGGACCTGCTAGTGACTGCGATGATGTGAAGCCCAGCCAAGTTACATCTCGAGCGTGTTACTGGAGACGATTACCCTCCTCGCAGGAATTGTAAGATCGTCGCGCAATCTTGAACTACGCCAGGCTAAGACTGTCGCATACTCGTGTAGATGTACTTTGCAAACTGTAGAGCTCGAGTCCTGATTGCCCCAACATGATCGCCGTTGCATCAGAACGAGGCTAACAATCGATACTTGTTTGGCGTGACGATATGCAGTGCTGATACACATAGAACTTAACTGTGTTGCTTCATTGGGGTATCGGCTGATAATATCGTACGATTCACGGGCCGTGTTGAGCGCAAGAACCCGCAATTTTTTTGATGTGATAGGCATATGAACCAGGAAGACCTCGCAGCGGCAAGCAAAGGCCCGAAACGGGTCCCGCCTACAGGTACCTGCCCGTTTCGTTAATCAAAAAGGGGAGCGGAACCTAATCGGGATTTGGCGAATCAGAGACAGCTCAAGACATGCCACACTTTCTAACAGCCACCAAGTCCGATGGGTCTGGAAAGACATGGGCATCTCTATTGCCAAGTTCTATGCTTGGAGGCTTCGGTCATCGGTCCAAGTGCCTTGGCGAGAAGGTGTTTCTCAACGCTCATCTGCCGAGAATTCAATCTCCGCATGATGCAATTGGGTAAACGGCAAAATGTACAACACAGACCACCTGATAGGTATCTTCAACTGCTGTCGAGACCAGATCGATAATGATTTCAGTGCAACGGCTTTGCTTGTTGCTGACGAAAATATGGGGTCGAGTGAGTTGCGCCGCACTGACGCCGTCAGCATCACACTCAAGCCGTCTGAGTCGAGCTGAAGAATGCGTGCGATTGGAATGCAGCGAGCGATTGTCTACGATACGGAGAGGAGCACTGCGTCCAGACCTGGTAAATAGCTCCGTGGCTCAATCTTTGAGATAAACATTGATGCGGCGTGGTAAGTCGTTTGACGATGCAACAAGCTTGAGACATTGTTCTGCCAACAGCTCGTCGAACGATGTCTCTGGCCGATGGACCAGTTGCTTCATATTTTCGGTGAAGTGCGGAGAGTGGTTTGGACGAACAGCTTTCTCGTACGAATCCCAGGTCTGCAGCTCAATGATCAAATATCCGCCAGAACGGAGGCATGCTGCGCACTTCCTAAAGAAGGTCTCCACACCCTCATCAAGATGTTCCAGATGTATCCACTTGATGACACTGAGGGCCAGAATCACGTCGTATGGACCAGAGATTGCCCGGTCTGCCGATGCAACCCAATCTGCGGAGACGAATTGTACATGGGGCCAGTTTGAAGTTGTTAACGCGGGGGATGAATCGCGGGAGATCTTGCCTTTCGTCTCGACGCGGTATCCATGAGTGAGGACTGCCGATACAGGGTAATAGTCCACGATATGTGAATCTCCAGTTGAAGGACGGGCACGTGAAGAGCGGAGTGCCAAAAGTTTCTCGGCTTGGGCCACTAGCTTCGGATCGATGTCAACGCCAGTGACTGATGCTACATGAAAGTCGAAGGCTATAACATGGGTCAATATCAGAACCTTGGAGGTATAGTCGCTTAGCAGCTGGAGCAGGGGCTTCCCTTCCACTTACCAAGCTGGCATGCAGCGTTTCCAGCGTTGCAGCCAATATCTAGGCAGGTCTTCGCAGTGAAGATCCCCGGAACTAGACCTGTGAGCAGTTTTAGGCGGGCGTCGAGTACATGAGTTGCTGATCCAGGAGCTCTCGAAGGACCAGTATAATCTAAGTGATAGGGATCAGATCTGAATATGATGCAACTGCCGGCTATGCAAAACCTGAGACACGATGCACACCATCCAGGTGGAGGGGAGAGCTTACTGGTGTAGTTACCCCAGCTAGTAGCCATTGATTGCGCCGCAGAGGGTATTCGGAGGTAGGATGCAGATCGTGGTCGGGGATTTCCTCGGTTGACCTCCCAACACCGTCGGCCAGGGAGTGGTGACCTAGTGGCGACAACGCGATTATGGATTGGGCGAGTGGCGAGGTGTTTACACGCCGGCGATGGCAGCGCAACGGGTGTCTGAGACGAGCGGTGAAGGCGAACGGTGAATCATTGAATGGCGGCTTCGCGTAAAGTTGGCTCGGCCGCTGCCATGGACGACTTGAGCAGCCATGGAGCCAGCAGCAGGCCAGTGTCCAGCTGCTAGCTAGTGCCAACCACACCCAATTTCGACGACCAGCGAAAGCGCACCTGAGCAAGCAGGGTGATGCATGGCTGTGAGAGAGGGTGCCGAAACGGGAATGCAACCGCTTGATGTAGCACAGAGCGGAGCGAGAACTGCTCCAGGGTGCCGGCACCGCAAACAGGACCGTATGCTCTGCGCGTCCTGGGACCTGCTCGAAGCAGACGCGACCATTCCACTCAATAGAGGCCTACGCTAGCGTATTGACGCAGTACCTACCAGGTACCAAGCAGGCAGTGAGGGCCAGGGTAATGGACATGTGGTGCTATTCGACCGACCTCAGGGCGACAGAGGCCCCACAGGTCCACATTCACTCCATGTAGGACAAGCCAACGTTGGAGCGCAACAGTGCTTTTGAGGCTCGTATTGCCCGCCCGGCAGCGGCAGAGGGCACGACTGGTCCGACCCTTGAAACGATGGGCGCAGAGCCGTGGTGCTTTTTCCCGCTGGCGCAGGGCTGCAACTACCTCGTCTTGGGACGTGCCATGTTTGTGGGCGCGTCCCCAGGTGGCTTCGCGCGGGCAATCGCACCCACTTGCACCCTGCCAACGCTCCCGTCTGGCGGCACACGGCGGGTGGGAGGGGCGGCGATGGGGTGATTTGTGCTCGATTGCTGGCCGCGAGATGTCTCTCATGTCGCTACCAGATCAACGCTCTCCACCCGAGACAAGCGCAAGCCACAAACGAGCCATGGCGGCCGTGTCCGTTGCAAGCCAGAGTCCGGCATCCAGGTGAGGGAAGGCTGTCTCATGCCATTGACTATGATGCATGAGACTGTTCTGCACGTCGCGCAGATGCGTCCGGAAACCTGGAAGGCGGTTGGGAACCTGAGTGGCTCTCCGTGCCGAGGAAGCAGCTTTCTGGTCCCCGTCCCCATCGCATCGCGGCACAGGGACCCTTCTGAGGATCGACCCACCTCGACTCGCTCTGCGAAGAGACGACATGACCAGCTGTCGCAGGGAAGCAGCCGTGATCACCTTAGCCGCATCACAGCTGCCTGCCATTGGGCGAGATGGGCATTGCCAGATCAGACTGCTCACAATCCAGGTTCGTCTCTGCAGCCACCCCAGGGTCATCGCAGGCTCACACACCGTCCGGGCCCTGCTAGGCTACTGGCCCCATATGGACGCTCACCGTGCCCTCATGCCAGCCGTCCTCGCATGCTCTGGCTGGGCGGACGCTTCGCGATGCTACCTCCGCTCGACGGTGACCATGGACCGAGTTACGTGGTAATCTGGCATATTGCGCCAAATTGGCTGCTGCCGGGTTACAGTGTGCAACACCCTGGCCGCCGTGATTCGAACAGCAACTTACTTGCGAAACCCGGGGACGACCGTTGTTTGTCTCTTTTATCCGGGTGCGAGCCTATTCGGCGACGCCCCACGAAAATACAGCGAAGCCAGCGTGCACCCGGCAGCGAGCTAGAGACATCTCCTTCGCCCGTTGGACCACAAGAGGATTTGCTCGGAGCAATCAGAGTTGTCAGCGCTCCCAGTCAAAGTCTACTTCTGCATGCAAGCCAGCGCAATTGAGAGAAAGTGGGTGCTGCTGCGACACACGCAGCGACTAGTCTAGCATTACCCTAGACTCTACATGGGCATCACGGAACTGCTTCTTTGCACAAACAGAACTCACTACTGCGTGTTCCAGGACTTCGAGTCGCTCTACGTTAATCCAATCTGCTCCACTCACTTGTTCAGGAACCTACGGCCTGCCTGCCAAGTATACAGCTTCACGTATCGCCCTGTCCCTGCTGACCTCGTCGTCTACCTGGCCCGTTTTATACTCCGAACCGGCGTTTCTAGACATTCGGCGTGAGGCTTGCCTATTGACAAGGTATGTTGCGGGCCACCCCCGGCTGCATCCTTTTTTCGCTCCCGGGTGCCCGTTGTCTTAGCACCTGAGCGCCTCCACCCAACGTCGACGTAACCGAATCGAAGCATTCGGGCGGCGATCTGGCTGCTGGCGATCCAGATACGTACAGAGTCGCTACAAGGGGATTCTGAACTATAAACTTCTCACGCCGCCACAGTCAAGGCAGTGCCCGCATTCCTGACGTTCTGTCCAACACTGCACGACTCCCTGGCTCTCCCGAAGTGTGAAGGAGCCTCCGAACTGAACACAAGTGGACAGTAGTGGACCACCTAATTCGGCTTCGTGCATCGTGTCCTGGTCCGAGCAAATGATAATACACGCATGTCCCAACCACCACCTCCATCCTCTCCGCTGTCGTCTCTTCCTCCATCAGACACCTCTCCCTCAGCTCCAGACATGACAGAAACTCAAAAGCTTCCTGTCTTCCAACCGCCAGGCTTCCTGGACTTCAATCACAGACGACTGCCCCCACCTGTACAGCTCAAGCAGCTAGAAATCCCACCCGACGCTGTACCACCACGGACGGACTACCATTTTCGCTCACCCGTCGGTCACTTACCTTCCATCCACTCAGGACCACCTCCATGGCACGAGCACCAGAAAGCGCCTACAGCACATTACAGACCGGCAGCACCTCTTGAGAAGCTAGTACATCACACCAATCCATACACACCACCTCGGACAGAAGCGCCGTACTCGCCTCAAAATTATGGACCACCCATTTCCCCTCGCTCGCAGTATGACAACAGAGAAAGAAGACTGAACGAGCATCGCTACCCGTCATATGACGAGCCTCGGCATACACACCATGCACCACACGAGCAGCAATACCCGTCCCTTGCATCTCCAGTCGAGCCCTCGCAGCAGAGACATTACGCCCCGCTCCCATCACCTGGATACACGCCCAGCTACGCCTCAAGTAGTACATTCCGTGGATCGGTGGGCTCTTATTCGCACTCGCAACGAGGATCTGTGACAGCTCCCTTGGGATCGGTAGCGTACCCTGAACCTAACGCACCTGGCCTTCCACCGCGGAAAGATGTTCGTGCGATCCCGTTACCTGGCACCATTCAACAGCCTGTGTACAACGAGCAACTGTAAGCATGCCTCGTACCCAGATGCAGATGTGTAACCAGACTGACATTCCCAGAAAATTGGGTTTCGAGCTTCGTGTACGACAACAGCCCATCGCAGCAAGAGCATGTGGGTTTGGAGAACGAGACAGACGAGTGATAGATCCACCACCGATCATTCAACTGCTCGTCACAGACCCAAAGACAGGTATAGCCGAACAAGAAGAGCTTCGGTACTCGCTTAACGTAGTGCATTGCACGTTGTGGAATGCGGATGGGACCAGTGAGGAGACAGCGCTCATTCAACCGGATCGCCGAACCACGCGCAGGCTCATGGGCCAGCTAGTAGCCTCACCCTCTGTCGCCAAGGATGAGCACGACAACGAAGGGTGCTTTTTTTGCTTCCCTGACTTGTCGTGTCGCACACACGGCAGATACCGTCTTCGATTTGTGCTTATGCGCATCGACCCCATGAACCTACACGTGGGAGGATCTTCGCCAATACTCACAGAAGTGATGAGCGACGTCTTCACCGTGTACACAGCAAAGGACTTCCCCGGCATGCGTCCAAGCAGCGCACTCACCAGGGCGCTGAAGCTGCAAGGTTGCAACATCCAGGTAAAGAAGGGCAACGAGAAGGCCCTGGCTCGCAAACGTCTCACTGCGAGCCAAGAGCACGAAGAAGACGAAGAGATGAAGCGGCGACGCAGAATGTAAGGTGCATCGTACCTTTGGACCGATTTTCTTTCCAGCGCGCGACGTTTGCAGGCGGGCATTTGTTCTTAGCACTGGGCGGTACAGTCGTATTTTGGATACCTGGAGCATTTTCTGCGGACATCTATTGACATTTGACGACATGATGAACGGCGGTCTTCCACCCACGGCAGTCTTATTCAATGAAGGCGTAGCTACTTGGGGCGAGGCATTTGAGGTTAGCAAGGCATTGTGCACGATACCATTTGATAGCCTGTATTCTGCGCAAAGATACTCGCGCAACGCGTTCACCTCCTTTCAAAGTACTTGTGCATTTCTTAGATACCGTAGTGCAGTCAAGTGAGGTTGAATCGATGCATCGACAGTTGCAGACCGCTCTCGGCTGAGATGACTGGCTCTGACTAGCCCCAATGCCCCACTCCGTACCAAAGTGGGCGGGACGCTACAAATTTCTTGTGACGCGCCGCGACCCTAAGATTTCTTCTTTCCCTTCCCCAAACTGCAGCCAGGGCACTGAAAGCAATCATGAAGTACGTGCTTGTGTCAGGTGGTGTTATTAGCGGCGTGGGGAAGGTAAGCGCGTAGAGAGTGGACACCATGACCGTAGAACTGACTTGAGCATGTAGGGCATCATAGGTAAGACTCGGTGGCAGAGCGTCATTCGTGTGTACAGACACTGACCCCGCGCGTCGTAGCCTCCTCGACGGGTCTGCTGCTCAAGACGATCGGCCTCAAGATAAGTGCCAGCGCCGAAATGCACGCAGGCTCTACTGACACCCTGCGCACGTGTCATCGATCAAAATCGATCCCTACCTCAATGTCGACGCGGGGACCATGAACCCGAAGGAGTTCGTTGAGCCCTAACTTCATGGTCTTCCATGGCTCTAAGCAGCATACTGAGCAGCGCACAGGCACGGCGAAGTCTTCGTCCTCTCCGACGGCGGTGAAGTCGATCTCGATCTCGGCAACTACGAGCGCTACCTCAACATCACCCTGACCCGCGACAACAACATCACCACCGGCAAGATCTACCAGCACGTCATCGAGCGCGAGCGCAAGGGCGACTACCTGGGCAAGACGGTGCAGGTTGTCCCGCACATCACAGATGCGATCCAGGAATGGGTCCAGAAAGTCGCGCGCATACCCGTCGACGACACGGGTGAGGAGCCCGATGTGTGCATCATTGAGCTTGGTGGCACAGTCGGCGACATGGAGAGCATGCCGTTCGTGGAGGCCATGGCTCAGCTTAGGAGGCGCGCGGGCAGGGACAACTTCATGCAGATACACGTCTCGTACGTGCCTATCATCCACGGAGAGCAGAAGACGAAGCCCACACAGCACGCCATCAAGACGGTACGAAGCAACGGTATGATTCCGGATCTGGTAGGTCACCCACGAAGTTTGACGGAAATTGGGGTGCTGATTGTGTAGATTGCCTGCCGCTGCGAGCGCGAACTCGAGCCCTCGGTCATCGAGAAGCTGGCCAACTTCTGCCAGGTCGAGCCTGAGCAGGTTGTAGTCGTAAAGGACATGCCCTCGATCTACCAGGTGCCAATGCTCCTTGAGCAGCAGAAGCTGATCCCTCTCGTCCGCCAATTCCTCGCCCTCGAGAAGATCACCATCCCACAAACCATGACACAGAAGGGCGACAAGATCTGGACACAATGGAAGCATCTCACAGGGAACGACACCCGCTTCCACGACCCCGTCACCGTCGCTCTCGTTGGCAAGTACGTCGAGCTCCAGGACTCGTACCTCTCGGTCGTCAAGTCTCTTGAGCACGCAGCCATGCGCTGCAAACGCAAGCTCGACATCCGCTGGATCGACAGCGACCACCTCGAGCCCAAGACTCAGCAGAGTGATCCGGCCAAGTTCCATAACGCGTGGCACGAAATCGTCAAGGCATCCGGCATCCTCGTCCCGGGCGGCTTCGGCTCGCGCGCAACAGAAGGCATGATTGCGGCCGCAACCTGGGCGCGCGAGAACAAGAAGCCATACCTCGGTGTATGCTTGGGCATGCAGATCGCCGTCATCGAGTACGCACGTAACGTCTGCGGCATCAAGGACGCCACATCCGAGGAATTCAACGGCGACGCTGCAAACAAGCTCATCATGTTCATGCCCGAGGTCGACAAGACCACCATGGGCGCATCCATGCGTCTCGGTCTGCGCCCCACACTGTTCCAGCCAAACTCCGAGTGGTCGAAGCTGCGCGCCCTGTACGCCGGTAGCGATCAGATTCTCGAGCGCCACAGGCACAGGTACGAAGTCAACCCCAGCTACATCGACCAGCTGCAGGAAGGCGGGCTGCACTTTGTCGGCAAGGACGAGGAGGGCGTGCGCATGGAAGTTGTCGAGATCAAGGGCCACCCGTGGTATGTGGGTGTGCAGTTCCACCCCGAGTACCTTTCGCGTGTCCTGGACCCTAGCCGACCCTACCTGGGCTTCATTGCCGCGTCTGCGGGCATGCTCGACGAGATCACGAGGGATTATCAAGCCGGCGCCGCGAACGGGCTTGCTACCGAGGGTGTTGCCAACGGCGTTGCCGGTCTGAAGCTCAACGGCGAGTTCTAGGCGAGTTGCCGACGCCAGAAGGAGTAAGATGCTGAGACATGGCATGAGAAAACTGGGTACCGTGCCTCGGGCTTCTGAGGTCTGGATTTTGGTTGGTCTATATCCATAAAGAAGCCATAACCGGCACAATGTCCTGGGACGTGTATATGATACCATGAAACTACGAATAAGTTAGCCATCTGCAATCTTCATCTACCAAGTCTCTCTTGTGCGCCCGCAAGCACACGCTGATCTCCGAAGACCCTGTACGACTGCAGAACCAGATCATGGACCTCGGCCCCGCCCCACTAGCGAAAATTAACCAACGCACTACCTCTGAATTGGGAAGTACACCAAGACATTGACCCTACTGTTTCGTCGTCACCTTAATAAACTAGTATAATTACTTTATAGTGCGACTTCTTATCATCAATACCCAATCAATCCAGTCGCTTTAGCTCACTTGGGAGAGCGCCAGACTGAAGTCATCAGTCATAAAATCTGGAGGTACTGTGTTCGATCCACAGAAGCGACATTAGCTTCCGTGCCCGGGAATCTGGGATCACGAAAACGAAATTTTTGTACTTCCCTGCCCTTTTATGCCTGAATGTGCTGAGGGTGGAGCTGTCCTCTTTTTGCAGGTACCTTTACTGGCAAGCTGTCTTTGCGGAGCGGTGGTGCGTGGTGTTGAGAGGATGGGTCAGTGCTCTTGAGTTGACTGACGGACTGGGTTGTTTAGGTGTCGGTCAACATGTTCTGGAGAGATGGAGGTATAGTTCTGTGTGACAAGATGAATATGCATATATCTGCAATATCAAGAGCCGTTTCTTCTATCGTGGCTACATCTTGCTCCTTGGTGAGCGTTACATGCTCTTTTTTGTACTTGCTTCGCTGCGTTGCCGCACCCGCTCACCGTCTCCTCTTGAGCCAGACCTTCAGGAACTCGATTTTATTCCCAGCATCAAGTCCCACTCTCTTCACTCTCCCCAATCGCGCCAGATCCTCCGCTACACGATCCAGAACCCTCTGCTCCTGCGCGCTAACCTCGCCTTGCGTCTCGCCAGTCGTGATGTACATGTCCGTCTCCCTCTCCAGACTGCTACTCGCGCCGTTGCGGAAGTCCGGGGTATTGAAGGTGTTCGAGTTGTAGCCAGAGCCGATCGCAGTTTCGGACTGTCTTGCTGGAGAATCGATGCTAGGGCTGTTGTAGACGCGCATTGCGATGCGGACGCGCATCTGGTGCGAGGGTTTTGATAGGAGTTGGTAGAGCCAGCTGATGTATCCGCCGCTCACAGGGGTGGTGACGTCCTGAGGCGTGTAGCGCAGATTGACGGGGTAGATCTTGGTGTCACCTCTTGCGCTGAGCAAGCTCGGGCTCAGGGGCAATATGCCGCGACCGTTTGTGGTGGTGCATTCTGGGAAGACGCAAATGATGCTCTTGGGGTTTGCCTTGACAAGGGATGCAAGAGTGACAAGCTTAGATTCGTCTTGCGGGACGAAAGCGGGAGGTGCGAATGCGAGGAGGATCGCACGAAGAAGTGTGATGCGCTCGACTTTGCGGCTATTTGGGTACGAGCGTGTAAAGATCGGTTGGAAGATTCCGGCAAGGTAGAGCGGGTCGAGAGGAGACGTGAACGAGGAAGCGATAATGGTGCCGGCCTGGGGCGTGTGCTCTTTTGCTTCTGAGAGTCTTCTGTGAGTCTGTCAGCTTCTTCGTCCTCCATCAAAGCGCTATGCCTGCCTGTGGGAGAATGACATACCCGCGCTTCACGCCGTCGACCTGGAAGTCGACCCACCATACTCCAGTCAGGCCAAGAAGCGCCCACAGCAACACATATTTAATGGCTCCGCCGACTGGTAACCACTCAATAACGCCAAAGTAGAAGACTGAGAGCGCGATTACGAACGGCATGCGGCAGAGGAAGAGGAAGGCATGGATTGGCGTCCAGACGACGCTGACTGGAGGAGGAGGCACAGGGAGAAAGGGCGCTATGGCCGTACCTACAATTTTTTGTCAGTTCTTGTCCGTGGACTCCTTACCATAGAATGGCCTACCTTTGTCACGGAACTGGCTGTATTTCTCCATTGCGTGGTGTGTTCACAAGACACGCGGTGCTATCGATACATGGATTTTGCGGGCGATATTTTTGCTACAAGCAATTATAGGAAAGCGAAACAAGTTTACGTCGCTGATAAAGCTTGTAATGCAAGATGAATAGCTTGTCGTGTGGGTCGCTTGACGCGGGGATGACAGATGAGTGGATTATTACCGTTGCGAGTCATTCAAACATGTGAACGCCAAGATTTGGCTCTTGAAACGTCATGGCACATGCCAGCTGCAGTGGCCAATTGTGGAAATTCACATACAATTAGTAGGTCGACGGCGCAGATACTATCAGATGCATTCAGTTCGAGATACTTCTCTACATGCCCAGTTCACCTGTGGTCGACAAAGAGTAACAAGGAAATGCATTGATGCAGCCCGCCGAAATGCTATACTAACATCAAGGAAAAGGGTAAGTACAAAGGAGATGGTGTTCGACAATGACGCTCGAGGCGTATACATCGGGGGAGAGGGTATGTATGAATAAGCCAGTATTAGTGTTTCTTTTCCCAAACTTCGAATCATCCCAACACCGATGCCTGCTCCAGATTTTTGCGTAGAAAGGGTATTCGAACCGCTGCGGACAGGCTTCGAGAAGCAACGACTGGTGCCGTGGTGTTCCTTCGATAACCACCAGAGCTGTTCCACTCAGCGTGCTCGCATGCAGATTACAAAACTGATTACAAAGTACAGGCTTCGAATCGAAGACTCCGGTAAGATAAGTCAGGCAATAAAACAGGGTATGCGCAAGGGGTATTCGTCGTCTCCGCCTACAAAGCAACATCGAGCACCAAACTAACGTCACTGACTTGGTTGCCAGCAAGGTCTTCGAGGACGGGTATCAGGTCGAGGAGTTCGTTATCGTGGGCATCAGAGAACCAGCTGCTGATCGGGACGGCGTGTTGCGGGTGGAAGATATACGAGGTTGGCGAGTTGTCGATAATGATAGTGTCCTTCAGATCACGACCAATTTGTGAGAGATCCTGGTAGTGAGTCAGTACACATCGTGGAAGGATTCGACAGGACAAACGTACCTTTACGTAGTTACCCTGGTGATTATAACAGCTTTCGCGGAACAGTCTGTGGTGTACGACGCCATGGATGTCAAGCTGGTCAAGAAGTGGGTCACCGTACTATACCTGTTAGCTCAGGCCTGTGACAGACAGAGTGGAAACATACCTTTGAAACAGACGCGGTAAACACGACAACCTCATACAGCTCGCCGACCCTCTTCATAAATTGGTCGACGCCAGGACGTTTGATAACGTATACGTTATGGTATTGGCCCTCGATTTCAACAGGAATAGTGAAGTCGGCCTGCTGCAGTATCTTGGCGACAGTTAGCACGCAGAGCTCAAGAACTTATGCCATCGGAACCGTACCTTAAAGCTGCTGTGGACCAAAGTCTCGTCGAGATCAAGAACCAAACACTTCTTGCCCTTGAACCTAGGCTCGATTGGACCAAGCAGGTACTTCTGCGGCTCAGAAGCTTCGGACATCTCTGACGTTTGTTTTTGGACAGCATCTTGTCTCTGCTCAAGCGGAGGTGGAGGTGGAAGGTCAACCTTGGGCTGTTCCGTCGTTGCAACTGCGGCGTCTGGGTCTTCACCTTCCTGGTGCACGTCGTTGGTCGACAATGGGACATCCTTCATCTCGATATCAGCATCCAAGGCTTTCTGGTCCTCGGTCTGATCCTCGATGATTCTTTGTTGCTCCTCGGAAGGTCTGCCAACGACAGGAGTAGTGCCAGGAGTGGGGTTCTGAACGTTGATGATGGGCTGGTTGGTCTGCAATAGACCAGGCTGGACAGGTATCGGAGGGAGTGCTGCCTCGGAAGCTTGCTGCCGCTTAGACGAGCTCCTAGTGATGATCTGGGGTGGGTTGTCGTGCGAAGGCCTGGCGGGCTCAGCAGTACCATCACCACCAGATCTGGGCTTCTCGACGGCACCCATGCCGAATGTCGCAGCGGGCGCCTTCTCGTCAACCGGGTCCTTCGACTCCGCAGTGCTCGACTCGGCAGCAGCAAGCGGATACTGTTTCCTTACTGGAGTCGACTGCGACGTACGGCCCTCCGGGATCTTCTCGGTGCGCTTGACATTCTCCAGAGGCGTACCCTCTTCCCGTACGTCCTTGGGCGCGAAGCATGGTAGGCATGAAAGCAGCCCACCGGTTTTTCTCGCCTTGCTTCTTGTCGAGCCCTCGCGGTTGGCGGCAGGCATGGCTGGAAGCGAGGGTGCCTGAGCGGTCTTGTCGGGGTGGTTGGTTGGCTGTCCAGAGCGCTTGCTGCTCGCAGTGCTTGCTGCCCTTCGCTTGCCCATGAAGCTGCGCTTAGAGTGCTTCGATCCTTTTCCAATGCTCTCCGCGTCGGCGGCAGTGACTCCACTCAGGCCAGTCCCAGAAGGTGTCTGTGCATCATTTGCACTCGAGGGCACGTCCAGCAGCGGCTGCTTGCCTTCGGCGGTGGAAGAAGTCTCGGGTAGCACGATTGTGTGCGAGCCTGGCATCATCATTAGCGATTGTCTACAATGCTTTCCAACTGCGCCAACACAGGTGCGGAAGGGGGCGGTGAGACATGCCGTCGCCGTTGGGCTGGGCAGTACCTAGGCCTGCAAAAGGCTTCTCGGTCGACGATGCGCCGGGAGCTGACAGGGTCGGGTCGGTGCTCATGGCTGCGCAACAGGTGCCTCAGATGGGCAAAGCGCAATTAGGTGGGAAGTGTAGTGATAGACGACGAGCGGCGTCGGCGACTGCGGGCGATGTCGCGTGGAGCGGTGACCTCGTGGGTGGTAGCTGATGTTGACCCAGAGCTCTCGGTCGCGGCTTCCAGATGCGGCAATTGGCAGTCACAGCACAGCTGTTGGTAGGCGCACGAGACGGAATGAGCGGACGCGGCGTCGCGATGGGGAAGAGACGGGCAGGACGGCTGTCGAGGGTGCGCGCGAGAGAACGAGAGAGGCGGCGTAGGGAGCTGCGAGGCCAGGATCGGTGCTTGGGATGAGGCTGGTTCGCTAACGCGGGCGGAAATGAGACGGCCCTCTTTCACCGTCATCAAGCGCCAACACTCCACCCAACGAATTGCCTGGTTTGGCACGGCACGGGTCACGCCCTTCAGCTGTGTAGTGGCTGCGGATACGAATGCGGCTCTCAGACTGACGTGGAGTGCGAAATAGACACTCGAGTCGCGGATGGGAGTCTTTGGCAGCTGTCGCTGGGGCTGTGCGAATGGCCACCCCAGCGACAGGGGCCTCTTATGGAGGGTGCATGCTGCTGCTCTCTAGCACTATTTGGTGCTAGCCGGGCGGCCGCTTGATCAGTGGCCCAGGCCCCAAGCTTGCCTCCTCCGCGCTGCACTCCATCTGGCGGATAATTGGGCTGTTGCGTGCATCCATGCAGCCAATAATCGCACGCCGCTCCTCGTCCTCTGCACAGGAACCCGTCGTATTCTGGGAATGTGCAGCAGCACATCACCAGGATGGAGCATCCATTGATGAGCTTGAGCGTGAGCTTGAGCTTCATGGCCTTCGAATGCTGGCCCTCGCTCGATAGACCTCAGGCCCTGCATGCGATTGCGAGGAGGCCTTCAGGTCATCAACCGGCCGCCGCTTGGCTGAGCTAACTACACAGCTAAGCGCCGCCGTGCAGGGACAGCATCGTCACATCTGCAGCCTATCGCGGCTCACCTCAGCTGTGCGAGACCAGGTGCACCTCTGCCGCTGTATGCTGGGCCCATATCAAACCGCGATCCTGTCAGCGTCGTAGCGGACCTTGTAGCGTGGATAGACTTCAGCGAAGCTTCCCGGTGACTAACAGAGATCCCAGACAGACGCACAACAATGTTTTGGTTTCAGTACGAGCTGTCACATGCCAGATGATGTCTTGCGTTCCACGCTGTGGCGAACAAAGTGCAGCATCCAAACGGCCCGTCGCACGTCGAGATCATCCCGCGTCGATCGACAGCTTCAAGATGTCCATTCCTTGTCGGGCTGTCACCAGATCTCTTTCCAGAGTGGACTGAGGGTCTGCTGCACCGAAGATCGAGGCCTAAAACCGCCACGGGTTGCGGGGCGGCTGGTTGGCTCCGCAATGATGTGTTCTAGCTGCTCCTGAGGAAGGAATTCAGCGGGAAGAAGCAAAGGCACGCAATGATGTCGGCAGGTGTCTGCTCGATGCTTCACAAAAACGGTACCCGTTCCGCACAAGACGAATCCTATGACGGCTAAAAGCAATTGCCCGATTCGTTGTACCACCTTCTGGAAGGTTGTCTGATACACTCCAGCTCTGTCAGGGAGACATTATGTTGACCTGGCTTTGAAGTTATCTCACGCTACCTTGATCCCAGGCTGTCCAGATCCGCAAGACGTGATGTTTTATACCCTAATATTGTAAAATTCCATGCTTCCAAGCTTCACGTTTTGAGAGCTGTTCGAAACGTAACATCACAACACGAATCTTCGTCGTCACCGAGCAACGTTCAATGATATATACAAATCAAGGAATAATGGAGTATGCATGTGACTATTCTTTCCTTACAGCATGTAGCTGAGGACGAAAGGATTAAGACTTATCGTACAGAGAGGGTCGGGAGTAGGAGAATGCTTGTGGTTCAACTATTTCGCGTTCAACTATTTTGCAGTTGAAACGTTGGGTGTATTCCCTCGGTCTCGGCCATCCTCAGCAACCTCATAAAACCAACATGGTCTCGATAGATAACTTTACTTCAGTGGCACCAAGAGTCTGGATCCAAAGATTAGGTATCACGACAGCATTGCAGATACGCGAAGACCTACAGGATTGTGACTCGTGACAGGTTCTTGACAACCGTCTACAACGTACTGCGAAGATTGTGACAGGCAAGTTTGGTCGATAATAGTAGATCTTCGATAACTGGGTGCTCTGTTCAGCCTGAGATTCCTCACGAGCAGAGGTCGTGGTCTGACCCGTAAGTCTGTTTTGTGCCTGACGATCGTGGCGTGTCAGTGCGTGAAAGCCCGTCACCCCGCAAGACCCTGGTTCCTAGCCACATACCGGTAGGGCTACTTCCCGCTACGTAACTTCTGCATGCATTACTTCCAGCAACCGTCGCACTCTGCTGTAGCACTGAACAGCACGACCACTGTAGCTGTATCCATTTATCCGTCCCACACATACTGCCACCGAACTTACGATGGCTGAGCCGAATGCTGCCCCGCACAACGAGCTCAACCCCGCCACGACAGGCAGCACCGCGACACACGACGGAGACAAGGACGAGCACAACAGACCACGAGACAGCAAGGGCTGGGATGGCAAACTGAGGGTGGAAAAGAATGTTGTGGTCAAGTACCCGACAGAGCCAAACGCAGCACCGCAGAGCGATGCAGAAGAGTCGGAAGATGAAGGGCCGCCACCAGACGAGATTCAGGCAGACGAGGACCTCCTTGATGGTGTATCTGACAACGAAGATGAGATTGAGCTAGTGCACTGCAAGATCGGAGACATGTCGAAACTGAGACTAGAGCGGTTCAAGCAGATGAAGGTACTGAACCCTGACACGGTCAGCCCACTCTTGCTAATAGTTGCAGCGTCTTTGCTTGCGGCAAAACCGCATACAAATAATCTACATTCCGACCGACGCTTCCGCAACCTTAACTGAGATCGACTTGTACGACAATCTCATTTCACACGTCAAAGGCTTCGACGCATTCACCGAACTCACTTCGCTCGATCTCTCCTTCAACAAGATCAAACACATCAAGCGCCTAAACCACCTGAACAAGCTGAAAGACCTATACTTTGTGCAGAATAAGATCAGTACTATCGAGAACCTGGATGGGTTGACCAATCTGCGGCAAATCGAGCTTGGGGCAAACAGAGTACGCGAGATCCAGAACCTGGAGACACTCACAGGTCTGGAGGAGCTGTGGTTGGGTAAGAACAAGATCACAGAGATCAAGGGACTCGATACCCTCACAAATCTCAAGATCCTATCCATCCAATCGAACCGTCTACGATCCATATCCGGGCTCGACAAACTCGTCAATCTCGAAGAACTACACATTTCGCACAATATGCTTACCTCGTTGGAAGGTTTGGAGCACAATACCAATCTACAGGTCATCGACATCAGCTCGAATCCTATCGAGCACCTCTCGGGTCTAGAGAACCTTACCCATCTGACAGAGTTCTGGGCATCCTACTGCAGAATCAGCAGCTTTGCCGAAGTTGAGAAGGAGCTCAAAGACAAGGAAGAGCTAGAGACAGTGTACTTTGAAGGTAACCCTCTACAGCTCGCACAGCCAGCACTGTATCGTAACAAAGTGCGTCTGGCACTCCCAAACATCAAGCAGATTGATGCTAGTAAGTAGTATCCCCTTTCGAGTGTCGGGAGAAAGAATGCGCTAATTCTCTCCAGCCTACGTGAAGCAGGTGTAGTATACCGGGTGCCGATGGAGGGGTTCCTTCCGGCGTTCAGGACGGAAACACGGGTATGATGGGATACACCTCGAATTTTCTGACGATTCTGTATTTGCATGGCGCAGGAATCAGCATATGCATATGCATGGCCAGGCGTTGGAATGGCCCATATTACTAGCATATAGACTACCAGAACGAAGACTTGCAATCGCGTTGTCTCTGATTTGATTTACATCTCCAAGGTACCAGCACTCTGCCTATCTTTGAGCTGCAATATTCCCCCAACCCCGCGTGAAGAGAGCGAGCATCGAGCTTATCGCAGCAACCATCTGTGACGTGTTGCGCGTTGATGGGGTCCCGTCGCGCGAGGCGCTAAAGCAACAGGGGTCCTTTGTTTACTATTTTGCCCTCTTCGCTGAGGGCACAAGCGGGCAACACCAACAGCATCTCCATCCACGTTTTTGTGTTTTTGGCCGTAACGTGGCATGCACAGGTGGCATTGTTCACTCTTTACCTACTGGCTGGAGAAGATACAGAGTCGAGATGGAAAGCCCAGTAAGTTTTGCCAGTTGCGCCACACGCTATGCGCCAGAATAGAGGGACTGACATGGCATCTAGGACCTTAAGAAGACTTCGGCGCTCCCTAAGCCTGCTTCACGCCTCCCTCAGATCTCCTCGCCGCCTCGTGCTCTCGCCGAACTCCAAAATGCCAGCATGAATGCGCGCAGCGGCATTCCCCCGCCAATGGCGAGCACGAAGCACAAGCCATCGAGCTGTAAATCGTTCCTGCCCATCTACTGTGAGCCGGACAGGCCACTGACACAATCAGTACCCGAACCGGCGACGAAAGTACGACGAACCCTAGCCGACAGGGCCGGCGATCCTGTCACTCGCAGACCCACCGCGCCACAGAGTTCGCGACCTCTGTCCTCCAGTGTTAAGGGCACTGTTACAAGGAAAGAGCGCGGTTTCTCCGCTTCGACATCCACGTCTCGCGCTGGGTCACGACCTGCCTCACGAACCGCGACCGCGCCCTCCTTCAGCGCCAGTGTTGGGCCCGGCGCAAAGACAGCAAGGCCTCGATCGGCTTACGGACAATACGCCGGCACACACGTGCGCAGCAAATCCCATCATTCGACCGCCCGCCCGGCAACATCGATGTATCGCCGGGACGAGGAGGAAGATGATGAGGAAGAAAGAGGTGTGCAGCCATTTCTTATCTCTACAAACCCTGGCGAGAGCTTTAAAGCTCCCAGAAAGATGCGTCGAACCCATCAAAGCCGCCCACACTCCGTCAGCATACCAGCACAGCAAGCTCCTTATCTAGCACATGCACGATCGATTTCGTCCCCTTCATTTCGCCCGATCACGCCAGTACAGGAGGAACCTGCCGATACCGACTGTGAGGAGATCTGTAAGAGTCTGAAGGCTATCAAATTGCGCGCTTCAGATGCAGATGATCACAATGTTGGTCTCGGACCTGGTATGCCCTGTGCTGATGACGAAACGAATCCCTTTCTCAAGCCGTTGCGTCCAACGCGACTTCCCCAAGCAACGCCTACTCGTCAGCCTGCGATTCAGTCCCCCGCTCGACCTCCTTCTTCTACGCCTCGACATGTACGCAAGCGTTTTCTCAATAGATTTACTAACGATCAATGTCCAGACTTCTACGACGATCGAATGGAGGCTATGGAGAAGCAGTTCACTGCTTTCAAGGAGAAGATGGAGACAGACATGCAGAAGGCAACAGATCAGAAGGAGAGCATCCAGCAACTTCAGAGTCGAGGTGCGTGACAGTGGGGAATCCGCGTTTATTGAACGGAGTCGACTAATATCAGTACTGCAGTCACCGAACTCGAAGCCATCCGCGCCCGTCTGGAGAGCGTCAATAAGGATCTCGAGACCGACTTAAAGGATGCAAAAAGCTGCATGAAGACGATGGAGATGGAGATGGAGATGACCAAACGCAATACCGCATTCGAGGCTGACGACACGCGCCGAAAGTACCGCAACGAGATCGAAGATCTAGAGAATAAACACGAGAAGGCGACCCGCCGATGGCAATCCGAGAAGGAAGCAGCGGAGGAGACGGTCCGCAAGAACTTTGAGGCGCAGATCGACAAGCTCCTCAGGGGGCACAAGGAACAACTGGACAAACTGAACGCCAAACTCTCGAAGGAGACCGAGGCAGAGCGCAACCGACAACTGCAGAAGGAACAAGAGGTGGAGGCTGAGTACGCCTCGAAGCTGCGCGCTGCAGGCATCGAATCAGACGCTAAGCAGCGTGAGCTGCAGTTGGTTCAGGGCGACCTGACCAACGTGAAGTCCGAGCTGGATCGGGAACGAGCGCTGAAGACTGCCCTCCAGGGACAGCTGACAGAGTCCACCACCAGAAATCTTACGCTCGAATCTTCGAACACCGCCATGAAAGAGAAGATCAACTTCCTCGAGTCGGACAGCCAGGCGCAATCATCGGCGTACAACGAGCTCCACAGGCGCATGCAGGAAGCAATTGAAGCTGCTGAGCAGGCGCACGAAAAGCTGCGACAAGAAGAGACACTGCGACGAAAACTGTTCAACCAAGTCCAAGAATTAAAGGGTAACATCAGAGTGATGTGCCGTGTACGACCCGCACACGCATCTGAGTCGGACCCAGCCAAGATCTCCTTCCCTGATGTCGACACAGATAGCAAGGAGGTCGCCATACAAGGACCTGAGAAGATCAGTGCCACTGGCAAGGACATCACAGCCGCGTACCAGTACTCCTTCGATCGTGTCTTCGGCCCCAAGTCCCAGAACCTCGAGGTCTTCGACGAGATCAGCCAGCTTGTGCAGAGCGCTCTCGACGGCTACAACGTCTGCATCTTCTGTTACGGCCAGACTGGTTCTGGTAAGACATACACAATGTCGTCACCAGATGGCATGATTCCTCTTGCTAGCCAACAAATCTATGCGGAGGCCAAGCGTCTCGAAGAGAAGGGCTGGCGATACAAGATTGAGGGTTCGTTCATTGAAGTCTACAACGAGACTTACAATGACTTACTCGGCCGTTCTGAGGACCTTGACAAGAAGAAGGTCGAAGTCCGACATGACCCTGTCAAGAAGCAGACCAACCTGGAGAACACGGTCAGCATGGAGCTCGACGGTCCTGATCGAGTAACTGAGCTCCTCAAGACCGCCGACAAGAACCGCACAGTGGCTGCCACAAAAGCGAACATGCGTTCTTCGCGATCCCACTCCGTCTTCATTCTGAAGCTTGTAGGCACAAACGCGATCACGGGTGAGAGGAGTGAGGGCACCCTGAATTTGGTCGATCTTGCTGGATCCGAACGCCTCGAGCACTCGAAGGTCGAGGGCGCTCGCCTGAAGGAGACACAGAACATCAATAAGAGCTTGAGCTGTCTCGGCGATGTCATCAACGCCTTGGGGTCAGCAAAGGAGGGTGCTCACATCCCATACCGCAACTCAAAGGTAGATCTACAACCTCGTTCAAACTCATTTCAAATGGCTAACTGAATAACAGCTGACCTACCTTCTCCAATACTCGCTCGGCGGCAATTCGAAGACCCTCATGTTCGTCATGGTCAGTCCATTGCAAGCTCATTTGCAGGAGACAGTCACCAGTCTCAAATTCGCAACGAAGGTGCACAACACACACATTGGTACTGCAAAGAAGCAGACCAAGACAGCGTAGAGATGATATCATCTAAGACGAAGCCGTGTGATGTAGATGGAGTTCACGTTGGGGTGTCACTTGTGTACGTATTTTTCCTGCAGCGGCTCTTGAAGCGTTCGAGGCCGTGTCGCTATCATATCTGTTGGACTTCTTGCGGCGCTCTCGGGGCTTGGAAGAGCATCTGCAGCCTATGGCTGGCTCACCCCTCATGATTGCGTACTATACTGGCGTTGCGAGTTTGACTATTTGGGTAGCAATGCATCATGATCTGCATGTGAAATATGTGCTCAGCTACCTCCAGAAGTGTGAAGTACGGTGGTGTCACTACCACTGCGTTTGCGAGACCGAACGATGTTCCAACATGCCCAAAACCAACCTCATCCAACATGCTTGCAAGCGACGGCTCCTGGTCTTGACTGCTTCTCCAATCTTTTCCGTATACTACACACCATGTCCACTCGAACTGTGATCTACATTGTGACAGCGACTCCGATACCAGAGTCCCCTTTGACGAGCACGTACCCTCCCTCTGCACTATCCAGCACTACTCCCAGCAATCATTCTCCCACGGCAATACCTAACCCCGTCGGTGGAGGAGACAATCCAATCAACCCCCCATCAGCAGGCCCCGGCTTCCCTTGGCGACCCGCCCCTCACTCCACGACATCTCTATTGTCTCAACTGTCGTATACATCTTCTGATCTCTTTCGAACCTTACCTCCTTGGCCCTTGGTCTCAACCACTCCGCCTCCACCTCCACCTGTAGTAACGGTCATTGTAACAGTCACTACCACTCCTCCAGCCTCAACACGCGCGGCGAGCGACTTCATTGTGCTAATGGAGTATCTAAGTCAAGTGCCGTCGGGCTGGCCGTACACGGAATTCGGTGTGGGGAGAACGAAGGAGGTGGTAACTTGGGGGCTGACAGATGAAGAGGGGAAGACGGTGGCGGAGGTCAGACATCAGGTGCAGTGGTGGCCGAGGCCGCTTTGGACGGGCGTGTTGAGAAGCGAGGGTGAGGATGGATTGCTTGAGGGGTGGAGGCCGACGTTTGTAGTACCGAAAGCTGTGATGGCAAGTACAGCAGCAGCAGATGTGAGGCCAAAGGCGACAGGCACGGCATCTGAGACGAAGAGTTGAGAAAGTTCCGGTAGTGTGAAGTCTTGACTATGGAGAACGTGCGCACTTTTACCTCACTCAGGTCAGCTTCCATCTCTTTGCAAATTCGACACCTTGCGCCAGCGTGCCCACACGGGCGTCTAGTACGTATCCTTCTTTCTCGAACTTCACACATTCCTCGTAGAGATCAGTGAGCGGCACGGTGAAGGTCTCGATAAACTCTCCAGGTTCCAGACTTGGCTGCGGATTCTGGTTCTCGGGTAGAGACATGTCGACCGTGACCTGTATCATCTTGAGATTCGTGTTGCAGAAGCCCGGATCTGAAGGCCGTTAACACGGATTCCAGGAAGGCTGCAGCAGCGATAGCACTCACCATTGAACATCACAGGGCTAACCCCAAAGCTTCCCTCAATAACCTTACCCACGTACCCCGTCTCTTCTTTCAACTCGCGGATTGCACACTCTTCTGCACTCTCACCATCGTCCATCAACCCGGCCGGGATCTCAATCACGACCGCGTCAGCTGGAGCACGCCATTGCTTCTGCAGAACAATGCGAGGTGTTTTGTCTGGCTCGGAGGGATAGTCCAGGACGGCGGCTACGCCGATGGCGTCGATGTCGCAGCCCTTCGGGCGAGTGAGTCGCTCGGCGGACTCCCAGAGGCGTTCTTTGCCTTCCGGGTCTTTGAACGTGATCTTGACAAGGGTAGCCCATTTAGCGTCTTTGTAGTCCTGGAGACGATTAAATTTCCATCGGTGTTATTGTTCTAGGTGACTGACGAGCGGCTCTGTCTTCATGACCTTTGAGGGATTGTCGGAGGCTTTGGTTGAGGAGCCCATATTGTATGTCACAGTGACAGCTCGAGTTTACCAGGATGTTTTATGTCTGCAAAGGCAGTACTTGTGTACTTCAAAATGATGTTGGGTGTGACTGCCTTTTGTAGGTCGATGACGAAAGACATCGCGAGAATACCGCTAAGATTACGGCCTCTCTTTCCTCAGGATAACCCTTTGCTTTACCTTGACGACAACTCACCTGTCACTACCCCGCCTCTACAGTACTCACTCTTGTTCAGTCGGTGCCATTACCAATCCCATTGTGTGTGTTTGGCGACTCGCAGTGTAAATAAGCGCATGCTGCATTCGTACTATCTCGTGACTGCAGAGCCGTTGTCCTCAGCCAGCCCCTCTGAACAAACGTGACGGGAGCGACAAACGGAACGACAACAGCCACAACGCGGGATCTTACATGGTGGCGCGGTCCGCAACAAGGCTGAACGACAGTGTGTTCCGCGGTTGATCTGTCTCCTTTCTCCACTTTTGCTCAAGACACGATGCTCGCGAATCGATAGTTTAGCAGCGTCAAGTATCAGGCCGCCTGTCGGATGAGGAAGCAATACGACCAAAACCGCAAGCGCAATTTCGCAGGCAGAGACCGTCTCGTTTGCATGACGGTGTTGAGATTGGTTCCTCGTTTCGAGGCCCGGCGCCAAAATACGAGCGGCACTGAGCACCCCACGAAGCGCCCATCACCACGCACGCTCACAATGCTTGAGGTGCTTCTCGCGGCCGGGCATGCGCCATCGGGGGCCCTAATCTTACCGCCAGATTCCAGATTCTTTTGAGTTCACCGCCAGATGAGGATCGACGGCGATCTGTGAAAGTGAACACTTGCCAAAAACGACAGTCGCATTCATGGTGGAGAACGTCATCGGCGCACGCGTTCAGCGTCAAATCGAGCAAGCCCATGTTCTGCGGCGTCTTTGCGACGAAGACTGCGTTTACCCGAGTAGTGGCTTGCTCCGGAGTCTGCTCCCCCGCAGGGTGCAGAGTCAGACGGTCTGTCGCTGTTTCAACTTAACGGAACCCTGCCTTTTCAACTCTGGTGCGACGCCAACGCGCTTCCTGCTGCTGTCACAACTCTTTATAGCAAGTGGCATAAAGCAGCACATGGTAGACAGAGATGTCACGGCACGGTGTGTCTTTCTCTGGCCCCTTGTCGTGTCCTGCCTTATTAGCGTGCAAGCGAATGTTCTGGCCTGGCATGTCAGTTCACAGCCGGCATGAATCCGTCAATGTCACGCTGCAGGGAAGACACACCGAAATCACCGGGACTGGTATGCGGACTGACATTGGAAGCTGTGGCGGACTCGTACGGCCCTCGTGCTGAATCCTCTGGCCTCGAAAAAGCGTCCGCACTGACCGTTCTGGTGCTCAACCTATTCGATGTGGATCCGCGGTATCTTCTTTCTCCCTGCCAAGCACGCGAGAGCGGCCTGCCGATTGCCGCCAGTCCTGTTCCTGCGCCATCCCCGCATAGCTTCAGGGGCGTGCCGGGACGAGCAACGAATCGCAGCACTCTCGGCCGCACGACTGAATGTTGCCAGACGCCTGATGTTCTCCACGCAAATGTTGTTGCTGCGAATCGCTGGCTCTCAGCTACTGCGGATTTTCTCCTCAGCAACAGTAGTCAGCATGCTACAGCACCAAACCCTGCTGTACACTGCAAACGAAGCTGTTGTCCTCTGAGTTGCCAAAGGAAAATGTCTTATACACCCATGCTGACGACGTACAGAAACACCGCCGAATTGCAAGGCTGGCCTTGCTTGGACAGGCCAGTGGACCAAGCTTAAAACGCAGCCATGACTAGAAGGGCTAGACTACGCGAATTGGACTTCTCTTTTCGAAGGCATCCACAGCGCAAGACTTTTCGGTTGGCTCCTCGTTTAGTGTTTTAGCCCAGGGATCCTGAGCCAGGTTGTGATTCCGCTTTTAGATCGTTGCGAACGTGCCGACAGGCACCCGTTCGTATGGCGCGAAGGAGGCTGCGCGTCTGCGGTAGCCTACCTTTAACTCTAGGTCCTCGCACTTCTCTTGTGATCTCTTCGGTCTTCAGGTGTTTGCTTCCGCGTCCAAAGTCACTCTTTACCAGTGTGTGCCAATCACACGTCCTTTCTTTTTGATATACTGTGCCTTCCGCTTTTGGATTGTTCGACATACCACCCCAGTACTTACCACCTGGACCACCGTCGCCTCTACAGCTTTGCAATATCGCCTGCTCTACACGTTACTCGCCGGATAAAGAATCTTCTTGCCATTCATATCATCCGGGAAGATTCCAGACTTCTGTCTACAATACGACCACCGCTTTTGAGCGTGCTCTCATACATTCTCTAAGGTACCCCACACAAGTCATAATGTCGAACTGGTTTGGCAACCTTCAATTGGCGTACAAGTACATGTAAGAAGTGCTCTCGAGGCAACTGGAGGGACGGAGGGACTAACATCTACAGTGTCGTCTTCTTGGGTCTGCTCGTCTTGACAATCCTCGCTGGATGCATCAAGGTTTTCTTCGACCGCAGGAAGTGAGTATACCAGATGTAAATTCAGGGATTCCAGCTTACAGTCAATAGGTTGAAGCAGCACATCAAGAATGATGCGGAGTCAGCCGCGGTCAAGGACGACACCGTAGAGCTCACCCAGCGCGAGAAGGATGAGGGCGACCTGTTCGGTATCCGCGCCATCGAGGCCGGTTTCTACGCTGGTGTCGCACAGTCGCGCCCAACTTCAAGAGCAGGATCCATCGTCGGCCACCCCAACATGAGCTCGTCAACACTCGTCGCCAACCCCAACTCGCCTCTGCTGAAGCCGAACTCGCATGGAGGAAGCATGGTTAGCTTGCCGTTGGCTGGGAAGAACAGCAATCGCGACTCGGAAACTCTCCCAGACCGTAGGCCATCCCCTCCTACCATGAAACTGCGACCGAGCGAGGCTGAACTGAACGGAAGGCATAACCCTTACGACCCCGCAGTAGACATGTCTCTGAACGTGCCTCCATCTCCTGGTTTCCGTACTCAACCCACTACGTTCGGCGGGTCCGACAGCGACAGCGACGGCCTTGTGTCTCCTCGATCCATGTCGCCTCGATCGGCCGACTTCAACCTGCAATCATACAAGCCAGCGCCATCAATTCCTATGCCGGATGCCCTCCGCGTCTCGTACCACTTTGGCGAAGATATGCAGAAGTCACAAGCAGCATCCTTTACTGACCCTTCTCCTCGCCCATCTCCTGGTCAGTCACCCACACCGCCATCGCCCGGACACGCACCTACAATGCGCCTCCCTACATTGCCAGCGTCGGCCATGAGAAACACCCCGTCACCACCCGCCATTCGTGTGGAACAGCCGGGTAGGTAGCCATTTCCTGTCGTGTTTTGTATATTTTAGCAAGCAATAGACGGTCTATGGACATACGTTCCTGACAAGCCCCTCAAGATTCTGAGCCCAAAGATGTCCAATCCAAGGCATACGCCCCGAAATCGTCACATCAGCGTGACGGCAGCGATGCCAGCAGCGTATACAGCAACAGCAGGCACAGCACGTACCAGTCCTACCAGAACTTTCAGTCACTCGACCGTTCCAACTCTTCGGCCTCGGTCAAGGCTCCTCGCGCACCCAGTCACCTTCTCGAGCTACCCGAGGGCGGAGTCAAGGAGGCCCGGCTCAGCGAGTTCTACGACGCGTACTACCGCCAAAGCCAGTTTCTGGGTAATGACTCGAAGCCGGTTGTAGTCGAGCGGCAGTCGACCATTATTGAGGCCGACTCGCCTCTTCCGTCGCCGCTGCCAACCAAGACGTTTGGCCAGGCCATGTAAGGTGGTTCGGCTCCTGCAGCATTTTCACTTCTCGCTTCTGGCTTGGCAGCATTGCATGCGACTGGCGTCTTTTTTTCGATTCTCGATAATGACACGGATTATAGATGGGCTTAGCGGGGAAGGATCAGTTCTTGGAATTAGGGGTGGACTTGGGGGGCTCAATGACATGGACGCGCAACGTACCACGACGACGACTGGGCTTTGACTGGCTTGGATCTGGTGTGCGGGCGCCAAACGGGGACTGCGAGTGCTGGGGGTCATGGCGCCCTGGACGCCACGATGGCTTGCATTCGCACACTTTCTTACTGTCGCTACTCTATACACTTTTCGTAATATCCTACTCTCCGTTCGCGCATTGGGTGCGCCTGGGCACGAGCAGGTAGCCAATGAACGATCACTTTTACAGGTAGATGCACTTGCAAGTAAGTGCGAGAAATGCCTGTCCAATAACGATGCACACAAAGTGCAGATTGTGGTTCGATGGACGTCGACTAGTGGTGGTCTTCACATGAGATGAGGTTCACGCCACTGCTGGCTGGTCCCGGGTTATTGCCAGGGGCGCGCAGGCGGTGAGCTCGAGCACCCACTTGCAGCCCGCGATTTCCCTACAAGATGGCGCTGCTTAAGATCGCGTGTTCGCCACCAAGGCTGGGATGACGGGCCCTTTGACACTTTGACAGTTGCTTGACGTCGACAGCAAACTTTGCGTACATGCAACACCCGCTGTAGCTGTATCCTGTCACCACCACCACCGCCGCATTCCGCTTTCGCACCCCTCAACCTCGCTTCTCCGTATCCCTCCCCCGGAATTCCACCAGTCGCCGGGCACCCCATTGTAGCCACAGCTGGGTCTTTCAACAGGCCCACCCCACACCGCCGCCATGTCGATGCTTACCATGTTCTCGGAGAAAATCATGACGCTGCCGCCGGGCGTCAATGGCGCGCCGTCGCGGCGAGCGCGCGGCACCTCGGTCAACGAAACGCCCGCCACGAGCACGTACAGAGACGACCTGCGCGAGGAGCGGCGGCGCGTGCACCACGAGGCCGATGTGGTTATTGTCGGCGCGGGCATTGTCGGATGCGCGGCTGCGGTGGCATTTGGCAAGCAGGGCCGCAGTGTCATTCTGCTGGAGAAGAGTCTGAAGGAGCCGGATCGAATTGTGGGCGAGCTGCTGCAGCCTGGCGGCGTGAATGCGCTGAAGAAGCTGGGCATGGAGGGTATGTCGATGGGAAGAGAGAGCTCCACGGCGCACGTGCTTACTATGCGTGGCAGACTGTCTTGAGGGCATCGATGCGATTCCCTGCTACGGCTACCAGGTCTCGTACCACAACGAGCCCGTACACGTCCCCTACCCCGACAACCTGATCACCGAGAAGCCATCGAAGAGGCCTGAGGGCCGCTCCTTTCACCACGGCAAGTTCATCTCGAAGCTCCGCGCCGCCGCCCAGGCCGCCCCCAATGTCACCGTCGTCGAGAGCACCGTCACCGACATGGTGAAGAACGGATACACGGGCCAGGTCCTGGGCGTCGAGTGCCAGACCAACGGCGAGAAGGACTACTACTTCGGCGCGGTCACGTTGGTCGCCGACGGCTACGCCTCCAAGTTTCGCAAGCACTACCTCCCCAACCAGCCCGAGGTTCGCAGCAAATTCTGGGGCCTCGAGATGATCGACGCCGAGCTGCCCATGCCCTACCACGGCCACGTGATCCTTACCGACGCACCCCCAATCCTCATCTACCAGATCGGCACCCACGAGACCCGCATCCTCGTCGACATCCCTGAGGGCCTGCCCAGCGCCTCCGTCAAAGCCGGCGGCGTCAAGAACCACATGCTCAACGTCGTCGTCCCCAACCTGCCCGAATGCGTCCGCCCGTCCTTCCAGCGCGCCGTCGAAGCAGGCAAACTGCGCTCAATGCCGAACTCGTTCCTGCCGCCCTCGACCCAAAACACGCGCGGCCTGATCATGCTCGGTGACGCAATGAACATGCGCCACCCGCTGACCGGTGGCGGCATGACGGTTGGCTTCAACGACGTCGTAACCCTCTCGTCGCTCCTGTCCCCCCAAAATGTCCCCAACTTCGAGGACACAGACGCCGTCCTCGCACAGATGGGCCGCTTCCACTGGTCCCGCAAGAGCGGCTCGAGCGTCATCAACATCCTCGCCATGGCGCTTTACTCGCTCTTCGCCGCAAACAGCACGCATCTCACCGCGCTCAAGAACGGCTGTTTCCGCTACTTCCAGCTCGGCGGCCGGCACATCAGCGAGCCTGCTGGGCTGCTTAGCGGCCTGATTCGCAACCCCGCTGTCTTGGTGTTTCACTTCTTCAGCGTCGCCTTCTATGCGATCATGTGTCGTGCGCGCCAGGTGCCGCTTTGGAAGGTCCCGTACACGCTGCTCGTGGAGAGCGTGTTGATTATCTGGACCGCTGCGAGCGTTATTGGGCCGTATCTTGTATGGGAGGTTAGGCGGTAGTTGGCGCGCGTAGGGCGTCGGCTTCGAGGCCAGCTTGAGAGAGTGCGTTGTGGCTGTACATATGCGGACGATGATACGATGGCATGTATATACTTGCTTGTTGCTTGCGATTGGCCTCCAGGCCGCCCTAGATCTGGGCATTGGGTTGGCGTTTGGCGTGGTTTGACGGAATTATATCACATGTAGTATGTCCTAATGCTTTAATTAATGTATCCCCTCTATCAACCTAGGGAGTCTTTGTGGAAAAATTCCGGAGCCATGTTTGGAAACAAAAGCACGACATCACGGTAGCGCACTGGTGGGGTGCTGGGAGCGTTTTTGGGCTGAGGGTTTGGTGAGTGGAGCCTGTTGGATTTGGTTTAAAATGGATTTCGAGTTTTTTATACATGCAGTCTTGGAGGTTTTCATGATCGTTGGATAGAGCGCTAAAACTAGAGTCATCGACCACATCAGACTGCAAAGACAGCTACGGTTCACGAGTTGTGCCTCGGACACTGCAGTCTGGAAGTATTCGGCGTATTGACACTGCGGAAGTAGCGAAGTTGGTGGGTGCAACTGACTCCTGTTTTCCCTGCTACTTGTATCGTAGTTGCCTCCCGCTTTGGAGTCCTGTTCATGGCCGCCATCGCCTCTTCTTGTTGAAAATGACTGCACTTACTCGAGGCCTCAACAATGCCACTGTGAATATGGGCCTCGGTGGAGATGATTGGTCAGATTACTCGTGCAAGAAAGACGGCGCCGTTCTTTTGCTGATGCCGGTTCGATCACTTCTTTGTACGCGATGGCTTTGTCTTGATGCCGGGATTTATGTCCAGGGCGCTTGGAGGCGGAAATGGGCTCGGTGGAGTGGGATTTGAATGTTGGTTGCATGTGTGAGTGTGAGTTTACTTTGGGATTGAGTGACGGGGGCTGATGATGTGGGGGTTGTGTCACGGGTGGAGAGGGTTCTGATGGAGGATGAAGATATTGTTGAGGACCTCGGATGAAAGCATTGGAGTGGATGAAGGCTTTGAAGACCTTCAAGAACTTCAAGGCGTTCAACAACCGTTGTTAGTCATCGCGGTAGTGATTGTAAATTACAACTGGTGGCCACATATGTAAGGCGTATCGATGCTGACCTCGTAGCTATTTTTCTTTCTGAATGATTCCTATCGATATGCTCTCGTCGTTTTTTTCGAAGTCAAACCTGTGCTTTGTTGTTGGATGCAATTGCAGCTGTAGCTGATGAATCTGACTTGCAGTCGCACTTACCTGCTACTAACGCGCCTTATTTTGCGACCATCTCAATTATCAACGCGCATTCTACTCCCTTTCATGCCATCTCCGTCCTGGGCCAACTTTTTTACAACGACACAACCGCTCGAAAGAAGTCTACGTGACCGTGGCTGTAATAGCTAATCCACTTTGCATCCCAAGCAAAGACGTTGCCATTGTCTGGCTGCCAATGCTGCCTTTGTTTGCGCCTTTTTGTCTTTCTTTGAACCGCCATTGTAGTCAATAGACTTGAATTGCATCTCCCAACGCTTAACAAACTCGACTCCCTCGCTTCTCGATACCACGAAACCTTCAGCTACCCATCATATCGGACTTTTTTCCGACCCAGACGAACTTCGATCGTGGAAGCAATCCGATCTGAACTTCGTATACGAGCTGCAGGGCAACGATCGGAAACGCATGGAAAAGGTTTGGTCGAAGAATCATGACGACTATGACCTGTTTATCGTTGGATCTAGAATGACTGCTCAGGTGGCTGGCGAGCGTAGGTTCAAATGTCAAGTCATAGATATTTGCGTTGTACTGACATCCGTTTGTAGCTCACATAAAAGCAGACGAAGTACTGCGTGCATGGATGGAAGCGGACGATATTACCAGAAGCATCGACATTGATGCAGCGAAAGAGCGACCGGACTATCGGTTAGACCCACGATACGTCGAGGTCACTCGGATCGAGGAGATTTCAATGGATGGGCTGGAGATTTCGGGGCGATCTAAATTGAACCGCTTTCTTGTCGGCGTCGAGATCGTGCATCTAGAGATGATCGGTGAGTCTACCTTTTTAATTTTGGCCTGGAAGCGAGGCATTGGGGCTCATTGGGATGCAGGAGCTTACAGGAATATCGTTCAGATGTCAACTCCAGCTATCCACAACATGATCTCCGGACCAGGGAAACTAAGGCCAAAGCACACGAACTTTCAAGTATTAAACTCGAGCACATCAACACGATTGATATTGGACAGCGCGAGGGCTCATGTTGGGTTTATGAAAGAACGATCTACGTCAACAAACATCAGAAGGTTCCGTTTCGTGGCTTCACCAAGCGACCGGTACACCTTTTCGTGCTCGCAGATGATAATGGACACATTGAGAAGATTGGTTGTCCATAAATGTGAGAGAGACTGAGCTGACACGGGTTGGGCAGCGAATGGCCGTCAAAGCCATTGGAAACAATGATCAAGCCAGGTTAAAGCAGGAGGTCGAACATGAATTAAGACCACACTGGAACATCTCGAAACTAAGATGTCCTCATATCTTGCACGTATACGGCAGGTCTCACCGAAAACGGACGACATTGCCACATCTGGGTTACATTTACATGGAATTTGCCCCATTTGGGGACCTCGGTGACCTTATATCGTGGATTAGCGGCAAACATTGGGTAAGCTAAAAGTGGTTCTTGATAAGATGACAACTAAAGCAGCGTCCAGTCAAGAGCGCCATATGCCAGAGCAATACCTTTGGACAATATTCCGCGCACAGATCGAGGCACTTCACGCTATGCACTACGGCACGGTCATAAAAAACGACACAGATCTCAGCCAGGTATGCATCACAGCACCAGGCTGGAAGGTAGTCATCAACCCAGATATAAAGCTTCCGAACGTCGTCCTTGGAGATGCACAGAGTGATTGCTACGGTGCCGACAAAACGCCGAAACTCATCGACTTTGGTCAAGCGTTCGAAGAAGGGCCGGGCAAATGCGACTCTCTGGACACAAAGCATCCAGTCGGCACAGAGAATTTATGGCCTCCTGTAAACCGCTCTCTATGTGTTCTGCTACTACAGGAACTGACTTGTGGACAGGAAATTGCGTGGCCCCTTATTCGCGGATGGGAAAACAATGCCATCGGGCTCCACTCAGAGATCTACACAGTCGGCCTCAACATGCTCAGTCTGATTCTTGGCGAGTACAAAGAATCAGTACGCCCGGATACCATAGATGCCCGCGACACTGACGAGTACGAAGAGAAGTATTGGTTGCCTAGAGACTTCGACCGCACTTACACTCACTTTTTGATCAAGATTGTCCTGAAGTGCCTCAGAATGATGTGCGAGGAAAGGCCAACGTTGATTGATTTGCTTTACAAGACCAGGAGAGGCCTGGAGCAGTGGGAAAAAGCCCACGGCTCTGCAGACGGCGAAGACGTTCCCGCATTTATGAGGTTTGATGTCTTGAAAGAAGAGGAGTTTCCTATTGGAGCCAAGGATCCTGATAAATGGGACTGGCGAAAGGAAAGGAAGGCTGAGGACCCTGAGCCAGTTCGCCACGAGCTTGTAGATCCTGCTTTGACGGATCTAAGTTCCGGCCCCGCACCATCGAAGAAGGCAAAGAGCGTCTCAAGAAAGAGCTCAAAAACATTAGTTGGATCAAGTCCAGCAAGGGGCGTTCTGGCGAAGCTATTCCAAAAGAAAGGCGAAAAGATGTTTAGAGATGACTGTGATGAAAATGAGGAGGGATTTGAGTTAAGATCGCTAAAAAACAAAAAGGAGCACAAGAAAGGAATTGAATGGAGAGCTGTTGAAGCAGGAAATGGTAGATAAGGACTTGGAGTTTCAGAAACTTGGTGAGGATTCGAGTATTGAGATCGCAATGCCAAAGTCTGACAAATAATGTGCATTGTCAAAAGGGCGGTTGCTGGTACTGTATATTGTATGAAAACGTATCAGACCTGCAAGATGTAACATAAGCTGCACGGTTTAATTGTTTTAATATTTTCTCCTGAAGTAACATGAATCTCTTACCCAATTTCGTGTGCTTCTTGCGCACTTGCTAGGCATGGTTTGCACTGCCTTAAACTAGCCAGATTACTACGTTAGTATGGTGTCAATGCTTCAGGAATTCGACGATATTTCTCAAGGACGGTCATGCTGCGTCAGCATACGCTTAGGAATAATAGTTACAAAGAAACTAATGAACAGTGTCGCAGCACACAATGCTATTGTGAGCAAAACAATAAAGTCACATCATTCTGGTATATGCCATCAGGTCAGTTATTGAAGACATGTACCATCCACGCCTTCGGACCGCTCAGGTAGAAGCACTTCACGAAAGACCGCAGACGAGATTGCCCTCGCGATGGCTAACGAATCTTCCCCATGGTGGATCCATGACTCGGAGCTAAGGGACAGGGTCTACGATATGCCACCCAGAGAGGAAGAATATACTGCCTCTGTTTTCCCTCTTTCGCAGCACGATTGTGCACTGTTCTTGACAGGCTACTAGGTGATCATGGCCGATAATCATAGAGGTACCTGCCCAAGTCAGAATGTACTTTGAATTCCAACGCTGATAAAAGTAGCGCTTACAAGTGACAGCGAGATCTTCAATTCATGGCGGAATTACACCCCATATCGACGTGCAGAGTTCATGACAGCGGCTCGCGGCTTTCCAGACCCCAGGTTACGACCTGAGAACTTTGAACTAACGCCAAAAGAGAAAGAGGCTGTTGATGCTGCTAGCGCAGCTGAAGGGGTTTTGCTAAAGTATTACTTGGCTGGAAGGGAAATAACAAGGGGGAAAGATGGGTTTCGTAAGTCGAGTAGTTGTAAACAATTCTCTGTACTCCACTAACTTTGCCGCAGCCGATAGTCACGACATGCTGAAGTATTGGCGCGAGAACTTTAAGCCTACCATGGCTAGGTCTCGTCACCCAGAAGCCGAAGCTCTCGGCACTTACGTCCAGCACGAGAAATATCACACTCAAAGAAGAGATAGGAAGGCCTTAAGACCATCTCCAAGTCAGTTATATCAAGACCATCGTTTCACGACTACTGCGCGAGAACGACACCAAGCATATCAATGAGACCATGGGGTGAGATGAGCCAGATGGATGGCGGTGGGTACATGAGAGGATGTTGTACAGTCAGCCTCATGTGGCCTTAAGCGAGGCGGACACTCGGAGCACATTCTGCATGTATTCGTCTTGGTAGGCGACGATGACATTATCAAAGAGGTGAGTAGTTGACCACAACAAATGCTCTGGACACTGGGGTAACCACACAACAGCGTATGACAGTCAAAATCATTGGTGATGACGACAAGGCAAGGCTCAAAAACGCAATTGACGCCGAGACCGGACCACACAAGAGGCTGTCGAGACTGAAATGTCCCAACATTGTTCAGTTCTATGGATCGTCATTTCGAGACCGCGGAGTGACGCCGCACTTGGGGTTCATCGACATGGAATACGCACCATTTGGCGACCTACATGGGACGGTGAGAAAGCTTCATAGCGGTCAGAAGTAAGCACTCATCTGCTAGATTCGGAACTTGCTCACTTGCAGACTTCACAGTAAGCAAGTACCCGAGCCATGCCTCTGGGTCATTTGCCGTTCGCTTGCTGAGGCTCTGCACGCAATGCATACCGGCATGGTGATTAACAAGAACACTCCGACTCACTTAATAGTTGCTGTCAAAGACAAGTGGCAACTGGTGATTAACCCGGACATCAAGCTCGCCAACGTTGTCTTCGGCGCCGCTCAAGACAACTACTAACCCGCATACAAAGCAGCAAAAATAATTGACTTCGGCCAAGTGATCCCTGATAATCGCGTCATAGATGGAGCCGTGAAAAGCAAGTATAACTGCGGTACCACCTTCATCTGTCCTCCCGTAAGTCACAACCATCTAATTCTGGCTAAATCTGATGTCGCACAGGAACAAGCTTACCCTACTATACCCGGCTACGAGAAAATCCCTATTGGCGTCCACTCCGAGATCTACAACCTTGGCCTGGTAATGTGCAGCCTCACGCAAGGCCTCGACAAAGAACATCTGACGCTTTATAACCCCCGCTTCCATCTGATTACGATGCGTGTTATAGTGGTAGACTCGAGGGCCTGATTACCGAGTGTCTCCAAGACGATTGGTCCCGACGACCTAGCTTGCTGGTGCTGTTAGCTCAGATCGACGAGGGCTTGAAGAGTTGGGAAAAGGTATATGGAAGCGCTAATAAGAAGCTGGATGACCTGCCTGAGTTCATGAGACTTGGGGCGTGGGATGAAGAGCAGTATCCCATCGGTAGCAAAGCACCGGAGGTGTGGGGTGGGCCGCGGAAGAAAGACGGCGGGGAAGACGTAAAAAATTGAAGAGAAGCCGGAGTCTGCCTCAGAGAGTGCTCAGAGAGGTTGGCGAGCGAAAGTATTGGGTTCAGGAAGAGGAAAGCCGACAACCTTGAGCAGGTCAGAGAGAACGTGGCTGTCTGGTTGGGTACTCTGAACGGAGGAGATGACCCACCGAAAAAGAAGCCGAAAACTAACGAGTCGGAAGCTGTTTCTAGCAAGTCGTCAGAAGAGACAAACTAATCTGTGCACCCACTGAGAGACATGTACATTCTCCACTGTTACAAGGGAGACGACATGTTCAAGTCGGACTCCAGCTCTGATGATGACAAAGAACCTGGGTTTGGATTCGTCTTTCGCGGGCAGAACACGTCCACACCACTCACTGGAAGGGCAAGGGAACGACGGAGAAGGAAGGTCAGAGAATAGAGCCTAAGAGCAAAGGTAAAGGGAGAAAAAAATGTGGGCGGGCAAGAATTGAGAGACGTCAGGACGGTCCCTGAGAGCTCGGACAGGTGGGCTGCCGTGTAAGAATGTTTGCTTGAATATTATGTCGTGTTGTCGTCTATTAGAATAATTCTAGCCAATGAATCAGATACTTCATTGATAGCTGTCGCGTAGGTGTTGTGATGAAAAGTAACAAACAAGAGACGAGGGAAAGACGGGTGAAGCTCGGCGCTGAGAGAGGGGCGTCGGGGCTTCGCGTCCCAACCTCCTTCCTTTCTCAGTTTCGCCCTGCACATCTCTCTCAACATCTTCAGGGCCACAACAATGCTGAAGATAGCCCACCAGGCTGCCGAGGATAGACAGAAGACGCCGTAGTCAAAGTCTACGAGCACCGTGGTGGTTACTAGAGTAGGTCTTGGTCTTGCGGGAAACCGCTAGCAATAAGATGGTGTCTGTCTTACGTGCTGCAATGCCGCCATCCTAGGGCCTTTTCGCATCCAGAGATGATCCAACACGCCTGGGACACCTGATCAGAAGAATATCGTTGAAGTATCTCGTCTGTTGCTTATCCAAACTGAGCGACCACACAATATTGCAGGTTACACACTGATCAGCAACCAAGCATCTGGAGCGTTGCCAAGTCGAAGCTTTCAGGCAGCTGCAGAGCAGGGGCGGTGTTCGACAAATCCTAGATAAACAGTGCCGAAGGCCTCAGAGATTTCAGCTCTGACTTGTGTGCATTGCGTAACTTACAAACGGTACGTCCAGGAAAGTAGCCGTCGCCGCGTACGTGGTCCCGGTATGCCACTCTCGTTATCGCGTCGACTTGGCGCCCAGAGCCGTGTACTCCACTCTGCTCGACTACCGGCAGCAGAATCAACCTACCGTACAGATACCGCACCGGGATCGGGCAGGAGTTCGTGATGTGAGAGTATAAGAGGCTCGCTCGAAGCAAGGGCAAGGCCGACCAACCCAGCTTCGCCAAAACACCAGCATGGCGCCTTCTCTGCTTCTAGTCTGCATGGCTGCTGCAGCACTCGCCTCGCACTGCGTCCACGCAGAGCCCTTGCCGCGTCAACACATCTCTTTTCAGGGCCCCTTCGCTGTCGAAGCAGACGGTATCCAAAACATCAATATTGCGTACAACAGTGACCTCGACGGCGAGCTTGCTATAGCGTATGGCGAATGCAATGCTGCAAGCAGGCTTCAGGTCGCACATCACATCGGAAGTACGCATGTTGGCGAGCACCCATCTGCGAAGCGGCACGTTGGCTGGGAGGGCAGCAGACCTACCAAGTTTGTATGGCGGGCTCCTGCAAGGATCGAAAGTGGCTGCCTCCATGCTTTTGTAGGCGATGAGCTGGTCGGACGGTCAAAACAGTTTCAGGTGAGCAGGAGACAACGAAAGAAGAGAGCGACTTTTGCTGAAATCTCGGATCCAATGGGGCCTTGGTTCGACGGAGTTGAGTACTTGAAGCAGAAGAACTCCAACGAAACGTTCGTTGCAGCTACGAAGGAAAAGAAGTTCGGTATCCTTGGCGGTGGCATCTCGGGACTGCTTACTGCTGTAAGTTCTGCAGCTGCATGATATGTCACATCAGATAGCTGACAGCCACTCAGCTGATCCTTGAATCGGTGGGAATTCATCATTGGAAGATCCTAGAGTCATCAGACCGTCTTGGAGGTCGCATGCACACCGCATACTTGAACAAGTCTCGACCCGAAGACTACCAGTATCACGAGCTTGGGCCCATGCGTTTTCCCTACAGCATCCACGATGCAGAGACTAACGAGACCTTTGCAATTGAAGACCAAAAGATGGTCTTTCAGCTTGCCGATATTTTGAATGAGATGAACAAGAACGAGGATCCGGCATTACAGGTCAACTTCATCGACTGGATCCAAACAAGTGACAATGCACCTGTGGCGACATCGCAACGTCGCAAGGACGGGACCGTCCCTGGACGCATGGAGACGAGGCTGAACCCAGAGCTCCTCGATAATGCGAACCTGACTTATTCAAATACCACGGCGGTATACGAGGCGATGGCAGCACTTGACGACTTCAAGGCTTTGACTCCAGAGCGCGTGCGCTTCTATGCCAAGGACGTCTTCCGCGCCCACAAAGAAGCTGTCGAGCAGAGCATGCTCGACTTTAGCGAAGTCGAATATTTGAGGCATGTGATGGGTTACGATGCAAATATCACTGACCAAGTCACCTCTACAGCCGTTTCTTGGCCTATGTGGGAGTTCGAGACCGTCTACTTCATGGCCAACAAGTGGCTCACCATCGACAAAGGAATGAGCCGTCTTCCTGAAGCCTTCCGCCCGCTCGTACAGAACCGCACAAGCTTCAACACGAAGGTGTTTGGCATCAAGCACCACAAGGATTCAAACTCTCTGACCGTTTCGTCACGACCAACCGGAAGTAGCCCATGGACGGCTGATACCACGACCGAAGACTTCGACTACATCTTCAACTCCGTGCCATTCAACCTTCTCCGCTTCTGGGATTTGCCGCCCTACTCCTCCTTGATGAAGCGTGCCATTGAGCGCACGGTATTCGATGGCGCCGTTAAGGTCGCCATGCAATACAAGGAACGCTTCTGGGAGCACCTCGAGCGCCCCATCATTGGAGGCTGCGGACGAGTCGATGTCTACGGCATCGGTCAGATCTGCTACCCGAGCTACAAAATCAACAGTAGCGGCCCAGGTACCATGCTCACCTCGTACATATCATCTTCCGACGCCGTGGTCGCCTGTTCGATGCCCGAAGAGGAGCACATCGCGTACATTCAACGTGCTATGGTCGAGATCCATGGTCCCATTGCCGACGAGATGTGGACAGGCAACTATGCGCGACACTGCTGGGAACAGGATGAGCATCATGCGGGAAGCTGGGCAGTGCCGATTGTACCGCAACAGCAGCTGTACTTACCTGCATTTTGGCAGACCGAGTTCAACACGGTTTTCATCGGAGAGCATACATCGTATACGCACTCATGGGTCTTCAGTGCGCTGGAGAGTGCTGTCAGAGGAAGTGTGCAGATGCTTCTCGACATCGGTCTTGTTGATGAAGCGAAGGAGGTAAATAGGCGTTGGATGGCAAGGTGGATTAATCTTTGATGAGCCATCATTGAATTCGCCTGTTGAGCTGGACCCTCGACTGCTGGAGCTGTTGAATGATTGCAAACAGTGTCTCAGCACGGCCCCGCAGAGGTACCAGAGATGCGATTGCAAGGCCTTCCCGCATTATCTCGTGTCCACGCTGCCACTTTGGACGTCCCTGTCAGATGTCGATGCTGATAGTCGACTCGATCAGACCTCCTCGCTATCAGGAAGCACTTCCGGCCAATCGATAGTTACCACCGTATATCAAGGTCCTTCGTACGCTTTGCGTTACCCCTTGCCGACTCCTTTGACCTCCAAGCGTATTGAGTATTCTGTATTCACCGAAAATCGCAATGCACGTTCTGCACCACGCTTGCGAGATCATCGTTGTGATGCTGATACGCCCGGGAGAGCGGAGGTCTCTCCGCGACATTTAGTATTCGTAAATGACGGCTGCAATGACGTCTGGCGTGTAGTCGGTCTAGAACTAAGTGTAACCCCGCATGCTGGGCTAGAGTGGGTACTTAATGCTCGTACTCACTGCAGAAGCAATCACTCGCAGCTCGCGATCACGCGTCCAAACCCTCGGGACTTGGATACAGTCCTTCACAACGACTCACCTGAACCACACTGCACATATCCACGCCACCATGTCTTCCGAATCTCTCACCCTCATCTCCGCCACTCCCTCGCCGTTCGCGCGCATGAACCGCATTGCGCTGCGTCTAAAAGACATACCGTTCGAGCTCCAAAACGAAATACCATGGGAGTCCCAAACGCAGACGCCCAAATACAACCCGCTTGAAAAACTCCCCATCCTCATATTCCCTAAAAATGACCCGCGCCCCCCCGTCTACGAAAGCGCACACATCCAGACCTACATTGTCGAAAAGTACGCCGACCGCGGCCCAAGACTGATCCCAGCCGACCTCGACGGGAGCCTGCTCGCGAAGCAGATCGTCGTGCTCGGCGTCGGATGTATGGATGCCATGGTGCTCATGCGCTGGGAGGCGCGGCGCGATCAGGCACAGCAGAGTCCGAAGTGGGTTGAGCGGCAGAGTCGCAAAGTGGATGGGGCGTTGCGGGCGTTTAGCGAATATGCGGAGGCGGCAGAGAAGGAGGGCAGGGGGTTTGTGGTCGGGAGCGAGTTGAGTGTGGCGGATATTGCGGTTATTTGTGCCATTGGGTTTATTGATTTTGGAGACGTGAGGCCCGGGTGGAGAGAGAAGTATGCGGTGCTTGCGAGGTATTTCGATCGGCTGGATGCGCGGGAGGAGTTTGAGGAGACGAGGCCCGTTATGTTCAATTTGACGGAGAAGGTTGTCTAGTTGAACTTCTGGGACAGCGGGTTTGGAGGCTGTTGTGAGATGGTTTGGGAGAGGTTCTGTGCACAAACAGTGTGGAAGGCTGAAAGATCCTGAGTTGACTAAATACTCTTCTTCAGCTCTCTGGCCAACAAACACAACAAATATGAGCCCCGTCAACCACTACATCACCCGCGCAGAATGGCAGCGCACCAGCTGCCTCCTCACGTTCCGCATAGACTACTTCTTCCGCACCATCCTACTCCTAACCATGAGCCCCTCCAACCTCACCTCCACCGCAGCACACTACCTCCGGCTAATGGTAGTAGAGCTCAAGGACCAAAGCATCGTGGGTCTTAAGCGCCTCAAGTCGTGGATGCTCTGGCACCGCGAGATGGCGTGGTTCGTCGCCTTGTGCTTGCCTCATCCTGGGATATGCAGCGCGCGCGCCGAGTGGGCGGGCATTATGCGGCCGGAGAGCGAGTTCTGAGACGTTGCGGGCGCGCTGTGCGAGGCGCTGGATGAGGTGAAGGGCCCGGAGGCGTGGGCTTTGGGGGAGCGCAGCGTGGAGGAGATACTGAGGATGATGGATATGCTGAGCCGGCCGTGGAGCACTAGATCGCAGGCAGCTTGAGGATCGCTGGTGCTGGTGCTGGGGGGGGGTGAACAGTGTGTCCGTCTCTCTTTGAACGGTGGGCGGTGATTGGGAGAGGACACTGTGCTGTCTGTCTCACTCAGTATCAAAACGGATTTCACAATGCACATACTCGCCAGTGTATCGTTTTCCCCTTTTAAAAATGTGCTACTCTCCCCGAACTCTCCCATCAAAGATACCAAAAATCAGTCATGTCGACCAAAGTAGAATTCGACGGAAGGGCCTTGCCTAAACACAAGGCAGTTTGCAACAACGCCTTCTCCCACCGCACCCACGACGCCATCTCCAACGGGCTACCCTTTGCCCCGCAAGCACTCTTCTTCGCCCTCGAAGCCGTTGTAGCCCACCCGGCACCGACCAGCAGCACAACCCAGCCCCTGCGAAAGATGCTGACCGAGCTCGAGCAGCACGAGATCGACAGCTACTTTCGCCTCAAAGCGTATATCAACTATCACAGCGATATCGTTCGGAAGGTACGAGCAGTGCAAAGAGCGAAGGGAAGTAGTGATCATGAGCAGTACAGTGCTGGTGTGAGACTGCTGCTTGATGGGGTTACGTTCCGGGATCTGGCCAAGGCGTATTTTGATGTCGTGGGTGAGGTTGAGGAGCGTGTGGTGAGGCGGAAGAGGAAGGGCGTGGTGATGTGGAGTGAGAAGTCGATCGTAGAGGCCGCGGAGAAGGCTCTGAGGTTCTGGGAGGATAATCCGGATGGGTATCCGGCTGAGAAGGAGACTGGGGCTGCGACCGAGAAGGAGACTGGGGCTGCGACCGAGAAATAGGAATGCGGGTTGTATGGGTAGCTGAAAGGGGTAGATGAAATGGAAATGGGTCAAGGAAGTCGGCCGATTGATTGAAGTGTTGCTATACGCTGGCTTTGTCTGTACTCCGTAACGCCTCGTGAAAACAAACTCCAAATTCATCAAATCGTCAAATCCTTGCAATCCCTGCAATCCATCTAGTGGCCACCAGTTGTAGGAAGACCAAGAGAAACCTTGAATGAATCGTAGATCAACCACTGGAACGCGGTCAAAGTACCAATCATGAAGATACGAGTGGGCAGTCCGTTCCACAGACCGCGGAAACCGATGTTTCCGTAGATCCTGGAGATGGCTTGTCCGGCGCCCTCGCCAGCCTTACGATCACTGTTGAGTTTCGATACCATGACATCTGGCGATTGTTAGCTGATGTTCCTTCGGCGATAGTAGAACAACTCCATGACGTACCAGCAGGATGCGACACGACCGCACATCCAACACCCGCGATGTAACCACCCAGGAATGAGACACCCGTCTGCTGAAGCCCGTTGTATGACTCCTTCGGCTTGCCGAGGGTCTTGTAGATCTGTGTCACTGTGGCCTCGAAGGTCGCAAACTTGACCATGGTGTATGGGATCTGGCGTGCCCACAACGGGTACAAGCCCTTGTACAATCCCCCGATACCCTCTTCCTTGATAACCTTGCTCCAGCCCTCTCGTAATGTGTTGGCGAAAGGCGGCATTGTTGTCTGCATGCGGACCTTGATGGCCTCGAGTGGGCACAGCGCAAGATCGGCGAGGAACTCGGCGGAGGCGGAGGCAGCGAGGAAGACGACGGTCTTGGGGGCGCCGGGTGCAAGCTTCTCGCCGTAGAGGTACTTGAAGGCCTCGTAAAAACCGTACTTGCCGGCGCCTTGCAGCGAGTAGCCGACGAAGGTGGGCGACCATCCGAAGAAGACGCCGCGCAGGCCTTCTTTTGAGTAAATCATCTTCCAGGCTTCGGCGTTGGACTTGTACATCTTTGCGTCTACTTGGCGACGACATTTTACCTAAAAAGCGTTAGCAGGCAGTTCTGCTGAGTGCACTGAAGAAGATGTGCATGCTCTTGTTAGGCGCAAGTTGTACTCACCAGATCAAGAGGGGTGACCATGGTGTGTGTAGGTCCACACGCGACGATACCACCGATCGTGCATGCTGCAAAGTAGTTTCCCGAGTAAAGCTCGATCTTCTTCTGGGGCTTCAGCTGGCCAAGTTTGTCTGCCATTGTGTCGTGTGAGAAGCTTCAATTGCTCGTTATCGTGGTATGATTGGCCTGATTATGATGTTGCGTGCTGCTTCCGGCGCGTCGCGAAATTGCAAAAAGAAAGGCTGAAAATCAATCGGGGTATCACAAGTGCTGTACTTGAGGAAAGGTAGGAGTAGAGGAGGTGCGCAGCTATATAACCAATTCACAATGACGGTAGGGTTGCGAAAGTGAATCCGGGCTCTCCGTGACTTCCGTAGTTGCAGCCATGACGTCGTTAGACTGGGGAACTGCTGACACTAAGCTTGATTGGCTGATTCAACACCTTCCGGCAGCAAGCTTCGGAACACTGAGGATGTGACCTCTGTTGAGCCTCTTGATCCAGTGTTTGGTGATCTGGGATGCGCAACCTCGGCCGAACGAAAGGGCGACGTAGGGCCTGTTACGGTGAAGGCCAAGCAAATATATACAATTTGTTGTTCGCACAATCTTCGCAACATTATTGACAACGAAAAATCACCGTAGGTGTATTGAATTTCTATCTATGCTCACGTCCTATACCGTCAAATCTTCCCACCAAATCAACAAATATCGAATGAACACCAGTGCCCGAAGATCCCGAGCCAAACCATGAAACGCAATGTGCTCGACTTTTGCGCCCGTCGACCATTTATGTGCTAGGTGGGTGCCTGCAGAAGCACCGCTAGGCACAAGATGGCCATACATGTATCGTCCCATCCGTAGCGATACATAGATTCGTCCATCTGGCGTGGCAACCAGACGCCAACCAGCCGCGACGGTGAACCATAGGCATATGGATTGCAACAAGTGAGTCGATGTGTGAAAACGCCGACTCGAAAAGTAAGGTACAAGAAGATGGTGTGAACGCCTGCGGAAACCCAAGCCTTGCGCACGGAGATGTAGCGAGCGACGGTAACGAATGTGTTCGAGCGCCATCGTCGTCCAAGAGAAGAGAGCATGCACGTCGTAAGGTGATGAGACATAAGGTAGGCCGGCTCCCTTCTCTCCAACACGTAGGAGGTCGTATACAAAGGAGATGAGATGATGAGTCATGCCGCTTTATCCGCTCGCTCGAGAAGACATGACAAAACAATAGACAAGAAGGATACGATGCTGTGGAAAGCAACGCTAGAGAGGCTGCGAGCGTCCAAGAGGTGTGAGAGGAAGAACACTTATCTCTGTATGAGAGGTTAGCGTCTAGCGCCAGGCGCTGGGGACGCATTTCTGCTTACTCGACCACGTCGCTGACCACCTCCAGCAGCCTGCTGTTGCTGCTGCTGCTGTTGGGTCATGTACATGCCATACTGGGGATACATCTGCGCACCCATACCCGGGGGCATGCCCTGACCGGCTAGGTTGACGGGCTGCATCATGGGCGAACCATTGAAGCCTGGAGCTGCGACCGGGGAGGCATTACGGTAAGCGTCCATACCAGGCTGGAAGCCGTTCATCTGGGGATAGAACTGGCCTTGACGAGCAAGCAACTGTTGATACTGGAGCTGTTGCTGTCCATTCAAAGCTTGCATGTTGGGCATGTACATTGGTCCGCCAGGTGCCATGCCATACTGATCGAAACCATTGGAGTCCATGCTGGAGGTGCGCTGGAGACCGACTGGGTCAAAGCCAGGGGCAGCAGTTCCATAGAAACCTCGGGGCTCGATCTGCGAGCTGTCCCTCGATGCAGATCGGGTAGCCGAGGAGTCGCGGTGACCGGGTCCGCCGCGAGTGGACAAACCTACTTCGTCCATGAGGCGCTTGTAGCCCTGCTGAGGCTGAGCCTTGATGCGTACAAGAACGTTGCGAACGTTCTGCACAACCTCTGCGCGAATCTTCTCGTCAAAGAATGGGGTGGTCAGGACCTTGAAGATGAGGGTGGCACCGCAGTTCTGATCAGACAAGATCTCTTCCAAGACCTGGTCGTTCGGCGAGAAGAAGAGAGCCTGCAGGATGATGTCGCGCGCCTCAGGCTCGTTGCGCTGGTTGATGATCTTCAACACCGTCAGGTAAGCAACCTTATGGGTGCAGAGGTGGACGATGTGAGGAACCAAACGAGGAGCCAGGACAGTGCGCCTCCTGGGAAAAGTGCAAGTGTCCAAGAACCAGGTCAAGAGCAGAGCACCGTTGGCGTTAGTAGCAAGCTGCACGCTGTGAAGGGCAATGGCAGCCGCAACTGTGCGTTGCTGATCCTTGCTGGCGAAGTGGCTCTCCAGACAGGCGCGCATAGCGCGAGCTCCAAAGCGGCCCTGAGCCAGATCCCAGAGGCGGCCGAGCATGACCTCGAAGATGAAGTTGTTGAGATGCTGGTACTTGAGGCATCCCTGCATGACGTAGTTGCCGAATTGGTCGAGGAAGAGGGCCATGGCATATGGGCGGACAGCCTCCACAACCATCTTCTGCATGGTAAGGGTCTTGGAGACATCGATGATCTTTTGGGCAGCCCACGTTCCATTCTTGTGGATACCGATCTTGGCTAGATGAGGTGCGATCTCGCGAAGCATGGCCTCCTTGACCTGCTCAGAGCAGTGTTCGAACAACTTCTGGACAACAGTGTTTCCAAGGTAGTCAGACGAGAGCTCGGCAATCTCGGGAAGCATATTCATGGCAATCGACTCGATCTCCTCGGTAGAGCAAGAACCGTTGTCGATACGCTTACGGATCTCACGCAGTCTCGGCGCGTCGTGAACACGGGTGTGGCTGGGCTCCTCAACAGCGGGGATCTCGTCAACGTAGCTGTTGTACTGAATAGCAGCGTCGACCTGGATCATGATCCTGCCCTGGTCATCGTCCGTTGCGCCCAGATCTTTCACAATCTGGAGAATGTCGCCGCGGATATCCATCAGCTCCGGGGTGGTCAAGGGGGCATTCGCAGTAGCCAGGTGGGCAGTTGTCGCCTTCGCGGTGTTGTTAGCACCGCCAGCACTTTCCGCCTGAGCTTTGGCGTGCGGGTCTGGGCTCGGTGAAGGGAAGAGGCCGTTGTGACCCGGGGTGGCAGCTGCGCTGGGGATCTTAGCATAGCCAATGCGCACGGGACCAGCTCCGGGGAAGATCTCCTTGCCGTTAAGCTGGGACTTGGCCTGAATAGCGCTTTCGAGGCTCTCGAAGTTAACGAAACCGCAGTTCTTGTGTGTCAGAACACGGGTCGATTCGATGGATCCAAAAGTGCTGAAGATGACATTCAGAGACGAGACGGTCGTGGATGAGGGAATGTTGCCAAGCCACAGCGATCGAGTAGGGCCTTCAAGGGTGCCGTCGTCACCAAGGTTGGCACTCGACTCATGTGCATTACGCAGATGCAGGTTCTTGACGGCCTCAGTAAGGTTATATTCAGCGTCCTCGGTTAATTCGGAGGCTCCGAGACGAGTAGGCATGTAGCTTCGCATCAGTCGCTGCTGAGGGGCGTCCAAGACACCGGCGGTCCTGGCGCGAGGGCGAGCGCTCGAAGCGTAGTTGGCAAAAGCCTGGACCTCAAGGTTGTGCTGACGGACAGCCTCGTGGATCAGTAGAGCGTTGGCCTCAGCTGGAGTCATAGCACCGCTGTAGTTGCCGAACTGATCGAGCTCATCCTCATCTTCAGCATACTTTTCCTTCGCGTTGACAGAGTAGGAACGGAAACGATTGGCGCTGTTCATGCTCTGGCCACTGGCATTCCTCTGGCTTTCCAGGAGGAGCTCAATGTCAGAGGGGGCCAATTGAGCGCGCACCGGCTGAGGGGTGTCTACAAGACCGAGGTAGTCAAGGGTCTTGACATCGGTATCAGCAAGCGAGTCCCTCGAGAAGTGAGACTGAGGTGAGCCAGGTCCGTTTGATGGCTGGGAAGCAATGCTGTGAAGAGTGCTGCTGCGATCTCTGTTGCTTGTCCAGCCCGTGGAGAAGATGGAGTTGCCAAAAGGCGAGACTGCGGGAGGGAGATATCCCGGACGTTGAGGCATGGAGCCAGCACGAAGGCGTGACAAGAGTACCGACTTGGCAGCGGCGTTGGTAGAACCAGGGGCAGCGAAGCCGCCACTGCTCTCGGTAGGTGTGGCTGGGCCGGGCTTGAAGGGGCTTGTCGAGGGTGTAGGGCGGGAGGTCTTGGGCAGGAGAGAGTTGGAGTTGGGCATAGACATTAAGCCACTGGGTGCTGCGGAGGGAGAGAAGCGTGAAGGTAGAGTGCCAGCGCGGGTGCGGCGAGTAGATGTCTGGGAGGCTGACGTGGGCTCCGGCATAGTGTGCTGTTCGAAGGCAGGGAAGCTGTCGCCGCTGGGAGACTCGGGAATGGTCTCACGCAATGGCGTGGAGTTGCCGCTGGTAGGAGGTCCCCACATTTGTGGGGTCAGTCCCTCTTGTGCTTGGATCTCGCGTGCACTGGCGTTCCAGGTTAGCAGGCATGACATGTTGTTTCAGGAGTGCGACAAACCGTTTAGAAAATAGCCGACCGCCAAAGTCGTGCGACGGGGATCCGGAGCCCAAACGTGCGCCTGCAGCTGCCGCTCCCAGGGGATTGGAGGTGCTGGGAGGGAAACGGCCGCCAGACGGAGGCTCGACGGGCGATGCCGCGCCGCTGGAGGAGGCAGAGTGCGGGGCGTTGGAACTCAGCTGGGGCAGGTACGCCAGGTTAATGTGGTGTTCGGGGCGCGAAGTCGGAGCCATTATGGATTATAGATGCTGTCTGTCGACTGTGCAGTAGATGTGGAGTAGCTGTGGTGTGTGTGGAGGGTGGGTGCGCAGGTGGTTGGTGCCGGCCAAAGAGGGTGTGGTCGCTCAGCGCAGGCCTGTGCAAGGGGCTTTCAAGCAGAGACGCCCTTGGGACCCAGTCCGTCGATGCGTGTTGTGCAGATGCAGATGACGCGTGCTTTCCACAGGTTCGCAGCGTACAGCGCTCTTTCGAGAGTGCTTGGCGGGATGTCGCGGCTGGTGCTCGTATGTGCGGGGATATGGAGGTCTCAAGGAGCCTCACAGCGTGTCGAGGAGCGGCGCACGCGGTCCGCGAAGGCGACGAGTGCCAAAAGGAGTGTTTTGCAGAGCCCGCTGGTCGCAACGAAGCGCGTCGGTGCTGGGGCTGGCGGGCGCCGATGCAATAAACAGCCACGTCGAGGGTGCTGGAGAAGAACGAAGGAAAGATAGGATTAGGCAGAGGGGATCTGATCAGACACAAGCGCTCATGGAAGACGGCGGTCCAGCAGCAGCAGCGATGGGGCGGGAAGTGCAGGGCAAGATGGTGCGTGAGGTGATGGAGGTGAGTCTCGCCTAGCGAGGGCCGTCTCCACGAGTCTAGCGCAGGAGCACGTTCACCCACAACGTAACAGCGAGCAGAGGGCGGAGGGCTGAAGGGCCAATGCACGAATCCTGCGCGATGGACGAGGGGGTGATCGCAGGTGCTCACGGATAGGTATCCTTGAGGTGCTCAGACACGACTTCCAGCAATTTCTGTTCATCACGCAGCAATAGGGGGCTCCTTCAGTGTCCTCCGCGAATCTCTCCCTGGTTGGCCCGCGAGAATGGTTAATAGGCCGAACTGAAACGTTCAGAGGCGCGTCGCACCTCCAATCTGACGTGGACGCTCGCAGCTTTGTTGTTGCCATGTGTCCTCATTGGCCTGCTGCTGCCAAAATTCTCACAAACACGCGTCGGTATCCCGCATGGTGGGAGACATGGTGAGGGAGAAACTAGACGTTTGGCCGCTGCCGTGTGTCAGCACGAGAACTCATTTTCTGGCATCGCAAAAGGCAACCAGACCTGCCTGCGGGCATCCAATCGTGAATTCACAGTCTTCAGCCCCGAGTCACATACAGATGGGCGGTCCAGGATAAGCATTGAAACATTGTCTTCTAGAAGCAGGTGCGAGTTCATGCCACGGTCCCGTCTGCTCCAGTGTTCGTCATGCTGGACAGCTCTACAGGCAGACTAAAAGAGACTAGGCGGCATCGACCGTTGTCAATCCCAGACTGGCGCTATGTTTCAAGTGTCTGAGCCTCTGAGGGCCGTTCTGCGCCAGAGCAAAAACGATCTCCGTGACTTGGCGTAGTCTTCCTGAACCACTGGGCGCGTCATTGAACATTTCGCAGGCGCGTGCACCGCGCAGTGACTGCACCTTCATCTCCCCACAATTTGTGCACACCACCACGACGGCACGTGAAACACGCAGCATAAACAGCGACAGCGCCGAATCCAACATACCCCGGGCGCCCGTTTACCGAACGATAGTCGGCGCATTCATGGACGCCTTCGAGAAGACGTCGCGCGACCCTTGACCGCTGTTTGTTCTGCCGTGAACGCGCCATCGGCACCTCCGCTTCGCCGCAGAGCGCACCCCTCCGTCTGCCTCTGCCCCACACTTTGCTGTGCCCTGTCAGTGCATCTCGTGCCTGTCCATCTACCCAGAATGCCCTCCGAGGCGCCAGAGCCCGTGGTGCTGGACGATGCGCCTCCCGTCGAGCATCACGAGGAGTCTGGCGCATCTGATGACGATGCAGGGGAGAGCGAAGCCGAGGCGCCAGTCGACCTCATGGTCACTTCTCGAGCCAGACGGTCAAATGCCGGAAACCGCATGTCGACGCTGCTCGCCAAGCAGGCCGAAGAAGAGGAGTGGGGCGAAGAATGGGAAGAGGTTGCAAACGAGGAGGAGTTCAGGGGCGGCGATGTGAACGAGCAAGAGGACTACAACATGGACTCGTCGTCGTCAGAAGAAGATAACGATACTGCAGACGACGACGATGCGGGCGAGAAGGAACTGCGCAAAGCCGAGCGACAGGAACGTACCAAGAAGCGCAAAACAGCCACGAACCCTTTCGCTGCACGTCTCGCTACCGCTGCACGCAAGAAAGTCAGAATCGGCCCCACACCAACTGAGTCCACGCCGTCTGCGCCAGCGCGACCGAAAAAAAAGTCCGAGAGGGCATCATGGATACCCACAGAAGAGGACGGACCGATACGAACCTCATCAAGGAAACAGACAGTGGCGAACAAGGAAAGCACGTTGGCAAAGCTGCAAGAGAAGGACAGGCGGCGAGACGACACCCTGGCTATGATGAAAGCTGCCGAGGCCCGCAAGAAGAAGCAGGAGGCACCACCTTTGACGCAGGCGGAACGCCTAGCTGAAGCTGCGCGACAAGAGAGAATCAACAAGAAGACGCTGCATAGATGGGAGGAGGCCGAGGAGGCACGAGCTGCTGAGCGGCAGGCCAAGATCGATGCGTTGAAAAACCGCCAGATCGATGGCCCATTCATCCGATACTACAGTGGGCCCGCAATTTATGTGGACGACAAGCTCAAGTATACAGGGAAGGATGCACCCACGCTCGAGCACCTAGAGGAGAAGCTCAACAAGGAGCCTTCAGCGGCAGCAGAAACACAAGTCGCACAGCCTGACTCCGCTGAGCAGACAACCACCGCAGCCGCCGAGCCACAGACGCCACACGATGAAAGCACGGGACCGCAGCTACCGCCTACGAGTTCCCCAGAAATGTTTTCGATGCCCACTTCTCAGTCGTTCCAGCAAGACACACAGACCCCATGGGCTGCTGGCTCTCAAGGTGCCAATGGAGACGTCTTCATGGGTGGTGATGTGTTCATGGGCTCTTCCCATGGCCTGTCGTCGTACAACAGCGACAACAACCACAACATCGCGTTTGCACCGCCACAGAACCAAGATTCGTTCCTATATGGCTTAGACCAATATATAACGGGCCAAAATCAACGAGGCCAGCCCTCTTCGTCCGAATTCCCTCCAAACCCCTTCTCTCAACCGCAGTCCCAGCCACAGTACACAACATCGTTCTCTCCACATCCTTCGCTGAGCGACCCCCTCCTCACCCAGGGAACCAACAACGTCGGCCAACAAGCCCTCCTCTCACAATTCCAACGGCCCAGCCTGCCCCCTCAGCCACCACGCCGCAAAATAATCAGGCGAGCAATGCGGAACCTCCTTATCCTCTCTTCCTTCCCGAACCTCGACGCCCCGCCAACATCCTCACGCGCACGCACCGCCGCGTCGATGCTGAAGGACAAGGACCGCTCAGCGCTCATCCAGCTGTGCAAAACCCTGTTCAACTGGAGTGAGCAAGACGCCACGCTGTTCGTGAGCAACATGCTCCTCGGCCAGGCAGCCAAGACACAGAAAGCGAAGGAGGCACATGACGCCTCGCTCCGGCCGACGAAGCAGCTCTGCGCCGTCACCAACGCCGTGGCGCGCTACCGGGATCCAGAAACAGGCATTGCATATCGCGACGCGCGGGCCTTCGGCGTGCTGAGAGGCGTCGTCGGCGGCGGATTTGTATGGAGCGGCGATCTGGGGTGTTACGTCGGCGGGCGAGCGAAGCCGCTGGAGAGCATGGGCGGGAAGGGATTCCTGGGCATGCCGCCCGCGGCGGGCGTGCCGAGGCGGTTCCTCGAGATGAGTAAGGTGAGCGCTCCTGCGCCGGTGCAGATGCCCGTCACGCCGGCTCCGGTCATACCTGTGGGAACGACCACTGCGGCGCCTGTAGGTGGTGCTATTAAGAAAGAGACACCTGCTCCAGCGGCTTGAGCGATGCGCAGATACTGTAGACTCTTCTGTACAACACCGTTCAAAGAACAAGACATTACATAGACCTAATCCAGCTTCCAACAAGATAGACCCGATCCCTACGATGCGGACCCTTGCGGACCACTGACGTCCCACAGCGACGCCAAGTTCGCCGTACAACTCCACGCCGTCTCATCACCATCACATCATCGCGGCCCCCAGCATCCCATCCAACACGCACATCTCACCTCCTTACCTCCTCCCACTCCGCGAGCTTTATCGTCATGCGCTCTTCACCGTTCAACCCACCTCACCTCCGCATAGCAGAGCCCCACGCCCCGTTATCAAATGCCCCCCCCCCCCCCCCTCTCTCTACGCTGATCATGGATATGGATGTACAGATGCCAGTCCTCCTTAGTATATTTGCGCTAGCGAGTGTGAAATTCGATCATAGGAACAGAAACCAGTTCTTAGTCACACCAAGGGGATGGAGACTTCGGGATAGATAGACCTCGAAGATTCAAAACCGAGGCACTGGTGTCCAATTTACTTTTTCTGTGGTCGGAGAGTTCAGAATGAGCTCGGTGCTAGACCAGCGCGGCTGGTTAGTGTGAAGGGTACTGATCGGGGGCGGTAGTAGGCGCGTGCTAGAAAGCGCGTGGTAAAGGAGCTTAAGAAGGTAAGCGTGAAGTGGGCTTCGTGTAGGAGGGTACGGTCTGGGCAGTTGGAGTCAGTAACGAGCATCGACAATGCAGGCTCAAGGGACTGGGCATAGCGCCTCCCGCAGCAGAGTAACCTTGGGCGTTTGTTACGGGTGCAAGCTGTGCGTTGCAGTCCTCACACGACATCCACGCGAGGACGCTGTCTTCCTCCTAGATCACTTGGTGATTGGAGCCACAAGTTCGTTCCCAGGTGCTCCAAGTACTCTATCACGCTTGATATCTCCACAACTCAGCGTCGATTACCACGCTCACTGACAGCAGCACAGCAAGTTGTAGGTGTGAGAGAGACCAGGAGGTTGTGTCTGACACATGAACATTAATATTAAGAGGACCTCCGATATCTAGCGCATCCAAACACCTCACTGCAAGCCCTGCCACATTAATGCTGCCACACCCACAGCCAGCGACCCACTGACCGAAAGACCCGCGGGCGCCGCACCCTGGACGTTTGCAGTTGGTGTAGCCTCACCTTCAGAAGCACGCTTGGCGTCGACATTGGTGCCGGACGCCGTAGCAGATGGCAGCGAGCCAGTATCGGAGAGCGAAGCACTGCCCGAAGGCGCGGAGGAAGACGACGGCTTCGGACACGGATTCTCGTACACATACTGCTCGGGCGCGCCACTGCACGTGCCTGCCTTCGCAGCGTCGTACGTGCCGCTCGGATACATCCAGCAGGTTCCCGAGGCGAACGGGGAGTTGTCCGAGTTGCGCGGGTTGAAGACGACGTAGGCGCAGGACTCGGACTGTGCGCACTGCGACAGGCAGTTGGTCGCGCCTCCGCTGGCAGTGCAAGTAGACCAGCAGTCATCATCGGGCGTGGGATAGGCGCACACGGAGGCCAGCGCAGACGGCGATGCCGTCGCCGTGCACGCTCCCGAGGTGGGCGTTGGCTCGGCGCACTGGGGCTTGTCAAAGACGGAGAGATAGTCGCAGCCCGTTGTGCCAGCGCTCTCATCGAATGCCTCGTCTGGATACAGCCAGCACGTGCCGGTGCCGGTGTAGGGGTTTCCAGCTGCGAAGATGACAAAGTTGCATGGTTGGTGCGCGTTGCAGTACTCCCAGCAGTGGGCTTTTCCTAAGCTGGCGACAGCGAACGCGGAGCCTGGCTTCTTGTAGTCGCAGAGAGTGGTGATGAGAGATGCTGTGCAGTTGGATACTTCAGGAGTTGGTTCGGGATACCGTTGGACGGTTGTAGTGGCCTCGACGCCTCCTGTAGCTTGTCGCAAGCCCTGCGCAAGAACAACCGGTGCGAGGGCGATCGATGCCCAGAAATGAGTGGTCTTCATGTTCTTAACGAGCGTGGTGGAGTTATACTCTGCAAGGTAACTATGTTGAAAATCCGGGGTGGCGCTATGTTTGATTTATATAAGGCTTACATGGCACGCCTGAGTTGACTCTAGATTTGTAGACCTTGACGGAGCTGCCTAATCAAGGCAAGGGCATTCCTACCAGTCAGCTTCTAAGTAGTCACGGCTGAGGTGCTGCGTCGTTCAGGCCGAGCGATGTTGCAGTGCAGCAACTGCTCTTTTTCTTTCTAATAGAGCCTCACTGCTGATGCAGGTCAATAGAATTACCAGCAGAGTTACGACGGTAGGTAGCATCGCAACATGGAGAAGTTTTGGTAAATCTAGGCGTGCCACGCTAGCACTCTTAAGGACCAGCCCGAAATTGTTTCTTTAATTATAATTCTGCATTCACGCGACCCTCTTACACAAGTGCACGAGGGTCTCGACCTTCATCCACGCTGCAACGATAGGACCTGAGCATTTGTCTGTTGTCGCCGGCGAGTGCGAGTCTGGCCCTCCCTTCATCGTCATCATCCGACGTACAAAGCACCGTACGAAGCAATGTTGGTGAAAACCACTGAACAGGCTCGATTCCGACGTGATCAGACGACTATCACAAGACCACATCGTCAGCTGAGCGCCGTGCAGAAAAGTACGACCGAGCTTCTTGACCACGGCCTCATGCGGAGCTGGTTCCTCATCCTCGCTTCCAGACACGTCGGCACCCCAACCCTCGTAAATTGTCATTATCTCGTGTACCTGCGCAGGGCTGGAATATCCTCGCTCACGCTCGAGAGTCTTGTTCGGTCTCAGAGGCAGATCGTCGAAGATGTAGGATAGCTCCAACTCCAGCTCTATACCATCTTTCGCAAGTCAGACAATGCAGCAGCATCACGATTATGAGAGATTAGTAGGGGGCTAGACTTCCTCTTTGAGAGCGCCCGTCTGGTCCAGGGATTCCTAAGACGCAGCGATCCCGTAGTCGTGCCAGAGGAGGAAGCTGTAAGGTTCCAGCGACGTCCAACTTTCAACAGGAAGGGGAAGACTCCCCCAACTCAGGGCCGCTCGACGTCTGCCCCAGCGCCTTGTTCGACTTCAGTACAAGGGTTTGGCAAAGCGCAGGCTACGAACGGCCATCCAGGATCATTCTCAGAATGCGTGTTGCGGCTACAGACCATCGTGTTTGTGCTCGTGGCGCACGACTTGCCCGAGTCCTCGCCAACATTGATGGGGATGAACACAGATGCAGCCAGAGCTCTAGCTGCCTGCCCGAACAATTTCGTCCTACGGGTGACGCTTACGGACAAGTGCCCAGTTTCAAAACCCTCGGCGTCGCGATGGCCAGTGGAAGAGCCGAACGAAAAAAAAGGATCCAGAAAGCTTGCGGGAAGCCTTTGGGTAGTTGGCGCGGCCATGCCAGTAGCCAGAGGGTTGACGATGCCGCTGAGCGCACGGAGAGCATCTGCAACATTGCGCAACGTGCGCGTAGAAGTCTTCGGAGAGCTTCTGGTAAGCACAGTACGATGCTGAAAGATCGTCAAGCGATTCTGGCAGGCGACTGGTGTGACAGTTGTCGCCAGGGCGTATGAGGTACTTCAGGTGATTGTCCGATACCATACCTTTCTCTGCCTCAATCCTAGCGAGCTCGTACTCTCTCCCATGTCTATCGTCAATCGCTTTCTTGAGGTGTTGTACAAGTTCCTGCTTCGGCATAGTAGGGTTCGGCAGGATTTGTGGCAAGAAAGGAGACATGTAGAACATGAACAGGCAAGGCGACTCCAGCCGCTGTTTGAAGTCGAAGTCCTGGAAGTACTCGAAGAAGGCTGGTGCGTGCTCTACCAGTCCCTGTTTGAAGTCGAAGTCCTGGAAGTACTCGAAGAAGGCTGGTGCGTGCTCTACCAGTCCCTGTTTGAAGTCGAAGTCCTGGAAGTACTCGAAGAAGGCTGGTGCGTGCTCTACCAGTCCCTGTAATGCATCCTCAATCTCGAGGGCCGTAAGTAAGATGCACTCAGAGATCGGTGTAGGTTTTCGATACACACCATCCAAGATCTCAATCTTACTGAGATCGTCTGGCGCATCGTCGTACTGTTTGTAGACCGCAAAGGCAATCTCGGGATGTTGTGAGAGGTAGAGGTGGTCGCCACGAATTGGTATGTCTGCGCACAACACTGCATCTCCTCCCGCGCAAGGCGCATAGTGTGGCTCATCGAGAAAAGTGGATTTCTTGATCTGGTGGAAGACTTGGCCAGTGGAAGGTGCCTTCCGAGTGTGGGCGAGTTCTTGTACGCTGCCCTGTTTCAAACATTCGTTGTCCTCCCGGAGTGCTGAGATCTCGGCCATCAGGCTTTGCGTATCATGAACTCTGTTGTCGATTCTGACTGAGGTCCAAGTCGAGATAGCGAACTTACTGAGGGGGTGCGTTTGAAACCACCTGGAAACGGCGAGCTTTGTGACATGGGTTTAGACATTCCCATATCTCTACTGTCCACGTACCGAGCGTTATCTGTGAATTGTGTCCTTTTCGCTTCACTTTGCACTCGAGGATTTTGTAGGTAATTCTAAGTAGACACCTCATCAAGAAAAGTAGCGTTCGCTTACAAAAACAGAACGCTGTTCAATGTCGACTTCGTATTTTGTATGCAGATGGAGTGGGATGGAACTACATTATAACGACTTGACAGAGGAGATTGAGAGATGCACGACCGAGGTCAACAACCTGGCAGATGCTGGATCACGCGCCGAGCAACACGATGTGCATCTCGAGGTCCAGAGTCTGAAAGAGGAAGTAAGAATCTCGAGTGCCGTTACGCAAACCCTCGAAAGCATTGTTCGAGAGATGCGAGCTCTTATCATAAGTATGCTGAAAGTCCATGTCACAGCTCTTCTCTCGTTCAGGACTGGAGTTGCGATGGGTGATTCAGGTGGTTCTGTGGTGATGGGAAGAAGACGGCCGACAGCGGAGGGAAAGCACGCAATCTCGACGCGACGTCATTGGCTGTTTGCGATCGCTCAGCTTCTCGAGACGGTTGTTGACGGCATGCAGAGCATTATTAAGCAATTGTAGCGCCATGATGTAGCGCCATGATGCAGTTCCCCAGTGTCTTCTCCGCTCGCTCTGCTGCTTGGTGACAGTCGCGTGGTGAGCGTTGCCGTCGATTGTCCAGGGCCATGAGCTTCCAACGCAGGCTGTTCGCCGTCGCGCGGCGGCAGAGATGCAGTGACCACAGCCACGCCGCATCAGCGCCACGACTGTCAACACTGCAGGCGCTCCGGAGTTTACATCAGCAGGCGCCCCGGAGTTTACATCAGCAGTCACCCCGGAGTTTACATCAGCAGGCGACCCGGAGTTTACACCAGCAGTCGCCCCATCGCGCCCAGCAGAATGCCGCAGCCCGGGCTTCGGCGCCGGTGCAGAGCGAGTCGCTGAACCCGGCGCTGCAATTCCCCTGCCTCGACGCGCTCGAATCCAAGTCGGCGACGCTCTCGAAGCGCTCGACCGAAGGCCCCGAGCCGTCGTACACGTCCGGCCACACGGACGTCTTCCACTCGGAGCAGCCGATGCTGCTAGACTGGGGCGGCATCCTCCCGCAGTTCGACGTCGCGTATGAGACGTGGGGAAGTCTGAACCAGGACAGGAGCAATGCCATCCTGCTGCACACGGGTCTCTCTGCCTCGAGCCATGCGCACAGCACCGCGTCGAACCCCAAGCCCGGCTGGTGGGAGCGCTTCATCGGGCCCGACAAGCCGCTGGACACGAACAAGTACTTTGTCATCTGCACCAACGTCATCGGAGGCTGCTACGGCTCGACGGGGCCCTCGTCGATAGACCCGGCCAGCGGCGAGCGCTATGCGACGCGCTTCCCGATCCTGACCATGGAGGACATGGTGCGCGCGCAGTTTCGTCTGCTGGACGAGCTGGGCGTCGCGAAGCTGTATGCGAGCGTCGGCTCGAGCATGGGCGGCATGCAGAGTCTGGCGGCGGGCAACTTGTTCCCCGAGCGCGTTGGCCGCATTGTCAGCATCAGCGGGTGCGCGCGCAGCCACCCCTACAGCATCGCCATGCGCCACACGCAGAGACAGGGTATGCAGAAAATACTACCGCTACGAGTGCCTGTGCTGACCACGCAGCCCTCATGATGGACCCCAACTGGGCCCGCGGCTTCTACTACGACAGCGTCCCGCCCCACGGTGGCATGAAGCTCGCCCGCGAGATCGCCACCGTCACCTACCGCAGCGGTCCCGAGTGGGAGATGCGCTTCGGCCGCCGTCGCGCAGACCCCTCGCGGCCGCCAGCCCTGTGCCCCGACTTCCTCGTCGAGACGTACCTCGACCACGCCGGCGAGAAGTGGTGCCTCGAGTACGACCCCAACAGCCTCCTCTACGTCTCCAAGGCCATGGACATGTTCGACCTCGGCCAAGAGCACCGCAACCGCGTCAACGAGCGCCGCGCGGCCAACGCAGGCAGGCTGCAGGGCTATCTCGACGGCAAGGGCATCGAGTCGAATGAATCCGTCGACGCGTGCAGCCTGACGCTCCCCGACCAGCCCTACGAAGAGAAGGAGCAGCCCGCCGACTTCGACGACGCCAACATGCCAGCAACAGACGGCAGCGAGCCGCCGCCCGACCTGGTCGCGGGCCTGCGACCGTTGGCCAACACGCCCGCGCTCGTCCTGGGCGTCGCGAGCGACATCCTGTTCCCCGCCTGGCAGCAGCGCGAGATTGCGACCACGCTGGAGCGCACGGGGAATAAGAACGTGACGCACATTGAGCTGGGCGAGGAGAAGAGCATGTTCGGCCACGACACGTTTCTGCTTGATTTGGAGAACGTCGGTGGTGCGGTCAAGTCGTTCCTTGGCTGAGCGACGAACCGCTGTCTTGGGATTGTCTTGGAACCGTCTTGGGATTGTCTTGGCACCGTCTTAGGATTGTCTTGGCACCGTCTTGGAATCGTCTTGTAAATGGTTGTCTTGTAAATGGTTGTCTTGTAATCTCTTGTAAACCCTTCTCATCTCGTGTCGGCCCTTTTACATCACCACACACTGATCGGGTACGAATAGCATTGGAGCGTGTCTGCATTGCACGGCGTTGTGGAGATGCATGGATCGCAACATTAGCTTTTTCCCCTCAACTGCGTCCAAATCTCTCTCGTGCGTGGTGCAGCTCGAAACGGCACGGTGATGGCGTGCGACAGAACCGCAAAGTGCAGCGGCGAGACCGGTCGCGCCCCAGAATCGCCATGTTTGTTCAATGTGGGGCCCCAAGCGCCTCAGCCGTGCTGCGTCCCGCTCCTCTTTACATCCCGGACACTAGAACCGCACTTGTGAACTAGAACCGCACTTGTGAACTAGAACCGCACTTGTGAACATGCCCGTCGATCCGCCTTGCCCTTCGCAGTCACCGCAGGGCTGCGCTGTGATGTGATTCCAGTATTGGCGCCCCTGATGACCCCCCGCATGCGCAACCCTTGGCATGGGCACAACCCTTGGCATGGCACACTCCATATCAAGCCGTAGCCCTCGTCATGGAGTCCGACGCAAGCAATCTTTGTCTCTGAATCTGTCCTACCTGAGGGCGACACAGATGCCATGGCGTCTTCGACAAGCCACAAGAGCAGGAGCAGCGGCGGCAAGGACTACACGGGTGAACAGATCTTCGCGGTCGACAGTCGCGCCACAGAGACGAGAGCTGGGAGCAAAGCGGATGTGGGTGAGGACGGCGACGGCGATCGCACGCTCTGGCAGAACGTGAAGAAGTACCGGAAAGTTGTCTACGTGACGTTTGGCCTCACAAGCGCCATCCTGCTCTATGGATATGATAATGTGGTTGTTGGCACCGTGTCGGCTATGCCTGGATTCCAGTAACCCACCCTCCCTCTCTGTCTTCTTCTGAGATGCAGCGCAGTGCTGACAGGTCACAGAAAGGATTTTGGCATGGAGTACGAAGGGAAATGGATTCTGCCCTCCACCTGGCTGGCGCTATGGAACGTCGCATCTCCCATTGGCGCAATGATCGGGTCTATCTTCGGTGGCTGGCTGCAGGACAAGATTGGCCGGAGGCTCGCACTTGCCATCTCGTCGTTCCTGTCCGCGCTCGCCGTCGCCGTCATGTACATCTCGTATCTGCCCGACGACATCAGCGGGCGCCGCGTCGCTTTTCTCATGGGCAAGTTCTTCCAGGGCGGCAGCATCGGCGCCGTCATGGCGAGCTGCCAGACGTACATGTCTGAAATTCTCCCCCCAGCGCTACGCGGCTCCGGTATGGCTTTCTTCCCCGTCTTCACGCTGCTGGGCCAACTCACCGGCGCACTCGTCATCTTCGGCGCGCTGGGGGCGAAGAACGGGTACGCCATTGCGTTCGGCAGCCAGTGGCCCTTTAGCTTCGTTCCCATCGCCGTCGCCTTCTTCATCCCCGAGAGTCCCGCCTGGCTCGTGAGAAAGCGCAGGATGGACAAGGCGCACGCCGCGCAAGCAAGGCTGGATCCGCCCGGCGCCGACACGACTGCCATCGTCGCAAAGCTCCTGCGGGACATTGAGCACGAGGAGCAGTCGGCAAAGGTCACGTTCGCCGAGTGTTTCCACCGCCGCAACTTCAGACGCACGTTCATCGTCATGTTCGCTAATTCACTACCCGCCATCTTCGGACTCCCGTTGCTGGCCAAGGCGAGTTACTTTCTGCAGCTCATCAACATGGAGGCGAACACCAGCATCATCTTCCTCATCCTCGGGATCGTGCTGGGGCTGCTATCCAACTGCGTGAGCGTCTTCATCATGTCGCGCGTTGGGCGACGGCCGCTCGTCATCGTCAGCCTGCTGGTATCAAGCGCGCTGTGGCTGAGCATGGGAATTGCGAACTGCTTCAGGATCACGCCGGCTGTTACATGGTACGTCTGCCTTCTTGTGAGTGTGATTTTGTTACTGATGACACAGGTGGACGGCCGTCAGCATGATGCTGACCATCATCGTCGCCGGCGTCGGTGTCTGGCCCGCCTCCTTCGCCATCGCTGCCGAAACCTCGAGTCTGCAGCTGCGCGCGCGTACCCAGGGGCTGGGCTGGTGCGTCAGCGCGCTCGCCACCGCCGTATCCGGGCTCGCCCTGCCGTACGTGTTTAACCCCGACGAGGGCAATCTGCGCGGCAAAACAGGGTTCACGTATCTCGCGACGTGTCTGGTGGGTGCGGCTGTAGCGTGGAAACTTATCCCCGAGATGAAGGGCCGGAGCGTGGCGGAGGTCGATCGCATGTTCGAGCTGCAGCTTGAGGCGCGGCAGTTCAAGGGGTGGCGCAGCGAGAGTACGCAGGAGTTGACCGCGCGGACGTGATGTGACGATGCGCATGCTGCAGATCCAGTCACGTCCACCACTCCAGCGGCCCCGTTCAGTCTGTAGGGCAGGTTGGGGATTCGTCTTGTTACCGTGGAGGTGTAATGTCGTCTCGATGTAGCTTTGCACGTCGGTAGAACAGAGAAAGGTACCGTCCGACCCCCACTCCATCTCGCAGTGGCTACCCGTCTCCTTCACACCACGGCGAATCAGCCCTTGTCCCTCGATCCCTCCGCTCAAGCACCATTTGTCCTTCTGGCCCAACCCCACACCAGTAAAACAGCGAAATCAAAAGCTGGACTGATGGACATGCGTGCATTACGGATCGATGTTCCCGGTAATTCATATAAACACAAGCACACCACCAGAAGAACATCTCTCCGTCAGGTTATCACGATCAGCTGAAACATCACCGAGAGTCCAGTCTTTGATAACAGACGATTCTCGTCTCAGATGGGTGGTTGCGGTTGGAGTATCTCGCTTGCCTTATGTACCCCCGCTGCCCCACCTTTGAACGGCCTCATACGATTGACGTAGATGACTCCACACTCCATGCTTACCTGAAGTGCTAAAATCGCTTGACTGGATAATCGAAGCAACAGTCCTCGACCGAGGATCTTCTCTGCAACACTGTAAGCCAATGCAAGCCGCCGGTCAATCTTCGGCTGTTCGCAGTTCAGCCCGCGAGATTCGCCTGTTGGACCTGCTGCCTGGCGAACAAGATGATCCCATTCGATGCACCACTCGTGTCGTTAGCCTCGATGATCACCCAGATTTTGAATCCGTGTCATACGTATGGGGAGACCGTAAGGAAGAGAGGGGCATCGAGGTTTCTGGCACATGCATACCGATCACGAAGAATCTCCACAGTGGTCTGCTACGGCTTAGACATGCAAGAGTTGGTCGAACGCTGTGGATTGACCAGATTTGCATCAATCAGTGGGACCTGGAGGAAAAAGCGGCTCAGGTAGCCTTGATGAGGGATATTTATAGGCAGTGCACACAGTGCGTCACGTGGATGGGTGAACTCACAAGAGAGGGCCATGACGTCCCGGTGCACGATGCTCAAGCTGTTTTCGACTTCTTGCGACGGGTTGCTGCAGCAAAAACTACCCCACTGAGCGATTTGCCGGTCCTCTTCGAACCGTCGGACAGAGGCTCGGCAGCACGTAGCGCTTTCGAACGCTTCTCCATGTACGGTAATCCATGGTGGTCGCGTATCTGGACTGTCCAGGAAGCCATCATCCCTACTTCAGGCATACTAGTGTGGGGTCCTCTTTCTATCGATCACAACGACGTGCTCGCTGCCGCACGTAATCTGCGCGACTTGTCCAGCGTACCCTCTCTTCCCGAAGGATTCGCGATTTACCGTCACACCTACACAGAATTACTTCGACGGTTGCTGTACCCTGTTCATGGCTTCAACCACTCCAAGACTGATAACGCGCTCAATCTGCTCATGCGCTGGCGCCACCGCGAGTTCACCGATCCCCGCGACAAGGTCTACGCACTGCTCGGCCTGATCGCACCGAGTGCAATTCCGAACGCGCAGTCCTGCGATTACACAATATCAGCATCTCACCTTTTCGCCAAAGTCACGTTGGATCTGATACGGCACGAGCGCGGCCTGAGACCACTCCTGGGAGCCTGCGAGATGCCGCAGCAATCACCCGGCATCCCGTCCTGGGCCATCGATTTTGCATGTGTCAATCGCATTGGCAAGCGGCAGTTGAGATGGTGGGGTCACTCTCACCGATATCGCGTCTTCTCAGCCTGCGGAGAGCACAGCCTGACACTCTCGGATGCTGCCGATGTTCAAGTGCTCGGGTTGAAGGGCGTCCACGTCGACCAGGTGGTGGACACAGTTGCGCTCCTTCGCGTCAGTCCTCAGGACCCGATCCATTCCCTTGAGCTGCGTGAGCCTTTGGCGAATTGCATCCAGCTCTTAACTCAGTTCCGCGCTTCTGAAGCAGCGCCGGCCGTCTACAAAGATGGCTTCACGTGGGAGTCTGCGCTGTGTAGGACATTAGTTGGCGACCTCATCGTGGATGAGTTGCCTCTTGACAGCATTGCAAGATACGGCCGCGCTCGACTGGAAGCCGACTTCGACGCCCTGTTTGACAGTCTGCAGATCGAACTCGGGCACAAGTTGCATCTGGACTTTGCGCCTGAGTTTGAGCAGTGGTCGCCTGTCTATCAACCTGCTTCGCCCACTTTGATGACTTCGCAGACTTCACCTACTTACTCGCCGCTCTCACCTACTTATTCACCGACTTCTCCGGTGTATTCTCCGACTTCTCCGACGTATTCTCCGACTTCTCCTGTGTTTTGCAGATATAGTTCCGCGACGGAGAATGAGAACGATCGAGTGGCACAAACCCCAGAAGCAGGTGACAACTCTTCAAAATCTACGGTAGACGTACTAGGAGGGTTCAAAAGACGCTTCGACAATGCTGACGACGAAGCATTGTCTGAAAGGCACGACATGGAAGTGATGCCAACACCTAACAACAGCAGCTCCACAGAGGCCGTGGACAACAATCCCAGCATATCCGCTGCTCACACCCAAGTCCCAAGCTCCCCGACAACGTCAGCCGCGAGCTCTGCATCGCAATTCAGCGCGTACTCCGAGGCTCATTGGATCAGCCTGCCTACAGACCAGAATCCTTATCTCAGCACGGAAGAGGACGAGCGCAGGCAATCACGCATTCAACGTCTAAGAGGAGAGTTTCTCACGCAAGACAGGACCTCCCCAAGCAGCTCGTATAAGCCGGAGCCTGGTGCTTTCACCAATCTCCGTGAGTCCTTGATGGGCATGATGGAAAATCAAACCTTCTTCCTTACGAAATCGGGATATATGGGTATCGGGCCGCCCCAGACCACGAGCGGGGATCAAGTATGGGTTTTTCACGGCGGGAATGTGCCCTTTGTGATGCGGGGAGTTGAGGCGGAGGGAGGGCTGAGCCGACGGTTGGCTTTGGTAGGCGACGCTTATGTGCAGGGCATCATGGACGGAGAAAGTATGCGTGATGATCCTTATTTGCAGCACGTCGATGTCTGCTAGGCTGACGTGTGCTGTGCGCTAGTTGGTAGTTGGTAGTACACCGCCTTGCTCGAAGCTTTTCGAATCATCATTCGAATTGCACTTCAACACTAACACACATATCAGATTGTACCTCAATGATGCTAAGCTGCGCTGCAGCAAGATATTCGCACACGCCGGAGTTCTCTACCTATCCAGTCTTGACTCCTGTCTCTCCTCACCCATAGGTCGCGTTACGTCAAAGCCGAGACACGCACTTCGTCTGATATCCATGATCGAGTCTCACGCTTCGTTCGGCATGGCTCCAGTGTCCATCTACCCTCCCGCCAGACAGGGTGAGCTGCACAGCCTGGCGCCCGTATCCGAGGAAGCCAGCCGAGCGGACCGCAACGGCAAGAAACAAATCCGAACGGTGCGAGTCGTAAACAGATGCACCCTCTCCTCCCACTCGGACACGTGAATTCACATCCTGGTAGACTTGGGAAAACGGACAAGGCACCGTCTCGCTCAACTGTGTTCCGTCGAGAAAATGGGTCAGCTCGCTTTTCATTATAATGCAGCTAGCCTGTCGCCAATAGCATCGACCGGCTTATCTGTAAATACCGGCGGAATCGTGAAGGACTTCAAGCTGGAAAGTGCAAGCTACCAGTTTTGCCAACCGCGCTGTATGTTCTTGGTACTGGCAGTGGACCGCTGATAGTGGCTTTTTTCTCAGAAGTCTACGGGAGGAGATCTGTTTACCCCTCAAGCTTCGCTATTTCGCGGTGCTCGGTGTCGGTCGGATGCGCGCTGCTCTTTGAGATAGCTTCGCTCATGCGTTCAAGGGGGTTGATGAATCTTGTCTTCTTTTGTATAGATTCAATGTATCATATCGGTATATTTTTTACGCAAGAGATATGGCGAACTCTTAGTGCGCGCTTGATTGATGTCGCAGCAAGGATCGAGGTGAGGGTGCATATCACGTGATCCGCATCTGGATATTGGACCGATCAGACACTGGCGATCTATCACGCCATGGTGAGCGGAATCGGGTATAGCTTGGAGCCGTGATTAGGGCTCCAATTAGGGTATAGCTGGATGAGCATTGGTGTATATATTCTGCTCATTCAGCACCGTAGATAGAACAAGGAACTTGATCACTTTCTTCACACTTGATCAACGATCAGAGACCACTCAGCTTCCACAATTGAGTACTGGCTTCTAGACTCCATGATTCACATCGCCTTTATCGCGTTCCGTAATTGATTTTGTGAGGCCCTAGCTTTGAATCAGAAGACAAGGTCTATGTTGATCAGCCCGCGATAGTACAGGATATTCGTCTGTGAGGCTGCTAACCTCGTCACGTGAAGATGGGTCTGATCAAACAGTGTGCTCGCCTTCAATCGACTCTTCGATAGCACAATCACACCGGCGAATGCAGCAAATCGGGACAAGTTCTAGGTACAATACGGCTGATCTTCTTGTCGACGTACTTCTGCCCTGTCACGTTAGACTGGAACTGCAGTACTGGCTCACTGCATCCAGAAGCGCAGCCGAATTGCCGCCGACACGTTGCACTGTGAGGCGCTCGACGATTGAGCTACACACCCGATTTGACGAGGTGCTTCGGGGTAGCGGGTACGAATGTGGATACACGTACGTTTGGACAACTAGGTGAGAGTAAACAACGACCTCAGCAGGCGAGTCGAATACAGCGCGTATGCGAAAGACAATGGACACTGCGGTGCGAATGAGCACGTGTCTCCTCGTAGATACTGTGCAACGCACCAGGAGGCTACTACAGGTCCCTACTCCTAGCGTGAGGCGTCTAGCATCGGTTTGTCGTTGTTAGACTACATGCCCGCTCAATGCTCTGCGCGATAACACGGATTCGCTCGATACGTATATGGTATGAACAAAGAGCCGCCACGATGGAACAGCACAAAGAAGTATGATACAGAGAAGAGCATGACGCTTCGACGGCACAATGCAGTAAATCGCAAGCACGGCGGAGACGTATTGATGGGGCATGCGTTGTCTCCAACGGGTTTTTGAGGTTCTGTCTACCCACTGTTGTATCTTGAGACTAATCAGAGACCAATAGATTGAAGCAAGTGCCCGCCGTCAGGCGGACGTTGTCTATTGCTACGATGCTTTGCCACGTCATGGTTCGCCATGAAGTGGGGGATGAACGCTAGGAGATGCAATGCTGCGAGTGCGAAAGAAGAGGCCGCATGGGCGGCGACAGGGGTGAAGATTGTGAGGGCAAGTATGGATATCAGAAGGGAGAAAAAGTAACCAAGCGAAGAATAATGGTGGTGGGTCGAGCATCCTCGAAGTATTGGTGCGGGATCGCCTGGACCGGGTATATTGTCGTTGCTTCATGTCGTGGTCCCGATCCCCTGCCTTGTATCCCTAGCTCTTGTGAAATGAATGAACAGTAATGAAAGGTGGTGTTACAACGTCCCAACACATACGACGCTGTCTAAGTGCGAGACGCAGTCTGATCGCCTCACTAGCGACTACCTCGCAGGTAGTTCGGGCGTTGTGTCGGGGCCGTCCTCTATCTCGACTCGCATCTTCAGCCCGCCCTCGATCTGGATGCCCTGCTTCACCCAGTCCACCTTCTCGATGTCCTCGAGGCTCTTGCGGCCGCGAGAGACCTTCTTCAGTAGGCTCTCGACAATCTCCCGTGCACCGGCCCACTCCTTGCCTTTCTCTGCATCCCACTCTCCATCCTCGTCACCAAACTTGACCCAACCCCAGTCGCACCTAGCAATCCGATGAGCGGCTCTGGTACGGCCTGCTTTGCCCGGCGGCGGGTCGAACGGTAGGCGTCCTTCCATCAGAGCGTACAACAAGACACCGAGAGCCCAAGCATCAGTCGAGCGACCATCATATGGCTGGCCTAGTAGAATCTCTGGAGCAGCATAGTCTTCACTACCACATCGAGTTGTCAAGAGAGGAGACTCTGGAGGTGCAGGAATTCGACGAGAGAGGCCAAGATCTGTAAGTGTCGCAATGGGGTACGGATGAGACTGTGGGTTCATGAGGAGAGGTACGGAGGAGATAGGGATGTTGAGGAGCACATCTGCCATGCATTAGTACAAGACCATTGTGAGCGCACTGACCATGTAGAGGCTAATGTCGAAGACTGGAGAGAACTACTTTCGAGCTTGATATCGCGGTGCACGATCAGCTTCTCATGCAAATACCGTACGGCACTGACCATCTCAGCGAACACACGCTGGACGATGTCTATGCTCAAGATGTCGCGGTGATCGCTGGCTACATCAAACAGATCACCGCCAGGGCAGTATGTCAAGACCAGTAGAGCCTGGGCCTCGTTGTGATCAAAGGCTCGCAGATGAACGAGAGAAGGGTGCGACACGGAGCGGAGCATCTCCACTTCTCGCTTGAGGCTTAGTTCGACACGTTCCTCGTCGGCACCGCCGGCAGGACCGTGCTCAACGACTTTAATGGCGACAAGCTTACGGAGGTCTAGGGTCTTCTCGTCCAATGGATCCTTGGCCGCGGTCCTTTCGCACGTGGCCAGGTAAACTTTACTGAACGTGCCCTGGCCGAGCTGCCGAACTGGGCGCCAAAGCTTCTTCTTCATCTGAGATCCATGGCGAACAGCAATGTACTTGGTGTCATAGTCCTCTATCGCGTGGTCCTCTTCATCGGTGACGCTTCGATTACTCGCGTTGCTAGCGGGGGGTGTAGGCAGACCAGCGGGGACTTGCGCAGGGACAATGCCGCGCTGCGACGCAAGATACTGCTCGCGGCGCAAGCGTTGCTGCACGGTTGCGTCACCTTCGGCAGCAACACTACCGATAGTCACATTTCGAGGCCGAGGGTTGTGCAGGGAATCTGGAGTATATTCGCTGATACTGCGGTTCCTCTCCCGAGCTGTTTCGCTGTTGCGGTGGGCTTGTATGCGCGCTTCTGTAGCCCCTTCGCCGGTGGTCTGCAACCTCTGATAACCCTTCTTCTTCAGCGAGGGCGAGGGAGAAAGGCTCGATCTGTTGGCGGGAAGGTAGTTGTCGTCGCGTGAGCTGGTAGAGATCCCTCTTGGTCGCGCCACGGCCCGTTGCCATGGTCCGGGAGAGTCTCCCATGACCAGCGGCGAGGGAAGCGGCGTCAGATCGCCGAGCGCGTTCAGTGCGGGCGAGGATATGGCCGAGGATGGCGACAACGATCCGGCTAGACTATTACTGGACCTCGCAGTCTTTAGATATTTCTCGTCTATCATAATTGGCGCAGTGGCCGACTGGCGCAGGCCTTCGCTGCCGGTGGTCGCCAGGTTGGAGGTGATGTGCAGTGTGTTGCGCGCGGTTGACGTCATGGATGGAGGAAGATCGGTTACAAGTGTCAGCCCGCTGCTCGGGGCGCGGACGTGCCAGCGAGGGACGTAGAGCGAGGGCGAGGTGGTTGCAGGCGTGTCAAGTGCACTGAAGGACGGGAGATTGGCGTTCGCTTGCACTGCGGCTGGGTTTACGTGCGCGGCGGGCGCAGTTGTGGCTTCGGTGCCCGTTCTGAATGCTTTGCTCAGTTCGCCAGGCGGAGCAACGCGTTCAGTGCCGGAGACAGGGTCACGCTGGCCCTGGGATGGCTCGGGGCCCTCCATGGTGTTTTGTAGGACTACCTGGGACGAGGCGAGGGGCCGACTATGTCTGGCTGGCTGGAGGCTTGTGCGTTCCTTCCGGTCATCTAGCGTCACTGGTGTGGGGACATCCCAGTATTTTGATAGAGCCGCCTGCAACCGGAATAGCGCTCGACTAAATCGAGCTACAGCGAAAGCTTGACGGGCAATTCGATAGCCATGCAAAACCATCGCTGCTGGGAATTGCATCTTGCTAGCTGAGTTTACGCACATATTGCTCGCCCTCGTTGCCATGGCCCCGCAAACACCCAGAGTCTGGGAATAGCCAATAATAGAAAAGCAGGACTAAACGTTCAACGCGTCTGGCCTATGGAAGCGGCGCGTGCAAGCACGAAGGCGTCCAGGGCTAGATTGCTTGGAGTAAGCCTAGATGCATCATGCAAGGTTCGCGCATCCCCAGCTTTTGGGCGGAGCAACCTGCGATCCTCCAGCAGCCCTCCATGTGCTTCTGCATCCATCTCCCGGCTCATTGGAAGTGTGAGTATCTCTTCTTTTCTTTCGTTCACCATCTCGCAACACAGTGCTGGATTAGGCAGCTGAACCTAGAAATCAGCGCGTCACTGAGTGGAGGGCAGCATTGTTATCTTTATGTTACATTGCCTTTACACCTAACTCATCAAATCATGATGTGCGTAAAGAGCTATCGTGCGCCCAGGAGCGGTCGCTCCAGTCTGAAGGACTTCTTGCTGCGTCGAAATTGTTATCGACTGAAAGCGATGTTGCACAGAAAACCGCGCAAAAGCATCTTGCAAAACCTGGGGGTATTCGAAGTATCGACACCACAGCCGCTACCGCTGAGCTGGCTTCCTACCGTAAGGATAGGACTGCTCAGGGCTGGTCGGGGAGTAGTAGTCTGATGGGTAGCCGTTCATGTAGCTGTTGTTGTACTGTCCGCCGTTGCCAAATTGGTACGGGTTAGAACCTGCGTACGAAGATGCCTCCCCTTTGTTACGACCATGATACGTAGAACGCCCATTCCATGCTTGAGACTGCCAATTGGCGCCGTAGCTGCCACGTTGATCACCGTGGGATTCGTAATTGTCGGAGACATTGCGGTGTTGCACAGGTGGCATTGGCGACTGCTCATCGCGGACTGCGTCGTAGTAACTGTTGAGGGTAGGCTGCGAGTGATGCGTAGGTGCAGCGTGGGACGTCAGGGTTGTTGCGCCAGAGGTGGGCAAGGTGTTGGTAGCTGGGTGGTGCTGCGAGGTCTTCGACTCATTGAGCTTCTCCACCGTCTGCTGCATATGTGCCATTGCTTTCTGCATGTCTTTGAGACTCAACTCTACCTCAGCTGCCTTCTTTGTCTGCTCCTTCATGGCACCGATCACCTCATCCTTGAGGAACTTCTCAAGCTGGTCCAGCTTGAGACTGACATTGTGCGTCTGGTTGGACGCGTCGTCAGCCTTGTCATTGACTAAACCGATCTGAGACTGGAGGTCTTCGACGTGCTTGTCGAGGGTGGCCACTAGCTGCTCGTGCTTTGCATTTGCTGCGCTGATCTGTTGTTGGGTATACATATCGAGAGCGTCATAGGTGGTTTTGCCCACTACATCCAGATGCTCGTTGGTCATGAAGAAGTGGTCCTCGATAGTCTTGTGGGTACGTGGAGAGATGAAGGGTCCAGCGATGGGCGTACCGTTACCACCGCGAAGCGTGGGGATGGGTTGCATTGGAACATGAGGTCCATTTAGCTTATGAAGAGGGCTTGGAACGGCACTTGGACAAAAGGCGCGGAAGTCGCCGTTCGAGTCGTTTCTTGAGGGTGCGCCATTCAGTATATCTGTGAGCTTCGACGAGGAGATGTCTGGCTGGAGGTGGGCGCGACGTCCAGTTGTCCCAGGGGTTGACTGTTGCTCGCCGATGCGAAGCTCTTGCTTAACTCTAGCTGTGAGCTCGTTGTCGTCGCGTTGCTGCTGGGCCTGTGTTGGGGTAGTCAGTAAATGTAGTCATGGAGGTAGTTGAGTCGCTTACAGTCTGTGCCTGTACCTCCTGTGTCTGCGCATCACTGCCGTTCGTTGCCTGCGCCTCGGATGGATCGGACTCAACTGCCTTCATACTACCTTGGTACACCATTTCGATCGAACCGTTGTTGGAGTCCTCGCGGAGATGAATGAGGCTGGGTTTGGGCTTGGGCGGTGCGAAAAGCATGCGACTAGTGTCTGTCTGAAAGGAGAGTTAGCTTGGTGGAAGAAAGTTGGGCAGGTACACAAGGTGAGAAGTCGCAGTGAAAGCGGGTTGGGCAGGTCACATGGGTGAAGTCGAAGCCACGCGCAGACCCACTCTTGCCGGTTGTGAGTGAGAGGGAAGGAGCGTTTTTCGCTTACGTTTCGCGATGGACTCTCGCCATCGTTGAAAAGCTGGACCGAGCGATCGCACGGCGAATAGAAACGCGGCGGCAGGGGACTCAAACGACGACCGAGTCGGTCGTTATAGTGGTTGTCGTCACTGCGACTTGATAGAGGGAGCTGCAGTAGCTCATGGCTTTCTTTCGCGAGGGGGGCACTGAAGTTGCCTTCCTTCACCTCGCTGTCCACTTCTTCGTCCGGGTATCGCCATTGGAGCGCTTCGCCTTCAATAAGCTTGGTGTAGTCTTCAGCAGTGTACGGGCGAAACTTGGAAGGGCTCATGCCGCCGTTGCCTTGAGTGGCAGTCTTTGGAGGCGATGGGGTGAGCGCAAACATTGGAAACGGCAGTTGCACCTGAGTACCTCTATCTGGAATCGTGCCATAGCTTTCACGCAGGTCATCGTGCGAAGGCGCTCGTCGCAGTGGGCTTGATGGTTTCGTAGGAAGCCGAAAGTCGGGAGGCGTGTCTTTTGCTGGAGGAGTCGGAGGTGGCATAGACTCGAAGGACGAACTCGCTGTTTGCCCATGTAGTGGTGTATTATCTTTCTCCGAGGACCGGCGCCCGGTCGTGCGGTTGCCACGAGCAGGTGTGCTGCGGTTGATCCGGGTGTTTGCAGGTAAAAGCTTCCCAACTGTGCCTGACCTGGAGATCTTCGTAGGCGTCTTTACGACCTGAGCAGACTTTATCGGACGTGGCTGGATGCGTCGTGGTTTGTGTGCAGGTGTTGCATGGACTCCTAGAACCTGTGCAGCCTTGGTTGGCATAGCCGGTGTTGTACTCGTCACAGATGCTCTAGCAAAGGTGGGGAGGCTGACACCAAACAGCTTCTTCTTGGGGCTTTTGGTAGATTCGTCGCTTTCGTCTTGTTTCTCGCTACTGACAGCCCTGCACTGAGCGCGTAGATCTTCGGTTCGAATGAAAACTCTGTCTAGATCCATGGCCCCTGAGATGGTCAGTCTGTTCTTCATCATAGTGAGATGTCACTTACCAGAGGTAGGCGTGGGAGGGATTTGGCCAGTCATCTTAAACAGCTTCTTCTCCGTGCGTGATTCAATTTGAGACCTAAGGGTGGTCTCGTCCTCATCCAGCACCTCAAGTCTGGCTTGAGCAGCTGTGGCGCTGCGGTGACTACGCTCAGACTGCCTAGACCGCGCAGTCGAATTGTGTCGACTGGGTACTGAGCCGTAGTCTGACTTGCGCGGTGAGCCACGCGCTTGGTCCATGAGGTCAGAGAGTGTAGTCATCGCCGTCGAGCGGTGCCTGCTTGTCTGAGAACCAGACTTTGAACGAGATTCATCGAACTCCAACGGGGATGTCAGCGGAGTGTTTGCGCCGGAGCGCGCAGCTTGTTGAGTTGACGTAGAAGCAAAGCGTTGAGTATGCTGACCGCTGCCCTTTGTCTGAGCAGGTGCGTTGATCGTGGCATGTGGCCTAGGTACTGTCCACGATGGAGGCCACTGTGGAATGGCGATTGGCGGTGGCCTTCTTTTATGATCAGGTGTTGGTGAAGACATTGCCGGAGGACATTCGTCTGATCCTGAAGAGTTAATCAACTGAAGGCGGAGACCAAGGTACACCCACACTTGGTGAGAGAGAGCTACCTTTGTCACACGGACTTGACCCTTTTCCACGGAAAGTATGTACAAGCAAGCCAAGAGTGATTCCAACTTTTGCCAAAAGTGTGGATCTGCTAGCGGGGAGGCGGTTTGTAGGCTGCAGTGGGAGGTTCCTTCAGCAGCGCAGATTTGTTGACACGGGCGACGCCACAACAAACAAGCCAGCTTTCACTTCGTCCGACATCACTTCAGATGAAAGAGGAGTGGGGCCAATTCCGAGGTGCAAAACTGGTGCCCCTCAGCTGACAAGAAGTTCACTCCTATCAAGTCGCCGAGGCCGAGAGAAGGCCATGTTAGCTCATCCAGTGTCCGCGCCTGCTATTCCAGACTTCGTTCGATTACCAGATTGTATGTCTCGTTTCGATCGTCCATCAACGCTGGATATTTTGGTCAATATGGAGGCGAAACATTTTGAGGGGAGCATGGGCAAATTCAGTGCTTAGAAGAAAAACCGCTACCCACAGATGGCGCCAGAGAGGTATCCAAAAATTCACGCCCAGTCGAAAGACCTGTACCCAAAGCTCCCCTAGCTCTTGACCCTGCATGTTCATCGCACTCATGCTCTAGAGTATGACGCACTTCTTCTCCTTCTTCGGTCCCTTGCCCTCTTTCCTTGTCGCTGGTGGTTCGAGTGCTGCGACAATCGCCTGCAATCGTGTTAGTTTGAGGCTCTTCGACTCTCGAGATGAACTGCTTACCTCGTCGAACACATCCTTGAGCTTGTACTGTGTCAAGGCCGAGCACTCGACGTACTTAACGGCACCGAGTTCTCTCGCCATTCGCTCGCCGTCTTCCCGCTTCACGGGCGCCATCCTCTGTTTTGACAGCTTGTCTCTGACGGCGTTATCTTCTCTCAAATCGACTTGTGTACCGACAATCAAGCACGGGACACCAGGACAGTGGTGGTGGACTTCAGGGAACCACTTCTCGCGTACGTTTTCGAATGATGCGGGCGATGTGACGGAGAAGCAGACGAGGAAAACATCCGTCTGGGGGTATGAGAGAGGTCGAAGTCGGTCGTAATCCTCTTGTCCGGCAGTGTCGAAGAGACCGAGGGTGTATGGCTCGTCACCAATCCTTTGCAAAGTCAATCACAGCTCTCCTTGGAGTAGGCCGATTCCACCAAACGCAACACACGCTCTTCGGTGTTGTACGTAGAAAGAGAAAAGTGCGGGAGGCTCACATTACAGTGACGGCGTAATTGTCGAAGACCGTGGGGACATATTCGGAGGGGAACTTGTTCGTCGTGTAGCTGATGAGGAGACATGTCTTGCCGACAGCACCGTCGCCGACGACGACGCACCTGTTGAAGAAAGCTGTTAACGACTGTCTGCGCAGTGCGCACAGAACGGGCAGAGTAAGAGATGACGGGCATACTTGATGGTCGCAACTACCATGGCTGAGGCGGTGGCGGTGTGCTAGGTATGCAGGTGGGTATGTGTATGCGATTGGCGAAAAGCAATGGCCGGCGCGGGGACGGTATGCGACAGCGAGATGCAGGGTCGTGTGATGGCGGCCGGAAGTGCGGAGATAAAGCTAGCGGAATAGAACTACTGCTTGATGTCCAACAGACGAGGGGTTGAAATGAGTGGAGAGCGCCTAGAGGGCACGCCAGTCAGTGTGCGCATTCACGGCTGTTTTGCGGTTGACAGATCCGTCCCCGCGTACCTCTTGAGTCGTGCTGCGGTCCAGCGGCGGCGCGTGCTACGCTGGCTTGGGCAGCTTGAGACCTAACGTTCCGAGTTTCAGTGCAGCCGGCGAGGGTGACGATGAAGCGAGCGGGCTGAGCAGGGCAGCGGCGGCACGGCGGACGGGCGGGCAACAAAGGAACTGCGAGCGGCGGGCGTCCAGCAGAGTCGCGTGAGAGCTGAGGGCGTAGAGCGTAGAGCGCGGAGAGTAGAGTTTAGGTCGGTACGTCCAGCTTGCCAGCGGAGGTCGAGCTATCCTATCAATGGAAGCGGTTTAGTGGGCTATCATAAACCCTGCATTGGCCCCGTTGGTAGCATACTGCTAGGGATCTGCACAATTCGCTCCCGGCGGTGCCTTTTGCACGGCATCTGCTGGCCAGACCTGCTGCCGCCGCCAGAATGAGTTCAACGCGTGGCAGGCCCGGTTTTTGCAATCTCTACCCGACGCGCCGCCTAGGGGTGCACAAAACACCACGCCTGGGATCGTGTGTGTGCGCTCGCATTCCAGCAAAGCTGCAAAGCTGCCGCGGACTGAGTCTGCGTTGTGTCTGGTCGGCCGTGCGCCGTCGTGCTGCATTCCGTAGTAGAGCTGAGAAGGCTCTCGAGTACATGTCGATTGTTTGTCAAGGTGCAACGCAACTACGGGTCGAAGCATGACAGAAAGGGACCTCACGCATGTCTACACAGTGTTGCAAACAGAGCGTCCGGGTCATTGCCGTGCCTTCCCCTGTGCACGCTCCGTCGACGAGGTCCTGTGCGCTCACGTTGTTATGAAAGTGCAGCAACACCGCGATCACGGCAACTCACGCGATGTGACAACAGCAGCGGGCCTTGCGTTTCAGGCCTGCCAGCCGTGCTCCGAGCAACATGATCTCAGATGTCAGTCGCCTGTAAGATCGTTGCCAAGATGGTGGAGTCAGCTTGGAACCTGATTCGAGACTTCCTCACCCGGCCCGACCGTGCCCGGAAGAGCTTTGGCCTATCCTCAAACAACGCTGTCCTGAGCTATCGCACGCGCGTGCGCCAGTGCGTTATGGGGGCTATATCCTTCATTAGCCCACACCCGCGGACTGCACGTCATCTGTGTCGCAATGGATGACCTTGATGATGAGCTGGATCTGCGCTACCATCGCGGCGTGAAACCGGATGTTTACTACCGTGTACCGACCAGTGAGGTGACGATACCTTCCTGATCTGCAGGTACTCTGGCTAAGATGTTCTTGATATAGTCTCTGGACGGTGCACTCCGAAACGAATTGGAAAGAAACGCGTCGACCTTGATACCCTCAGATATAGTTACCGAGTTTGTTTTCGCGGCCGCCTCCACCGTCACCGTCCCCGTAACCCAACAAGCCAACCTAGATGCCCTCATCGAGCCTCAGGATTACGCGCAGAGCATCCAAGTCGAGTATGCACTGTGTCGAGAATTTAATAGTAAAGACCGACTCAAGATCCAGAGGGCGGTTTCCAAGTAGGTAACGTGGGTTTGGGAGGGAGGGCGTCAATGCTGACGGCACTCAGGTCTATTGTAGCAGCCATCGAAGAGGCAGACGGATTCAAGTATTCTGAGCGTCGCGCCTACAACTCCAAGACTGGCGGTGATGGTGCTCGATTGAACTATGTCTGCCAAGACAGCCTGCAGAACAAAGATCGGAAGGCCAACAAGAAAAAGGAAACTGATGCAGAGGACGGCGATAGCGATGGCGCTACGAACAGGGATACAATACCAACTTACGACTGTGGAGGCGCCATTCGTGTGAAGTTCTCGATCAAGCGCGGAGCCATCAATGTCGTATACAAGCACAATCCTATTCACAGGGATGTTGATAGTCGGCGAAGCTGCGATGAGTATGACGACACTCGACTCCCGCATATTTTACACAGTACCACTGACTTCTCACAGTGTTTCTGCTGTCCCACAAGCGAACGGTGGCGCCACACCCAAGGCCGCAAAGGCCCCTAACGGATCTGTCAAGAAGAGGAAACGCAGCAAGAAAGATCCCGACGTTGGAATCAATGACGAGCTCCACGACCCTGATCTCGACATGTCGACCTCGCCTGACGCATCCAAATCTTCAGCGAAAAAGAAGCGCAAGAGCAAGGACACTGCAACTTTTGCTGCGGGCTCTTCGAAACCGTCCGCCAAAAAGGGCAAGACCACAAAAGCAGCCACTGCTGCAAAGAAAGAAGAGTGCAGCAAGAGAGCCGTCACCGCCACTAAGTCTTGCTAAAAACAAAGCATGCATTCGGTGCCGTGAGGAAAAGATCAAGTGCGACGAAGCAAAGCCTGTGTGCAATCAATGCAAGAGAGGTTTGTGGACTTGCCAGTACGAGGTCGCGGGTACTAAGCAACGCTCGAAGAATGGCTGCGTCAGCTGCAAGCAGCGCAGACGCAAGTGTACGGAAGAGAAGCCGTATTGTGCGTATTGTCTGAAAAAGAACGACAATTGCGAGTACGCCGACTATTCTTGACATGGTTTCATTGCCACAGTCCATCAAGACGACATCCCACCATTGACCGCGGCACAATGCGAGAGGCAACGACTGAGCGTACCACACAGTGAAGGGTTGTCAATCGTGGTGCCCCGCCGAGTCGCCGAGCAGCAATTAGTCCACGGTCAGCCGCCTCTTATGACGGACAGTCCACATTCTCGTCCGCAGCGCAGGAGAGCTTCTAACATGAAGCAGAACTATCCAGTCATCTCGACTCGCGTAAGGGCACGCCAGAGTCACCATTCGTGACATAGAAGCATACGTGTACACAACAACGACTATACATTGCATCACGGCATTGAACTTCTCCGGCACAGTCCGATGAAGTTAAGATGGCCAACACGCCCGATAGCTGTCGAGGATACATGTACGACTGTGTTCGAACAAAGGATGTACACCTAGTTTACGCAGCGACAAATAGAGATAGCAGATTATTTTCCATTGCTGGATATCCACCACCAGATGTGCACTTGGCAATAACATGGCTAATTCTCTAAACGAGTGTCAAAGCGCGTATGCCTCACCTGCTCCGTGTCCATGAAGTACCCTCACGATAGCCGATATCGGACGGGCAGCTTATCGTAGGGCGTCGGCGTGCAGACGCGACCCACTGCAGAATTCTACTGCTTTTGCCGCACGCCTTGCTGCTGACAGCGGTTCTCGCTGGCGCTCTTCGCATCTTCTGCGCAATTACCTGTCGTGGCTACTGTAGCCCTGTTACGGCGTGCCGCCATGTGCACGTGACGGCAGATCTAAGATAAGAGCTGTTCTTATGAGCAAAAAATTGTGCATCACAACCGAAAACTGTCAATCTAACGCCGAATTGCACCGAGCAAAGCTTTGATGCTGCATGGGGCTCGCAGGGCTCTGAATGGTTCAGAGTCCTGCAGTGGGTCAACCAGGGAGTCCTCGAGCTTCCCCGGACGCGTTTGGATTTGGTGATGTGCTTGGAATTGCCCAATCGTCGAGCGTGTCATTGCGAGATTTTGTCACCAGCGTCATTGGTGCACCCTCAACTGGCTAGCGTGCAAAGAGGGGGTTCCACCGCCGGCCTCTTCGCGATAACCTTTCAAGACTCACACAAAACCCATCACCGCCTCTTGCAAACTGATCCCATCACTCACACATCTACCAAGGGTTCTTCCAGCCCGTCTTGTTTTGACCTCGCCGGCTCACCCTCCGTTGCGCTTATGCGTGCTGTTCAAACAACCTTTACTTCCCAGGTACGTAACAATTCGCCCTACCTTGCCATGGTTCCTTATCTGTCAATGCACACCGTCAATTCACCGGCCTAACCTCTCGGCGGCTGCGATGCGCACTGAATTATCGCTTCCGACTGTCCTCACACCTTAAAATCTTGCTGACTGACCTCTACAGGACTACATCTCAGGTATGCTGCTGCCCGATATTCGGCGCGTTATGAGCGTCACACTGACACTGCTGCCAGACCACCTGTGGAAGGCCTCAGTAAACTGAAAGCCTGCCAATCGACCAATTAAACATCTACCACTACCGACCAACCCATCTCACGTCAATATGCTGTCGCAAATCATTAAGCCTTCCGCCATGCGGTCTGTCAATGTCCTGGGACAAGTAACAAAGAACCGCGTCCAGACGCGTGCTCTGGCCACCGTTCAGTCCAACACGGAACGCCGAATTCCCTCTCCTCCCCGAAAGCCCACAGAGATCTCTACTGAGCGGGCTACCTTCACAATCAAGGTAAGTTCGGCGTAGCAATCAACAAGGAGGATGATGCTCACCACCCCACAGAACGGCCCCATCTTCTCCGGAAAATCTTTCGGTGCAAAGGCCAACATCTCCGGTGAAGCCGTCTTCACCACTTCCCTTGTTGGATACCCTGAGTCCATGACGGACCCCTCCTACCGCGGACAGATTCTCGTCTTCACCCAGCCCTTGATTGGCAACTACGGTGTACCTTCAGCTGCTCGCGATGAGCACGGTCTGCTCCGTTACTTCGAGTCTCCTTACATCCAGGCCTCTGGTATTGTTGTTCAGGACTACGCCCTGAAGCACAGCCACTGGACCGCTGTCGAGTCGCTTGCCCAGTGGTGCGCTCGCGAGGGCGTCCCCGCCATTTCTGGCGTCGATACTCGCGAGGTCGTCACATACCTCCGTGAGCAGGGTTCCTCCCTTGCTCGCATCAGCATTGGCGAGGAGTACGATGCCGACGAGGATGAGGCTTTCATCGACCCCGAGGCCATCAACCTCGTCCGTCGTGTCTCTACCAAGGCGCCCTTCCACGTGAGCTCGTCCCTCGGCGACATGCACGTTGCCCTGATCGACTGCGGTGTCAAGGAGAACATCCTTCGCAGCCTCGTCTCCCGTGGAGCCAGCGTCACCTGCTTCCCATTCGACTACCCGATCCACAAGGTCGCTCACCACTTTGACGGCGTCTTCATCTCCAACGGCCCCGGCGACCCAACGCACTGCACACAGACCGTGTACAACCTTCGCAAGCTGTTCGAGACCTCCCAGGTCCCCGTCATGGGAATCTGCATGGGCCACCAGCTGATCGCGCTCGCGGCGGGCGCCAAGACGATCAAGCTCAAGTACGGCAACCGCGCGCACAACATCCCCGCGCTCGACCTGAGTACGGGCAAGTGCCACATCACGTCGCAGAACCACGGATACGCCGTGGACCCAACGACGCTGAGCAGCGAGTGGCGCGAGTACTTCACGAACCTCAACGACCAGTCGAACGAAGGGCTGATCCACAACTCGCGGCCCATCTTCAGCGCGCAGTTCCACCCGGAGGCCAAGGGCGGCCCGCTCGACTCGGCGTACCTGTTTGACAAGTACGTCGAGAATGTGCAGCGGTACAAGGAGCAGCAGTCGCAGCTGTCCAACAAGGACAACAAGCCCAGCGCGGTGCTTGTTGATTTGCTCAGCAAGGAGCGCGTGGGTGTGCACCCGGACCAGCCCGACTTGGACATGTCGTCCAACAGCCCGTCGGTGGTGGTTGGCGGGGCGGTGCCATCGTACCAGCCCATTTCGACCGCTGCGTGAGCGTGCGTGAGTACTGGTTTTGGTCGTCTGGAGTAGTTGGGAATGTCTTGGGGGGAATATATCTATTGTTTATTTCTATTTGAATTTCAAAGAGGAACTTGTTCATAAATCCGTCTACACACCCACCTACACGGTGAAGCACCATGAAATCTTCCACAGCCCACCTACACACACTACACACACCGCTCACCCCCCCTCACTCGGTTCCCCGACCCCAGCCGTAGAGACCTTCCTCTCCATCTCCTTCTTCCTAGCGCCAGCCTTGAGCTTCTCCCACTGCTCCCTGTAGCGCGCAATGAGCAGGCCATCCTTCTCCGTGCGGCGGGCGAGCTGGGCGTTGGTCGCGCTGAGATGCGCAATCTGAGCCTCGAGCGCGGCGATGCGGTGCGGTGCCGCGTCAGCACCAGCACCAGCACCAGCACCAGCACCAGCACCAGCACCAGCGTCTGCATCTGCAGGTGTGTCCGGAATCGCAGTGTCTGTGGGTGCGCGCGACGGTGGCGGGGGACGGGCGCGGAAGGACTGAGCGAGGGCAAACTGGTTCTGCGAGTTGGTCTCCCACATCTGTATGCGATTCGCCTGTTTATCGACGAGGGCCTTTAGTGTTTCATTCTCGAGCGCGAGTTCCTCGAGCGTCTGGAGGCCCGCGCCGCGACCGGCGGGGATGCTGCGCTGCGGCGTCACCTGCCCTGCGGAGCTGCGGGAGCGTGGACGCCGCGTCGTGGGCGAGGGGGGGCCGACGCTTTCCTGGGCGTCGACAAACTCGTCGTGGCTGCCTCTGAGAGAGCCCGAGCCTTCGTCGATGGGGGCGAGGTGGTGCGCATGTGTGCCGGGCCCCTGCAGCATGCTGGCGTACGTGACGGTGCCGCCAGACGTGGGGACGAGGTAGAAGGACTCGTTTGGGTTGAGGGGCGTGCCGCCATCGCTGCGCAGCGCGCGGAGAGCCGGCTTGCTGATGAGGGCGGCTAGGTCGGGCACGGAGGACTTGACGGTCCGCGAGGCTTCTGGGGACGAGGGTCGCGACTTGGCTCGCGAAGCCTTGTCCGTCTTGGCCGGCTCGGGAGCCGGCGTGGACGGTGTGGGGTTGAGCGGCAGCGAGGTGAATGCCAGCGGAGCTGATATGGCGGATATGACGCCTCCAAACGCAGAGTAGAAGCGGCGGAAGTTGTCTTCGGGCGGAGACGAGGGCGGAGGAGACGAGGGCGGAGGAGACGGGGACCGAGGAGACGAGGACAGAGGAGACGAGGACAGCGGGGCCGCGCTTGGCTTGGCGAGCTCTCGTGATGTGCTCAGATGGGCTTTCCGGGCCTGCCTCTCCAGCAGGTCTCTGACGGGTGTAGCCTGGCCATCTCGTGCGGCGTTTGCGCCGGACGCTGTCGCTGCGGTGCTGCTTGTGGTGCGCCGTGCGCTCGGGATGCCGCGCTTCTCAGCAAGGTTAGTGGCTATGGAGGAGGGGGGCAGTCGGCGGTGGGTCCGGGGAGCCGACGCGGACGGCGAGCTGGTTCGAACGGCGGCCGTCTTGGCGGATGCGGTTGCGGTGGTGCTGTCGGAGAGCTTGCTTGCGCTGCTGCTGCTGCTGCTGCTGCTGCTCTTCTTGTCCGTCTTGCGCGGCGTCTCCTTGATCAGGCCGGCCAGCTTGCGGTGGTGGTCCTCGAGCAGGCCGAGGATGCGCAGGGCCTGGGAACCGGTTAGGACTCGCCCATGCATAGCGACGGGTCGACTCGTACCTCCTCGTTGTGCGTGTCTTGGGCGGCGTCGTGGAAGAAGGCGGCCGCGCGGTCGTGCTCGTCCCCCGCGGTCGCGATGCTGCTGCTCAGCGTCGCCGTCTGGGCGTTGCGCACGTGCTCGTGGGCTTTGGTGAGTTGCGCCGACTCCATGGTGTGGTCAGCAAGTCGGTTTGTTGGTGGAGTCTGGTCGTCGCATGCTGGCAGTCGCAGTCGCAGTCGCAGTCGTAGTCGTAGTTGTGGTCGCAGTCGCAGTCGCAGTCGCAGTCGTAGTCGCAGTCGTAGTGGCGGTGGCAGTCACAGTCACAGTGGCAGTCAGTCACAGCCACAGCCACAGTCACAGTCACGAGAAGCGCAAGACGGGCTGCCTCCGCGGCGAACGGCGCAGGGGTGTGCGGGCGGTCACACGGCACCGGCAGCGACGGCCGTGCAAGTGCAGCGGCGCACTATGACGAGACGAGCGCGTCGAGGCGGGTTTCAGCCATGGCGCGATACTCCGCGCTGACTGCGACTGCAGCTGGAATGGAGGCCCGCTCGTGCTACGCCGTGCAGCATCCGTCCGTCCTGTCCAGCCCGACGTCGCCATAGCACGCTCGCTGTCCATTGTCCGCCCGCGGCCACAACCACCCACGCAATCGACCGCATCCCCGCCAACGCGAGAGACGGCCAAGGCACCCGCCCCGCACTCCAGCCTCGCGCGCACAAACGACAGACGGCGCGAACGACAGACGGCGCGAACGAGACACGGCGCGAACAAGACACGGCGCGAACAAGACACGGCGCGAACAAGACACGGCACGAACAAGACACACAGCGCCCAGCATGGCGACTGTCGGGCGCAGGAGGAGCGTCGCCTCGTCACTGGGACGCTCGAGCCGCGACCCGTTGCTGGCTGCACCGCCGGACAAGACGCTGTCCACGCGCGCCAGCTCCTCTGCACTGTCCGTGGGCAGCGATGCGCCGGGCGACGCGTACGACGGCGCCCTCGACCGCCTGAGGAGCCGCAACTCGGACGACGGCCGCAGCGACAGCTCCTCCAACAGGCGCACCCACAAGCGCCGCCTGTCTGGCCTGTTCCGGCGCAGAGACGCCAGAGACAGCAGAGACGACCTGTCGCAGATGGACCCGCCCGAGACGCCCGCGCTGCCCGCCGACCTCACGCGGCCCAGCTCAGGGTCGCGCAACCTCAGCGACGACTCGCTCGGCCTGCACAGGAGTGTCGCCAGCAGCCTGCTGACCGACGACTCGGACCCGGACACTGCGTAAGTCCCCTGCGTGCTTTGCCAAAGCCCGAAATGAGCCCTGTGTGCCCTGCCCGCGTGTCGGAGCGAGAAGAGCGCGGCGCGGCCCTCGAGCTGCACAACCCCCGAGCATGGACGCCTGGGCGAACACGACCACCAGTTCTGGCCTCCGCCCGCCCCACCGCACCCATCCACCACCGCGCCCTCCACCTCTGCACATCGTATTGCTTCCCGCCGTGCGCTGCATTTTGGGTTCTTTTTTTTTTCTTTACATGCCTCGTCGTTTGTGATGGCCGTCCATGTTATTTCTTCTTGTTAATTGCTTTTGCACCGCATCCGCTTAGACCACCCCTTCTGTTTCTGACTAACCGGCCCGTCAGCTCGCCAGCGCGCCGCCCGGGCATATCACCGCACAACTCCCACGCTGGGTTGTTGACGCTGTCCTCGCCCCTGATCGCCTCCGAGACGATTGACTCGCTCGACTCGGCCACCACCACCACCTGCACCACCACCACCACCTGCACCACCACCACCACCGATGCCACGCTCGTCGACTCGCTGACGTCGACCGAACACGGCCCCCCACGCACCGCCAGCACCCTCGACCTCACGCCCAACAAGCGTGGAGTCTCGCCGGTCGGCAAGCTGAAGGAAGCCTTTGCCCCCTCCCGACGGGCCACCTCGCCGAAGCCGGGCACCGCCGCAGACGGCGCCAAGCCAGGCGCAAGCGCTGGGGGGATTGGGGCGCTCTTTGGAGGAAAGAGGCGGGAGCAGCGCGTTCTGGATGGCCCCATTGTGGCCTCGCCGCCACAGATCCACACGGGCTCCGAGACGCGGTCGACGGCGTCTCTGCGCTCGCTAGGTCCTACGCGGATCATCACCCAGATACCAGCGACTCCGCCAGACACGGCCGACGCCCCCACGACCTTTGTTACGCCGCCCACCCCCGTAGACGGGTCCGCGCCGTCGCCCACCGAGTCGACGCACGCAAAGACGCCCACCCAGCACAGTCCCTCGCGGTCGAACCCCAACGTAGTCGTCTCTCCTTCGGGGAACATGATATCGCACAGACGCGTGCGCTCCGCCTCAAACGCGCCCAGCAAGCTCTCCAACTACATCTCAGCGCCGCTCACGCCCCACCCCGAGGAAGCAAAGACGCCTGGCGGGACCGCCGTGCTCAACTCGCCCAGCACTGGATTCTTCTCGTCGGTGTTTTCCGCCGCGCAAAACGCCGCCAATCAGTTCAGCAACACCATTGCGCAGAACTCGGCGCCGAAGAACAGGCCAGACAGGCCGCAGCAGAAGGAAGCAGACGACGCCGGAGACGGAGGCGAAGAGGTCATTGGGCCCGCAAACGCCGAAGCGCGAGCAGAGGGCTCAGAGAAGCCTCGCCCTGCCATTGAGACGCTTGGGTCCGGAAACCTCAGTCTGGCGCACCTGGGCATATCGGAAAGCAGCGAAGCCAGCCCCATGTCTTTGGCGACAAACGTCACCGTCAAGGCCGACGAAGCCTCTGCCAAGGTGGAAGATGCCGCGGCCGCAGAGGCCGTGTCGGCAGCCTACGCCGCCAAGCCACCGTCGGTCGGCAGTGAACGCCCACGCTCGCTCACCGTCGACTCTGGCGGACCAGGTGCAGCCTCGCCCAAGAGGGAAGCCGACCTTGCAGATTCGCCGGCTGCGGGCTCACTGCAGAGACAGGGAAGCGTCCGCAGCCGCATCAGCGGTGGCAGACGGAGGCGGCACAGGGGTAGCTCGGCTGCGACTGGCAACACTACCGCCACGGCTCCGATTGGAGCCAGTACCTCTACACTGGCTCCCGCTGCGCCGTTGCAAGGCCATCGACTGAACGGCACTGGCTTTGCCGTGGCACCGCCGAAGCGCAACAAGGACTTCCACGCCCTCTTCAAGAGTGTCCCCGAGGACGACTACCTGATTGAGGACTACAGCGCGGCACTGCAAAAAGAGATTCTGCTCCACGGCCGACTGTACGTCTCCGAGGGCCATCTCTGCTTCTCCAGCAACATTCTGGGCTGGGTCACCAACCTTGTCATCAGCTTTGACGAAGTCGTGTCTGTCGAGAAGAAGTCGACGGCTGTTCTGTTTCCCAACGCCATTGTCATCCAAACGCTCCACGCTCGCAATGTCTTTGCATCCTTTCTGGCGCGAGACTCGACCTATGATCTCATCATTGGCATATGGAAGATTTCGCATCCCAACCTCAAGTCCTCCTTGAACGGCGTGACGCTCGACGGGTCCGCTGGCACCGGCGACAAGACCGAAAAGGCCGAGTCCATTGGCAGCGACGATGCGACCAGCGAGTCTGACGACGACGTCTACGACGAGGACGCAGAAGACGACGATGGGTTCGGTAGCTTCACCGAGGCTGGCGAGGGCAGTGTGACCGGCAGCGACCTTGGCTCGGCAGCTGGCGAGCCAGCCACTCGCAAAATCAGCGCTGCCGTCGCACAAGCCGTGGGCAGCGGCGGGCAGACGACCGAGGCGGCAAAGGCGGCAACGAATGGCGCTGCAGCCGCGACGAACGACTTTCCTGGCTCCGCGACGCACGGGCCGTCGGATTGCGCTGACGCCGATAAGCACTATGACAAGCTCCTGATCGACACGACAATCCCAGCGCCTTTGGGCAAGGTCTACAGCTTGATGTTCGGCCCCGCTGCTGATGCGTTTATGCGAAAGTGGTTGATTGAGGACCAAAAGTCGCTCGACTTGCAGATGGAGCATGACAAGGATGGCTTGGGCGAGAAGAAGACGACGTTTAGCTACGCCTACACCAAGCCGCTCTCTGCGCCAGTCGGGCCCCGGCAGACACGGTGCAACATCGAGATGACGCTTGAGCAGTACGATCTCGAGAGAGCGGTGAGCGTCAACTGCAGCACGCAAACTCCAGACGTACCGAGCGGCAATATTTTTCTCACAAAGACACGATACTGCCTGATGTGGGGGCCCGGCAACAGCACGCGACTGGTCATGACCTTTACCGTCGAATGGAGCGGCAAGAGCTGGCTGAGGGGTACGCATGTCCGACTGCACAATCTGGACCTGACTGCTAACGTGGACAGGACCCATTGAGAAGGGCGCCAACGATGGTCAAATGTCGTATGCCACCTCGCTCACCGCCGCGTTGCGCACTGCCGTGGCTGCGAAAATCAACGCGGGTCCCAAGACACCAGGCCGCAATGGAAAGTCTAAGAAGCGATCCAGGACCGCAGCACTGGAGGAGGCACCCGCCATCGCCGCACCCGCCGCGCCACAGCCCAAGCAGAGCAACTGGGGCCTTTTGGAACCGATACGCCTGCTAGTGCCCTTCTCCGACACCATCGAGTCGCTGTGCACCCCGCAGATGATCATCACCGTGCTCGGTGCACTGCTGATCTATTCGTGGTTCTTCCGCAGCGCTGCAACAGGAGCGACGGGCCCGAATCACTGGAACACGCACCAGCGACAAGTCGCGCACGACGAGATCTGGCGCCACGAAGAGAGCGAGCTGTGGAAGTGGCTCGAGCAGCGCGTCGCAATCGACCGCGTGCAGCACGAAGCGCTCGGCAAGTCCACACCCGACGCCCACCAACGCGTCGAGCCCAAGACCATCAAGGAGCGGGAGATGGACGAGGCGATCCGCATCACCGAGCAGAAACTCGCCGAGCTGAAGAAGTCGGTCGAGAAGGAGCGGCAGCGGAGTCAAACCAAGGGCCCAAAAGAATAGGCCGCGTAAAAGCGCGGTGCAGTGCGTCGCCGCACGGTCGACGAGTGTTGTACATTACGCATCGCGAGGGCGTTTTTCTTCTTCTCTGCTTTCGTTTCGTTTCTCGTTTTTTTTTTCTTTCTTCCTATCGTCTCGGTTTCGTTATTGCATCACAGCGCCCATCGGCACGCGCGTGTTGCCCGCTTTCGCGGCTTTTCTTAGCGTTGGTAGGCTACTTCACTTTACATGGAAATGTACATGTTCAAAGTACACACCATCATCTCGTGCATCTGCGTTTCTGACTGTGCGCTTTTTCTCCACTTTGCTGACTGCGCAGCTTTCTCTCCAACTTCGCTGCTTCGCTGCTACGTCGATTTCGACGGACGGCGGCTGGGAGACTTTGTGTGGTAGCAGCCGAGGAGCGGTTCTAACTGTCATCCCACAGGTCTCTGGCGGGAGACCAGGAGTCGGCTGTTCAAAGAGTTGGTATCGCGTCAAGAGTACGTCGACAACGGTGGTTGACAGGGGGTTGACACACCTACCGTACTTATCCGCTTCCCAAGCTGCACGGAGGGTATCCACATCCAGCCTGCATACACCCTACTCGGCAGGATAGTACATCCGAACCCACTCCGCATCCCCCCTCGACGGCCCCAGTAGCTCCTCCCCCCTAATCCGCTCCAGCACCTTGACCCCCCTAATCCGCTCCAGCACCTTGACCCCCCCCAAGCGTATACTCGGGCGGCGCATACTTTAGCAGCGTGCACTTCATCTTATCCCCCTCGCACCCCTCGCCCGCAAACGTGTCTGACGGGTACATCATGATACTCCCCACATCCAACAAGACAGAGTCGTCGTGTACCCGCCCCAGGTCGTTTTCGATCAAGTTGGAGCCCACGAAGGCGTGGGCGTGGGCGAAGACAAAGTCTGTGCATAGGCGTAGGTGTGCTTCTGAGGCGCTGAGCGAGGTGCTGGACAGTGCGGAGGCGAGTGCGGTGCTGTATCCGATGACGTTTTGGCACGTGTAGAGGAGGAACTCGTCGCCTGGGGAGTGAGTGTAGGTTTTTCAATGGACGAGGGGGCTTGCGGTCGTTGCGGATGAATTCGTGGGACATGCCGAAGACTACACAGCCGATGGTTACTTTGGTCCTTGACAGGCGCTATCTGCGTAGGTGTGGCGCTAACCGTGACCGAGCTGTCTGGGTCAGTAAAAGCCGGATTCAATTCTGTGTGTGCGCGATGAATCGACGTGCCTCGTGTGCGACTTCTTCCACAACTGCATGCTTCTGTAACTGCATCCAATGGAACCCCACCGCGTACCTGGCCCCAAGACGATACCCCTGCGTCGCCAGCGATCCCTGGCCTAGATTCTCGCTGATCCGAAGCGTGTCCTTTTCCACCCTGGGATTCCACACCGCAGCGCCATCAACCAGACCCGGTAGGAAGCAGTACTCCGGCTGCCGCAGCGCGGGCTCGGGGTTTCCATCGTCCGCCTCGCTCCACGCCAGACTGTGCCCTGTCGCTGCACCGGCGGGGTAGCCGAGCGCTTCCGCCCACAGCGTAAAGGCGGCTTGCACGCGGCATTTGAAGAGGGAGCGCGTGTACGCGTCGCCGTAGCAGTATCGGACTGCGCGCAGTCTGCGCCCGTTTCGCGTGATCAGCCGCCAGGGTATCGCGAGCTTGGCTTGGAGTGCGCTTGCACTTTGCGTCTGGAGATGCGCCGCTGACGAGACGTTGTGCGCCATGATTGTGTCGGGTGGTGTGCTGCAGTGGAACGCGGTGGTGGCGAGCGGTAGTATGGCGATGAGGCCGTGGAAGAACAGGTGTAGCCGCATGCTGAGAAGAGAAGGG